TACAGGTGTTCTATTTTCTTATGCACAGGTGCGAGGGTCAGTGCCAGTCTTTTGGGAACAGGCGGCAGATCTGATACCTGGCCGTCAAAAAATCACCATAACTCGGCCACTGGACGCGACACAGCCAACATTCAATAAACATTTCGAGGATCTCGAGCAGTCTTACGGTGCCGTTCATGTAGTTAATCTTCTGAGCGAAACTAAGCCAGGCGAAGTCGAACTTGCCACCATGTATCGGGATTGTATCAAGCGCTGCCCCTTGAGGCGGCCTGCCCAACACCAATCCGAGGACCATGCTCTACTACGCGAGACTCATTACGACTTTCACGCCGAGACCAAAGGCCCGGCAGGATACGAGGCTGCGCGTGGGATCCGACGATACATTGAGAATTCTGCCGATGGCTTCGCCTACTTCTTGGCCCAAACTCATAATGATTCCAATGATAGGGCTGGTGAACGCATGGTGGTGGTGCTTCAGCAAGAAGGTGTCTTCCGCACTAATTGCTTGGATTGTCTGGATCGAACAAATTTGATCCAGACTCTGATTTCTCAAATGGCAGTCGAGGCATTCTTAGGCCATCGAGGAGAATTTGCGGCTTCCGATTTCTGGATGAGGCACTCCAGCCTTTGGGCTGATAACGGTGACGCCCTCTCCAAGACTTATGCCGGAACCGGAGCTTTGAAGACGTCCTTCACGAGACACGGAAAAATGTCACTGTCCGGCGCAATGGCGGACTTGCGAAAGTCTGCTCAGCGTATCTATCACAACAACTTTATTGATCCGTCCAGACAGATCACCATTGACATGCTGCTTGGCCTCTTGGTTGGGCAAGCTCCTGTTCACCTGTTCGACCCCATCAGCGACTATGTTTCGTTAGAGCTGGCAAGGCGAAGCGAAGAGTTTACTTCGTTCAAGAATATCAGCATCTGGGTTGGCACTTTCAATCTGAACGGACGTACCGAAGGTATCGACCACGACCTGTCGCCGTGGCTATTTCCGCCCTCCCTGGGGTCATCACAACCGGAGATATTTGTAGTTGCGTTTCAGGAGATAGTTGAGCTAAGTCCTCAACAAATCATGAACAGCGACCCAACGAGAAAAAGCCTTTGGGAAACGGCGGTAAAACGAGCCTTGAACCAGCGACAGGCTAGTCTGGGAGGTCAGAAATACGTACTGCTACGGAGCGGACAACTCGTGGGAGCAGCGTTGTGCATCTTTGTGAAGTCGTCGTCCCTTGATCATATTAAGAATGTCGAAGGAAGTGTCAAGAAAACAGGCTTGTCCGGAATGGCCGGAAACAAGGGAGCGGTTGCTATTCGATTTGATTATGCAAACACCCATATATGCTTTGTGACGGCGCACTTGGCAGCAGGGTTTTCCAATTATGATGAACGAAATCGAGATTATGCAACAATTCACGGCGGCCTGAGATTTCAGAGGAATCGAGGGATCGAGGATCATGGTATGTCTTCTTTGTCTTAGGGGGGGAATTGATTAAGGAGAAAAGAAAGAGGCTTTTAAATGCTAACTGATGATGCAACTAGATGCTATCATTTGGCTGGGAGATTTCAATTATCGCATCGGGCTCAGCTCAGAAGTTGTCCGCGGCCTAGTGAAGAAACGAGACCTACAAACCATGTACGAAAACGACCAGTTGAATTTACAAATGGTGGCTGGGCTCGCGTTCCAATTCTATTCGGAAGCCCGTATTAGCTTCATGCCTACATATAGATTCGACATTGGAACCGACGTATATGATACTTCGTGAGCAACCACCCCCTTTTCCTCCCCCCGGTGACAGAACTGTGCAGTTGTACTAACAAACCTGTAGTGAAAAGGCAAGAATACCAGCCTGGACAGACAGAGTATTGAGAAAGGGCGCCATTCTTCGCCAAACGGCGTATGATTCGGCACCACTGTTGTTCTCAGATCACAGGCCTGTTTATGCTACATTTGATTGCCGAGTTAGTCTCATTGATGAGGTTCAACGAAACGCCATTAGCCATGAGTTATATGACCGGCGCAAGGTTGAAGTGGGAGAATCAGCGGCACATGGAGATGGAGAAGACACAGAAGATGAAGACCTAATTGGATACGATGCAATCGAGCCAGGCCTCCCGCCGGCGAGCTCGGATCGTCAAAAGTGGTGGCTCGACAATCGACAGCCGGCTCGAGCTCAGATACCGATTCCTAGTGGGAGAGACGGCCAGCCGATGGCCTTGAATCCAAACCGCCCATCGAATCCTTTCGGTCAAGGTGAGGAGTTGGACTGGATATCAGTTTCGCGGTCGTCACCCGGAGCGTCCCTTTCGAGCATATCCAGCTCGCCGTATGAGAAGGTTATGCCTCCAAGGGGCATGATTTCAGCTGGACCTGGTGGACCCAGGAAGTTGCCTCCGCAATACGACCCGGCCACTCTCCCTGCTCAGGTGGGACGAATGAAGATTGGAGACGTTGACAACACGCGGAGTGCTCACGGAGACAGGTCTGGGGCGGCGCCGCCTCCTCCGCCACCGCGTCGTTCAGCAACAGCTTTGGATATGGGCTCAGGCGCAGGGCTGGGCAACAAGTCAGCGAGCTCAACCTCCTTGGGAGCGATGGGAGGAGCTGATAAAGCAGGGATGCAACCGCTGTGGATACAGCCTCGACCGGCCTCCGCAGCTTCTCAGACATCGCAGCTGTCTCAGCAACTCAAAGCTGGAAAGCCCGCGCCCCCTGTGGCGAAGAAGCCGGCGCACCTGTCAACATCCCCAGTTTCGACGTCGACGTTGCCATCGGGAGGCATGCGCAACCAGCCCGCACATGGTGGCGATGATTTCGTCCCACCGTTGCCGTCTCGCGCTTCAACGATGGTTGCAAAATCAGATGATGCTCAATGGCACACGCGATCCGCGATCTCGACTACAGGAAAGAAGCCCGTTGCACCTCCTAAGCCTCCGCTGAACATGAACATGAACACAACTACAAGCACACATACAAATGTGGCGGCCAGAGGACCTCCTGCCTTACCACAGCGATCAAGACAGGCAAACCAAGGCCCTGTTGACCTACTAGATTCACTGAATGAGGGTGGAGAGGAAGAGATGGGAGGCTGGGAGACATTGCAGCCAAGTGCAGCGGCATAGAGGAAGAAAAAGAAGAGAGATCCATTGTAGGTGAAGGCGGGATGATTTTGCCTCTTACTGAGATACATGAATACGACTCTAGGGCACCTATTGCTTTTGCTACACCTGATGTTGACTGTGAAAAAGCTGTGTGCTCATCTACTAAGGAAAGGAATACTGGTACATCTCCAGAGGAGCATCCATCACCCATCACATGGCTGGTGTCGCATGTACGTACGCACGCCAGCAAGCGACGAGACGAGGTACAAGTGGAGTACCACTTCCCCCTGCCTTCGAATCCCGACGCACCCAAGACCTATTACTGTCATTTGTGGCTCAGGCGAATCAAGAGGCTGTGCGGTTCATTTTCGTGCTCATCACCGTCTTGTGTCACTCGGCAGCGCAACGTGTTGCACCAACGGCTCCTGTCGTCGGCGCCGTGATCACAATCACACCACCAAACGGGCATGACAGGAAACGAACCCTTCCTCCTGCGCAGTGACAAGCTTCTAGACGCTAATGCGTCCTGGACGATCCATATAATGGCAGACGGATGACACCCAACCAGATGCCGAAGAGCCTTTTGCCCATTTTCTAGCGCGAGCGGCGGCCATTCAGTAGTTGGGGACTGTGCATGCAGCCAGACGGTAGTACTGTAGTCGCACTGGAGATTCCCGCGCGTTGTTTGCCTCGCTACGAGTTACACCACTTTTTCGGCCATGTTTGCATCGTCACGGGAGGGGGAGATGAAGGTGTGCCATGTGGTGAATCGGGCCTGGCTCGTGACCGCCAGTCGACGGCGTTGCAAAGGGAGGGGGGATTGGTTGTGAGACATTTTGCTCTGCCTCGTCTGTTAGTCGAGGTATTTTGCGTCCATTACAGATGGTCAGCCCAGGCCAGCCCAGCTTGCCAGCCCAGCTTGCCAGCGTCTGTCTATTTGTAGAAACAGTACAAACAGCATAGCGGCAACAACACGGGCCATGGACTGGACCATGGATGCTCATCTCAGTTAATTTAGGCTGGACAGATCAATACTGTACGGCAGATTAAACAGCCCCGGCGCAAGCGAGGGATTGGCTCCCTGTTCCCCGTTGCTCATCACCGGCTAGCGACTTGGCGCGAGAGCGAGCACTTGAGGCCGCGATGTCGTCAAGCCTCGTCCTCATCCGACTAGCCAGCGAATGAAGCACACGACTATTTGGGGGCTAGTGTTTAGGTGGTGAATCTGGTTCTGGTGGCAATACCTTTCCACTACCGTCTTAGCAAAGCCGGAGGACGCCGTGGAGGGAGCAAACTCGGATGGATGGCAAGCGACTGAATCGATGGATGTGGACGGCGATCCATCAGCCATTGGATTGGGGGGATTCTCCGATGCGGCACCGCGTCAAAGTCACTCGGCACTTGGGGAGAAAAGGCAACGGCAACGCAACATCAAGGCACCTCAATTTAAACGGCCGAGACAAAAGCATCAATGGAACTCGACTCCTTTCCTCGGCCACTTACTCAGCTGTAATACCTTGCCGGGTACCTACCTGCAGCGGGTGCACATGTACTCGCAACAGCACAGCACAGCGAGTGCCAGTGCTACAATACAGCGGCCAGGTGCCCTGAAGGTGACTGGCTCACATGCCTTGCCGCCACCGCGATCAGCCCAGCCCACCCTGAATCTCCCCCAGAGCCAGCGTCTCCGACCACTGAAACCGCCCCTGCGCCGCTCCACTTTCCGGCCTATTCCCTGTCTAGCGCCGCTGCTCTTGTCTCTGTTCCCTCCCTCCTCATCTTAGTGCCGTTTTTCAACGACGGGATTTCTTCATCTTGTCTTGTTCTCCCCCGGCTCGTATTTCCTGTATTTCCTGTATTTCCTTCCTGCAAACCAACCGAACCGACTTGATCTCACGCACACGACCTCTTCATTTCCCAGCCTTCAATCTCCTTCTTCTTTCTTTTTCCTGCTCTTCTTCCTTATTCTATTCCCACCACAAGCAAGCCGTGCCTCTTGTTCTGCTCCGGCTCCCCGGTGGAGCTTCTATTATACACTACACCAGTAGCAGACGGCGAGACTTGTCCGAAGTGGCGCTCCGAGATTTGCTCTGCATTACATTAATTCCTCTTTTCGGCCTCCACCCGCAGAAGCGAGGTCATTACAAAAGAGACGCGGAATCCTCCCGCTGCAGCTTCTTGTGATAGGAACAAGACGAGACAGACAAACGAAAGAAACAACAAACAACACAAAAGCGCGCAATTATTGGATTCGGAGCGTTCCGAAACCAACCCTCGGCTCCATCTCCTTACTATAATCTTTATTTATCCCACCCCTACCTCGCCTCAGGTCTTATTTATTTAATTGCTGCACCTTGTCGACGTCACCCGGGGCCGGAGAGCATCGAGAGATTGCCTGGTGGGGGACATCGTTTGGATCCTACCAGAATTGCAAGGGTTGGCATGAACAGCTGCCTTAAGGGGAAGCGATAACAACTGCTTTTTATTACGCGCCGCTGGTGTTAATCTGGGCAAGGGAAAATCTTGAGCTTGTGAATCGTCGACTGGAAACAGAGTAGATCTGTTGGTCTAGACGCGAAGAGAGAAGAAAAGTCGACTCGACGGCACGGAGGACGGTCACTGCTCGTATACGAGCCAATTCACCGACGTCTGAGCAGCACGCGCTCTTCCTCTTGTCACTAGCAATTGCGTCGGCGATTTCAAAGATTCTCCCCTCGATTACAACCACAGTCATACCTGTTACCTACCAGTAATAGCAGCAACGACATCAGCAACAACAACAAAACCGATACCAACATCAAACCAATGGCGGCCTTTAACCTGCTATTGGTCGAAGCGGCCGCAATGGACGAACCACCGCCAACTCCCGCATTGCCCCTCATCTCCGACTCCAAGCACAACCGCATCGTCATCTGGCGCGACGAGGTCGTGTCAGCATCCGCCTCATATGCCGCCGCCAGCAACTATTCCGCCCCGTCACTCATCACCACAACCACCGCGTCGTCTACATCCCTCTCGCCCTCAGAACTCGCCACCATGTCGCGAAGCTCACGGCTGTGGTACAAGGTGAAGACGCAGTTCACAGGCAAGCGCCGCAGCAGCGTGACAGCAGCCAATGCCGACGTGCCAGAATTCATGATGCCCCCGCGAAAGGGCGATGTCACGCGAACCGCCATGTACCAGAACTTGCGGTCGGGAGATACGGGCGACGACGAGGTGGTTCCAGGCCAAGAGAGCAATGGTCGCGGACGAGGTCTTTGGGAGAAGCAGAAGAGGCTGCTCAGGGCTTCCAAACTATTGAGCCAACACCATTAACCGATGGGGCGGATTTGCTCTGCAGGAGAAAGGGGGACAAAAAGTTCATCGACACAAAGTTTCAACCTACAAACAGAAGGCAGCCTCCACATTGACGACGCAAACGACTCCGAGATGACTCTCATCACACCCGTTCTATACCATCCATCTTCGAGATGGGACACTCATAATATAACGTTGGCATGTTTAATAGGTAATTACATGGGAAAGCGATCTATTTATACCACAAACCTCATACTGGTCACATCTAATCTCTCTCTTTTCCTTTTGTCTGTTTTTTTTTCCTTCCCTTGGAAGGGTGGAGGTTGCATTTTTTGTATCTTGTCCTACGTGGATGTTGCTTTATAGACGGCTTGTCTGTTTTTTAAGATTCCCACTAAAATACAATTCAAAAAACTTGAAAACACCATATTTTGCGTTTTGTTCTTTCTCTCGTGAGGTGCTGACTGAAACTTGAGAGCATCATACTGCAAATTTCTATGCCCTGAAAGCCTTCTTCCCTAACCACAACAAGGTTCTAACAGAATTTCTTTTTCGCCCCCCTCCTCTCAAGACGACTCCCCCCGAGGAGATACCTCGATGATCCCAACAAACCTTGACGTTTTTTCCTGTTTCGCCTTTTCGCCCTGACGTGACCTTGGAAGGGTGTGGGGTGACATGGAAAATTTCGTCTAGTTCCCGTTAAGCTTTTGCGCCTCCTTTCGCGGGGGGGAGGGGGAGGCATTCTTTATACTGTACGGCTACCAAGATGTTACAAGCGTGATGCTGTTGCGGTGCTCCCAGTGATGATGTAGCTTTGCGGTTGCGCGGAAAGCTTCGATGGGGATGATAGCACTGGGGGGGAACTTGGGGCTAGCGAAATTGGCGAGAGGAGAGATTGATACCAGTTAGGTAATAAACGGAGAAGCAAGAGAGTGAGGTCCAATCAAGCCATGCCGAGGTTGAGCAAAGCCCCAAGCTGGGCAGAGCTGTTGCGAGATAGGCACTCTCCTACTGGTGGGAGGTATTAATACCCAGATAGTCATCAAGGTAGCAAGTTCCCAAATTTTCTTGGGCCAAAGGCAACATATCACGTCTACATCTACTACAAAGCAAAGGCGACTTGGAGTTGGATTGGAATTTCTTTTTGCCATTTTTTCAAGGGGTTGCTGCTGTAGAAATCTTGAGGGCGGGGGGGAAATACACAGTTTCCTTTTTCCTCTCTCTGCGGGGCACACACACGAGTCCAACATACGAGATAAAACCACTGTGAAGAAGGGGTCGAGGGAAAAAGACGAAAACAAGCAAAGTGCGGGAAACAACGACATCATTGGGAGACAACATTTCCATAGCGATCCGCCAAAAACGGGACCAGATGTAAACTAGGTAGGTGGTAGTGTCAAAAAACAGAACAGGGGAACAGATACCGGGGCAGTTGGGTAGACGGGGGGTGGAGGAAAAAGAGGGCAACAGAAGCGTCCATCATTCAGCAGTCAACACCAAACAAGGTCCGTCAACAGGCAATGACGGACAAGCACCCTGCGCCACTCGCCTCTCCCATCCCTAAACCGAAAATCCGAAGTTCCATGACCACTCTCCCCATTAACCAGAGAAGCAACGCACTGCGTACCGGTGCTGCGTCGGCTAGGCCAGCCTCCAACATGATTCCATCTATCGCCATGTGTAGAGGAGGGCGAGAGCATTCAGATATAAAAAAAGACGAGAAAAATGACCCTCGGTTCTTATGCCGAGATTTGAGCGCAACGAGGAAGAAGGATTTAGGAAGCAGCCTCGGGCGCAGGCTCCTCAGCCTTGGGTTCTTCCTCGGCAGGCTTGGATGCTTCACCCTCGTCCTTCTTGGCCTCGCCGGCCTGCTCGGCCTCACCGCTGTCGGATGAAGTCCACAGGGTCAGGTTGTCACGCAGGAGCTGCATGATGAGAGTGCTATCGCGGTAAGACTCCTCGGAGAGAGAGTCGAGCTCGGCAATGGCATCATCGAAAGCCTGCTTGGCAAGGTGGCAAGCACGGTCGGGGGAGTTGAGGATCTCGTAGTAGAACACGGAGAAGTTCAGGGCGAGACCCAGGCGGATGGGGTGAGTGGGAGTGAGCTCGGTCTGGGCAACGTCGGTAGCGTTCTGCAGGGTATTGTCAGTCTCTGCCAGTTCCTAATCTGTGGCCATTCATCCCATGGTGCAGGCAGGCAAATGCATGCATCAACTTACCTTGTAGGCCTCGTGAGCAGCGGTGGCAGCGACCTTGCGCTTCTCGCCAGAGGCGAACTCGGCAAGGTAGCGGTGGTAGTCACCCTTCCTGTCAGAGCGATTTGCATTAGCTTCTGAAAATTTCGAAATATGCAAGCTGAAACGTGATTGGGCGAAAAATTTTTGAAACCCAAGGATCCGAGTGCAACGAGGAAAATGGGGGGAAAATCAACATACATCTTGTGGTAGAAGACCTTGGACTCGCCGGTGGCGGCGTTGGGGATGAGGCTAGCATCCAGGACGTTGAGAACATCCTCGCAGACCTTCTCGAGCTCGAGCTCGATCTTGCTGCGGTACTCCTTGATGGTGGCAACGTGCTTGTCAGAGCCCTTGGACTCCTCCTTCTGCTCGATGGAGGAGATGATGCGCCACGAGGCACGGCGGGTGCCGACAACGTTCTTGTAGGCGACGCTGAGGAGGTTGCGCTCGTCGACGCTGAGCTCACCGCCCAGCTGAGCGACCTCCTTCATGTAGGTAACCATCTCATCGTAACGCTCGGCCTGCTCGCAGAGGCGGGCCAGGAAGGTCTTGCTGTTGTTTGGGAAGCTCGGTCAGCCCGTTGCGTTCGAGCAGGCAAAAAAGGGGGGGAGGTGTTTGGATTCTCTCATCATGAGAGGTTAGTGGGGTCACGGGGCCAGCTGTTGGACAAACCTTTCACGCTGGATACGAAGTTAGCATTGCATTCAAAGTCAGGATGAGAGCAGAGAAAATGACGGGCGAGGGCGGGAGAGGATGGAATTTGCATGTGGTCTCTGGGCTCGTTCGCGCGTGTGCAAAGCCGCGCAGCTCGTGGCGGAGAGGCGGGCTGAGGGGTTGCGTGAACGAGGGGGGAGAGGAGAAGGCGGAAAGCGGCGGTCGGAGCAGCGACAGCAGCTATGCAAGAGTTGACGTACCTCGGTGGCCATGTTGACTGAGAGTCTGTGATGCTTGGAAGGAGAGAAGAGGCGTGCGGTTGCGGAGTCGTTGGTGGCAGAAAAAAGGATGATGCGGGTGTCTGAGGTGGGATGCGGTTGAGGATGGGGCGAGAAGAGTGTTTATATTTTGATTGTGGATTGAGATTTGAATTGGTTTTGGGGTTTGGGGGCTCCCTGGGGCGGAGCCTGGGAGCGCTGTGCTGGGCAAGTGCCCACTGCTAGGTGATGAGAACGCCAGCTTGCAGTGGAGTTGGCTCGCCTTTGGGCCTGCTAGGCCTAGCCAGCCGCCTGGCGCACCCCGCCCCTACGCGCTGCTGGCCCGACACAGCGCACTAAGGCAATCTCTAGCAGCGGTTGACTGCTGATTTGGCAGACGGTACTCAGGGGGTACTCAAGTGTACAACGGCTGCCTGCCTGGCTAGCAGGTACAGACCCCGTACCATGGATTGGCTGCTTTGTGCACATGCTGTACAAAGTACCCGGAGCTACCATGAGCAGAGCATCAGTACTCGTACCTCTAGCAACAGCTCCTCAACAGGTACGAGTACCTAGAGGTATGGGAACACACACAGCAAGCTCCATGCTGTCACTTCATCTTGACCCCCTCCTCACCCTATGCTCACTTTCTGCTGCACCACTGTAACAGTTACACACACAAAAGCACCGAATTTGTCATTGGAAATTGGCGCATTGATGCTGAGAAGCTCTCTTAATTACCTGTAGTGCCTTTAGTTTCTGATACCTTGTACGTGGCTGCTAGGAGGTACCTTTAAGGAGCATTGATGGCATTGCCCAAGGTCTCCGTAACCCGTAAGGGGCTTTGCTGTTATGTTTTCTTTTTCTTAGGTTCCATGTTCTCTCTTTCATCCGAGTTTGGTTTCCCATCACCCAGACGTGTACTCGTACTTCCAACGGCTCTCACGCCCGTGTACTGCCTTAGTACCCATCAAGCGGGTAGTGCACTTTAGCACCTTCACAAGCAATGTAGGACTAACATATGGAACATATCGTCACCAACGCTGTGGTTGAAATGCTGAGTTGGCCGGTGCCCTACCAATGGTCCCTGCTAGATATTCATAGAGCCGGCCAATTTGATTGAACCTGGACGCGGTACTCCGTACTTCACTGGGACTCTCCGAGCCACAGCCCTATTTGTTCTTCTTTCCCTGCTGCTGCCAAGAGGGGCGGGGCTTCTGTTCTTTTTTGGGCGGGAAAAAAAAAGGGTTACCGAGTGATCAGAGTCCCGCTTTACCATGAGACATTCATCAAAGGGCAAATTCTCACATCACCTTATTGGGCCCATCCAGCTGATTTGCTGCTGTCGGCGCTAAAGCTCTCGGTATCTTGCTTTGTCTGCCTTCTTTCACAAGCGGCCTCTGTTGTCTCTGATGCTGTCGTCCAACCAGTCCAACCAGCGCCTGGCTTCTAGCCTGCCGCAAAGGCGTCATAACGTGGCCAGGGGCTGCAAATTGGCTTATTAGAATTCAGCCAGCGTTGACTGTCGGTCAGTCATCGTTCCATCTGGGCTCGCGATCCACCCGCCCTCCACTCCGATAACAGAACGCTGGGCCTCGAGAGCGACGAGGAAAATTTCCGCCGCCTTGCACGGCCTACCACGCGGAGTACGCCGTATGGTCTGTTTTCCCTATTCTCTCCAGGAATGGAGTCGAGCCCACGAAACCCGCCCGCCTGGGGGGACTAGCAGGCAAAGTGGTCCGTCCCAGCAGATCCCGTTGCTAACAGCTGTCTAAACACACGGCGACTACGTGTTAGTGCGGCTTGTCTCCAGAAGCGCACGGAGGCTTTGCTCTTGTTCCCCGTCCACACAAAAGCAAGTGATGAAGACTGCAAGAATGCTGTTCGGCACACCCCGGCCGAAGCATGTGCTCCCTTCTCTGCTCCCAATCATTCATTCCCCGCCGGCCACGTCGGTCCAACGCTTGTCTCTGAGGCATCCACCTTGACGCGGTACGAGTACTCCTCAGGTATCAAGACATGAAGCAGCCGTTTGGTGATGTGATGCTCTGTTTGGGTGCTACTACTAAATGCCCGCATCTCACCTACATGCCCACGCTTCTGGCATACCCACGAATACCGGTATACCCATATCAAGACTCCCGTTCGTGATACATGCCTGGCTTTTACTCGTACTTGTTTTTTCCTTTTTTTACAGAGACGATGCGGCTCCAAGCATCCGAGCTCTCGTACTGGCAACCTAGTCGACTAGTGGCCCCTTTCTACACCAGCCGATCCGTCCCAAAGCACGGGAATGCATGCATGGCCTACTCCGTATCTCGCTTGTCTCCGTCCTCCCCGTGCCTTGCCTTGGACTGGCAAACCCGATTTCCAGCATTCTTCTTCACACTTCTGTGCAGGCCTTCAGGGATGAGCCCCGAGCGTGTTCTGCTGTTCACATGATGCCACAGCCTGCCCCCCCAAAGAGCCCCCCCTGACACTCTGCTCTCGTTGATGCTATTTGCCATGGACATGGGAGAGACTGGCAAATAACGCGTGCTGTGGCTGTGGTCAGCTCCCGTCCGTGACTCACTCGCTCCCCCTTTTCCCCTCCTCTCTTATCGCCATCGCGTGGCACAGCTGTCGCACAAGTCCATGCTGCGAGGTATTCTCTGCAGGCCAATAGCGTCACGACGGCCAATAGCATCACGACGGCCATCTAGCTGTTCGCCAGCCTGGCCATGCTCACGTCCAAGTTTGCAGCAAATCACCAGTCAAAGGCGCCACAAATGCCCCTCCCGGCACACGCCTTGCCCCCACCATTTCGGATTCGCCCAGAGCTGTCTTTGCGACTCCGTCCTTGGCGGTGCGATCTGATTAGAGTTGCAATCAAGCATCCTGGTTGCAAGAGGAGCCTGCCGTCCCGGCTCCAGGCGTCAACAAATTGCGGATGCCACTACTATAGATGGACTAATACGGTAGATATACTCGTATATATATATCAAGTCCTAGGGTAACTACCTGTATTGTATTGTATTGTATTGTATTGTATTTACTTTGAAATGTACAAGGACGGTCGAGGCACACATGGCATGATGCTCGTCATCATGGTGTCTGATACCCAGGCCGTGTCACATGGCAAAGCAGCATTTCTCTGCCGCCCTCCCTCCACTCAATGACGATCAACGTGGAAGCCTGCACGCTCGGCAAGGCAGTATCTGGAAGTGCCGATACCGCCTTTGCTCAAAAGAGAGAAGAGGGAAACGAAACAAGCATAGCCTGAGGAGCACAGCAGATTTCTCTACTCTCCACGTTTCTTCCATGCTAAGAATCCTTTACGTTCTACTTACTCGCAGTGTCTTGGTCCATGCTATTTGATCTGACTAGTAGAATTCGTGTTTCAACAAAATCAATAATGCGAAAATGGTATTCAGTATGAAATTATTTAACAATGTGCTCCTTTGAACTTCTTAACTAGGTAGGTGCAGTTTCACCATGTTTATGCTCGCTCCCCAAGTTTCATATACTATCCTGTACCTTTGCTTGCCTCTCATAATGGACATTGATATCCAACTCCCCTCTGATTACAACCAGCTCCTCATATATATTAGTTTGCTATTCATCAAACGCTCATGAATCGTTGCGAGACTTTATAAGTATTCGTCATGGGGCTGATACGGAGGCCGACCCCAGTTTGTAGGGTCGCCACCGGGAACACATAGTCCGAGCCTCCAGAAATAATCTCTGTGAGCAAAAAACAGCTGCCAGAGTTTGAACCTTGCCGGGAAGCTCATCCTCTCCGTGTACTCTTCCAAGGAGGCAGTCGTCCACCGGAAATGGAGAAGGCGATGGAGCAGATTTTCCACTGAGCTGTCGTCCTTGGCGCTGCAATTAGGATCTGCGTTGCCGATGCATAGTTGGACGTCTGTTTCGGATGGTGATAGGGCAGACTTGGAAATGAATATTTCGCCGCCGTGCGACTTGTAGCCAAACTCGCCTGGCGGAAGTAGGGGCACTGGGTCATCGGCGTGAGTAACTCGTCGATAGACTCGCTTTTCGAGGTCAATGAGTCCATCGAGGTCGAACACGTCGTCAACAAAACGGGCGAACCCAGCGTTGCCGACACGAGGCTCTCCAAACGTGGTAACCATCACGCCATCCCAGCCAAGCGACACTTTCAGTTCAAGTGCCGCAAGACAAGCCACGGCGCCTCCCAGGCTATGGCCTATGAGATGAATGGGGTGAGATGGATACTTGGCCCTGAGTGCCTTGAGTTCTGGCAGAACCGAGTCTCGGGCACTCTTCCAAGACTCGAGAAAGCCACTGTGCACGGTGCAATTTGTGCACTCATGACTGGGCTTTTCTGGCTCTTCTCCTCCATGATCGGGCGACGGATATGGTACGTATTTTTGCGGAACGGTGCTGAGATCAACAATAGTATTGGTGATGCTGTAGGTCCCACGGAACGCAACAACAATGGCGCCCTGCTTGTCATCTTCTACAGGTCCATCGTTTCGACGCTGCTGGTCCGCGCCGTGGTCGACGGCGATGAATCCACAATTGTCGCCGAAGAGAAAGCCTGTACTCCATGTGGAGGCCAAGGTCACGTTAGGGAATTCGTCGCATCGAGAGATACACTGGAACGGCTTGTGAATGCCCGTGGTGCCGAGGCAATATGAGACGTCAACGAGCCTTGCCAGTCGTTCGAGGGACGCGAACAGGGACACTGGGATGGTTGAAACAGCTGCTGGCTCTTTGGTGCCCAACGGTTCTTGTTGATTGATGTAAGCGGCCTCGACAAAGAAAGCAGCGGCGAGCTGTCCAAGTAGTAGGAGCCCGAGGCGGCCCGGAAATGCCCTCCCCATGGTCAAATTCGTTGGCATTGATCAGAGCATGGAGAAAGAAGATGGCATGCGCTGGCCGGATTGCCAGATGCCTGCAAGGATAGGTAGCGTCTCGTCTCAGCTCAACAAAACAAGTTGCCAATCGCGATGCTTTTCGGATCCTGCCTGACGTAAGGATGCAAGGGAGAAAGAGACGCAGAGTGGCAAATGAGAAGTGGTGTAACCGCCGGCGAGAATTGATGTGCACCAGTAGAATTCCCTTTATTCCACGATTCGCCGCTGCTCTTTGAAAGAAAGCGAATCAGCCCTGCAAAATCAGCGAGACATGCCTGACTTTGGTCTCATGAACCTGGTGGCAAGCTGGGCGAGATCACGAGGTGGGCATGCACAATTTGGCGGGGACCGGGCCAGGGCCAGTACAGTAGGAGTAGGTGAGTTTGCAGGCGGCACTTTATGTGCAGATGGGGCAAAATCTGGGGTCGCTGGGCCCTGTAGGGTTAGCTGGAAGAGCGCTGGAGACCTGCTAAAACGGAAATGGCGGCCACTCAGGTGGTAGAAAGGAAGGATTGAATGTTTAGAGCAACATGGCGAAAGGCATTCATCGATATTTAACTTAGTTAGTTTCTAGACTAGTAGTGATAGAGAGTATTGAAAAATTGGGTGCTTAGTATGCAGGTACGAGTAACATTCGAGAAGAGTTCTTGGGTAATCAAGGCACAGTCCGATAATTTGCAGTTTTTCGTTTGTCCACCGCTGCCACTAGAGGGCACTATTGAATGTCCGCGCGCTGACCGGACTCGGCATTTACATGTACTGACTCGGGTCAAAGGCTCACGACATTACTCCGTAATAGTATTTTCATAAATGTTTGTCAATATTCACCAATTAGTATCATGATACGGAGTACTGATCTATTGATAAATGATGTTTCATGGGTGGACAGGCAATAAGTAGCAATAGCAATTAATGGCCGCTCCAGCAGCCCCATTCTTCTCCTCAACTGTCTAGAAACCTAATGGAAGCGTCATATCGTCTCCGTCTAATATGTCCTGTATTCCTCCAATAGACTGATGCTTATCTATTAAACATTGATTCCATATTTTGACATGGTCATCTGCTAATGTTCCATCTCGACCTCTAGCTCACCCAATACTTGGCCAAAGTAGGATCTGTTACTGGGTCCAGCGCAGTGAATTTCCCATCGATATCGGTCGAATTGGTCGTGCAAGCGCCTGGCGGCGTAGAGCAAGACAAGGGAATTATCGCTGAGCCAGCTACCTCCCATGTGGCAGCGCTGTAATAATTGAATATTAGCACACTTCTAACAGGCATATGTCAACAAGACGAGGCTGATATGCGACATACCCATTGGCTTTGGGGCAGATCCTCTCAGTGATGGTCAACTGCCTCTGCGCGTTGTCCCAGATGAACTTGATGTCACTCTTCTCGCACGCGTACCTCGGCGTCAAGCCTGGAGGCGTGGTGGAAACAGAGCTAGAATTATAGTGGCAGTTGGTGGTGACGCTTGTCGTCTGGTCAACAAAGGTGAAGTTGTATGCGGTCAGAGTGGCCGCAGGACCGGTCTCGTTCGACTTGGCCGCAAAGTTCTTGATCTGGAACCCCGGAGGGAGATTGCAGTCGCTCTGGCTCTGGGCCTGGGCCAGAAGTTCTGGCGGAGGAGAGTAGGAGAGGGCGGACATGGTGGCCATGGCGGATGGCAGAGCGGCCAGTAGAGAGACGGATTGGAAACGCATCGTAACGAAATAATGTGTGGATTTAGCACGCCTTGTTATTCGCAAGTTGTACTACGGGTGGGAAGAAGGAAATAGGTAGATACGAAGAGGAAAGGAAGAGAGTACGATTTTAAGTACTACCACGGAGTAGATAGGTAGGTAGATTAGAAGGGAGGAAGGAGAAGCTACGGCAGTGGAAACCTTCAAATGCAACGTTGATGTTTGCTTGTATACCTGTACTGTACGGGCTTCCGAGGCATGACGTGGGAAGCAGCTCCATTTCAGCCCCTGGATCAACGCGGCCGAAAACACAGGCACAGCAAGGTTTGACAAAAACTGGGACGAAGAGGAGAAGAAGAAGTCGAGGGAGCGTCGATCCAATTGCCGTAGACGGCAGTTGGCAGCACAAGGGGCTCCATCAAGAGTCAGTTTGCCTTAGTCTTGATGTTTCTTTGACGCAGGGAGGCGCGTGCTGTGGCTGAAGCTGGGGCCACGGCCACGAATAACCGGCTGTCACTGTAATATACTGTATGGATGCTTGTCAATTCAATGCCAGCGGCAACATGGTGGCCCTTTCAAGCATGTGAGAGTTCTGCGATGAATGAAGATGGCTTGATTGGGCAGCGCGTGTCCCTGGCGTTTCAAAGTTTCAAGCCGTGACGCTCATGGGGCTGCTGTAGAAGATGTCACTTAGCATTATGCATTGACCACGTAGTTGAAAAGGGAAAAGGGAAGCGGTTGGTTGACAGAGCTCTGTACTACCTGCACTTTATACGAAGCACGCGCCGGAGAGAGTTGGACCCTACAAGGGAAGGCCTCGAGTCGCACTGAAAATACGACTGGGGACGTCATCTATATATCTAATCTGCCTTGTGCTGCAATAAATAATTCTTACGAGTATCCGTACGTGCTAAGCAAAAGTTGTCGTGCGCGGAGCGGAGTCGTAATCTGCACTCCGAACTTGGCCGTCTAATCGCTCAATACTACCGTTTTTAGACTTGGCAGTGTTGTCAGCCTGGTGCTCCGAAGCTGGAGACGCATTGCGTCTTGAGAAAGGAGAGATAGGTAGATAGACAGCGACTGGTTAATCAAACGCTGCTGCGTCAAAGGGGCGATCGGTTCGGAGCACAGAGCAGTTTAGTATTGAAGCTCGGCACCAGCTTTATAGTTCCGTATACCTGGGCGGCTACTAGGTAATAATCGCCATATGATTGCTGGTACATATGCCTCGCCGACGACGGCATTTAGGGAAAAGAAAGAGAAGAAAAATTACTGGAAAAGTATAAAAATAAAGCAAAACCCCAAGCAGCACCCCAGTTCTCCTCAATGCTCGATAGAAAACCCATTATCAGTATTGACTGCTGAATATTTCGTACATCGCAGCTCTCCAATTGACCAGCAATCAATTGCCTCTTTAGGATAAGCACCACATTTGCCAAAACAAAAGCCCAACGGGTGAGGTAATTATCCGCCTCCGAATTATGTAATTCTAAAGGCGGCCTGCAGCAAAACCTTACCAACCAGGCGTCGGCGTCGGAACTGGCACCCTCAACCATCTCAACATCCACCTACATATTAAAGCCCCAGCAGACCAAGTCATCGACAGCGTCCCTCGCGCATCTGCCTGACTTCGGAAGCTTCGCACGAGCAGTAGCAACGACCTCTCCCTTCGCCTCTCTCTAGTCTTTATCGCTTCGATAGCCCATCGTCGTCACAATGGCCACCGAACTTTGGTATGTTGCGTCAGCGCGTTGAACCCCCCCTAGCGTCGTCGTGGAGCTTCGGATTGCATCCTTTGGAGCTTTCGGCATCATCGCGACCTCCCGCATCTGCATCCCCTCCCGCGTCTTTGTGCCGTTTCCAGAGCCTAGAGCTGACTTGATGATTGTACAGCCCCGTCTACGCGGTCAGTAAACACCCACCGGTTTCCTACCCTACCCAGCGACGTCACCGGGAAATCTCCGCAGTGACAACGAAACAATCACAATCACATCTTCGAAATGCCGGTCCAAATCGCTAACACATCACACAGCCCTTCTTTGGTGCCATGGGCTGCACCTGCGCCATCGTCTTCACCTGCCTGGGTGCCTCATACGGCACTGCCAAGTCTGGTGTCGGTATCGCCGCCATGGGTGTCCTCCGCCCTGACCTCATCGTCAAGAGTCAGTCGCCCTTGTTATTCTTGACGCGCGCTATTCATTGCTGACCCCCTAGCTAGACATTGTCCCCGTTATTATGGCTGGTATCATTGGTATTTACGGCCTCGTCGTTTCCGTCCTCATCTCCGATGGCCTCAAGCAGGATCTTCCTCTGTACACCGGCTTCATTCAGTTTGGTGCTGGTCTCTCTGTCGGTCTTGCTGGTCTTGCTGCCGGATTCGCCATCGGTATTGTCGGTGATGCTGGTGTCCGAGGAACTGCTCAACAGCCCCGTCTCTTCGTTGGAATGATTCTGATTCTCATTTTTGCCGAAGTCTTGGGTATGCACATTTCCGATCTACACAATGGACTGAGTAACAACACGATTGCTAACCTAATTATCCAGGTCTGTACGGTCTCATTGTTGCCCTGTTGATGAACTCCAAGGCCAGCCAGGATGCTGTCTGCGCATAGAAGGACAAAGACAACGTGACTACCCCGAATAACTTGACAACTTTGCTTTTGTGGGAGTCGCCAAACCTGGTATGAAGTATGGGTTCTGGTCAGTGCTACAATGTGATAACTCAGGGTCAAACAATGGTGCTGGATGGTGCAACGTGTTGGGAAAGGAGAATCATGACCGCGCACGCAACGCAGGTCGCGTAATGGATCGGTAGGAGGGAGCTTTTATATATGTACACTAGTGACAGGATGCGTTTGCTCTTGATGTGATTTTCTCTTCATAGACGGTGAAGGTGAAGGGTCTAGTGTAAGCAGATGCTCAATTTTATCTGTCATTGTTTGTTTTCTTACAAGAAGCTCCTTGCGGAGCTTGGGTTCCTATCTGCCCATAATCACAAGGTGTGTGTGCCGATGTAACTCGCAGTCAATCAAGAGCCGCACCCGCCATTTTCATCATATGCCATTAATCAGTGATGCCATTAATTAGTGCTACTAGTAATATCTTTCCATCCATCCTTCTTAAAACTACATGATACAAACATCAAAGCTTGTAGACAATCCCTAATCCCTAATCCCAATCTGATCGTCTTGACCCATATATTAAAAAAAACATTCTCGATCAATTCTTTTCTCTTCCAGTCTTTCCCCTTTCCCCCTGAATAGAAAATAAGCAAGCCCCATTGTGTTTGTTTCCCTTTGTATTATTTCTATTACATGCTTTGCTGAGAAAAATCAGAAACTCCTCTCCTCTTTTTGCCAAGAAGAGAGATACACTTTAATATGTACGGGAGAAGCGGAGCTCGGTCACGAACAAATGTTTCTTAAATGACGTACTGCAGATTGCGTCAGTAAATTCTCAAAAGAGAACAGAGCGTGTAACAGGGAGAAGGGCTTACGGGAATGAAGAGATAGGGAACCTGTCGTTCATATTCGAGCCACGCTTCGCCGTATTTGGCGCGGCAGCGGGTGATGTCTCGCCACGCGCGGTGAGCAATCATGCATCCGAAGAAGACGGGGTAGAACCAGGGGAAGGGACTCCTGTTGGTGAGAAAGAAAAGCGTTAGCAAAGAAAACATTTATGTAGAGAATATCGTAGGTTGCTTACTCGAAGCCAGTGATCAGACCCCAGGAGACGGAGAACCAAAGATCAGAGGTGTAGTGGATCTTGCGAGCAAGACCATACCAGCCGTCGACAAGGATGGTGCCCTGAGGAGTCTTGATGGTCTTGGGGTTCTTGATGGTTTGCCATGGGACCTGAGGGAACGTCTTGCGCTTGATGAGGTTTCCCTTCTCCATGGCGCGGAAGCGGTTCTTCTGGCTGTTGCAGCTGTCCCACACCCAGTACCAGAAAAGGTAGGCACCGTACATGGCAACCAGCGCGTAGCGGTTCCAGCGGTAGGTGGCGGGATCGTGGTTAGCCAGGTAGAGAGTGCAGTGGCAGTAAGACAGAGGAACACCGGCAAGGTTCCAGAAGATGAGCATGAAGCCCCATTTCTCATAGTACATGTCCCTACTTTCGGTTAATTCAATACCCTAAGTGAGATGAAAGGACACTATTCTTACCAAGTAGTAATGATGAGCTCCTCGCCCTTGGCGCAAGCGTTGGCATAGAGGTAGTGTGCCATAACGAGGAACATGACCTCGCCAGAAACGTAGCCGTACTGCTCATACTGACGCGCGGCGGCACCGAGACTCAAAATAAGAAGGAAGTACCAGGGCATGCGAACCTCGAAGAACATCTTGAAATCAAGGATGCCAAACATACGAGGGTTCAGCTCAGCGCCCATGAAGAAATCGTAGATGGGGTAGCCGGTCATGCGGTGCTGCTTGCCCCTCCACAGAGCGGAGAAGTAAGCGATGAAGCTGACGATGAAGCCGCTGCAAATGGCCACAGACAGCAGAGGGCCAAACTCGTCGAGGGCCGTGTAGAGCGGCCAGATGCCGGAGAAATGCAGGGCACCAAGGACGGCGAACGTGGTGTACAAGCTGACATAGGCGTTGCAAAAGTAGTCGAGCTGCTTGCCGCCCTCGTGGGGAAGAGGCTTGCCCTTGCCCCAGACGCCGGGAAGAAGACAGTAGCATGCACCCTCGAAGATGAGGTAACTCCAGTACCAAATCCACGCCTTTGAGTGGGGGAATGCACCGGTCCAGACGAGGTCGACCAGGTGAGTTCCAAACTCAGCCCAGCTCTGGCCAGGAGTGCGGTAGGGGAACTTGCCACCATAGTACGTGGCACCAACCCACATGTACCACATGAGGACTGGGAAGAAGAGCATCATAAATCCGGTGCCTATCGAGCCACCGAATTCAAACTCGCCCGAGTAGTCGACCTTGGGGTCCTGACCGGGCCTCCAACCGTCCACCACATGGCTTTCCGCGGAAGTTCCGTTCGCACCCTTTCCGTTTGGCACAGCGCCTGACGAGCCGTTGGCGTATCCGTTGCTATGTCCATTGGCATGGCCGTTGGCATTGCCGTTGGTATGGCCATTTGCGTGACCGTTGGCAGCGCCATTGATTGGCTTAACGTCGTCTTCATCCAAGTTCTCGATGAACTTGGCGGTTCGACGGCGGGTGATGCGTTCGTGAGGGGCGGCGGGCTCGGCAGAGTCTTCCACGACGGAGGCTTCGGGAGTCTGTGAAGATTGGCGAGCGCGCGAAGACTTCTTCTTTGGTGTTTCAACCAGGCCTTCGAAGAGCTCCTTCTTTCTGAGCGGGGATCAGCATATGCACTCAGAGGGCTACGCGACGCGGGTTCATTGCGATGTGCAATCACAAGGTGATCCGGGCACCCGAATAACCAGGCATCTCGACTCGGTTCCAATCTCGCATCTCAGGGGCGGACAGCTATTGCAACACTTACTTTGGAGTCTGCCGCAGCGAATATCGGGTCGCCATGGTGACGAGCTGCCCTTGTGTCGAGATTCTAGCTAAGTAGGGTGTCGATGGAAGAATTGCTTGCGCAGCTCTAGAGCAGATGGCTGGTTACTCAAGCCCGCTGATTACTTCAAGCCACGAAAACGGGCAAAGCTTCCAGATCTGAGGAGTGGGAGACAAGACAAGAATCAGAAAAGTGTGCTGCGTCGCGCACCGCGTTGAAGAAGCCAGAGATGGGAACTTTTTGGAATCGTGATGTAACGCTATTGGCTCGCTGGGATTCAGGGGTAGATGTAACTCGGCAGCCAAAACAACGCGTGCCGGTACCTGGTTCCTTGCCGCTTAATTAGCCCCAGTGCAAATACGCGGGATTCTCATTAGGCCGTCAAGTTTAAGTGGCCGGGACGAGGTATCGGACAAAATTTATGGATCTCCAACTCGGTCCATTTAGCGCCTTTACTTGCCAGATCTCCGCCGTCATGCGCCCGTATTCGTATTGGCCCTTGGTCGTACTCTTGGTCGGAATACGAAGTGTCAGACAATTGGTGCAGAGGTGATATTACGGCGGCTCAATACGCGTATGACGGAGGGAGGGGGTTGAAGCTGTTGCAGTGAGACTGTGTCAAGCGACACTATCAGGTAATAAGTTGCACATCACTGCGGACTCAGCGCCAGAAACGCAGAGCTATTTATAATAACAATAGGGAAAATAGGGCAGCAGAACAAAGAGCCTCGGCTCGGGGTTGTGTTTTTGGTTGTGCGATCTTCATGCTCATCCTTTGGTCCACAGATGCCAATCTGAGCGAGGGTCTTAACAAGGCCCTCGGCGACATCAGAGAATTAGCTACGCAGATTATATGCTACTTCGAAGATTTGGAAGATGTGCCTGATGAACCAGAGCCAAGGTTCCCCCTAGAGCTAGATCTTCAAATCTTCTACTTCATGAGAATAGAGATGTAGTATGATATCATGTATAGGTAAACGAAGCTAGGCTTACAAGATCAATGACAGAGATTTTATGGGCATTCACCAATCATAATAGATTTATTATCGAGCTTGACCAGCTGTATTTAGGACCGCAGATACTATGTATTCTGGCTCAAAAGCTGTGGCATAACAGTGCCGTATACCCGAGTTTGTTTCCTTATCGTCTTACAACAGCCGAAGAAAAGATATTAGAGTAACAAACTCAACGCTAGTGCAAGAGCCTCTGTCTCACTGTGTAATTGAGAGGCCAATCGGCCAAGGACAGGTTGTTTACTCATTCTTTCAATGTCAAGTTGGCAATGTTATTTTTCTCGAGGGAGGTGAAAGGCTCCGGGTTCGCTGCAAGGCCGGTATTAGTCGCGGGGCTTTTTGCTCGCAACTTTGCACCAGGTCTGGAAAAAAGATCACCCACAGGAATAGCACACAATCATGACTGGTCATTGCAGCTCACCGCATCGATAATTTTGCAGAATGCCTTCAATGCCAGGCATCTGCTGCTTGTAGCCGTGGAATGCCGCAGTACATGTACATATGAATAGTAAGCCCAGCTTGAACGGTAAATTGGTGGGCCATGGTAACATCAGCCTTGTTCCTGGGACCTGTCAATGCACAGAAGATACCACATCTACAGCCCATTGCATAGCCCAGCCACGACAGTATCTAAATCTCTTGTGAAACCAGAGTTAATATCTGCATCTACCTATCGGGGCCATGCTTTTCAAACCTTGTGCCGTCCTAATGTAGGTACCTGATATTTTGGGTTCAAGGTTCGTATTCCCCCTCTCAGCCTCTCAGCCTTGGAACTTTGTTAATAAGCATCTCGGACCGTGTGATTCGAATCCTCCGTGAACCCCAATAAGAGAAGCGCTACAGACACCGGGCAGAAGGAGATGATTGTAAAATCTATATGGTCTCCTGGTCAATTGCTCGATCCGGTATATAAATGTTACCTAAAATGCTGACTCACTCTTACTCTTATATGTTCTGGTCGGATTCAACGGTTACTAGACGAGCATAATGTATTCGCTTATATGTACATGTGCGCTTATTGCTTAGCCACTCTATCACATATAACATTGAGCAGTCAAATTTGCCACCACAGCAGCAGCCATGACGCTCCCTGATTATTAGACTTTGTGCATACATAATGTAGCACCTAGGTATAAGAATATAGTCATCAATACCTTGTTGGTTTAGGAGGTGGTAATTGAATCAGACTTTTGGGACGTTGCAGGGTGGGCATTGCCACCTTAATAGGTATGGAGAGCCTTCTATGGAGAGGTGTCTACCGCATTCCAGGCCGCCTACCTAGGTGGTAATGAAAGCAGTTGATGCACATCTATCTACATGTACTCTGACAAGCCTGATACTGGCTAGCCATTTGTTCTCTTCAGAATACCGCTCCACCTAAAAAATTGAAAATTAAAATTTGTAATGTATAACCATCGCGGTATGCGATTACAGCGGGATAGAGGACTATGCACATGGAGCCCGTTCTGTACATAATATCGTGCCATATTATTCAGGTTGTATGGACGCAACCATCCCATGCCTTAGTAACAACCAGGTGCTACCATCTGCCATGTGGCGCGTGCATCTCCCCTGGCGGTGCTGAAGATACCGCTAACGTGCCTTAATCGATAACGCTCCAGGCCCCTGCCACCATCTTAATCCAAGGAGGTGGTCATTCGGTCATTATCGTCACCAGCGCCAAAGTTTGAGCTTGCCTCAACCATTCTCTTCCCCACGTGAATCGGCCGCTGTTGTTCGTGGGATTGGTAATTGTTTCTTCGTCTGCGGCATTCAATCTCGACGCCATCACATGCCACAAGATATTTGTCTGCTCTGCTATCGTTGTGTTTCTGCGAGGCTGAGCGCCTTGACCGTCCCTCCCTTTTCCGCCTCGGCCACTGCGGCAGCTACAACGGCGCGTGCAAAACCTCCAACCACACCCGACAACCATCATCCCACCGTCTGTCTGGTTGCGTGACAGGATTGCAATTTGGCTTTGGAATTTCCCTTGATTTTTTTTCTTTTTGCACAGTGGCTTCAGCGTTCGATGATGACCCTCTGGTAGCAAAACCACAGAGCCACATATACATCCACCGTCCCTCCAGCCTTCTACCTTCCACCTCACATACGATCTTAACTTACATCTCCCAACATCGAGCTGTTGGGAAATGACCATGGCTCCCGAACGTCTAGACGAGTCCGTCTCGCCAATGACGAGAACCCCCGACGCTCCCTCCCCAGCAAACGCAGAATCACAGCCCCAATTTCAGCCGCCGAAATCGAATGATGGCCTGCTGTCCGTGTCCCCCAATACATCGGAGCCGAGGCTGAGCGAAAGTTCCTCCCCTAAAGCAGCCAGCGACTACTGGAATGGCGGAATGAGCCATCCTGATCCCTCACCATTAGCTGCTGGGGAGTCGAAATCAAGTTCTCAAGAACTACCGGCGCCGGAACAACAAGACATACCAACCGGGCTTGATTCTAGTACCCAAGAGACTTTGCAGGTAGATGGGGGACGTACGATCCATTTTGCTGAACCCGAATTCCAGCCTCCAGGATCGGTGCCCTTAGAAGAGCCTGATACCCCAACCCGGTCTCGAACAAGCCTCATGTCCAAGATCAAAGCTCTCACAGCCAATAACGGCTCTCAGACTCCAAAATCGGTGAATACACCGACGTTTCCGTCCGAATTCGGTACACAGTCGTTCCCCAACTCTCCCACAGCCTCTAGAGTGACGACCCGAGTTCCAGAAGCTCTCAACGAAGAGCAATCCGACGCCGATGCCGATGTCGAGACCGCAGATGAGGCCGCTATACCTGATGCTGTCAAGAAAAACAAACGAAAGAGCCGGCGCTTCAAGAAAGGCTCCATATCCAACTTTCCAAACCCAAGCCGGTTTCCAAGCGACATAGATCCATTCACATTAAGCACATATGATCGCCTACTGAGGCGCCGAGCAAGCATGCCCGATACGACACAGCCTGATCATGCTGTGTCTGATGGGGAGATTCGTGAGAGACGAAAGCCCTTTAGAAGAGGCTATTCTTGGGTGAACAACACAATGAGCCCTCCGGATGAAGATGTAGAGGACTTGGAAAACTCTACCGCTGTCGGGCGACGCAACGGGCACACACGCCGCATCACTGTCTTTGGTGGTGGTGGAATGTCTGATGGAGACGCGTTGACCCCTAGGAAGCATTTCTTCACCTCGGAGCGAGCCGAACGAGCCTCTAGCTATGGCGCCCAGAAATGGAAGCAGGTCAAAAGTACACTGAAGCTGCTCCGACAAAAGAAGGAGGATCGTTTTGATTACTACAAATCTGCGGAACTAATGGCTGAGTTGAGAGCTGGCGCCCCTGCTGTTCTGATGCTTGCTAGTATGATTCAGCGAGACGAACACGGGAACAAGAGAATACCTGTCCTTCTGGAACAGCTGAAGCTCAAGATTAAGGACAGCTCGCCCATGCCGGATGATGATAAAGAGCGCCACTGGATATTCACAATCGAGTTGGAGTACGGAAGCGGCCCGAGCAGGATGAACTGGCTGGTCATCAGAACTATCCGGGATATCTATAACCTACATTTCCGGTACAAGTTTGCCCTGAACAACGACAAATACATGCTCGGGAAAGATCTCGGCGGCCGTCCCAAGCAGCCCAAGTTCCCCTATTCAGCCTTCCCTTACCTTCGTGGTGCTCGCAACAAGGGAGACGAGAGTGAGGACGATGAGCAGGCTGACCAGGCTAGTGGTCGTGGTGAGGAGACTGCTGCTGAGATGACAGCTGCCGAAGATATCGGCGAAGGACCGCATCAACATTCGAGAAAGAAGTCTCGGGGCAATTTTCTCGGCATGCGGCGAAGATCCACCGGCTTCACCGATGCAGGTGAAATGTCCATGGCCGAGAATGCTGGCCTCGATAAAGAGACCCGTAGACAGCGCTACGTGGAGAAGCAAAGGCGTATCCTGGAGAAATATCTCTCTGAGATGATTCGATGGCTAATGTTCAGGGCTGACAGCAACCGCCTTTGCCGATTCCTTGAGTTATCGGCTCTGGGCGTTCGCCTGGCTGCCGAAGGAAGCTATCATGGGAAAGAGGGGTACCTCCATCTCCAAATGTCCAAGGGCCTTGATTTCCGTCGTGTTCTGACCCCGGCAAAAGTCATTGCTCGACACAGCCGTAAATGGTTCCTCGTCAGGCAGAGTTACATTGTGTGTGTGGAATCGCCAGAGAACATGAACATTTATGACGTTTATCTTGTCGACACCAAGTTTAGCATCGTGTCTAAGAGAAAGGCGCTGAAAAATATCGGCTCCAAGAAGAAGAAGACCGAAGACGAAATGAATATGGAGCCATCTCCCGAGAAACATCACACGCTGAAAATGCGCACATCGGACCGTAAAATACGGCTCTTCTCGCGTTACCAATCGGTGTTGCGGCAGTTTGAGGACTCCATCAACGAAATGCTGAAGCAGACTATTTGGTTCCAGAAGAAGCGGTTTGACAGCTTTGCACCTGTTCGGTCTGGTGTGTTTGCCCAGTGGCTGGTCGATGGGCGGGATTACATGTGGAATGTGTCGAGAGCCATCAATATGGCACGGGACGTCATCTACATTCATGACTGGTGGCTGAGTCCCGAGCTGTATATGCGCCGGCCTGCGTGTATCAGCCAGAAATGGCGACTGGATCGACTACTCCAGAAGAAAGCAAGAGAAGGCGTCAAGATCTTTGTGATTATCTATCGAAATGTCGAGGCGGCCGTCCCCATTGACTCTGAATACACCAAATTCTCGCTCCTCAATCTTCATCCAAACATCTTCGTTCAGCGATCCCCAAACCAGTTCAAGAAAAACCAGTTCTTCTTTGCGCACCACGAAAAGATCTGCATTGTCGATCACGACGTGGCATTCTTGGGTGGTATAGATCTTTGCTTTGGCCGTTGGGACAGCCCACAGCACCCTATAGTGGATGACAAGCCGACGGGATTCGAGCCATCTGGGATGCCCAAGGACTCTGAACACGTACAACTGTTCCCCGGAAAGGATTATTCGAACCCAAGAGTCCAGGACTTTTTCAACCTACACGAGCCGTACGAGGAAATGTACGACCGGGGCAAGGTTCCCAGGATGCCATGGCACGACATTTCCATGCAAGTGGTCGGACAGCCCGCTCGAGACTTGACTCGCCATTTCGTCCAGCGATGGAACTACCTCCGTCGAGGGCGAAAGCCAACCAGGCCGTTGCCATTCCTGTTGCCACCACCCGACGCGAAATTCGAGGATCTCGAGGCTCTGGGTTTGACAGGCACTTGCGAAGTACAAATGCTGCGGTCTGCGTCAAATTGGTCATTGGGTACCGATGACACTGAGCATAGTATCCAAACCGCCTACGTCCACATGATTGAAGAATCGGAACATTTTGTTTATATTGAAAACCAGTTCTTCATTACGAGCACAGAGGCGTATGGGGCCAAGATCGTCAACCGCATCGGAGATGCCCTGGTTGACCGCATCATTCGCGCTCATAGAAATGGCGAAGACTGGCGAGCGGTCATCATCATACCTCTCATGCCAGGCTTTCAGAACACTGTTGATGAGCAAGAAGGCACTAGCGTCCGATTGATTGTCATGTGCCAATATCGCAGCATCTGTCGAGGAGAGCACTCCATCTTCGGACGCCTCCGTGCTGCGGGTATCGAGCCCGAGGACTACATAAACTTCTACTCGCTCCGTCAGTGGGGAGTGATGGGGAATGAAGCTCTTGTAACTGAGCAGCTCTATATTCATGCCAAAGCTATCATCGTGGACGACAGAGTTGCGTTGATTGGCTCTGCGAATATCAACGAACGGTCCTTGCTTGGTAGCAGAGACTCGGAAGTTGCGGCCATAGTCCGTGACAACGACATGTTGTGGTCCAAAATGGCCGGCAAGCCTTACAAAGTTGGTCGATTTGCCCACACTCTTCGGATGAGGTTAATGAGAGAGCATCTTGGCTTGGATGTGGATGAAATCCTAGAGCAAGAGCGAGAAGCAGAGGAAATGAACGAGACCAACTTCGAGCAGGAGATGGATGCTATATACGAAGAGGGCACAACGCCTGTCGGCGAAATGTCCAGCCCCAAGGCTCCGTCACTGCCTATTAATAATCTTCGTTTGCCCAGCTTCAACCACGATCTTGATCTTGCGACAGTGGAGGCCACCCAAGACCTGGACTCCTCTTCCTTGAAAGGAAAAGAGGCTGAGATCGACCCTCGTGTCACTGACAAGGACCACCAGCTGGATTTGTCAGGGTTCGGCCCAGACCACTGGAAGTCGGCAGAAAAGTCGGGCGCGGATGAAGGTCGAGATTCTGTTCTGGTTGATGGTCGTGAGGTTCTCTTACACGATGGGAAGCGGTCTACGGAGACACACCAAGCCCCTCTGTCTCCTACTTCGCGCCGCCACCACACTGCACACCAGGATCTCAACGATAAGCCTGGCACCTCATCCGCACCTCTTCCCCCAGCTAGCAGGAACGGAGCGGAGAGCCTGGCTACAGGTGCGCCAGCGGTGCCATTGCCAGTCCTTGATGACACAAACATCGGTGGCCCTCCTTCGCATCTTGATCCCAAGACAGGCCGTCAAACGAACGAGCCATTCCATCCGATGGCCGCAGATATTCTGCCTGCTCTCATTGACAAAGACTGTATGCAAGATCCATTGGATCCCACCTTTATGGACGAAATCTGGAGTCGGTCTGCGCGCAACAATACAGTGCTCTACCGCAGGGTTTTCCGCTGCATGCCTGATTCCAAAGTTGGCACTTGGGCTGAGTACCGTGAGTATATGGATTACAACGTAAAGTTCCTCGCCAGCATGGAGGGGAAGCCTGCCGGAGACGAAACTGAGCTTCGCCGTGAGGCAAGCCGGCAGCGCACCCCTGTTGAAGATGCAGCTGTAAAGCAGGGCGACCATCCCAAGATTCAGCTGCCCGAGGATAATGGTGACGATGAAAACGAGAAGCCTGCTTCTCGTGGCAGCAGTGGAGAGGAGCTGGCCCTCCGCCCTCCCACCACCGATGGAGCAACTGACAATCAGGGCTCGCTAGAACCACCCTCGCCTGTTTATTCACCGGGAGAAGTACCGTTCCCTGCCATGGATACTTCTCCCTCGAAATCAGTCTCACGAAGCAAAAGCAGAGACCGTAGACCGACTTTCTCAAACATCGAGAAGCCGTCATCCAGGGACACTAATGCTGCTCCTCCTCTGACGCCAGCTGCTAGTGCACCAGTCAAGCGTCGTCGCCGGGCTACCACTAAGGGGAGCCGTCGTGGAGGCTTGATTGAAGAGATGCCAACGCGTGCCGAGGCTGAACAGCTTTTGGAGATGGTTCAAGGAAATTTGGTTGAATTTCCATACGATTGGCTGCTTACAGAGGAGCACAATGGGAACTGGGGTTATCAGGTCGATGGAGTGGCTCCCATTACCATTTAGTAAGTGACATGCATCAACAGATCCATCCTGCAAGAGGCTGAAGCTAACCACATTCCAGTAATTAATCCATTTTCTCCATCTTTCTTTTTCTGTTTTGCTTCCTGGGTCGGTATAGCGAGTCTTGATGGAGTGGATCGTTCTCATGTATTTTCAGCGGGATAGAGAAGTCATTGCATCCTATGGTGAACATCGATTATCGTGGAAAAGGAAAGTTGGAAGCCATTCAGTCCCAGCGTCGCGATCATATGTTCATCCTAGATCTCCTTGGCCTGTCAAAGGCTCATTTCAATTTCGTTTCCCCCACGTATTCCTGTGGGCTCATATATAATAATACACAAAACACTTATAATATATGTCTAGCACTATTTTTACACACATGCCATGCTGCACGTCTATTGATCCCGATTATTCACGCTGATTACACTTTTTCACTCACCCAGATGGCACCCCGGCACCCAGCCCTTATTACGTTTGTCAATAGCCAATGAGGCTCCGCCTTTCTGGCATCGTTTTCCACCGCATGGTCCAGGTGCTCCAACTCCTCGTCTCGTATCCTACGTAGGGTGTCCACTAGCTGCTTGATCTCGCCGCTGACATCGTAACCTTGCGCCTCCCACTCAGCAATCATCTCCAAGATGGAGCGGATCTGCTCGTTGTAGTGATTACCGATTTCGGTCTCGACAGCCTCGGTGCAGGCCATGGCGGCCTCGCGGCCCATGATGGCGGTGGACCAACCCAAGCCACTGGCGAGGACAGACCAGAGCGGGTAGAGAGCCGTGGGCCGGACGCGGTGCTTGTGGATGAGGTTGTTGAAGGTCGAGAAATGAGCAGCCTCTTGGTCGTACATGTGAGCCATCAGGGGGCGGAGGTGAGGGTGCTTGCGGACGATGAGGGGGCTCTGAGCGGAGTAGATGAGAGTCGCGGCGAGTTCACCGGCCTGGTTGACTCGGAGCTGGAGCACAGATGATGCCCTGGTTAGCTGGGTGTTTTGCTGCTACGGAGGACCTGCTTGCTGGTGAGAGAACTCTTACAGCGGAGGAGAGATAGTCGCGCTGCTCTTGGGTAAGTGGCTTGAGCTTCTTTGCAGAGTCGGAGCTTGAACTCTCGGTAGTTGGCGATGTAGACGCTCGGAGGACGGCGCTGGTGGAGAGAGGACGAGATGCAGAAGGTATTAGGCGGCTGCAGAAGCTGCTGGCCGGTCTAGCCAGGCGAATTGATGCCATTGTAACAAGAAACAGCCAGAAAAATATTTAAAAAATATGTGTCTTGGTGTTTTCAGCTGTCTAGACTCCTCGATGGCATCGCAATCACAGCGGGTATTATCGCGGCATCATGGACTTTTCGAACTCGGACCATGCAAGCATGATGCCGAGCTGCTGCCACGGGGCCTGCATGCGGCAAGGCTGCCGATTGGCCAGTTGCCCAGTTGCCCGGACAAATGCTTTTCCGCGTTGAGCCGCTGTCGCGTTAATTGCCAGGCGAAGCGCAATAGCGAGTAGCTTTAGTGCTGGACAGTGGAAAGGCTGGCTGCGAGTGCTGATTCTCTCTCTTTCTCTCCCTCTCTCCCTCCTTCGCTCTGCAGTCGCCCATTTGCTGTGCGTATCAAGTGCCTCCGAGGCCCATTTTCAACGACACGCGGGAATTGAATTGGCACCATCTTCCTCTTTTTCTCGCTCTATTCCTTTCTCCATCCGGGTGCCAGATCAAGCCACCGGCTCGGGACTGAAGCGCCGTCGCGTTTGCCCTCCAACACTGCGACGTCGTCGGACTTTTCTCGCCACCGCTCTTCCCCCCGAGAAGCATCTCTAGGCCATTGACGACAGGGGCCACGGCCGATTTTCATCATGGCTGATATCGACGACGAGCTCCTTGCTCTTGCGGGCGGTGACTCGGATGAGGAGGGATCTGTGAGCGCGAGCAGAGAGGCGTCGGCGTCGCCGCCACCAGCCTCAGACGATGAGATGCCCAATTCACCCGAGACCAAGTCGAAACGACGATCAAAGCAGGATGAGTCGGAAGATGAGGGCGAGGCGTAAGTGAACAGTCCCCACCTCTTATTGTCCTGCTAGGCAGCTGGGAGTCATTTGGAGAACAATAGTAGTCCTGGCTACTCAGTTGCTATTCACATTGGCAATGAGCCCCTTGCTGCAGTCATCGGATAGTTATTAACGTGCAACTCTTTCATCTCTTTTCTCTCCAGATCCGACGCCCCTTCACACAACTCCTTAGAATCAGCTTCGATGGACGAGTCCGACTCTGATACAGAGCCTGCGCACGGCGCGAGCCGTTCTACCACTGCTCCGGGTGCCAACGATGACGACAAGTATCCTGTCGATGGCATGTTCATGAGCGAAGCCGAAAAGGCCGAGATCATGGCCATGCGAGAAGTAGAGCGCGAGCAGATTATTGCGGATCGAATCTCTGAGATAGAACGTCAGCGACAGAACCGCCTTCTGCGACAAATGGTCAACAACGTGGAGATTGAGGAGCGCAAGCAGGTTAAGAAGAAGCGTAGCGCCGACACCGAGCTCGAGGATGGCGCACGCAGAGCATCGAGGCCGAAAACAGGCAAGGGCAATGAATCGGCGATTGATTCCCTTCGCAGGGCGCGCGCTGAAAAGCAAAGACGGCAGGAGGACCGAGAAAGGCGGAGAGATGGCATGTCGCCGCATGGCCGCGAATCGAGAGAGCCTGAGGAGAGCGACGATGAGTTTGGACAGACTCGCAATCGCTCACCAGAGAAGGCTGTCGCTAGGGAGCAGCCGCCACCAGAGCTTCGCGATTTCGACCGAGTCCGCCTTGGTCGCAACGAGTTTGCGCAGGTGTGCTCTACTCCTGGCTTCGAATCGGCCATTACTGGGTGCTATATTCGCATCGCTCTGGGGGCCCACCCTGAGACAGGCATCGAGCAATACCGCATGGCCTTGATTAAAGGTAAAGTTGCATAGTCCTGATGCTTTCTGTTTACTCCAAGTGCTAACTATGCCGTGTAGGATTTACAACTGGCAGACCATACGCTCTCAACGGCCCGCAAGGCTCCTTTGTAACGGACCAATACGTCAAGGCTACCCATGGCAAGGCCATAAAAGAGTTTCCGTTTATTGCGGCGTCCGGTGGCCAATTTACAGAGGTATGATCTATTTAGCTTATCCCCTCTCCTCATGTATATAGAACGGTGCTGATAGTCTCGACTTACAGAATGAGCTGAATCGCTACAAAGTGACGTGCCACAATGACGGGGTCACATTGCCTACGAAAGATTATCTCGTGGAAAAGATTGATGACATCAATGGCCTGATTAACCACAAGTGGACGAACGAGGAGATCAAGGCCAGGCTGACAAAGCGTAACGAGCTTCGTAAACGATTTGATCCACAGGAGCGCCAGCGCCTTGCCAATCTCGCCGAGGAAGCTGCCCAGCGAGGCGACGACCAGAGAGCCGAGGAGCTCCAGGAAGAGCTTGAGAAGCTCGGCAGGGAGCGCCTCGCCTTTAAAACAAGCTTGGGCCCGTCCAAAAACCCAGAAGCCACCAAGGCCTCGTCAGAACAAGATAGACTGGCGGAGCGTAACCGAGAGAATCGTCGACTGAATCAAGAAGCAGTCCGAAAGGCTCAGCTGAAAGAAAAGGCCAAGTCGCGAGAGATCGAGATGGCTCTCAAGCGTGGTGAAGTTATTTCCGAAGACTACTCGCGACGACTTCGAACAAAGGCCAAGTTTGTGCACGACATCAACGAAAAGGTTGGCGAGAAGCCAGAGGCTCCCAAGGACAGCACGAGCACAGCGACCAACGGGACTAAGGGCCCTTCATCATCCCAAATTCTGCCGCACCTGGCCAAGCTACAGGAGAAGCACTATTCCGAGACCAAAGGCCTGCCGACGATCCACAAGCCCATCATGGATGATGATGTTATTGGGGCGCTGGATCTGGAGATTGACGTAGAAATTTGAGCCACGCTCGCTTAAGCCGCCAGGCTACTTGATTCATGATTTAATCCACTCTTCATTCTACTTTTAATTTTACTGGTATTGCTCCTTTTATTTGATGAGGTGTCGATAAAAAAAAGAAAAGGAGAAGCGGGTAGTGGAAAAGAGCGGCAGGCATATTTGGAGTTGGACGGAATGGAATGGAATGGATTTTCAATTTCTTTTTTTGCCCCACGATTGCAAGTTTCTCATTTACTGCCAAGTGAGAGGACGTGAGTGAGGGACGGAGCGTTTATCACGAGTGAAGTTCTCATTCGAAGGACAAGCGGAGGTGCATTGCATATATAGACAAGAACAATGTAGATGGTATATTCTTAACTCTGAATGACTTGTGAAATGTGTGCTGTTCCGTTATGCCCTGCATTGTCTATGTGTTTGATATGAGTTTGCAGTCTAATGTTCATTAAGGATCTGAACCAAAAACAAGAGAGAGAAATAAGGAGAGATGTAACTCGTGGATGACCGCAACCCAACCAAATCCGCTTAACAAGAAAGGAGAGAAAACCAAAAAACCAAAAAAAAGAAGACAGGATCTCTGACCCGCATTTAACCCTGAAAGTTCTTGAAAAAGCCAACGTCAAACTTGTCCACCCTGCCCTGGAGCCTCCTATACCAGAAGAAGCTGGTGGCAAAGACGTTGATGAAGAGGATGCCGCAGGTGGTGCCGAGGCCGGAGGTCAGCGAGCCGAGGACGACGCTGAGGTTGGGGCGGCGGGTGACGGCGGAGGAAGTCGGTTTGCCGTCGAGGTCGTCTTCGACGCGGGAGCAGACCTGGAGGAAGAGCTTTGGGTCGTCGGTGATGACGCCGTCGATGAGGACCGGGGAGGAGGTGGGAGTGGAGGTGAGCTTGGGGTCTTCTGAGAGGGAAGAAGACGAGGATGAGGCGGAGGGGAGAGAAGGAGTGGCGGAGATGTTTCTGCGGATGCACCACTCCATCCACTTTGGGCTGTTGACGGTCCACGCGAAGACGGGGCGGGCGGCGGCCCTTGCGTTGGTGAGGAACCAGCTGCCGAGGGGCCCGACGAGGAGGAGCTGGAACATGTTGAAGGCGAGGTTGGGGATGGGGAGGAAGTGGCGGGAGTAGTAGAGGGAGGTTGAGATGTGGGCGAGGGGGTAGCCGGGGAGGAGGGCGAGGGCGGCTTTCATGAAGGTTGCCTGTTGGGTTTTCTTATGTCAGTTATTTCGATGAATTATGATGCCGAGATTTTGAGAAGTTCTTACGTTCCAGCATCCTATAATGATGCGCTCGTCCCATGGCGTTGCGGATGAGACTTCTGTGAGGGCACAGGCGATGGCCTGCAGGAGGTCCTCGGGCTTGTCGTCGATCTAGAAGATTTCACGATGTCAGTAGATGTTCATTTTCTCTCTCCAATCTCATTATGCTCACCTTGATATCCAGCAAGACCCAAATATTCTCCGTTTCCGGCCCTGAAACAAGGTACTCTAGCAAATCCACCAGTCTAGGCAGCGGCTCATGGGGCTGCTTGAGAGTGCGAAGGCTGGACAGATAGGACCAGGTGCAGTCCTTGATGAGCAGATCGACGCCGAAGCATCTCTTGAGCGAAGGGTCCTATGAATTTGCATTAGCCAACATGCCTCTCCTCTTTTGAATTGATTTCATCTCATCTCATCTCATCTCATCTCATCTTCATCGCCAGCAAAGCCACTTACATGAGACAACACCACGACGCCGTCCTTGGAAAGATGCACATCCGTCTCCAGCGCATGCGCGCCAACCTCGACCGCCGCCCGGAACGCCGCCATGCTGTTCTCCGGGAACGAGGCCCTGAAGCCTCGGTGCGCAATCGTCTGCGGGATGAACCGTGAGGGGTCACGGCGCGAGGCCACTGCAGAGGCCCATTTCGCCGCTGTAAAAGGAGAGTCAGTTTTGCTTTTATCGAATTTTTGCTTTGAGATATTGGGATCATGTCGATGTAAAGGTAGATTTTTTTACAACTCGGAAACAAACTGTCTCGTTCAAAGAATGAAATCGATACTGTAGGAGGTACGTACCTTTGGGGGCGGTGATGCCGCGGTGGAAGGGACTCATCAGAGGCTGCCTTTCCGAAGCGGTCATTTTCAATGATTCTAATTATATTCTTTCTATCTTTCTTTCCTTGTATTCGATTTTTGATGAAAAGAAGCAGAAAAGGGGAACCCGAGGTCCAGGAAAGAATAAAACAGAAGGGCGTTTTTTTAGTCAAATGGCCTCTTTTGGGGGGGGCGACTTGAGGGCTGCTTGTGTTCGTCACGCCGCCTTCGATTGGGCGGATATAAGTCCAGGTGAAGTCCGTAGTCCGTAGTCCGCAGCCTGACCGCCCTGGTTTGCTGGATTTTTCGGAGAGAGGAGGCGCTGCTTGGAGTGTCCGGCTCTTTTTCTTTGTTGGTTAGTATCGGGCTGTTTGGCCAAAGTTTGTGTCTCGTTTACCCAGGAACACAAAGGCTAATGAAGAATAAAGATTTTGATGGGAAAATGAAAAAGGAAAAGAAAGAGAGAGAGAGAGAGAGAAAAGAAGAAAGGCAGCGGTCTCTCATCTTGTTTTTGTATTCGCAATTTTCCCTCTCTCTCTATCTCGTTGCAGATACAGGTATCCATTCATATCACATATCTAACGGACTACGTATCAAAGCTGAGCTGAGCTCCATCTTGTTTTGACTCACACCAAGCCAGACCAGGAGAGAGAAGGAAAAAAAAAGAGAAAAAACCAAATCTCGCATGCTGTAGCTTGGCCATGAGGCCACACCATCATCAGCCTGCTTCGCATGACCCTCTTTCCCCTGACATGGTGCCTGTGTGTCGCCACCTTTTTGATAGGCATCTGCCGTGTCCAGGTAATGCGCCTACGTGTGGCCTTGATAAGCACCTTGTTGCGGGAGTGTAAATCTCAGGGTATCGAATGGATCCACGCCATTGCTATTATAAGCACCAGGCGATTATAAGGCCACGGCGAGATCCTGGTTAGTGCTGTACAAGAAGAATTTTCACCACGTCAACAACAGGTCGAGATTGCATGTGGCAACATATTAGGTGATGAATTCACGGGCAGCTACTGTATCCCTACAGCTACAGCTACATCCAGCTACTAGATTGCTAGACTACTACGTTACAGGGCTGTGGACCGCTAAAAATGGCCACTCCCGGCAGCGCCATTTCCCACTCCCCTACCACCTACTTTGTTCATGGAAGTCATTATCCCTCCTGCACAGCCGCTGCGAGTCACCGGCTTCCAGCGCCATTCAGGGCTCCGCCGGGAGGGGTCAGAAGGGTCTTCATCCACTATCGAGTCGGGTCTAGGCATTGCGCAACGTGCCGGATGTTCACAGATCGCGGCCGCCTGCTTGTCAGCTCCGTCGCCTTAATCCCAATCCAGCATGGAGGCAGTTTCGAGCATCAGACGCAAACTTGGTTTTTGCAGGGTCAAGTATCCGTACAGCAGCTACCATTCTCGTACTTGTACATACAGGTACCGGTCATGGATATTAATATCAATGCCGTATCGCTGGTGGGGATTCCCTTGATATGCCGCATGTTAGTGCTTCGACGATTCAGCACCAAGATAAGATGCCGCCAAATAGATCAACGGCTCCCGTGCAAAGCTTTGCAAATTCGTCATGATGGTGATACTGCCTGTTCAAAAGACCTTGCGTTATGGAAAAATCATGTAATGGAAATAAACAAACATATCCATCTCCATCCATCCATCCATCCATGCCACCCATCCCGTCCAATAGCAGGTAATCCCTCATATCCCCGTGGCAGCCTTGTAGCCACTTTTGGTCTCCGAGTCATAACAGGAACGAAAAAAAAAAAAATTGAAAAGAAAAAAAAAGCCCTCAACAAATCGCTCCGCCATGTGCGCCGTCCCAGAATAAAAATGTGTATCAAAAACGTTACATCGATAAGCAGCAAATTTCGATAAAACAGAAACGTCTCACATCGCCATCACACCATAGCGCCTAGAAAAACACGTCATTATTCACAAGGACAGCCCGTGCAGCCCGTTTGTTGAAAATCCGTCACCGTTGTGGTAGTTGACCCCCTGCAGCTGCTTTCCATAGTCAATGTTTCCGAGGCTTAGCCCCAGTTCTGAAGGCGACACTTCTTCTCCCGAGCTGAGGCTCTCGTCACTCATGCTGAGCACGCTCTGCGGCGGCGCCGGGTTGTTGCCAAATTCGCCAATGTTGAAATTGCTCAGGTCCCATGAGTCTGGCGACCACTCGTTGCCGGTTGAGTGTCCCGCCATGGCAGCTTCGATGCTGGCGCCTCCGTAAATCACATCATACACGTTGTTCATTCCGCTGTCCATGGATCCGACCAGCGCCTCCCAGTCGGCGCCCGACATGTTGGGAGCCTTGGTCACTGACTGTCCGTTGTTCATGTAGCCTTGACCGTTGTTCTGCATGCCCTGAGCCGGCATGCTGGTTGGAGGCGACGCGGCGTGCTTGGTTGTGAAAGGAGTGTCGTTGAGCGAAAGATAGTCGAGATTCTGTCGTGCCTGCGCATTCGGAGAAAGCCTAGACATCCGCGACGCCGAGTGCTGGCGCTCTTGTCGGTGGCCATCAAATGACTGGCGAGACGAAACCTGCTGAACCTCTCCGTTGGAGCCTTGGAGGCCAGCCATGTTGCCCATCCAACGAGTCTTGTCCTGGTGTCGCGTCAAGTCAGTCTCGCTCGCCGAAGTCTGGAACTGGCCCAGTGGCGGGGAGTTTTGCTTGGTATAGCTGGTCGGGGGCGATGCGCGACGGGAACTGGCCGCCACTGATGGCTTGCGGACGTGCTTGTTCATGACCGCTGGCCCTGATGGGTCGGTGACGGTGATAAGCACGCTCGCGGCTCGTTCCAAATCCACGAATCCGGGCGACTTGTTCTGGCGAAGAGTCTTGAGAACATCGTTGACCAGCCGCTCATCCTCACGCAACAGCTTGCTGTCGCGCTTCAGATCAATGGCTTGGTAGAGAAGAGTAAGTGCGCACACGGCGAGAAGATCGCACTTGTTCATGCAGAATGAAAATGACATGCTTCGCTCCTCGAGAAGCTGTGAGATTTGGATAATGTGCTTGCTGGACTCGCTGATGGAAATCAGCGCCGGTGCAGCCTTGGGTCCGAGGTTCGAACCAACGACGGGGCGATAAATAAGGGTACGAATAAAATAGTATGTGAGTGCCTATTGTGCCATCTTTGTTAGTCCCTTGTGGTCAAGGTAGTCGCATCATAAAAATATATTTATTCATATCACTCTTTGCACTTACCAACAGAGGTGAGCGGCTGCCCGTGACATCTCGCGATGGCTTTCCCTGAGAGAAGGTGAGTTTCAGGTGCGCCGGCAGGTCATCGTACCAGCCGTCTAATTCAGCCTCAAAGGCGCTGATCTGTTGTAGCGACAGGTCGTAGCTTGCCGCTGCAGGGTAAATCTTATCCAGGACACGAGCGAGGATGCGTGTTGCCCTAAACAGGGCCAGAGCGCTAGAGATGCGCGTATACTCTCCCGGCAGCGTGGGCTGGAACCCCTTCTCCGTCACGTATTCATCATCCGTGTCAGATGGATACTCCGCTTGGACATCCTCCTCCTTTAGCAGTTTGGGGAGGCCAGTGATGGCAGCTGTCATCGTGTCTAGAGCATACAGCGTCCAGAAGACCTTTTTCCTTGTCTCAAGGGTCAAGGCGCCAAATGAGAAGCGCTTCTGGCTTTGGTGCAGACCCAGTCGGTGAGACAGGCCCACGGCTATGCACTTGTAGTGCTGGAGACGACGATAGTCAGCTCGGACGGTGCAGTACAGCAGAGCCAGCACAAGACACTGCAGTGTGTTCATTGTGTTTTCCAGCACCAGGGACTCTAGGGCTTTCGTCCATTGGTGCTCGCAGGCAGCAACTTGCTGCAGGTCTGGAGACTCTGACGAGAGGCCCGCAAGAGAGAAGACGAGATAGAGCTGGGCAAGCTTGTAGTTGCACTTGACTCTTTCTGGGTCATTGACAAACTCTTCGTAAATACGGAGAAAGGTGGGCTTATGAAGAACGGGGAAGAGAGGAGCCCATTCTTGGAAAAAGACATTGACACATCTGTCTGAAAAGAGCCGGGGAGGGATCCTGGATGACTGATCTTCCATCTTGGCAACGAGTGGAGCGCAGCCTTGGATATGCAAGAAGGCATCTGGGGTAAAGTCACTGCATGGTTTGCCGCTGTCTTGCATTTTACGCTTGAGAGACGCTATATAGAAAAGACGGTTAGAACTCGATAATGGGCTTTGGGGGAGAGGATAGGATAGCTGTGCGTGCGCGCATCGCACGTGTGGCTTATATGAACGTGGGGCAGTAAGAGTATGACATACCGATAAAGGCGCGCCCACTGGATGAGCCCATAAAGTATGAGTCGGAATTTTCGACACCGAGAAGCAATTGTGTAGCCTGTACTCGGAACGTGTCTTCCTTTATGGTGGGCGAATCTTTGACAGCATCTGGTGACACCGGAGTGGCCATGGATGTGACTGAAGGCTTCCGTCGTGGTCCGCCATGAATGTTTCCGTGCATCGTAGAGAGCATGTCGATTTTCTCATCCTTCTCATCCAGCAAGTCCTTGAGCTCGCGGACCTCGGCCTCGAGCGCACGAACTCGCTCCTCCAGAGACTCTGTATATCCGCGCGGGAAAGCACGTCGGCTCAGCTTGTCGCTTGTGCGGCACTCGAAGCCAACGGAGGCACATTGTGAACATGTCGGCCGGACGCCATCGCAGCGAATCTTCTTGCTGCGGCAGCGGTCACAGGCTTGGGCGATGCGGCTCTGGGCACTGTTGCCCACCTTTATAACTTTCATAGGCAGGATGCCCGGCATGGTGGCAGCTGCGATCCGAGCGTCGATTGAAAAAGGGAGACGAAGATTCGACGGTGTTGGTCAAGGCGTTGTGTTATGGCGAACTTGCTGATTGGGGCTTTCTTCGCCCACCAGCCGTGGTCGGCGCAACAGATGGTGAGACAGCGTGGGCGAGAATCGGCTTTGCCACGACTTGGCTCGGTTTCCAGAAAAGACAATGATGTCGCAATACCAATGAAAGTCCCCCTCTTGTTCAACAATATGAAGTATCCGGGTCGTCAGCGGGAGAGATAGAGGAGCGAGGAATATTGTGGGGGGAGAGAATGGAAGGGAAAGGGAACAGAAGAGCGAGGACAGAGACTGGCGAAGTGGAGCCTAAAAGGACAAAGGAGCGCTGCAACAAGTTCGCAGGGCAGGCAATTAAATCCCGGGGAAGGGGATTGGTTAGTGCACAAGCCTTCTGACCAAGCGCTACTCTAGCACCCTGTAGTGCGCTGGCTGGGTGCGCAGGTACTGCCAGCTGGGTGCCAGGCAGCGCAGGGCACCCTAATGCCGCCAAGTCCTCTGCATGTTAGACTTGCATACACCCAGCGCTCTGGAGGTACTAACTTGGTACCTGCTGCAGTCGACCGGAAAGGGTTGCAACCACCGCCTTCTCGCCTGGAGATGGCCTCAATCCTCTCCGGTTTCCCATCAAAGCCTTCTCGACCCCTTTGCTCGCATGAAAAAGCAGCCAAATTGCTGATGCACACCGCACGCCCTAATAGGCACCGCGCCGCTGTGACTGGACAGATCCGGGCCTGCCAGCTCCACCCGCCAACGTCTTTTCGTTGGGTCTGTCATCAGTCCCAGCTTGACGTCGTTTTTCTTCCTCTTTTGCCCTTCGCTCGCTAGTCGCCCCCCTGGTAGGCCACGAGATGCCCCCACCCCGGCTCTGTCTCTAGCCATGACTCTGTTGATCTACTAATCCATATCCATTTACTGACACGGAGTACTTGTGCAGGGTTTGCCTTCTAGTACTTGCACGAGAACGATGCTAGCGACTGAGTGCTCCGGCAGATGCCCTGCGCAATCACCGCAATCCGCAAGTCGACGCTCGCTGAGGAAAACCCTAACCCAGCATCGCGACATTTTAGCCCGACCGCCGTACTCGCATACCCACATAGGGCGTCCAGTTGAGGGCTGGCCGATATACGGGGCCTGACGGGGGATGCAGGTCGAGCGCAGTCAGAAATGCAACCCATTGTCCCAACAACGTCCGTCTGCTTCGATATCTTACCGCTGCGGTCTTACCAGCCCACGCAGGGCCCTCGAGCTCTAGAACGGATTCCAGGTCTTGCAAGATAGCTAGCGCCGAACAAATCTCGACTTATGGCCTGATTTACCCCAGATTTCCCGCGGTTTGCCCCCCAAGGCGCACATAGTGCGGGGTGGGAAAAGCCGGGGAGCAGCTCCTCTCACTTCTCTCTCGACTCATACTGTGCAGCCTTTGGACTCCGGGGAGCAAGCACGGGAAATGCAGCGGACTTTACAGTACAGGTGTACGGTGGCGTTTGTCCAACAGCCAGTGTTTCGTGTCACTGTGAAAGGTACATGCGTACGAGTACTGGGTGTCGAATGTTGGTTTTGGCTTTGGGTACAGCTGCAGCGTTATTCGCCTTCGCCGCATCCTCGGCAACGTGATTCTCCAGGCCACTTCGACAACGTGATGCTTCTACCGCCTGTCTACTTGTACGCAATGCCAAAGACGGCAGCACCGGAATCAGAAGTGATCGATTCACTAAATATCTTATCTTAATGGACTCGGCGTAGATTTCACCACCGACGGGCCAGCATTGAACGTGGTAGCGGACACACCGGCAGCTCCGGACCCTTTGCCTGGGATGCCGTCAGCTTCCTTCCATGCCCCAACTCGGTCCACGCGACACCGAATAAATGCTAAAAGAGATTGACACGATGCAGTCTAGGGAGTGCGTGTGCACCATGCAATTCTACCGTTCAAGCATTCAGCTGTGTGGCCCCGGTTTCCCCTCTGGCTGGTCTTGCAGCCATCTTGGCTAGGCTCCAAATGCCCTGGTTTAATCGCCCACACCCGGACCGCTTCCATCCTCCCACTTCCCATGCATTCAGCGTGCCCGATTATCATCAGATGGAAGTCTCACAGTGTTCGTCGGCACATCTATTATCCTTCATGGCAATATCTAGCAATCTCTTTCCCCCGTATTATGCGCCAAGATTGGGGTGCTAGTATCATTCTAACTCAAGGTTCGAAGCATCAGCCACACTCGAACTGGTGGCGCGAAAAGAAGAGCTTGAAGTTTAAAATCATCCCAGCGTCTTTTGTCATGTCATACGTACAATGCGGGAGATGACAGGATGCCATCGATTTAGTTCTTTGATATCATATGCTCAGATATGAAACATTCTTCCGATTCTACCTAATCTCATGACTGAGACCTCAACTGTTTAACAAATCTGCAGACCCTTGAGCGTTCAGGTATAATGCATTGATCGCATGTTCAACCCGCGTTTTAGTTCCGTTTCAGTCAATAGCTCAGCGCTAGTTTTTTGAGCGGAATCACAATGCAAATTCGACTCGAAAGCATTCAAAGCTACAGGCAATAGTTGCCCTCTCTCTCACTGCCTCGTCGGGTCAAGCCGGCGCAAATACATGATCAATCGTCGATCCCCACGCTAGAGTTTATATCAGCGCTTCCCCGGCTGTTCATCCCACGCCGCCAGGCTATTTCGGCCGCTTAGCTGAACTCGTCGTCTTCATTGGCCGCCGGCTCAGACGCTTGCTCGTTTTGGGCATCTTCCATAGACCCGAGATATGTCACTACGCGTGCGTCCAGAAGCAGCCTCGCCTTCTGTGATATTACGTGGTTGCATTAGCATTTATCCAAGACTTTTGTTTGAACCTGAAAACTTGGTCTTCTTCGGGTATAGCCATCTGCCGCCATCTGGTTCGACCCCGGACCGTCGGAATCCCATGGACAAGGGAAGGGTGATTCAAAAAGAGAAAGGGGGAGAGAAAATGCCGTACCTCGTTTTCTAGCGCCTCCGCCACACCTTGCAGGACCTGGGTTTCAAGATCTCTCAAAGTCTCAGCCGCTAGTATGCACTCCGCACGCGGCTGATTTGCTGCCTGTGGTTGCTCCGTTACCCCGTACGAGAATCCGGAGGAGATTCTGTCCAGCTGCATCGCAACCCGCTCCTCCAGCACGGCGACAGCTCGAAGCTTAAACACTTGGAATAGATCGTGGTTCTGAACAAGCGTCTCGAGCTCGTCAGTTCGGTCCGTGATATCTTCGTCTTGCCAAAGTAGTTTCAATTGGCGCTCCCCTGAAGTATCTTGCGCTATCCGGAAAGCAAGACCATCTTCCTCATTGAGAACTAGCAGATACAGGAAGGGGCTGTCCCACTGGAAACCTTGTTCTGTCAAAGATAATCGTACCGTGGGAGGTCCATTGTAGACGCGGAGTTTAGCTCTTCCCAGAGGATCGTCAGGTAACGGCGCAACCTGTAATTTTAGCTCTTTAATAGAGGACTCCTGGTCGATGAAGCCGTAGCTAAATAGCATCTCGGCTGCTGACTTGGCTTGTCCATATGAGATGGTGATCTCTCCACCTGAAAGTATGCTTGACCCTGAACTCGGAAGCAATACCACATCGCCGTTAGAACTTTCATCGTAGTATGCCGAATGGGTCTGTGAGTGGTTCGCCATGTCCAGTCCTGGGACCATGGCATGACCGGCTCGAGGAAGCTCCAGGCATCTTGAGCGATACCAGGCATCGGCGAGAATCCAATCCTCCACCTTTACAGTTCCCCAGAAAAGATCGTTCCAAAAGGGGAAGTTTGATGCTTGTTCGCATATCCCATCATATTCATGTGAAAGTGCAGATAGCTTGGCACTCACCGCCGCCTATATGTGTGGTATGATTGTCAGTACACATTGCATGACAGCTGCGGCTTCATGCATTACGAGCCGCATTTGGGTGACAATTTAGGGAAAATACCCGATAGGTTGGCAATGTAGTATATAGGAGATATCAATTTACCTCAAGAGATGTGCCTTTGAGTAATTCTCTCTCTTCATTCGTCCACATCGTGGGAATAGGGATGTATCGAGGCAAGAACTTGATATACTCGGTCCATGGCGTTGAAGCAAATGGTCTCGTACTTGGAGAAGTTCCTTTCGATTGGATAATTTGAGTCAATAGGTACAGCAGGATATCACCTCTTGTGCTCTCTCCAGATATTAGCATCATCGCTATTAAGATTCCTTCGCGGATGAAATCTGGTACTTACTTGGCGTCCAGCAACCTCAAGTAGCTGCTTGAAATTCTGATCAACCTTGGCATACTCCTCTACTGCCTCAGCAGATAAAACAAGGTCCCGGGGTATTCGGACGATCGCTGGTGAGCTAGAGGCATCACGCCCAGCCTCCGTGATATCATGTTTGGCGACGAGGCCGAGCCCTTTACCATCGATGTTTCGTATTTCTGCGCTTGCAAAGTCCACATTATTCAGGAGAGCCCAGGCCGGGAAAGCCTCGATAGGTAATTGAGACTGCATCATGTCACAATGTGAAATAGCTTGAGAGGTTTGCTCGAGCTGAGATGATCAGGAGATGGTGAGCTGCATTGCTTAAGATTGAAGTCAATCACCCGTTATACATGCGCCTAGCCCAGAGGTACCTTGAAGTATACAGGTTTGGAGGGGCTAGTAGTGGCAGATGAAGAGTACATTTTTTAGTGTAATCTTTTGTCGAAAAATAAGTACTCAGACATCAGCACGACATCATCAGCAGCCATAGTTACCCGTTGGGTACTTCAAGCGACCTCGTCACAGGCCGTTCTTCACAAGCGTCACCCACTTTGCGCCAACTTTTTGCATATTGCCGATCCGATTTTTTTTGGTTATCTTTTTTTTGCGACATCATATCTGCCATCTTTCCTAGGGACTCTACGCATTCCGACTCTTCTCATCATTGATGGAGTTATCGCTACAACTTCTCTAATATCGGATTGTAATAACCTCGTCATATTCTATTCTATTCATTTGCATCTTTCGACTCGAGATTTCACGCACACCCCGCCATGCCTCGCGATCCCCTCATCGGGCTGGTAGGCAAGCCCTCTGCCGGCAAGAGCAGCACGCTCAACAGCTTAACAGATGCTTCCTCCAAAGTTGGTCAGTAGAACCATTCTCTTCTCTATCTACAAAGCAATAATAGAAACGAAGAGACAGCAACAAGACAAACCGTCGCTCGTCTGTTGGACACTCATACCGAGACTAACACCTATTTGCATAGGCAACTTCCCGTGAATAGCGCCCGCCTGTTACCCCATTCCCGCTCGAAGAAAAGCTCACGAAGCTGACTTGGACATCCTTTTTTGTTCCTATGCGACAGATTTACCACCATTGATCCTCAGCGAGCGATAGGATACCTCCAGATCGACTGCGCCTGCGCGCGCTTCAAGCTATCAGATAAATGCAAGCCCAACTACGGATCTTGCGTTGACGGCCGACGGTCTGTACCGATTGAGCTTCTCGATGTTGCGGGATTAGTTCCTGGTGCTCATCAGGGCCGCGGCCTGGGAAACAAATTCTTGGACGATCTGCGACATGCCGATGCGCTTATTCACGTCGTCGATGCGTCCGGAACTGTCGATGCGGAGGGCAAGGAGACGAGAGGCTACGATCCTTCTGTTGATATCGCCTGGCTGCGCAGTGAGATTGTTGCATGGATCTTGGGTAATCTGATGACGAAATGGGGAGGCATCAAGAGACGGCATATCGCAGTCAAGGCAACGGCTGTCGAGACATTACAGAATCAGTTTTCCGGTTACGGATCCACCCCCGTAACGGTACAGCGGACAATGGATCGGTCAGGCGTGAAGGAGCCGCTGGAAGAGTGGTCCGACGAAACAGTTGAACACATTGTCAACTGCTTCATCGACGAAAAGTTCCCGACAGTGATCGCACTAAACAAGATCGACCACCCCGACGCAGATAAGAACATTGCCAAGATTGCCAAGATGCAAGACCCGAATGCGGTTGTTCTCTGTTCAGCCATTTCAGAAATCTTCCTAAGGAAGATGGCGAAGCAAGGGTACATTAAATACGTCGAGGGAAGCGAATTTATCGACACGAGAGAGGATCTCATCGAGCAAGGCGATCCTACAGGCGGTGGCCTCAAAGAACTTGACGAGAAGAACCGAAACCGGATAGAGAATCTAAAGGATATGGTTCTGTACCGGTTCGGATCTACGGGTGTCGTGCAAGTGCTGTCCAAGGCAGCTGAACTGCTCGGCCTAGTACCCGTTTTCCCCGTCCGAAACACGACAACTTTTAGCTCTGGAGCGTCCGAATCCAAATTTGTCTTTAGGGATTGCGTGCTAGTGAAGAAGGGGTTAACGGTGGGTGATGTTGCTCGCAAAGTGATGGGCGATGCGCCGATTGCATTTGTGGAAGGAGTTGGAAACATGAGGGTATCTGAAGATGATGTCGTTGCCGTGGGAAAGAATGATGTGAGTTGCAAGAACACGTATAGGCCGCTCTGAGGGAAACATTTACTAACAGATGCGTTGCAGGTTCTATCATTCAAGGTTGGACGGACATGATGGAAGCAACGAAGCTTTATGCTATAATTATTGCATCGCCTTCTAGCATGCGTCGTAATAGAAGAAATTTATGATATCCATCCTTTGCTCATGACTAGCTTATCGTAATTAGAATTCTCAGCGTCACTCCTTCAGTACATTTTAAGAAGCTATGAACAGCAGGTCGTCAATTATTGCTTGATGAATCTTCGTCCAGCCCTCCTCCGGTTTTGGAGCTGCAAGGCTGCAGGGCACTATTGGAAATTCAGAGAACCTAGCCACTAACACCTGCTGGATCTGTCACGAGATGGTGACGACCAGAAGTTCGCTTCAACACTGCCAGTCATAGAAACACAACATGTGCTTTGGACACACGAAATCCTGATGGCGGTTCCCAGGGAAATTTTCTGCCGGCCAACATCCGTAGAAGATCTTTGTCGTCGCTTGAGCCTTGCTGTGCAGCCATTGAAACGAGATGCGGCTGGGAGGCAACCAACTGCCCGCTCCGCCAAAGAATTGGAGGCGTTGCAAGCCTTACAGCAGTCTATGATCGACGAGTTTACCCAGAACCCGAGCGAAACATATGCCATCGAAATCACTCCACTGGCGCATTTCGTCGATGTAGACAACTATGTACGAATATTTGACAAATTTCACAATGTTATTGCGAGCGCCGCAATCAACGGCAAGATCGTGGACACTGAGCTACTGCGCGCGTTCGAGGCGTTTCTTCACTGCCGCCAGGCCGGTCTGGCTGGGAAAAGACTGAATCTCGGGAGTGCCATGCTGTCCATTCAGAACGCACTGGACAGTGCCGTTGATGCAGCTCACAGTCAGACCAAGTACAATTCGATACGCGCGCTTTCCGCCGTTTTGGATGCTATGAATGAAGTCAAGGTGGAAGGCATCGTGGATCTAAAAGTGCAGAACCTGCTTAAGCGGCTGGAGAAGCTCAGAGATCATAAAGAACTTCGTCTCGCCGAGGCCGCGAGCTATTCTTACCAGGCGCTATTAGCCATTCCAACAGATGTGAGTCCTTGGACGAAGATTGGAGCCAGCGCTTTCAAGACTTTCATGGGCGGCGCAAAGGTTGCTGGCTCTGTGTGGTCTCTCGATCCGTCGAAACTTGTTGAGGGACTGGTCGACTTGACGGAAGTGCCTGAGCTGATAGGCTCCATCATCGAGGTCATCAAATCATGCAGCGATCTGTTTCAGAACGTCTCCAACACGAGCAAATCATTTAAGACGCTGAAGAAACCGAAGGATTGGTATATTGCTTTGCGAGCCACTGATGGCTTAGTATGGGCAAATGCCCCAAAGCATCTAGAGGCCTTGCTTCAGCATCCGGCCCTGCCCTGTCGTGAGGACAAGGATTTCCTTTGTGGTCTTTGCGCACAACTAGAACTGGCAAACGACTTGAAACATGGCCAAATCGTCCATGTTTTAAAGGCATTTCTGGTTACCCAAGCAAGCCAGACCAAATTCTGCCGCGTGCTAGAATGGGCTCGGCTGGTTACCAGATCGCCACAGCTTGACTCCCAGAACTTGTCAAGATCTGGACGTCGCAAAACATACTTAAACAATGTTGAACGCTCGAGGACCATGGTCCATCAGCCTCGAAAGCAGCTAATTGACAATGCGTGGCAAACCTGTCACAAAGTCCGGGAGTTTTACGCGGACCAAATAATACGGGATAACTATACAGACTCGGATCTAAAGCTGCTCAAAATTGAACGTCTCGACGGCAGCAAATTGTCCATGGGCGACTGTTATATCAATCTGGCGATTGTTCGAAACTCCGTGGATTTTAATCAAGCTAGAGATTCCGAAACCCACTCGCCGTCACCTTTTTCTCTCCTCCGTCGTTTGGATATCTGGGAACCACCAGAGTCCGATCGTGTCAGCTTGGAAACACTTTTTGATGGTGAGAAAGATGCATTAGACAACTCTCTCAGAGATCCACCTCAGAGAATTCTTATTCGTGGCCAAGCCGGCGTGGGCAAGACCACTCTCTGCAAAAAGATGGTCTATGACTTCATCCACAAGGACATGTGGAATGGGATCATCGATCGAGTCATCTGGATTCCATTACGCCAGATCAGGGGTAACCTGGAGTCGGGGCAATCTATTCCAAGTATCCTAAGCGGGCCTCTCCCTGATGTTGAGAGGGCTGGTAAAGGCACTCTCGGCGAGGCCATAGAGAGATCGTTCACAGACAGCCCCAGCAGAACACTTTTTATTCTTGACGGCTTCGATGAAGTCCAACGAGAAATGCATACTCCCGGTAATGAACTTCTGCTCAAACTTCTAAACCAACCTCGAGTCATTATAACCGCACGTCCACGAGGTGTCAATCGTGAGCTCTTCCAAAACATCGACCTGGAGCTCGAAACGACTGGATTCTTTCCTGATCAAGTGAAGGAATATATAAGGAAGCATGCCAACGATAAAGCAAGCGAAATTTATTTCTTCATCCAGGGCCATCCTGTAGTAGCCGGTTTAGCGCGAATTCCGATCCAGCTTGATGCCATTTGCTACAGCATGATAGCAGGGATGTTGGATGGTAACAGCCCTCCGGAGACAATGACCGAACTGTACCATTCCATAGAGACGTCTCTCTGGAATAAGGATGTGGAGCTGTTGGAAAAACATCGTGAAGGTAGTAATAAACCGGTTTTAAAGCACGAGGCCCAGGCTTCTTACCCAGACGATATCAGAGCTCTTTGCCAAGCCGAGATCAACGCCCTTCAGGCCCTTTCATTCACCGGGCTCTATAATAATATGGTTGAATTCGATCCGAATTTTCTCATGAAATTCCATAACTTGCAGAGTATCATTACGAGTAAGCTGCCTGCGGCGAAAAGGCAGCCATGGTTTACCGACTTGGATAAGCTCTCTTTCCTTCGCACCTCAGATGGGCCACTTACACCAACCACCCGAAGCTATCACTTCCTACACCTGACATTTCAGGAGTTATTTGCCGCGCAATTCTTCATACAGCATTGGAGGACAAATAAAGACCTGTTAGTCTTTGATTTCACTAGCAAGAAGTCAACCCCCATCAACCCGGAAACCTTCCTACGAAGAGAGAAGTATAATTCAAGCTATGATGTTTTCTGGCGATTTGTTGCTGGCACCATCCAACTGCAGCGTGATGAAGGGGCCTTATGTCGCTTCTTTCAGATAATAGAGGAAGAGCCGAAGGACTTACTCGGTCCTGTCCATCTGCGGCTAACTATGCATTGTTTGGCAGAAATCAATAGCACGGCTTACGAACCCGCCTCACTTAGGGAAATTCGTCAGTTCGCAGAGACTAAGATGAAGAATTGGCTCTTCCTGGACTCATGGAGCTCTTCGAAAACGGTGCGCCAGCTGGTGGGAGAGACAGAATTCTCTGAAAAGTTGTTGAAAGAGGCGGCCGTAATGATGAGCTATGACAGGAAAAGTTTGCGTTCAGCTTTTGCCCACGGACTCGCAAGTCGATCGAAAATCTCAGTGAGCTTGGTAGACCTTATAGTTGAGTGGTGCCTGGATTTTGTAAATGAGGGCACCGATGAGGGCGATTATGATACGGACGATCTCAACTTGAGTCTTCTCGCAATGCACTTTCTCTGGCAGACGCTAAGGTCAACTCCAGCTACAATGTCGCTTCTCTCTAAGCTTCTAGACCATTCAAACAAGCATATTTTCCGACAAGCGGCGGTCATTGTATGGAAGTTTGTGCAGACCAAGACTGTGACCGAGTACAGCCCTTTAATCATAAATGGCTTATTAGAATGTCTAAAGTTCGGTAATCGGGAGACTAGGATAAGTGCTTTGTCAGAGCTTAAAGCCATACTAGGCTTACCACCAAACACTTACGAATGTTTGGAGAGATGGGCACGCGATCGTCCTCTCTATCCGAAATTGTACACAGACGGTAATATGAGACCAGTGTATGATGAGCCGGAAAAGATAAAGGAAGCACTAACAACCTTGTCGGAATCTTTGAAGCTCGAAAATACCACCTCAGATACTCCTGGTGACTCTAAAGCAGAAGAGACACAAGCGCCTCTAGGCAACAGGGAAGAAATAATATCGCAGGCTCTTCGGCGTTGGAAAGATAGGTTACACGACGCAGGGTATGTCAAAAAGCTGGAGAGCATCGAACAATTCATTTTGGAGCACCTCGATCGTTCAAAGTATCCAAATGACAAGCTCAGCACCCTCACTCTGGAGAATCTGGTAGTCGACATCCTATTCGAGGTTCTCGGCAGAAACCACCTTGATGTGACTCAATTCGAAGAGCTCGCTAAGCTTCTCTTAAACGCAAGAATCTGCTACGCTATTGTAAACGTTCTCGCCGCCTATTTCAGTCATCAAGAAGACAAATTAGTGGAATTAACATCTACATCCCAACAAAATGACTACGATGGGCCAATCCCAGATGCTCTGTTCAACAGCGTGGCCGTCATGATCGGGGGCACACAGCCGCTCCACAAAGCAGTAGCCGGAATAATCATGAGAGAACATCCTCGTTTGCCGAAATGCGTTTTGGAAGTACTGTTGGACAACTTGGAGATTTGGGATGGGAGTGTTCGAGACCGTGCTCTCGTATACCTGGCCACACAATTGGAGCACTCAAGGATGTTGGAAATAGCAATGACCAAGTTTGGTGTCACTATTCAAGAGGCGCGGCTTGGCGTCTTTCCTCCAAAGCTCCGTGGGATTATTCAAGATATTGCGCGCCAAGCCATGATTTCCCCTAATGCAGCCCAAAGGGATATGGAGTTTTGGGCTATGGAGGCTGTGTTGAAATATCCTGGATTGGGTATAATGGAGCTTGTTCTTCGCCTTGACGAAAAAGCCTTGCATACTCTCTATCAGCAGTGGTTGGAAAAGGCTTTAGAAGAGTCTTTGAGTTGGCACGTTGACGATAATCGATTTTGCATTAGGACTTCTTCGGGTGTTGTTGCGGAGATTTGTGAGAGTAAAGAGATAATATCAGGTTTTGTTAAGAGGCTGGGGAATGTAAAGGAAGCGATTAAAGTTCCCACCTGAATTAATACAGGATCCTTGGATTTGTCATGGATCAATGCAGTCTGGAGGGAAGAAATGTAAAAAGTATTGCGAATTTACATTCAATAATTAATCTATTGTAGAAAACTATGAGAAAAGTAGGAAAGGGTTTGCAGCCAGCCTGTTCAGTTGACGATCCAGCATCCCGTGTCCCGGATTTGAGAGATAATTATAATAATCGCTGATAGTAGTAGAAGGTATTGATACTTTTGAATGTGATCAGAGTGACATTCTTGATATCCGATGCTTGGGGAACAAGGTTTTAGGTGCGTCCTATGCATCTTGCTTTGACCACGAGGTCTGCAGACCAGGCATCTTTCCTGGACCGAAACGGGCGTGAATATTGTATCAAGTTCGTGTTTGCTATTCGTCTTAACTAGATGGGTATGAGAGCTTTCTTATCGTCCCCTGGATCAAGTCCCTCGGTGTGGGATTACGAACGAAAGAGGAGGGTATGGGAAAATCCGCATTCCATAACCGAAGGCACTGAGCTCAACTGCAAGAAGCAACCAAGGTGGCTGAGCATCCTGAATATGATGAAGAAGAAGGGCCAACTAGAGTGACACAGAAGGAGGATGAATAGGTAGCAGCGGGTGCCGTGGGGTCACGTAATCCCCAACAGTCGGAATCGTGGATGGCTGTTTCCAACAGAAGTCCAGCAAGTATAGCATTAAGACATTCAAATGTTCATTCGTAAAGAAAGTTGATCTGATCCGCCGCGGATATCGGGTCATCGTCGTCATAATAAAACTCTGTCGAGGTGTAGATCGACTCAGAGATTGCGTTTACTTTTGTCGTACTCTTTGCTCAGCATAATCGACAACTGCAAAGCCTTATTATCCAACTTCGTCGCTCGCTCAACTGATGCATCGAAACAATCTCCTTAATGCCGATGTTGCCCATTCGAGGGAGTCCGAATGCAGAACTTCGACCAAACCAGCCCTGGAGGTGAGATGATGTCGTGAAGGTTGCTCATTATTGGTGTACCTGTAACAAAGACGAGGCTGCGCCAGTTACACGTAATATGCTTTTATCTCCATAATCTGCTTTCGTCTTCAAGCAGAGGCTCTTCTGTGATGCTGGAATTTGCCGACTAGTAAGCCCGTGGAATACCAATATCGACAGTATTCCTCTTAGTATTCCTCTTACAATCTCTAGTGTAGTTGCTGCTCACACTCTTAAGCCGAATTTATTCGACCAAGGCTTCCGATTTTCCAAATTAGTCAGAGTTGATGTTCCATACATCTAGATACTCAGTGTCGTATCTTCGCGATCGTTTTCTGCTTCGTATTGACCAATAACGTCCTCAAGAATCGGTGCCTTCTTTATACCTGACTTCATTTGGCCGTGGACTATACAGTGATGTTCTACTGCAGCTTAATTGGTGATCTCAAGGCTGTGATATGTTTCCACAAGGATAGTTGTCTTTCAGAAGTTGAACATATGTGAAATCCAGAAGATCCTGTCCTGTCTTTCTTCTCTTTGGCGAACAGGGTCGGATTACTGACGATGCTGAGAGAGTGAACTCTCTGTTTTGTGTTATGCCACCTACGATGAAAACTTTGCCAAGGGCGGTAGAGGTAAGTGCCTGTATGGCTTCGGCATGTTGGCCAGTGAAACGGCCCTGCTCTGCGAACGCTTGAATGCCGGGAAATATTTTTGTCAAGTCCAATCGACGACGAGAAAGATTCTCATCAAAGGCTTGGAAGTAGCAGCTTCGGGGGCCCCGATTCAGGTAAATCGACCTTCGCTGCAGAAGCAAGGATGAAAATGTAGCAGCTTGGGATCAGTTATTGTCCATCGACAGATTTTTTGATGATTCTGCTTCTGTAAAGTTCCAGCTTCACACAGAATAATCGGTCGAGAGAATTGTGACAAGGCTGTATTGTAAATCTTTGGTGAGTAACAGCATGCCACATAGACAGGCGCCGTCTCTCCATTTCCTCCCGTAGTGGAGACGTCCGTCCGTCTGCGTGAGAGAGCGGTCGAGCCAAGCCATGCTGAGAATGTAAGGAAGGTCGGCCAATTCCATCCAATTCGGCCAATAAGGGAAATAATGAGTGCATACTGAAGTGATATTCCAGGGCCACTGCCCAGTTGTGTAGTGCAACGTCTTGGGAAATTGCCGTTCTAGTATAAGCCCGCCGGTAATTTGGGTTTCTTGTCGATTGTTTGAAATGTTCTCTGCAAAGAAATCCCAAACAGAAACATCTGATAGAAACACATTTCCGCCTTGATCCAACACCATGTGTTGGATTCCATGAGCCCAGAATGTGGGTGCTTGGTCCAATATTCTGCCACACGAGAGTCAAAAGTCGAGAGAAATTGGCGACATAAGACCATGGGACCATAATTTCCTTGTTGCAATCTCATGAACATTTGCCCAAGTCAACTGACTAAAAGCACCTCAGTGCTCGCAAACACGCGCGCGAAAGGTAACACCAAGTATTCGTGCCTCTCCTCTCTTGATCGCAAATAGACGCAAATATGGCTCACCGACCAAGGTCAGGGAATTTGGCAGCATCTGGAAAAGCACAGCTGCTCAAACGTTTTATCACGGTCGTAGTCTCTCTCACGAGAATGGGCGATCGCGGTAGTCTTGTGCTCGTAGAATGGTTCCTTGAGTACTCAATTTTATCTTGTGAGTTTATCATATTAGTACAATCAGGTTTATCCATGGGAATGAGGGTATTGTTTCTGAAGAGGTAATCATACCTAGCATTGTTTTATGTCTTGTTGGCAATGTAAGGAAGATTTCCTGTTAGTATGGTAATTGGCATGTTGCTCGCATTCGTCTGGATCTTTGTTAATGACGGATTAGCCGGTATATGACAGCAAACATACCATCATGTTCATTATAGAGCCCAACCACACTCGAAATAATTGGGTCCAGAATTTCTCCGTATTGAGAATTCAGAATATGTGAATAGTGTCGTAGTTCGTAAGTAGCCTGCTGTTAGTACCAGGCGGGAGTCAAACCCAGATATAAATTTGCGAGGGGATGTCATGCTAGGATGCCCTAAGCAGGAAGATTCCTGTTCAATTTGCATCTCCCAGCGAGATACTTAGCCGAGGCTGGCGGCACAAACGTAAACGGCCGTCGTTGAAACGCCACCCTCCAGAGTAAGACAGCAATGTGTCATTAATGATCATTATGCGTAGTGATTTCGGCGACATTTGCTTGGGATAAGAGGGGGGAGCGGCAGCGGCAGCGCGGAGCGGGGAGGATATAGGGACAAGAAGAGGCCTAGGGACTACCTTGAGAGCCATGATTCGGCTTGAGATAGACAGGCTGTGTTTGAAGTTCTATACTCCAGTATGTTTATCTTCTTGACGTCTATGCGGATGGTATATCCCAGGGCGCTCTTAGTTATGACGGCGAGTCGTTCATGGCAGATGGGGAATCCAGGTTTCTAGATTCTGACCAGGTCGCAAATGACGATTTCTGCCTGCTGGTTTGGCGACTCGTCTATGTTGCGTACTGACACCAATCTGCGAGGGACTTTTGCTCCTGGGGGCTCTGCAATATCCTTTTCCAGTAGAAGATTTTGTTAGCTGTAGCCGATAATGATTAGGGTTCGACAGGGATGATATGTGTGGCTGAAATCCATGATGTTAGAGGTACAAACCATTCCAATAATGCAGAGACATGTATCAATATGATGTCTCTGGATGAGTAAAAAAGACCTTGGTTGCCTCTTCACAGCCTATGTTGGTGAAGCAAGGCATTTCGGGTCTCAAGATTGCATGACGCTTTGTCTGTAAGTCTGTGTCGTAAGGATGAATGGAAGCGGCAAAGCATTCTTATATTCGGGGCGGCAGTGAGGGTTAATATATTCGAGCAAAGTTGTTTGTAGCCAACCTACATAACAAAGCAAGCAACTACCCGTAGAGTCGGTGAAGTGAATGTTGTCTTGCCCCTATGGTGACGCCACCATTGAGGCTTGTATGCGTCTATCCAGCCCTCGTCATTTAGCAACTTGCAGTGAATTAACAAGAGACACACCGCTTTCTCATCTACCCGACTGACGTGTATAACACTCCATGTGTTGTGAAACAGAAGAAGAGAGAAGCACGCGTCTCGTACTTGTGGTGGAAGAAGATGGAAGCATTAAGTTGAGTCTCCTCTCCTCCAGACCAGATCCAAGGTTCCAGCTTTCAGTAGAAAAGTGCGAAACGATTGATCCAAGTAACTCATGTAATGATGGTAATGCTTTCATTAATACTGAATGTTATTTCATTCTCCATTGCCTTGGCTGTCCTCATGAAATCTCATATGTGTCCTCATATTATCTCTGTCAATGCTGCATGTATCCAATTAATCTTTCGTCAATGCCACAAATTCCCTATACGCCATCCTAAAAACAGTACGCGCATGAATGTTTACAACAACTTCTCTCGCCCTATAGTCCACTTACACCGATCATAGCGTTTCACAGTGCGTCTAGTTGTCTCTAAAGTTCATAGGCCACTTTGGCCGCTGAGCCTCCCATGTCAAGTTTACCCCTTGTTTCCTAGCCAGCCGCCTAATTTTGTCAAAAGACTCTCCCGATATCTGCGTGGCCTCTATAGACTTGAGCTTCACGAATTTCAAGACATCCTCAATCGTGAGGAGGTACTCCGTGACACCAGACACGGATGACCCCAGCTTCACCTCCTCCAATGAGGGAAACTTTTGTAGAAATTTGACCAATGGGTGATCTAATGCATTCACATAAGCTTTGAAGCTAAAGTCATAGATGCCGAGGCATCGAATACTCTCAGCCCCTTCGAGCCACTGGTATTTTTGGATGTGATCCGCACTAGTTTGCCCAGGTGCCTCGTCCAACCTCGGGAGAGGGAAACAAATGTCGAAAGTATAAAGTTTTCCGGATCTTATGGGTGATTCGAACAACCTCTCTGCTATCTGAGGTGACACGACTAGGTTGGAGAGGCGTAAGATCTCCAGATCTTCGTATTGGTATGCATGATCTTGGTGCATGTTGCTGAATATGTCGTTACTTGCCCGTCCATTGTTGTTGTACTGCCAGTTATAATTTATCTCTAAAGCCCTGAGTTTCTTTCCATGATTTAAAGCTGTTACGAGTTGGTACGCCTCAAGGGTAGATGAATCGCTGTGTGCAAGCCAAAGGTTAGTGCCCCTCTCAAACACTTGCGCTCTCGTATCCACAATGGTGAGAGACTTGAGATTGGGAACACAACAGTCGTCAAATTTCTCGCGAATTGAATGACTGCAATCCAGAATGAGATCCTCCAGGTAGAGCTGTTCAAGTTGTGGAGTGCTTTTCAACAAAGCCACCTAATGGACGTCAGTTTATAATTGCAAGAACGGCATTAATTTGAACTGCTTACAACAGATAATACCCATGGCTGTTCTTTGCCCTTGGACAGCTTGAGATGCCTCAACTTAGGCATCATAGGCACCTGCACATCAGTGAACCATTGTCTGGGAACTCCCGAAAGGATTAGGGTCTCTAGATTGGGAACAACTGCCGATAAAAATCTTCTATAAGAGTCGACTGTTTGATTTGGCCCATTGAAACGATGAAATCCCTCAAGATTCAGGTATTTGAGATATTTTGGAGGTCGCGTGAGGTCTACGGCTTCACATGGGTTAATTACTTCCAAGCGTTCCAGTCTTGTTCCTGCGTTCAAGAAGGCGTTGAATTTCCTCCGGTCCAGATATAGTTTTCGAGCATCGGCTATTACAAGCTCCCTAATATTGTTCATTGAGTAGGAGAGTAATTTCTTCAAGGAGTCGAATGAAATGGGTTTCTTGGGTACCGAAGCTCCAGTGAAAAGAAGGGACCTCCAAAGTTGTGCGCATGCAGGCGCCGTTAACGCGTTCTTCCAAGATTTGGAGACTCGCAGACATTGACTGGACAATACAAAACCTGTGGATTAGCATTGGTTAGAATGGATCAAGGGCTCGATTGACACTACCATAGCATTGATAGCTCTAAACGGCCAAAAATATCCAGTATAAGCTCTGGCGGTAGATGAGCTTTTGACATCCAACTAAGACTCGGAAAGTTACTCAAGGGATCAACCTTGGCAAACTTTGATTTGAGGGGAATTCGAGCTTTGTCAAGACGCTTTCTTCTTGTCAGCATAACTTTACTATTGCCTGAGAGCTTCTAATTCGACGCAAATAAACCTACTCGTAAATCTTCTACTTGAAAGTCGCCTCTTTCAAGGAACACCAGAATGCCGTCAGTCAGTACTTTGAGGGAATCTATTGGATTTTCTTGCATCCGCAGAATCTTGCTTGCCCGGAGATAGCCCTTTGCACGGTAAGCGACAAGAACTTGTGATGTGTGTTGAGATTGTTCAGAGGATGCATACTTCGGGCGAACATGGCGCAACGTCCATCATCCTCCGCGCGTCAGCTAGCGCACGACGAAGATCTGGAATCTTTTCAAATGTTCCAGCTCGATAGTTGAGAGCTTGGAGATGGAGGGGGTTGCCACACTCGAGTGCTGGAAACTCGGTAGCTACTTGGTTTGCTTGTGCATTTTGGTCAAACTCCTGTCCCACTGAATCTCTCCGCTTCCTCTTCCTCTTTTCTACCTCACATGGGCAAAGCTTGATGGCCTGGATGTAGTTAGCAGGGCGGCTGCACGAGTTTATGGTGCATGATCGCTGACATCGGTGAAAGAACCAAGGGCCAGTTTGTAATGCCGGGCTACATATTTAGCACGGCCGGCTGAGATGGCTTCTTGCATTGAAAGACCGCCATCAGACGACATGATGATTGCACATGCACTCTAGTTGATTGATTCCGAAAAGTGTCGAGATAACGACGAGGGCCTGTCTGCGTGCTCAAGATAAAATGCTGTGAAGGTAGAGAATAGGATATGATGCTGACTCCAAACAGAAAGTAAATAACATTCAGCTATGCAAAATTGCAGCGCGTCGCTTTGGATGGCTGTAGAGCATCCCGTTTTTAAGACGTTCAAAGATGATGGAAGTGGTAAAGAGACTGAAGTGGACGCGATTCTGCTAACGCGTATTGGAGGATCGGCTATTTTAGAGGTGTCACCCCCACAGCGGCCATTATCCAGATCCGCAGGTCCCAGGTGTATTAGTATACATCACAACAGCCATTAATGTTACCTCACAAAATAAAAAAATATGAAAGAAATTAAAACTGGAAAGAAGCTGAACCTGACCTTTCATTAATTGCATGAGCAAACAAAATCACATTGAGATGATTCGTCTGTATAATTTTATCTGATGATTCACCAGGCATCCGATAACATACCCTACATTGCAGCAGATGACACTATCCCAGGCATCATCTCTGATAGTCACAGGAAAAAAGCAAAATCCAGCCAAGTTTCCTCAAATTGATAGGCAGAATCTATAACTTTTTATGACCCAGGGAAGAATATACCATCTCTATTTGACATCGCCGACCCCATGCTACTGTTTAAGACGAACAACGCCTGCGATGAATCCCCTAACACCATTGCTAATCCAGCACTCTTCGCCATCAACCAAGGAGCTTGCAGGCACAGGTTGCTCGATGGCCAGCCCCCTGTTTTCTATCATTAGCTTGCCCATGGAATACAATCTGCTCTAATCGAAAGCTTGGTAGCTTACCTTTCCAAGGCCCAGCGTCTTGAGGTGCCGTCTTGGCCACCACTTCCAGCTCCCAAGCTGTAGGCCGCAGAAACAGGGGGAGTGACCCATTGTCCATCTCGCCAGAAGTATGGCGTCGTTAAACTTCCCTCCATGATGGATCCGTCATCCTTGTTAATTAATAGGACCTCCCGCTCATCTGTCAGAGCAATGGCAAGCCTCTGGCGGGAAGAATCGTACATCTCCCTCTTTGTCGTCTTGAAATGCGTGTACTCTGACGATGCAGTTTGAGCACCATCGAGCACTATTGCCCAGCAAGGAGCTTTCTTGGGCTCCTGAGGAGTGGACGGAGAGTCAGGAGAAGGCAGTCGCAGAGGAAGTAGATTTTCAATGCCAACCGGAGCGGTGTTGTTCTTTTCGAAACTCATAATGCCTTCGCGGCTGACGACAACCTTGAAGCGGAGCGGAGTCTTTTGGGATGAACCGATGAATTTCTCGGCTGACTTGACCAACGTCTCCAAGCCCTTCTGGCCCGAGAGAAGTTGGACAGCCTTGTCCCACTGCCAATGGGTTGCTGCCCGCAGCATGCGATCGCGGTGATAGTCGAGCATGTAAAAGGGCGACTCATTGGCGGTGTTCCATCCTGCGTAATCGATACCCTTGGAAGCAGCCTCTAATAAAACAGGGTCGTACCGAAGAGACGTAAAGAGGGAAAATTCGTCAGCCATGGTTGCCAATCAATTCATGTACTGCCAATGTGGTGAATGTGGTTGCTCTTGGGTTTATGTTCCTGTTTATGCCCGAGTCTCTGCGTCACACTGTGTCTCTGTTGATATTGCAGATATGTAATGAGTGGATGCGTGTATGGTTAGATGAAGAGACGAGATATGCGAAAGGCGTATGAGGTATGAGTATCAGGTATATAGCTACTAGGTAGATACTCATATATAGGGCGTGTAATCTTATATGAACTTTGAACAGAGATGTTCCGAAAATAGGACTACTAAGTGTATGCATAAAAAAGCAGCTCTCACGAAACGGAACTATGGAGGGGTTCACAGTGCGCGCCCAATCCGCTCCATGTCAAATAGACAGCCACTTAGCGGGCAAATGCAAGAGCTTCACAGGATGAAAGAAGAGACGAATCGGCTTTAGGAATTACCGCGGCATGTTTGCCAGGCTGGGAACTCGGGCACATATGCTAGGTACATACATGAATGCGCAGCACATGTACATCCTTCGCACATGCAGCTTTGGTCATCTTAGTGGCAGCTTCAACTGTAAGTCAGAGCTGACGGCCATCGTGCAGCAGTTGGAGAAGGGCTATTGAATGGAGAATTGGATTGAATGGATCATGGAATATTACAGGCGTGTAAATGGGCCAATGGCTGGATGGACAGATGACCCGAATCAACGGCCACTTATCCGCGACCGGCCGCAGTTTGCCTCTCGCCAGCTGCGATGATATCACCTTACACTGCCCTAGTACCGACTAAGTCGTACCATATCGTATCACGTTAATAGCATGGAACTTCAATATTCGTGTCGAGCCTCGGTATAGAGTATATAGTACCGAGAGACTGGAGGAGATGAAAGGCAAATAAACCAAAGTACAGAGACGGGACGTTGCCTCAGGCATCTCTCCAGGCCGACCCAGTGGTGCGTATGCGAGGTGTTGTTGATTTTTTTTTCTCTCGCAGCGGCTAGAGCTGGTGGAGACAAAAAATAGCAGAGGCGCAGGTCAGTGGGCTGGGATCGAAGTGGGTGGTTTTGCTCTCAATCGTTAGCAGAGAGGTGGGTTAGTAACCGCCCGTGGAAATTTCGACTAGAGAGGATTGAACCTCTGTGCCATCATTTCTCGTTCTTCTGCGCGTGCCCAGCTGCTGCAGCTCTTCCTGCGCCCGACATCATCGACGGCTATCCCAGCAGCATCTGCGTCCGTCGCCTCCATCGCCTCCATCGCCTCCAGACCTGGCAGCGCTCTCTCTTAATCCCGCCCCCAGCATGTCCAACCCGCTGCCGTCAATGCCTCCGGGCGCCATCGCCGTCGACGCGAGCTCTTCCTCTACCTGGGACCGGATATCCTCGTGGGTGTCGGAGAATAAGGCTGTTGTCTACACCATTGCCGGCGTGGCCGTTGTCGTCACGGGCGCTGGAGTTGTTTACTATCTGAATTCCGATTCGGTATGTTTTGCCCATTTCTGCATAGAGGGGTTGTTCTGGAGATGCGATGCTCGATTAGGCATGACGACATATGGATCGCACAGCTGTGCTGCCGTCGTCGCCGAATTGGGTCGGGGGAAAAGAACCCGGATGGCATAGATGAGGAGTTGATTGCGAGAAAAGTGTATCGTATTCTAACCAGAGCCTTTCGCAACAGAAGTCCGATGCATCACCAAAGCTCAGCAAGAAAGAGAGGAGGAAGCGCAAGGAAGCCGAGCGCAAGGCCGCCGACACAAAGGCCTCACAGCCCAAAGCCACCGTCGAAAGCGAATCCGAGCTACCGGAAATCGATGAGAGCTCCGTCCTGCAGTTGGCCCCAGAGGTTCGAGAGCAGTACGCCGCCCGTCTGAAGCAGGCCGGCAACAAGGCATACGGAGATAAGGCATATAACAAGGCCATCGACCTCTACTCCCAGGCCATTCTGTGCAAGCCCGATGCCGTCTTCTACTCCAACCGAGCTGCCTGCTACAGCGCCATGAGCGAGTGGGACAAGGTCGTCGAAGACACCACAGCGGCCATCACCATGGACCCCGACTATGTCAAGGCTATTAACCGTCGCGCCACTGCCTACGAGCACCTGAAGATGTACTCCGAGGCCCTTCTCGACTTCACGGCTTCTTGCATTATCGACAACTTCAAGAGCGAGTCGACTGCTCAAGCTGTTGAGAGGTTGCTCAAGGTCTTCGCCGAGCACAAGGCCAAGGAAGTCATGGCATCCAGACCCGCCAAGCTCCCTAGCCCCATCTTCGTCGGCAACTACCTTCAGAGCTTCCGACAGAAGCCTCGCCCGGCTGCTCTCGACGACTCAGTCGAGCTTCCTCTCGACACCGGCCTCGGACAGCTGCAGCTCGGTTTCCAGGGGCTGGAACAGAAGACAGCCGAAGGATATGAGGAGGCCAGGCAAGCGTTCGAAAAGGCCATTGAGCTGGGCAACCTCGGTGAGCATGAAGCTCTCGCATACAACCTGCGAGGTACCATGCGAACCCTGCTCGGCAACCATGCCGAAGCCACTCAGGACTTTGACAGGAGTATCGAGCTTGACCCCACCATGACCCAGAGCTACATCAAGAGAGCCAGCATCAGCTTGGAGCTGGGCGAGCCTGACAAGGCAGACGCTGAGTTCGCCAAGGCGCTCGAGCAGGACAATGACGATCCCGATGTCTACTACCACCGCGCCCAGGCTCACTTCATCAAGGGTGATCTCGCTAGCGCGCAGAAGGACTATCAGAAGTCTATCGACTTGGACAAGGACTTCATCTTCTCCCACATTCAGCTGGGTGTCACGCAGTACAAGATGGGCTCCATTGCTTCATCCATGGCTACCTTCCGCCGATGCATCAAGAACTTCCCCAAGGTCCCCGACGTCTACAACTACTACGGCGAGCTGTTGCTAGACCAGGGCAACTTCCCTGAGGCCATTGAGAAGTTCGACACCGCCATGGAGATGGAGAAGCAGTCCAAGCCCATGTCCATGAACGTTTTGCCCCTAATCAACAAGGCTCTGGCTCTCTTCCAGTCAAGTTCGGACTTTAAGGAGGCCGAGAAGTTGTGCCAGAAAGCTCTCATTAGTTAGTATCCCCTGCTTCTAAACCCCATTATCCCATAATGCTGACATTATCTGTAGTCGATCCCGAGTGTGACATTGCCGTTGCTACCATGGCACAGCTTTTGTTGCAGCAGAACAAGGTGACGGAGGCGCTCAAGTACTTTGAGCGCGCTGCGGAACTTGCTCGAACCGAGGGCGAGATCGTTAACGCTCTTTCATACGCCGAGGCCACACGAACCCAGGTCAAGGTGACGGAGAAGTACCCCAAGCTGGCAGAAAAGCTAGCAGGCGGTCCAGGCGGTCCTGCCGGCCTGCGTATGCCTTAAACTTGCATCTCACAAAGATGCTAGACGAAAAGGTTTACGCCCCCAAGGTCAAGAAAAAAAATAAAAGAGAAAAAAATGGAGTGAATAAAGATGGGAGGATAGCCCTCGGATACGCACACATGCACACATACAAGCTGTTGCGTGTGACAAGTTATGAACCTAGTGTGCTCATGTAACAACGATGTACATGGCACGAATATTTTATACTGCCGACGATGTGGGAGTTGGGAGGAAACTGATTTTTTTTTTGCTCTTTCGGGCTCGCATTCCCTCTTCCCCCTTCTCTTGGTCCTGCGGCGCAAGGCAAAAAAACAGCAATTAACACCAACACTTTACGGGTATGATTAAGCTCATGATTTAGGGTGTATAAGTAAAGGGGGGAGAGAAGGGGGAAGAATGGGAATGAAAGAAGAACAAAAAAAAAAAAAAAGAAGAAGAGCATGTGAAGGACTGGATAGCCTCAAGGGAGGGAGCGAAGGGAAAAAAAGGGGGCATGAAACGGAGGGGGGAAAAAACTCGCTTGTTAATGCAGAAATGAAACCTCTCTCTGTACATTGATACTATAATGGCATCTTACGTCCTTCGATATGTAATGGTGTCAAGAAGTACCTACTTGATCTTTTGTATTTGTACTTGTATTTTCGTTTGTTTTTGGATCTGTCACCATTCCTTCTCCCATACGATGGAGATGCATTGTATGGAGGGAGGGGATGGATGTATTACTATCACCGCTTGTACAACCGGGAACCAGGCAAAGAGAACTCCTCTCATAAAAGCAAATCCTCATCATTGTCCACTTCATAAAGTTATAAAAAGCCCTATCCTATGTTCATCCGTACCAACCACATGAACTCCCGCCTCCTTCCCTTGCCCGTCCTTCCAAGTCATCAGCATCCGAGAGTTCATGGCATTAAGATTCATCAAATCGGCCTCCCCCAATTTCCACGCGAAATCCGCTTTTCTCCTCGCCGGGTTATTTCATTCTCCCCGTCCTTTTGCCGCTGCAATCGACACTACTTTCCACCCCTCCCCCCTTTCTCCCCAGCGTAGCGTCTCGAAGTAAGAATTAAGATTGTACAAATAGTCGTTCGCTGCGAAGAGGCGTAATGCTCCTCCAGTTGCAGTTGGATACATATTTCATGGTCTAAGAAGAAGAAAAAAGGAAAAAATAATTACGCCCCGTGAGCCATAGAAAGAGGCTCCCCCTGTTTGAAGTTTGAGAAATAAGAAAAAAAAAGAGCAAATAATAATTGGGGCAATGGCCAGATGATGGTCAAGGCCGATTAATGCTTGTTGGTCAAAGCCACACCAAGACCAACGCCGAGAGCAATGGCCAGGGCAATGAGGAAAACAATGAAGGCGCACCACCACTTGAGGCGGCGGGTGCGGCGGGCGTGCTCGATACCCTGGCTGACCTGCTCGTTGCCCTTCTCGATGTTCTGGACTGTGTTCTCGGCGTTTACCTCGGCGGCAACAACTACGTTCTCCTGTTGCTCGACCATAGCAGCAAGTTCCTGGAAAAGGATGGCGAGCTCGGAGAGAGTCTGCTCGATTCGCTGGAGCTCATTGTGGCGAGCGCGCACATTGCCAAGCAGAGAGGCAGCGTGGCCAGTGCGGTTGGTGCGAAGCTGCAAAGAGCTGGGTCAGCATTGCTTACGCTTATACATTCCATAGACAGGCGCGGGATAGGAGTAAACCCGAGCCCTCGGAGAAGGGGGAAACAACTTACAGCAGTCTGGAAAACACCCTCATTGCTCCAGTCGGCCTCTGTGGCCTCTCGCACCTCTTCCTCCGACGCTTCCGGGTTCACGATGCGAAACTGTCTCGCAATCTGCTCTCGGTAGCGCGCCTGGTAGTCACGCTCAATGCTCTGGTACTTGTCGAGCTCGGACTTGAAAAAGGTCTTGAGCGACTCGAGCTGGGTCTTCTTGGTAGTGCGAGAGGCGTCTGTTGTCTTGAGCAGGTCGCGCTCAAGACCCTTGATGCCATCCTTGATGGCGGTGTTGCGGATTTGCGTCTGCGCAACATAGTGCTCCAGCTGCTGGTTCGCATCCTGGTCAGTGGCGCTGAGAGTGCGCTGGTGCAGCTGTCCAATGAAGTCAATGTCGCCAGTCAGCGCCTTGATGTCGTTGCGCAGGCTCTGCACGCGGTTGAGGAAGTCTTGCTGCGACAGGACTGTGGGCCGGGATCCCTGCTCTTGGGAGTAGCCATTGCCAGCAGCGTTGTAGTCCTGCATCTCATAGTTGTTGCTGGTGTTGTACGGCGACGCATTATCGCTCGCATTGGTGGCATATGGGTTTAGCTACCAGGCGCATTCTTTGTTAGCATTCGATCGCCCTTTGCTTTACGCGGATCACGACCGCCCTGCAGCGACGATTTTGCTTACCTGACCATAGCCGCCGCCGTATCCAGACTCCTGGGTAGGGCCTTGCGAATAAGGATTCTGCCCGCTCGACATGGTGGAAGAGCGTCTATTGAACTTTTTTCGCTGGTGGTGGAAGTGTGATGATGATGTTTAGGCGAAGGGCTAGAGTCGGTGCGAAAGCTTGGCTTTGCGGTGTCGCAGTTACGTAGGCAGGTAAGGTAGTGAATAAAGTGTGAAAGCGGAAGAGACGGTCTGGTGCTTGAGGGTTCGAGAAGATGACCAGCACAGAGCTCTAATTGGTGGGGGCTCGCAGTACGAGTACAGAGCAGCAACTCAGAACACAACAGGTGCTGTAGCTATACCGAAGCTGCTTCGGGTGGTGCGGAGGTGGAGGAGGAGAAGAGGTCAGGACGGCAATTTGTTTTGCGCGTCCAAATGCGGAAGATGGCAGAGGCGCACCGCTACTGTACGAGTACGTTAGGTGAAGAAAAGTAAGGCCGAAAAAAAAAATTGATTCTAGTTGTCTAGGTACATGCTGATGTACTGGTAGATGTAACCAGGACCTCAAGGCAAGGGAAGCAGCCCAGAGGACCCCGGGGATGACGTACCGCCGATTGCTAATTCAAGCCGCCTGGGGACTCGGGACTCCGTAGAATGGATTAGAACGAAGCAGCGTATTCAAGGCAAAAACAGAGAGCTTGTGGCTTGTTTTCTGTCTCGCCTTTTACCGGCGACCCGAGGCCAGAATCCGGAGCGTCCTTCATCTAAAAGCAAGCTTCCATGGTTCAGCGTCTTTCGCTGCGGATCAGCGGAGCCTTTGTCAGCGCTGCGCCCAGTGGTTAGCAACTGGCGCCATTACGAAGCCCGCTAAAAGGCCCATTGCCATCACGTTGTTTGACAGCTCCACAAGGCCCTTTGCAGGCCTAATAGAGCAGCTGCAGTGGCCCAAGCGCCCGCCAATCGATGCGCATCAAAGTCATGGCCATGAACCATGCCTGTGTTCCATGGCTTGGGCTTCCCAAATGAGCCAATGGACGGCAGGCTGGAGGATGCGATCATTGCGCGTCAGTAGCCGGAATTAGTGGCTTCGCCCTGCTAACGGATGGGTTTGCGGCACTAAAACATTTTGACCCGTTCGATTCATCGCGGTCACGGCCAGAGAAATAACCTTTTATTCAAAGCTTGCTACAGTATCCATCAACCACCATAAAATCTACGAGAGAATTCGTTTGTAGCTTGCGCAAAGTTGTGCTTCAAGCCGTGCCGTGCTGGACAAGGCGTGCGAAGAGCGGCAGGTCAGATATTTGCAGGATCAGATGATACCAAGTAGTATAGGCAGGGGTCGGTAGCTTCGTATTCTTGCCGGGCGGAGCGGTTACATCACATCCTCTGGTACGTGTATTCTGCATCAATTGATGCATCCTCCAGCTCTACCTAGCCTGCTAGGCTGTTCCATAGTACAGAATCCGTGCAGCTCACGGCTCAGTGCTCTTTACGGATAAATGCTCGCTCACTGGTCGAAATTCACATGCAGCGGCTCTAACATCTTTATTGAAATTGGCCCTATCCTTTCTTCTTTCATACCCGCAAGGTTTGGTACTGTGGCGTCAATTGCTGCCAAACACATACATTTATTACTTGTTTTAAAAATATGAATAAAATTCACCACAAATTGCCCAGTGGTATGTACAATAACCATAAACGTCATTATATACAGCCGTGATCCCAACAGATTGTCTCGAAAAATTCCACCCAACCACCCGCTTGGATTCGTCAATCGCTATTGCGCATACATTAGCCACCACAAACCAATTAGATCTAAGCAACGTCTCTTCGACTCCCTTCCCCATCACAATACTCTAGGCCATGTACAAGTATTGAAACTTTGGAGCCGTCCACGAAGCCTTACGTTGCCATGGTGGCGAAGCACCCTCAACATGATTGCTGACGTTGAATCCAAGTGCCTCCTGGTCGGCTAGCCTGATCTTTAGTTTTTGAAGTCCGTCATAACTGGAAACGCTAGAATCCCAAATCTTCCAGCCACGGGCCGCTTGGTGTTCTAGAAGTAACCTTCAGTATGCAAAGAGAAGAGGTCGAAAACTCGATTTGCCAGATGAAACGCTCCCAGTCGTGAATTAGAGATAGTTCTTCTTCTTCGACGTCCGTGTGTATTGAGACAGATGCCACTCAACATCGCCATCCTTGTTCTCTAATGTTCCGCCACGGATCTCGAATATTCTCATCGTCATTCGAGGGCCAACTTCGGCCAGCTCAACGCTGTCGTAGCCTGTCCGTACGAAAACGTGATGTCTGACTTCAATGCTGTCATCGATGTTTTTAAACGTCACCACGCGGTTACCAATCTTGGTCTTGCTAGTGATTGGCTCTCTGGGAGGGAACAAGTGCTTTAGAACTTTAACGACTCGCTCTCCCAGTCGAGTTGTGAAGCCGTCGAAGATGAGGTGAGGGTATGACTCTGACACAGTTCCTCGAACACTGCCAGGGATATCGTGGCGGAGCACAACGTTGTGCAGGGAGAATGAAACTGTCGGTCCGTGGGGAAAATGCGAAATTGTCAAGGCCGTAGGTGTACCACGATGCTCGTGAAGCAGAAGCATGTCGGATAGACCCGCAGACTGGGCGGATTTGACGAGGTCGGGTAAGATGAGATTACCACGGTTCATGCGGATTGAGGTTGGTAGAAGGAGCCTGATTTCCTTTGCAAAAGCTGATAATCTGGCCGAGGGGTCGCGAGAAGTGGTTACGAGAACTCGAGGGTCGACGATGCCAGACAGTTGCGCATACTCGTCATCCAAGTCCAACTGCTCATTCGTAGTAAGATCCCGCGATTCGTCATATTGATAATCTTTCCTCAGTGACTTGTCATTGGCGATTGTTGGATCCAATGGCTTTCCCGAAGCGAGAGAGGCTCTCAGCTTAGCTCTTTTCTCGCTGATTTCAGCATCCCGCAGAAGAACCGCTCGTCGGTAGAGGTAATCACGCCTCTGGCGTGCTTGTTTGCGCTGCGATCATCCAGTTAGTAACTCTCACATCCCCTTTCAATATCCACAGGGCATTCAGATCAACGTACAATCATATTGGATGCTCAACCTCTTGCTGAACAAGTCTAACTGCTGGCTGTCAAGGCTGGCGCGAAAACAGTCAAAAAAAGTTGGCTTATCAGTTTTGCCGAATCTCGAGCTTATCGATAAGCCGCCCGCCTTATCACGTGGGCGCATATTATCCATCCCACCAAAGCCAAAGCCTAGCAATCCCTGGTGCCAGGGTCCGTCTAGCCGCTTCCACTTCTTGATAATAGATCCAGGCTGTTCAGTGCAGAAAAACACTTTCTGGCTTTTGGATCGACTCTCTCTCACCGACTGATACTTTGCCTGAAAAACTAGACTCGGAACTCGCATAGTCTAGTCGCCATCTTTTTTGCGTCTTCTTTTTCTGTCCCCCCGCCCGGTGTCTGCGGCGATGATGTGAGGCCGCTGACGAGAATCACGAATCCCTTCCCTTGAACTATCCGCGCCGAAGCTTGTCGCAGCGGATTTTTCCAGATCCTCAGAATTTATACTTTCCAGGTAGCTTTCCCCCTTGGATCCTTTAGTGTATATTTGCTTGAGCGTCCCTCCTCCTTGTTGTGTTGCCACTCTTTCTCCCTCCCCTCTTGTGTCACGACTCCTAACAAATTCACTCTCGCCCGCTTCGAGGCTGACTTATCACCATCTCAGCACCGTACGGCGCACCTGCCCTACTCACCGATACAACATGGAGGGCGCGTTCACCCACGTGGGCAATCACCTCATCTCCGACTCAGCTGCGGCCATCAAGGCTGGCGCTGATGACCTGTCGGCGCTCGACCCTGACGAGGCTCTCCTTTACGGCAAATATGGCGGCCAAAGTGGCCGGCGCCGAGCCGACGACGACGACAACCAGACGGAGGCATTTGAGGAGGACGATAACGACAGTCTCAATAGCGTCCCCATTGACCAAATGATGGGCATGAAATTGAAACACCCCGAGGAGGAGAAGGAACTCCCACCTCATGCATGCGCGTGAGCAATAACATGCGGTTCGTGGTTGATACAAGCTAACATGGCGTGGAAAGATACTGTGGCATTCACTCTCCGGCCTGCGTCGTCAAGTGCCTTACGTGCAACAAATGGTTTTGCAGCGCTCGTGGCAGTGGCTCCTCAACCCATATCGTCAACCACTTGGTTCGCGCACGACACAAGGAAGTGCAGCTCCACCCCGAATCGACTCTCGGAGATACTGTGTTGGAGTGCTATAGCTGTGGAACAAAAAATGCCTTCATTCTTGGATTTATCCCCGCGAAATCTGACGCCGTGGTCGTCTTGCTATGCCGCCAACCTTGCGCCGCCGCCAATTCGAACAAGGACATGAACTGGGACACCTCGCGATGGGAACCCCTCATCGAGGAACGGGCATTTTTGCCGTGGCTAGTGAACCCTCCATCTGATGCTGAGCAGCTGCGTGCTCGCCACCTGACGATGAACACGATTGCCAAGCTCGAAGAAATGTGGAAGCAGGAGCCCGATGCGACCATCCAGGACTTGGAGAAGGCCTCCAACATCGACGACGATCCTCTCCCCGTCCAGTTGACCTATGACGATCCCTACCACTATCAAAATATTTTTGGTCCCCTTGTGAAAATGGAATCTGACTATGATAAAAAGCTCAAGGAAGCACAGTCAGAAGATGGCTTGACCGTTCGCTGGGATTACGCTCTCAACAACAAGCACATTGCTAGCTTTAACCTACAGAAAATCGAATCGGGCGATGTCAAACTCGCAGTCGGCGATGAGATGCGACTGCGCTACACTGGCGAGCTCCGCGAGGAGTGGGAGGGAGTTGGATATGTCATCAAGATCCCAAACAGCCAGTCCGACGAGGTTTGCCTTGAACTCCGCAAGACTGGCAACGATAAACTGGTCCCTATCGACCTCTCTCATAACTTCTCGGCCGACTACGTTTGGAAGGCCACCTCATACGACCGCATGCAACTGGCCATGAAGACGTTTGCTGTTGATGACATGAGTGTTTCGGGATACATTTTCCACATCTTGCTCGGCCATATCTGTCAGCCGCCCCCGATGAAAGTCACGCTGCCTAAGAAGTGGTCTGCCCCTGGACTGCCTGATCTGAACCAAGGCCAAGTGGATGCAATTAGAGCTGTTCTGCAGAAGCCTCTCAGTCTCATCCAAGGCCCCCCGGGAACCGGAAAGACTGTCACGTCTGCCACCATCATCTATCACCTTGCCAAGATGAGCGGCAGCCAAGTCCTCGTTTGCGCCCCGTCCAACGTTGCCGTAGACCAGCTCTGTGAGCGTGTGCACCGCACAGGTCTCAAGGTGGTTCGACTTACGGCCAAGTCGAGGGAGGACGTGGAGTCATCTGTCAGCTTCCTGGCTCTGCACGAGCAGGTCCGCATGTCTGAGCACAACAGTGAGCTAGTGAAGCTATCGCAACTGAAGGTCGAAGTCGGAGAACTTTCGAGCCAGGATGAAAAGAAGCTGAGACAGCTCACCAAGGCTGCCGAACGAGAGATCTTGAGCAACGCGGATGTCATTTGCTGCACCTGCGTTGGTGCGGGCGACCCACGACTTTCCAAGATGAAGTTCCGAAATGTCCTGATTGATGAGTCTACACAGTCGGCTGAGCCGGAATGCATGATTCCCCTCGTTCTCGGATGCAAGCAAGTCGTCCTGGTGGGAGATCATAAGCAGCTGGGCCCCGTCATTATGAACAAGAAGGCGGCCAAGGCCGGCCTCAACAGGTCTCTTTTTGAACGGTTGATCAACTTGAAAATCAACCCAATTCCGCTAAAGACGCAGTACCGAATGCACCCATGCCTTTCAGAGTTTCCTTCCAACATGTTTTATGACGGCACCCTCCAGAATGGTATTACCCATGAGCAACGAGTTCGAAAGGACGTCGACTTCCCCTGGCCCGTGACCGAGATGCCCATGATGTTCTGGTCCAACATTGGCCACGAGGAAATCTCCACCTCTGGTACTTCGTACCTGAACAGAACGGAAGCATCAAATGTGGAGAAGACGGTGACACGTTTCTTCAAGGCTGGTGTGAAGCCGTCCGAAATTGGAGTCATTACACCATACGAGGGCCAGCGCAGCTACATTGTTTCAACCATGCAGAACTCCGGCACGTACAAGAAGGAACTGTACAAGGATGTAGAGGTGGCATCGGTGGATGCGTTCCAAGGCCGTGAAAAGGACTTTATTGTCCTGTCCTGTGTCCGATCCAATGACAACCAAGGCATCGGATTCTTGTCGGACCCTCGCCGTCTCAATGTCGCTCTCACCCGAGCCAAGTATGGTCTCGTCATTCTCGGCAACCCCAAGGTTCTCTCCAAGCATGAGCTGTGGCACAACCTCCTTGCTCATTTCAAGGATCGCAAGTGCTTCGTGGAGGGACCCCTTACCAACCTGCAAGCATGCCTGTTGCAGTTTAGCCGCCCAAGAGTGAGCTATCGCCAGAAGAACAGCCAGCCATCGCAGTACCCGGGTCCCAGGCAGCAAAATGGCCGGCTCAACGGTGGTCCTCCTGGTCGCGACTTTGACGCGGGCTCCATCGTTTCCTACATCCCAGACGACGTGTCGTCCATTCAGGGCTCAGCTTTTGGAGGCGCTGCGCTCAACTCGGCTTTCCCACCAATGTTCTCTAGCTTTGCGCCTGAGCAATGGCCCGGGCTGCCTGGAGTGTCGGCGCCGGGACGAGGACATAAGGGTCGCAACCGAGCGCCTGAAAGTGTTGCCGGCGAAAGTGTGGCCAACTCTGAGCTGACGGATGCCTCAGCCAGCGTCATTGGTGCCAAGGGGATTGGCCAGGGCGGCGTCAGTTTAGGGGCTGGGTTGCACGATGTTGTGACTGGAATGCGAGCAGTCTCGTATAGCCAGAGCGACCGACTGAAGCATTACGTGGAAAGCAGCGGCCGTATGAACCTTGGCAGTGGCTATGGGCGCCGCTACGACGACGACGAGAAGAGCATCAGCACTGCCTTCCACAGCCAAATTGGCGGCGGATACGATTGAGTGACAGGCGCAAGGCTCTCAAAAAAGCATTACTGCACAAGCAGGCGATGACAATAGGAATATCCTTCAAGGGCTCTACAGTAAGAGCATAGCTTCCGCGGGACTCATCAAAAACGTGATGGCTACAACAGCCGCTCCGCCGAAACGGTCGTGGGACAACGAAAAGTCCAACAGACTAGGGTGAATACGAGCACTTCGTTCCTGGCGATTCAGCTCATAGCTGTGGATGCGTATCGTAGCTGAAACTAGTTCACCGTCGAGATGAGCAGGGTTTTGTGGTCAAGCTTGTCGAGATAAACTGCTTGACACTCGTCCTGTACGGGGAGTTGGCAATGATAAATACTGCGATTGCTCTTTCAAGATATGCGACGAGCAGGTAGGGGAGGAACAACAATGGCTTGAGATGGTAGGATGAGAATTCTTTGTTTTATTTGGTGAAGATGGGAGATGATATTGAGGGCAGGCTGTCTTAAAGAAGGGCTCGATATTGGCAACTCGCTACCTATAAGAGGTGCTGCTGAACCTGAACCCTCTTGCAAGTTTGCAGGCTGCTTGTCCGTTATTGGTTGAGAAGATGCAAGTTGATCTTTTAATGCCAACTATAGTCACTCTTTAGCTTAGAAGTAGATGAAAAATAACCGTCATTCTTTGAATCCTGGCGCTTTGATCAAATGAAGATGCGGCATGGCACGCTACCGGTTACCCAAGCGGTACTAGCACCTGAGCGCCGATTGGTGCTAGTTTGGAGGCGCTGCGAATAAGAGACAGTCAGTGGTGATGTTAAACGCCGAATATGCAGGTACATGCAGTCAAGTCGTATTACAGTAGGTACGGAGTAGTGGTGAGAAAGGGGGTCCAGGGATACGGGCTTACAGTATTGGCGGATCTCCGCAGTCTATGTCTTTGAGTATAGACCTAAGCTCGTCATAAGTATCAATACTGTAGGGCAATTACTATGATTTTGGAAAACATTAGCACCATAGGTAGGCATGGAGCCCAGATTAACCCTGGAGGTGTGGTATGAATTCACGTTTACGAGTACCTGCTGAGGCACTAACTAATTTGACACGACGCCCGTCAGTTGATTGACATGGAAGTTGAGTTTACTATTCCACAGTGGTTGGTTTAGCACAGCAGTTAATTGCCCTGCACCCCTACTCTACTTAGTCTAGTCTGGGCACTGGAGGGAAGAGGCAAAGCACAAATTCCCCTCCAGACTATTTACTATACACCAACCAATCAAGCGCAACGGCTCAACCTCCACGGATCTAACAGCGCGGAGCTTTGCTATTTCGGGGCTTAGCCAGCAGGTGCCCTAGCGGTGTTGTCGGGGTCTTCGGAACGGGGCGAGAGCGAAGCAAAAGAACGGGGGAGGAAAACCGAGTTCTTTTTGGGGGGAGGGTCAAGGACATGGGAAGAAGTGGTGGACGGGTAATGGGATTTTTGCCAAGGGCGGCGAGGAATAGGAGTGACTGCGGCTTTTGGGCATTTGACTGACACCTTTGCCAAGTGATAAGAACACGGTACTAATACTAATAGGAAGACAACTTACAGCATACTGTAGGCGCCCTGGTGGATTATTACTAAGGACGGGCTGGATCCTACTGCAACTGTCCGTTGGGCAGCTGAAGCTGAAGCTGAACTTGAACTGCAACTTCTCTCTAGGCTAGGTTCTCCAGGGGCCTCCTGTTTAGCTGTTTAGGGGACTTTTTGCCAAGACGGGCTGCCAAGGCAAAAAACCACCGCAGTTCCCGCCCAATTAGCTCTGCTTACCTGCTGCCCCTTGTTGCCGTCCGTGGTTGTTGATTCTTTATTCCTTTTGATTCACGGTGCTTTGTTGGTTGCTGCATCTCTTTTGTTTTTTGGTCTCGCTGTTATTTCTTCTGCATCTGTCTGTCGGTCTTTGTAATCCACGCTCTCGATTGCTCTTCGTATATCCCTCCTCCTTCGGCCTTCTCGGGACGCACCGAATTTTGGAACCATTTGCGGCATTGTATAAAAACCATGTGCTCACCGTAACCTCACAAAAGCCGCCATGTTGAACCAGATCCAGGGCCGAGTCCCCCGCCGCTATGTTGCGCTCGTGGTCTTCTTTGCCTTTGTCGCCCTCTTCCTCTGGCGTGGCTTTGATGTCGTGCCTCGGCCGTCCACAGTCGGCAGATTCAAGTATGTGCCCAGCAGCTATGACTGGAGCAAGGCCAAGGTCTATCACCCCGTCAAGGGCATGAAGGGGCTTCCGCAGGGCACACCCGTGACCTTTCCCAAGGTGCAGCTGAGGAAGCATTCGGAGACTGAAGACGCCACTTCCAACGCTCGCAAACAGGCTGTCAAGAAGGCCTTCATCAAGAGTTGGGAGGCGTACAAGACCCATGCGTGGGGCATGGACCAGTTGCAGCCGCTCTCTGGTAACGGAAAGGAAACATTCAGCGGGTGGTCAGCCCAGATAGTGGATGCGTTGGATACCTTGTGGATCATGGATCTCAAGGAAGACTTCTTCCTGGCCGTCAAAGAAGTGGCGGTGATTGACTGGGCCACGACCAAGGACAGCAATACTATCAACCTGTTCGAGGTGACTATTCGATATCTTGGCGGGTTGCTGGCTGCCTATGATCTCTCCCAGGAGCCTGTCTTGCGCGCAAAGGCCATTGAGCTTGGTGATGCACTTTATGCCACCTTTGATACTCCGAACCGTCTGCCATCACACTGGCTTGACTACAGCAAGGCCAAGAAGGGTGAGCAGACAGCCGATGACAGCATGTCGGGAGCTGCTGGTGGCACCCTCTGCATGGAATTCACCCGTCTGTCACAGATCACGGGCGATCCCAAGTATTACGACGCCACGGAGCGCATCAAGCAGTTCTATTACCGCTTCCAGAACGAGACGTCCCTCCCCGGACTCTGGCCAGTGACCATGAACTTCCGCGATGAGCAGATAATTGAGACTCGATACACCATCGGAGCCGGCGCCGATTCCATGTATGAATATCTGGTCAAGATGCCCGTTCTTTTGGGAGGACTGGACCCCCAATACCCCGAAATGGCGATCAAGGCGCTCGATACCGCTAGGGATCACCTGCTGTATCGTCCCATGACTCCAAAAGACGAAAACATTCTCATGGCTGGAAATGCACTGGTGGACCATGGCAATATTCAGCGATTTTATGAGATGCAGCATTTGACTTGCTTCGCAGGCGGCATGTATGCAATGGCTGGCAAGCTGTACAAGCGAGACGACTATGTCGATATAGGATCCCGCCTCTCTTCCGGTTGCGTCTGGGCATATAACTCTTTCGCCTCTGGCATCATGCCCGAGGCGGCAGATCTGGCGGGCTGCAAGAGCCTCGACGGACCATGCCCATACGACGAGACTCTTGCGCCGCTGAGTCATGACCCGAGGATCCCTCCCGGCTTCTTGGACATCAAAAGTAGACACTATCTCTTGCGGCCCGAAGCCATTGAGAGCGTGTTTTACATGTACCGCATTACCGGAGACCAGGTTTGGAGGGATACAGCATGGCAGCTGTGGGAGAACATTATCAGAGAGACGGAGACGGAGCTGGCGTTTGCCATTGTCGAAGACGTTACGGTGAGCAGGGGCACCAACGGCGACGTCATGGAGGTGAGTTTTCCAACGAAACAGAAAGGATAAAGCAGGTCAACGGGCAATTGCTAACTTGTTTAGACATTTTGGCTGGCTGAAACGCTCAAGTACTTTTACTTGATTTTCGACGATGAAAGTGTGATCGACTTGGATGAGTGGGTGTTTAACACGGAGGCGCATCCGTTCAAGCGGCCGAGAGTCTGAGGACGGCGTTCAAAGGCATGTCTGGTGATTTATATGCGTATAGGTGATGAGGAAGCAATCTAGGAAACAATCTGAGACGAGGATTATAGGGGTAAAAAGTGTGGGATACAGTATAGATCGGCGCAGGGATGCATGTGACTGACTGCCTGGGCCAAGATGTCCATCCCAACGAAGCACAGTGAGGATGTTTGGATTTACAAGACATGTTTTTAAGCGAATTGGCTCATATCTCAGTCTGCATTTAATATAGAGGTTATTTAACTTATGTCATCATAGCTGTAATATGTAATGTCTCGTTGATACTTCTGCTGTGTTTCTGATAGCCTACCATAGTACTAAGGTATCCATCTACCCCGCTACCAACACTAACCCCCCAGCATTGCATATGCAGACCCGCCAAAGGGCAATTGGATCGATTACATCACTCCGCGCAGCCAAGTCAAGCAACTCTCTTATCTCTACTATTAGAATATCACAATCAACCGCCACTCACAATCTCGCCCTCTTCCTCTCAACTCCCTCGTCTCTTCCAACGGTATGAGGATACGCAAGGCATGCCACCCCTCCCGCGCACTCTCGCCACCGTCTCCTGTCTTTTTGCGCAATCGACATCACGGAGTTGCGTGACCGGCGAATCTGCTGTCAAGGCGTACGGGCGATACCGGCTCGGTGCGGCTCCGGGTTCGACTTCGACTTGGACTGGGCGATTGCGGCGCTGTTGTGATGGCGGCAGGAGAGGGTTCCATGCGTCGAGGGAGCTTGCGAGGAGCAGCTTCGAGGGGAAGAACCACTATGAACGGCTGAAGGTATCACCGGATGCGTCTCCGGCCGAGATTAAAAAGTACGATGGCACTTTGAATTCAGCAGTCCAGGTCTCTGATTGCTAACACTTGTTTTCCAAATGTTGATAGATCCTTCTACGCACTCTCCAAAGCCCACCACCCTGACGCAAACCGCTCCGATCCCCACGCTGCCCACAACTTTTCTCTCATCTCCGAGTCTTACACCGTTCTGTCCGATGCCTCTCGCCGCGCCACCTACGACCGCGACGTATTGCGCCTCCACGAGCACCACCACCATGCTCACCACCACCACGGCTCATATCACAGCACCAATCCCGCCGGCGGCCGCCCTCCCTCCGGTCTGAGTCGCCGCAGAGGAACCTTCCGCGGCCCCCCACCAAGCTTCTACCGCAGTGGCGGCTGGGGCGCCCACGCCGACAAACGCCACCAGGCACACGAGGAGTCGACGGGCGGCGCAGCTTCGGGCTCAGCAGCTTCTGGGACGGACCGCGCCAATCCCTGGAACACCAGCGCCTTTCACCACACGCATCATTACGGCGGCATGGGCCCCGGGTCTGACCCTCTGCATTTCCGGGACCAGCACGTGCCGCATTTCGACAAGGAGGGCCATACGCGGACGCATGAGCGGCAGGACCACCGGCGATGGCAGCGCCAGAAGCGGGCCGTGGGGGACGACGGCATTGAGTTTGAGCCGCAGACGAGCTTGGCTGGGCACTTTATAATCGTGGCGGCGATCCTGGCGGCAACGTTTCTTGCGCCGGCGATATATCTGCAGTTTATGCGGCTGGGGAGGCAGAAGAAGGAGAAGGAAGCGTGACAAGATGGCGCCTGGAGTGGGACAGAGATGGCAGAGCTGGGACTCTGACTGTACAAATAGAGCGGATTTACATAGATAGACGTGATGGGGGCTTGGGGCTAATAATGCCTGTTCTGACGTTATGACAACTGATTCGAATCAAGATTGTTGATTTAGAATTCAACTCGGTTTGCTAGTAAAGGTTGCTGCCATTCCTTACTAGGTGATAGCCCTGTTTGTAGATGAGAAGAATATGATGTTAAGATAATGCACAGTAAGGAATCGCTATTTCATCTCATCATTCACGAAGTCATTGCGCATTAAAGTACATATACGACTGCGGTACGGAGAACGAGCGTATGCTAATATACAGATATTTGCAGCCATGCTTTTAAACACCAAAGAGAGAAGGGGGGGAAAGAAAAGAAGACATCACAAACATAAACATAACATCGACCAGCAGACAGACAGACAGACAGCAACCGTGTTTGTTCACTTGCGCAAAATATTCTTTATTCTTTTTTTGGTTGTTCAATACCCGGTTGCTCGGAAAGAGAAAAAGGCATCTATCTACCACCCGAGATCAAATCGTAAGAAGTCCCTCTTTTCGTTTTATTTTTCAAAAACTTCCAAAGGGGGGGGCTTCTGAATGGAGACGCAGTTGCGCAAAAAGCAACCAAGCCAACCTCGTTCACTGACATCTCATACGCACAACGTATGCATATGGGATGTTAATGACGACAGGGTAGTACTAAGGGGTTTCCGAGGCTTAACCCTCGAAGGTGAAGCTGGCACCGAGCTTGTGGGTAGCCTGGTCGAGCTTCTGGGTATCGAAAGAGCCACCAAGACCCAGGGTGACACCCTCACGGAGGAGGACGTTGTAGGCAAGGGCGGCAATACCACGGTCGTTGATCTTGACCTATTGATTCGAAGGAAAAACAAAAATGGTAAGCAAAAAGTGTCCAAAAAGAGTGATATTGCAGTGAAGAAGGAAGAGACAAACCTTGGCGAAGGAGACGGGGTCAATGCGGTACTTGCTGGCGACCTCGAGGCCGACAGTGTTGCTGGTCTTGGAGTTCCAGGTGGCCTTGGCACCGGCCTCAACCTGGCTGTTGACCTTGTGGTAGTAGGAAGCGGCGAAGACGCTCAGGTTGTCGGTGGCGGTGATGGCAGCGCTGTACTGGGGGGCGACGTAGCCGACGGCGGCGCTGTAGCCGGTCAGGGCAGCCTTGTTGACATCATAGCCAGCGCTGGCACCGGCCAGGAAGCCCTCGTGGCCGACGACGGCATCGACGTTGGCGGTGGGGCCCTTGAGGAGGTCGAAGAAGGCACGGCCGTGGAAGCCGGGCTGCTTGAAGAGCAGGTTGAACTTGGCGCCCTTGGCGGAGCTGGCGGGCAGGAAGTTGAAGAGACCCTCGAGCTTGAGGCCCTTGGCCAGGGAGTCGCTGACCTCAATCTTGGTGTCGAGGGCGTTGGCGGTGTTCCAGGTCTGGGTCAGGGTCAGGCCTGTAGACGCCGAGGAGCGTTAGCAAAAGTTCAATGGCTGGCCAGAAATTGCATCCGGAGCAAACGAGGCTCGAAAAGCGCGCTCTAAAGGGGGGAGCCAGTGTGTCTCAGTCTTTTGGGGACTGGTGGGATGTCGTACCAGTAGGCTTGTCGGTGTATTTTCCCTCAATCTATATAATGGCAATGGCCGGGTCAGTCTTGAATTGTTTCTACGCCCCGCGACATGCGCGGACACATCGTGGTGGGGGAGGGGGAGACAAAGAGAAGACAGGAGAAAAGACTTGGCGGGTGGAGCAAAACTCACAGCAGCAGAGGTGGCCTTCTCGTGGCTGGACTTGCCGGTCACCTTGAAGGCAACGCCATTGGGGGCAGTGTCCTTGAACTCGAAGGTGGTGGCGGACAGGTGGTAGAAGTCCTTGTTGAGGAGCTATATGGCGCAAAGCAGGTCAGCCGCGTTCGTTGCTATGCTCTCGAGCTCTAGCCGAGGGGCAAACAAAGCCGAAGCGGGAGCAGGAGCAGGAAAACTCTGGAAAGGAACGCATACGTCGTTGGCCGGCTTGGCAATGTCGGAGAAGGCGGGGATAGACATTTTGGCGGTTTGGGAGAGGAGAGAAGAGAGGATTCAGAGATGAGCTTCAGACGAGGTGAAAGGGAGGATGATTGCGGTGTGCTAATAGGATCAACCAGAAAGGAAGAGGTTCTAGCTGGAGGTTGGAGGCGAGGGAAAATGTTTTGGGCACAGCCAGGGCCGCTGATTGGCCGGCCAGTTGGTTGGGGGAAGACGAGAAGAGCGTCGGCTGATGTCGGGCCGGGCGTTTGGCGGACGACCAGGGCCTAAACTCAATTGGGGCGTGTACTGTGGCCACGTGGGGGAGCCGTGATGGTTTTTATGGCTGTTTGACGCCGTTGCATGATATCATGATACCTTTGGGGAGGTTCAATTCATGCCTGAACCGCGCCGTCTCTCCAAGTACTGGACTAATATCTATTTGCTGTTTATGCTGTACCGGTGAGAGCCTCGTCGAGGTCAATGCCTCTCTTGTCTCATGTTGTCGACGCGGGGCAAGCTGCTGCTCCTAATAGACTACTAAACAATGGTCCCTTGTCCCCCTATCCTTGTTCCTGGATTAGTACAACTTCCAATACGCCCCTGGTCCTGGCCATTCGACAAGTAAAGCCGCCCATCACCGCATCGGCTGTGAAATAACGTCAGGCCGGCTTCTTCAGTCGCAGGCCATCAATGTGTTGCGCTCCGATTCATGGTCAACATGCACGCATTCGACTCCCTCAAGGTCAACCAATGGCGCAATAGCGCTCCATGTGTATTTCATCTCCAATGCCGAGCCATGTCCGTACCTCGGATATATACAGAGAACTACAAAGGACGGACTATTCTAGACTCTTGACTGTTTTCTGATGTAACTTTTTTTGGGTCTGTATACTACCTGGTAGTATTTCTTCACTTCCCGAGACACCTTTTTACCAACACTTAGAAATATGCTTAACCAAAGCCCGCATGTACACTCTACTCGGCGTCGTCATACTTGGCGTTGTGGGTCGAGATGGCTCTGTAGTCCATGTTAGCAAAAATCACCTTCCACGATGCAGAGAAACAAGACAAAATACGAACCTGCCGCTGGGGTCCGTCTGCTTGGACCAGGTGGGCGTCCATCGCTCCACAGTTGAAGCGCAGCGAGGAGGGAAGTGCTCGTCAAACATGAGACGGTACCAGTAACTGGGACAATCAGTTAGCCTTGTGTCAACAGAAGCCATCGCAGATTATACATACGCCTCCTTGGTATCCGGAATGTCGGTACCCCACTCAGCCTTAGGGTTCTTCATCATCTCATCGGTGACGTGGAGCTCGGCGTTATCTTTAAGCGCATCGATCCATCCGTATCCGACACCGTCAGAAAACTGCTCCTTCTGTCTCCACAGGATGGAGTCGGGCAGGTAGGCGGGAGTGCCGGGCTCATCGGTCGTGTCAAAGGCCTTTCGGAGAATGTATTTCTCCATTCTCTCCTTGGTGATCATCTTCTCCTGAGGGTCGATGCTCATGGCAGTCTCAATGAACTGGTAGAAAGTGTTAGTGTAAAGTAGACTGGTATCTCAGATACAAAGCCTCAACATACCTTCTTGTCCAGGAAAGGCACTCGGGCCTCGAGACCCCATGCCGAGGTGGACTTGTTGGCTCGCAGACAATCCGCAAGGTGCAGGTTCTTGATACGGCGGACCGTTTCCTCGTGGAATGCCTTCTTGTCAGGGGCAGCGTGGAAGTAGAGGTAGCCGCCGAAAATCTCGTCGCTACCCTCACCACTCAAGACCATCTTAATACCCATGGCCTTGATCTTACGAGAGAGCAAGAACATGGGTGTTGAGGCTCGGATTGTTGTGACATCGTAAGTCTCCAAGTGGTAAATAACATCCGACAGAGCGTTGAGACCATCCTCGATGGTAAATGTCATGACGTGGTGCTTGGTGCCGAGGAACTTGGCGACCTTGAGAGCGGCCTCGTTGTCGGGAGATCCGGGGAGACCAATGGAGAAGGAGTTGAGCTGCGGGAGGTAGGTGACAGTGGACAGGTTGTCGTCGTCATCAACGCCGACAAGGCCCTCCCCATGATCAAGGTCAGCCTCCGCAGTGGTGTCCGTGCTGCTGGACTCTTCAGCCTTCTTCCTGAGTCTCAGCATCTCTCGTTGCGCAATAGACGCAACCAGACTGGAGTCCAGACCACCAGAGAGAAGCACACCGTAAGGGACTTCAGCCATCAAGCGCTTTCTGACGGCGCCCTCGAGTGAAGTTCGGATAGCCTTGTAGTCGATCGGAGCAGTGGGAACGTTGGTGGGATCCCACCAAGTAGGCTTGAAGTAACGGGTGGTCTGGCCAGTTTTTGAGTCGTAGACGTGGCCGGGGGGGAAGGCAACGATCTTGTCGCAGACGGGGTGCAGGCACTTGAGCTCCGAGGCAAAGTACACAGCTCCAGGCTCCTTCCATGACCATCCCTGGTACAATGTTGTGATGCCGATGGGGTCGCGGGCGGCGATGGTACGGTCTTGGTTCTTGTCATATAGAACGAAGGAGAACATGCCATCAAGGTGGTTGGGGGCATCGATATCGTGCTCCAGATACTACGGCAGAGCGGCAACGTCAGTCTACGGCTCTCAACCTCTCTCCAAGCCTTTTCCCTTTCAGCTCCCAAAACTTACCAGAGGAATGATGACCTCGCAGTCGGAGGTTGTCTTGAAGTGATAGGGCTCTTTCAAGTGCTTTCGGACCTGTCGGTGGTTGTAGATCTCGCCGTTGGCGGCAAGAATGATGCTGTCATCGGCATTGGTCAGGGGCTGGGCGCCAGACTCTGTTCTGTTGTGTGAGCGAGCGCTTGGTTTCGCAGAGTGTTGCGCCGTGGATCAAGACTTACCAACACCGACGATACTGAGACGCTCATGGCAGAGGACTGAGAAAATATGTCAGTTTGAGGCTCCAATTGACGCGCTCGAGACCAATTGACTTACTTGTGTTGTGAGAAATAACGCTGCCACCTGAAAACAAACCACACAGTCAGTTCAACAGCTCTTCCCGTCGCTATACACCACTCATCGAATCAATTGGGCTCAAAACGTACTCCAATCGGGGCCGCGATGTCGGATCCTAACACGCCCTTGTCAATTGAAGCTCTTATCGGCAGAAATTGGCAACACTTACGCCTTGGACAGCTTCAGCGCTGTTGGCTTGAACTTTTGGACGTCAGGATGACTGTTGACGCAAATCTGTCAGCTGCCATTGCTCGCGATAAGCCGAATGATGGCGGGGTGCTCGGCTTTGAAGATGCCCCTCCACAAATAAGAGGTACAAACTGCCGCTGTCCACTGCACGCGATCGACGGGCGACAGAGGACCAGGGGGCCAGGATGCGACGTACCAATGGCAAGCGAAAATGCCACACATGATTGCGGTTCTGCGACGGGAATTTCCTCACTCGGATAGGATGTAAAGGATCGAGAAGTGGTGGAATTGCAGAATTCTCTGTAGATTCTTAAGAGGAAGAAATCTGGGTCCCGGCGTGGAATTTAGAGCAACGAGACCGTGGCCATGACTCTTGTTGCTGCCATCTTAAAAAATTAAGACGCAGCCCAGCAGGCTAATTCTACTAGCTTTCCACGGCCGACTTCGGCTCGCTCAGAGTCACTCGCAGCTGTGCTTGTCCGATCTCATTGGCGGCAAGCCACCCAGTTTGTCCAATTACCTAAAGTGAACAATAGCCGTCTACTGATAAGGGCAACATTTCAAATGCCAGTTGCACCAGTTGCAGTGCCCTGGCCTGTATCAGATGCCAAACGACCTACCTAGAAGAGCGCGCGCGCTGACGGCTTATCGCGGTCAGTACTTCAATACCCTGTGAAAAGCCGGCCAGACTATGTACCTCCCTAGGTATTAACACGATTCACTTTCACGACTGTGCTTTATGGTAACGTGGCATTCAATTCATATGACAGGTCTACAGCTTCAAGCCGGATGTCGGCGGTTTAGATCAGATTGGAAGAAATGCACGTGGCAGACTGGGGTTAGGCATTGCTGATTGTCGCTTATATGCTTTTGATGATGTAAAGTATAGGGCGGTTTGCGGTAGTTGTTTGGCTCGATGCACGCTGGAGATGCGAGCTTCCCCATAGCCCGTCCCAGTCTGGATAGCGTACTGGAGATTCTTCCCTCGTGCTACTAACTTTATTAACGTGCCTGTATCTACTACCAACGCCTTTCCATCGGACCGAGCGAACAGTCACTGTCTTCAATGTTTGGAGTCAGTGTCGCCGATGCTACCCCGTATCTAATCAGTCTCCATCTGGCATTCTGGGCTTCACTCAAGCCGACTATAGCCATCACTATCTTTCGTAAGATTTGCTAAAAAGAAAAAAGAAAGAAAAAAAGGTTGAAAATCATTTGTCCTGGTATTGCCCCCATCCAACGCCATGGCCAATCTTCTCAGTAAGGATATCCTCCACGTCTTTAAAAAGCCCCCTTTCCCCGAAACAAGTCCGTTACGGCGCCGGATTCTCGCGAACTACGCGGCGGATGCGCTTCTCGTACTCGGCCTTGTCCCTCTTAAATAGGTTATATGCGTCGGCTTGCGCGGGTGACTCGGGATTGGGGTCATTGAGGAGATCCTGAATGCCCAGAAGAATTTGCTTGACCGTGATGGCCGGCTTCCATGCCTCTTCCTCGTTGAGAATCGACAGGCAGACGGTGCCTGAGGGATAGACGTTGGGATGGAACAGCGGAGGAACAAACTTGCCTGTCAAAACGGTTAGATGCTGCAGCTTGAAAAGAAAGGGGTTCCATCGTGTCTTACATTTTGGGGGTTTTGTTGGGTATTCTAAAAAGCACCACGACCGTCAGTTTCTGCCCAATCAACCTTATCGCGCACGCGAGCACTCACCGTCAGGGAACGCAATATTGAGTTTGAACAGTCCTCCCTCCCAGATTGTCTTCTCCTTGCCCGGAATGCCGCACTCCCAGTTCTTCAAGTCGAGCACTCCCTCCTTCGTCCGGGCCGGTTTGGCAAAGAAACCAAAGGGATGGTCACGTCGCCATTGCTTCCTATCAGTTGGATATCAGTCAGTGCCATGGGGATCACTGGAATGATGAGGATCATAGCTATGGATCACGTACCGCTCCTCCTGTAATCTGTTCTGGCAGAGGGCCATGACGAAATGCTACACCCAGAAATCGACAGCGAGTCGCGAGACCAAGTCGTGACAGTGTTTGGTAGTAGAGGCAAGTTGGCCCAAAAAAGTCTGCAGGCGGGGACAAATCTTGCGCAAGCAAAAAAGACAAGCTTCTGCAGTTTAGATCTAGTGATGGACGAAAAGGACGAAAAGTGCCGCGCGCAGAATGGAGTGATGGAAGACAGAAGAGGCAACAGTCGGATTAAAAATAAAAGTTGCCAAAGCGTAAGGCTGCGGATAGCGCCGCGATCTGCCTAGTGCATTTCCCACGGAGATGTCAGGGATGTTCAGTTCACTGCAGAGATGCATTGATCTCTTTTTCTTCAGTTAGGCACCTGTCGGTTCCCTGCAGCCACACAAAAGGGACGCGAAGAGCCTCAATCAAGCTGTGGCGGCGGGGTTGTGCATGGCCTTCAGCGGCATAGCGATCAACCTACAGGCCGTGACAGGCCGTGACAGGCCTAAAAGGGAGCACCCTACAGCGGACACGCCCACTGAAGCAGGCCGCTGGCGACTGCAAGCGCTGCAACGTGGGGCAGCCTTCTGCTTCCCTCGGCTCATCCATCTTATGACGGCTGCATGTCACCAAGCACGGGCCGGGCTTGTAACTTTATAGACACGAGCAGCCGGCGCGCAAGTTCATTTCAGACCTTGCAGCAGCCACACCGTCTCTGTCTTGGATACTGTTGGTGTTACTGTAATACCACGATTCGATTTTTCTTCTCCTTCTCCCTACAATTCCCCCCAGGAAGAGAACCGAGCTTGCGACCACTGCCGTCTTCCCTGCATTTCCCCAGCCCTTGCGCGCTACCCCCTCCATTAGCGCCGCAGCTATTAGACCAAACTTCGAGAATACCGAATCTTGCGCATGTGGCTAGTTGTGTCGACGGCATCCGATCGTGAAAGCGAAGCACCATGAGCTCTCCGTCTGAGGCGGCAGATACGGCGAAGCGGGAAGAGACGGGGGCAAAGCAAGAGAATGTCCAGCCAGCAGCACCAACAGCACCAGCAGCAGCGCCGCCTGCGGCCACTGTGTCGGACGATCTAGACGATGTTCCCGATCCAGACGAAGACGACCTGGATGATCTTGACGGTACGGTCGCTGCTCCTGCTCCCCAAATGTCTCCAATTGGCTGTGGACCTGTATTCTAACCTGAGCGTGTCTAGAGCTACTCGACGGCTTCAAGGCCGTCCGCCAGGAGATGATCAATGACAATACGTTAAAGGAGGGAGCCGACGCTGCGGATTTGGACTATGAGAATATGTCAGAAGAGGAAGTCACCAAGAGGATGCAAGCGGGCATAGCCGGTCTGCTGGCCAACTTGGAGCAATCTGTACGTCACTCTTTGCCCTCTACCCGCCGTATACGTGGTACTGACGCCGAATGTCTTTCAACAGCCCGAACTACAAGCGCAGTTTGAAGAGATGTTTAAGCAGATGGGTGCCGAGATGGGCGCAGATTTTGAAGCTGAAGAACCAGAGCAGCAAGAGCAGCAAGAGAAGCCATCCACCAGCAAAGACAAAGCCACCCCTGCCGCCAGCGCTTCTGCGAGCGCCTCTACAAGTGCTCCCGCCGCCTCGACAGGGCCCTCTCAGCCAACTGGAGAGGGATCCAGCGGCGCAGCGTTTCAAGACACCATCCGCCGTACCATGGAGCGCATGCAGTCATCCGGTGACCAAGCTACCGCGGCGGCGGCGGCGGGTGGCGAGGACGACTTCCTGGCCGAGATGCTCAAGCAGCTCACGGCTGGCGAGTTTGCTGGTGGCAGCGAAGAGGACTTTTCCAAGATGCTCATGGGCATGATGGAGCAGCTCACAAATAAGGAGATTCTGTACGAACCGATGAAGGAGCTGCATGACAAATTCCCCGCCTGGCTTGCCAAGAACAAAGACTCAACTCCCGCAGATGACTTGAAGAGATACATGGAGCAAAAGACGATTGTAGAGGAGATTGTGGCCAAGTTCAACGAGCCCACTTACTCGGACTCCAACGCGGCCGATAGGGAATACATTGTGGACAGAATGCAAAAGGTAATACTCGACTTCTTCCCAGTCTTTCTAGTGGCCATACGACTAACAAACCGTAGATGCAAGCGGCAGGATCGCCGCCGTCAGACCTGGTCGGGGATATGGCCTCTGCCCAGGAAGCGTTCAACGCGACGGAAGACCAGTGCACTCCGCAATAAATTATTAACATGTAGCCGTGGCACACCATATATACACGCACATTTATATATATACCCATATTGCGCAGTCTAAATGCAAGCACAATTCACTGTATACCGATCCAACGCCAGTGAAGGGCTCTTCCGAGAGTCCCGAGAGTATTACCAAACTCCATATCGCCAATTAATAGACGTCTCGACCACTCAACATTACCAGACATGATCCAATTAATCAATATCCATCTGATTTGAAGGTTGTGAAGATTGCTGCTGCTGTGAAAGCTGTCCCTCTTGTGAGATGAGCTCGGCAAATATGTCGTCGTACTCATCATTCTCCTCAGCCAGTGTTGGGAGCCGTGATCCTTGATGGGCCATTACTTCCTCTTCGTAAGACGTAAGCATGTGCTCCTCTTCCACGAGTTCCTCTGGGATCATGTCGTCCTCCATCTGCGGCTGCTCAACCTCCTGGGAGAAGGCCATGGCATCCTCGATATCAGCCTCGGAGAACGAGGGTGCGTCATGAGACAGACGGCCGACGTTAGCAAGCCAGTTTGTCTTCAAAAACTATCAACAGTTGTCAGTACTCCATCCGCAATACGGCGGCTTTTGGTTTTCCCAAGCTTACTTGGCCCTCAATGTCCCTCCTCTGCCAAGACCTGTCTTCAGCCTTTTGGCGAACATTTTGCAGAAAATTCCTCCGCCTCTGCTCTTGGGCCTCTTCTCGTCTCCTGATGACGGGATTTGGCCGCGCAGGACGCGCTTGGTACTTGAAGTTGATGGGCCGGATCGGCGAGGACTGGATCTGGCGAGGGTGGCACGGCGCTTGTTCATCGGCCGAGAGAGGCGATGAGGCGCGAACCGGAGACGACGATAGAGGAGAGGAGACGGCGGGACGGTTGTCCCAGGAATGCACTGGCTTTGGGGTAAACGACAGCATGTTGCTTTTGCTTGGAGCGGCCTCGTCTGGAGAGCTGTGCATTAAAGGATGGGGAGGATTTGAGAATAGAGAGTCGCAGTATAACCAATAATAGCCTTGCCCGGCCAATAATAGTGTCAGCCAACAGTGCAAGCCAACAGTATATTTAACAGGGCGATTCGTAGTTGTAGTAGTTGATTCGCAAAGTTGACGTCTCTTCCAGTATGAAGTATGATATCTGGTACTATAATGAGATTGAATACTACGTGCCGCCCCCAATTAACTGTAGCAGCCCTCAACACGCCTTCCGAAGACGCGGTACACAGGCGCGCAATCACGTGTCGCTAATGATGCGCCTCTGGTGTGTGCGCAGACCCGAGATCAGCAGGGCCGATAATGGACCGGCGAATCACAAGCCGGCTGCAAAATCTGGTGATGATGTCGTCGAAAGCCGCCAAATATCCACCGCAAAATCCAAGGGTCTCCCAACAAAACTCCCGTCTCCTATTTTTTCCCTCTCTTCTTCCTTGCTCGGTATTGCGCCATGATAGTCGCCTGAAGCACCTGAATTGTTTTATTTTTTCATTTCTTCTTTCCTTTGATTCTCTTCGAAGCGAAAGGCAGGCGCTTTATGTAATACTTTTTTTTTCTCTCGTCTTTTTTTTTTTTTTTTTGGCCACGCTATAATGCCGAACTGCGGTCGACGACTTTGAACGAAGCCCCTCGGCACCACAAATGAACGTCTTTTCGAGATCGACCTTTGCGACAGCCCGCATCGGTAACCGAACATGGACTTGCTCGTCTTGTCGTGGCCAATTGGCCCGCACTAAGCCGACCCGACAGTTTATCGCGCGACGATTTGTCTCGGGGCGATCGTCACATGCGAATGGCGGTGCGAAATCTGGTCCTAATGCCAGGCTGATTCTGTTCGCATCGACGGGAGCAGCAGCTGGCACGGCAGCGCTGGCATTCACCGATGAGATCAAGAACAGCTACGAGGCTGCGGAGAGAACTGGCAGAGTCGTTGCTGCGCTGGCTGTCTGCATTAATGAGTGAGTGCGCATTCGCTCTTTTTCGGGGCAAGGGAGGAGACACGTTGCGACTAGTTGGTGGTGGGCTAACTCAGGCTGAATAGTTACCGAACGACTCTAAACACAAAGGCCACGATTGATGACAAGGAACGACAAGATGAGATACTCAAGGCATGCCACAAGCGATGCGCCGAACGGACCCTCAAGGTGTTGGAGAAGAATGGCGGCATCTTCATCAAGCTTGGACAGCACTTGGTAAGAAGACGACCCATTCACCTTGATTAATATCCCATCAAGCGAGAAACAACTAACAAGGCGGTGACAGAGTGCAATGAATTATCTTTTGCCTCCTGAGTGGACGACAACGTTTATACCCTTGCAAGACAAATGCCCCGTCTCATCCTTTGCGTCCATCCAGGATATGTTCCGGAGGGACACCAAAGAAGATCTGTGGGACTACTTTTCTGAATTTTCCGAAGAGCCAATTGGCGCTGCCTCACTTGCGCAAGTGCACCTGGCAACCATCAAAGACACTGGGCGCAAAGTGGCCGTCAAGGTTCAGCACCCAGAGCTAGAAGCATGGGCACCTCTCGATCTCGCTCTTACCAGATACACCTTTGCGACGCTTAAGCGATTCTTCCCCGAGTATGACCTCGAGTGGCTGTCGTCGGAAATGGATGTTTCTCTGCCCTTGGAGCTTGACTTTAGAGAGGAGGCTGAAAACGCACGTCGCATGAAGGCGCATTTCGCCAAGATCCCTATGCTGCCTCTCGTTATTCCAGAGGTCATGTGGGCGAAGAAGCGGATTCTCGTCATGGCTTGCGAATCCGGCCGGCGGCCAGACGATCTTGAGTACTTGGACAAGAACGGCATTGACCGTGACGAAGTGTCGGCAACGCTGGCACGCATCTTCAACGAGATGATTTTCGGTGATGGGGCTCCTCTGCACTGCGATCCTCACGGCGGTAACCTCGCCATCCGCAAAAACACCACCCGCCGTGGTCTCGGCCGTGGTCCCAACTTTGACATCATCCTTTACGATCATGGCCTTTATCGCGACATTCCTCTCCCCCTGAGGCGTTCTTACGCCAAGATGTGGCTTGCTGTGATTGATGGAGACATGGACCGGATGAAGAAGTACGCTCACGAGGTTGCCGGCATCAGCGAGGAAGATTTCCCCCTATTTGCCTCCGCCATCACAGGCCGCGACTTTAGCATCGTCAGCAAAGAAGGGTCCATCCTCAAGACACGAACCTCGGAAGAAGAACAGAACATGAGCGGCGCTCTGCAAGATGGACTCATTGCCGATCTTGTCCAGATGCTTGGCCGAGTCCCCCGCATCATTCTTCTCATCCTCAAGACCAACGACTTGACGCGCAGCCTAGATGAGAACCTTCACACCAGTCAGGGGCCCATACGCACTTTTATGATCCTTGCGCGGTACTGCACCCGCACCGTCTTCCACGAGCAGCTCGAGGACATTGTCCGGAGCGGATCAATGCTCTGGCCCATAAACGTGATGCGTGTTTTCACCGCCTGGATCGGCTTCGTCAGGGTGGAGCTCAAGCTGGAGGCGTTTGAGCTGTGGCTGGGAATCAAGAGGATGCTGGGCCTGCGAGGCGTAGAATTTGGCGGCGGGCCGCTGAGACAGGAGCAGTAGATTAAGTGCTCTCTCTCTTTTTAATTTATTAGAACGGCAAAGAGGGGAGGGAGTATAGATTTGATAGAACGGCGGCTGTTTATGTATACTACACCAAAAGGTGGAAGAGCAAAGGCATATTGGGGGGTACGATGATGAGAAATACGTTGTTTTTGGCACGATTTATGAGATATGCTAGATGCCGTGTCACTGGTAATTCAAAAGTTTTTAATTTTCGTTACATTGGACAACTTCCATCTATCCACAATCATATTGCATTCATCTATATTACATCTAGTTATGCGCTCCGCACGCAAAAGGAGCAAAAAAAGAAATGGTGATTCCGCCCGGGCTCGAACCGGGGACCTTTTCGGTGGCGTTAAACGTGTTAACGAAATGTCATAACCAACTAGACCACGGAACCAATTATCTTTCGATACGAGATGTTTGCGGTATTTTCATATATATTCATACTATTTTGTGGGCGACCCTCAACAAGGAACCCGAACTCCGGGGCTCCACCTTTCCGGGTCCCTCCCGGATTCGGTAATTAGACGGAATCCAGTCAACCAGCAGCTTGCTTTCACAGCGATGTACTCTTTCTGTTGAAGCAGCAGATGGGACGTGAATGAAAAGGCATTGATTCTTAATACTAATAAATAATAATAATAAATAAATAAAATAATTACCATTTCCCATGAAGTAGGCCAAAACATTAAACACAGATTAACCAAGGCAAACTCCATTTTCCCCAACACCAGCACTCCCCGTACCTCGGCCATCCAAACGCTCAAACTTCGAGTACAAAAGATCAATGGAGAAGAAATCTGGACAAACAGAGCATACACATCATGCTCGTCTCTCTCCGTGTATGGGTATATTCAAAATCTCCTCCTCTTCACAGTCCGATCCGCGCACCGCTCCACGGCATCAATAAGGTCCTCGTCATTCCCTTGCACCCTCGCCCGCTCAAACACCGTATATCCGTGAACATCTTGCAGGTCAGGGTCGGCGCCGTACTCCAATAATGGCATAAATGAACTCCTCGCATCATAGATGGCGGCATGGTGTAGCGGCGTCATACCAAGCCCATCCGCCTGGTTAGCGTCCAGGCCATGGTCTAGGAGATATTCTATATACTTGCTGTGGCCGTAGCTCGACGCTTCTGTAAGCAAGGTCCGACCTTGAGTATCTTTGGCGTCAATATTAGCGCCCCTCTGGATGAGATGATCAAACATGTCGCCTTCTGCCTGCATCACGGTCAAGAACAACGGTGTTTTGCCGTCCTCGTCTTTGGCTTCCAGATCAGCTCCGTGATCGAGAAGAGCGTCGACGACGGCGTGTTTCTGCGTCACCGTTGCGTGAAACAGAGGTGTCCATTGCTTCTTGGTTGTAAAGTCGATAAAGGCTCCTGCCTCGCAGAGCATGTTGACCATTCGAACATGCCCACGGGCTGCGGCAAGCGAAAGCGGCGACCCCCGACCATAGTGCGAGTTCACATTTGCGCCCTTTTCAATGAGAAGACTAGCCATGTTCTCCGATCCGGCATTGGCAACAAGCACAAGCGGTGATCGCCCGTCCTTGTCCAGCGCCTCCATGTCAGCGCCCCTCTCGATCAAGAACTCGGCCGTCTTGACGTGGCCGTTGACGGCAGCCCATGACAGCATGGTCCGTTTATCACCAGCCTTACACTCGATATCAACGCCGCTCTCCAATAACGTCTCCACGATGGGCGTCATGCCCGTCATAGCCGCATGTATCGCCGGTGTGTGGCCCCAGATGTCGCCTGCATCCACAGAAGCGCCGTTTTTGAGAAGATACTGGACCAGCTCGTGATGTCCTTTGCGAGCAGCCCACGAGAGCGCCGTTCGGCCCTCTCTGTCTGTGTAGTCGATTCTGACACCTCGCTGGGTGAAGAGCTGAACGGCATCTTGCCTACCCATCTCCGCGGCGTGGGACTGGGCAATTCTCGACTCATAGTCGGTTTGGAGCATGTCAAGGCCGAGGTCAAGCAGCTTCTTGAGGATATTGAAGCTTCCACCATCAACAGCATGGAACAGAGCAGACGATCCAGCAGCGCACTTGGCAAAAGGATCCGCCCCTCGCTCTAAGAGCAGTTCGAAAGTGCTCTCGTTACCTTCTTGTGCAGCGAACAGGAGAGGCGTCTTGCCTAGATATCCTAGAGCATTCGCGTCTGCTCCGCTATCGAGAAGCAGCTTGATGATGTCGTCAAATCCGTGGACTGCAGCCGTTCCCATGATCATCGAGTCGCCCAAGGCAGCGCCATACTCGATCAGCAGCCTGACGATATCTCGATGGCCCTGTGATACAGCCCATCTAAGGGGAACATACTCGCCCTTTTGGGATGCATTAGGGTCAGCTCCGTATTGCAGAGCCTTCTTTGCCGTTTCTATGTTTCCCGTCTTGGCAGCCCACGCAAGGGCATCACTGTGGAAGAATTTGGCATTTTTGCGGTATAGATAGGGGTTGGTGATGGCGTAGAGGCGGCCGTTGCATCTGGCCAGGGCGTTGATTTCGCTCTGCCGGTCAAGGAAATCGGCAATGTTGTGAACCAGCTCTGGCGGGATGGCGTCCAGCTTCATTGTGAGCCTCGTTTCGTATAATAACTGTGGATGAAGAAGAAAAAATGGTGGAAATATTGTTGATGTTGTGATGCCAATATATCTAGAGAGCGTCTTAGTCTGGCTAAGATGACAGTGATGTCACTGCCTACCAAAGTCAAATGGGTAGCAGCTGCCAAGACTAAGGCAACGGCCCAAAGTCAAAATTACAGCCTGAATTGGTTGATTGGGTATGACTGTATTGATTGAGTTTTGTTTTTCTAATCAATAAAAAATGTAAAGAGGCGGGAGATAGAATAAAAAAGGGTTATGATTAACAAAAGGCGATGGATGACTTTGTATTAGTGAATAAGTAGCTTCAATACCTCTGCCCTCATGAGACGCGATTGATCCTTCAGTCCCAAATAGGTAGGAAACCCCAGAAAGAGGGGAAGAGAGAGAAAGCAGCGGGGGATCAAGAGACAATTGTATATAAATCATTGGGGCTCTCGTTTCTTTTTTCCCTTGCCTTGCCTGCGTTTCCTTTCCTTTCTTTTTCTCAGCCGCAGCCATGGTACAATCCAGCCCAATACTACTAGGTACCTACTCTAACCTGGTCGACATCAGCCGGTGCCGCAAGATAAGGTACAGGTACATGCCTACTAATTAATGCGTGTTCTGCCGTGTCCATGCAAGCTCCATGTAATCGATGCATGGCACAAGTACCTACTAGATAATCGTAATGATTTAACTTCCTGTTCCATTGCAGAGTATAACAAGAGCGTCTTTGTCTGACCCCGAGATGACCAAGTGTACCGCCCATAATCCCCCAAAATACTAACCTAGAGAAAGGCCTGCATCAAGGTTCCCCGCGACGACGACAAACAAAAGTTGAAGCCTCTCTCACCAAACCCCCTCTTTTCAATTTATTTTGTATTTTATTCATCTACTACCTGGTACCTCCCTTGAGATCTCTTGTACCAGTACATTCACATCCAGTCGTGCCAGCACATGTGACTCCTGCAAGCCAGCTGTGATCGTCAAAAACATGTCCACTCTTGGCTTGACAGCTGTTTGCTCCGGCACAGACCGCCCCGACTCCAGCCTATCCCTGTCAGCCACAGGGCCGGGAATCTACTCTTAAGTACGGAGTACATGCAGCCCAATGTCTCAAAGCATCCCTTTTTTGCCTTCTTTTTATCTCGCTTGTCGGGTAACCTGCCAAGCCTACCTACCTAATGCCTGTCGTGCTTCCGGGCTGTTGTCGGCTAGGGGCATCGGGTTGCCGCTTTCGAGATGCAGCTTGTCCGCGTATTTGGCAGTACAAGTACTTTGCGAGCATCACTGCCTGCTGCCAAGTCGTAGCTAGGAGCATTACCAAATACGGCATTATGATTAGCTACAGCTACGACTATTACAGTAAAGCAGCATTGTGCTATTTCAGTGACCGTTGCTAATAAACCCCATCCCACATCTAACGGAGCTCGAGACTCGCTGTTATCATTACCTGCTTCCCTTCATGCTTCGTAGTGGCGGTCAACGGGCGTTGGATGCTGGCATAAGCAGAAAATGCTGGTATTAATGGCCTGAGACGAATCCATGCCAAGGGGCTCAGACAGCACCTTTCCAGCGGAGTTTTAGCGTCAACTTCGCACTATACCATGACAGTACATACTTCGTACTCGGACAAGCCGTAATCATGGGTTTACAGGGTTTGTTATCTGATCAATACTATATCAACGCTGCTCACGTATGAAGCTCTTCATTGTGAACGAAAGTGACTCAGAACACGTGGGTTGATAGACTGCTAAAGAACAAACTTCAATAAGCATTGGATCCTTTATCCTTCTAACGGCGAAAAAACCAACAGCATGCCTGCGAAGTATCACTATTCAATCCCATTCCCAGACGCCAAATCCCGTCGTGCTTGAGTTAAGCACATGCCCCCTCCAAACGCCATACTAACAACCAAATATTCATCATCTACCCAGCTTACACGTAACTGCATCTCTACTCAAACGATCCCTTACCAAGCAAGCCTCCAACAAGTCCCGCCCTGCTCTCTGCCCCACGGACCTTTTTCTCCTGCCGCCTTCGTTCATTCTCTTGCATTCTAGCCAGCTTCTCGTTATCTCTCGAGAACCCGTTGATGCCACTCTTCTTGCCCGCGCCCTTCTTGATCTTAGTCTCTTCACCAAACCCACTGCCAGATCCACCTGCCGCTGTCGTCGAAGATGACGATGTGCTGGCCGTTGACAACAGTGACGAGTTGGTAGTTGCGCGGCGAAGGAGCGAAGCGGGGACTTTAAACGACGAGGATGAGGCCACCGCAGTAGCAAAAGCAGGGCGGCTAGAAGACGAGGTTGACGATGCGTTGCGCTTGAGACTGATACGATCGACGACGACATTCCTGGTGCGGCGGGAGGCAGGGGACTGGTTTTCCTTGTTTCCTCGAGATGCAGGTCGGCCTTCTTCACCTTCGCTGTCTGAGCCAACTTCTGTAGCCGGAATAACAGAGCTGTGTCGCCCATCCTCCAGTAGATCAGACAGTGTCTCACGAACCTCGCCAATGTTGGAAGGTTTCTTGCCGTCCTTGGTTCGTCTCAAATGAGCCGGAGCCCTATTGTCGCCAGCACTGCCCAGTGGCTTACGTGGTTGGCTGTCGGGAACGATTCGCTGCTGCTGTTGTTCAATGGGCTCGCTCTGAGACTGAGACTCTTCCCCTTGTGAAGCCGGTGCATTGACAATTTCCAAAACGTCCATTTCATCGTCGCTGCCACGGTCCTCAATGGTGCGTAAGAAGGCTTGGTTACCAGGGTTTTCAGCCATCTTCTTGACACGCTCATCAGCAAACAATGCCTTTTGCATTTTCGCAAACTGCCGGCGCTTCATTCTCCGTCGAGCCTCTCCGCCATCGTCCGAGTCGGACAGGTCATAGTCGGCTCCGCGCTTTCGGCGAAGCATACCTGACGTGATGTCCTTGTACAGCTTTTCGACCTCCTTTTCGTCATTAATTCGTTCCCGATCACTGCAAAGTGTTAGAACTTGTTTGCTACTTGGAGATAGATAGAGTAAAAACTTACGCATAGAACGCGGCCAACTTTCGGGCATCCTCGTCATTGCCAGCCGCATCATCGATAATGTCTTGTAAAGTAGCATCGAATTCGTCGTCGCTGTCCTCGCCATCCACTCCACCAAGTCCAGCATACTCATCTTCGGATTCCTCGGCTTGCTCTTCCACCATCTCCTTTGCCTTGCTCTTCTTTTTGTTGAACTCTTCAATGAGCTTCTTCTTCTTTTGTTCAGCAGCAGCATCTTGGAGAACATTGAACGCCGTCTTTGAAGGTGCCGCTTCTGCCTCGCCCTCCTTTTCGCCACTCATGGGAACGGCAACATCTTCATCGACAGACGACATTTCCATCTTTCGTCGAAGCCTTCCTCTGCGTACAAGGGGAGAGCTCTGAATCGCATCGCCATGTTGGTCCGTTGATATCGTCTCCACCGTAGAGTGTGGCGGCTCAACAAACCTCGACTTCAGGGGTGTGTACCTCTGGAACCCTCCATCCTGAGAGAGCTCAACCATGTCTGAGATTTGAGAGTTCATTTCATCCCGAAGTAGACTGTCCAAGCCATGCATCTGTGTCTGTGCAAGGTTAAGCTGAACAGCTTGAGTTACCCCTTGGCTTTCATCCCGTTGGGAGTCGAGAACCATGTCATCAGCATTGTCATCTATGGCAGCTGAAAAGTTGGAATCGGGAAAAGCGTCAAAATCGGGCATCATTGACTGTGTCGGCTCGTTGATCTGGCTTTTCTGGTTATCATCCATGGTTCCTGCAAATATTTGGGTAAGGCTAAGGCCAGCAGGTCCTTGTACAGGAAGACCAGGGATAAATGTCTTCTTAGCAGATCGTAGCACCGATGTGGGTGCAGCGGGCGACTGGAATGCGGTGCTAACAGGAGTCTTCTTCGACTTCGGTGTGGCTTCGACGGCAAGCTCAGCTTCATCATCAGATAGAATAGCAGTCTTGTTGCGCGCCCGCCTCCTCTTCATCGGCGTTGCTGTTTCGACACCTTCGTCATCATTGTCTTCTGCCTCATCGTTATCAAGCTTGGGGAGAGCTTCCGAGGTTTCAGATGTTGCATCCTCCGCTTCAGCTTCAAACATGGCTGAGCCTGCGATGACGTCTTCTGACTCCTCCTCCTCCTCATCTTCCTCCTCCTCTTCCTCATCCACTTCAGACCCCGAAAGCTCTACATCAGATGCCTCTTCGTCAGCATCATTACCCTCGTACTCTTCATCATCGCTGTCATCCCAAGCCAGAGGGTCCGCTTCACCACTCTCTTTCCTCTCTTTCTTCTCAGCTGCTACCTCCTCCTCCTTGATTCGTCGGGCCTCTTCTCTAGCCTTGGCGAGGATATCCTCTACTTCTTGCATCTGTCGTTCTCGTTCTTCTGAAGTTTGGATGACGACACCTTGGGATTTCAGCAACTCTAGCCTTCGGTCTCGCTCGGACCTTACTTGCTCTCTCCACTTTTGCATCAGAAGAGCGTGAGATTCACCGGGAGTCATTCGTTCTCGCTCGTTTTTGCGCTTCGTTTCCTTGCCGGGGGATGTGACATGAGCCAAAGCCCGCAGGGCCAGCATCGAGTGTGACTCTTGCGCCTTCCGGAAGGGAATATTATTAAAAACAGCATTCATTTTGTCTTTTGACGTAGTTGTAATCTCCAGCTCATCATCTGAGTCTGCTGCGCCAGCTTTAGCTGGAACTGGTATTCTCACCCGCACCTGACGCTTAGTTTGTGCAGGCTTGCTTGGCTCCTCAACGTCAATAGCTGGTCCCTTTCCCTTGTCTAAACGTGCAGGGCTCGATGGCTTGGCAGGTTCAACACCCGGGTTTGCAACTGAGTCGTGTGGGTTCGCAGCGGCATTGTCATCAACCTGGGCGGAATCTCGCTTCTCCCCCACAGGAGGTGAGCTGGGTGGCGTATCTTTATTCGCATCCCCATCGGTTGGGGGTGATACTGGTCTGCTGGAGCTGTTTGCTGGAGGCTCCACGGGCAGCGGCTCTCCATCCGGCCTGAAATTGAAACGCTCAAATAAACTTGCTTTGGAGAGTTTCTTTCGTGTCTTGGCTTCGTGAGCGAGCTGCATATTTCGTGCCAGTCGCTGGGTCTCGCGGTTCATCTCTTCCAGGGCCTTCTTGCTTGCTTTCCTCGTTGGACGAGCTTCCTGCGTCAGTCTGCGGCCCCCTTCATCGTCCGTTATACCTCCAGTATCATCATCGCCGGAATCCAGCTGCTCAAGCTCAGAGGCAAGCTTTTCCTGTAGAGCTCGGCGCTCTGCTCTTCGTGCTTCTTCTTCAGCCTCTCTCGCAAGGCGCTCCTGTCGTTTTCGTTCCACCAGTGCTTTAAAGCGATCTGACTTGACAGTCGGTAGGTCTTCTTCGGATTCTGGCTGGTTCTGAGGTGCCTTTGTAGGTGACGGGCGTATTGGCGAAGAAACAAAAAGCCCAGGGCTAGTCGATCTGGCTGAGAGATCTGTAGCGTCGTCATGCGCAGCACGGCGCATTAGTCGTCGTGAAGCTACTGGTAGCTCGTCCTCTTCCTCAGCATCTTCGGCATCCACCATCTCAGTGTCCATCGCTTCTCCAGGCTGCTCCTTTTCTTGCTCCAGCATCCGTCTAACGCGGTCTCTTGCAGTTTCCGCGCCATTCGTAGTCTCTGGTTCATTGCTTATATCGGAAGGGCCCTGCATTCGGGAAGCCAGCTTTCCCCGTGGTCGTACCGGGACGTCTGAGTCTGAGTCTGGGCTATCGGCATTCTCTCTGGCAGCTGTGCTTTTTTGGGGGGACTTTGTATTGAGTACGCCAATTTGAACCGGGTCTTCGTCATCGCTGCCGTCCACAGTCGCAAGCAACGCTCTGAGTTTCGACCGCGGTGTCAGTAGTTCTGGGGTCGCATCGCGAGATGCTGGCGTTGGAGAGCGTAGTGAAGCCATTGTCGAAACCAACGACCGGCTCAGAATTCAAATTCGCAATCAATGATGGCTTTTTTATCCTTAACAATGCTGTAGATTAACAATATTGTTCAAGGCATGGTAAGGCATTCAAGGCTGGACAAGCACAAAGTACAAAGTGGTGGCCGAGACACGTTAAATTGCGTGGGGAACATTTTACGCGCTTCCGACGCGACGCATTTCCACGCGCAGCATATACTAAAATGGAGTACAGAGAGCTGTTGCAGCTGTCGTCTCCCCGCATACAAAATTAGCGTGAAAGTAACCACCAAAACATCGATGTTGAGTACTGCCTGTACCATCCCGACCTTTTGCGCTCTTACGCATTGAGAAAGGGTCCAAGTGGTAAACAAAATAAATAAATAAAATTGCGAATTGCCAAGTGAGAAAATACTCAGTTATTCATGGGCAAAAATATCTATCTATTCATAGGTAGATATAATACCCAGTAATTTACATATCTTAGTACATGTACTATATCAGGCGCTGCTACGTCTTGTCTACTGCATCTGCTACAAGGCGTCACTAAACATGATTTGGTTGGAAGCATCAATTGGTGGCAAAATTTGCTTGGTTCAATTGTCAGCTAAGCAGTATCAGCTTGGAGAGCCCAATTCTGCCGATTTTATAGCTATCTAGTATCCGGTAAAGACTGTCCAATGTTCCAATGTCCTCCTCCTTCAGGCTTCTAATCCCTAGGGACTCTTGTGAATTTCATAGTCGAAATTGATCTAGAATTGATCTAGAAGAGCTTGTGCTCAAGGGTCATCTCAGACTCGGGCTCGAGACCGACGCAGGCGCGGAAGATGTTGGTCAATGCCGCACGCTGCTTGGCCAGAGCATTCACAACAGGAGTTCCCGGAGGGGTAAGAGGGGCCTTGAGCATGTAGCTCAGGACGCTCAGAACACTGTGGAAGTGCTTGAACTCGGAGGTTTCATGACCGTCGGTGGAAACAGCCTTCCACTGGATACGGGTCATCATCTCAGCCACCACCACGAGGTCAATGATCAGGGGCGAGGCCAGAAGAGAGTCCTCGCAGATGTTGAACAGCCTGTTGTTACCGGTTAGTGTGATTCAGAAAGAGCATTGATGACGAAAGAACTTACGAAATGGTTTGGTGGCCGCCGAGGAAGATCTCAGCATAGTACTCGTCAAGGGCACGCTTGTTATCACCGACATTGGGCATGTACTTGATGACAACGCAGTGGTCGGGGTGCTCGCCTTCCTTGTACAGGATGTTGTTAGCCTCGACCATGTCGTCGACGACGTTGGACTTGGAAATCTCCTTAGAGCGGAACTGCTTCTGGGAGCTCAAGTTCTTGCCGTCGTTGTTGCCCAGGTGGTTGTAGCTGGCAATGGAAGTCAACTTGATGCCGGCGTTGATGAGGAAGTCCACCAGAGCCGACTTCATCTTGGTTTGACCAGACTTGAAATCGTCACCACCAATGTAAGCATTGTGCTTCTCAGCAAGCTCGATAGCACCGGGAACAAAGGTGTTCTGGGGGGAGCCGTTGATGAAGGGAGCACCCTCAAGGATACACGCGACAGCAAAGACGGTGGAGGGAGCAACCTCCTCATGACCCTGCTCAATAGCCTTGAGAAGGTTATCGGCGGTGTCGTTGACTCCGTCAATGATGTCGGCATATCGCTCAGTGTTGGCAGTCCACAGGACAACGACCTTGTCAAGGCCGTTGTTGGCCTTGAAGTCACGAATGTCCTTTCGGATTTGCTCAACGTGGGCGTTGCAAGCCTTGGAGCCCTCAATGAGGTTGTCGGCTCGGTCCTCCTGGTTGGCAGCAATGAAGTCAGGGTAGTAGATGGAGGGGAGAGGAGTCATCTCAGCCATCTCCTTCCTGACGTGGGCCTTGAGAGCAGGCTCAAGAACCTTGGCACGATCCATAGCCTGGGCCAAGTTCAAGGAGCTGATATCCCAGCCTCCAATGACAAGGTCGTTGGGGTGGACCATGGGCAGCAAGTTGTGGAAGGGGATGTTGATCTCCTTGTTGGTCTTGGCATCAGTTCCGAGCTTGACGGTCGAGCTCATGACGACGGAGCCGTAGTAGTTGGCCTCCTGGACGCCCTCCTTGGTGTCCCAGACAAGGTTGCGTCGGTTGGCAATGATACCGGCGGTAACAGTGGTACCGTTGTTACCACCCCAGCCGACCAGCATCATGCCGACCTTGGGAACCTTGCGGTCGACCTTGAAGTCGTAGAGTGTCTCCTTAGGAGTAGCCACAAAGTTGCCATTGGCGTCGGTCTCGACACTGGTGGTGCGATAGGTGTACTTGGATCGGATTTCGGAATCCGTGTAATTGACATTGGGGGAATTGACGACGAAGGTGCTCCGAGCAGCACCAGTGGACGCCGTCTGGCGATGGGCATAGCCGTTCCCGTTCGAGGAGCCCGTGCTAACTTCCGCGTGGGGAGCCATGGCGGAAGAGACTTGGTCTATTTGAAGTTTAAGGGTTGTACGGGTTCTTTTTCTCTAAAATCGACCTTTATTTGGAAAAGGTCGAGTCCGCTAACCCTCCAGAGGCAGAGCAGCGGGCTCCGGCGAACGGGTGGTGAATCCTGGAAGAAGGTTAGCCGCTGGACTGTACTGTTTCTGCTCCTTTTTCTTTTCTCTTCTTCTTCTTCTTCTTCTTCGTTTTGCCTCATCGACTTTCTGGGGAAACACATACGAGTTAAGGAGATTGGAAAACGTCTTGTCGACTTGGGTGTGATCGAGGTTCTGACTCCTCGACCAACTTTAAACCTGTAATAAGGTGGGATAGAGGGGGTTTTTGGTGAACAAAGATTTATGGCAGCAAAACAGCTGTTTGGCTAAAAAGTTTCAGAAAAAAATCTGGAATTGAAGCTGGTCGGCTTGTTTGCAAAGCGAATTTGGGTTTTTATTTCGTGGTGAGAGGAAGGAAAAAAAGAGAAAGATTCTTCAAATTAGCAGGGGGAGGGGTCTGGTCCTTTATAGTCAATATCGGCTCAATATGGCTCTACTTCTAAAAGACAACGCGTCCCAATACAAGCGCTAATGTGTCTAGCAGCGCTAAAAGGCCAGCACCTTTCGAGGCTTGAAATCGGGCTTGGCCTGACCCGCGCACAGGCGGTGAAAAACACCTCACAGTTGGGACCTGCAGGATCAAATTACATTGCATGTCATTGATTGGGCGGGCAGCGAACCATCTGCTGAAGTTGACGGCAGCTCGGATAGAACGGGGGGAGCTGAGCTGGGCGGACGGACTTCGGACCCATGGAAGCTTCCACAGCTTAGCAGAAGATTTGACGGCTGGGCTTATTTTGCTTTTCGACCTATGTATACTTTAGCTGTGCGAATGACGACTTCAGTGGTTGAGGTACGGACTACTACTGGGTACTACTAAGGTACTAAGATGTGTGTGCAGAGTCCCGTCCCAGCCACGATAGGAATTCAGGGACCAAGGTGAGGTGAGGGAACAACTCCGAGCCGAAGTCCATGGGTTTCTCTCCGCCGCATGCGCCAGTGAGGCCACATCATGCATACCTACATGTAAGGTACTTGCAACTCCGGAGCCGGCGATTCTCACTCTACTAATACGCAATCAAACGGACGCTTGTTTTATTTATTTTATTATTTTATTCCATTTTACTTCATCTCTCTCTTTCATTTTCATTTTGATTGTTGCTTTCCTCTTTTTTTTTTCATTTTAGTTTGTCAACCAGCCTCGGTAGCCACTCAGGCATAATGCACACCTCAAAATCATAGAATCCACTCTACGGTCTACTCATGCTCCGTACTTTAGATAGTATGGGCCTGATAATCAGTGTGGGGGGACGTTGCTCGGTTTCCCCAAAGGGGCCCATCAGTGGTCTGGAGCCATTGGGCGCTCTCGTGCCTATCAATGGATCTCTTCTTAGTCTTCGACTTTACTCAACCCACCTTGCTCAGCACGGGTGAATTCGGTCGCAGAGTGCGGAGCCACGCGGACATTGAAGCCAGAGATCGCGTGTTTGTGAGCGAGTATGTACTCTTGCGTACGCGTTGGCTGACATGTGCCAATGCAGACATTGGGTAGAGATCGTCATCGACCGCCTTTCTTGACCGCATTTGCTGCATTTGTTGGGGCATTTTGCCTGCAGGGAAATGAACCGTAGCCGGGAGCATCGCGTACGAACGAACACCCTGCTATTGCAGCAAAGCAGCCAATCGCTCTCCCCAGCGAGCATGAAAGCTGACAACCAGCGCTCAATGTGAGATTTTTGGGTTAGAAGCAACCCGGACACACACGCCGAGCATGATGACACGACGCAATATGTGTGGACAGTTGGCGGTTTGGCGTGCTGGCAGCTTCCTGCAGGTTACTGTACATCTAGCCATTCGTGTTTATACAAGTCTCATGCCGTAGGGGCAGCCCACCGCCCTCCAATGGTTAAGCTATTGTAATATTAGAAAGATAGGTAGGTAGGTAGCCATAAACTGTCCATATATTATCAATATGGAATAGCCATGCATCGCACGCGGCTAAATGCAAAGGTGCCAGTGTTTCCAAAGCTGGCAGTCAACAGGTGCCGCTACCCTGCATGTCTTTTCAGGGCTGGGAGGGCCTTATTACACCTGCGTCGCACTCCGTACTCGTACATGTGCTTCACCTTGTCATACCCGGCGATGTAGCATTCAGCGAGGATGTTTACAGACAGGGGAGGAAGATAGCACGGCATCCCAAGTACCACCGGCGACGGGTAAAATCGAGCCTGATTCAGCACTTCGGTACGTACGCAATTGTCAGTTTGCCAGTGTATCAGCCTCGAGCTGAACTGCTGTGGTTCGGCAATTGAGCACGTGTCTTAGTATTGTTCCGATTTCAGACGGTCGACATAGGGCACCAAGACCTTGTCGGAAATACATGAAACCGAAACAGCGCGCCTCAAACAGCATGTCATGTCGCAGATAGATAGAGATGCTGCACCTGCACACGGCAATGATCAGGACTGTCAAAACCCCCTGGTCACGGCATCTCCAGGGATATCTGGTGGTGTTACACCCACGGAGTAGCCAAGGCAGCGCGAGTATTACAAGTACTACCGCATAAAGAACGCAACATGCGGGAGAGCACTTGTATATGACTGTGGCCATGGACTCGAGTTTACCTGTCCATGGCCTCAACTAACATGTGTATTGTCTCTTCCTCAAATAAAAAAGCATGGCCCAGCATATTACTGATGTAGCTCTTGTCCTCCGAAGATCTCTCTCTAGAGGAATACTCCGTATGAGTACTTGCACAGTAGTTAGTTATTAGACTGCAGCACACAACGACCAGGGGCTGGCTTTGGATGAGACGCTGAACCGCCTCAGGCGACGTGCCAGGGTCAGTGCCCGCCAGGATGACCGTCGGCAGCAACGAACTTTAGAAGGTGAAATCATACAAGCTTAGTACCCCATACTCGTTGTGGAGGAACGATACGCCGCAACTGAGCCGAACAGAGATGATGATCACCGATCGGGCTCGAAAGAGGAAATGAGGGAACCGGTGATGTGCGGAGGACGGGCACGGCAGCCGCACCGCAACCCAGCCTCGTCACCTTGCGCTTCCTAGGTGGGCATAGCAGAGGTTATGCGCTGTAGAACCGAAGCTGCGCCGATTCTCGTCATGCGCGATGGAACCAACCAACAACCGCCTTTGTCTTCAACAAGTATGGAGTACCTGTTCCTCCCAGTCCATCACACACACACATGCCTCGTTTGAGACAAAGGGCCATTGCCCACGTGCGGCCTCTGTTCTTTGCAGCCTCCAAACAATGTTCCACGCGAGACAGCCGGCCGAGTTGAGGGGCGCTTATTGGGAGAGTTTGATACGGTTCAGAGCAAGGCGTGAAAGGCTGAAGACGGAAGAGGAGTGATGGCCGTCCAATGGTTCTAGAGTCTGAGCGGCCTTCTGGCACAAGTACTTGTGCACCATTTAAGGTGTGGATGGATCCTTCGATTTCGATTGGGGGCTGCTCAGCGGGCAAGGAAATTTGATTATAGCGCCTTTAGCGACTCTAGCACGGCCGCCTGGCCACTGAGGATGCCGTCCCTCCCCCGAAAAGGGATCCCTCAGCATCCTCCCCCCCCTTATCAACGCAACGCACAGGCACGACAGGGGGTGCCCTGCAAGGTACCCGGCCCAAAAGAGCGAGCCACATTGGAGCTACTGCGGGCCTCATTTACGCAGCTGTCTTGTTCCAGCGAACGCTCCGGCTTGGTGCGCTGTTTGTTACAGCCTGCCGGGATCACGAGGTGGGAATCTTCATGTTGATGGAAAAGATGAAATGAGCCGTGACTAAACGGGTGGAGAGCGAGCTAGTCCGTCTGATACGGAGTTAGCGGCAGGCTAAAATGGCCAATCGAGCACCGGTTTGGTTTGCACCGCAAGGCTCCATGGGGATGCGTCAAGCAGGAGAATCTGCAGCGCTGGTGGCCGTTAGTCTGGATTGGACACCGGGGCATTGGCTTACTGACAAACAATAAAGGGAGTGGATAATATTGAGAGCATGAAATCAATACGACAAGAGTCCCGTCTGGATATAATATAGTACGGAGTACTATGTACAGCACCAAACAGTAATATGGCCTTTCCCTTTCCCTGGCAAGGGAGCGGTCGTAAGGACTGGACCCTCGCCCGCGCTGTCTGGTCTGCCCTACCACGGTCCGTCGTGCGGGCGACTTGTGTGTCTAGGGTTTCAATTCTCGTGCCGACAAGTGACAAAATTGGATGCAGTGCCTCGTGTTCCATGTGCTACAGGTACCTGTTCGTGTACAGTACTTTGGGTGCATTACTGTAGTAATGCCTGGAGCTGATGCTGGGGCTCGACACCATCAATCGCTCTTTGTTGGTGCTGCTGCCCAGCCTCGTCTGGCCTCGTATTCCAGTCGCAACTCGTGCCTCCTTCTGTGCACAACAAAGACGATGCCAATCCACACCGCAATCACCGCAACGTTTAGTCACGGCACTGCGAGGCTACTGACAGGGATTCGCGACCTGATCGCAATTAGCTTCCACCAAAGAGACCTGGCCATCCGCAGGACGGCGACAGGGACTGGGTCAACTCTAGTCAGGGGTCCAGGCCCCCCCAGCAACTTGTTTCCGTGACCTCCACAACTCGAGACACTATGCGCAACATCACCGTTTGCAGGTAGCCGTTCCTCCAAAACCTGCCACCTTATTCCCCCTTCTGTCTTCTTTTCTTCCTCGCCAATTCATCCTCCTGGATACCGCAGGCGAGGCGTCAAGCGTCGACCAACGCAGGAACTCTCCGGCGTCTCGGCGTGGGCTTGACAGCTTTCAGAGGATCCTGGCTCCCGCCGCCGCTCCCGTCAGAAGACGATTGACTGCCCAGCTTTGCTGGAACACGCTGCCGCCGGCTTCAGACGGCGAGGCTGTGTTTCACAGTGACTTGATACCCGCGGCCTGAAGGATCTGCGCAAAACATCTTGAAGGAGGTGGCAGAAACGGGAGGCGTCGTGGGGGAGCCTTTCGCTCGAGCTCTCGTCTTTTATATCACACCGACTGGCTGCCCGCCATCTTGTGCCAACCACGCCCGACAGCGATTGCTTCTGTAGCGCGTGTCGATGTCGGCATATCCAATGTTTTCCTTTACCCTCGAATAACACATTTGAACCACTACACGGAAGTGCCGTATCGCCGCCATGTCTGGACTCAGAGAGTCGGCATTCCTGCCGACCATCAAGTGTTCGTCATGTGGCATGCAGGTCGAAATCTCCCTGATGGGAGAACACGTGTGTCCGTCGGTCGAGCGTAAGTCATCTCATACATGCCACGATGCGGTAATTACCTGTGCTAAGTTGGATATCTAGTATCGCCGCCTCCTGATAGCAACGACAAGTTTATAGAACCGCCCCCCAGAGCAGCCGGTCGAATGCCTAGCCCGGTCGACATTGGCGCAGCAAGTACGATTTCCCGACGATCAATTTCTCTCCGATGGCAGCGAAATGCTAACTTTGCGTAGATAAAATGCACATGGCTCCGGGACCGTTGACCCCTGTGAGCCAGCCGGGAGGCTCGCGCAGTGTTTCACCGATGACGCCGTACAGACCATCTTTTGCCGACCAGGCAAAAGACTTCTTCTCATTCAGCGCCGTCAAAGTAGATGAGCCAGCGCAGATACCCGAAAAACCATCCGACGCAAACGGCCATCGCAGCTCCAAAAGCATGGCCGCTTTGACGTCCACACCCGCCTCCACCAAACCACTTGGTTTCATGGAACGCATGAACACCATTACCCCAGGACCTTTTGATACTAGCCAGCGACCTTCGACTTCTCACGGAGCCTTTCCAGCGAAGAAGCAGTCGATCACCAAATTTGGCCTACCTGTATCAGAAGAGCCGGGGCGAATCACTGAGCGACCCGGAACAAGTAGTTCTAGTTTGTCATCCGGAAGCAGCAATGTCCCATCAACCCCAAAGCAGCCCCAAAAGAATGGATACGAAGGGTTCGGCCCGCCGTCGGCGCGCGCGTTGGATCCCAATGGCATGGCACCGCCTATGAGGGCTGAAACTTTCCCGAGGCCCTCGCCTGGTGTAGGGGAAACTCCGCGGCGTCCATCTTACTCGAGCCCACGGTCCGGCCCATTGGCCTCTATGGGAGCCGAAGGAGAACGACGGCCCTCTCTGGCTCCCGACACATCGAGACGACCCCCGCCTCGCAAAAGCCTTATTCCCTCGCACTTGCCGACGGCCTCTCTCAACTTGGCCGAAGAGTTTGGTGTTAGCAACCCATATCATACGTCGTCGGACTCTGCCTCCTCAGGTTACTCGACTTTTAGCAACCAAAGCCAAAACACCGCGCAGACAAGCCCGCCGAGATCTGAGGCGCGTAACAGCATACCAGATGCGCTTAGGGTAAGGCCACAGGCTGCCACAGAGAAGCCGCGGCCTGCGGATCTTCGACTCGACCCAGCGGCTGAGATACCCCTTCCCGCTCGATCCCCGGTACCACGATCGCCATATCTCATCCCAGAGGGAGAAGAAGAACGCGATGACCCAGCTATCCAACCGGGCCTCGGACAGACATTCAAACCCTACAGGGCATTTAGCCCAGCCATGGCCTCGAACCCTACCCAAGCGCCCCCGGCGGAGGCAGAGCCAGAGGCAGAGCTAGGACCCAAAAATGAAAGCTCTCCCAGACAGCCTTCCCCTAGACAATCTTCTCCCAGACAACCCTCTCCTAGGCAATCTTCCCCTAGACAGGAATCTCCAAAGCAACCCTCCCCTAGGCAATCTCCTCCGAGGCAGTCACAGCCTGCGCCACCAGTATCCCCTCCGAGACAGTCCCCGCCAAGACAGTCCCAGGTTACACAGAGGGAATCTCCCCGTAAGTCATCTAGAGACCTAAAGGGATCCAAAGATCTTAAGATTCCGTCTCGAGGTGACTGCAAAGCTTGCGGAGAACCCATCACTGGGAAGAGTGTTTCATCTGCCGATGGGCGATTAACTGGTAGATACCACAAGGCATGCTTTGTGTGTGCCACATGCTCGAACCCATTCACCTCTGCAGAATTCTACGTTTTGAACGACAAGCCATATTGCGAGCAGCACTACCACAAGCTCAATGGCAGCTTGTGTGGAACCTGTGGGCGAGGCATCGAGGGACAGTTCGTCGAGGATGAGTCTCGTGTCAAGCACCACATGGACTGCTTCTGCTGCTTGGATTGCGGCCGACCACTTTCGGATGGCTACTTTGAGGTTGACGGCAAAGCCTATTGCGAGCAAGATGCCCTGAGGAGAACTCAACCGCCACCGCCTGCTCCATTCCCGCAGGGACCAAGGAGAGGCGGCTACGGAGGTCCGGGCCCCCGACCATACGGCGGACCACCTGGACGTATGGGTCCAGGTCCAGGAGGCCCGGGACCTCGACCAGGTTACGGTCCCCCTGGCCTACCCAGAGGACCAGGCCCGTACGGCGGACCACCACCCGGCCGCCTCGGACCCGGCATGGGGCCTGGCATGGGACCTGGTATGATGGGGCCCGGTATGAGGGGACCTGGTATGAGGGGACCCGGCCTAGGTCCAGGTCCACTGCCCAAGATGAACAAGAGGATGACAAGACTGGGCATGATGTAAAATGCCTGCTGTCTCGATCCGCCTTATTGCATAATGTCTTAATATCACCACCACCACCACCACCACTGTTCACTCTGCAGTGCAGAGCTGGACATGCCCACACAAAGCCCCCTTCCTCGAGGATCTTGGAACCAATGCATAATAATTTTGTTTTTGGTTTATATACCCATTTTTTTCTTTCTTTGTTTCACCGGCATATACCCACAGCCGGCTGGGCTTGTTTGGTGGATATCTCTTTTGGTTAATCCAGTCATGCTTACGAATGAATCCGATCCCACATGCGTTTAGTTCATGTTTATATATACTGTCCTCATCATAGATGGCGTTTTTCTTTGGGATGTACTGACTGACAACTCTGACGAGTTTGTTAATATGGTTGTTGGATCCTCCGCTGGCAGAACGAGAGAAAATTATGTGTGTCGATTTTGTACTTGATTCATTCCATCTCACTCTCCCATTAATTACCTGATACTATACCGTCTCTTTCGGTCATAATGTTAGTGTTTGTCTACAATTGTCTGGCCTCCTGAATGTTGTGAATAGTGTTGTATAAGGCTGAATTATCGCTGAAGTTGATGCATATATCATGTTGGTGAGATCATGCGGCATGACGCAGTGGCGTGCTGTTTCGTGGCTGGTTCACTCTATCTGGCCCAAGGTTCGAGATAGCGCAAGCCCATGCCATTTGTAGAGCATGGTAGAAGCTTGGTTTAAAAATATACCTGTGATGTCATTGGAATGGTTTGTGTTTTGCATCGATTTTGCACGTGTCGCTCAGCTGGTGTTTTGGATGTTGGTGAGACGACTAAACAATGGATGGATGCGTGTCGTAGCCTTGGGAATGCGCCGGTTTGACTTGTCGCAGTATGTACGAGTAGTCTATGAGTACCGTGCTATTACCCGTCTAGTATTTTTCCTTTCCATTATCTTTACCTCACCCAAGATCAAAAAGGGGGGAGAAGATTGATTGGCCACTTGATAGATTGGAATAATTTGCTGCGCATGAAGCCAGCGTGATTACCCTTGGGGAGCTGCCTCCTATGGTTGGCTAAGAGCGATAGCGCTCTGTCAATTCTCCTGTTTGCTTGCCCGTCTGCGACTGTCAGGGCAAACCGCCGTTTTTGGAATCGCTCGGATCGGCGCTGAAGATGTGCGAAAAATGGTTGAAAAAAGTCAGCTAAATATGGGTTTGCACGTGGGGAACGAAAATCCCCGGCTTCAGTTTTATGTTTCTGGAATGGAGGGCTGAGGCTGAGGCTGGAGCAGGTGGCGGGACTTGTTTGTGGTTAGGACTGCTGTAAGACCCGGTGCTTCAGAGAAAAAGTATAATATTTTGTGTTGCACGCGCAAGCGTCATGACTTCCCTTGAGAAGAGCAGATCGTAACCAGCATGCATCGGTGAGAATTGGATTCCAGGTTCAAAAATGCTCATCCTTTGCGAACTGACTTGCTTCTCTCGACTGATCTTCAGGAGCTGGCCTCCCTTTGATACTTATGAGGATCGCTGTGGACACTGAGCTGCGGGTGACGAAATTGCCCCTGGGCCGGAGGGGCCACTTTGGCACGACTTGACCCACGGATGGAGCACTTGATGGAAAGCTTGCGTGCGAGGGTCGGGGAGCAGACGCGCCGATGTGTTACGCAAACGGCGGGATTGAACGATTGGCCTTGATGGGAATGGCCTCAGCTTGCATGTGGAATACAAACCAAAACTCTACAGCACTTGAATCTGTCGACAATTGTATATAGTAGAGCGCAATTAAATTACTCGATAAACGCCTCATTCAGCTCTCCATAGGTAGGTACGCGTAATTCTCCTCAATTCTTGCTCAGATCGACAACATGAACCTCTCTCTGTAACACCAGACTTCAATGTGGTCAATGCCCAACAGAGCACAGTACTGTACGGAACTGTCCAGTGGCAAACACCATCCCTCGTTGGCCACCCCCCTAAACCCACCCCGCTGTAATTTTGGAGTCCCCCCGCTAGAATGTCGCTCATGCAGATGGCCACTTGTGTAAAATTGGTGGGCAAGATTTGGGGTCAATCAATTGCAGCTGGAGGTCAAGATCCAACTGAGGCGATTGAAGTTCAGGTTAGTGCCAACTGGGACCTACAGCGCATTAGTTCCAAGTCCTCCTGTTGCAGGCTACTGTACGAGTCCTCTCATTAGCCACTCCCCGGCACAGGGCTTCCGCTCTATTCCCACCGCAGCACGACATTGACCTCGCCAGCTTGTGCTGATTATCCCCCGATTCTTTCCTGGCGCCACCCGTTCAATCCTTTCCTCTCGTTTCTTCAGAGTGCACGCGATACCTCTCGTCCACTCCCTCTGCACGACAATTCCAGAGGCTGGGACGGATCAGACGTCTTCCTTTTCATCCTCCTTGCCGCGTTTTCCTAGCCCCTTAGTCCCTCTTTTCAAACTGCTGTGCCTTTACACCCCGCGACGGCGAGACTTTTGACAGAGAAGCTCCCATTCCTACGATCGAGTAACGAAGCGCGCATCTTGTCCGATTTCTCCTATAACCGGGATTCGATTGATTACTGCCGGCAGAGACGCTGCAAGGCTACCCCGACACAAGCTGCGTCATCCGTCGCAAACCCTGGCAAACAACGGCCATTCTGTGCGATTTCGCAATATGCAAACTTGAGAGAGCTCTGGCAGCCCGCAATCAAGTTATATATCTCGCAGCGCTCGACTACTCCGGCTAGAGCTGACGACCATCTGCCGTAACGCGTTGGGATTTTCTTTTCATACGAAGCCATCGCTTCGAGGGGTTAAACAAGATGATGAGTCCCTCGCGCCGACCCAGGCTGAGGGTCATCCTTCTCATTGCTCTCGCCGCAATTACGTCTTATTACCTGCTCTTCAGTGGCCCGAGCCCACGTTTTAACATTGTGCCTTATCTTCCTGAAGATACCAAGGCCAACCAACCTGCTTCTCCTGCACCTCAATCGCCTCAGGCGCCTTACCATCAGCCCCCGGTGCCTACTAAAGCGCCCTCAGATACCAACAGCAACACTACACCTGGCAAAGACAAGGGCGATGGGTCAGGAAATAACGGCAACGCTGCGCCTACCAACGACCAAAATGACGCCTCGAACAGCGGCAACGACAAGCCCGCCAAGGATGAGGACGATGGCTCGATTCAAGACGGTAAGCCTTCTACAGAAGAGAAGCCTCACGAGGATTCCAACAAGGAAGATCCCCCCAAGAGCGACTCACCCAAGGAGAACGAGAACCGTCCTTCAGAAGCCGCCAAGGAACAAGAAAAGCCACTCAACATGGATCTCGAGACCTATAACAAGGAGATAGAAATGCTAGATGCTTGGGACTTGACCATCGAAGAGTTGAGGCAATGGAAGGACGAAGGCGACAAGGAAAATTACGACGACGTAGCCCCAGGCTACGAAACTGACGGCAAGGGGAGAGACTCGGGCACCATCAGCAGACTCCAACATGAGAAAGACATGAGAAAAATGTGGAGATACGCATACAGAACCACAGCCAAGTAAGTTACAGTTACCTTCATTCTTTTTTTTAGCTTGCTAAGCTGACTCTAACTGCCCTGTAGCCTCGAGTCTTCCGGCAAAATTTACGGTAATACTCTCTCGACTCTCGATTACAAGGACAACCGCACGAATGCGCTGCGACAGAAGCTTAGAGAAGATCCTGCAGTGAATGTTGGCTTTAGCGTCGATAAGCCCGTTCGCTTCAACCCGTACCCAAATTACAATGGTGATGAGTGGAAAAAGCTTCAACACGCCGCTCACGTGGCTTGCAAGGGTCCAACTGGAGAGCCTGTCGAAGATTTACTGGTTTTCAAGGGCCGCCCTCATAATTTCCCCGAGCCCAATTTTGGAAGCTATTCCTTGTTCAACATGGATCCCAACCTATGCTGGGAGAGAGATACACGCCTAGGTCCCTATGGCCTTCTCCAACAGACAAAGAAGGTTGGTGGCGAAGTCGAGGTTATCAACTGGGACAATGTCAATTGGGGCGATCTGCAACGGCGGTGCTTGGAGGCAAACGCTGCGAGATTCGATCTGAACAGAGACAAGACAAACCCGTACTTGGACGTCTACCCAGAACTTAACAAGCCTGAAGCTCCCGAGGGCACCGATAACAAAGCTACCGATGCTCAGAAGGATAAAGCCTCACCAGTCCAACCTCCCAGGTTGGACGATAAGACGGTGAAGATCAAGGGGCGGTCGCCGTTTGACTCCTCTGGTGCAGAGGATAACTCCAAAATCGTAAAAGAGAAACGATCTGTAATTCTCCTGCGATCCTACACGGGCAAAACTTACTCCAAAAACGACAAGGAGACAATTCGCGCTATGATTAGCGAGCTTTCGCTCAGGACTGGTGGTGAATTCGAGGTTGTCCTACTTGTTCAAGTCAAGGACAACAAGCTCGATATTTTCGGTGACCCCGAAGTATACCAAAGCGTTCTGCAAAAGCACATCCCTCCAGAATTCCACGGCATCACCGTTTTGTGGAATGACAAGCAGGTCTGGGATATTTACCCCAAACTCGATGAGAAGGCTCGAACTGTTCACACGGCTCAATGGCTATGTGTGCAGAAATTCAGTGCCGACCATCCCGAATTCGACTATATCTGGAACTGGGAGATGGATTTCCGGTTTACCGGCCACCATTATGATATGCTTGATAACATTGGGAAATTTGCCGCCAAGCAGCCACGTCGAGGCTCCTGGGAAAGGAGTGAGCGGTGGTACATCCCCGAATACCACGGCGACTACGATACGACCTTCCGGAAGGAAATTGAGGAGACATATGCCGGTGACACTGTTTGGGGTGCCCCCGACCTGCCTTTTATCAAGCCCGTTGGCCCCAAGCCTCCCGTTAAAACGCCCCAAGAAGACAATTATTCATGGGGTGTCGGCGAGGAGGCAGATTTCATCGCCCTCGGCCCGATATTCAACCCTGTCAACAGCAACTGGATTATCCGTGATAATGTTTGGGGTTATTCAGACAAAGAGCACAGGGCTCGTGATCTTCCTCGTCGCACCACCATCGTCACCCACTCTCGTCTGTCGAAGCGTCTTATAGACATCATGCATATAGAGAACCTGCGTGGAAACCATGTTGCATCCGAGATGACACCGCAAACCTTGGCCCTGATTCACGGCTTCAAGGCTGTTTACGCCCCGCATCCCATCTTCACAGACCGGGATTGGAACGGTAAATTCCTCAACCAATGGTTTAACCCTGGGCCCAAGGGAGAATCCGGCGGATACGGAAGCCCTATGGGTTGGGGTAGAGAGAGACGATTCCAGGGCAACACTTGGTACTATCGAGCAGAGCCGCCGAACCGAATGTACAACAACTGGATGGGCTGGATCGACACAGGTATTGGAGGCGAGGAATGGGAACAGGAAAACGGACGACCCTGCCTGCCGTCCATTTTGCTCCATCCAGTCAAGGATACCACAACGGTCACTAAGAAAGACCACAAGACTGGCTTCGAGCTCTTCTACGGTTAAGGAACTCAATATCGTTCTCGACGGTTGATGCCTTTCCGTCACTTGGCTACATTTTGATCCATCTTTATCTTACTGTGGCCGTGCATTTGTGGCAGCTTTCATTCTCACAATTTCCGCCACAACCTTTTCCACTTTTCTTCTTCTTTTTCTTCCTCCCTATTACTGTCCTTTATTTTAGGATACCCATTTTTATATTTCTTGTCAAACGACAACGGCTGCTGCTGAATTGAACGGTCCACTCGTTGATGGCCGTTTTGAACTGGAGGACGGATATACTATGATTGTTGACACACAAATATTCATCACGGCAACTTTAGGTAACGCACGAAGGAAATAGGCGAGATGCGTATAGCCCGGCGTTTTATTTTATGATGGCACCGGATTTCGGGCTGGTTGTTTATTTGTCCGTTTGTTCTGCCTATTTGCATGACAGTGTGGCAAGGGGGATTTTCTTTTGCCTTCTGTGTATGAAACACGAAACGAACGGAGTTACGTCTTAGAAAATTGCATTGTCTCTTTCTGCATTGTTTCTGTACCAAAGATATGAGACGTGGTGAGAGAGAAGCAGTGGCAGCGTCGCTGCTCGTATGCATAATGTTTTATAAGAGTTAATTGAAAAAGGAAACAAAAAATCAAGTGCTCCAATGTTAGAGTCCCTCTTTGTGTGAATAATCCTTATGTTTTAACTCATCTTTCATAAATGGTCAACTTCAACTGTGGGATGCCTCACCCAACCGCAATTTCGAGCCTCTGTGGGGTAGGCCGGATTATTCAGTGCCCCACGACCGTTACCGCTAAATGCATGTGCTGTATCTGCTTATTTCGACAGTGACTGGACTCGGACAGCTTCTTTCCTCTTACAAGATCTCATGGCCACATTTCACGTCAAGTGAAGTCCGTTATTTACCAGCTTGAGAGACATTCTTAGTAATGATCTGGTATTCCATCTCTCGTAGAGCTCTTGTTCCGCCATCGGGGTGAGGCGAGAGGTAGTGGAAGGCGATGAATCATCGAATTAACGATGAACCCGTTCCCTAGTGTGAGCTTTTGTCCCTCCAACTATGTTGCGTTTGGATAAGAGACATTGCTGATTTAACAGACACCCGCACCACGGCGGTTTTTACTGCCCAGGCGATCGACTCAGTCGTCATTGTCGCAAGCACCAGGAGCTCCACCGCGATTCCAATCCACTCAGCGGTTTGGCTCATCTTCGGCTCCTAGGCCAACGCAGGGTAGGGAGCTCGATATCGAGGAGTCTGAAGATGGAGAGGAAGAGGAGGTTGTATCTGAGTCGAGTTTATCAGGCGATGAGAGAGGGGCTACGGAGACGAGGCAGCCTGCTTCACGCCACTCTGTGCTTGATATTGAGTCAGATGCTGGCGTACCATCACAAGAGGACCTGTCACCTGATGTGGCAGATACAAGACCAAAGATCCATCGACGATTTGATATTGAGTCTGAAAGTCCAAGTGAGGGCTCACAAGGCACTGAGGTGGGCAGAGAAGCGAAGCGTCGAAAGATGTCGATATCCCCCACGCCTTTGTTCGGTTCTCCAGGTGTGACCCACGAGGAGACTAACTTTGATACTGAAGACGGAGCTTCGGTGATGAGCACGGACAGTGGCGAGGAGTCACCTATAACCATGCGGAATTCCAAGGCTCTTCAGCAGCCTATTTTTCAACAGGCGCCGCGTTTCAAGCCTCTCGACGCTGCGAATGCACTTGGTGGCCTCCCGGCAGCATTTTCACCGCAGCGGAGAGGAGCGAGATACCTCCCCGGAGGGATGGCGGCGCAGCTTCAAGGATGGCTTTCTGAAATCAAGGGGTGGGAAGAGAACATTGGAAAGGCCGAATCGGTGATAAAGATTAAGGTGGACCAGATTAGGTCGGGGAGGCGAATGTATCTCATAGAAGGCCGCGATCCTTCGGCAGAGGCATCTAAGAAATGGATACTGGCCGGGGAGGGAAAGTTGACTGGGCTGGGTAAACGGGCTGAAGTGAAAATTGGGAGCGTGGTGTTGATTGAGCAACCTGTTTGGGATGTTGAGTTGGAGGGAAGTAGTTGGAATGTGGCCTGTGAATGGAGTGTAGAGATGACTTGAGCAATACCTTTTGTCTTGGAAGCGTAGCGTAGATATCAATTGAGAAATACCTTGTCTTGAAAGATATATCGTATGATGGATATTCTGATCTTTGGGCGGTGATTGGATGCCATGCATATAAGCCATATTTGCACCAAGCGCGAGTGAGTGGCCAAGTGAGGTTCAGCGAAATATCGCCATACCCTGGAGCCACGGAAACAGCAACGTCCATCCCGATATTGTCCCACAGAAAAGGCTCCGTCTTCAATTAAACGCATTTTTTTGCATTATATGCCCCTATGAAATGATATTGCCATAATGATTCGACCGTCTCTCCGCCTCGTCTCCGCCCCGAGACTGAGAATCGCCATAGCTCAGCGGCGATGTGTCTCATCTGAAATCAACACAAGAGCCTCAGACCCGCTCCGAATCTTGTTTTGCGGCTCAGATGCATTTAGCTGTGAATCTCTACGCGCATTACACCGGGAGCATGAAAAGAACAAAAAGCTTATTGAGTCTCTGGATGTCATGGTGTTGCCTCCGAGGCGAACTGGGAGAGGGTTTAAGGACATCAAGGAAGGTAAGTGCAGTATTTTTTCTCTCTTTGGCGTTAAGGCGCGGTGTTGATGATAAGGCAGTGCCGTGTAAATCCGTTGCAGAGCATTTGGGATTGAGGATACATCAACGAGAGACTTTCAGAGGTTGGAATGTAAGTTCTCTCTTTACTTTGACTCTAGCTGTGAAAAGGCTGAATGGAGAATAGACGCCGGAGGGGACTAATTTGATTGTGGTCGTCTCCTTTGGACTTTTCGTCCCACCACGGATATTGAATTCAGCAAAATATGGTGGACTGAATGTTCACCCGTCACTATTACCACAGTACGTTCACATCACCATAGCTCTATGCCCTGATATCGGGTTGAGTTGACGGAATGACGCAGTTTACGTGGTCCAGCACCAATTCATCACGCCATGATGCGTGATGATAAGTACACTGGTGTATCCCTTCAGACGTTGGATCCCAAGGTCTTTGACCATGGCATCGTTCTCGCCCAGACACCTTCTCCTGGCTTACCGATACCGGCAAATGCTACGCTCCAGAATCTTACAGAAGATCTTGCCAAGGTAGGCGCAGAGATGCTCGTCAAGGGGCTACGAGATGGGCTGCATGTACCACCATATGCGGATGTAGGATGGATGACCGAACAGCTCAAAGACGAGACACTAATCCACGCGCCGAAAGTGGGCAAAGGGGAATCACAAATCAGCTGGCTAGAATGGACTCCATCCCACTTTGAGCGTTTTGTCAACATATTCAACACGATATGGACACAAGCGAGAAACGACAAAGGAAAGTTTAAGCGGGTGCTTTTCCTGGATGCGGAGAGTGTCCCCGCGGATGACGCGACGGGAAGAGATGAGGAAGTAGTATTTCGGGTTGAAGCAGGGAATGAAGGAAAGGACATCCAGAAGACTGTCAGGGTTGATGATGAACGTAATGCGTTCTATGTACAGGCGGCACATGGGGGATGGGTGCGTGTGAAGAACGTCAAGGTGGATGGGAAAACGACACAGACAGCAAGGATTGGGATGAGGGAATTTCTGAAGAAGATGAAATGAGTACACGAGGTGCTACGAGGCTGGATTTTCCACCATAGTGATGATCAAATTTACATGATACTCGATGGTAGAACTATGCAAGGTATCTGGCTCGGAGGTTGGAGGACTCGGTATTATCAACACATCTAGGATCCGATACGAGGACTCCAGCTATCGGCATCAGCTTCAAAAACTCCGATACCCCTTAGGATACCAAGTCAATAAGACCAAAAGTAAACATACGAGGCCTCACGAAAGATGAAACCTTGGACTGGACGGATGTAGCCCTGGCAGTCATTCACCATGACTTGGTACATGGAACATTCAGGAGAACTCGCAGCTACGGCTCGTATTTCCAAATGAAGCAGTCAAAAAACAAGATGGGAGAGATGAAAGAAAGCATACAGTATTACTATTGCTCCGTATAGAAGTCACGTACCCCAAAGCCCATGCATGCAAGGCAGGGGTAAAGGCGAATGAGATGCACAGAAACTACAAGGTTGAGCAACACAGAAGCGAATCAGAAGCATCTCTGTGGGCATTTGATGATAACTAGCTGGTAACAGATGGCCTGGAGAAAGGGATAAAGAAGGAAAAGAAAAAAAAGGGAACATTGAGGTCTGGCAGCCCCCCTGAAAGGAGCGTTTGAGGAAACGATTCAGAGTGGAGCTGTGTGGGAGTTGCCCGAAAGCCCAGCGGAAAAAAACATGGAAGAATTGGGAAAAAGGTGAGAGCGGGTTTTCAGGTAATGCCCCCACTGTTTCTGAGTTACTGATTTAGTAGAGTTTCCTCGTCTGCTTTTCACGATTAGGCTTTTTGGGAGTTGCCGACGTGTATGCAGGATTACATTACTAGGTGTCCATATCTACATACTAATGAACAGGAAATCAATACTATTGATGCACGGTCTTGTGTCTTCAGGCTTTAGCCGCTTAAACCCGGTTAGGGCAGTTCCTGGTTCGCTGGCCATCCAATCACAGCGGACACTGGCGATAGGAGACAGGGGACGCTTCAGGGCGCTAAACCACCCGTCAGGCTGTTCCGGCGCCTCTACCACTTGAAAGGCCAGGTGGTGCTGGTACGAGGGCAAAGCTACAAAGCAACACAGAGGACGGGATGGACAGCTCCGGGATTCCGTCCAGTTGGATTGACAACCCGACCTGGAAAGGAAATTAACGTCGCCATCAAGTACGAGCAGCGCTTTGCAGATGCATCTGCACTCGAATATTATGATGGAGCGGTGCATCTAGCATTACAGGCATTACGCACATTACGAACATTACGAACACTACGTACGATCATTACGGCTTCTCATCAGCACTCTTCGATGATTCTCCATCATGGCATCGCGTCTAATAAACGAGGATCTTTGTCGAGCGCGAGATGCATCGCTCCGCCAAAATTGGCGCGATGCCACTCTCTTCAAATGAACCTCTTCCTTCGAGCCCGGAGACTTCCTATATCTGACAAGCTCATGACAAGCTCAGGACAAGTGTCGCCACGCAAGCCGCAAGCTGCATTTCTTTTATGCAGCCATCCTGCGTGGCGCAGCGTTTCGGCGATTTCCCATGTGGGACTTTGCACATGCAGCAGAGGGAAGACGCGGCACAGAAATCCAATAGATCCAACACGACTCGGCCTCGCTAAGCACTTACAATTATCTCGACGGTCCAAAGGCGGATAGACCGGGTGGGTAGAGATACATACGTACACCATTTCTGCGCACTGGTACCGTCAAGCAAGGAACTGAAGCGTGTCGGAGCATGTCTGCAGATATACGAAGCTCATTCTCCCTGTCTAAGACGCTTTTGTCGTGCGCCCTTATGCCGGGGATAATCCGTCGAAATTGAGGGTCATTATGGAGCAGCAAAGTCCATATCAGTATGCTGACGCCCTGGATGACACTTGCGGAACGAGCTTGCCGCCTTGATTTCGACAGAGGACGGGCTTTACAATCATTCTGCACGCCGCTATACGAGTATGGCGCGCCCCTCCATACTCCGTTCCCGTACAGTATGGATTCTCAAGGCGGCGACCATCCCACGTACTGGAACTCGGACTTTTCTTGGCTGACAAGGGTCTTGAAGAAGTCTTCAAGGAAGTCGAGAGGTCCAGAATAAAAGTTTCACCCCTGGCACCATGCAGTTCCTGCATTAGCGGCTCCGTCGTGAAGAGGAGATGGGGTGATTCGTTGTCTGCAGGCTGCACATGAGTTCTGTAGCGGGAGAGCAGTTCATGCCCGCACGCTGCCATGTTATGCTAGGATGGCATGGTACCTGATCTCCTGAAAGCGAGCCTCGTCGTTGTGTGCTTGGATTTTCACGAGCTCCATTTGATTTCAGCTGAATACCGGGTCCGATGCCCAGCACCAGGCTGTAGAACTGCAATCTCGCCATGCTATTTCTGTCTGTTTGACTTGGAAGCCAAGGCAGTAGGGCTCGGGTCCGCTACCAATTTGGTTCGGCTCCCCTCCCGGATCAGCTTCATGATTCGCCCTACCATGTTTCCATTCAAGTGATTGGACTGGGCGTTGCTGCTTTCCCACACACCCAACATGGGCCCATTTCAGTATAGTCCCCTGATCTTGCTGGGTATTCGCCCACATAGGCTCGATATGGCTTTCACCCCCTGGTGCTATGGCATCTCAAAGTGGACATCAAGGGCTTTGCCAAGTCTAGGAGGCCGTTACCCGTATGGAGTTACTCACATGTCGTATTATTGATGGCGTTGGTTGCATGCGGTGTTGCCGCCTATCAGCAACCTTCTCGTAATGGACCCAGGGGCCAAGGACGTTTCTATCTAAAAGAAGGACAACTGCCCACGGAAGTGTCTCATCACGCACTCCTTTGTTGTCAATCTTACACACGTCAAACAACGACGACTTTGAGCACCGACGCTCGTCCTCTGACGTATCGTACGTCCAAAGTACATTCGTTCCAACCGAGAATACAAAGAACTTTAGTCCTTCTTTCAGACGAAAATCGTGATTCAGCCCACTATCATTAATTGTCGAGACAACGATTCGCAAAATGCCTTCTCTTAACGCCCTTGGCACGGCGCTCCTCGCCTGTGCGGGTAGTGCTGTTGCTACTCAGTTTACTTTGGCCGATACCTACGACCACACCAACTTCTTTGACAAGTTCACTTTTAACGATGTATGACCCTCTGTTCTAGCCAGCGTCATCTGCAGGTTGTCCAACATGTCTTACTAACTATGATTCAAAGGCCGCCGATACCAACTCTGGTTTCGTAGTCTACCAGAACCAGGCCAACGCCAAGGCTCAGGGACTGGCTAAGATCACCAGCAACAACGAAGTCTACCTCGGAGTTGACCACACCACCGTCCTCAAGGGCTCCGGATACCCTGGCCGTAACTCCCTGAGACTCGAGTCCAAGACTTCGTACAAGCACGGTCTCATTGTCGCCCGATTCACCCACCTGCCCGCCAACAAGTGCGGTAGCTGGCCATCATTCTGGACTCTTGGTGACAGCTGGCCCAATGGTGGAGAGATCGATGTGTACGAGGGCTGGAACAACATTGTCCAGAACCAGCCTGCCTTCCACGTTGGTGACTCCAAGACTTTCGGCCAGTGCCTTCTCCAGGGCGCCGGCCAGACTGCTCCTGTCGCTACTGGCAACTGTGACAACACTTTCCAGAACCCTCCCAACCAGTACCTCAACCAGGGATGCACTGCCAACGATGCCAAGGGCCCATGGGCCTCCGCCTCCGGTGGTACCTGTAAGTAAACAGCTTCACTTCAAGAAGAAACCACGGAAATCTAACTCTGTACAGATGCCATTGAGTGGACCAGCGACTACATCAAGCTGTACAACTGGGCCCGAGGTGCCGAGCCTTCTAACCTGGCCTCGTCCAACCCCGATACTGCCACTTGGGGCACTCCTGCTGTCAACCTCCAGAACTCCAACTGCAACATCGACAGACACTTCAACAGCCAGCGCCTCATTCTCGACATCGACTTCTGCGGCAACCCCGTCGGCACTCCCGCTTTCTGGCAGCAGAGCTGCCAGAAGGTCACCAGCCAGGCCACTTGCGCTGACTACGTCGCCAAGTTCCCCGGTGACTTCGCCCAGACCTTCTTCCAGATCCAGGACATCCGTTACTTCAGCCAGAGCACCAAGCCAGTCACCACCAGCAAGCCTGCCACCTCTAGCAAGCATACTACCACCAGCAAGCCTACTACCTCCAGCAAGCCTACTAGCAAGCCTGTGACCTCCAGCAAGCCTGTTACCTCTAGCAAGCCTACCACCTCCAGCAAGCCTACTAGCAAGCCTGTGACCTCCAGCAAGCCTACTACCTCGAGCAAGCCTACTAGCAAGCCCGCTTCTTCCAGCAAGCCCGCTACTTCCAGCAAGCGCGATGCCACTTCTGCTGCCTCTTCCGCCGCCGCCTCCTCCGCTCATAGTAGTATTGTCGTCCCGACGTCCGTGATCGCCAGCAAGCCCCCTGCTTTCACTACCAGCAGGTGGTCCAACTCTTCTGTTACCGCCACTGCTCCTCCCCAGCTGACGACCTCGACCGTTTACACCACTTCTGTTCACACCATCTCTCAGTGCCCTCCTGAGGTCACCAACTGCCCGTTCCGCCCCACTGTCACCACCGAGACTATTGCTCTGTACACGACCGTCTGCCCCGTCGAGGAGGCTGCCTCCAGCACTGCTGCTCCTGTTACCCCTGCTGCTCCCTCTAACGGTGCTGGCAGCGGCCCTGAGACTCTCACCACTGAGATCACCATCGTCCACACCATCACTAGCTGCGCTCCTGATGTGACCAACTGCCCTGCTCGTCACTCTACCCAGATCATCCCGGTCCCTGTTCAGCCAACTGGTGGTGCACCTGTTGCCCCTGCTCCCAGCGCCCCCGTGGTCCCCGTGGTCCCCATTGCTCCGGCTCCCAGCAATGCTCCTGGCGGCGTCGCTCCTCCTAGCTACCCTGTTCCTCCGGCCCCCAGCGCCCCCGTCGAGCCTGTCTCCCCCGTCGCTCCGGCTCCCAGTGCCCCCGTTGAGCCCGTTGCTCCTGTTGCTCCGGCTCCTAGCGCCCCTGTCGAGCCCGTCGCACCCGTCGCCCCGGCCCCTAGCTACCCCGTTGCTCCCGTTGCCCCGGCCCCCAGCTCTCCCGCCAACGGCAACGGCACCTGGTCAACCGTGATCTCTGCCCCTACCGGCCAGGCTCCTGCTCCTTCCAGCGGTGCGGGCTGCACTGGCGCTGACTGTCTCCCCCCTCTCGGCAGCGGCGCTGTGCGCACCGGCATGAGCACTCTTGCTCTTGTTGGTGCCATGGTTGTTATGCTGTTGTAAGCGGAAGCTGTGTAATTCTGAGGAGTGAAGAAAGGAAAGGAGAGAAGAGAAGAGAAGAGATGGATGGAAAGGTAGAGAAGATAATGTAATTAAAGATGCAGGCCAGTTTAATTGAGGCGTTATGTTGGATAATCATGTGCCGCCATATTGAATATGGGAGGACGTATAGACACTTATAGAGCTGGGATCCAAGGATCTGGTCATACTGGTAGTAACATTCTACACTATTCCTTTATTTTTTCTTAAAAACGAAGCAGGCATATAGCCCTTTATACCCTTTATTCACCTTGCTATATAATGAGAAGGACTATTCAGCACTCCAAGTTGGTCATTTGTCCCAGCAACTACATTATCAAGGCTAAGGAGAGATCTTTTGGTTTATCACTACACAGGTAAATACAGAGTTCCTTGAGTATCCGCTACTATCGCTACTTTCTGCTACTATCGATATATTCCTCTAGTATCTGCTATCATCGCTACCTAGCTATGTAAGGTAGCTTTCTATTTTCCAATTTGAGACGTCGGATGGTGGATAGCCAACTTAGGATGTTGCATAACAATCTCCTGTATCGCAGCAAAACCAGCGGCCCTTTGCCATCCAACGCTTACTCCGAGTTTGGAGGATTTGACTCAACCTTCATCTCCACATTCATCTCCTCATCTGGAGAATAAAACGCCGTGAGTATCCTCACTTCTTTCTGCGGATTGACGCTGCGCTCACCGCAAACGTCCTTTGCGAGCTGCACGAGTTTAGGCCAGTGGCCGGCCGGAACTTTTGTTTCCTTGAGGCGGTCGTTGAGGACGTCGTCTGCGCTGATCCAGTACTGGACCTTGGCGGGGACGGAGCCGCGGGCGGGATGGACCTCGATGTGGCGGTAGTGGTTGATGGCGAGGTTCTTGAGCTGGTGGGAGTTTGGTGGGAGAGTGTCTGAGTCGCGACGGCATCTGCAGTTTTGGGAGGAGTAAGGGGTTGGGGATTCGGGGCGCTCGGAGAGACGAGTAAGGGGTTTGCGGGGGAGAGGGGGAAGGGGTTTGTTCGGGGGGAGGGAGGTAGGCCTTGGGGGAGTTGAAAAGCACATTTTGCTGGAGGGAGAAGATGTCGTCCTGGTTTTGGCTGTCGAGTATAGTTGTGGTTGTGATAGCGATTGCTGTGTTGTTGAAGAATTGTAGAGGAGGAGCATCGTGATGTATAAATAGGAAGTAGAATTGTCTGGAAAAGAAGAATAATTGCTGCGCCGTGAACCATAAAGCAGCTGTACATGAATGCGCATCTGACGGGGGAAAGAAAATCGAACAATTGAAGACATGTAAAACGCTCATGTTGAACAAGAACAAAGGGGGTCAAGCTCGTTCCCTTAACACGTGGTGGAACACCAAAAAGAAGACGACGGATAGTTCAAAGGGTATCAAATTCATCGTCAGCGATCTAAGAGTTCAACAAAGGCGCGTGCGAATCCACTCAGCCCACTTGCACAGATCTTCGAGCCGCTCAAGCACCTTTCCGAGATCCTCTCTATTGAGCATCTTACCCTTACCAGTTGCTGTCTGCTGTTCAATGATGTTTTCGTTGACAATTTCTACCACGCCGCCTTCTAGAATGCGAAGCGTAATGTCAATGGTAGAGCCTTTGACAGGGAAGACGACCTGAAGATATGGCGATGGATGAACCCATAATATGACATCGATGTTCATATCTTGGCCGCTTCCCTTTTCGCCATTGCCGATTTCTGGCTCTGCTTCCTGTTTCACCTTTTGTTCTTTTTCTCCACCATCTTGTCCTTCATCATCGCTTGATGCCATGAACGCTGCCAGCTCATCCTTGACCGTTTTAGTAGTAGCTGGGGCCCATGTGGCTTTGACCGATTTGGGCGAGCCTTCCTTTGTTTCCGATCCGAAGCTATTGTTCAGCAATATGGAAAGAAAAGCGAACTGTCGAAGGAGAGGAAGCATCTCAATGAGTTGGCGGGGATGTGAAAAGGCCATTTCTGTCACTTCCTGAGAATAAATCGGCTTGTAGATGAAGAGCGTGTTATGGTGGCTCCTGATGAACGACTTGCCCTGCTGGTCGAAAACACGAACGTCACGTAAGCGCGTAATCGTCCTTGATTCGCTGGGATCTTGCTTGCTCCCAGCTAATACGGGGAAGAACAAGTCATCGAATGTTGGGGGAGGTAGAGGACGCTGGCCAAAGTCGCCCGACGGACTTGGGTTGGGCGGCGTGGCGTTGACATAGGAGTAGAGTCTGATGCAATCATTTTGCGGAAGGATGACGGGCGGGTCAAACGTGACGGTAAACGTAACTTGGGGCAGCGTCGAGAGATGCATAGACAGTTCATCCATGCCAGGGTTCTTGTTCTCATCTGAAGAAGGGAGCGAGATGTTCTCTGGTTCTTGCCAATCAAGGATGGGTAAATTGATGTTCTCTAGTGCTTGATTTTGCTGTTCTTGGTCCTGCTTCACCACATCCTTGGAGATCCAGTCTTCAGACACTCTGACGGGCGACAAGCCGAGTGTTTCAATAGGCGCACAGTCAAGTAGAAGTGACCAGACCTTCTCCTCACTCTCGGAAGACGCCGATATTTTGTTATCTGAAGGAGGCACGAATCGTAGCTCTTTCCAGTACTGCAAAGCGAGGCCGACCTTGTTTCGTGCATGCATAACGGGATAGCCGTGCCTGGTACACAGAGCAGCTAGGGTTAGGTACTGATCTGACTTGCTCGCCATCTCTGGCTCTTTTCGTAAATTCGATATGTCCCAGTGATGCAATCTCTCTAAGCTGGTAAAGATGCCGGCCAGTGCCTCGTAGCAGTCGAGGCCGGGGATAACGCTGAGCTTGTCCAGGTTCGCTATATGACTAAAATTGTATGCAAACTTATCCAGAGTCTTTGTTAGGGGACTCTGGTTAGGACCGAGCTTCAAGTCTGCCAACAAGATTTGACTGGCAGCCTCCATCTGGCTGGAAACCGAGGTTGCCGACCCATGGTAGGCTAACGATACATTTTGGACAATATTGTTGTCCAGCACTATGTCTACAGAAATTGCAGAGCCTGCAATTGCCAATGTTTTCTTCTTGCGTCCGTCCGCAGCGGTATTTTCCTCGGATAAGAGTTCAAGGCCAAGGCGCTGGGCAAGCCGTTCCAGGCCAGCTTCACTGACGAAGCCTTTCTTTTGCTATGATGGCGTGTCAGCTTAGGGAGCTTCATGTCGGCGAAGGAGAGGCGCACGAACGTTTAAAAGTTTGAGAATATTATCTAATCTCTTGAGCTTGTCATCTTCAGTAGCAAATGCGACGCCCAGCGTGTCCAGTCCGCCGACGATGTCAAAGCTACTGCCGATGCCCAATGCTCCCATGGCGGCGGCAGTTGATGGACTGTCAAAGTTCAGAGCGCCCATGCCCGATTGGCTCATCAATGTAGACGTCGCAGGCGATTTCTTCACCTGCTGTGGCGACCCTCGCTGTCCACGAGGCGAAAATGCAGCGTGGGCGGGATTGGAGAAGGGCGTCGAGATGGGAGGCGTTGCACCGGCAATTTGTGATGGCGTCGGGCCCTGATGCGACGGTGTGCGGCCCTGCTGTGAGGGCGCATGTCTCATGGGCGTTGGAGTTGCCATGATGAATCTAAATGTTCGTTTCGTGGGAGGTGAGGTCGTGGGAATCGTGATCGCAGAAGGCGTTGGCTGGCAGTCAAGGTGATGAGTCGGGGTGGAAAAGGCGAGAGCGCCGGCCGATTGTCTGTCAGCGAGCTGAAGGCATCGGTTAGAATCCCATGGAGGAGCGATTAAAAAGTTATAGCAGGCAAATCTGCGAGTTTCACAAGTACTGGAGCGAGATTGTATGAATGCAAAGCTGTGATGTCCAGATCCTAGAGTTGAAGGAGCTGACCTGACGGAGCTTCTGCTCTTTCGACAGCCTTGTGCCGGGCCGACAGCTAGCGGCACAGCCCACTAAAGAAGGTACTCCGTTCAGTGCACTATTCCGGTGGATTGTCAAGTACCAACAATCAGGCTAGCCTTTTACAATGGACGAGGCTGCATCTCCAATGCTCTCTTTTCTTCCCCGTTCGCCTTCTTGAAAGCTTCCATATCTCACCTCCATGGCAGCTGTCGGGAATGCAGCCCGGCAGATACGGGATCGGGCACTCCGCGAAAGATCGATTCGCGTGCTCGTATCGCCAACGCCAATCTCCTTCGCCGAGCGTCGCTCAGTCCTGCAGGTGCTGGAACAATATGGCTCTGTCGAGTGCTTCAAGATGACTCCCGTAGGTCCCAATCCATTGGATGGCGTATATGTATGATACGGGAAAAGAAAAGAATTATCTAACCATACGCTCTATTGGGTGTCTTAAAGGGCTATTACGCCAACTTTGTATCAATAACGAAAGAGCCTACGACCGCCCAGAGGTTGATAGCTAGCAGCCCTCTGACATACAAGATCACGGAGCCTGCACGCAGCGCCGTGGAAGATATCTACGTTGCGGACCTAGACGAACCCGAGAGCTTCAGTACTATGCAGCCGACAATAACTGGGCAGCAGACGAGCGGCGCGAACTCGCGGTCTGACGGACCGGAGCAGGGACAGGATCAGGGACGGGAAGAGGATCTAAAGCAAGGGCAGAGAGAGTTTAAGCTGGAGATCTTCCCTGCGCCCGAGTACAATCATAGATTTGCCATGGCTGGCTCACCGCTGCACGGCTTTTGGCACGAGGGCTACGAACAAGACCAATCCTTCATTGCGACGACGCTAAAGCAATCGCTGCCCAAGAGTATAGCTAGCGAGGGGCTTGTGCACTGGATGGTTAGCGGCATGAAAATGCGCAAAGAGCGCAAAGCGAAGAGGCTGCAGATCAAGGAATGGCTTCCCAGCCGCATGAAGAAGGACGCGACTGAGTAAGCCAGCGAGATCCCGTTGCGCTATTACTACATACGCAGAGAACTGCGACAGAAGCTACGACGATGAGGAGGACGATGCCGGCCGTTATCCCACAATGAATGCGACATGACTGAAATAGCCCAATTCACCGTCGACAATGGATGCAAGGCGGTATTGCGAGAGGCTGGTTGTCGCACAAGATGTCACTCCATTCAAGGAAATTGTTGTCTCAAAGGTGACGCCCATTAATTTCCAAGGCCAAGGCAGGGAAACAAACATCATCAGCCAAGCGCGATGGGGCGAGAGCAAATTGAGTGTTCCCAAAAATGGAACAGAAAACAACGTTGAAGACAGTATGAGGGATGAACCAGTACCTAATTGAGAAGTTGATGATGATGGATCTGCGCAAGCTCTGCAACTTTCCTTGTTCTGGCCCCGTCTCGGCACAGCGCTGCCTGAGTGCAACTGGTGCTACATCTACTTCATCATCATGTGCGCATAAAAATGTGTAATCTAGAACATACGACCCGGTCCATCGCCGATGAGGTGGCCATGCAGGTGGGCTAAGGGACTGGGATGTGCGAGGCCAAGACGAGAATCTCGACTTACGTCACCCAAAAGCCATCCAACGCGGCTAGCACAGCCCATCACGCCGTCGTCGTGGTCAGGGGAGTGGCGCATCGTCTCCAGATGCTGTTTGGTTGTCTTGTTGTGTCTCACCTCATTCGTCTCACGATAGGGAGAGTGATTCAGCGTGAAAGGATTCGCGTCTAGGCGCAGAGGGCATTGAGCAAAAGACAAAGAGAGGTCGAAGTGTACCTCTGCTTGCTTGATTCAAGTTCATCCTGGGCCGCGATGCCACTGGGCCAGCGCGGCCACAGCAGGACATTACATACACGATAGACACACCAGGCCCCTGTCCCATGTCGAATCGGGCTTGGCTTGGGGAATCAGACCCATGTTGTGGCTCCAAGCAGGGCAGCAATTTGGTAGCGCAGCCACTCTCGCTACGTCACCCGCAGCTCTTGTGAACTGCAAGGCTCAGCCGTGGCCCGAGTGGGCTAGCAGGTGGAATACTTGGACGGGCCGTGACAGATTGCTTGGAATTTTCCCTTATTGCACAGGAGACCAGGGTCGTATGCTCTACCGTGCCATGGTTGGTCCGAGACACTTGCCGGGCGGAGCAGCGCCATGTCGGAAAGGAGCGCTTGGCCAAGGATCGCGATTCCATCTACGGAGTACATGAAGGTGCCCCGATGTTGTGTGAGTGTTCTTCGGAGTACCTGTGTAGGTACATGCGTGTATGGTCATGCCATTGCGTGTCTGGACTGCACATACAGAGCGAATACAAGGCCAGAACAAAGAAAGTGCATTACTAGTACACATCGTGGCATCACGCTAGGAAGTGATTCGCGTTGCTTCTCATTGAGCAACAGCCGGCACCAACATGTGCTAGACCGGGGTGGATCGGTCTAAGCATCGTATCTAGACGGCCGAGCCATGTTCATCGCGTGGACAGAGTCCAAAAGCCGGCAGAAGCACGCTTGGCAGCTCAGTCACGTCTAATTCGTTCGTCTTCATGACGTCGCCGCCCTGTGGCACCCAACTGCTGTTGGCGGCCGCTCACCCTTGTGAGACAACAGAAGCCATGCGTTGGCTTATATGCTGACACTCTCCCTCCCTTTCCTCCTTGCTTTGACCATTGCTATTTGTTCCCATCCAATACCTCTCGTTTTCTTCTTCATCTTGGTTCAACTCGATTCACTCGTGGTTGTCACTTATATCATCTCAGCCAAACAGTGGTACTATTACCGGGTGCCTGAAGATATCCAAACAAATCAACAAGCACAGTCAGTCATCATGGGTGTCGGCACATTCTTTCACTACTTCGGCACAGTGCTGCTGCTTGCTGCCACTGCACTCCTTATCGTCGTGTCGGTTACCTCGCCGGTGGTCAACAACCTCTCTATTCTGAAGATCGACTTCAGTGGCAGCAGCACTGTAGACAGAATAACATATGGCACGTTTGGGTACTGTATCATCAACTCAAAGTACGTGCTTTTTCTGCTTCCCATCGCTTAAGACGACCTCCATCAATAGGAAACTGACATCTTATAGTGGAAAAGATGATTGTACTAGCGCCCACGTTGGCTACGATGCTACCGGCGCCATCACACGGGTCACCCAGCTCACCTTCTCCAACAACGACCGTGATGCCGCCAGAGTCCTTACCAGAGTGCTGATTTTGCACCCCATCGCTGCTGGTCTTACCTTCTTGGCCTTTTTGCTCTGCCTGGGCACCAGCTTCCTCGGTTCTTTTGTCGCCTCCCTCTTCTCCGCCCTGGCCTTTATCGCCACAGTCATCGCCATGGCATGTGATTTTGCCGGCTTCGAGATCATCAAGCACGCCGTCAACACCAGGGGCCCCAACAACATCGATGCCCGCTGGGGTCCTGCTGTTTGGTGCATTCTCGCCGCTGCCGCTTTGACCCTCGTTGCAACTATTCTGGTATTCGTTACCTGCTGTGCTGGTCGTGTTAAGAAGAACCGCACCCGCCGCGGCAAGACCGACTACTAAGAAGGAATGCCTTTCCATTATCTCTACGAAAAGAAAGAAAACTCCTGCGGGTTCTACTCAGCAATTATTATGGTAGCGATTTCCGATCTGTCATGAAGAATAAACTCAAAGAGAAAAAAGAATGAAGATATGAATGGAGAAGAACATACAGCAAAGAATGTTTTAGTGCTTGGTTTGTGCGCGCAAGGGGGAGGATCTCGATCATGATACCACAACAGGGGCACGTTAGTTTGGGGGTTGATCGTGCTGGGACCTGAATGAATGTCTCTTTATATATTTAGTGCTTAATATTGTAACGCCCAATCGTTTTATGATGAATTTAAATACTAGTGGATTAAGTCTGCAATACATTTATCACTTATCAAAAGAATAGCTTTGAATGTAGCTTATATGTGAGACTGTTTGCGATATCTTGGGAGTCCGACGAAATGTACCGGGCTTCCAGATACTCGCCAAAGCTGGGCACTAAATCTCGAACGGAATCATGAAGGTAGGGACAAGTTGATATATTAGATACATGAAATTAAAGTTTGGGGATATTCCCCTACAAAAAACGGACATTTTCCCCATGGTTATCGGCCAATATTAGAGTAAGGCCATCTACATCGAACGTGGGTCAAATTCAGTAGGTTAGCATTTCATCGAGTCTCTATTCCATGAGACACACCATTAATACTCGTAACGCTGTAGGAATTGATGTGAAGGAGTTCGCAGATGAGACTTTAAACCCTGAAGCACCTGTAGTCCATCATTCGAAGTGAGGTTAAAGAGCATATCCGGGCAGTCTAGACAACGGATGCACGGAATCCAGGAGCCATAGGTGCCACTGAGGAACTCCATAGCAAGCTCAAGTCTACTGTCATATTTGTGCGCTTCTCTAAACCTCTTGAATAATGATATGGCTCAATCAGGCCGAGACTAGCAAAAGTACAATTAACCCAAGGCTATGTCATATACTGAATTCATAATCTCCTCCTCATCGCCGTCACAGGCGGCGGCGGTAACCTGCTGCAGCAGCTCGACAATAGTCTCTTTGTCGTTGACGGGGACCTTAGCCTGGGTTGCAATCTCTTTGAGCTCTGGCATAGGGATGTGGAAATCCTTGGCATACATAAACGCCTCCCCATCAGGCATATTCTTAGCATCGAAGTTTCTGTTCTTGTAGGAGTGAACACGGGCATTGTATAGACGCAGGTTGAACTGGTAGGCGCTACTCCAGCCCAGCTTCTCCCGGGGATCCATGTATGCCCACCGGAGCTCCCCCTCTACCTGAATGGCTCCCTTGGGAGCATCAGCACCCAGGTCGATGGCGATGATGGAACGAGCATGTTGCATATAGAGGAAAAAAGCAGTTAGGGGGCGCTTGGGGGCATTGGGATCGTAGGTGCGCTTCTTACGCTCCTTCTTCTCCTCGACTATAGGGGTTATGCCTGGCATGGGCATAATAAGCTGACCAGTGGCATCGAATGTATTGAGCAGGTCGCCCTGTGGACCCTCAGCAGTGCCCTCGCCCAGGAGCGGGAGCGAGATTTGGGGACTCATTTGACAGAAGGGGCAGCATTTGTTAATTGATAGCCCAGGTTGCTCTTCTCTTGCGAAAGTTTGACCAGATCCTCCGTCGACATGCCATGCTCTTCATACATATGATCACAGAGTGCTTGCTCGTTGGGGAAGGGGGGATTTAATATCGCACAGTCGGGATCAAAACAGAAGAAGGCACCGGGCTCCAGAGTGTCCCAAAGGCAGCCGATGTTTGGAGAGACATTTTTTGCTATCTGTGGCGAGGGAATAGTGCCTGCAATATTTCCGGAACCTTGGCCTTGTTTTGACGTGGATGCACTTATGGCTTGGGCGCCACTCGCAGGCTTCTGCTCCTTTTTGACGCTGCCGTCGATTTCTAAGCCCAATACCAGAGCGAGGTTCTCTTGTAAAGATCTGAGTGGATCCTCCTCAGGTTTGGTATGTTTTTTATCGATGTGATCCTGGAGTCCTTGCTCGCCGAGGAAGATGAAATCTAACATGTTTTGCAATCTGTGGCGAGGGTGTAGCCCCTTGAGATGGCAGACCAGAATGCAGTCCACGGGTAGTCTTGTGCTTCCTGCGGGGGAGCGGTAGCTGCAGGTTGAGGTCTTTTGGCTTGCTCATGTAACTTGGAGTGCCATGACCTGAACTTTCACCGAATGGGTTCGAATAGTTCGAGGGAAGAGAGTGCGATGGCTGGTTCTTTTGCTGTGTCTGCTGTGTCTGTTCTTGGGCCTGCTGTCCACTTTCATCTATATCAAAACTTGTGGGCCAAGAAACCCCATTCAAAAGATCGGCATCAGGGGCTATTATGGGCGGTGGAGCCAGTGGTGATGGGGAGTCAACATCATTCATTGGTAAATTAAGCCGTGATAAATCAGGTCTGTCATTGTTAACTGAAAAAGCAGGACGATTGTCTTGGCGGGGAGATGATGTTTGTCTTTTGGGATGCTTCCTGATCGAATTTCGCACCACTGTTTGTTCGCTACCGGCGTGATACATTGCCTCATGTTTCTTCAGCATTCCTGCCGAGTTGAATACTGGGTAATGACAGCCCTGAACCCGACAAACATGCTTTAGATGGTCCATTTCATGACGCACGAGGCAGTCATGATTACTAAAGCCCAGAGCAGCATGTGGACATGACTGGAGTCGGCAAGTAAATGCCGAGGTCCGGAAGTTTTGTTTGAATTGTTCGAGCTCCTGGAAGGTGACCTCTGGATAGGTGGAATAGTTTAATATCTTTCGAATCATCGTTTGATACTTCTTATTTAAAGCAATGATGTCGTCTGCCGCAACATTATGCTGGATAGTGTCATCTACACACATATGATACCGTTAGTAATGAACGAAAAGGGCGATCTGGAGGTGTAGAATCTGTACCGTAGGTGGATACCGTTTCCAGCGTCCCCTTGTTTTGTTCCAGGAGCATCATTTTGACTAATTTGTACAAAGGGTAATGATTTTGTCGTATCAAGGCAAGCCAGGGATCTGAGGTGCCACTGTCTACTGCTTCCGAGTCGGGTTTCGCGCCTGTGAAATTGTCCACTAGAAGGCAAGATAGCTGAAAGAAATTGGACTTGAAAAAGCAAGATTGATCAAATTTAAGGTCTGTTAAAAGGTAGTCGACCCAAAATTCGGTGGCGTAGATGTGAAAACCGTGAAGTCCTCGAAGAATTCTCAAGGTTCTTTTAGCCTCTGAGTATGAAGGGTCAAAGGTTTGCTGACTAGATAAGAGGCAACGAACGGTAGCTAGACCGTGCCGCCTTCGTGATTCGTTCTCCGTGATTAGGAATCCACTATCTGAGTCCTGGAGAAAGCTGTCGTAAAATTAGCTTGATATCTCCTAGTTAGATATTGGATGAACATACTCTCTAACTGACATATGGATAAACGAATAAGAGGAGTCGACTTGCTTTTGGATGAGAGGTTCGCACCTATCGAGGATATAAGCCGGGACGAGCTCATTCACTTGTTCATGTCCGGCGTCGAACGCCAAGGCGGATAATAGTTCTGCTGAGCGGAGTGGCCGCTTTGCAAATGCTATCCAACTGAAGACAGCACGAATCCTCTGGACAGATCTCTCGTCGAAATTGGCCATAATCTGTGACAATATTCGTCCATAGCTAAAGTGAGTTTGGTGTCAGGCGACGGATACCAAAAGAAAAACACTTGGTAAAACAAAAGTATGTTTGCTCACGTACAACTTGCCAAGTTCTCGGGGAAGACTATGGGCAGCCTCCAATATCTCATCACGATGGTGAAAAAGGTTTGTGTTTATATACTCCATGACGAGCTTTGCCCAGAGAAACATGCCTGGTACCAGCTCGCATTAGCTCAAACAAAGAAAAGCGAGGTGGAATACGGATAGATCTAGTATATACGGATAGACCTAGTAGATATAGATAGATTTAATGGACGAGAACTTACCATCTGCTTTCTGCGTGATTCGAGATGCCAGGGCCGCCACATCGTCATCAGTGATGCGTAACTGAGAGAGGCTTGGCCGAATGGTATTTATCCTCCGCAAGGTATAATCTTGGATAGCCTTGTTCAAGTGATTTCTCTCATTAGACAGCGATATCTGGTGTTTCTTCTTGACAACTTTGGCAACTGCAGGTGTCATCTGAGTACATAAGAGCACCTTGAGAACAGTCGTGCCGGAGGATGAAGCAGTAGCAATTAGCTTGTCGAGAGTTCTTACAATATCAGCGACCGTACCGCCATCACATTCATCTAACCCATCAATAACAACATGGAGGGCCTTCTGTTGAGACGGCATGGCCCCCAAAGCTTCGACTAAGAGGCGTAGAAGTTGTTCAAGTATCGCATTGTTTGGAGTTTTCCTCTTCAGTACAAGCCAGTCATACGAAAGTGTGATGAGGTCGGGATCCGAACGCATGATTTGTATCATCAATGATCGTATTATGAAGTTGTAATTTGTCGACTCAGGGTAAAGGTAGGTACAGAAATGTGACGCTACCATAGAATGATCTGAAGAACGGAGAAAATTCTGGATTTGTGTAGCCAAAACACTTTTGCCGCTCCCAACGCAGCCATGCATCACAGCAAATTGAGTAGCACGGTCGCATCTTGCCCATGATTGAATCTTCGGCTGTTGGAGTATCCAGCTGCAACTTCCGGGATTTTGATTTGCCTCAGCAACGAGATTATCAAACACTTTAATTTGATGAGTCTCATCAACCTTTAAGACACTCAAGATGGCATGGAACTCGTTACTCGCTCGGTCTTCCTCTTCTTGCTTTAATTTGTTGATTTCTTGTTGTCTCCAATCCTGGAGTTTCTCTCTCATATCTTTTGACTCGGATAGGTTTGCGGCAATGGCTGTTTTATCAACGAGATCCTCGTGTGCTTTTAGATCGGCAAATATGTGGTTGAACCGCCGTTGGAAGCGCCCCCACGACGTAGCGAAAAGTCTTTGCCAAGCTAAATAGCACTCCAAATTAACATGAATCTATATGATAGAGATACCTGAATGTACGGTATCTTACCATTTCGTCGAACAAACTTATAAGCTTCACCGTGAAACTTGAGAATGTCGGAGTAATATACAGCCAAAGTTTTCTGGACTTCTATGTTGTTTGAGAATGAATGGTTAAAGAGGCTAAACCTGGCCAATGGCTCAGCTAGCCTGCTATAGACCTTGATGATCTGTTCAAAGGCTTCGATATAATCGGAAGATATCTGGGACTTATTAGCGCATTATCACTCATGTCTGGCTATTTTGAATACCTTCAATATAAGCTTAATCGGTGCCCACAGCCAAGGTAAATACGGCGTTCCGTTGCATAAAACTTCAATCGTTTGTGAATAGTGCTCCAATCCGGTGAATAAAGGCGCGAGCCTTCGCATATTTCGCAGCGACTGACTTGCTGCAAGCTGCTTTTCGATTTGGAGAGCAGCCTGTTGAACATCTTCAAGCGTTACATTCTTCAGCTGCGCTCGATCGGAAACCATGATGACTTTTTCGAGCTCCATGAATGCTTCTCGCATCATGCGCTGCGCCTCCAAAGAGGCCCTCTTGCACAATGGCATCTTTCTTCTTCTGCAGGCACTTACTACCGTTGGCCGTGAGCTCTTTCGTGGCGACAATGCTAATTAAGCTCCAAGATGGCTTATAAAAAGACCTGCAATTTACATGAGAATCATTGAAGTTCCAAGGAATAGGGAAATACTCTATCTCTAGTAATGGCGATGGCAGGCCACTCAGCTCGCTTGGCATCAGGCTGGAGTAAGGCTGTGCAAGTTTCATTGGCTGTTAACCTTCCACGTTGCTTCGGGCTTTCCGTTAGGCGTACAATAGAACACTGCCCGTAGTCACATACATTCAAGTCTCAAATAACAAATATAACGGGAATAGCAGCTTTGACAACAGTTCCTAATCTGTCCACGAACTTGCATCAACGCTAGGGGAATGGAGTATAATTCAAGAGATTCTCATGCGTTGAAGCGACAGCGATCAAGATCTCCCGATATTTATGATGGCAATGGACCGAAACCGAAAAAAATCGCGACTGCCGAAGTAATAGATCTGACTGTTGATGATGAATCTCCTCTTCATACTCCGACGCCGTATACCGAAGCCAATCAGATCAGCTCTATCGACACTGAAAAGCAGTATATTTGTTTCGGTATGGTATGGATATTCCACCTGGTAAGCTTGAATGCGGCGCGTTAAATATGAAAGTTCAGATAACCGATATAAATGGAGTTTGTCATTTCATGGGATCTCCGCGAGCGCAAGAATTCCCAATTCACTTGGTCGATTCTCAAACCTTCCACTGCGTTGATGATGCCTCCAAAAAAGGCAATATAGACCCAGGGTTCGCATATATAACAGATGCCCTACTCGACGAAAATGACCTTGAACTGGAGATTACATGCTCTATAAGTGCAATTCCGCCATCCAAAGCAAGCTTTTCTACGCCGCTTTCCATGCCATGCCATCTAAATGTGACCCTATTTGGGCCTCTATGTCTTTTTGAAGAAGTAGGAAGCTTTTTTGAGGATCACAATCTCTATCTTCAAGACCCAGTCAACTGTTCAAGGAACGCGTTATACCGAAATCCGCACAAACTATCTGCTGGCTCTGGCCTGGACCAATGGACATACGATTTAGACAGAGAACATGCAAACTCTGCAATTATCGAAAGCACACAACCGCGTCCCGAGTTGCTTAATGCACTAAATTCTCAGGAAGATCTAGTCGAAGCAACACAGCCCGGTTCCATTCGATCAATCATGAAAGGGTAATAAAACAGCCACAAAGCCCCCCACAATTTAACTGCCTTAAACCTCTTTAATCTAAGAAATTCCCCGTGAATAGGCACCAGCTACAAGCATTAACCTTCATGCTTCAACGAGAGCAAGGTTGGGCTTGGGATGGCAGTAGAGCAGACATATGGGAATTCTTTGCTGAGAGTACTGGTTCTTAGTAAGTCCTCTTGTGCGGCATTTCAGTTAATGATCTTTCACTAAATTCTTCTGAATCCCATGTAGCTTTGTTAACAGGGTCTCTGATGAAGCTCAAGCAGAGTCACCGCAGCAATTTTATGGTGGGATCATCGCAGACCCCATGGGTTTAGGCAAGACATTATCCATGATTTCTTTGATAGCATCCGATCTACTCGTGGATAGGAACGATCCGAACTCAATTACTGGCGCTAATGCTGAAGAATCATCTGGTCGTACATTGATCGTCGTACCGCCTCCTCGTGAGTCCGATTGCTAGTAGTCTATGCCCCCTTTTGATCCCTGGGAAAGACTAACTGTTTGGCATACTACAGTTCTTGACTCTTGGGAAGAACAGCTGAAACAGTGAGTCATAATACAATCTAGAAAACATAAGCTAACGAAAAACTAATTGGAACTCTTAGACATGTCTTCTCCAATAGTATCCCCTGGCGCCGGCATCACGGGAAATCTCGTGTCGCAAATGATTCTGATCTTGAAGAATCTTTGGTAGTATTGACAACTTATCACACTATATCCTCAGAATGGAAGGACAACTCAGATCAACAACCGTCCTTCTTGTTCAATACACGATGGAGGCGAATCATCTTAGATGAAGGTTTGCTACACGCACTTTTGGGCCTTTTCAAGAAAAGGGCCATCCTATTGTAGTAAGATATACTAATAACCGCCAGCTCACTTCATCCGAAATACCGTTTCTCGAATGGCTCGTGCCATATGCTCGATAAACTCAGTGTCTCGGTGGGCTGTAACTGGCACGCCTATACAAAACAGACTCGGTGATCTCACTGCACTCCTCAAATTCCTTCAGGTATATCCCTACGCAGAAGAACATAAATTCAACGCAGACATCTCTCATCTATGGAAAATCGGCAAAATCGATGAGGCGGTGAAGCGTCTAAAGCGGCTTGCTGGTTGCATCCTTTTACGCCGCCCAAAGACTGTCATCCAGTTACCACCACGGCACGACTTCCAACAATTTGTGGAACTGGCTCCATCTGAAAGGGATTTATACCAGTCATTTAAAATGCATACCATATCTCAAATTGAATTTGCTCTATCTGCAGATGGTAAACTTAGTGGAACACACTCATATGCCAACATGCTACAGAGAATCGAAGCAATGCGCATGATCTGTAACCTTGGTTTGTATTACAAGGTGCGGTATGATCTCGAGACGTACAATGAGAAGACATTCCAAAACTGGACGGAAGCTGCGCAGAAGATGTTCAATATACGCCGTGGGATTAGCAGCATCCAGTGTCGCCTATGCTATTGCCAGCCTGATTCAACGGAGAATGTTTTTTACGAATCTGGGCCGCCTGCATTATCTACGTTCTCTCAATGTCTGGAATTTGTTTGTTCTACCTGTGTATCAGCTTTCTTATATCCAATGGTGTTGAAATCCTGTTCTCATGAGACTTTCTGCCCTTTCGCCACCATATCAACAGATATCTTCGAGACGGACGATCTGCCTAACCTCACAATTAACCAGTTGTCTCATGGGCTTCCAACGAAGATATCCATGCTAATCAGTGACCTGCAAAGTCAGCCTCATGATGTTAAATGGTGTGTTATCTCATTTTGACCTCATGCTTGAGTATTCTTTAGCTGACATACGGAACAGCGTCGTCTTCTCTTCGTGGCGAACTACACTTGAGATTACCGAGGTTGGACTCAAACATGCATGCATACCTTGTCTACGATTCGACGGCAAAGTGGCACAAAAAGACAGGCATGCCGTAATCGAACGGTTTCGTAAAGATCCAACGATTAGGGTGCTTCTGGTGACCTTATCATGTGGCGCGGTTGGGTAAGCTCAAGAGGCGTCATCATTTAGACATTTCGGCTCATTCTAATACGCTTCTCCAACAGTCTTACATTGACAGAGGCCTCCAGAGCCTACCTCATGGAGCCGCATTGGTAAGCTGCATAATATGTATGATAGCGAGGATCTTATATTAACATGATCTTTTACAGGAATCCAACGCTTGAAGACCAGGCGCTAGCTCGAATTCACCGTATCGGACAAACGAAAGAAGTAACCACGATTCGGTTCATTGTACGAGATTCATTTGAGGAAGTATGAACTCCAGTGCCGGCTACATTTTCGTTGAACGAACTAACCTTATTCTAAACTCAGAGGGTTGTAGAACTACAAAAATCCAAGACAGATCTGGCCGAGGTTATACATCGTCAAAATGAGAGCAACCAACAAGATGGAACTCGACGGCCACTAGAGGTTCGTATAACAGTATCATGGCTTTAGAAATTCTAATCTAACTTCATTTAGTGGCTAAAAGCGCTCATCTAAGTACATGTACGTAAAAGAAGTAGAGTTATCCAAATACCCACAATGATTTGCCTTGGAAGCTCAAACTTGAGATCTAGATGAGTGCTGCGGCATCCACATTGTCGACATTTTTGCCTCCAATGCTAGGTATGAAACGGATACATTTGGCCAGCCCCTGCTCATCTAAACCATTTATGTAATATTTAGCTGATATATGCCATTAAGCTTATCTTCGCGGCCCCTTCGGATGCGCAGCAACCTGCAGGGGGCACTTTCGAAACACAGCCTCGATCCAATATCCGGAAATAGCAGCTATATACGAAGTACTATGGAAAGATTAAACACATTACAAAGCGACGGAGATGAGTCTCTGGAATTATCTCGGTCAGAGAACGAGGCTGCCCCATGCATGTGCGGATTGCATCGTCATGATGAGTTCTTTTCTATCCAATAGTAATGGGGGAGGGGAGGGGGCATTAGACGAAATAAACCTTAGTATTCTCGAAATCTCTCTGTACGTACCTCAAATACACGAAATAGAATTCTGGCCTTCTATCTATTACGTAGCATCGGAAAGGTCATGCGTACGAAGGCCCGTATTCGTCCCCATATTACTCCCGCCTCCTCGTGGCAGCCATATTGCACAATAGCTCTAGAGCCATTCTTTAAAGTTATGGTTACTGGAGCAAGACATTAACTGCTGATGCGTTCACCAAGTACTTTGGTCCAGCCTTGAAGTGTCTCATACCGAAAGCAGGTTTCACTGTCTCGCACAGCCCAGATTGAGCATATACAGTTTCCCGCTATGAGACCAACACATGCAGAAGAAACCTCAGGTGAAACATACAGATATCTGGACAGCATCTAAGTCGTAGAATCCATCAGCAGTCACGGAAAGCACATTGAGAGAGCACCATTGCAACACCAAACCCCGTATAATTGACCCTATCTGGAAACAAAAATAACAAATTCAACTCCCCTCCCTTTTTTTTAATCCTTTTCTATTACCTCCCTGTGAAAATCCCACCATTAACAGAACGTGAAAGAACCACAACTTCCATAACATACCCAGCACTCAATTCCCCTTGCCCAATGCCCAACACCCAATATCCAAACCTCAACACCAAATTAGAGAACCAAGACACACCCGGCAATAAAGACAGCCACAGCCCCCATCATAGGAGCAGCAGTCTGGGCAACGCCGCCAACAGCCGGCGGCGCCTTGGTAGGGCGCGACGTGCTGCTGGTAGTAGCCGTCTGGTTGGTCGAGTTCGAAGCACTCGACGACACGACCCTATATCCAGCGTTCTTCAAGAACGTGGTGGTAGGCTCAGCCTTGGCAGCCATAACCGGAAGAGTCGGTCTGGAAGCCCATTCTGTACGAGTCGCCCAGTCAACAGTCTCCCAGTCTACAGTCTCCCAGTCGACAGTCTCCCAATCTGGAGTCTCCGTCTCCTGCCTTGCCTCGATCCAAGTTCTGGTAGCCTGCCAGTCTCTGGTCTCCCAGTCTGGAGTCTCCGTCTCTTGCCTTGCCTCGATCCAAGTTCTAGTAGCCTGCCAGTCTCTGGTCTCCCAGTCTCTAGTCTGCCAGTCTGGAGTCTCCGTCTCCTGCCTTGCCTCGATCCAAGTTCTGGTAGCCTGCCAGTCAACAGTCTCCCAATCTGGAGTCTCCGTCTCCTGCTTTGCCTCGATCCAAGTTCTAGTAGCCTGCCAGTCTCTGGTCTCCCAGTCCGGAGTCTCTGTCTCCTGCCTTGCCGCGTTAGACCAAGTTCTAGTAGCCTGCCAGTCTCTGGTCTCCCAGCCCGGAGTCTCTGTCTCCTGCCTTGCCGCGTTAGACCAAGTTCTAGTAGCCTGCCAGTCCGGAGTCTCCGTCTCTTGCCTTGCCTCGATAGAGAAATCCCAAGATCTAGTAGCCTGCCAGTCTCTGGTCTCCCAGTCTGGAGTCTCCGTCTCTTGCCTTGCCTCGATAGAAAAATCCCAAGATCTAGTAGCCTGCCAGTCTGGAGACTCCGTTTCTTGCCTTGCCGCGATAGAGAAATCCCAAGGTTTAGTAGTGGTCGTGGTAGGGGCAACAAGAGCAGGAACCACCGAAGTGGCTGGCGTCAGACCTTCAAGCTTGTTGATATGACTGATGATAGAACTGAAGAGTGGGTCAAGAAGAGATTCCACAAAATGAGTGACCCCAGAGTGAGGATCGCGGATATGGATTCGATTCATCACGCTGCTGATAGCCGATGTGAGTTCGGAGTTCCTAACTCCTGGGTTCATAGTAGGCGCCGGAGTCACACGCGCCATGGAAACCGCATTTGATTTGGAGATAGAGCCTGGGTAAAGGGACTGGGCATGGCCGCTCTGCTCGGCGCCTTGAACCAAGGGGACGGCGGCCACGAGGCCCAAGATGATAGCACGGATGCCGTACATGATTCGAGATTGATGTGATGCCGGGTGAAGGTATAGAATGATGAAGAGAGTGAGGATGGGATGGAAAACGAAGAGAGAAGTCCCTTGGGCAGAGTGATTCGCTTCAATTTATATCTTTCTCGAGAACCTCGTGATCCCCAACAGAAGCACATCCTCAACCTGCTCACGGAAATCCAACGGAGCTATAGCTAAGAGTGACGCTGCTATATGGGCCTATCGCCCCCTTGGTGTCTGCCACTGTATCAGCCATACAACCTTAATGTGAAAATCACCTCATAGATTGCGAGCTTGTACCCGCAACAAAGGAACTCAGTATAGGTACGCAAGTCTCCAGATCCAATTGCTGTCCTTGAAAACTATCGCTGATGAACACTAAACCTTATTTTCGGCTGGAATCATTGAACGAATATGCCCGCTATGTTGTGTAGGATACCCATTTGCCCCGCTACTCCTAACCTTCCAACCCTTTTTTTTGTATCTTTCCATTTTCTTCTTTCGTATTTGTGCTGTACTTCCTGTTGCCTAAGCTCGTATTTATTTGAACCCCAAAACGCCGTTGTGCAGCCCGAAGGAACAATCACTCTTCTTCTGGAATGTCTGAAAAGAAGCTGAATCGCATTCGGTGACTCTGTTGGGAAGGCATTAGCTATTGTCACGAGACCTCCCGGAATCTCTCGGGGAGCAAGCGCAGAAAACAGAATAGGGAATTGCTCACAAATGGTAGCTTCGGAATGACAACAGCCAGCGTAGCGAGGAAGTTGATGACAAAATATGTTGAGTCGTAGTGGGTATAATGTGTGCTGATTAAAAATAGCACAATAGGGACACTGAGGAGAAACTTCTTGGTTGGTGTGTACTGGGCTCCGTTGTCGATCTGCTCCCACATGTTGAGATTGTCAAAGGCACCACCGTTGAAGTCAAAGGGAATGCCGCGAACGTAGTGGAACATGATGTAGGAGCCGACCATGTACGTCATATTGGTCAGCGTCCACGACGCCTCCTGGGAACTCCCCGGGATAACATCGTAGAGGATCTTGAGACAGGCGATGATGACGATGTGGATAGTCCAGGCCCCTTTTTTTGGCGGTCCAGGTCAGCGAAGCGTCCAGAAGGCCCCTCGGGGCAGGGCACGTGCGGCGAAAGCATACCTTTTGCGTTTGTCCAGTTGGCGTTCATGTTCGGTATAACAGCCTGATCGCTCATCTGTTCAAGCGTCTCGGGGGGTTCATGGTAGACCTGGAGGATACTGCTAGACCTCCTCCGGCGGCCACCAGCGCTTCGGTCGGTCATGTCGAGAAATCGGCTGCTGGCGGGTTTTGCGCCTGCGTCGTAAGTCTGTGAGGATGCAGGAAGACAAGTTGACGGCATTGTCGGTCTGGATGATTCTGTCTGCTCCAGAAGCCGCGGATGCTCTTTCAGTCTCTCGCAAGGCAACGCGCAAGTCGGAGGCCAACCGCTAAATCGGGGCGCCGGACAGTTACTTGGCGGCACTCGTTGTTAACGAGGCGATGAAGGTACTGAGTAAGTAGCGCTCTTACGTCGGCAGGTAAATTGGAGAGCGGTGCAGGCGGCGGGCACAAGCGAGTGAACAAGCTTTATGCAACTAAGCGGGCGCAAGCGGGCACAGCCACCTGAGGCTCAGGAACAAGCTTTGTGGTTGGAGTTGGTTATCTGGCTTCATCAGCGGGAGAGTGGGGGGTAAGTGGCAGAATGCGAATACGAACCTACCTTTGTTGTTTTCTTGTTTCTTTTAAACACTGAAGAATTTTTGCAGTCACGCGATTCACTTGGGCCACGAATGTTTATTAAATCAATGGCAACTTCGGAACTTCTTCTTCCTCTTTTCCTCGGTGGCTCTTTAGGTAGATACGGGTGGCGGTAGGCAGATAGTGGTATGGAGGTATGGAGTTGCTCACGCAATCGGGTGAGATGGCGCATTACGTGCATTATATGGTGGGCAGAGGGGCAGAGGGGATTCTCTCGCAATGGCTGGATACGACTCGCTACTCCGTCTCAAACTCGCTTAGAGAGCGTCCTGAGGAACTTGGAGATTCTCAGCGGTGGTACGGACAGGCTGACGACGGTTTTGCTGGGATCAGGTTATGGAAGCTGTGGAGACACCCTGGAAAGGGGCGTCGCGGTACCTGCAGGAACAGGAGATATCATCCGACAGCAAATTGAAGCCTCCGTGGTGCTAATGCATGCTAATTAATATAAACGTCTATGATAGTGGGCAGCGAACACCAAAGCGTATACACTAGGATGGAAATGCCTCTGAGCAGCCAACGACTTTTCCAAATTGGCACCAGACTAACTATACTCTGTATGTTGGGACAAAGAGACGGAGAGCTGAGCTCATGATATCACATGCCGGGATGGGACGTGCTACCTTGCTTGACCATCCAAATATCATTCAGCGATCCATGCTTTTCACGCAAGACCCTTGGATGGCATCCCCCTACCCAGCTAATAACGTCTACAGTACACGTGCCAATCTAGCCGCTATCCGGGTGATCTGAAGAAGAAAAAAACACCACATCTAGTCGCCTATTAGTGCAGCTGCTTTATTAAAATCCTGCCCAGGCGCTGTGGCTGTATCGTGTCCCACCCACCCCGTAATATCTATATCTTAATAACAGGCCAAGGGACGCAAGGAGACAAGTCGTATCCTTGGCTTCTAGAAGGCTGCTTCATCATTTCGGCGACAGGGGCTATCCGTGATTAGTGGCAGCAAATGATCCAAATATACTGCGTACTGCCTCGACTAGTGGGATCACCTGGACTGTCTAATAATACTGCTGGGAAGATCCAACCTTCTTTTAGACACTGCCATCTCCTGCCTGCCTGGAGGTCCCTAATCAATTATGCCGGGTGCCACGTGCATCCATCACTCTTGTCTATTTTAGGGGCTCATTTTGGAATCTGCAGGCCTGTCTGTGCTTGTGCGAGCAAGGACGTGAGTCCAGACCTGCTCGCGTATCTCATCTAGAAAACAGATGGTTGCAGCACTACTGACACGTACCTGAAGAGAGGGTAGTCACATGCCAATTTCTTCCTCAACCACCATGATTTAGTAGGTACAGTAGCCTTGCTTGAAAAAAAGAGAGACATCCAGGCCAATTTATTATGCCCATCAGTTGCAATTGCTATCAGAAGCCAGCACTTGCTGCATAAACCAATGTCTCACTGTAGCTGTCGTAGATATGCAAGCTGTGTGTGCCTTGATGACCACATATGGTCAACGGGTAAACTTCGGAAGTGGACTACACACGTTCCCAATTTGATTCGTCGCGTACTTTTTTCCTTGTGATAATCCATCACCCAAAAGAAGAGTGTGGCATCTTCAATCTCACCTTGAAGATTACAACTCTTCGCCTCAACAACTGCAAACCTACAAATTCCGACTTTTGAGTCGGCCAACAGCTGGAATATTACCGTCTCGTGCCGAGTGTGTGCGCGCCGATGATATAGGCAGGGCCTTGGGTTGCCCGTCATCCGCGCCACTCGCGCCTGGGCTTCTCAGGAGACAGAGTTCAATCACAGTGAATTGCTTCACCATTGTTGGCCGCCATAAATAACTATCCGAGGAGCTACTCTATTTCTTTTTTGGCAAATGGAAGAAGAGAGCCCAAGTGCTTCTGCAGAGCTGGCCAAGCCCCTGTCCAGCCCAGTCCCATCAGGCGCCATGGCCACAGATCAATCAAACCCAGGAGACTTCATAAGTTTGCTCAGTAGCGAAGATGAAACTCCCTTGGCCAAGAAAAGGAAGTCCCCAGACGACGATTCGGCCAGCATTGGCGGAATAGACGCCTCTACAGAGCGCTCTAAGCGTGCTCGGGTAAGCTCTGCCTCTGCTGATAGCATCACAGGCGCAAAGGTATCAGAGGAGGGGGAGATTGATGACGATGAGGATTCTGAGGGAGAGGTCCGTACCCCTGGTACAGGCGGCGAGGAGAAGAAGACAGGAGGCTTTGCGTCAAGCGGCGTCTTCGTGCCTAAATCCCCCCCGGCTTATGCCAGTGACTCGATATCACTTCAACTCCCCGTGTTTTCCCAGCAGAGGGAGGGAACCTGGCTTGCAAGATTCAAGGAGTGGGCGCAACTGCTCTGCACAGCCAACTCACCAAGTGTCACCAAGATTACGCCTGCGTTAGTCCGAGCTGCCTACAAGCAATACATTGATATTCACAGTAGACTGAAGCCCAACAAGAAGCGCGCAGCAAGGCAGGCCGCCGAACAATACGAGGATGCATCTCTGGCTGACTTGATAAAGTCTCTTCAGCCACGCCAGACAGACGCTGCACAGCTCCCAGCGGCGGCGGAGGAAGCTTTGACCGGGCCCAAAGCGCAAACTGACGCGCCCAGCCAGCTTCCAGCGGCTCAGGTCAGCCCTCAGGTCAGCCCTCAGGGCGAAACCCCCGCTGCTGCTGTGCTACTTCCTCCCATCCCTGTGTTGACAACACAAACTGATGGTATCTTTGTCATTGATGTGAAGCCGCAGCCTCCCCAGACGGCCAACACTCGCGAACCTCGACCAGTATCACAGCCGGTGTCGCAGCCAACATCACAGCCAGTACCTCAGCCTCCCGCCAAAGCCACCATGTCACAGCGGCCAGGCCTGCCTTCAGGGGACGAGGCCCTCGAGCAACAGCGCCGATACTTCCCTTCAGCGAGCGATCCGTCCAACATGTGCTTGCTCTGCGGGCGAGAGGGCCATACTGCGGACGGCTGCACAAACTGCGCCTGCAAATTCTGCGGGCAAGACGACCATTGGCAATATGCTTGCCCATCTCTTGACCTCAGATGCGACAAATGCGACATTCGCGGCCACTCTACCGCTGGTTGCGTAACAAGCATACCTAGAGATTATCACTTCAAGTGCAGCTTTTGTCATACAGCTAACCGTCATGAGGACGAGCACTGTACGGAACCATGGAGGTCATTTCATCCTGAAACGGAGACGATCAAGATGGTGACTGCTCTGCCGGTGTCATGTGCCTCATGCGGAAGCAACCATCATTTCTCTGCCAACTGCAACATGGATAGGGTATCTGATGATCCCCCCAATCCCACCTGGAGCCTGTACAACATGGGCCGATATATAGACGCAACGAGCAGCTCATCAGCAATTATCGGCGCTGATGAATGCGCACCGAGTCAACAGTCAGGAGAACTAAAGATTCGTGGCCACGCTTCGCGTACCAATGAAGTCCGTTACTATTCCGACAGCGATGACTCGGACGATGTGCAGTTCCTGGGTCGACGAGTCGCTCCCAAGCCGGTACGGACGGGCCGTATTAAGGTATCGGCCAGCCTTCAACCGCCCAACGGAGATCAGCAACCCCCTCTACCCCCTGGTCCACCTCCTCCTGAGCCGCCGCCGCCGCCGCCGCCGCCCACCAATCGCGCACCAAGATACAGCTACTCACAAGCGCTGGCTGGGTCAAACTCGCTCCCCGCCAGACCACCGGTTCCTTCGCGGGACTATAGCAGCGTACCACCGCCTCCCTCCCAACCCGCACAAGGATCTCGCCAGCAGTCTGGCCGAGGAGGTCGAGGGGGCAGTCGTGGTGGCGGTCGAGGTGGTGGCCGAGGGGGAAGGGGAGGAGATTCGGGAGGAGGTAGAGGCTATAGAGGAGGAAAGTTTAGAGGCGGCAAGGGTCGAGGTGGTTAAGCGATTGATCATGATGGAGTTTGGGTATTGTGCAGGCAAGGAGATGTTGCGGGATGACAAATGGAGCAAGCACGTGCCTGACGATTTGATACATGCCCCTTTGCACTCTGGTCTGCAGTGTCAAGGCAAGACACTTTGATACCCCCTTGCACTACGATTTATCAATTTGAAAGCAAGGATTTGAACGAGAGATGGTGGTGCTGCCTCTCTGCAACCCTGGACTTCTATCAGGTGGAAGAAGCATGGCTGGATATAGAGGCTATGCGATGAACGCTAGAAAACGAGGGATTGGAAAAGGAAACATGAGATATTTCCACGGGGTACATACGTGCGGACGGCATATTGGTATGCAAGCCCTCGCTGCATGTTTCAGTGTGCCTGCGTTTGAAGAGCAATGGTGGTTCGTGAAGTTTGAGCCAATACAACATGAATTGTTGGGCAAGATAGATTCCACTACACACTACAGAACAATAGCTGTACTACGGAAGATGCAGCTGGTATTCCCGTATGTAGGGCAACGCTAAATGTATAGAGTAACATCGGCTTCACAACCGAGAGTATCGTGACCTATGATTTGACAAATGGTCCAGCATATCCGTAGCTCGTCGAAACACCCAACCACTCAGAGCGCGCCGTGATGGAGGCACTTTCGTGATTTGCCGATTTGTCCTAGGTGAAGAAAAAAAAAGGGCGCTAATACGAGTAGGCGATAGAGACATGCATTGTTTCAACGCGCCACGAGCCGGGTGCAGGCCACGGGCTGGGAGAAGCGGGTTTTTGTGGGTTGACAGCTGGGGGACGTGGCTAGTGGCATGGACGAGAAGAGCAATGAAGATGGTGGTTTGATGGCGGTTTGGCTTGGTTGTGCGCTGGGTTTCAAGACGACGAGAGTTGGGCATGAGTTGGACAGGGTTGACGAAGCGAGTTGCGACCTGAGGACGGCCTGAACATCTGCAGGGGGGACGAGAAGAACTTTTGAAGTTCTTTTTGTTGATTATGGTACTACTAGATTTGATCCTTTGCGTCCTGGCTATTCTTCCTGGCCATCGCTGTTCTTTTCGTTTAGTAGTTTGTTGGGGTGTTGAGGTCGGTCACGAGAAGAAGAGAGACAAACTCTAATAGGCACTCATGATCGATCTGCCACCTCTGATAACCACATCCCGCGAAATCGCGCTTAAGCTTGACTGTCAAGCTTGACTGGCCCTCGCACGTATTCCCTCGCGTTACCACCATTTCGAGAAACCACTTGCTGATTCGCCCACAGCCTCTGTCTCGATGAAAAAGGTCGCGTCAAAGCCCGCTATCGATAACATCACCACCCAAATTGTTTAAACAACCCAAACTAAAACACCCTTGTCCCACGCTTATGCACTTGTCCCCCACACTCAACCAACCCACTGGCCGCCACGATCGAAGCCTTGAGACGGTGTCTGTGGGCACATGCAGGTTGTCCACTTTGCTGGCGCGGCCGAGTGACGCGGACACGGTGAGGCCTGGCGTTGTCGCGATGAGTTTTTCTGTGAGTCACTGGCCAGTTGTTCCTGGAGCCGGCAACCTTGGCCATGCGGTGCTGCAGGACGATTGGAGCGCGGAGGGTCGGCAGGATGGCGCTACAGGGGGAAACGGGAGCAGAGTTTTCTTGCTCGTTTCCGTCTGGCTTGTCGCTTGTTCCAGTCGATGGGTGCCCAGTCGGGGGGACGAAGCGAAGCGATATGGGCAGAAAACGAGGGTTGATTTGGGCAGGTAGGGTTGTGGGATATATACAGGCGAGGATGGAGACGGCTTCTCGTGCTCTCTATTCTGAATTTCCCATCTGGTAATTCTGCTGTGTGAATTATTGTATTCGACCTGTGTATTGATATTGACAACTGATTGAGAGCGCTTCGTCTCTCGATCTCACCTTCGTCAAGGGGCTTATTGCTGATATCCAACCACCAACCACATCAATCAGACTAGAGCTCCAGCCATCAATAATACTAGCAGTCCAAGAATCTGCTCCCTTGAAACAAATCACTTGAAACAAATCTTGAGGGCCTGCCCCACGACATGAGACGGATATGGCTTCCACAGAACAACTGTTTAACGCCATGCTGAGGAGCGACACTGTCAAGGACAGCCTCTTCCAACACCTCACCACATCCGACATCTGTGCCATTCGCGAGGCTTCATCAGCCTGCTGCAACCTCGTCACCAAGCGTCTCTTCACCCGCATCCATGTCACCTTCACAGCTTCCACTTTCACCCGGCCCTCGCGCATCGCTGCCCTGGGCCGGATTGGGCATCACATCGAGCACTTGACATTTCACTTTGCCCACTCCGAGGCCACGTTTCTGCCGCCGCTGATCCATCCGCTGACAGGCGATGAGATTGCTTTTTTGTACAAGCCTCACACCAGCATGGGATCGGCGCTGACTCGCCCCAAGTACGCCAACACGGAGCTGGGAGAGATTCTGACGCAGCAGTATCCTCCGTTGTTCCACGCGGCCACCAACGTCCCCAGCTTTATCTATGCTATTGGCCATATCCCCAACATGAGGCACCTGACCATTCGTTGTCCCGGCCAGGACCCCAGGGAACGGTATAGGAGGGATATTGTGGACTATGCCCTCATCAGCCTGCGGATTGCTATCGAGCGAGCGCCGATGACAAAGCTTCACAAGCTGTCTCTGTCATCTCTCCACCCTTCTGCCTTCAACTATCTCAGATACATCAATGGGATTGGAAGCGTGCCCTCTGCGAGCCGTAGGTGGCAGCAGATCACCAAGCTGCACATCTCGGTGGAAGCCTGGGACTTTTATGGCCCATCTCCCGGCCTGGACCATCTTAAAGTCATTGATGACTACATCCGCAACTTTTCCCAAGGACTAGAGAAGTTTACGTTTGCCTGGATTGGTGCCAAAGGACCGTGTCCCATTGCTCTATCTGCTGATCCTCTCTTCGCGCCGCCTCGCAGCACTAAGAAGCTATTCCATGAAGTCACTTCTCCCATGTCGCCTCTCCCAACCCGGCCTCCCCGTTGTCCCATCCACTTTCCTAAGCTGCGCTATCTGCAGATTCGTAATGCCACCATGAACTCTCCCCAGCTCAAGGGCTTAATCGCGTCCCACCAAAAGACTGTCAAGCAATTTGGGTTCGAGAGCGTCGTCCTCACCAATAATGGTAGCTGGGACGAAGCTCTGGCGCCCGTGGACGGCGACAACAATTGGTCTCGAAGCAGCTTCGCGGCGCCTTCGGAGTTTTCTGTTATAACCAGCACAAGTGATGAGGAGCTGCCTAGTCCCAGTGCGGCGGTCGCAGCTGCTAGCAGAGAGCTGATGGATTTCGACCTGAGCGGTCTCACTCTGAGCGACGATGACAGAGATGTAGCTCAAGACTTTACAAACAACTTTTCTGGACCGAGAGAATCTGATCTGAGTGTCTCTACCAAGCTCACGCGAAAGCGTGTTCGGCGCCACCATAGGAAACACTCTAAGACGGAGAGTAAAGAGCAAGCCCCTGAGTATCAATCTCCTCTATCGCCTCCATGGTCGCCTCGCAGCCACAAGTCTTCCTCCACTGTGCGCAGCCATAAGCCGTCCAAGCTTCGTCTTAAGCTATCTTTTGGATCCTCCAGCGAAATTGCCTATTCTGCCATCCCTGAGCCGCTGTCCATATTCACGCCGCCCATCATGACATCGGAGCCCCAGCCGGTCCTCCTCCAGCCCACCATCTATTCTCCCTCCGCCCATCGCCAGGTTGGCCCTGACGAGGGCATCTCCACTGTACAACGCAATCTGGAACAAGAAATGGCGCACCGTCTGTTTGCCGAGGACGCGGACGCCAGAGCAAGCGCCTTACACAAGGCCAAGGAAGCAGTGCTGGCGAAGCTCAGCAAGGAGTTTTACAGCAAGAAGGATAGAATCGCGGATGCGGTATCCGTGTGTCGATATATGGGTGTTCGAGAGATTAGCGGGTGCAGCAGAGAGATGGTGATGGAGGACTGGAGGGGGTTGGAGAGCAGGAGTGCGTTGGTGCCCTTAATGTTTAGTCGAACTTAGAAGGGGGTTGGGATCTGGAAACAGAGGTAATGGAGGGATGGTATGATTATGACGATACGACGACATGAATGTTTTGGTATGGGATTGTTGTTTTCTTTCTTTTTGATATCACTCTTTTGGGTCACTTTTCTTTGATGTATTTTTTATTATATTGATACCTGGACGGAGGATATGGACATGTATAGTACGGTCATTACGCTCTCTCATTTAGTATTCTTAGTGTTTAAACTCTTAGTATTCTAATCACTCTACTCACAATCATCTTGGATCCAATCTCCATCTCGTGATGTAGTTCATTCAGGTACTCTCGCTAGCAATCTTCTCCAATGTCTTCACATAGTCCTCGACCTCTTTCGCCCCCGTCAGTGTAATATCTCTCCTCTTCCCCTCAACCACCACCACGGGCACCGCATCGACATCCCGACTCACCTCCCTCAGCCTCGACTTGACCTCAGCCAATCCAATCTCCTTATCACTCACAACCTTCCTCGCCTCCTCCTCGCTAATCCCCGCTTCTACACAAGCCTCTATCAACACCTCATCCGCAGAAGGATGCTCCCCCTTCTCAAAATACCGCTCATACAGCGCATCAATCAGCCTACTCGTCGTTTCAGGACCCCTAGAATCCTGAAAATACTGCACCACGCGATGTGCGTCAAGAGAATTCCCCATGCGGCCGTCGAAGCGCAGGGCGATGCCGAGGGGCTGGGCGACTCTGGTCATGTGCTCCTGAAAGACCTGCTGGGTGGTGACGTCGCCGAAGTGCTTATTGTCGAGATACCACTGCAGGCGGTCTGCGTCGGGCGGGAAGTCTGGGTTGAGCTGGTAGGGGTCGAAGTGGAGGGTGTAGGAGACGGAGGAGGCCATGGGCGAGGAGCGGAACTTTGCGAGTGCTTGGTCTAGTCTGTTGGGGGTTTGAGGTTAGTATATGGATGAAATTGGGTGAAGGAAATTGAATTTGCCTTTTTTTGGCCATGTATGTCCTGTGGATTGTGTTAGTATGTGATGTTGTATGGGGGGTTGAGATTTATAGTTTCGGTGTAAGTGAAGGATGTGTACGTACCAAGGACATACAGTGTCCAGCGTAAAAGTGATCCGCGACTCATACATCCTGCTTCACGTATCCATACAACGTAGTTAATTGATGGCAGTGTACTGGATCTGAGATATCGTCACTTTGGAAAGATAAGAAAAGCCCTGGAATGAAGTGAAATGAGAGCCCGACGTCACAGCTGCTGATGCTAACTCAAAGCAGGGATTTGCGGGGGAGTTCGGGAACCCGCCGGGAAGGATATTGAGGGGCCGATCAGCCCCCAATTCTCAATCATGACTAACAAAAGACAGAGTTGCGGCACGAGACTAAATCATTTCGGGATATTTCTTTCATTAAAACTCATTGTAGATATACGAACAAGGGGAAAAAAAGATGCTGGAGGGGTATCTATCTTATACTCAAGATAGCCGATGCTAGTCGAATGTCACCTTGGTTCCGGTATGCTCAACCAAGCCTCCTGTGAGACGAGCGACAGCAATATCTGGAGCACCCTTTGACGGCGCAGCCTCTTGTCTGCCCCCCCTGCTGTTGTCTCGCTCGTCTGCCCTGCTTCTCCTGGGCGGTCTTGATGTATCGTCGGCCTTCTTGGATGCATCCTTGCCGAACCGCTTCTTATATCGCACCTGGTCGTCCTCGGCAAGCTCGAGTTTGAGCTCGCGGCCCAGCATGCGGTTCACCCACCACTTTCTTGTCTTGAACTGCTTCTGCGCTGGCTTCTCTCCATCTTCGGCCTCGTCGTCGCTCTTGTCGTCACGGAAATCCTCCTCAGTCTCCACCGCTTCCTTGATCTTGACAAAGCCCTTGACGGCCCAGGCGGCAGCTTCTGGCTCCTTAAACTTGATCCAGCCGTACCCCTTGCACTTGCCTGAGTCTTCAAATGTGGCCAGCTTGGCCCACTCAATCTCTCCGCACTTTTCAAAGTTTCGGATCAGATCCTCCTCGGTGACCTTGAAGCTCAGGTTGCCAACAAACACTTTGCGGCTGGCGTTGGTCTCTTGGCGCTGCTCTGTCTTGTTCTTGGAGGATGCCGCATCGGATTTCCCGGCTGCCTCTTCGGGCTCCTTCTCTTTAGCCGGGCGACCTTCGAACGACTTGGCGTCCTTGATGAGCAGCTTGCGTCCGCTGAGCTCCGTTTCCGAAAGGGCAATGGCAGCGACCTTGCCACCGATATCTGTGAAGTCGACGTAGGCGAATCCCTTGTTCGCAGGCTTCTCGTCCTTGTGTCGGTTGGCATCCTTTACCGTAGGCAGCTTGACTCTTGTAATCGCCTCTTCCGTGATGACACCTCCCGCATTGTCTATCAGCCATGTGCGAAGCTCTGCCGCGGTCAGCCTGAACGGCAGGTTGCCAATCCAGACTCCGTGCTCAGACCGTGCCTTATCCTTGCCCTCCTTCTGTCCATCCTTATCCTCCTTCTCATCGTCGCTCGAGGGCTTGGCGGGCAACGGCTTTCCCTTCTTGAGAGCTCGTCGCGCTCTCTTGGACGGCGGTTCCGGGGCGTTTACGTCGACCTCGATTTCCTCGACATCGGCCTTCCGCTTAGAGGAAGCCAACTTGTCGACTTCCACCGATTGGGGAGATTCTGGATCTGTGGCTGCCATTGGGGATTATAGATGGGATTATTATGATTTCGCAATATGCACCCAGCCCAATTTCCGAAGCATCAATACGACCAGCAGAAATTTTTTGGAGCCGGCCGAAATCTGCCAATCGATAAGGCGATAACTACCCGTGGCTATGAAGTGGGGGCGCCAGGAATTGGGTTAAGCGCTGAAGCCGGCTATTGTCTACAGCCAAAATCAACCCGCAACAAGCATGTGCTGCGAAAGCAGGTTGCACCCCATCCCTAGCACGCAGCGCCTTTTCAGGAGACGACGGCCGTCTAGAAACTCAGATCGTCAATAGGAATGACTCCCGTCACACTTGCGCCGTGTAACGCCAGCGACAGCAGGCCGCTGAATGGCTGACATGACGAAGTGGCGCGGAGCCACGTCTTTGCCCGGCATTAGCGTTACGACGGCAGGAAAAAGTTTGAAATGGCCATGGCATTGGACGCAGCTAACGACGAGAGTGTGGGAGATGGAAGGCCAAAGAAATGTGACGGCTAGCGATTCGCAGGAGCTTCCTAATGCAGGCTGAGTCGTGTGCACTGGACTGGCGACTGCGACGTTGGCCACCGATGGAGTACTACGTACTGTACTCGGTCCTATTGTACAGAATCTTTCATGCCTTTGTCTTCGAGCGCGCGCCAACTGACCTGTGCCAGTGCAGATATACGAGCTACTCTAGGCATGAGCTCCACATGGCATCAGTTCTGCCTTAATGGAATGGCGAGACTTCATCTCAGGCCGGAGCGTGCGCGCTGAGGCCCACTGCCAGCAGCAGTAGTTTGTCGTTGCAATGGCAATGTGCATGGCCAAGCGATTGTGTGCGAGGGCCCTTTGCAAAAGCATGTTTTATATAAAATGACGGGCCTGCCGCAAGGAGAGAAATAGTCGAGTGGTAGGTAGTAGGCCGAGCCTAGCTCTGCATGTCGGCCGAGATTGCAATGACTCTACTGCTCCCTTGATGTTCCAATTGCCAGCACTACCGATTACACTAGTAACAGGGCCTACGGATCATGATGGAACCGTCAGATGCTGGTCTCACCCCATCCATCCATCTAGAGAGAGGCAAGGCTCACGATGCGGTCTTCCGAGGGCAAACAAGCAGATCTGGACCCGCAGCGCCTCTCCTTACCTTGGGTGGGACAGGCGAATGAGACTTTTCCCTTGCACAGCTAAGGCACGCTGCAGGGACGAGGCAGGATAGCGCCGGAGAAAAAAAAGAGGAAAGGGAAAATAAGAGAGAGGAGATCCGGCCAGGCAAACAAGCCGTCTCCAGATCAGCTGAACCGAATGACCTGGACTGGACCTGGACTGGACCTGGACCCTTCGCCGTGCCTCTCTCTCATGCTCAGGTTTTCGTTTTGCCGCCCAAGGACAGACTCCATCCTGGTACATGCACATGCAGCTTGCAGTGCTGGCTGGCTAGCGTCGCAGCCCAACAGGCCAACCAGCTGTGGGGGATTGGCCGGGGCTTACACGTAGTAGCTCGTAGCGCTGGTAGTGCGTTTTGCCCTCTGACGCACCTGTGCCTCCAGCCACGTTGTATAGCGGGCGACGGCGCTGCGGTCCAGCGAAACGGGCCTGTGGCAGCCGGTGGCCTCCGCTGGCTGGGCAGATGGATCCGGACGAACGCTATTATGGATGGATTACGCTGTGCTATACATATTTGTACAGGGAGGTGCTGCTACTGCTAGTACTACTACTGCTACTGTACGGCAGCCGTCACGTGCGGCGGGTTCAGCGGCTGGCCGACGAGTCCACCTCAAGTCTTTTGTGCTTTGCTTTTTGCTTTTCCTTCTGCCATGATCCCTGGCGAGCGAGGCAACCTGGCCGGCTCCGTCTCCGCATCTAATCCTTTAACTATTACCCACTCGCTTGCTTTTGTCCACAACAACTCAACCTCTGCCCTTGCACTGGCCGGGCACCCATGCAGAGCCCCGTTGACCGCTCTCTGGCACTGGTTCGAGTTCTTTATTGCGCTGCAGCCGGGCCTGTTATTTTTGTCGGCTCTTTCTCCTCTTTGCCTTCCGTTCCTTCGCCCCTCTCATCCGAACGGTGATGAGGACGGCGCTCGACATCAATCTGACGAATACAAGACAATCCGAATACAAAGCATCAGCGTCATCAGCATCAGCATCATCAGCATCCTAGCCGTCGCAACCGGGACGCCGACACTGGGAGATTCACACAGCTTCGCCTGCGTCGCTTTGCCACAATGAATGTGCTGCTATCGCCGCAGTTACCAGTTTTCCCTCACCAGCACGAAAACCCACATCTATCCCAGCGAAACCGTAAGTTGTCTGCCTCGTCGCCCCCTTCATCCACGGCTTGGTTTGTTGGCGCATCGCACAAGCACTCATCTCCCTGTACCATGTTCCGGAGCTCACATTCCTCTGCAGTCTCATCGCTTCACAACATGAGCAGCCGGAAACGAAAGGCCGACGAAGATGGAGACGAAAATATGTCGCCTATGAGCTCACCCGCGGTGTCCTCTCGCCCTCTTCTTCGCCCGTCGAAGAAGTTCAGATCAAACGATTTAATCGGAAGGCCACTCCCTCTGCCAAGGCTTTTGGAAACCCTCGACACAAATCAGTTGCGGATGGTCTTGGAACGTATTTGCGAGCGCCATCCCGATATTGGCCAGGAGGTGGTTTCGGGAGCGCCCCGGCCTACGGTCGCCGCGGCCATGGACGTCCTGCAGTCCTATCAGGATAGACTAAACGCTGCCGCTCCGTATGGCAACAGCAGCGCGGAATACACATACGACCGAGTCAAAGCCCCCCTCGTCGCTTTGATCGATGCACTCTCCGATTTCACTCCTCAATTTCTTCCACCTATCGAAACCCAACCGACCAAATCTCTCGAGTTCCTCGACAACGCGACAAGATTCATTCATAATCTTCCCAACTGGCAGCCGCAGGCTTACCGTCATCACAAGGAAAACGCATACGAAGACATCTCCAAGGCGTGGGCATTGGTCATTAATGAAGCCGCGAAACGAGGTGGTGGCTTCAATCTGCATACGGATGGATGGGATCAGAAACTCGCCCGGCATAATGAGCAGTCAGGCGGACGGCTAGGAACTGCCATCACTGCCATGTCGAATAGCGTTGGCTGGATCTCAAATGAGAATGCTGAGCAAAATTCCATTCTCAACCAGATTGTATCGGGTGCATACGGAGCACCCGTTAGAGTCGGACCCTGGTGAAAGCTACCAGAGCACCTTACGACACATACATTTTTCACGACATCATCCTTTGCATCAACGGGCTACTATAGACTTCGGCACTCTTTTTTTTTTCCCTTGCGCACACAACCGGTCGGCTGGCGTTCTTTTCTTTCCTTTGTGATATTTGATATCCTTTCCCTATCACTCAAGTGGGCAACAGGGACTCTACGTGTGGCATATTTCGCGGTATTTGTACGGGTATGGGGACATTAACATTTGTAAATAAATACTCAAACAATCCATAGACTGGTACCTCTAATACTGAAAACAGGCGTGGATCAATTTTGTCTCTCAGCATGTAGTATCGCTACTCTCTCTATCTCTAGTATCGCTATCTTTCTCTAGTGTTGATATCTTCTTCTAGTATCGCTACCTATTCTTGTTATTGGTATTATCAATTACTTATATTCTTTGAAGATATAGAGCATTTACAAATATCTTGCTAAGATCTTATGATGAGCACAGAGCACATCTGCACAAACTTCTATGAAAAAGAGATGCGGCATTGCCCCCGTTTTAGGCCACTATAGCTTGATGTACTCTTGGACTTGATATTGCTTGCCAATAGCCCTTTGAACGAATATATCGAATCCAGCAAGTCATATCAAGTCCATATGAAGCCTGTGCCCCCAAACTAACAGAATTTGCGACTCATGTAACTCCCCGCTGAGTGTAACTGATGGCTCAAAACTGCTTCGTCATTATCCAGACGAATCTCTTACGTGTAAATCGCATGTGCCGCAAAGCTGACGACGCAATGGAGCTTTCCATACCTACTTTATTAATGTGGTCAGCTGAACAAGACTAGCAGGGCGTGAGCCAAGACATGCTGGAGGTTGAGAAATCCGGGGGTACGTACCGCCGGCTCATGCAAGTCACGTGCTCACCTGTTTGTCAATTAAACAGACGCGCCTGTCGAGTTATGTCATGAACGCGACTCAGCGTGAATGGAAGCCTAAAACAACATTCAAGGCATCCAACCAGCGCCTTTGCCTTCACAGACTCGACCGGTGCCCGCATGAACTCAGCGCACTCTCATCTCTTCTGCGATAGATGTTAGGGTGATTCCGGTTGCCCTCAATGCCTGCGTATGCCCTCCCTCAACTAGCACGATGCGACCCGACTGTGATTAACAACAGCTTCCAGCCCGGGCGATCAACACCAGGAGTGGCCCAACCCCTTCGAGGAGGCCAAGCCGCGCATAGCAGAATGGACAGCCAAGGAAATCGCCACAATCGCCTCGAGGCTTGACAAGCAGCTCGGCCCCGAGTACATCTCTTCGCGCGCTGGGCCCGGCGGTTCACGGGTGCATTATCTCACTGCCGAAAAGGTCATCGGCCTCGCCAACGAGGTTTTCGGCTTCAACGGGTGGTCGTCCTCGATACAAAATATCCAAGTTGATTTTGCCGACGAGAATCCGCAATCGCAGCGCGTCAGCATCGGGCTGTCTGTCATCGTTCGAGTTACCCTCCGAGATGGCACCTATCACGAGGATGTCGGCTACGGCTCAATAGAGAACGCCAAGGGGAAGGCAATGGCCTTTGAAAAGGCGAAAAAGGAGGGAACCACGGATGCGCTGAAGCGAACGCTGAGGAATTTCGGTAACGTGCTGGGCAACTGCATTTACGACCAAGACTACGTCAAGCAGGTTACCAAGATTAAACCCCAGACGAACAAGAAGTTTGATCCGGATAATCTTCACCGACACTCGGACTTTGCGAAGAAGGATCTGATAAAGGATGTGGTCATGACTGGCAACACGAACAATGCTGGTAACAGCACCGCGGCCAATGCCGCAGTCACTGCCGCTCCTACTCTTCCCACGGCCGCTGCCGGTGGATTCAAGATAGAGCCAATGGACTCGTTTGATGACTTCCTTGGGGGTATGCTGTCCTCAGATGGGTTTGAAGAGATCGAGGCTGAATATCTATAGAACTTGATGAGGCCGACTTTTGCGTGCCGGGAGATGGCCATCCCGATGAAATCATGCTTCCCAACGCGGCCAACCCACCCAACGACAAGCCTGCCGCTAACGAATCAAGGCCGGGTCAACCAGCAAAGCCCATACCGGTCAATGGCTTGAATCGACCGCCGCAGCCGCAGCCACATACTCCCAGGCAGGGACAACCACCTCGGCCACACAATGGCCCGCAAGGCAAAGACTCGTTGAACCAAACGATGGCACCTCCTCCACAGGCACCGCCTCCGGGAGAGCCTGTGGCATTCTTCTCGGCGAGATCTACCATGCCTGACGCGAGCCAGCCTGGTAGCAACCAGAACCAGCAGAAACAGCTCTTCAATCCCAAGGCTGAAAGCCCTTCGATACGAAAGACTCCCGGAATCGATCACACCTCATCGAAACCCGTTGCGAGGAACGGCCAGCATGTCCCTCCGGCTAACAGCCAAGCACCGTCTACGCAAAGTGGCAACACCGGCGGCTTCACATCACTACGACAGTCAATCAGCAGCTCTCAGGCCAGGGGTAATCCGATGAATCCAGCTCTAGACCAAGCTCGTAGAATAGGAGCGCCGGGTGGCGGTCTGGGCAGTCCCCTTGCTAATCGAGGCCAATACAAACCTCCAACAATGAAACGAACACTACCAAACGAAGGCAATGGTGCTAGTGGGCCCAGAGCGCCGCTTGTTGATATTCCAACAAATGCAGGCAATGGTAGCAGCGAGGATGGGTTGGACGCAAAGAGGCAAAAAGTGGCATGACTCTAATGACAAGCGCAAAAGAAGCATTTGGGCATGAAGGAGCACGGAGTTTTGGAGTTTGGGTCGGTGATAAATGACACCCCTATATAATTTAGTATTTCGGGGTTTAGACAGATGTTGAATGTATGGCGGGATATTTCCAACTCGTTATGAAATGAGGGCAATCTAGGCGCAGTTGTGGATTGATGCTTGCAGTTTGCCTCTATTCCTGGGATTCAATAACTACGAAGGCTTTGTTCCCTCTGTCGCGTGTCGCTACGCACTCGAATTTCCTCTCGCTCTCGGAACCCTCTCGGTAGTGCAGCTCAGATCGATGAAGTGGACAATTTCCACGCCCACTCTAGCCATCCTCATTGCAACATGTACATAATAAGTCCTCCGCAGGTTTTCGTCATATCGAACTTTGACGGTTGTATGTCTCTTTTTCCGCACCGCATTCCCGACCTTGTTGGCATCCCCTAGATGGGGGGATATGCTCAGGTCTTCGGGAAGCACGACGCCGATCCATGGCTTTCCTTCGTCTTTGACACCTCCAAAAGCTAGGATGAAGTCGCTGCAGTTTGTGAAACTGGGATCAGGTCTGAAATGAGTGTACGCGGAGAAATCTTCTCTGCCACGAGTCTGAAACTTGTGCTGACGAGTGTCCCATTCTGTCTCCGGGATGTAAGAGAGTGGGGTGAAAGGAAAAGCTTGTGTGGGTGGAGTGACGCCCCTTCGGAAGATGAAGGAGTAGCTGAAGAGGGTCTCGAGGTAGAGTGAGCGAGTTGGGCTGACGTGCTTGGGGAGAAAGACACGGATATTGTGCAGGGGATTGCCGCCTGGAGGAGTAGCGAAGCGGTCGGCTTCGACACGGCTGTAGACGCCGCCGCCGTGGGATTTGATGAGGATGCCGATGTGACGGCGACTTGGTGCGTTGTTGATGGAAGAGGAGGCTGTCGAGACGTCGACGCAGTTCATGTCCATGAAGAAGATGCGATCACTAACGGGGAAGAGATCGGAGTCTATGCGAAGCCCTTTGTTGGAGATGAGATACTCGGTGCTAAACATGGGATCATTGATGAGGTGAATGGATCCTGAGTTGCCAAATTCCGCGGGCGTGGAGGCGAACATGCCGTGATGTGTCTGCTTCTGGCCCCCTGACGACAACGATGATGATGATAATGCCGTTCTCCACGCAAATAGGCTCGGGTCGTTCTTCTCCTTCGCGATTTCTTCCTGTAGTCGTAGAAATGCCCGCGAGCCTTCGCCATAAATCATGGGCATGTTGACATCGAAGATGCCCAGCAGGCTGTACGCCATGTCCTCGATGCGCGTCGTCTGTCGTCCAGCCGCCCACGCCATTTTCTGCGCGACGGGGAGCTGGCTGAGTCTCGCGGGATCCTTGAGGACGGCGCTGCTGATGCTTGTGATTTGCGTGATGAGTTGTCTGAGGCTGCTCTTGGTGCCGCGAAAGGTCCACGTCTGGTCGTAGAACTTGAGGACTCGCGGGGCGATGAGCTCCTGCAGCGTCCAGCCGCGGGTGAACCACCGACACTTTGGCAGCTGGTAATGGATGTCGCGGTTGTCCGGCGGGAGGTCCATGAGCCAGGCATAGCAGACGTCTGCGTGGAGGTAGAAGCGGAACATGGAGTTGATGGCCTCTGTCAGCTCGGAGCTGCTGGTCTTGTCGATGCAGCAGGTGTCGGCCCAGGCATACTGGAGGCCGTCTTGTCTGGCGAGCTCGCAGAGCTTCTGGAGCTTTGCGAAGCCCTTTTTGCGGGAGCGGATGGCGTCGTGGGGGAAGTCTTGAAAGGTGACTTCTTGGTCTTCCCAGGTGTGTGAGAGGATGGCGTATTTGGGGATGTCGGATTCGAGGAACTCGGAGAGGGTGAGGGTTTCAGTGTTGATGAGGCGCATTGCTGGAGCAAATAGGTATGGCACGGAATGGGCAGAAAAGAGTTGACGTTTTTAATAAGTAGCTTTATATAGATGCTTTCCCCAGGTGATATACTATATTAAAACAAGGCAGATTGAGATCGGCTTGGAGGATCTGAAGAGGATCTGAACAGGGGTCGACTCAGCCGCCTAGTAAGTGCATAGTAATACGGGCCAGAATCCCGAGAGGCTGTGTGTCTGCATCGTTGAAATAACAATTCATTGCTGATAAAATAAACAAAGATTCAATTAGTTGAAAGACACATAATATGACAATCCGGGCTCAAAGGGCAGTTTCTTTATGAGGATATTCTTCAATTGAAGAGAAAAAGGATTTCCTCTTGTTAGTGATGAGTACAATCAATACCTTGGCGCTACCAGGCACAATTGCAGCAAGACAAAAGGGCTTTGATACTGACTCTATTTCGTTAGAAATCAATTTGCATTTATTTCCAACAGTCTCCGTAATTCAACAGATGATCAAAGCCATGCGCGACTCAAACCTATCTTTGTAGTGTCCAGTTCCCACGATTCTTCAATTAGCAGTTCACTCATATTGGGGGTTAGCGCAGATAGTGTCATCAATCATCACAGGCGGAGTGCCAGAGTGGTTAATGGGTATGACTAGAAATCATATGGCTTCGGCCTCGCAGGTTCGAATCCTGTCTCCGTCGGATTTCATTTTTTGTTCTGTTCGATTCCGTATCAATTGAACACACAAACTAGCAATTCTTTCTTTTTTCTTTTTTTTTTTTTCACTTTTTTCTTCCAAAGTCTTCCGTTTGCTATTTTGCTATCACGTCTCTCACGGCTCTACGGACGTCACAGTGAGATGCAACGGCAGTGTAGAGGGGAGTGATGATGTCTTGATCTATCTACCTGCCTGTGAGTCTGTAGATTCTTGGCGACGTCGTCGAGCTTGGCAGAGAATGCCCGGGCTTCTTTCGTAAGTGCTTGGACACCCGATCGGCGCGAACAGCAAGCTTCATCTTTGATAGCTGGCGAATTCTGCGCGGCGATGTGCGCCATCTTTACATAGTAGTCTTTGTCGTTGGACATACGACGGGCGCTCTGGCTGGCGGGGGTCGATGATGTAGGTTGCTTCGACGTCTTGCCCAATGTTCCCAAGCCCCTCTAATAAACTCCGTCCCTCTTTGTCATTTATGTGTGGTATCTCGTAACATTTGCATATGCTGAGAAGATATTCGCCGCCGGGGAACATTGCACTGCGCAATGTAATGTAGAGTCGGAGCCCGTCGGAATTGTAAGCATCGGTAACAAAACTGGCATAACCGACCGGCGAGGATCAGTTGCCATGTTTTTCCAGCTTCAACTTGATGCCAGTAAGAGTAGCCTGAGAGACAATTGGGCTTTGCAGGTCTTATATTTCTGACCTGATGGTTGCGAAAAGCATATCAACAACGGCCTTAGCATCACCATGAGTATTCATTGCTACGCATTAGAGAGAACATTGCGCACCTACATGGCAGTTGCTTCGAATAAGTAATATTGAGTAGAAAGCAGAATAGCTTTGATGTCCAACAATATAATGGGATCTTGGACAGTGATATCCTTTTGAACTGAAGTAAGCAACTAGCACAGTAAATTCGGGGTACTGGGGGCAGACTGACATCTCTGATCTCTTCGGGAAAGCGATCCATTTCTCATCATGATGTTTGGGGAGATAGTTGCAATGTCGGCATAAGTAGATAGTGCTGTGGTTCGTCGCAGAGGCCGTGAAGCTGCTGCTTGGAGAGTCGGGATAATAACCAACCATTTCGGTTTTTTAACCACCCTTGGTGCAACGCTTGACCTTAGGGTAGTTGGCCATACGATAGGTAGTCTGGAGCTTTATAAAAGACACAAGCCAAGGACTAGGATGAGGCCTTTGTGGCATCTACCCCGTCACAACCAGTACAATGTCTCTTTTCGTAGGAAGACATCTGGACTGATTTGGCTGTTAGGCAAATGTATCAATGAGAATATAGTAATAGGTAATGTAGGATGAATGGGATAGTATGTAATGGAAAGAGTTGCTGATAGGAAGAGGGGGTTGAATATATAGCTCTAGTTCTCTCAATTTACTTAAGCCCGACGTACGTTGCCGTACTAACTCAACAAATTAACTGCTGGCCCCAGTAACTTAACAACAGTTGGCTATTGCATCTACTTTGTTTTGCTTTGGCAATTGGTTTGCCGTTATAGTAACTTGCCCTTTAATATGACATTTCATGTAGAGATATAAAGTTTCAGAGCCTTTTACAATTGGCTGCAAGTGTAAAAAGAAACGAGGAAATGAGGTGGGATTTACCCTAGACGATAAAATAGTTTTCCTTTGGGTAGGAAAACAAAGAACCCAACAACTTGAAAAGACGGAAAATTTTTTAAGGTGTCCCTATGTACTAAATTTAGACTGCAGCACCTGCTTAAATTCTCATCACATTTTGATTGTTGTGCTGTTATTAATTACATCCACCTAGTCTATATAGTCGTACTACCGAAGATTCTTAACACCACCTCTACCTCTGATATAGAACCCCATTTCTAATCCGCGGCCTCCAGATCCCAACGCCCATCAAAAAGCAAAGCCGAAGAAGAATCAAAACCGTGCACAGCTCAACACAATAAATACACTCAACCCCTCTCGAAACGCGTTCAAACGGCCCCGCCAAGTGCAATGCAAACGTCGTATCGTTCAAGCACGCAAAGTTCCAAATCAAGAGCACCACTTGAATCATGCGCCACACCTTGATGTCGTCTGTGTAGTGCAACAGCAAGGCCGCCATTACAGCTACTGTGGTCATGAGGGCGAACATTTGCTCGAGGACAAAGGCATCTTGGTACTGTGTCGACGACCTGTTGAAGAAGAGCGAGGAGGAGAATGACCCGTTGCGGAGGTTGACGTAGCCGCTCCAGATCATAATGAGGGGGTCGAGCTTTTGGAAGAAGAAGCGGTAGAAAATGTGCATGTTTGCACTGTCGCTTGAGAAGGTAATCATGGTTTGAGAGAGTTGAAGAGGGCTGTGTGGTAGGGTTGAGATGGCAATTGCCCTTGGTTCAGCTTAATGATGAAGTGAGGTTCATGTTCTGTAGATTTCGAAGACGATGACAGTATTTTACATTCTTATAATTTTCACAATAAAACTATTACACAGGATTTAGGCAGCGTCGCTATCGAATTGAAGGTGCAATTTCAAGTCGGGAGGCCATTACGCGCTCCTTTCAGGCAGCCACTCCACAGCGCCGGGGTGCAAGAACAGAACCAACAACGGACGAAGAATGAGCTGTTTCAACATTAGTCCACACAAAATAACCCCTACCTATTTGACTTTGCAATGCATTTTTATTTTGCCACGCAGTTGCATCAATGATAATGACACGTCTAATGTAGAGTGTAGTAGTAATACAGTAATTCATACGTTCATCCATCTTGAAAAACAGCAATGGCTATCTCGTCTTCACAAGTCCACTCTCTTCGTGCTGCGTGCAACTCACAAGTATCCATCTCATGCCTTTACTAGAGATCCAGACATTAACCTTGCAAGGCCCTGCTGAGCCTGCTTCACCCCCTCAGGAAACTGCATCGTGTTGCTCATCTCAATGCACTGCTCGTACTTTTTCTTCGCCAGCTCTGTCTTGCCTAGCATGGCTGCGACATCGCCCCAATTGCAAAGCGCAACAGCGCAGGCTTCATCACACTCCGGTGTCCGATCGTCGCCTGTAACATCCTTGGCATGAACGTATGCGTTCTGCGCCCAGTTGAGGCCTGCCTCGAGACATTCCTTGCGAGTCGTGGGCATGGAGGCATCAAGGAGCTCTTTCAAGCCCTCGGATGGCTCCATTGTGCCTGCGGCGTACAAGGGCTGCTGAGCAAATGCCGCCGCCAAGTTGTTCATGATGACTGCTCGATGACATGGGCTTTCACATAGCCGGAGCGCCTGGAAGAATAGGGGAATGGCAAGCTGGAACTGGGAGCGGCGCTCGTAGTCTCGACCAAGCGACTCCATCGATCCGCCGAGTTCTTCGGGGCTGAGCCACTTTTCTTCACCGGGCTTGGGTCCCTCGATTTTTCGTCTGCGGAATTCCTTGAGCGAAGTCTCAACCGCCCAGACCAGATGGGTATGGGACTTGTCCGGGTTGAGCACATGCTCATCTGCATATAGTTCACCAAGCTTAACACTTGTTGAGATGGCCTTGGAAAGCAATCTCTCTCGCTTGTGCCACAGGGTTTCACTTGGCTCTGCCGGAGTGGCGGCGTTATCTGCTTTGCTGGTCTTGCCATCAGAAGCTGCTTCCACTGCAGCAGCCTTTTGTGCATCGCCAACATATCGCCCCTCGTTATCTACCTTGCCGTCCTTGACAGATTGTTCCATGACGTCAATCCATTTCCTGCAGTCTCCAAGAACAGATTCGAGAACGTCAATGGCCGCCTTGTGGCTGTTGATCTTCTCAAGCCAGAAAGCTACCTGTATCCTGATGCCCAGCACTTCGTCAGAGAAAGGGTCTAGGCCAACCTCAGCACACTGCTCCATCGCCTTCTTGTAGTATCTCAGCGCAAGCTCGGGGTCTGGCTTGATGTTGGTATAGTAGATGGCGCGGCGTAGAGTGTTTGCGACAGGTTCCGGATACCTGCTAAACTGCGAGTTGTAGAAAGTGTTGATGTATGCTCGGATGGCAACCGCTGAGAAGACAAAGGTGAACAAGAGGCTGAAAAGGGTTAGAACAATTGAGTTTTGTGTCTTGTTGAGAAACATACAGAAGAACATTCAGCGTGGTTACACCTGGACTCTCGCGATACGACTGTCGGATGCCTCGAGGACTCAGCGCAACCACGAGATTCCGCAGACTGACCCCCAGCGCACGGCCCGCGAACTGGCGAAACGTAATTTGGGGCTTCCCCGGTGCTGAATCTTTGTCCTGAGGCGTTTGAGAGGTCGATTGGTGTCGTTTTTGCTCGGGTCGCAGAGCTACAACAGCTCGCAGGTGGACAGTCGCAGCTGGTGATTTGACCTGGACGGAGAGCAAGCCGGTGGTGGCATGGCGGAGACATTGGCCTCGAACCGGCCTCAGCGAGGCAACTGCCGATATCGACATTGTATCAGGATCTGGTCTCTGCGCATACACGAGAGCAGAGCAGCTGTACGGCGTCTTATTGTTGCAGCTTGAAGCCTGAGGCCTGAAGCTTGACGCTGGAAATATTTCCCCATGACATGACGGCATGCTGTATGCAGCGAAACTCGAGCACCTGGTCCGTGCGCGCTACGGCGCTGAATTCGCGCTTCCGTGCCGAGGTGGGGGTTGGGCAGAATGCCGAATATCATCGCCATCAACCATAAACTCTTAGCAAAGCTGCTCTTCAAGCCTCTTCAAACCTCTTCACCTCAACCCGTCATTCGCAGCAAAAATGTCTGGAAAATTCGAGCCCAAAGTCCCCGTCCAGCTGGACCCTCCCAGGAGCGATCCCATTTCTCTCGAAGCCCTGGCCGCCGCCAACGGTAAGTTGAATGTTTGGATGCCCTTGAGTTCCTCGGCCGCTGTTTGCTGGAGCGGTGCCGGATGCATGGCGATATCTCAATGGCAACATGCGCAATGTCACTTTTGGAGACGTAAACCCATAGAATCTTCTTTATTAAAACTTGATGATGATCGATGACATATAAATTGTCGCCGAATCCTCTTTCTGCAGCACAGTCGTGCTCACCATCACATGCGCTCTCGGCTAACCCGGTTCTCCTACAGGCGTCGATGGAGCAAAGACCTACGTTGCAATCAAAGTATGTTCATCATGACACGCCTTTGACACCAAATCTTCTCATACAGCTAACAAATATTCTCAAAGGGCAAAGTCTACGATGTGACTGGCAACAAGGCGTACCAGCCTGGCGGCTCATACCACGGTACGTATCCTGTATCCTGTCTCCTTCTTGCCTTGCCCATCATAAGGCCGCCTCACCTGCCTGGGTAGAAACTAACAGGATGAATCAGCCTTCGCCGGCAAAGACGCCTCTAGAGCACTGGGCAAGACATCCACCAAGCCGGAAGACGTACAGGCAGTCTGGCAGGATCTCAGCGATAAGGAAAAGGGGACTCTCGAGGACTGGGTAACGTTCTTCTCTAAGCGATACAATGTGGTGGGAGTTGTTGAGGGGGCCACCAACTTGTAAAAAGCATAGAGTTGGACCCGTGGATATAGATAGATGCGAGGCGTGGGTGATTGGTACAACCAACTATCATGTACTGAGCGGAAATGCTTTTGTGTGCGCCTAAAGGTAGTCATGGCAAATATTCTCATCATTCAGTCGAATTTAATCTGCTGCTACAAGTGCTAAACTTCATGTTCTTTGCTGTCCAATAACTGCTGCTCCACGGTCAGGCATCGGTACATGCAACAATCTCAAGATCCCCTCCAGCTGGCACCTCCACCCATCCGACTCGCAAATTTGGCCTAAGCCACGCCTACCACAGCAACACAATGAGTTGTAATGCATCGAATTAAACACCACCGCTTAGAATATCCTCATTCAGCCATAAGATGCAATGCAATAAGAGCGGTTTGCATCATACATACACCTGGCAGAGAGACCACGGGCATCGTGGGGGGTACAAGTCCGCACATGTACAGCGCACTTATTGGATACACTCCGCATTAAATACATGTACACACGCCCGCAGCGCCACCAACCGCTGGTAATAAGAATAAGATTACACGTACACACCTTTTCAAATGTACATGTCTCCTAAGCAGCTTGTGTGCTAGTGTATGTACAGCTATGTACAGCTATGTAGACCCTCCATACCGCACCCTCCCCGTCGACGAGATGAGATACGCCAGCATCCTACCCACCGCGGCGCTACGATGAGTCGAATGCGGTAAAACATGCATATACAAGCGTCGGGCTCCCCAGAATACAGCTTCGTATCTAGGCCAACTCATCAACCCGAGGATATATTGCCTCTGCAAGCGACGGAAGTGAAGCCGTCCCTTCCAAACGAGTGTTACACCCCCGTGTCACTCCAAGAGACACCTCCTTGCATCAGAGCAATACTGTATCCGACTGTCCTACTGGTCCGGGGAACGACACGGGGATGGCTACATGCTCTTGGAGTGACATACTCTTAGAGTGTCGTCTTCATTTAGCGTCGGGCATTGCTCATTCAGAGTCCACATTCAGTGCATGTACGAGTCAAGTACCGTTCACAGCACCCAACATTACTATCCGACGCCCCTCTCTCCATGCCCTCGTCAACCTTGCCATTTCCTTTCTTTTTCCATCTAGACCCGCCATCAGCCGCAAATCCTTTCCATTCAACCATGCTTCCAAACAGGTTTATGTGCACTCCCTTGTGCCGGTCACCAAGCCCCCCCAGCTGCGGTCTCCATTGCCAGTCCAATCCCTGCTGTCCGAGTCCACGTCGCAGTACCATTCACTCCCTCATTGAACACCCCGATGTGATACGCCCACGGGAGAACCTTTAACAAGACACTCATCACACGGGACCGCCTGTCGCCACGAGTTGCGGAGTACCTTGACTCCTAGACATCCGTGGTTGGGATCGTTGCGCGCAAAGTGGCAGTAGGACTTGAGCCGAACCTGGGAGTGGTTGCAAGTGAATAAGAATTCCTCCCAGTCGCACATTATAGGCAGAGATCCGAGGTGGTAAGCTGATGAATCCTCACGAGACTCCATTAGCAATGCTACAGCATCAAGGGTTGGTACTTTGTATCTCATCCTTACCACAAGATGTGACGAGATCTTATCTAGTTAAAAATTGGTAGTTCTTGCGAATTTCCTTTGAGAGTTCGGTTTGACAGAATGATGAGAATGAAGACTTGTCAAGTCGGAGAACCCGGGCTTTGAGAAGCTTTTTATGTGCGAACCGTACAGGCAGAGGTCACCAATGGCCTCTTGCTTAAATTAATTTAATGAGTGTTCGCTATCAAGTGGCAATCATCTTCATGACAACTACCTCTATGATTCCCCTCCATACAATACAAACAACAGAGAAGCACAAGTGCATGAGATTAAAGCAGGGAGGCAGACGCTATAGCATCATATGAGAGCATCGTACATGCGAGTACGGATCTTGTAGCATTGTGGCTCCCCCCCCTTGGGGGCTATCTAGAGGGGGGAAATGATAGATCACACATATGAACTCCAGCCTGTACCACGCCTGTCGTCGAATCTAGATTCTCCCAACGGACTTGTCTTCCCCAAAGAAGCAATGCGGGTTGCACAGAACGTTGGTTGAGCACTTGTCTGCCCAGTAGGAGGGGGGAGGGGAGGGGAGAAAACCTAGATAATATGATCTCAGATCTGGGAGTGTGTGGTGCTATCAATATCACGCCGCTGGGTGTCTTTTCACACGAACATGGGTTTTGTCAGCTCCCCAGCCTCTCTCATTCTGTTTGGTTAGTGAGCTGAAACGCGCATAAATAGCTGTCTCAGTCCGTACGCGCGTTGTCGAGCCCTGAACGCCCCCCTCCATGCCAAGGCAAGAAAAGGAAAGGAAAGGAAGAGAAAAGATGCCCAACCGTCTGCCGTTTCCGGGCGTGTACAGGAAATGTTTGTTCCCTCTTCTCGTGTGTCCTATCATCTCCGCAAACACTCCCTACTGGCCGGGGGGCGTGTTACCTCCATGAACCACAGCCCCACGCCCACGATCTCTCTGCGCCCATTTGCTCGCGAATCATGGCCCGCACGTCAAGTGGAGGGCAATGCAAAGCTGGCTGGACAAGGGGGGAGAGAGTCCCGTATGGCGCTTACGGTGCCACCTGAGAAAAGCACAAACTCCAGTATCAATGCCCTCGTGTTAACAACAAGGATTGAGACCAACTCGACGGGGGCCACGGCTCGACTTATTGTCTCTGGTCTTGTTAGGGCGTGGATGTTTCGTGGGAGTGGTTCCCGGGTACCCGGATTCGCTAAGGAGAGACAAGCAAGGCCAAGTGGGCGTACTCCGTATGGATGCAGTATGTGACTTGAACATCAAAATGCTTTAGGCGACGCGAGTGTTTGTGATTGAATCCTGCCCGGGCAAAGCACATCCGTGATGGATTCTCCAGACCCGGCTCCCCGGCTTGGCAACAAACCCATGGACTTATCCACCCTTGCATTTAGAGAACGAATGAATGAGCTCACGACGGGCCCTGGAAAGTTTCGTCTCATTTTCCTGGCAAATGACCACTGAGGAGTGAAAACAGCTCAAAAATTTGATGAAAAACAGGATTTGTCGGCTTTCTTTTCCGGCCCCCATCTCGTTGCAGCCGGCAAGCTTCCGCGTCCAACAGGGCTTTGAAAGGATCCTTATCCGAAATTGATATTCCATGCGAGTTTTGCATATTTTTCGACCAGGATTTTAAGCTGGATTTGTGCAGCTCGCTGGTTGTACGCGTAAAATCTGAAAGAAAGACTTCCTCTCAGGTCCATTCATTCACTCGTGTGCCAGTGGTGCTTAGCCGGCCTTTGTCAATATAACTGAATTGATCCGGAAGCTAACATTTATACGTGATTTTGTATTTATTTTATATTCTGCTAAAACGGCAGCCTTTGAAGTTGTATGGATCTGAATATGTGTATTTCACTCAGTGTATCTTGGCTGACAGCGAGTCAGGCCATGACATCCAATAAGTACGATGCCCTGTTTGTAGTATTAGGTTTCTAGAAATAGTTTGAAATTATCTGGCCAAATACATATGCTGTTGCAAACAGCAGCTTTCTGCTTTCCCATGCATGCTGAGGTTACTATCATCAAGAGTAATGTTTCTTGAAGCTACAAAATTGCTTCCCACGTGGATGGTTGTAAAGGTCTACCTGTGTACCTATATTTCCATCAAGAGATTTCTAGTAAGTCTTTATAGCATCAGCGTAGTTTCTCCGTGAATCGTATGTAAAAGCTAAAGAAAGCCCATCACATACTGCCCTCTTCATATTAGGGCCTACTTCGTAATTGAAATACCATACAACTTCAAGAGAAAGAAAGTCTGTCATGGACATGGACACAGTGAGTAAGAGTTTTCCTATTTACACGATCGTTTTTTCCTATTTGAACAGTTATAGTCTGTGCCATAAGCTACGTTTACCCTCAAATTGTAATTACCAACACCCACACATAAATACAATGCAACACACTGGGAAAAGATACGGGTATATATCTACAAAATTTTACAGTACAACATTATGGAGTATCAATCGAGATCAATCTCCTAAAAAACAAAACACACATTTACGGCCATTCTAATTTAATGTTTCACATCATTAGGGGCTGGCTAGTTTATCCGGCTAGCACGCCGCAGAGTGGGTGGCCAGGGTGACTTCAATATGTAACTTCCTCAGCCTCAGACTAAAACCTCAATAAGGCGGCAGCCTCGTCACATACCATAATTACACACTATAAGTAGGTGTGGATGAATGGAAACAGTAGTGAAGGCGCAATAATTCTAGTGCAGGCACAGACTATAGCTGCTCAATTAAGGGAAAAACGACTGTGCGAAGAGGAAGACTCGTAAGTAATTTGTGAAATTGTATGGACTCTTTCGATTCTTATTCAAGGAAACGCCTCGAAAGCAGGTTGCCAATCGTGTTCTCTGATATATAGGTACGTGTAATCACCAACATTAACATACTAATATTCCTTTCCTCTAATCCTCACTGATTATTCACTTGGTCACTACATATCCACCACTATCCATAAACACTATCTCAGTAATAGCTAGCCATGGAAATTGAGAGAAGATCTGATTCCTAGTGTTGAGTTCACATTCCAGGCTGCCGCAACTAACAAAGCGGTTGATTCGTTGGTGCAATATACCTATGTATGTATTCTCACCAAGTTACATGTATTTGCCAAAAATACGTATCCTCGCTGCGCATTCCGAAATTCCATCCACAGATACTAGCGGAAATACGTGTTGCTATCATACCTAAATGATTTCCTATTTGATGATATTACTGGGCATGGAATACTAATGATATTCATATGGGAACAATATGGGGATTCTTACGGAGTACTATCGGCATGATTAAAAAGCTGGAGCTTGGCATTTAGCCTCAATAGGAAGCAGCTTCGTTTAATCGTATACCTACCAGATATCATATCGTTCTACTACCCAATCGGTAAGGAACAGCCATGGCCTATTCTGCGAGCCCTTGAGATAGTAAATGGCACCTTCACCTACCGCTACTCTCGTCTCTTCCACGGCCTTGGATGAGCAACATCTACACACAGAGACATCCAAATCAGCCGGCCATTTCGCCTAAGCCGGCCCACAAATGCAGCAAAAAAAGGCAAACATTTGCCTTTTGAAGAAAACCGGGGCGTGATGCTTCAGCTTATGCGACAACATGCGACAACGGGCGACAACAGGCAAAAAATAAGGCCACGAAATCCATGCAGCGGCAACTCATCAAACAGGCGACGTGGACGTGCGACAAGCGACACAAGACCGACCGACCAAGCCGATGGCGGTGCCAATTGGGCCGGCACATCCAAGCATTTGCCGTGATATGTGACATGGGCCGTGGATTTCATGGCTGTGCTAGCAATGACATCTGCACGACATGCAACCACCTTTGCTGGAGAACGAGCCGGCTTCGGCCCAATCTGCGAGTCTATCTCTGTCTCTCTCCCTGTCTCTCTCTCTCTGGGCGAGTCGAAAAAAATCGGGAAGCGTCCGGCAGTGCTGGGCGAAGTGACCGCCTAACCGTCGATGGGCGCAATCCAGTGCAACGGCAGCCCAGAAGTAAATTGGCCGTGAGTAAATTGGAATTGGGGGCCGGTGTCTCGGCCGGGCAGCAAAAAATGTTGGGTTTCGGTCTTGGGTCGCGCTCGTGACATTTTGCCTGGTTGCCTTGCGAGGGCACCTGGCCTTGGTTTGCCTCGATTTGCCTTGGTCCGGACGCCTTTTTCTTAGTCGCGGTTGCCTTGTCGTTGTCGAGCACGAGCATACTGCAGCTTCCGCTTTCTTGCGCTTTCTTGGTTTGGCCAGCGCTGATCTCATTGGATCGTATTCGATCTTATTGGACTAGTCGCAACCGCAACGCAAAAGCACCTGCTCGGTCAGACGCAGACGCACGCAAGCGCAGGGGCAGGAGCAGAAGCGGAAGCGGAAGAAGCAGCCAAAAGTGAGGCGGATCAAGTCGAGTCGAGTCGCAATTCCACCATCAACCACCGCCGGCTTCATCATGCACAACTGCGACCCCTGGATCTGATCCCCAGCAATCGCCGCAGCATTGGTGGAATCCCAGCCTGACAAACAACGGCAAGAGATCCAGACTGGCCGACAGCCATCGGGCAGCCAATTGCCCGCCTCGAGCACAAGCACGATCCTTCATCGCGGAAGACGACTGTCGGGACATGGGCCTTTGCTTGCGGTGCAGCCAGCTATTATTACTAGGGCCGTTGCCTCGCCGCAGCGTCTGGTTGCCTCGTTTCTGAACACTGTCCGTCCCTCGCGCGAATCCACAGCACAGCGCAGCGCAGCACAGCGCAGCACAACACGGCACAAGTTCAGGCGGTGATGCTGGACTCAATAGGGCGCCCTTCTCCTCGTTAACGCCGCCCAGCCAGTCCAGTACGGGCGTGTGCCTCGACGCTCAGTTCAGTCTCGCCCTCGTCTCTTCTCCCTCTTGTTACTCGGTGTTACGTTTTACCCCAATAGTCGAGCCCAGAAGTGTCTGCAGACTGACTCCGACTTCCGATGATCCTCGCCCCCCTCACGCTGTCGCACTGTCTATTCCTGACCCCGCCGTTTCTTTCTCGAACGACGGATATTGGCCAAGCCGCCAAACAACGCGGCGCAGGGCCCGTGCTGGACTCTTGTCTCTACCCACCGCCGAGACTATAACTCGCCTCTATATCCCGGAGCTCGCTCTGGCACAAGACGGCCTGAGGACTACCTGGACAGGCTGTGCGCGACCACACAAGATATACAATTAGTCTCTCGCCCAGCATGAGTCAAGGACACCAGGATCTTCGTTTCCACGCTCTCTCCCGGTTCTATTCCGCACCGGGTCCGTGGCATCCTTCCGGCGTCTTTCAACCTCATCCGGATGCTTATAACAGCGGCGCCTTTCATGACTACAGGAACACTAGCTTGCCCTCCGATTGCGGTACTACTCCAGGAGATTCCGGCTATGGAGGGACTCGTTCAACATATAGCCTCGTTGAGAGTGCCCCATCAATCGCCGACAATGACAGGGGCACCGAACCAAGCTACCTGGAAGCTCAGGCAACGCTTATTGGCGACTTGAGCATCGATGCTACTGCATCGATATATCAGCCATCTCAAATATCACACCCTCAAGCTGCTTCTGCAGAATTCCGATGTGACCAGTGTGGAAACGTTTGCAAGACGAAATCGGAACTCAAGTATGTCATATAGGAGAAGAAATGACGGCCTGGCCGTCCTTATCCTTATGTTGGCTTTGCTAATAAAATGTAGGAAGCACAGCCACAGACATATTAGACCATATAAGTGCACTTACGAATCTTGCCCCAAGGCTGAACTGGGATTCAGCACGCCCAATGATTTGGCTAGACACAAGAAAACAGTTCATCGCGAGCACAACGAAAATGATCCTATTTATGTCTGCCGCCATGGCACTTGCGCTCGTAAAAAGGAAAAGTTGTGGCCAAGAGCCGACAACTTCCGAAGTCATTTATTCCGTTCTCATCAGATAACTGTCAAAGCAGACCATGATCTCAGAGAATATCGCCATAAGTAGGTGCTATTTGTAGATCCGCATCGCTGTCCTTGGAGCAGATCGAATGCTAAAGACTGTTCAACAGATCGGGTGCAGCAAAGCCACATGGGCTCCGGGATGAGAGACGCTCGGCTACTAGTGTTAACCCCGGACGTCGACCGATGCAGCTGCAAGATGCCTCCCTTGCCCACAATCTACGGCCTAATGATGACCTCAAGAATTACCACTTCCAGTATGTGCATACATCTCAAATTACACCAGGGTGCGGACTAGACACTAAGACGCTCCAAATAGACCAGAAGCACCAGAGCTGCATGCACTTCGAGGCGTTGGATCGTCAGTCGCTGACGTTGATCCGGGGCCCCGACCAGCGCAACTGCAAGATTCTCCTGACCTGCGGGGTGACCAAGTTTCGACAACTGCCTCGGGTCGGGTACAAGACGACTCCTCAAAGCAAAGTAGCTTGCCACCAATCCTGACGCGTCTACCAGGCGGGGATAATCCCCAACTAATGCAGTCAAACGGTTTAGAGGACCCGAAAAGCCATGCGATTGTTGATTTGACAAGTCCAGATGAGATTTTTCTTGGGGACTCCGAAGATATCTTGCCTCACGATGAAGTCGTACTAGATTCTTTTGACCATGCTGAAGACAATGTTATGGCGGATGAAGAATTACTCGATTGTCCAGAACCATCGACGTTCCAAATTGATTCACCCAGGGCATCAGCTCAGCCCGAAGCTAGCGCTCCTCAAGATGACATACCTAAGATCTTAAACATGACAGAGGAGCCACGCAACGCACTTGGAACATCTGCGGAGGCGCCATCCGACACACTCACTCTCGATTCACCCAAGTCCCCGGAGCTATTTCCCTTTTCTAAAGATGCTCTGTTGGATATGGCCGCGGGAGATGGGAGGGCAAACATTCTCTCCTTTCTCAGAAATCTCCCAAAGGATCTGCTAGAGAAGGCCTTGAAATCTGAGGATCAAACAGGCGGTGGGAGTGATCATTCAATTGATCAAGGGGAGCACCAGAAACCAGAAACATGCAAAGAATGCGGGAAAACGTTTTCTCGCAAATGCGAACTTAGGTAACGTCACTTCCCATTTTTCCCCCTTATATATATATTATCACTAGACATCCAGCTCATACGATATTTCAGGAAGCATATGAAACGGCATGAGAAACCTTACGGGTGTACGTACAAAACGTGTCACAAGATGTTTGGTAGCAAGAATGACTGGAAAAGACACGAGAGCAGCCAGCATTTCCAGCTTGAAACTTGGAACTGTAATTTTCTGGGCTGCGACAAGGTACTACCACGTCGAGAGCTATTCAAGACACACCTCATCAAGCATCACAAGTTGCAGCATAATCAACAAATTGAGACTCTGCAGGAAACGTGCAGGCTGGGTCGGCACTGTGACCGACGCTTCTGGTGCGGGTTCTGTGATAAATTCGTTGAGATCGAAGGGGAAGTGGTCAACTCGTGGACGAAGAGGTGCGACCACATTGACAACCACTTGTTTGGTAAAGAAGGGCTGCAGAAGAAAACCATGAACGATTGGAATTACCTTGAAGATAAATTGAAAGAGGGAGATCCTGAAGATAAGCTGGCAGAAGGCTCATCCAAAGCGACAAAGAAGCGGAAGGCTACAGAGGATATGAGCTCGCGTCCAGTCAAGAAAAACGACACGAGTTGGTTTTCTTGGAACTGTGTAAGTTCATGACATGACACTTCGACCGGGAGGTGTATATATCTAACGTGATAGCAGTGTCGCTGTGGTCAGCTCGAAAGCTACCACACAAGTAGTTCCTGCCAGGATAGCACTTGCCAACACCAGCGTTGTCATTTGTGTCCAAAAGAGGGGGTTATGGTGCCAGACGAAGACACTGAGATGGGGATTGCATTGAACCACGGACCGGAGTAGAGAAGGGAATGAAAGGGCGAAAGGTGTCGCGCCCGGCTGTCAGGCTACGAGCGCACCCCCTGCTTCCCCTGGATGTTAAGATAGAGTTCGTATTGATGCAGATCTGCAAGCGTACAAATGAGGCTCATCGGGACGGGATAGGATGGGATGGATGAAGCATCGGACGGGGCAGTACAGTTAGCTTCATGTTCTAAGCATGACTGTCGCACGGGGGCATTGATCGGGCCGGATTGACTGTGTTCTGGATAAAATGATTTGCTAGTTTTTAAGCGTCTAAGTAATAAGAGTCGATGGAAGCAATTGTGTCTGAGGCGCAGCCGATTTCTTAGCATGCCTGTGGGATAAGCGCCGTCGCAGTGTGTTACCAGCAACATGAGATCCATGGATAAAAAAAAAAAAAAAAAAATAGACGCTTGGCCCGATTACACTACGACTAAGGTTAGCAGATACAGGCACAGCCCGCAAAGTGACACCAAGTCCAAGGAGCAAGAGATAGATAGACGGAAGAAGAAGAAAAAGGCAACCTGATGCCTGCGCTCTTGGCACTAGCAGGCGGGCTGCCTTGCTTGGGCGTCGGGAGGGACCCTGGAGAGGCTTCATGTTGGTACGAGTACGAGCGGATGCCTTTTTCTTCTGCTTTCCGCTCGGGGGTGAAGAGAGTAAGAGAGTGAGACATTTGACGTACTACCCCCTCACTTGGTCCTTTCGATGGTGTTGTTTTCCCGCCTAACGCACGGGAAGTGTAGGCGACAACAACAAACGAGAAGGAAAAAAGCGAACTAAGGGAAACTAAGAGGACTAGGAGGACTAAGCGCAGAAGAAAAGCAGAAAAGCACGGCAAAGCAAGGCCCGAAAAGGCGCCCGGCAGAAAGGGAGAACGGAGGAGCGAATCGGAAAAGGGCTGCTGCTGCTGCTACTACTGCAGGGTTGCAATGAGGCACGACAGGGTTTTCAAATATTTTTTTTTAATCGCATCCTCTCTGCTTTGCAATGCAGTGCAGTGTTGCATTCAGCCGTATCTTTAGACTACCTGGGGGGAGTTTTCGGCGAATAGAAAATCATCATGCCATAGATTTGTTCGGCACAGGGCAAAATGGGACGGTAGGGGAAAAAAAGGTAAAAAGGGCAAAAGGGGGGGCGGGCTACATGCAGGTTCAACGCAGGGAGAAACAGGGAAAAAAACACACACGGCTGTACCTAGCATAAATCTGGATGATGCAGCTGGAGCGCTGAATGAGAGACATGGTGCGTGTGTGCGTGTGATTTTCTGTTTTTCGCCTCAACTTGGTAAGTCGGAGTATGGTTGTATTTTGGCCCAACCCAAGGCTGAGAATACCACGTGGAGATGGTAAGATGCACAAAAGGCAGCGCTCTTGAGTGTCACCCAAGATGTTTTAAAAAAAGTTGGAAAAATAAAAAGAAAGATAACAAAGTACTTGCATGTATATTTTGTTTAGTTCCTTTTTTTAGATTCCCCGTCTGAAATGGGCCAGCGTATCTCTTTCTGAATCCCTTCCTTCTAGAAGAAGATGCTTGGGTTTCATTCTTGTCGGGTATCCGTCTATTTGGTGTGTATAAAGATAGAAAATACCACCCAGCCGTCCATTTGCGGATGACGAAACAGGAAGGAGGACTCTATAAGCGGCATTCTTGCGAGAAGAGGCAGAGAGAAAAAGCTGCATATGGTTGTTGGTTGTTGCTGTTACCTTGCATTGCAGTAAGTGACATTCGCTGCATCAGCCGGCGTCTCCATATTATGGTCCAGATGAGGGACGGGTACCGCTTTTGGTGGTAGCTTAGTAGGGATGGAGAAATAAGGCAAGAGGGCTGTGTAAAAAAAAATCCCAGAAGCAAAGAGAAGTGGCGAAACATACTACTGCACGTCTGCGCGGCTGCAGATTAAATCTGAGTTGTGAGCAAAGGCGACACAGAGAGAGAAAAAGGGGGGGTGGATAAGAAGCGCGAATAAGCGCCGCCATATACTTGTTGCATTGCGCATGCGTCTCTGGTGCTAATGTATTCGCAGTAGTGGTATGCATACAGAGGGAGACGACAAGAAGCCCGGCGGTTTCGATCGAGATGGTACCGTCTAGAGTCCATAGGGGGAGGGGGGCGCGCTTCAAAGGGCATCATGAAGGAGGGGGGTGGCAGACACTCTGCTCGTCTCGTCTCATTCGTGCTGTTCAGCTGAGGTTGGAGAAAATGGCTTAGTAGCTAGCATGAGCCCAGCAGACGGTGAAAAGACCAGATGCCAGGGTTCAAGGGTGGGATGCAAGCGACATGTAGGAGGTACTCGGTATGATGTGATGCATGCAAAGCCATGACTTGACCGGCTGCGCGTTGGCATCGACGACGGTAAGACGAGACAAGACTGGATGGAGGCCATGTGCGGTGCAAGTTTCGAGAGGGGTGTCATGTACGAGCATCAATCAACCTGTAGGAAATGCTGCTGTGAATGCAAATACTTGTGCTGCATGTAAACGACTCCAGCCAGGCAGCAAGACAAACGCTCACAGCGATTGGGGGCCGCAAACACGGTGCTTTGTGTGGGCTCCGGTATGCCCTGCTTCAATAGATCGTCACGCTTGGACCAGGATGCTCGTGATTGGGTCCTATAGCTTGGAAGGCAGATTCGCCAGACCGGGATCATATGATAATATGGCATGCAAAAAGAAAAAGAGAAAAAGGAAGAAGCCATCGCCATCTTGGCACCCAGCTTTGGCTTCCCAAAAGAGGCTTCATTGAGCGAGAGACACGGAGGGAATGCGAAACAGTGGGAGCATCTGTTTGGCAAAAACGATGAAAGGTGAAACAGGGAGATGGGATGAATGGCTCAGCTCTCGTGGGGTGGTTTCGTGGAACCTCCATCAGCTGCGGGAGGCACACAATTCATTCAGGACAGAGGACCAACAACATAACATACCTACGTAGTCGGAGGTACATGCATGACCACATACTGCAGCACTCGTCGATGAGCCGGCACACTAAAACCAGGTGAGTAAGGCGCATGTATGTGCTTGTACAGTAGCAAAGGCAGTGCTAGGGCCTCGACGATGGGCCTGCCGGTGTCGTATTTTGCCTTGGTTGCCTTGGTTGCCTTGTTTTGTTTGTGTTTTGTTCGAGGGCATTGCTGGGGCGTTTTGCCTGTCCGTCGGCCGCAAGACGAGCAAGCAGCGGAAATCACGTCAATACCCTGAGGGGACCGAGCATATCCAAGCTACTGTCCAAGGTACTATCCCATACTAGGGAAAAGGAAAGCAGCGGCCCTTGGGTTATTCACTTGACGCATCACATTCTAGCTGCGCCGAGGCCGACGAGCTGGGCAAGCGACGGTGACCTGGCCCATGTCCAGACTGAGATCCGGAACGCTAGCATTGATTCCTAGTCACCTGGTAGCAGTTAGTAAAGTGGTGCGAGGACGAGTAGAATCACGCTCCAAACAAGTACCAACCAATTCGCATGGCCTGGTCCATATCACTTGTCTCGTACGTTGAAGCAGATAGGACCAACAGCTTAAGAAGCACAGAATTACTACAAGACATGGGGGTGGCACGTGGGCTTGGAGCAGGGAGAGAGGGGGGGTGTCCTGAGTCGGCCAATGGTGTCAGGACGATCAGACTAGCTGCATATTGGACAAGGATCCCCTGCCTCATCGAAACCGGCGAAGATGCCTCAGTGTTGGGCGAGAGTGCAGAACACTGTATGCAAATGTGCCTTTAGTTTTGTTGTCGCCAGTCATTAGTCCGCGGCACAGCGAAGCGGTTCATCATGCAACTTGTGTCGTCAAGTTGTGGTTTGGGTTTGGCCATGGGGGATCGCCGCGGCACAACGTTACCCTTTCCCCGAGGCCCCTGCCCACATGCCATCCCGGGGTCCTCAAGAACTGGCGAGGACCCAGTGCTGTGACGATTCACAACTGCTGGGATGAAATCTTGGGACGGAGATGTACCAGGCAATTTCGATGGCCCCTTCGGGATGGAGGGGGATGGAGGGGTGGTGGGGGGAAGGGAAGATGACGAGTGTGGAGGGTATCACGACGTCGGAGGGGCTGTGGAGGTTCAGCTTCAGGGTTTCTGTCACTGGGAAGGACTCTTATTCGAACGCCTCATTCTCGTGGCCCCGGCCAGCTAATGCACTCATGCGAGCAGCCATTGTGGCCTCGACTTCGACCGAGGCGCTTCGTCGGACATATTGGATCCTGTCATGGTGAAGCTTGACGCCAATGCTATGTCGACAGAGGCCCAAAAGTTCCTCGGGGCTTGAAATGGCAAGGACTGGCAAAAGAAGCGCTCGGGATGCATGCAAAGTCCACGGCTTCGCCAACCGCCGTGGCCACGTCCATACGACGGGCCTGCCGCTCGCTGACGCACCCGAGATGGGCCGGGCGAGACGAGATGCAATCGGGCACTATCCGTACCCAGGCAGCAGAGAGTCGCGGCACTGTATATTGCCTCTACACCATCTCGTACTCGCAGATCGCGCCAGTAGATAGTTGAGAGACTCTCCTTGCAAACTTGACGCCACGGACGCGCAGCAAATTCGAAAAGCGATAACACGCCGGTGTGCATGCCGGGCACTCTTTGCAAGCATCGAAACTGGAACTGGAACAAAACAAAAGCAGGGGCATCGAGCTGGCATTCCCCTGCCAGCTGGCTATGTGTCTCCCGGGCATTGCCCCAAAAGGTATGACAGGTACTTGGCCAGTGTCGGAGCAGCGAATTTCAAATTCAATGCCACGAAAAACCAAGACGCCGCTCCGATACCCTTGAAAAGCTTAACATGTGCCGGCCGTGGCTGTCGGAGTGGACCCTGACTTGAGCTTGATCTTCAATTTCCTTGTCCCCCTGGCTGGCTCTTTTTTGTCTCTGCTTGGTTCAGTTTCGGGCAGACAACAAGTCGAGGAGGGGGGTGGTTGAGGTTGACAGTGACAGCCATGACAGTCATGTGCTGCCTGTCTGTCTCAGTGCTGGGCAAGAGAAACTGCCATCGTCATTGGCGCCCTAAGCGAACAAGCTGAAAAAAGATGCTTCCGGGGGCTGGAGAGATCTGATTGCATGTAACGAGAGACTGTGAGGTTGTGCATACATGACTTCGGAGGGCCTTGGCGCCGCGAAGCTGCAAGTTGGCCGATGCTTCAAAATGACATCAAGACGAACAAGAGTATCGCCGCATCGGCCGATACAAAAGCCCGAGGTAATTAATGAAGCAGTAGCTCGTATTTTGCGATCTTCTCTCTTCCTTTCTTTTTTTCTCCGGGGACCAAGGTAGGGATAATGAGACGCTAGATGCTGTTGTGGTTCAGAGGACAGGGAGCGTGCACCTCCCGTGGCATATCAGACGCCGGCGGGGAATGGGAATATGACGAGACCCAGACAACCGGAAGTATATATACAGGATTTTGCTGTTTCGGGCTGGATCTCGTCGGAGATCCCAAGCACCAGAGCAACAGCTACAGCTAGAGGAAACCCGTCGCGAGCTGTACCCAGGGGGTTCCCCTGCCAGCCCTATGCCGCCGACTGATTACCTGGCCAGTACTCGTACGAGCAGCATGGGGCGTTTGGCATGGGAGCAGCAAACGGGCGGCTTAGTGGTAGCACATGGGGCACCCAAAGTACAAAGCACAAAGCACGGAGAACGGAGTAATGGTGGCTCTGCAACCAAGGGCCAGAGAGGAAATGGGGGGGGAGGGTGTCAGGACTGGACAAGACTCTTACTAGTCCGAGTAAGACGAGCCACCAGTGCGGGTAGGGCTGGATTTTGTTCCGAGGATTGGCATTGCTGACGGCCCTTTGCGGATGGGATTCTGCTACCAAGCTGCTGACTGAGCCGTGGCTTGGATCAAACGTGATTTTGACGTGGGAGGTTGGCATGTTTGACAGAGATTGTTGCCGAGATGAGGATTTGACGTGAAGTCAAAATAGACGGGGACAGTCGCCCGCCGCCCGCTAGCACGCAGACTAGGGCCGGTTAGGGCTATGACGGATGCCCGTTGACGTTGACGGCTGCGGAGAAGTGGCGGACTAGAAGGGCCATGGCTTTAATCGAAGCTTCCAGGTCGTCTCAAGTCCATTCCTTGCTTGTACGGAAAGACGTCAACTATTGGATCAATTGATGCTTGTTCCTCCACCTGCACAGTACAGTTCGGTTGTTTCTACGACTCTACAGGTAGTTGTCTAGGTTACCAAGTTGGACACTGTGGGTGCACCAATGCTGACCTCGAGCTCCCCTTAATGCTACTACTGTACCTGCAATGGGTACTTTGTGAGATTGGAGGAAAAGGGGCAAAATTACATGAATCCAACGCTCCAGGAAGCAGTGATTGAGGTCCAATCTATCTGGTGTAGAGCGTGGGGTTGCAAGTCCTCCATCACACTGGGGATCAGGATTTGGGGGTTGCCAAGGGCGGGAGGTGTGTGTTTCCAGAATGAGGTTGAAAGCCATGTAGGGGGAAGCCGACGTAACCAAAAGAGCACAAGTAACATTGATGCCAGCATCCTACAAGAGGCAAGCAATCTAATTTTTCTTTGTTCGCTTTCAAGGTTTCCTTCTGTTGCGGGAGAATGCCTGTCTGAATGCCTGTCTGAATGCCTGTCTGAATGCCTGTCTCCAGCTGCTCGTGGCAGCAACATGACGGCGTCCTGTCCTGACAGGCGTCAGCACTCTATTCCTCGTCTCGTATTTCCATTTTCACTCACTCCGTGGCGGCGGTTCTGCCCTCGAAACGGCGCGCACTGGCCCGCCGCGTCCAGGTCAGGTACAGCCCCGGGGAGCTATCCATAGATATCCGGGCGCCCCCATCGCTCCACCACAGCGCTCTAGGGCCCTAGAGAGCCCTAGAGAGCATCGCTAGCGCGTGGGGTCCAGCGACTGGAAGATTGTTGGATTGCAACCAGCGCCGGGTCAGCACTTGAAGCTAAAAGAGGATTGGACTAGCGCAGCGCAGATGGATACAAGTCGCAATGATGCGTGGGATGCGGCGAGGTGATAGGTGATAGGCTGCTGGACCAGATGGATGGCATTGGGATTGGGCCACACGAGATTTGATGGCCACGGGGGTGCCGATGATGGATGATGGGCTGAAGAGCAGCGGTCTCGGCGAGTCAGGCGTTTGCGCGCATCAGGGACGTGATACGTCCAAGTTGAACCCATGCTCTGGCTGTCGCCGATCTGGGAGCTGGACGGCACCGAACAAGAAGCTTGAGTGGTGGCATCAAGCCAAGGCAGCAGTTTAATTTATTCATTGTATGTACCTACTATACAGTGCCAGCGGCAGGTTTGGCCTGATATGGGAGTTTGAGGTTACTCGTACATGATGGCCACAGCAGACGAAGGTATCGAGTGCTGCACGTGGGCTTACATTGTGTGAAAGGTTCGATAGGACGCTACAACTATAGGTAGTGATATAGCATCTCCATCACAGCCATCACGGCGGCACTATTTGATGATGTACATGTCTTTAGGCAACTGTTATACATTGATGCAGCATAGAGGAGACGAACAAACAGAAGTGGAAAAAAGAAAAGGGCGTCCATCGTCATCGTCGTCATCGCAGGGTCTCGCAACACCGCTAGCCAAGAACCCTGCATCACCGCCCCGATTTCATTAAAGAAAAGAAGATGCAAGAGAGAAAAAAGGAAGGAAACCATCATCAAACGTATTGACCTGTAACAAAACCCAAATTCTCGGCGCTCCCTGGATGCCACCGCCAAAGATGACAGGCAGAAATGCGCCACTCACGGCCACGCCTAGTGCCACAAGCAACATTGCGCCTGATGCGACACACAGTCCTTGCAGCTGCGAAATCTCTGCTGCATACGCATACGCTCACGCTCAACTCTGTTTTGCGTTTCGCTCCGCCCTTTTCAGGGCCGCGATGGGCATGGCCGCCCAGCAAACGGCGGACCGCCGGCTCTGGTCGCACAGGGACACACACAAGCTCGATCTTCCCCCATGGATCATCTTTTACGCTTGTCTCTCTGTCCATCTCTCCATCGCTGCACCTTGCGTCTTACAGCCCTCTTCTCACGCTCAGCGCGCCAGGGGTTTTTGGCAACGATCGTTTTTCTTACCCACCCTCTCAGACGCATGTGCTCGGGCCAGAGGCAGAGACTGATGCTGTGCTGTGCTGTGCTGTGCTGATCGATGCCATCATTCGCAAGCTTCGATGCTGCCGGGGATGCTACTTTTGCTTTGATACTGTGCAACTGGGTGCCGGACAAGGCAATGCAACGTGCATACCTACAGGTACTCGTACATGGAGATGCTGCTCCCTACCTCCCTAGTACCTTAGTGATGCTACGGCCACCTGTATCCGGTTTGCTGGTCAGACGCAGCTATGGGTCTTGACTCATTCAGTCCCCCCTACGGCCAAGTGCTCTTTTGCTCTACTCTACTGTATGTATATGTTTGCCGACGGCATCATTCCTTTGCAATGGCTGTCCAAAAGCCCGTCCAAAAGCCCGTCTCGTGCCAATGACGACGATGCGGTGCCAGTTCGCCTGCTGTTCCCCCCCTGTTCTCCCGCACAGGCCCCCCACACCGGTCAAGGCCGCTAAGAGTTGATGCGCTGGGCAATAGTCTAATAAGGGGAGAGCAAAAAAGTTTTCTGTCAAGGTGCAAGGTTTCTGTTCGGTGCTGGTTCGCGCGTCGGGCTGAAGCGATAGCCTTATTGGGGGTTCTCGCTCACTCTCGCATGAGCCCCGGTCAGTGGGGAGACGACTAGGATATAGTTGGGTAGTCTGGAGATTTGCCGTCTGACCGGTCGGGTAAGGTATTGGTATAGGGCTAGCATTGATGCTCGTATACTTGCGGTCGTAGCTTGAGCTCAGCTTCAATATTTGCTGTCCATCCCATGTTCCAGACCTGTGGTGGTGGTACCTGTAGGTAAGTACTAACGCTAAAGGAAGTGTGCACGATTGATTGAGCCCTCGTTACCTAATCGCCAACCTCGATTAGGGCATTGGCGTCCATACACTGTACAGCACTAACCTAATCTACTCCCTACCTACTACTATAGTACTTGGCACCTTGTCTAATATACGATACTGTACTCGCAGGAAACACATCGTCTCATCATCTCATCAATCGCCTGGTGCACGCAAAGTATGAGTACGAGTACTCGTGCTACCGAACACCTGGGAGTGGGGCTGCAGGGTGCCAACCTCAGGCTCCCATGGATATTGATACCCTCTGCTCTCTGACGGCCTCTCTGAGCTGCAACTGGAACGGGAGGGGGGGAGCATGGATCGCGGAAGCGTCGAAGCGACGCAGGCGAGGCGCCAGAATGTCGGCGCATTGGACAAGCGCTGCGCAGCCAGAAAGTCTGATGATCCAACATTCGGACCCCCTCTGCTCTGGTCTGGTTAGCGGCACGGGAGAAGAACAAGGGGTCCCGTCGAGTTTTAGCCCCCGGATTCGTGGTTGCGTTTAGCCCAAAAAAAGGTCAGGACGAGACCGAGATTGGACAAGATTGGAGATTTGAGGGCACAAGAGTTCCAGTCGCAGCCCGGCCAGCTTTCGGCCACCACCTGCTCCACCGCTGATGGCCAGCTACTGATGCTATTCTTTGCGTCTGGCGAGGCGAGGCGGTATCATCGTCATTCATGGACCCAAGCTATGTACGAGTATGTGTAGGTATGATGCAGAGGCTGCATGTGCCTTGCCTTGTCTGGTGTCTTGTGTCTTGTGTCTTGTGTCTGCCTGTCAGTTGTTTGCCAATGCCTGTGAGCTCTTCTGCCAGGACATGATACACTCGCTGTTGGCCCAGTCGACATCGCTATGGTACTCACATTGATGTCTTCTGCTAATTTCTAAACTGCTGCTCTAGGTATACCTAGTCTAGGCTCGACGGCTTCCATCCAATGCTCAGCCAACAATGCCGCTGCAGACAGACAGACAGACAGACAGACAGACAGACAGACAGACAGACAGACAGACAGACAGACAGACAGACAGACAGAGACAGACGACGGCTTTCCTCCGTCCTCCGTCCTCCGGCAGATGAGCTAGTGTCGTTCCGCAACCCAAGAACCTTTCCACGACAAATCCCATGGGCGGGTACGAGGACCGCGGAACTTAGCGCAGTACAGCAGATCGTCTTGCTACCGCACCAGGCCAGAGCCCCCATATGCAGATGCACGCTTCGCCCCCCGGCTGAGCCCAAGCAAGTCCTCACCACCGTGGGTGTGTGCGTCGAAATCTGGGCACACACCAGCCACTTGCCGCATCTGGTCGAGTGTCCACAGCTCCATCCCAAGCCGCACCCTAAACCCAGCCAGGGGGGGTGTGTATCCAGGATCCTACCAATGGACCTATCTGGGCAATGCATCTAACTATGTGCTATGCTCTGTGAGGCTCTGGCTTCTCGTCAACAGGCGTACCACTTTCAATGCTAACCAACTCTCGATGGATCTTGGTCCGATCCATATAACAGGCCCCGAGCTCCCATCCTCTCGGGCCTTGGATCATCTCTCCATCGTCCTCCTGACCATTGCTCTCGGTACCTATTCAGCATTCACACTCGGCTTGCACCTTGTCAAGTCCACCCAGCTCATACTCCCCCTTTGCTTCGTCTTTGTTTTCATATACCCATCTACTCATCCACCATCCGCTTCCATCCTCTCTTCATTCACGCGGCAGCAAGAACCAATAGCCTGTGCTGCTCTTATATGGCACTCCTTGCTCCGTCACTCATCAACCTGCCCCTCGCACCCTGAGCTGAGAGCCAATCTAGCTCACCCTCCTTATACCAACCCCTGCTCTGTTGCATCGAAAGTGCAGTTTAGCCGCTTTCGATTTTTCCGTTGTTGAAACGAGAACAAGAGAAAGAAGAAGAAAAAACGAGTTTAATTATCGACATGGCTGCACCAAACTCCACCTCCTCCACCTCATCTCTCCCCCCTTTCTCCTCGCCCAATGTTGGCGAGGGTGTCATCTACGAGTATGGCCAAGTGCCTTTCTCGATGCGCCATGTGTTGATGGGAGAGGACAATCTCTCCCAGTCAATTGACCCCCTGCTGCGAGACTCGACCCCGTCCGATGGCAGCCAGCAATCATGGGACCTGTCATACTATCAACAGACTCCTGTCGACCCCAGCCTCGCGTCCAGCGCCTACCACTCGGCATGTGGACCAAACGACTCGCCATACCCCTTGAGCTTCATTGAAAGCAGCCCATCCATTGGCAGCGATGGCCAGTTTGAAATGGTAGACCCTCCCACCCCGCTCGGCAGTCCATACGACTCTGACTGCTCTGCTGAGCAGCAGGAGGTTAGCTACTATCCACGCCCGCAGGAGAACCCAGAATTCTACCCCATGGGCATCATTGGGCTCAGCGACTCGTGTTCGTTCGGTTCCAACTCCCTAGCCCTTGTTGATGCACACGGCGGGCACCTTGGTGCTGCCGACGCTGGCGCCAGGCAATACTCTCTCCACACCACTCTCCCATACTTTGACTCGGCCAGGCGCGTCAAAGAAGAGAGCCTCACTCCAAGTCTTGAAGACAGGAGGATCGTGCCCACCAGGGGCTCTACAAGGAGACGTGCCCCTCGCAGCTCACGATACCATACTGAGAGGGGCTCGTGCAAGCGAGCCTCTCCCGACCACGAGTCCTCGCCAAGCGGCGACAAGAGGCGCAGGATTCACTCGACCAACAAGAGGTTCTGCCACAAGTGCAAGAAGAACTTCCCGAGCCGATCGTCACTCGACGAACACACGGGCTTGGAGCACCCTCGCCCCTACATCTGCGTCTTCCATTACGCCGGCTGCAACGCCAGATTTGATGCCAAGAACGAATGGAAGCGTCACGTCAGTACCAAGCATCTGGGCTTGAAGTACTGGGTCTGCACGGAGGGCAAGTGTGCCGACGAGCGGCAGTCGGCCTACCAGCGAGACGCAGGCCTGCCGTCCTACGGCAACATCTTCAACCGCAAGGACTTGTACACCCAGCACATTCGCCGGATGCACGCCTCGGTCATCGGCCAGAGTACCACAGACTACAGGGGAACAGATATGAGATCTGACCTCATTGTAAAGCACATGCAAGAGGAAGCCCTGCGCATTAGATGCAAACTCCCAACCTGGATGCCTTGCCCCGTGCAGACGTGCGACAAGTCCTTCACTGGCACAACCGCCTGGGATGAGCGCATGGAGCACGTGGCCCAGCAGCACTTTGACAATGTTGCTGCCGGCCGAGAGCCAGCCGTCGAGTTTGGAGGTGCTCATGATACCGTCTTGACTGAGTGGGCGCAGCGCCCCGACATTCGCATTGTCAAGAAGACTGAAGTTGGATGGGAGCTCTGCGAACCCCTAAAGGGAGAGGCCGAGTACAGGATGGCCACTCCAGATATTGAGGCGTGAACAATGATTTGCTTCCTTTGTTTGTTTGTTTTCTTTTTTTCCCCGTTGCTTTTCTGGAGTATGGGCCCAAGATTGAATTTGATCAACTATTCCTCTCTTTGATGATTTGCTTTTGGCTATTTGGTGGGTTGGAATTATTGGGAAAATATTATTATTATACACCCTTTCGTTTTAGTACAGAGTCTAGGCATAGTTTCCCCTCGTCTGGTATATTGTTTCTTGTTTGTTTCTATATATTCATCTTTCGTTATCCGTTTCATTTTCCTTTTGATGAATACGTGTGCTCTCACGACACTAAAGAATATCCCCAAAAAAATTCACTTAGATAGACAGGATGGGAAGGACGGAATACATAGAAAATGAAGCATGGCTTATCCACACCACACGCAGCATCTCGGCACTGGCACAAGTGAATGATATCGTGAAACACGCAATCAACCCCCCTCTAATACGGAGCAAAGCCTCGCAAGATCACCTTTGACAGACCTGAAACAAACAGGCTGTTGGGTGCTGGCTTTGATTTTCCACTGGGCTCTACTGTTTTCCCCGGGCAAGCAGAGCCTCAGCAACATCAACTGAACCCCTCGTGGGGGCCTTTCATGCAAGGCGTAAGGAGGTCGTTTACCGTCTCGGTGTGGGACCGCCTGGCGATTGCGAGCCAATAAGTTGGGCAGATGGTGGCCGCGGATGATACGCAGATGATTGGAACAAAATACTTACGGGGGGGCGTGATCTGCCTCGTCAGCCCTAGGGGAGGATTTTGCGTCTTGTACAACTCCCTTGTTGTTCTTGTCTTTGGTGTAAGTCGGGGATGATCTGTGGCATGTGGTTGCTTTAGGGAGTGTGTGTGGCGAGACAGAATACGGAGAGTAGGATTCTATTCTTTGCTTTTGCTCTTCTTTTACTTTCTTGTATCTTCTTTTTCTCTAGCCCTTTCTTGACAGTACGTAGGAATTGGAAAGGGGGGGAAGGGGAGTGCCCAACATCCGTCATAATCGGACTCGGGATTTTGCCGAACTAACAATGAAGGATGGAGGAAGGGGGGGGGCGTGTTTGTATATGGACGAAAGAATGCGGCATACTCAGTCCATGGCCAATTCCAGCATAACCTACACCGCATAGCAAAGCAGAAAAAAGAAAAGGCGAATAAAAAGGGCAAACGGAAGCGAAGCTAGAGGCGGCTCAAAAAGGCGGGATCGTTGTCGTCTGTAAATGCGGCTCTGCGATGGAGAGGGGGGCATTTCTCGCATTGGTTCGTTTGGGCCCCCCTTGAAAAAAGAGCCGCATTTTGCGGGCTTCTTGCTATGGCCTTAGCAAATGGAAGCTTAGCAGAATTGTATTTTTGAGGCTATTTTTTCACGCGGTTGGCCGTTGATACGCACCGTGTTGGGTTTTCTGCAGCCAGCGGCAGCAGCGTAAGAGAAAAGAAAAAAAAAAGAGGTGCTGGACGCTGTCGTGTTATTCGTTGTGAGAAATTGCAGTTAATTTACTGTACAGGACTGGCATATGCATACACGCCCCCGACGTCTGGGAGAAGAATAAAAGGGACGATAAGGGTGTGTGTATAATACAAGACTGCAGGTGCGCAAAAATGAAGCAAAGCAAATGCGGTGAAAGTACACCAGGCAGGATAAAAAAAGGCATCGACACAAGTAGAAGAAAAAGGCAGCGAACAAGGCGAATTAGCCTCCCATGACATCCCATCCCCATCCCAAAGCTCATCATCATTTCCCCCCCAAAAATCGAAAGATAAAGAAAAGTATAGAATTAAAATTAAGATAACAGAAAGAAACATCTACATTCGCTCACCGAGCATTCTATGCACTGTTAAACCCCATCAGTGCAACCACCCCGCCCCAAAATCCTCAACATACATAAAAAAACAAGCGTAAATAATCCCCAAGCATAGAAAAAACGCCTCGCTGTCGCACAGCATTAAACCAAATTAGCCCACAACAACAGCAACAAAAACAAATCACCTCGGGTACGTACATGATCAGACAAGAAGGCGTGAGTCAACAAATTGACGCTCCTCTTCGTGTTGCTCATGCCATGTCTGAGACATGCATCTCGTCTTCCCTCCCCCCCCCCGTCGCTACGAGAGTGAGAATACGGAGTATACTTTGGCCCAGCTTGTCATTTTTTCTTTTTTCTTTCTTTTTTCCATTTTAATTAATTCGATTTATTTCCATTCTCTTCCATTTTAACCGCGTCTTGATTCTCCCTGCCTTCGTATATGCGGCAAACGTTTCATCGCCATCACCAGAGACAACCTGCGTAATCCTGCCAGCTCCTCTTCCTTTTCCCCCCTATTAGTCACTTGGTCTCACTTGGTAGGGAATTCCAAATACTCGGAGCCTTCAAATTCTCCCTAATGCTTGACATCATCTGCACCGCATACATAAGGGACAGACAAAGCAGCAGATAACCATGCATATGGTATACTTGGAAGCCTAGCTAATTCTCAACATCTTGTATCAGATACTGTAACACAAACAGCCCTTGGTCGCCTCCACAAGCCCTCTTCCACTCGTAGTAACGTAGCTATCAATACACTTCCAGCGCAATCACCTGTCGTAGTCATACCAATCATCACCAGCCCCCTTCCCCGACTCCGCCGAATCCACCACGGCCGGCCGGCCACTCCATCAGGGGTAACCCTGGGGACTGACAACCCACAGGAAGCAATCAAACGACATCTTGAAAGCGACATTATCCACATGCTGCGGCCGACTCCGAATATCTGCATAATGTTGCAGATCAAAAACAAAAGGGAAAAATAAACGAAGTAAACTCTGGACGGAAAAAAGTGGAATAGGGGGGGGCATAAACCTTTGACCACATCTCAGCCACCGGGTACTGTTCCCTTATGCAGCACCATGGGCATCTGACCAAGCTCCGTGCTCAAAGACATCATCACCAATCGCCCTGCCGTACTATACAGTATCTAGCACGCCTCATGTCGAGGCGGAGGCCTCACCCTTCTCGGCCGGCGGGGCCTTGGGCGGTGCCTTGTCCGTCATGCTCCGTTGAGCTCGTCGCTGCTGTCTCAGACGGCACTCCAAGGCATAGCCTGGCTCGTTTGCCTTGCGCCACTCGATCCATGCCTCGTATGCTTGCTGATCTCCTGGATCTGGGCGTCGAGGCTTTGGCACCGGCTGGGGTGGGCAGGAAGCACCCGTCATCAGCGGCATTTGGCATGACGGCATGCTCAAGCAAGGGTTGGAGCTATTTGGCAGTGTACTCGGATATGTGGTATTCACCATGGAGGGCACGGCTGGGAACCCCACTATGGCATTCCCAGGCATGGATAAGGACTGCAATACTGACTGTGGCCGAAACACCGATGGTATGAGTGAAGGCAGCGACGGCATTGTGGATATTGGCAAAGCAGATGTCGAGAACTGGCCACCAAACTGATCTGTTGCCACCGGTACCGGGACCAATCTTCCTGGCATCAAGTTACCTATATTGAGCGTCAGGGGGGCGGCGGTTACGTCAGGAGCAGCAGCAAGCCGTACAAGCTCATAAGGTGGCGGATGTTGCTCAAATGAAGAGACATTCGGCTGACCAAGTCCTGCGAGAGACATAGCGTTGGCATGGCCACCGGTGCTCATAAAAGCCTCCGTGGTAAGGGCCTGGAGTGGTTTCATGTTGCCGTCTTCTGAGTTGGAGCTTCGATTGGAGACGAAAGAGAGAAACTCTCGCGCCTTGGGATTCAGGTTCTTGAATCTGGCATACTCTTGCCCTGGACGGCTTGTGTTCTCTTTGTGAGAAGTCTCAAGCCCTCGTGGCCGGTAGCCTGTGAGCATCTCCGAAGAAGTTTGCTTTCGTTCATCAGCCCTTTGTGTCCGGTATCGAAAGATGCAAGTTTCTGTTGAACCTCCGCTTTGTTCTTCCTTTGAGCCATCTTCATAGCTATCTACCCTGTCTCGTCCCGGCGGGTTTTCGTTTGGCGAGTCTCTGTTCTTCTGTCCTAGCTTTTGTAGAAATCTTTGAAACGCCTGGGCTTTTTCAGCCTCAAATGCAGCCATGGGTCTTTCGTCGTTGACCAAACGTGCTGTCTGGTTGGAAGACAATCGGTTCTCACTAGAGCAATCTTGAGTTCTGCGTATTTGCGCTGCGATCGCACCCGGTAGCTCAAACCCCTCAAAAATCTCCTTTCGCAATCGTAGCTCGTCTGGGGTGGAGTACTTCATCTTCATCTCATTTTGGCGATTTTGCTGGTTCACGTGCACTCGAACTTTGTGAGGCGTGGCTTCGGCAGCTTTGAGCGCCGCGGTTAGTTGCTCGTCCTGACCGTTGTCGGGCTTTCTTTGCATTAGATTTCCCCTCAGAGGCCGGATCTCCACGACAGATGGAGATTGCCAGCTGGGGATGCTACCCAATGGGGCAACTTCCAAGAGGCTCAGGGGGTGTTCCTTCGAGGAAGGGAGGCATATCTGCTTCAAGATCCCATACGGAACAGGTTGTTCCTCCTCCAGAGTTTTTATTATCTTTGGTTCCAACTCAGAAGACAAGGCGAAGACATTTTTCTGGTGGCCTCTCACGTCGCTGTTTACCGTCGTGTCATCTTGCGCGACGTCGCTGCTCTTTTGTGGAGGGGCTTCGTGCTTGCTTTCGCCAGCGGATGGAGTGGTTGGGAATGTATCCATTGCAATACAGTTCCTCCCAGGTCCTTTCACATTGCGCCAGACCTGTTCGCCATCCAGTGTTGGTGAGCTCGCATTATCAGACGTTCGAGTTCGCCAATCAGGATTCTCCAACGCTTGTTGCGAATTAGATTTTCTCACTCGCTGGTAGTCATAGTGAGGGCCCAGGGCCTTGGGGCGCGTTTCGTTCTTTAATCCTGCCTCTTTGGACATGGTAGGAGAGTTCAACCGTTTGTGTCGCCCAGAAACGCTCAGCATAGCCATTCCCAGTCCTCAAAACTCAGGTCAGCAGTCTATACTTCATTACGTTAGAGCTGAGTGTAGCATCTTCTCCTTACCGTTTGCTAATCGAGATGGGTCCAAGCGACAAAATCGGTCTCAATGAGTAGGTCAAGCGTCGTAATCTCTTTGGCCAGAAGCGAGAGTATTCAAACGTCGAATCCGAGGAGGATAGTCTTTGAAGCTTTTTTTGGGTATTTGGTTGGTTGGTTGGCTGGCTGGTTTGTTTTCCCTCTGGCACGTGGAAGCCCTCTCCAGATACAATATCATCAAAACAAAACAAATTCACGGCAAGATTCGCTTCAAGAAAAGACCAAGCGCTGCCTCAAGAATTTCTTCAACGCAAGTAGCCAAATCAACAATGTTGGAGGTGAGCAGAGATGTTGAGGTCGACGTGGCGTGTTAAGTCGGTCTGTTGCGATGGCTTCCAGCTGGCAGGCGGCTGCTCTATGTCTGCGCGCGGGAAATCCGCGATGAAGTCGCTCGCTTTTAAAGAAAAGTAAAAGACACGCTCAAACGCCACAGGCTGGTGGGTAGCCCACACTTATTGGCTGTGATACGAAAAGTCCAAAAAAGCACTGCTGGTGAGGGTGTAAATTGCAACGATGGCTTCCTATAGAGTTGAGAGATATCTGGAATTAAGATTCGCCCCACGCCAGCCTCTTGAATCTTCATCTGCGGTAACCACGTCGGAAACTTCCTCATCAACGCCTGCCTTGAAAAGTGCCATATACAGGGGCCGTAGAGTTGCTTCTTCCTTTCCATGTTGGCATGTGATTCGATGTTGACGCAGGTGCAGCTGAGGAGGTCGCGATTCACGAGCAGCTTCTTCTTATGTTTTCGGGAGTCTACGCTGCTCCATCCGTCAACTAGTTTCATTCAGTCATTAGGAAAGAGAAAGCTTGGAAGAAAGAAGAGAAAAGAAATGAGTGCAGATGGATAGATGAAAACGAAAGTCGTCTTGAGAGAAACAACAACAGAATCCCAGTATATATGGGTTACATAGGCATGTAATGTAATGGTAATCAAACTAAAAGTCCTCCATCGCTGAACTCAAACTCCAAGAAGTGCATAAATGTCCAAACAGAGATAATACAAAAAAAGGGACAGGCCATCTTTTTCCAAAAACATGTTTGTCAGTTTTCGCGTACAGCGTTGCCATAAGGTGAGCACACCTCTCTACTCCCTACCTACAGCCATCAGCTTTCCCCTTAGGCATTCTGAGGGGCGATGCCTCCAATAAAGGCGGCAAACTCTCTCGGGTTTCTGGTCTGCAGGAAGACTGTGCCGGGGCCAGTAAACTTGCAAACAAGGCCTTCTCCTGAAGAAAGGCCAGAAATGATACCTCCAGAAGCCACACGCTCCAGGACGTAGCTTGTATTCCACGCCACAAGATGACCATTGTCCACAATGTACTTTTCGCCTTGCGCAAGCTATTATGCAGAGTTAGCATCTCAAATCGGGGCAGAGGAATCTTTATACTTTGACTCACGTCTTTTCTAATAATGGCGCCAAAGCTCGACACCCAGAGCAAGCCGGTTCCAGAAATCTTGTAGACAAACAGACCCTCACCGCTGAAAATCGCCTTGCCCAGACCTTGTCGCTTGTAATCTTTGACGACAGCCTGAGTAGAGGCCAAATAGGCGTCGTGTCCCACTGACCACTGCTCCTTGCCGGTCAATCGTATGCTCGTAATGTCTCCCAAAGAAGCCGGGGCGAGGATAAGCTCTCCCGGCCCTGTGTAAGTCGAGCTGGCGAGCTCTCCACCTGCGATGATCTTCTTGACGCTAAATTTGACGTTGCCCTTGAGAGTGATTGTTGGAGACATGGCGACCATGGCACCTAACATGCGATTAGATTTGTCAGTCATGATGCCTCAACACTATCTTGCTGCTTGTTCAACGTACCTGGCTTGGCATGTAATGGGGCGCCCATGGCCAACTGAATGGTCAAGATCGTGTTCGTATCCCGGTGGCTGATGCGGTAGCTGCCCCCATTAAAAGTGCCAACATCATCGGTCGTCGCGACAGCTCCAACAAAGTTAGTCGGCGGCGGGGCTCCAACGGCCACGTTTGCCGGGCCACCCTGATTATTCTGAACCGACGGCTTTTCCTGGGGATAAGGGGCGTTCTGCTGCTGCTGGGGGAACGGAGGAGGAGCGAATTGAGGCGGTGCCTGTTGTTGCTGCTGTTGCTGCTGTTGCTGCTGTTGCTGGATTTGCTGTTGGTGGAGCTGCTGGGGCGGCGGCGATTGCTGCTGGTAGTGGCCAGAATCAGGAGTTGCAGCTGGGCGCATAGCCAAGTTCAGCTGTTGCGATTGCGAATGCTGGTGCTGGTGCTGAGGCGGCTGGTTCCCGGGAGGAGGGGGGTAATGACCCGGCGAAGGCTGTTGAATCTGTGGAGAAGGCGTATGCTGGGGTGGAGGAGCATAGATCGGTGCCTGTCCCGGCGTTCCTTGAGGAGGAGGAGGGTAAAACTGTGTCTGGTTCGCGGGAGGTGAAGTCGGAGGCGGCGCATATTGCTGCTGAGGCGGCGACTGATACTGCTGTGGAGGAGGAGCATATTGTTGCTGCTGCGGCGGCGGCGGTGCTGTTCATTGCTCGTGTTAGCATTGGAGGCGCGTCTTGTCGCAATGGCTTCTCAAATCAAACGGACCTTGGCCTGCGCCTGCGCCAGGCGGAGCTGTGAAGTCGCGAGTCAGTATTTGGAGATGGCGGGGTGAAGCTGGAGGCGGGGAGCGTGACATACGCGGGTAGAACTGCTGCTGCTGGCCAGACATGGCGACGATGGTGTGTCTCGGAGTGTTTGGTTGCTTGACTGACAAGCTGTGGAATGAAGAGAGGGAGAGAAGAGGGAAAAGAGGGAGAAGGAGTGGGAGCGAAGGAGCAAGAGGAAGAAAAGTTGGTCCGGCAAGGCGCAGCTTGATGGTCGAGCTCGATGGATGTAAGACGGCCAAGACCAAGAGCCCCGCTTCCGAGCTACGGTATACACAAGTACAAGCCAACTGGACTTCAAATGACAGGCCAGGCCACGTCACACAGCGATATTCGCTCCTTCGAGGCGTATTTTGCTTGTGTGTGTTGGCTGAAGATGGAATCCGGACATGCCCCGAAACTCGAGTTATAAGGAGGAGCTGCACATCGGCTGACGAGGCCATCCAATTCCTCCAAATCGACAGCAATTACGCGCTGCAGGGCGCCAAGCAAAACCCCGCTCATGGCCCAGCGCCTGGACGCTGTTTGGAATCGCCCTTCAGCGCCCCCGCCGCAGCGCCTCCATTGGCCAGCAGCCCGGTTTAGGCGCTTCCGTCAGCGCCAGGACCTGTCAATACAGGGGCCTTGCCTCAAGTGGTTTGACTCCAGTCGAGTCCAAGTCCGCAGATGAATGATGCATGAACCATGGATCCATGCACACTCAATCTCAATCCCTCATCAATCAATCCTAGAACAGTATGAGTACTAGGTATACACTCAAATCAATTTACTACCTGTGCATACGTGTATCAACATAGGTTGTGGTATTCATAGCCTGGTACATGCTCGTACTTATAATCGCTTCTTCAACCTCTCCCTGCTCGCGTCATCCATATCATATACCTACCTGGTCCTTGATATTATTTGTGGATAAACGCTGAGCTCATCCCAACTGTTTCTCATTCGACGCACTTAGCCGTTAATACATTGAGGAAATGGCTGTTTTTCTGGATTCTTAATGTCGGCCGCATCAAAAATGACCTGGATAGCTTATATCCACATGTATGCTTGTAAAACACCGAGCAATTGAGGTTCGGCAGGATGTAGAGAGATGAGCTGCGAATACAAGATCCCAACATCACGTTTCAATTGATAGCAGCGCCAGGAATATATGAGTTATCCGTGTTCATTATAACGAGTCCTTTAGAACCTATCTAAATGATAAGATTGTTCTCGCTTACCAATTACCATGAGATCAGGTTTGAGTTGAAGCAATGCACCACGTCTTTCAGGTAAAAGGGGCCAGCGGAATCAAGGATTCTCATGATGCAAAACATCGGGAGTCCTGAGATCACTGTCAACAGCCGGGCAATTCAACAAGCATAAACAATTGAAGCCATATCATATTAGTTCCCTCAGCAAATACTCCCAGACCAATTTGGCATCCAGTGGATCACCGTTACTTTTGTAGATATGCTCTCATATCACTTTTGCTCCGTCTCTCCATCAATACTTACGTCCTTTATTGGCGTCCTTTGCACTGTGGCTACCGTACTGTAGGATCAATAAAGTCTGTCCCTCAGCATATCAGCATTAAAGTTGTAAACAGCTACCGCTTTAATGGCTACCGCTTTAATGGCTACCTACGACGTACGCTTCATTCCAGGACAGACAATATGTACATAAGGTCACCTAGATTTCATACAGCGCAAACCTTTGTGATCTAGACTGTCTCCTCTTCCTTGTCATATATATCCATATCCCTTAGGATACTGCTACTTGACTAAGCTTCGATTACGCTCGTGGGTACACCTGTGCACAGTTCCAAACACACGACGGTACCACCAACTCTATTCTACGCCTCATAGTCCATGTATCCATATACGATAAAGACACAACCTTTTGCTAAACAAGCCATCATTTACAGTTTCTGTAGAAGGGTCCAGCAGTAACGGCAACATGTGTAACCAAAAAAAAAAAAAAAAAAAAAAAAAAAACGATACCAAATAGCAACCCATATATTTGACCTTTTCTCCAGCACTATATATGTAAACGTCCCTCTTCTCACGCCATTCACTCTTCAATCATCTCTATACGACTCACTCATTGGACCACACCCCAAAGGACTTCCAGCAAGATCTCATTGCTATCATTGCCACCAATCTGAACAACTACTCTTTTCCAATTCATCCAACATCTTCTCCCACTACTTTTCCCTTCTTTTCTCCTCTTGGGTTCATTTATATACGATAGCCATGTCTCCATTTCGCTGGCTCTTCACTTTCCTCCTTCTCAACCTCGTTTCTCTGTCTTCAGGCCTCCCGCTTCCCGATAACAAGGCAATGAACCCTCCTTACCCCCGTACAATCACTCTCAAGGAACGAGAAATCGATACCAGCGACGTTTCTGCAAGAGCCAGCGTCGAAAGGAGGCAATGGCGCACCTTTTGGGGCCCAGACCACATCGAGGAGACTTATATTACCCTCATCAACGCCACCCCTTACGAATGGCAAAGGGGCTACATCCACGACTATCAGATGCCAAATTGGGAGGAGGACTTCCCACAACTCATTTATCCGGGCGAGTCGGTTTCTGTGCTGACCCAGCCAAGGAAAATATCCGGTAACTGGGAGGACTCTGCAGCTGAGGTCGTTTACCATCTTGTGGGCACCTCAGAGCCCATGTCGTTCATGGTCAAGTTCAACAACCGGGGTTCTAGCTCCCTCAAAGTCGAGTTCCTTGATGCCTTGTCTTCCATGAACAATGCCATGAGAAGCGTTCACCAATTTGAAATCACAAAGTTCCCTGGCGGCGGGTCGGCCTTCATCCTTGCCGGCGAAGAGGGCGATTTCATCACAAACGATCCTCCCATCGGCTGGATGCAAGCTATGTTTCCCGAACTGAAAGACAAGCCTCTGCGTGAGATTGTTCTCGGAATGTCGCATCACTCAGGCCTATGGTCAGACCATAGGGATATTGGCCTTGCGTCAGCACCAAACACCCAGACGCAAAGCGTTCACCTTCGCGAACAGCTCGGCAATGGAGGCATCCGTGTTCTCGACTTCCGCCCCCTCAAGATAGGAGACGAGTTTCGGGAGACGCATGGGATGATCACCAAAGACCCCGTTAGCGGCGTAATGTTTCAGGGCTCTGAGGGAGCCACCTTGAGCGAGATGATCCAGACCGTCAACGAGTTCAATCGAGAGTATCCTGGCGAGCTCATCATCTGGGATGTACACAGCCATGATGCCTGGAATAAGGACTACGAATTCCGCAAACTGTCAGACAGCCGGGAGGACCGCGTGGCGCTATACAATCAGTTCTTAGCACTAGAGAACCGCATCGATATCCCCAACGACGTCGAAGACGTCAGTAAATGTCCCCTGAGCCGATTCATCGGCAATAAAACGTCCGCCGTCCTCATCAAATTTGACGAGCGCTGGCGCTTGAATGACCTCGATGTTTTTCCAGGCAAACACCAGGGTTTCATCACGAGAAGAACCTTCCCACTCACCCACCCCTGGAGCAACACCAACAACGTCCACGAACTGGCTGCTGACCAGGTAGCAACTTTTCGCAAAGTTCGACCAGTGCCTCAAAATCCCATCACCATTGCCGACTGGGTCTTGACGCTGAAGGGCCTGCAATTTACGAGGGACTCCATCTTGCAACTGGCAGCTGTTGCGTGGCGGTCGTTGTTTGAGGATCTCTGGCCCGCAACAACAAGCGACTCATACCCTAACTGGATATCAGTAGATAATGTGCGTGGAAACCAGCACAAGACCCTCGTCATGGCAATGAACCACTGTCTTGTGGCCAAGAAGTGCGGTGATCTAAGTGGCAAGGTCAGCCCTTGAGCCGGTTTGCAAATGAACGGATTCATCTTCTTCGCGATATGTTTGCCGGGTAGGCGATTTCAGTCTCTGGGCTGACGAAAGCGAATGTGCACGTATCATCTCACCCTGGATGACTACATACGGAGTATTGTATAAGCATATTCCATACACCACACATATTTTTACGTCACTTGGCAACAGACTGGGTGTCATGATGGAATCTCGCCATCGAATTCCGCGGACATTGTTTTGTCGCCGGCATTCAAAAGATGTCCGGAACCCGCGATCAGCATGTGAAAATATGAGAGGCCGTCCACAAGCGAGTTTCAGACCTCAGCTACGCTCCACGCGGTACAAAGCTTGGCATATCCGCCAAGATGGCAATACTAGTTATTGGCATTACCAAATGCTAGTTGTTACATCCCGGCAGCCTCGATTCAGCAGACGTACACGTGCTAGGGCCCCGAATCCATATTATAAGGATAAGATCAAGGTGTTTGGTGCGTGTGCACCAGTGGCAGACTCAGGCGCGAGGACGCGCCGAGCCAGCAGCGCGGTGTCGCCCAGGGAGCAATGGGAAGATGCATGAGGCGATGATCCCTCGCTTCTGGCTAGTGCGATCTGACAGCTGTCATAAACTGAGACGATTGATTTGACTGGATGCCGGTACGATGCCATCAGTGGCCATGTTGGACATGACATTTCATGCCCTCAACGCCTGTGCTTGGCCGTGTCGCGCGGCTTCTGTGAGATAAACTGGAACGGCTTTGCAACAGCTCGTGCCATGAACAAACGATCCCGGCATCTCACGAAGCGCCGGCGCGAGATGAAATCCGCAAGCTCGGACGCTCACACGGACCAAAGACCCTGCTGACGGCAAGTGGCGGAGCACCCGGCGACTATGTCCTCGTGCTGGATGTAACAAGAGCTTGACTAAGACGCCTGCATGCAATTTTCGGCACTGGAGAATGGAAAAATACTTGTAATACTCCGTACATGGCAATATCAATGCTTTGGATCCATGTGCCGTTCAACGCTCCGTCCACGCAAGGGAGACGCCGATGGCAAATGCCGCCGGCTAAGAAAAAGATGCCTAAAATGCCTCCTTCAAGACTTCTTCTGGAAGCATCAGCAGTCAAACTCATTCACTTGCATGCAGAGGCGCTAGCAAGGCTGGCCGCATGCTGCGCGACTTTTGCAAGAGGGTTCGATAAAAAGCGGCTGGCCACGTTTTAGACATGGGGAGAGAGTGTGAGAGAAGGACATGCTACTTGCCGGATTGAGCGTCGGTGTCGAAATGTATATATGTTTCGGAGAGATTTATTTATTCGTTTTTTAGCTGCTGCAGCGGTATAGTATTATCCGGAAGTGATCCCCGTGAATCCTACTTTAGCCCTTTTGTTTCCTTGAAGCCGCTCGGAGCCAGATGAAGGCAGTTAGTTGCCAGATGTGAATCTCGGATTGCATTTCGGCCAATTGTATGTAACAATGGAATCCATGGGATGCAAAAAGAGCCAAGAGAAGTTAGTACAGTAGCCGTGCTCATCATGATGCCTGCTGCTGAGCTTGGATTCTTGCCGTACAAATACAAGGTCCGTTCCAACTGCGTGCCCAAAGATCGTGACCTGCCGTCAGATATGCCCGACATGTCTCCGCTAGACGGAGTGCTTGTAACGTTGGCTGCGAACCAGGGGTGCCGGTGTTGCTGTTTACATGCAAGCTTACTCGTCCCTGGTGCTGGAGCAGATTTCCTCTTTCGATCCGTTCCGGGTGCCACTCACTCACGAGGCGACAGGGAAAGCAAGCGTTTCCCCTTTTGTTGCCAAGTCTGGTTTGTGGATAAACTCGTTCGACATGGGATGGAAAAATTTCGAGCGGACCCTCTCAGTGCGGTTAGAGTCGTCTTTGCCAGTCTGGCTCAACCGCTTCTGCTTCGACCTGGAACCGAAGCCTTGGGAGAAGCAGCGGTTGGGCAACTTTGGGCTGTTGGGCAAAGACGAACCCGACAGCTGGAAGCGAGCCGTCTGGCAAAAGCTGGATCAACGGAGGGGTTGCATTTCCCCAGATAGGCGTGTAACACGGCCGACTCCGATAATGTGCGACAGAGACTCTCTTTGCGTGGTGCAGACAAGCACATCACTTACACGCATGGCCTGGAAACACACAGGATCCCTGATTTCTTACACAACCCGACCCAGAATGCCCAGTAATTGCACGAGACAACGCTTTTGCAATCACAACCACAATGCTGGGTGCAGGCCTTCGGGCATCGAAGTTTTCCGCTGGTCCAGGGTTTGAATTCGGTGCCAATACTTGTAAGCGACGCCATGGCGTCTTCTGCCGTATCGGCCCTGAGATCCCCTGACAACGGAAAGGCGGACCGTGACGGGAAACTCCTGGTAAGGGAGGGTGCCCAAGCCTCCTGGGCAGCAAACCAGCATACCCTACTCCGTAGAACGAGGCAGCTTATTCATGGCAGAATGTACTCCGTATTGTAGCATCAGTTAATAAAATTGCCGGATTTGGGGGTTGCGTATTACCTGACAGTGACTGCTGATGGCTCACCCACGTATCTGGAGAAATAGAGGACCGGGGATAATGCCACAGGAACAAAATATGATCTCATCAAATAAAAGGGAGGAAAATCTCCGCCGGCACTTGTCATATGACGGATCCGTTGCTGTCAGCATCAGTGCCGGCATGATATACTATGTAAACATTGTCAAGCAAGAACTAGAAAGGATATGGACAAGTCTTAGTGAGCACGAGCTTACCGTAGGCACCATTGGACGTAGAGTGTAATACTACGTATTCCCTTTGAGGGTTGATGACCAGTCTGAAGCAATTCTTGATGTATTAACAGGAGCATGGTGTATTACCAGATCCCTGAGCTCTGCACGAAACGAGCAGGTAGGCACACAATACACGTCAGATTCGTGTGAGTTTCAAGCGTAACGGTAGCTAACGTGGGGTGAGCTGAACCATCTCTTTTCTTCTCTTTTTCGCTTCTGGATCGAAATTATCTTGGAAGACCCTGCAGCAGCTTTTTTTTTGCCAGGACGCCGTCCTCGCAAAACATATACGATCAAGTGGTTGCTCCTTGTTCTGTCTGTACGAGTACAGTATGCAAGGTTTCTGGCTAGCTGAATGGGTAGGATTGACTTTCCAGAGTCCGCCTTGCTTGCACGAGCGTTTGTCCTGGTCCCTGGAGACGCCCCCATGGAGGCACCCGTGTCCTTAACCCAAACACTCGGTCCACGGGAAAGGGATCCGATATCAAGGAGTACGTTATTGCCTGCTTGGCAGGATAGCAACGCGGTGGTAGCCGCTAGGGTTAGCACGGAGTAGCGAAGTATGATAAAACCACTGGGGCCAGGTCAAAAGTACGTGTCAGGCCATACAATACTTACAGTAGAGTCCTACTGTACCTCGTAAATCGTATTCGAACCCTGCAGTTATGCTGCAGAGTATCCTTGTAGTTTTTCCTGCAGGCGAGCGTTGTGTCGCCTATTTTCAGGACAACTCGAATAGCACCCGGGGATAGCCCGGTGTGGAAGAAGTTGTGCTCGTAATTGATGAGAAGAATACCGCTTAGGTGTCTGTTGATGATGAGAGCATCAATATCTATTGACTGGCAACTGGTTTGGTTCGTCTTTGGACGTATGACTATGGTGTTGGTAATTGGTAGCAAATTAGTGACAACTCTTGACTCTTTTGCTCGATACTGCATGTAACGAACTGCAAGTTACGCTACTCGGTGCTACAATCAGCAAACAGGCATGGGCTCGATGCATGTTTGCTTTTCCGTGCTGGAGAGCGGAATGAAAGCGCGCATGTTTCCGCCATTGTGTCATGCTCCGCACTGCATACTCTTTAGCTACCAAGCGCTGTTTTCTTGATTGTCATTAGCTGCGCTGGGGGTCTTCGCGTCTCAAGCCCGATCTGGGCGCGAGCTTCTAGTACTGTACGGGCATGGACGAGAGATGAGCTTCTCGCGCTTCGGCAACAAGCCAAAATAACGTGGCATAACCCCCAGACTTGTAGCATTTGTTTGATCATCGATGCAATCGAGGGTGAGAAGGGACATGTCTGCTGTTGGGGTTAGCACTTGGCTCGAGCGTCTGTTGCTACTCCGTACTTGTCCCAGTTACGAGCTGGCCTATGAGTATCAAGGTGCTCGTACGAGTACCAGTAGAGCACAGTAATTGTGAGAGTAAGCCGTGATGGGAAACGGTGCCGAGCAAACCCTGGCCATCTCGTAATCTGACCAATCGCAAGTTGAGTTCGCAATGGCGCCGAGCCAGTCCGCTGGGATCGAATCCTTGTATATTATTACGAGTACCGTCAACACAAGGTGAACAGACGAGAGGGCGCGGCAACCTGGCACACCAGGTTGTCCCCCAGCATGACCAATCTCTGTGACCGATCCTAGCTGTAGCGTGGGAGAGGACGGGGCTCTGGGAAGAGAAAAGGGAAAGAAATGGATCATGAGTGGACGGACTAGCGGATAGATTCGACATCTTGGCAACTAGCGACCCTGCGGCTTGTTGGACTTTGCTGTTGATGCAGAAGCTCCCGGAACCCAAGCCCTCGGGATGAGTGGCAAATTCGAACACCGGAGCACTAGAGAAGCCGTCTACGTCAGTCCAATGTCCAATGGGTGAAGAAGATGAAGAGTTCAGCTCGCCAGGGCCGGTCATGTGCAGAGAAGATGCCTAGGTAGATGAAAGGGAAACGTGCCTAGGCAGACGGGGTGACGGGACAGGCACCCACTTGGCGGAGAGGCGATGAAGGAAAAATGGAAGTGCGACCGAACAGCCTAGCCTGGATGCACTAAGCAAAGGAACCCGTAGGTAATCTGAGAGACCAGACGTCAAATGTCCGTGGCGGTACAGGTAGTAATAGTACGACGGTAGGACGATTGCGGGCACGGATATGCCTTGCTGAAGATGGGGAGGAGGCGGAGTTTGCAAATGGGAGAGCGCGTCGGGTCCGTCAATCCTTTGGAACATCAGCTACTGCGTGGTGCTGTTTTTAGTGCAGAGATTGCACGATATTATCCATACACGGCACAGCAAGGTAGCATCATTAGCACCTGTACACATGGATTGACGTGCATGTACAGTACTCCATGCATTAACACGCACTAAGAAGAAAAAAAGGCAGAGGCGATGGATACTGTACGAGTACTGACATGTCATGGAATACTCCGTACTTGTACATGGATAAATGACATCCCGCCTCTCGCAGGCTTGGGTCTGCAAGTCCTTGCTTCGAGCTCGTACGCGATTGATGTTACTCCTCCTCCGAATAGGTACCTTATACAGTAATACCAGGCACCCGTCAGTAGGTACTTACATGTGAGTATTATACAAGCGACGTGGAGTCCTCAATCGTCCCTCCAAGCCCAGGCTGCGGACAGGGCAAGGGGGATGATGAGAGGCTATCCGGAGTACGGAATAAAGTACCCGTGCAGGTATTGATTGAAATTTTTCCACTGATCCATGGAGGCGCAAAGCAGCATTGTCCATGTACATAACAGTATGAGTACAGCCTGCCCCATACAGCGCTCGCAGGCATCTGGAGTCCGGGTCTGTACATGTACGAGTACTTGCCTGGACGTGCACCCTGCATTGCATGACCAAATGTCATGGACCAGACAGGATGGCAGCTGCACTCAATACAGAACTCGGCGTCTTTAGGGGCCTGGCACACCGGTGGCGGGTCCGAGGCCTTGCCCGGATGTGCACGAAGCGTCCGCGGCCGACGTGGCTCCTTGTCGCTGCTGGAATTAAGGGTTCGATGGACGGCTGCTGACTGATGACTCCAGGGCTACGCTGTGAGTGACCAGACTCTACCTTTTGGCTCTACTGTGCTTTTACTGTATTGCACTGTACGGCACTGCAACGAGGAGACATCTTCAAGGTATCAACTTGGCCTAATGTTATTTTCTCTTCATCCCATTCATCATGTTTAACCCCCTTCAAATCGTGTGTGTCTTGGGTCTGTGCGGGGCTCGTTTCCCTTTGCACGGGACTATGATATTACTTGTACTTGTTGCCACAGAAGCCCAGCTGCTAGCTATAGGTCCGTTCCAGAATCGACGGGCTGAAGAGTTAAAACAGACAACCCGACGCTATCACTGGCGGCGTTACTCAACTCGTCCATCCGGAACTGCCCTATTAGCGGATCGCTGGCACTATCTCAGGCCGATGCCCAAGTGCGCAGGCTAGGGCTCTTGTGGTTTAGCAGTGGCTGCAATCCAGTGGACTCTCCCAGCGCTTCGGACGGCCGCCTCGGTTCATTCGTGTTCCCACAGTGTGGACATGGACTGATTGGGTCAGTTGCGGCACCCATCTTTCGGGACCATCTCCGCCCTCTGGCCGGGGGGTCGGATGCCATGGGTTGACTGATGGGTTAACATGGGTTGATATGGATGGGTTGGCATGGCCCAGGGCTTCAGCCATCCCTGGCCATGTCGCTACCAGCAGCTGCTGCTGTGATGAATTGCATGTCTCGGCAAGTGGGTGCTGAACGGCGCCCCTACAGCGGTCGCTCCAGCGCTCAAGGGTGCTGTGCTGGGCTCTCTTTGCTGATGACTGTCTGCGCTGCGCTGTGCTGTGCCGTGCTGTGTGGTGCTGGGCTGGGCGACCATGGCTGGGGTTTTTAGCTTTTCGCCGGGCCACTGACTAGCCTGGTGCTCGCACTTTCGTCTTGATACCAATGTTCCCTCCAGCCCTCGACATACATCAAGCCTAGCCGCCCCCAATCTCTGGCCGTTTTTTACATATTCACGTTCCCACCCAAACCATCCATCCGTCCAACCTCTTCTTGTATACTCACTGCTGCCACCTCGACATCAGTAACATCACACGAGTACCTGCCTGGTCGAATACACACTCTGTCGCGCGACAAGGGAGGAAATCGCCCTTTGCACCACCACCACCACCACTACCACCACCACCAAATCTTTGCTTTGACGATATCCAAGCTGGCGGGGATAGAGGGATAATTCACCCAACAGCCATCGATAAGAATTGCCAACCAGGAGCCTGGAACAAACAACCCTCGCCTGCGAATGATTTGTTATGAGGTGACCCCTCACCAAGCCGGGACGACGACGACACCACTATGGAGCCTGGGCGTACCTCACCAAACAGCGCCTCCGACACCGACGAGGTGATGCTGCGCCAGACGCCACCTATGTCGGGTGCTTTGCCCATTGTCGCTGCTGATCCGACCTCGGATCTGCCCTCGGCGCCTAGACCCAGAGTCCGAGAGCGTCAAAAAAGCCAAAACAGCCTTCTCATGGAGCTGCTCTCTCGCCGTATGAGTCGACAAACCCTCCTACAGCACAACCAATTCCGCACCCAACAACCACCTCTCACTCCACAATCGCCATCGCCCCTGGTTGATAATGCCACGTTTGACAACAGTCTGTGTGCCTCAAACGACATGGCCATGGAAATTGACATTGACGAGACCCTTGGTAGCGACTCTGCGTTACCTACACTGCCATGTATGCAGAAAACCCGCCCATCACGGCGATACTTACCTCTTCCCTACATCGCTCCCACAGTACCTGAGACGAAGATTGATCCGGATATCGCTGCCAGAGTCCTTACCAGGATGCAGGCCAACACACAGCCTGAGCCTGTCTCTACCTCCCCGTCTACAGGTTCACCTTCGGTCCAGCGTATCGAAATTGACCCTACTGAGCTGGCAGATGACGATATCGAGGCCGATGAGGGCTACGACGAAGGATCTGAGGAATTTCCCTGGCTGGGCGAGAAGCCTTCGAGTGGGCTTACTGGAGCCCTGAGGAACCAAGGCATTCTCAGCTTCACTACATCTGCCGAGGCGGCTTTGCGCTGTCCCAAACTTGTACGGAACGTCCCTCGCATGCGGAAGCGGACGCATAAGAAGAAGGAGCACAGACTCCGAACGTCGAGGGACTCGGCCCGCGAGCTGAGTCAATTGCGGGCGCCCACAGCGGATGCATCTTGATAACGAAGCAAGGCACACAAGCAGCAGCACAGCCGCTTGATCTCATCTATACCTCCCCCACCTTGTACTCTTGCCTCTATCACAAACAACGACTTAGACACGACATTACGCGGCGTTTTGGGCATTACACATTGCATTTACTATACGGATTTTCTGGCACAAGCCAGCTCTTCGCTTCTCATCTTGTTGTTTTTTCACTACACATTTTAGCGGGTTACAGAAAAAAATGATGTCAACGTTCGACACGTGCAATATACACCGGCGTTTTATCTCTTTATTTTATTTCATTTTCTTGCCTGGCTCTTCTCCAAAGTCCGCAGAGCATTGGCACCCTCTTTGCATGTCCCGGCCTAGAAGAGGGGGACTCACGAGCGACTGGATTCCCTGTGTGCCGAACAAAGATTTGGGACTGACTCGTCCCGTGCAGGCGGGGAGGAGGATGGCGTAACATGGGAGGATCCATCCAGGTGCATCTTGGTAAAGGGACTGGGTACGGCGTTTTTCCGGATATGCAGGCTGGGATGCTTTTTGGGACTGGGAACAATCTGTTGGACAGGACGTGGCCTGACTGGGCGGCGCGTGGCCTCGATCCCCCACGCGGGACAGGATTGAAGCTTGCTTATGGGCTACTCTAGGTAGCTGGATGTATATAATCGGTATTGGCTGCTCTGCGGAATACATGCTCGTACAAAGCACATGCTCTCTCCATGGAACCAACCCCTCGTATCGTATCCAATACTGTGTGCATGTACTCTGATCCTTTTGCAACGTCGACCATTCTACTTAGTACTAGGTAATGCTCCGTCCTCTTACATGACATGTGCATGCTCTCCGCTGCCGCCTCCGTCCTCGTACATTGACAGGATTAGGATTACTTACTCGGTCCACGTGGTGCCAGCGTTTACTGCCCTCTGTGTTCCCACCCAGATGCAGCCAGAACCATCGTCCCCCGGCGCTGAATCGGCCGCTCCGACACGGTTGGATCGCAGGTGTCTCCGTCCATCTGGCCGGCTGATGCGATACCGCCAGCTTGGACTCGGGACAGGTACCTGCTCCATCCTGCTAGCACTGGTGTTGGCGCTTCGGCTCTGGTACTGCCGCTGATTGGGCACCGCTGGGCGCCTCTAAGTTCTGACTACAGCAGCCTCAGCGGCACCTTTAGCACCCAAACCCTGCTGAGTTGCAGGCGGTGAGCGCGTACAATGGCTGCCCGGGGTTTGATCTCCATCTCTACCGAAGTTGATTTGCCACTGACAGCTCCTAGCTGGGGCTCTAGTTTCATTGCTGATCACATCAACGTCCAACTTCACTTCTTCACCTCCGTTCTTTTATGACAGCACAGTTTGCTTCCCGTTGCACAACCCCCGGCCACTTCTGTCCAATCAGCAGGCATCTACAACATGCAAGTCGTGGAAGGAGAAGACAACCAACGAGCCCAACATCCGTGGCCGCAGCTGGGGTCTCCTTTGTTGTCACTTCTCCCTTTGACGGATACGTGACGGGTGCGTGACGGGTGCTCCCCAAGATCCCCAGGAAAGGAACGGCCGTTAGATTCGAGATCGAGGCCGCTTCACAGGTCGTGTAACTCTAGAGCACAGACGTGGGATTGGCGTGTCTCTCACCAGGGAAATTGCTTTTCTCCTTCACCACGTGCTGGTGCCGTTTCTGTGAGACCTTGCCCCTGCGGCCTTCTTATTCCTCTTCTTTTTCTTTCTAATCTCCCTCATGGTGTGCCCTGCTTGCGAGGACCGAGTGATCCTTGCGAGGCGGACTGCCAGCATCAGACGGTGTCAGATGAACCGGTAAGCTTCCGAACTTTATGGGTGGGTTCTGAATGACTACCATACAGCCTTGGACGATCGATTGCCCCCCGCGGAACGAAGAATTAATGGTTCCTCTTGTCTTGAGAGACATTCCCCCCTACCTGTCCAGGGGACTGCCGCCCTTTGTCTACAAACTTTGCAGCTGCCTGGCCCCGCTCAGCCTCATGGTGCAGGATGGCTTTCTCCCTGTAGGGCGGCCGTTGACTTGGCAATGACATTCGTTACTGAAACATTGCGCCCCAGAATCGTGGGCATGGCCCTGATGTTCCATTTTCCGGAGCCAGAAACTTCAGCTGCGCGAGATGACAAGGAGAAAAGATCGGCACTTGCGAGGGCCATTGAAAGAGCTGGCTGCAAGTGCGCCAAACCTGCGAAGCCAAGTCGGCAATTGCTTCAAATGCAGGGCAGAGAGGGGCGGACAAGCAACTTGGACGAAGTTGCCTCACCGCAGCCGCTATGCAGGGTGGCCAGTGCCATCATCTTATCAGAGCGGTGCTTCGTTTCATCTTGTGTACGATGTTCATTTCTCAATATGCATGTTTGAGGCCTGGCGCACTGGCCGATCCGAGCGAGCCTGTTGCTGCTACCATGTGGTCATGTTACTCTCATGCAAGGTACACCCCACACGCATGCATGGTGGTTTGGAACACCAGATCGCGGCGGCGACATATGCCTCTTTGTCTTATTACCTTGCTGCTCCATACTCTTCCCACCTTAGCATCGCTTTGGCTGTGGACCATGAGCTACTAGCGGGATGGCACATGATGAGCTCGTCTTAATTGTGGCAACAGAGCTGGGGCAAGGCAATGGAATGCGTCACCACGGCCCCGTGCATTCCTCTTCCGTATGGGGAAAACTCGGCGAGGAACGAAGAGCTATGGTTGCTGTGGTATCTTTCCGGAGAGTTGCTTGGTTTGGTTTGCAGCATCACCGTTTAGTATAGATGGGCTGTTTAGTTAATGAATCTGATTGCGCTCCGTGCTTGAGAAATGGGATGCTCGACACACCTCCTTCTCTCCGACCTTGTCCTTCTCTCTTCTTTTCTCTCTCTCACCAATCCTCTCTTTTCCAAAATCTGATTCTCTGTCTTCGAGACGCAACTCCACTCATTTGCTTCTCTCAGTCACCTATTCACTCTCGCAGTTAAGCTTTTCTCCCTGTATGATCGAATCCGGCCAACACCAACGGCACCCCCCCATACAACATTTGGCTTCACTCACCTATCAAGCCCACATCATTGTGATGAGCGAATCTGGATACTAGCCGGATCCGTCAACAGATAATCAACCCGCCACTCCCGAATCCGAGACTCTCGCCACCACGAGCATCATCCAATGGCTTTCTGGACGGCACCGTTCCGGGTCGAGCCTACCGTCGATAGGGACGCCAATATGTTTTGGCAGGGGGCAGACGGGCTGCCGTCTGATGCATCGAGCGATCTATTCGGACAGTTTGTGGACTTTGACGGAGATAGTATTGCCAGGACTCCCGTCGATGATGGGCGTAGCGGGAACTCGACGATAGGGAGCGTACCGGATTCGTTCTTCATGAACCAAGCGGCCACAGGCACTGCCTCTTCAGTCGTCTCCTCGGCTGACGAATTCGATTTCTTTTCCACCACTGCGGCAAACCATGGCCTGGATGCCCAGGAGCTTGCTTTCGGAGTAGCTGCCGATCCGGCTACCGGCGGAGCTCATCAATTCAACCATCTCAGTCGCAAGTCCATGTCGGAGACTGAGCTCCAACGCCTTGAAAACATCTCCCTCCACTCTCCGCAGAAGAACTCTTCTGTCTCGCGCCCGCCGTCTCCCACGCCGCCCAACACCTCTACCCGGAGGCCAAAGAAGCTGGTCGAGGCACTGTCCTCTACTATCCGCAAGGCGACCACCCTTGGGAGAAGGAGCAGAAAGCAGCAGCAGCAGCAGCCTCCGATAGAGAGGTCAGCGTCCCCTACACTAGACCATCCTCCCATGGCCATCAAGTCTCGAGCCGCACGGATGCACAGCATAGCGCAGAGCAGCGTGAGCAGCGTCTCTCACGAGAGCCCCTCGCCCACATCCTACGACCCCGGCGCCTCGTCCTTTATACACGGCTTCTGCGATGATCCGTTTGCTGAGCCGCCAAGGGTATACCACTCTCCGAGCATGCAGTACTACAACCATGGCGGCATGGATCCTACGCCCATGCACTCTTCCAACCGCCGCATCAAGAGCGAGCAGCATCTGTATCAGGCAGCTTCAAGCATGATGGGTTCCACCACCACCGTCGATGCCACTTCTCAAGCTCCGCAGCAAGCTGGCTGGCAGCAGCAAATGATGACGGCCTCGGCGCCGGAGCCTTGGGGCAGCACCGACTACGGGGCGAGTCAAGATTCCGCCTGGTGGGATCTCAACATCAACGCCAGCATGAACCAGGCCATGCATTCGCAGCACGGGGAGTTGCCATATGAATACGCCCCTATACCAGACACGGGGGCCGCAGGCCTTATGATCCACATGCCCCAGCCTCGGCCCCCGCAGCCTGCCGTCGTCAACGACATTGGGCTCACCGCGCAGACATATCTGCCGCCGCCGCCACCCATCCCAACCGACCGCTGCAGCCGGCCTCCACGAGCTCCATCCTCGGGAGCCCGTCATCGCAACCTGTCGTCGTCGCCCATGCGCAAGACCCGCGGTCCCTCGGCCTCGCCCACGCCCGCGCAGGCCCAGATGCGCAACCAGTCCCGGCACAGCTCCACGGGGTCCATCTCCTCCGTCCGCAGCGCCTCCGGCCGAGGCCCTGGGTCCGCGCCAAACACGCCGGGGGGCGTCCGCAAGCGTAGGTCGCGGGACGCCGGCGCTGGAAGCGGCATCGGCCTCGCGGGCGACGGCATAGGCTTTGTCAATTTCACGCCCAACGACGGGAGCATCCTGATGACGGGCGTGGCGCCGAGCGGGAGCTCCAAGACAAAGGCCCGGCGGGAGAAGGAGGCCCAGGAGAAGAGGCGGAGGCTGAGCGAGGCGGCGATGAAGGCCGTGGCTGCAGCGGGAGGAGACGTGGATAAGTTGATACAAGAGGGCTTTGTGTTTTAATATGTGTACCATATTTTCCTTTCCTTTCCTTTCCTTTCCTTTCCTTTCCTTTCCTTTCCTTTCCTTTCCTTTCCTTTCCTTTCCTTTCCTTTCCTTTCCTTTCCTTTCCTTTCCCTTCTCTATCCTCCGTTTGTTTCCTCTTCTTTTTTGCTTTATTCTTTTATTCTCTTGTTTCGTAGTTCACGTCGAGTACCGTTGTTCTATCTCGCCAGCTCTAAAATAAAGGGGCATGAGATGCGAAACCCTCGCTCCGCATCTCATGTACAACACATGATACCACCCCCCTCCTCAAAACACTCTTTTTCACACATCATTTCCTTTTTATTTTTCTCAACTTCTTTTTCACTCTATTTCCAATTCACTTAACCCTTTTTTAATTACAGTGCTGCCTATAAAGTGTAGACAACGCACTCCTTTTGGGCCTCTTGCTCATTACAATTTATATTTTTCCTTTGTTTGCTTCTCTTGGTTCGAAAAAATCCTTTATTTCTGCGATCAAGGCCGGAAAAAAAGCGGTTTCTCTTTTTTTGGAACATTTCCCCCTCTTTGACTTTTCTTTTGCTTGATTCTGGGCTATCTGGTTTAAATAAGACTGTCATTACAACTATAGTGATTCAAGCGATTCAATAAAACAACAGGAGGTTTATCGGGGTTAAATGATAACCAGAACAAAAAAAAGGGGGGGGGGAGAGTGATCAAGCAATAGCAAGGAATCGTGATACCACATGTATGGCGTCGGATCTAGAATATTCACTCCTTGTCACAGGAATTGTTTCTTTAGCCTTATCTATTATTATTTGCTCTCAAATCAATATTCGCATTGCATTACTATTTCATATTCTTCATAGACATGGACAAGTACTAGCGTATTCGAATTTGACCTTTATTGTTGTAACATTATCCTACAGCACGAGGAATGGATCTCCCCCAGATGCTCGTTAGACCTGTGGCCTAATTGTGTTTCACATAAATGATGAAATGATAGTCCCAACCTCCGCTGTCCTAGCCCCTTATAAATGATAGGCGTATATACAAAGGAGCAGAACCAAAGAGGATCAAACGTAAAGATGAAGTAAAAAGCAGTCATTGTACCTCAACGCCAAACACATCCCTACAAACGCCATCATGTCTCCTAGTTCTCAGTGATATCAGTTCCCTCCCGGTCGTTACATGGAGTTATCTTCTGAATCAAGAACCTGCCGTCACTACATATTCCCCTTTGTTTCATTAGAGAGTACTCTAGTGGTCATAACCTGCACCGCGTTGCCAGGGGCTAAAGAGAAGAGTTAGCCAAGGATTGTGAGATTCCTGTGTGAAATTGCAATGATGCTTACCTAGCATTGTGTTGCGACCGATATCCGCTTGCCGGACTGGCCGTGTTCGCTGTCCGCTGTTGTGCCAGGGAGACACCAGAGGCGATCGGATTCGGCGCGCTCTCTCGCAGAGGGCTCGGTCCTCGCTGGGGGGCAGGGTAAAGGGGAATGGCAGCGTTGGCCTGGCCCTGACCGTTGGGATAGAAGGAGTTCTGAGAGTTTGTAGCAGAGACGCTGTAAGAGCCAGAAGCCTCGTTGTGCTTTCGGACGTCGCTAGAGGACATAGACTCGTTGTCATCCAAATCAAAGCCGGACTTGTAGCCAAGCTTGTCACCTCGAGCCGTGGCGGCCAGAGCATCAAGTTCGGTGGTTGCGTTCAGCTGCGATTGCGATTTCATGAAGGAGGCGCGGTCGTCAGACATGAATTGGTAGCGCGCATCCGGGTTCTTGCGGATCAGAGAGAATCCAGTGGAGAAAATGACCATGAAGAGCAAGATGACGCAGAAGGCGGCGTTCAGGATGAAAAGAACAACGCCGACGACGCCGACAACTAGCAAGGGGGCGTCGAACACATTGGTGAAAATGAAAAGGAAGATGGCGTTGAGGAAATTGATGACGCCAATGGCAATGTTGAAGGAGTTGGTGCTCTTATCCATCCAGGGACGAAGGACGGAGGCTGCGATGAGGAAACCGACTTCGATGATGATGAGACTGATGGCCTGTGTGACACCGCTGCGCTGAGCCAGTGCAATGAACATGGACTTGATGAGCGTGTAGAAGAGAACCGGGATGATGAAGTAGTAGGCCGAAGCACGGAACTGGACGTAAAGGAATCCCCACTTGTTGAGAGCCTGCGGGTCCGAGAACAGAATGTACGCGGGATTGCGATGCATGGAGATTGAGCGGCGGGCAATGCGGATGACCTTGCTGGCGCCCCAGGCGAGGGTAATGAGCGGGCCGAAGAAGAAGAAGACGGCAAGGACGACTTCGGCGGCCGAGTCACGCTGAGTAAACTCCCACAGGCAAAGTATGGTCATTTGGGGAAAACCAATGAGACAGACGCGGAAGAGGATGCCCTTGAGGACAGTAATCCACCCGTTTCGGAATTCAAGGAATCGGTCGTTCTTCATGATGCCGCGCTTAGCAAGAATCTCGAGGAAGCCCTTGAAGGCAGCAACAGCGCCGGCAACGATGAGGGCAAAGATCCAGAAGAAGACTAGGCCAGTCATGAACAGGTTGGTGCTCTCGATGCCGGCCTTGAAGGCGACACGCTGGATGCCAAAGACGACGTAACTTCCAGAACCAGTCATGACGTTGCCGCGCTTCAAAAGCTGAACAGCAGGCTTGGGCATCATGGCCACGCCGCGCTTGATGAGGCTGAGACCGGCCTCTGCGACCTGAAGGCCTCGCTTCTCGAGCTGAACAGACACAGTGGTGAGAGAGTCGAAGATGGTAGAAGGCGTACCGCCAGTAGCGCGCTGATACCAGGTGAAAATGGTCTGCATAAAGCCCACACGGATGATGCCCATGGACCATTGGAAATCTTGGGTCCAGGCCTGCACGATAGGCGGGAGGCGGATACCGGTAAGACCGATAATGGCCTGAGCCTGGAAGTAGCCGAACAGCGATAGAGAATTGGCGGCAACGTGGGCGGCAGCGTTGGAATGACCCAGACCGTTGATGATGGCGGATGAGACGAGGGCCAGGCCGGCGATAACAGCAGTGGCCCACTTAACACCAACGAGGTTGACGGTTTTTCCATTGGAAATGTCGGCCTCGACACAAGCAACACTCTCGCCAGTGCCCGTCAGGTTGACGCGAACCTTGACGGTGGCGTCCAAGTCGGGAACATGGTAGGCAATGCCGGGAATTTGAGAGGCAGCGGATGCGCTGACGGGCAAATTAAAGCCAAAGGCGATTTTGCCAGAGACCATGGGGCAGAGACCTCGGAGTCCAATATCGCAGGGATCAACAGTCTGCCTGAGAAAGGTGTAGCCGTACGCAGAGGCCTCGATGTCGAACGAGACCTTGCCCTGGACCGAAGAGGTGGCCACCATGTTGATGCTGGCCGAGTTGTTGCTGGGTGTGTAGACGACATTGAACAGACTGGCCTGCAGGGTGGAATCCTGCTGGCAGAGGTTGAGCGAGTTGGACAAGAGCATCCTTTCCGCGTCGGCCGGCGACAGCAGCGAAGCCGTCATGGCCAGCAAGGCCAGCGGCGCCCTGAAGAACGACCGCATAGTGATGGTGGTTAGCGCTTTGACGTCGTCTTTTTGCTCGGAATGCAGTCGACGCTTTTCTCGCGAGTCGCAGATGAATCAAGGGCTGTTTCGGGGTCGTCCTTCGAGGCTGATGACGAGGGGAAATTGAACTGAGCGGAATACGAGGTCAGACGTGAGAAAGCCGGTGACCGTGTTTTTTGCTCTGTCGCTTCCGTCGGCAAAATGGGCTTTTGAGCGCAACCACTTTGAGCGCCTTTGGAAGCAGTCCTTTTCGACGATTTCGAGCTTTTGCGACCACAAGAACGAGTTGCTGAACGGCGCCAAGAAGCGCAGTTTCGTGATGCACGGGTCGATGACGAAATGGGCAGATCTGCGGAGCGAGAGAGATTCCCAGGCCTGGTCCGTCCGAGGCGAGGAAACGAAACAAAATAAAAAAATAAAATAAAAAATCGGAAAAAGGTAGCGAGCAGTTGCCGATTACCACGGAAGTGGCCAACGGACAGAGGGCGGATGCGTCGGCGCCAAGAGGGAAACAAAAGCGAATGGATGGTCCTGCGGCAGCGAGCGAGTGAAGGAGAGAAGAGGAAGCATTCGCGAGGATTGACTGCTGTCGACGCTTGATCTTGTGCCGCTTCCCGCTTTTCCTGGAGACAGATCGCAGCGTCGACAGTGGACGGTTTTAGGGAGCGGGGGCGCCAATCAGGGCCTACGAGCATTACGAGCTCGGGGCTCTACAGGGCTGTACGAGTACTGTGCTGTGCTATGTAACCAGCCACCGTGAGCAGCCAGGCCCTCAATTTTCTGCGGGTAAAAACGATGGACTGGACTCTACTCAAGGGAGGGAGAGACTCGATTAGTGCTTTGGAATTCTGCCTATACTCGATTCTATTCTGCTACAGACTGTACTCTGCACGGAGCATCCACGCAAAATGGGGTCGCGCGCCCAGAATAGAATGCCTAGCCAGGCCCCAGAAGGGTTCTCTCGCTGCGGATGCTGCCAATCAAGCCGCCAATCGACCAGGGCCCCGATCAATAAGCAGCAAAAAGCAGCAAAAAGCAGAAGCCAAAGCTCCAGATGGCACCACAACGGACCCATAGCGTTGGATGGAGCTTCGCGGCGTTACTCGTGTTGGGCATGCGGGGTACATGCCCTTGGCGCGGCCACTCCACACGATCCGAGGTACCAAGCCGGCGCATCTAAAGTCCCTCCCCACTGGGAATGGGCCCGTGGAATCCGTCTGGGTAGGGCCAAAAACGAATCCGTTGCAAGCATTTTTACGAGAAAAAACTTGAATCCGGCCGTGGACAAACGTCATCGGGCGAGAGCAGATCTTTTTTAATTCTTTACTCGATGCCCGACTAGGGATTTGCGTTTACGTGTATTGCCTTACCTGGCAGTCCCTGTACAGGCAAGAGAGTGGAGAGGGAATCATCCCATTATCTATTTGGTCGTCCATCCTCACGACTTCGTATTAGAATCCCAGCGGCAAATGGCACAGCACTGTAACTCGTATACGGAGTAATACCCTCAACAAGTCCATCTGATGCACCCAACCAAAAGAGCTAGTCCTTCACAACACCATCTGACACACAAATTCCGTAGCGCAACCACTGCGATGCATGCGCTCTCCCCAAGTGGCTCATTCCAATCAAAGTCGCCGGAATGCTGCCCCCTTTTGTACCTCAAACCCGGAACAATAAGAAGAAGAAAAATTATAGCACCAAAATCCCTTCGCTGGTGGCGAGCCTCATCGATTTGCGCACGTTTTCGAACGACCCATTACGGCTCCCTTTCGAATTCAAGGCCTTGGTAGCCTCATTGCTTCCCGTGGCGCAGCAAAACAAAGTTAACATGAAAATACCTTGGCGCCCCCAAATCCCTGTGATACGACATGGAAACGTGCTTCTCATCTCTGCTTTCTTTCTCAGTCTCATAGATGCATCTCGCCCTTTGAAACACGCTCCCTGCGAGCAAACAATAGTCTCTTCTCTGCCTACGGTGATCACACTGTCACTTGCGCCTGAAACAGGAGGGTGTGAAGCAATCGTGAGTCGTCCCGATATTCGTGAAACAAAGAGAAGACAAACATGTCCATAAGTTGGACGATTGATTGCTTTCACACCTGGTTTTGGTTAATCAGCCGCCTACCCTATACCATTGTGAAAATTTACCAAAACGGATAACAAAAGATGTCAACGATGCTCGTGGACATTGGCAAAATGCTGTGATATGCTCATGGGCTTTTGCATGAGAAAAAATAACCTTGAATGCTTTTCAAAACAAACGCTCAGTCTCTTCGTATATGTCATACATAGTGCCTTGCCCGATCCCGCGTAAATGCATCCAGATTCTATCTACAAATTACCCTTTCCACCCAAAAGACAAAAACAACCCGCCAAAAAGATGTAACCAGAAAAATAAAAACCCAAAGCGATAGCCTTAAAGAACATCCCACTGAATGTTCCACGGCTGAGTCCCCTGATTCAAACTAATGCCATGCTTATAAGTGCTAATCAGCTCTTCCTGATCCACGCCGCAGTGCTTCTGCCCATCTCGTCCGACAAACCACCCCAAGCCGTACGTCTTGTCCTCCCCGAGCCTCTGCCGCACCTGCGACGCAGTGAACTTCTCCGTGCCGACAAAGTCGTAGAGCATCTTGCTCTGGTGGATATAGGCCAGCACCGAGGCAATGGTATTGGGCTGACGCGGCAAGAAGGGATGTCGTCGGCGGAAAAAGACGACAAAGGCAACGGTGATCATGTAGAGCAGGATGAAGAGCGACAGTGCAACAGATACGTAAAAGGACTTGACCGTCTCCGTGCCAGAGTTAACTTCCCAAGTCTTATTCCCGTCATTGTAGACCAGCAAAAAGTCGTGTCCGTCAACCGTTGCCAGACCCGCCACGAGAACGGTCAGGAACTCGGCCATTACGCTGCCAAAGCCGACGAAAAACACGAGCAAATGGCCATTCAAGAGCGCACGCACCGCCATGTAGCCAAACGGAAGCGCCGTATAATCCAGAAGCAGCGTCTTGGCAGGCGCGTGCCGCCTGGAGAGGATATAGTAAGGCTCCATCATGCGAACCGCCGTCTCCATGCCGCCCCAGGCCATTTTTAAGCAGACAGCAAGCACGGTAACGACCCAGGGCGCCTTGTCTGTGACGATGGTAGCAGGTGTAAACAAGAACACCGGGATAAATCCGGTAAAGAGGAAAAGGCCGACAATCATGGAGATGATGCCCACCGAGCGAAGCAGGACGGGGTGCGGGTTTGCCGGGAGATCGTGGTCGTTGAACTTTTCCTTCTCTTTGGCAGTCACCACGAACGAATCGTCAGGGGCGAGGGACGAATTGCGGAGCACGTAGCGGTTGTACTTGAGCCGGTTATGGATGTCGCCATGAGAGGCGGTATCCATGTCCTTGAAGTCCATGAGAATGTGGCTCACCACGGCCATAGATGCGAGACCAGCAATTCCTCGGACATCGGACAGGAGGCCAGACTTGCGCGACTGCAAAAGATATATCAAGAGGCAGCCCAGCACAGCAATCACGCCGAGGGTCGCCGTCAAGAGCCGTGACCAGACAGAATTGAAGTTGAGCGTCTTGTATCCACCTGGGTCGGCCATTCGCTCGATTCGGGATGGGCTGAGCACGACAGCAGCGGCAGCAAAGGTCGGTACCAGTGATACAGCCAAGATGGTTGCGATAGATGACACGGCCACAGCAAAGTGGCCTTTCCTTATGGCCCGAAACGGTCGGAAAAAATTGAAGCTGGTCGCGTAATCAATGTTGATAGAGTCCGAGGCCACCGCACCATCCTCCTTGGAAAGCTGGTAGAATGCTTCCAAGCGCCGCACCTCAAAGTCGGTAAACTGCCACAAGACTCCGAAGATGACAGCCAGCAGCGTGGGTGCAAACTTGATGACAAAGTAAACGCCCTGTTTCACCTGGTCGGGGGATGTGAACTTGACTAGTGGCTCCTTTTTATACATTTGAAATAGAACCTCTTGCATGACGGCCAGGGCTGCCGAGATGAGGACCAGTGAGGTGAGATATGGCCATCGCATGGAGAAGGGCTTCCAGTTGGGCTGTGGATAGAAAGTCTGTGTCATCTTCTCCTTGACTGGGTATGTCGACTGTCGCAAGCCAGCAGAGGCAATATTGGGGCCCTCAATGTTGCTTAAATCAGCTCCCACCGGCTCCTCCATGATGACCTGGATGACCTCGCCGCGGCGGTTGGCCTCGTCCTGGCCCATATGACGCAGCGTCTCGGCACGATTCAACTTGCTCGTGTTCCGCCGTGAAAAGGATCGCGAAAGGCCGCGCTGGACCGAGGGCGCCGAGAAAAGTTCGCCGCTGTGTACCTGAGTGCCCGCACGGAATCCCTGGCCTAGGCCTCCGGTCAAGTGCCCCTTGGCCTCCTCCTCTTGTAGTTTCTTGATGAAGGCGTCGTCGTGCGAGCCAAGTGGCCCAAGAGTTGCTGTGAAATCGAATGCTGGCACGGTGTCATACTCTTCGTCTTGCTCGTGTATAGCCTCATAACCACCCCGCGATTTCGATGTGCCCATGGGTGCCGCGGATTTAAGCAGAGATAGGTCATATGTCTCCTCCTCTCTGATGCTCTCGGGAACCGTCTGCTGCACCGAAGAGTAGCTTGGCTTCCGGCTCCCCTTAGACAGACCCCTTGTGGGAGGAGCATATCCCCCACCACCAGCGCCAGAGTAAGCAAACGAACCAGACCACGAAGAAGCTGGCGAATAGCTCCGAGGCAAGTCTCCATAGGCAGTCGACGGCACTGAACTTCGACGGTCATATTCAGAGTCCATCGACACTATGGACTCACGCCCCCGCAGCGGATGAGAGGCATCGTCAGGGTCGTACCGGCTGTCCTCGCCGGCATCAGAGAGGCCGGAAACTTTATGTGAAAGATGTTGGTCCGGGCTTGGCCCCGCCCACGGGTCTCTGAAGGGCTCTCGGCCTTGATAGTTATTATGAGCCATGGTGTTGCGAGAGAGTCATTGCCGACGGGATGGTGGAAACTGGGGAAAGTCACTAGTGAGAGCTGTGACCTTGTTTGTTTGTTTGGTCAAGACGGTGAACGGCGGCAGTTGCTGTTGCTGTGGTGCGTGCAGATATGAAAAAGGAGGCTGCAGCTGATGGCTAGGGCTGAGGCTGGGGGTGCTGCAAGTAGGCGACAAACAATGACCAGAACAGCCAACGCGATAGTCACAGGCAACGGGGGATTGAATGGGAGAGGAAAAGGAAGAAAGACAAGAGACGGAACGAACGAAGAGAAAAGTGGAAGAAACAGACTCAGCTACCTAGGCAGTAGCTAGCTAATCAAGTCGGCATATGGAGGATCATCAAAGTCCGGCATCGCCAAGTCAAGTTGTCAACCGGGCAAGGGTGGGGTTCGAGGTGAAATCAAATGTTTAGGTCATGTTGGTAATGGCCGGGCCACCGACGAATAAAACCAGGAAACCCTGTACTCGTCCTACGTAGGGCTGGTTGGCTGCCGGTCATGCTCCAAGACGTAAAATCCGGCGTCGTGCTACGAGGACTCGTAACTGTTCCCGGTTAGCAGCAGAAGCGCAGTTCAGCTGCTGCGGGATCCCACCTCCCACCGTCCGCCCCCAAAAGATTCGCCTTGGTTTGGGAGCGTCTATTGCGCCAAATCCGCCTGATAGCTCAACCTTTGAACTAATAGCCTGCTGCAGCCCCTGGACCGCAGCCCAATCACAGGGCGCCATGGCCCTCCATGCTTAAGCGGTGGTCGGCGTCTGTTTGCCGCTACACGGCGAGCACCAGACTCTCCTCTGCATCGTGATTTGAGCCTCACGGCGGCCTCTTTGTGGCGGAGGGATTTCAAGGGGTCGGCAAGCCGAACTCCCGTTTTACTTGTTCTTCTTTGCCCGCGCGCATCGCAAACGGTGAGATTATAGTGCGCGATGGGATAAGGGATAATGGGGGATTGTCAGTACAAATCACACATTGTCGCAGAGAGAGAGGCAAAACGCCAGCGTTCGTTATATATAACTTTGTCACGTAAGCGTCTTTTAATTAGAATCCTGAATCAGGACCGCTTATTCAGCATCATCTGAGAGGAGACGGATGTCCATGATCCGCAACCCTTCCTCCATGTATTAATGCGCGACAACACCCTTTGCTGAGCTAAAAAGTCTAGGTTCCCATAATAAGTGACAACTCCGTGTCATAATCTTTCTTCCCATTGCCGAGACTCCCAATTCAATGCCGCGCCGTGTCCCCGAACCAATGTCGGTGCTATTCCGAGATATATAAAGAACATCAAAAGGAAATGAAGCTGTCATGCAACATGCCAAAAAAACAAATGAACAACTAGACGAAAAGGGCAGGTTGATGGATCATAGCATCAAGAATGCTGACGCAAGCAAAGACATGACGCCGGCCCAACTCAAAAACACGCCTCTTGCACCGCCTATCAGAGCCGAAGCATCGCTCGACTGCACCTTGCCGCAGCACGTGTTGTTGTACGTGACGTTGTTGAGTCTGGCAGCCGCCTCAAATACGGATCCCGCCGGCGTGCCGTAGTTGTAGTAGTCCACATTGAGGATGTTGGGCGCGCGGCCCCAGTCGGTACGGCAGTTGTTGGCGGCCAGACCTACACTGCCGTAACCCGAGGCTGCGTTGGTCTCGTTGAGCAGCGAGACGGCCGGCACGAGCAGCTCGAGGCTGAAGACGTTGAACTCGGCGTTGAGGTTGTGGTTCATCAGGTACAGTCGGTCCTGGGCTGCCTCAGTGGACAGATCCGGAGGACGCTGAACGGTGCAGGGAAACGAGCGGTCCACAGGATCAAAGGGTGTCTCCCACATCTGCGAGAACTCATCCATCAGCCAGGGGTAGGCCGTCTGGTTGGCCTTGTAGTCGAGGAACATGACGACACGGTTGCCATGGATAATCATGTCCTCCAGCGTCGGCCAATCCTCCAAGGCCATGGGGAAGACGGTGGGCGTGAAGGTGTACTTGAGGATGCCCGTCTGCTCAATGTAGGGCACGTAAATGGATGGGTCCGAGTAGTTGCCGTTCTCTAGCAGGACGGTGACGACGTCGTACGGATGCTGGTCCACCCACTCTGCCACTTGGCTTAGCCAGTCGGTGATGGGCCCGGCGTCGAGGAGATCGCACGTCGTATGGCAAAAGTGCGGCACGGAGCTGTTGGCCGGAAACTGCATCTGGGCCTGGAGGAAACGCACGCCATCGTCCAGCTGCATCTTGACTGGCAGCTCCTGGTTTGACCCTGAGTTGCCCGGCCGCACAAAGGGTGAGTTGTGGCAGCCAACCTGCGTGATGTTGCTGAACTTTCGTGTGCAGAGCTCGACATGGTTATTGCATGGCTGCGTGTTTGTTGGTTGTGGAACTGAGGCCGTTGCCGTGAGATTGGCGCCCGTGGTGAGCGAGCCCGTCGGGAAGCTAACGGTGAGGGAGCTGGAGCTGGTCACGGAGCTGGTCCCCGTGTGGGTTTTGGAGCCTGCGAGGGTGATCTTGGAGTGGTATGTCGTATAGACACCGGTAGGTATGGGGTCGCCGCCCACACGCTGCGTTTTGGTACCCTGATAGAAGGTGAGTCCTGTCGTGTCCGAGTACGACACTTTTTGTGCACCGGCAGCCTGTAACAGCAGCGCCAGAGCGCCAAGGGCTGCGTAGGGAACTCTCATCCTGTCTCAATCAATTGGTGTTGTTGTTGAGCCTGAGTACTCAAGCTTGCTCGATCCAACCTCCTCCAGCAGCACAGCCGAAAGTGATGCCTTATCTTATCAACGAATTAAAGATTTAGCTTCCAACAACGACGCTGGAGGATAATCAGAGAAACAGAGAAAGTCCGATGTCCGACAATGGATGTCACTGCGGTATGGAATCACCGGCAGCAAAGTCCGGAAGCCGTGCCGAGAGGCGTTTCCGCAACGGGGCAGTGGTAGCTTCGGGCTCGTACTCGTGGGTAGAGAGAAGAAAAAAACGGCGATCGGCAGACAGCTCAGAGCTCACCCACTTTTGGAGCTCGTCGTCGTCATCAATCAGATGTGAGCAGATAAGTCGAGGACAGCCCCCAATGGGTGTCACAGCCACTCTCCACTCGAACGCGGAATAACGAAACCCAGCCAACCAGTCGAGTCTTGGCTTCGTATTGAGAGGCAGGCAGCAAGACAATTATAGATGGTGAATTGAGAAAAAGCCCGGGATGAACGGAGAAGTTGGGGAGGAATAGGAATAGGAAGAGGAAGTGGAAGTGGAAAGAGAGAAAGAGAGGGAGAGAAAAATGAAGAAGAAACAAAGGTGGTGGAGATGATGGGCCGTGAAACCAAGATATGAGCTCCCCAGCGTTTCCACCCTCTCGCTTCTTGTTTGGCTTGTTTCGATCTCCACGTTTCTTTGGCGAGCTCCTTTATCGTCCTGTGAAAGAGCCAGAAAGGGACCACGCACGGGAGTTTTAGAAGCTGAAGCTTTGCCTAAGATCTGCGAACTGGATCCTGGTGATCGCCTGGAACAAATCATGTCATCCAGGCGGCGCACATCTCATACAAGTATGTACCAACGCCAATAGCAATCCATCGAGCTCTGGACGCAAAGCGCTCTGCCGTAGCGCTCCTTGCTCTGATTCCCAAGCCGTCATTACCAATTACAATGCGGGCGGCTTTCCCTGGCGCTTCCTGTAACATTTGGACGGGGTTGGTCAGGCACTGCCATTGCTTCTCCTTGGCCCCTGGACCCTTGTTCACATGTCTCAGCCCCAAGACCAAGGTTTTTTCCCGGGCCAAGAAAGGCGAAGCGAAGGAGGCGACAAACCTCAGATTGGCCAAGCTGCAGCTCCGTATCTCGCGCAAGCTGAGAGCACTTTTTTTTTTCTTGTCTAAATTCCGATCCGCATTTGTCTCCCAGGCAGAGACACCAGAGTTTCTCATTTCGCAGCTAGCCGTGGGTCAGGCGTCTATCATTTTGTGGGCATGGGCTCGCCTAATGATCTCATCACACGGGAGTCTTTGTTCACGTTTTCTTCGTAGCGAGCGTTGTGCATGAAAATGCAACATTCTTGTAAGCATGCCGCCGAAAGAGAGTTTTCTGGCGACAGGTCCGGTGCTGGACTTTAGACGGACTCAAGCAATCAAGGTGGGTGTTCCTGATCATGAGGCGAAGCAGAGACAGAAGCCGGCGGGGGCAGACACCCTTCTTTCGGCACTCTCGCTCCGATCTGCCGGGCTGTGGCGGACTAGCTTGGCCTGGATGGATGGATTTGCATGCATTGCATTCGTACTCGTAGCTCAGGTAGGTCAATCAATAGTTATCTGACCCGTGGCAGCTCGATAGGGAATACGTGCAACACCAGAGCAGGGCAAATCTGTAATACAGGTGCTACTACTCCGTATATCCATCCATGAACATCCCATGGGTTATCCTAAAAACTGCCGTCTGCTTCACAGGCATCGCCAACTCATCTCCAAGACACTCCAAAGGGGCGGCCAAGCGGAGCCAAGCTCGCCTCCATCCATCCCTGTTCCTCTTCATGTCAGTCAATCTCTCACCCAGTCGTCGGCGCCGCTTCAGGGCCTCGCGCGGGCAGCTAGCCGCTAGGAACAGCGCCTCGTGGGTGGATCGGGTGAGTTGGAGCCCCCTGTAAGTGCCAGCGGATCCGATGCGCCAGGGGGGGTTGCACAACTGGTACTCGTTGCTAACGGCGATTGCTTGCGTCGCCCGCCCCGGTACTGGTACCTGTAGCGCCCCTTGCATTCAGGTGTGGCCCTTGTACTGCGTACCTCTGGATCAACGCCAAGCATGACTGACTCTCGACGGCATTGAATGTTTTGGGCTCCGTTCCCAATTCTGGGCCATCTGATCTCTTTTCTTTTTCTTTTTTGTCTTTCTTTCGTTTCTTTGGTTCGTCATTTCATTTCGTTTCATTCTCCTCTTCTTCATTCGTTTCTTTTGTCGTTTTTTTTCCCTTGTTTCTGTTTCTGTTTCTTTCTTAGCTCTCCTCGCCGTCTCTTCCCCTGCCCTAGAGGCAGCCTCTCTATCCTCTATCCTCTATCCTCTATCCTCTTCATCCCTCGCCCTTCAAAACAATTCCGCCGTTTAGATTCACCTCAAGCCATGGCCATGGCTGTACGAACATACACAGCCATACTTGCTGGCATCTGCTACTTTGTCACAATTCCGTTTCTCATCCTCGTCCTCATTGGCAACACCCACCAAACCTCCATCCTCGAAGACATCTACTTCTTCAAGCTCGACGTCTCCCACATCATTCCCATTTCTGTCGAGAACTCGAACCTGCTCAATTCCGTGGCCCGGAGCCTCGGTCTCCATGACTTCTATCAGGTTGGCGTGTGGAATTATTGTGAGGGCTACAACGATGAGTAAGTGCCGTCTCCAATCTCATTTAGAACGATAGTTTGGACACCTGTACTGACCTTAGTTCTCTCAGAGGCGTAACGTTCTGCTCCCCGCCCAAATCCTTCTTCTGGTTCAATCCCGTCGAAGTCCTTGTCGGTGAACTCCTCGCCGGTGCCCGAATCGCTCTGCCGTCCGAAGTCGTCACCATCCTCACCCTCCTCCGCATCGGATCCCAGGTCATGTACGCCTTCTTCATGTCTGGCATAGTTCTCAACTTCGTCCTCCTCCTCCTAACACCCCTGGTCCTCAAGACTCGCTGGTTCAGCCTCTGCACGTCCCTCATCGGTGCTGTTGCCGGCATTGTCCTCACCGTGGCGGCCGTCATAGCCACCGTCATTAGCGTGGCTGCCAAGATTGCTCTAACGGCCCAGGACCAGCTGAATATCCACTGTGATATCGGCGGCAAGATGTTTGTCTTCATGTGGATAGCCGCATTGTTGGCAGATTTTGCATTCCTTTTGCATGCCGCCATGGGATGCTGTTGCGCACCAGAAAAGAAAAACAGAGGACTCAACTCAGGAGCGGTATCACCGTCCGGGTCGGGCATGCAAGAAAAGGACGACTCCTATTCGATGCCCAACTTTGTCCGTCGCAGAAAGGGCATGTCATGAAGAATTAGCACAAACAAGAAAAAATATGTCGAGTTTTGAATTGTGGTTATTTTGCTTTCGTTTTGCTTTTTAAACGGTCGGATTGGGAGCGTGGTAGGAGATGGTTAACCACTCCAGGAACTCACGGTTGGTTTTGCAGCGCGCAACTGGTTTAGCATGTGAAGGCACCGCACTATACGGGCTTATGGGCACATTTCCTTTTATAAATCTACTACAGACTACATGTTATCAATGGATCCTATGCGGGAGTGGAACGGCATCAAGGGATAGAGGTAAATGAACTTACCAGATACTGGTCAATCAGAGAAGTTAGAACCGGTCAGAGAAATTAAGGCTGGAAGATACAACGGCATATCATAGCCACTGTTCACATCAGGGTACATATAATCTCTGTAATATATGTGATGAATGAGACAGCGTGCCTTGAATTGTTCTATTCATGATGTAGAGCTGCTTGTTCCCACTACTGTTCTCTCCGTTTGGTCTCGTCATCTCGTGTCCTCGCAAGATATGTTGCCCAGGTCCACGGAAGCGCCCATCAACTCCCTTCCCAAGTTCGCCGTGGTTTGTTAAGGATAATATAAAGATTATCTAAGCACCGCCCAGCACGCCCGTCATCAGATCTTCGTCCTCTATATGGGAATCGAAGCCGACACCCGCATCTGCAAGGTCTTTCTCCATTCGTTTGTGCTCGCGAATCAGATGTCGCGCGTAGTCCTTTGTGGAGCCAAGTCGCTCGTTCGTCACTCGGTACTGTTTCGTTAGTACCTGAATGCTGTTATGGCTACGGGCCACCTCGGCCGCAAACTCAGCCTCCGTCATCAAGGCATGTTCTTCGTGAAACGTCACATAGCTTTCCCCAGCCGTGGGTCCAATTTGAAGCTGGCCCTTGAGCATGCCGGATTCAATCATGTCGCTGACCAGCAGGAGAACTTCCTCGTCATCCTTTAGCGTCTCAGCTGTTTGAGCGCTCAAAGTCATCTGCCGGATTTGGGAAATGGAGACTTGGTGGTATATGCGGCGGAGGTTGATAACCTGCCACTTCTGATACGAGACAATCGCCTCTTCAAGCAGTGTCAAGTTCAAATCTTCTTCCCAGGTTGATCGTCCTTTATCAAATTCTTCCTTGAGCGCTGAAGCGCCATCCGTCGTGAACAACGACGCAATAGTGTTATAGGCTTCGCCTACCCCATTGTATGTCGACTTTGTAGCGCTGGTGACGTAGGAAGGGAAGCTGGGAGGTCTTCCTTCTCTTAGCAGCCCTACCAGCACCCACTTTTTGTAGCCGTCCACCATGATTTTGCTCACTGCCTTATCCTTGGTCGGATGCCCAATCACTCGCTCTAATGCTACTTGTGCTTTGGGCCAGTCCTTTCTTGATATGTACACCATGGCTTGGAGGAGGTGGTATTCGAGAATGGAAGTGCTCTTGATGGCATCTGTAAGACTAGCTGAGGCAATGTAGATATAAGGCTCGGCTTCGGCATCGTATAGGTGCTTTGCATTCTCAGGTCGCGCGGGCTGTGAGTTCCGCGGGTAGAAGAGGATGTCGGCATCGAGAACCTTGAGGGCGGGCTCGATACAGTTGGTATCGTAGGCTAACTTCACCATGATCAAGTGTGTTGATGTAAATACGGATCCGCTCGGGTCGATTCGAAGAATTGCGTTTGCCAGCAGTTCCACTGCAACTAGGGGCTGTTTCTGTCAGTGGCTGTTGGGAAGAGAGGTAGATAATACGGCGCTGGATAGGCACTCTTACTGAAAAGAAGCTGCCGAGATCTTCTAGCAACGAACGAAACAGTGCTCCAACATATCGTATCTGTATTGGGTCAAACCCTAATAGGAATCGAACAGCCCCATCTAGTATCAGCGAGCGAGGAATAGTCTCGGGAATAGAGCCGCGAAGGAGGGTATCGATTATCGAAAGGCATCCAATAGAGTTGGTAGAGGGATCGAGTAGCTGGGCAGACGGACGTATCAGCATCGTAGACCAGAAGAAGTGCACGTATGAGTGTTGTATACCTGGAGAGCCTCGACCGGATTGAGTTGGATCGCAGTCTGTATGCTGATGGAGAGCCTTGTTACGCATGCCGCATAGCTTTTAGCGGCGACATCGTAAGCCTTGGGTGACGGGTATACCGCAGGGGATGGAGAAAACTCGACGAAGATCCGTCTGACTTCTTCCATGGTCGAATAGCTTCACGGAACGGTGAAGCCGAAGAGAGAGAGAGAGAGAGATGGGAGGAGCGTGAGTTGGTAGGTATGGGCCGCTGTGAACTTGGTCCTAGGTTCTGACAGTCGCTCGTTTGCTGCTCGTCATGCTCGGAGGAAGCCGGTGGTTAAACAAACGGGATATCGGGGTTTCAGCGTCTCGGCTAGATTTGCAAGGAAAGGCACCAGAGATTTGGAAGCCTATGCAGACCAAGGAGAATGTTGGAAGCAGCTTTGGAGAGGGTGGGCAAACGAATCCGCTGTATGTCACGAAGCTGAGGCGCGATAGTGGGGGAGGATCAAGGTGGGCAGCAGTACCTTAGATAGCGTCAAGTCCGGGATTTAGCCGTGGGGCTCTAGGGAATTGGGAATGTACTCGTACCTCCATGCGTCAATCCAGCCATAAATAGATACATCCAATGAGATCTAAATCACATGTGGGAAGTTTCTGGGCATTAGAATATTCTAGGTACATCTGCTTGATACCAGGTGCTAGAGGAAGGGAGTGGTAGTGGCAGGTACTTGAGGCTGGAACCCAATGGATAGTAGAAGGCAGAAGAAGATGCCACTATCTTCAATACCCGTATTTTGTACATGTCTCTACTATCCAAGTACATACTACATGCAATATTCTATAAGCCGTCATAAAAAAATGGCTCCTCAGATCTAGGGGCTCATCCTATTCGACCATGTCCGAAAGGAAACTCGAGCCGAAATGAATTAGAAAGCGTTCTCGCTGGCGCTTGAAGACTTCGTGGCGAAAGTATCTTCGGCTACTACAACCGGCCTCTGTCTATCTTTGGCTATTCTGAGGATGAAGTACATAAGACGCTTTATTTCGGATTGGCCTTCTTTAACCGCATCGGTAAGAATGTGACAGAAGCCTCGCCATCGCTGTCCTTCCGGATAATGTACGTAGCAAGCTCCGACCAAAAAGTCAATGTTGATAAAGCAGAACATGACGATCGCAGGCATGAGAAAGCTTCTATGAAGATGGGAAGCAATGTATTATAAGGTCTATATATCCATAAAGTTGGATTATTAAAGAATACATGCGCATACTTACAACGAGTACATTATTATTAGGTTCTTAGGGGGTGGTAGAAAGTCCAGATTCCAGAGAATAGGTAACAATAGCAGATGGAAGTAACAATAGCAGATGAAAGTAGCGAAAGTAGATGATTATAGCGATAATATACGATGGGAGATTAGTGCAGCGATGATAAAGGTATGGATAATCAAGTCAAGATGTTGAATAACCACCGTCATTCTATACTACCAAACAAACAATAAACAAGAAGTATACCCAGCGGTTATTACCGAGCAATGAGATTAAACTTCTCCTAGAAAGCAAGACTTTCGTAGGCGTAAGCCCAAGTTCGTGTGGACTTATACATATAATTTTCACATGTGTACTGACAATTATTCTGCTAAATCTCGAAAAGCGTGTCACTAATAGATCTCCAACCTTTTATTAGGAGATATTTTGGTACACAGGTGTTTTGAATCATCCTCAGATCCTGTGGTGCTATACGACAAACACCGAACCTAGCATCAATTCAACGTTGATTATATTATGCATAAGAATAGTAAGTCGAGTCAACTGCAGCATATGTAGCTACTAGTTCTCATGGCTTATACTAACCCTACCGCATCCTGCCTTTGCCTCTTCAAGTCTCGAATAACTTTCGTCTTATAGCGCCACCAGATCAGAGCTCCTACAGCAATTATTTACTGTGGTCATTATTCTGTTATTTATTAGCCAATATCTAAGTTACCAGTCACTCTGAGGTCTTATTTGATGTGACGTTTAATAGACCGCCTCGTCGATATGCTTCGGAACTGAAGCCATACAGACGAAACCAAATGTTTCATCTCCAGGAAAACAATATAGTTTGAAAGACGCAATACTGATTCTGCACTCTAAACAAGTTATCCACATGCTTACACGTTCAAGTACTGTGGGTATGTAGCTTTGTTAGTTTTCCCTAGTGAATCATTGCCGCCTTTCTAAGTACATATATATATAGATACTTTGTCACATCCCCCATCTTCCATTTTATCCCTGTTATCTTGTATCTCTATCGTGTTTTGGCTCGAATTGCAACTAGACTGTTCCAATTACAGCTACCTACTTAACCGTACTACACTCACCACGATACAGAGTACGGAATACTTATCCCAGAAATACATAAACATGTATATGAACATGTCTTCCATCACCAAAGCCACTTCTACCAGCACCTGGTTGTTGCCAATGAAACTCTTAGGCTATGCTGACCACAAATTCCTTGAGCTAGATATTGCATCCTTGGCAATAACTCTACAATCCCGCTTGCACAGTTTTTTGTTCTTTATCATCACCTTGGTATGGACTCGGATTCAGCACAACATCATTTTTGACCTGACGGCGGCAATGACAAGAAGACGATGGGTTCCGGTCGAGGACAGTCGTGGAGGAGGTACCAAATCTGAGGAACAAGACGGAGAAAAAAGCCAAGACGAACGTGAGCCTGAAAAAATTCCTGGCATCGCGCTTTTATTCCGTTGGTGAGTACATTTAATGATGTATGGTGCCTACCTCAAGCCCGATCATATTCTTGTAGTTGAATCGCCAGAGTTTGTGGGATTGCTCGTTCTCAGCTCGATTCCGCTTGCTCTGCCGCATTCATTCTACTCAGAATGGCCAGTTCTATCCAAAGTCATTCTTATGATCTGCAGAAAGCTTTGGCTTCCAGACTTTAACACAACGATCATGCTCATAGGTTAGGCACACACTGCGTGTCTTCTTTACGACCTCACTTCAGCTTTGGCAAACGCTAACGTATACTTCCCTTAAGAGCTATCATGTGCTTTAGCTTGTTTTTTTGCCTTCCTTGTGCCGATTTGGGCCTTTTTCGTGTGCTTTGCCCTTTATATGAAGGCTGTAGTATCGCGTCCAACAGACCAACAGAACCAATATTTTCGAGACAATTTTTATTCGCAGGTTGTTTTGAAAGTTCCGCCGGTGGTGAAGTGGTCGTTAGGCGGCTTTTATAACTGGGCGTGCAAATCTCGTGGAGATCTTGTATCGCTTTGAAGGTGTTGATATATGGTGCAAAGCATATTTACATCTACCTCTTTGGCACTGGATACTGGGACAAGATGGTGATGGCGACATAAGGTAGATAAAACTGTTTCTTCTGTATCTCTCTATGGTGCTTCAACTGAAGTCGCTAGAGCCCGCCTTGTCACTCCTTTTTATCACTAACTCGATCGATCTGCGCTCGGTTCGTCTTCCTCATCGCCCTCGAGCCAAATTTCATGACCGTCGCCCTCTTTCACAACCAAACTCGTCAAACACGCACAGATAGCAACACTACTAAGTCCCCACCAAACAAGGCCAATGATGCCTTTGTTCAAACCAAAGCCGTACACAACACCTCCCACCATGGGGCCGATTGTGCGGGCAGCACTGCTTACGCTCTGGCCAAGTCCGTGGACTGTTCCCAGTACGCTGGGGTGAGGCGAACAGTTGTTGACGAGAATCACTTGACTGGGAAGCGCAAACGTCCGCCCAGTCACCTGGAAAAACAAAACACAGCAGATCGCGATCCAAATCAGGATACCAGTCTTTGCTTCAGGAGGCGGCGTGGTACTAGGCACGACAGAGAGATACGGGACGAGGAAGTAAGCCACTGGGAAAAAGAGCAGAAAGAACCGCCATGATCTGATGGTGCCGAGACGCGCGGAGATATTCGGATAGAGGAACAGCTGCATGCTGATGCCGATGAACCCCAAGATAGCCATGGCCATACCAACGGAACGAGGCTGCAGGCCGAGGCCACCAGTGAACCAAAATGGAAGTCGAGTCTCCCTCTCAGAGGTTGGGGTTGAAAGAAAGACAAACCAGAGGGAATTGAACGTCCCGACGTGGAATGTGAGGAAGAATTGCGCAACCAGCGTAACGAGAACGTTACGTGTAAAAATCCGCCGGAAAGGTAGCCTCTGGGTGTATCTCTTTGTCGACTTCCTTATGGAGGGAGCATCCCCATCTCCCAGCTCAACATCGGATGTCGGCACAGCTGAGTATCCCTCAGCTTCAGGCGTTGTTCCGAATCTCTTTCGATACTTTACCATGATTTTCTTCCCCAACCTAGTACCCAAATCTGGGGGTCCATCTCTTAGAGCGTCGAGCGTTTCCTCGAGACCTAGCCAGACAGCAATGGCAGCAGCCAAGAGGAAGAAGAAGCTGACAATGTTGGGAGCCGCGTAGGGGAACTTGACGAAGAAGGCGACGTTGCCAAAGAAGCTGGGATAGCTACCGGCCGGGTCGGAGAGGATACCGCCGAGGATAGGGCCAATGATGACGCCAATATTAAAGGTCATGGGCAGGAGTAAGAAGGCTCGAGGTTGATATTTCTTTTCGCGAATAATTTCGCTTATCCTGTATCATAGTCATTCAGCATATAACTCAACTCATTCCTGTTGCAATGCAAATCCATAAATCCATAAAATGACTCGCCGATATTAAGAAGGAAGTTGAAGCACTTACATTGTTCTCATAACGCCAATGTTACCATTCGTAGCACCGCCAATCGTCCGAAACAGCAGCGCCTGCCAAAACGTAGTCGAGAATCCGAATCCGAGACAAGAAATACTCGTTCCCAATAAGCCGATCAGCAAGACTGTCTTACGTCCCACGCGCTTCGAGTCGGCGATGCGACCCCACATCATAGCCGTGAGGAACTGCGCTGCTGTGAAACTGGCATGCAGAACGCCTGCTTGGCTTGAGATTGTTGAATCGGGAAGCGATGGGTTGAACCATTTAAGCTGGTAAAACATGTAGGCCTTTTACGAGAAATAGACACTCGGTGTCTTGGTGTGAGTTATGAATTCTTTAATCTCGTCTCAATGAGGGGGGACTGCATTTCATGGTCCAGTCGGACAAGCGCTTGATGTCGCGCCACCACCGAGCCCGTGTAAGTCTCACCTGTAATGAAGTCTGAACAAGCGGTTCGCTCATCCGCGCCATTGTTATGATAAAAAGCTGGTCTTTCCGAGGAAGTTCGCTCCATGCGACCGGTCTCTTGCTATTACTCCCACCCTCAGAGGGAGTAGTAGGTGATGGGGGTGCGCTATCCTCTTCATGGCTGCTCACAGGATGACGGTCGATAGAGCTTCGAAGTTGAGTATTGATGGTGATCTCGTCGCCGGACTCATCTTCGTCGCTATCAGATGTGCCGTGCCTCATCTATCGCAATTTTTCTGAGGTCACGCGGCCTCGACAGGATGAGAGAGAAAAAAGTGGGCGGTAAAATCGTGCTTGTAAATGCCACTTTCGGCGTCGTTCAGTCGTCGTGTTATACGGGAGGCAATATGACGAGATTTCGAGTCAGATAATCTCAAGAACACCAGATCTTTAATCCAGCAACACAGAGGAAGAAAAGGAGACTGTGGAAAGATGAAAGAGAAGAAACAAGTTTTTCGAGATCCTGGTCGATGATGCTACCCAAATCAACTTTTTCGCCATCCTCGTCGCTCGGCACGGGCGAGCCGTCACTCCCGCCTGCCAGCGCTCGCAGCAACCCTCCACCAACCACCATAAGCTGCAGGTACTCTTTAGAAGCAAAACCTGGGCAAATCGAGCCAATCTCTGCACTTCTCACGCACAAGGGCTAGTGACAAGAGGGTTGGAACGTGGGGCCGCGGGGTTAGAATGGGAATGGGAATGGCCGCGATAACGGAGGGGATTCAGCCATGCCGATCACTGGCTGGTTTTTGCAGAGATAAGAATCGTCGTGGCATCCCAGAGAAATCTTTATTTGAGGTGTTGGTCTTGGATGGAGGCATGAGGTGGGAGAAGAAGACGAAGATGCAGAAGAAGAAACGTTTAATATGTCCGTGCCAAGGTATGAGAAACCGATGATATTGTATAGGTAGAACAAACAGGTTGAAGTGCTCCTTCCCAGGGAAAAGGCGCCGCCACCCGCTCAGCCGCTGAGTTTCTCCGGGCGGGTCCGGCACCGGAGCTCACCGCCCGGCCTCCGTGATGGCATCACACGAGGTGGATAAATCCATCTTCACCTGTGTATCCTCGTCTTTGACGTAGACTCATCTCCAATGTTCATTCTCTTTTTTTTTTTTTCGATAAAGTTTTTCTATAACACTTGCTATACGTACTCATACATCTTAACAGCTTCTTCCAGCTTAACCGCCGCCTAATCCTCTTCATACCAAGTTCTGTGATCCATCTTCATCTCACCTCAACACCATGGCGATCCAAGTTCCCATCGGCGCCCTCGATATACAAATCACCGCTGAGCGTCTAACTCATGAATCTTTCTCGTCTTTTGGAGACGTAATCTCCAATCCACGGCCCGACGTCCACCCCTCATCATTCGACGCCCATGCTTCATCCTTGCCACCCAACGCCTTCTCCGCCAACCAAGGCTCTGCAATCCAATATCGAAATGTCAGCCGCCTTAAGAACCTCTACGATCAAGCACCCAGCGGCAAAGGAGAGCCCGTTATGAGCATCTTCGTCTGTGCTGCAAGAGGAGGCGCCGATTCTTCCGGGGAAAATACATTTACCGTGCGGCATCTCGAGCGACACCCGTTTACAGCGCAAACTTTCACCCCAATTAAATCCACTGCATCAACATATCTAGTCATTGTCGCTCCGAGCCTCCCACCCAGTCCTCAAGATCAAGATTTACCTGTGCCCGCTGGCGATGGGCTACCCGGGAGGGGATTTCCGGATCTCGGGCGTCTGCGTGCTTTCATCGCTACAGAAAGCCAGGCCGTCACTTATGGCCCTGGGACTTGGCATTCTCCTATGGTAGTGTTAGGGCAAACAGGAACCAAGATGGATTTTGTGGTGTCGCAATTTGCCAGTGGTGTTGCGGTTGAAGATTGTCAACTCCTGGAATTTGTTTCAGGTAAAAGGGCTGAGCCGTTAATCCGGGTTAAGATACCCCATAGAGATTGGTCGATCAAACTATAAGCTTTAATATCAGTCTTCCACAAGACAATCTGTCTTCACTGCCTCACGCCGCGCGGCCGGAGATTTGTTTAACATCCGTACGGCTCGTATTCTTAATTTCGCAACCCCAGACTAATACCACATATTTATGAAATATGTTCGTCGCGACACCTCATTGGCCGCTTAGTCATCTCACTTACGCTGCACATTTGAGCTGAGGCGGGGAGTTAATGTCGCTCTGAGAGCCCAAGGGCGTAGCACAACAAGATAAAAAGGCTCTTGCCGTGAAGAGCTTAGAATTCCAAAAGAACATATGATATAGAGACTCTAACTAGCATTTATCTTATCATTGAGCAATCATGGGGAGCACAATGTATTCCACCGACGCAAAAAACAAGCTCGAAGATCTGTCTGGGATCGTCTTGAAGCCCGGGGAGAACCCATACGAGGCCTTCATCCAAGCTTGCAATAACAAGCCTGTAAGTCGATATATCCAATAGTAATCCAATATCATACTATAGAATATGCTTTAGATCAGGCCAGAAAATTAACTAACCTCCATTATAGGAAGAAATCCAAGCCCTATATCACGCTCACCGCACCAAACGCAATGGCCTTCAGAAAGAAAAGTTTCTTTCTCCCGATTACAAGGAGCTCGTGATTGACCAGTACCTTCTTCGCCTTGAGAATCCTGACATCGAGCCCGGATTCCGCGATGAGCGAAATTGCCTTGTGATCTGGGCTCGCCCTCCAATCCACATCATTGAGCTGGCGGCAAAGATTCAAGCACTTCTTCAAGAAGCTTCGCCGAGTGCGTATTCAATTACACTCATGATACAATCAGAATATCGTCTAACAAACTCGCTCAGAAATCTGGCTCATGCCCACCCACCGGATGCACATGACGACCCTTGAGATCACCTTCTCCAAGACTCCCCAGGAGATTGACTCACTCGTCTCCGTCATACGGCCTGCCGCGCCCTCCATCGCTTCTTATACTCACACCCATCGCTCTCGTCTTGTGAAGCCCATGATTTCATATGATCTCTCTGCGTTTGCCCTCTCATTTCTCCCGGCTTCTGGTGAAACTCCCCTCTCTCCTGCGCCCGTTGCACCTGACACGCCCGCCAATGGACCCGTCACTCAGGGAGATGACTACACCTACCACCATCTTCGACGAGATATTTTTGACAAAGTAAAGGAGGCAGGAGTTGAAGTTGGTTCGCGGTACCAGGTTCCCAGTGCTCACATCACTTTGGGGAGATATATGACAGATGAAGAGCATGACACTCCTGAAAAGAGGGAGAAGTGGGTCAAGGCTATTGATGACATCAATGCTTGGCTAGAGAAACAGGTCTGGGATCAACAAGATGCTCAATTCATCGGTGAGTGGGTTGTTGGACAGGAGAGAGGACTGGATGTTCGAAATGGTGCCCTGTGGTACGGAGGTGGCCGAACCATTGTGCTTGGCGAGGGCTTTTAGATAGAAGTTGGGCCAATATCCGGTATCTAGAACAACAAAGACATAGAAGACAATAGAGAGACAGCAACGATTCGCAGAAACCATAAGCTCTTTGAAAAAGGTTGAAATTCGGCTTCTTTTTCATGTTAGCTAGTCTGAGCCTCCTCCATGAACCAAAATTTGCCTAGCATAGAGACACCAGGCCATCGTGAATTGGAATATTGTCCCAGGTTGGCTTTTCCACCATAAACACTTCGAAGCATATCCCAGTAAAAACGCGTGAATGCGGTCCATGAAGAAATCTTTTTATTCGTTTCCTATGAGCCGCTGTCCTCTAAACAAGGACCAGTACCCCCTTCGCCAAGTTCCATGATGCCCGTATGCCGCCAGGAGAAGCATAAGAATTGGTAAGACCGGAAAACAATGCATTTAGAACACCAGAGCCGCACCCTTCGTCTTCTTGTCACCACTGTAGTCATCGTCAGTACTGTCTCGCGCGAGAAACCCCAAATCCCTTGGATCACATACCCCAGCTCAAAGTGCTTGCATCGCTTCAGGGCCAGCTGCAACTTGGTCTTGCACTTGACGCACTCCAACCGCAGGACGACCTTCTTGGTGGTCTTGGCCTTCTTGTGGAAGACGGGCTTGGTCTGACCACCATAACCGCTCTGCTTCCGGTCATAACGTCTCTTACCCTGGGCGAACAGGGAGGCCTTGCCAGCCTTGTACTGGGTGACCTTGTGCTGGGTGTGCTTGCGGCACTCCTTGCCCTTGCAGTAGGTGTTACGGGTCTTGGGAATGTTGACCTAATCCGAAGAAAAGAAAATGTCAGCCATCTGATGGTCGCGGGTTGCTCAAGTTGGTGGGTGCGAGTCGAAGTGGTCGTTTGTCCAGCACATGGCAGTCTTTGTCGATATATCAATTTCCCAGCTCCAAGCAGCAAAACAATTCGCACATTTTCGCGATGGCGCAACTGATGTTTCGGAATTTTTGATGCAGCGACAGCGCCATCCTCTTCAGCCCTCTCTCCCCCACAGAGATTCAATGCACAAAGAAATGTCGTTTTCCATCGCGAAGACTGCCATCGTGCGGACGAAACATTCGAGGGATCGCTTTTGTAAATCGGGTATGGAAGGGATTGACTGAGGTATCAGTGGTAGTAGCAGCCCATTAACGTACCATTTTGACGACGGTGTGCGGTGTCGTTACTTGAGTGTTTGGTGATGCAAAGTTCCGAAAGTAAAGCGAAATTTGGGAGAGTTTGGTGATTTCTCGCTTTGTGGGCGATAGGGTCAACGCTATTCCTGATTGGGGCTACGATAGCCAATGTGGCTTGCCCAGGTGAGTCAGGCTTTCTGCCTCGTTTATTGGGCCGAAAGAAATCTCACCAGCCACTCGAACGTGTGGCGCATGCAATCCCTGTCAGGGGACCCCACCATTGGAGCCATTGAGCTGGAAGGCCAGTTATTATTACGGCAAGTTGGTGATGCTATTCCTCTCTACAAGACAGCAAGACGCAACATCGCCAAAATGGATCCCTATTCTGCAGAGGGCGAATTGATCAACATCCACACCCACTTCTACCAGTCACAATACCAAGAGGTCATCGACTTCGACACATCATCTTTCTCGTCCGAGAACGCTCTGCCCGCGCGAGTGCTGCAGCTCCGAGCCCGTCTCGCCCTTGGCCAAGCCGAAGATGTCCTTGCAGATGTTCAGGGCGAGGCCGTTCCCGATCTAGAAGCCGTCGGCGCGCTCGCCGAATACATTCGTGGGGAGACCGATTCAGCGCTGAAGACAATTGAGAAGCTGGCTGCCTCCGCAGCTGACAATGTCACTGTTCAGGTTATTGGCGGCACAGTCCTCCAGGCAGCTGGAAGGTCCGAGGAGGCGCTCGCGCTCCTTTCGCAGCACCAAGGAAGCTGTGAGATATGCCAGCATATCGCCTTGTTGATCATGAAGCTAACGACTTCCAATAGTGGACGCTGTCGCTCTAATAGTCCAGATCCACCTGCAGCAGAACCGAACTGATCTAGCTTTGAAGGAAGTTACTGCTGCGCGAAGATGGGCGCAAGATAGTCTTCTGGTGAACCTGGCCGAGGCATGGGTCGGAGCTCGAGTGGTAAGGGAGATTGCAGAGTGTCACGAGATATACATGCTAAGTCAATGATAGGGCGGCGAGAAGTACCAGCAAGCGTTCTACGTCTACGAAGAGCTTGCCCAGGGTTCCTCAACTTTCTCAGTACAAAGCCTCATTGCACAGGCAGTTTGCGAAATCCACCTTGGTCGACTGGAGGAGGCCCAGAGTGCCCTGGAGCAGGCCGTACAGAAAGATCCTACAAACGCGGAGGGAATTGCCAACCTTTTGGTCCTGAACTCTATTTCAGGAAACAGCACCGAAGAGCACCTCGAGTACGTGTTCACCTCTGTTCTCCTAGAATTTGCAGCTAACAGCATTCAGATCACTAAAGAAGTTGAACCCCAACCATCAACTTGTGCTGGATTTGGAAGAGAAGAGCAGTCTGTTTGACAAGGCTGCGGCGAAATATAGCGCCAAGGCCTAATTATAGACGATTCAATACCAATTTATGCAGCGAATGATAATTATGATGGGCAATATGGTAAACTATTTGTAGTAATATAGCGAACTAGAAGCTCAGAAGCTCTCAGTCTCCGCAGTCCCACTGCATCAAGGTGCTAGTTTGGTTGTAACTTCTACCCTGTATACCGACACAAAAAATTATAGCACATCGTTCAACGTAAAGGCGAATGAAATGTAGCAACTAGATTTTTTATATGAATAGGAGGTGTCTTTATCTCGGTTCATAACTTATACATATACCATCTGGCCTGGAAGAGCTGCTTATCCCATCATCCTTATCCAACTACTCTTCCAATTCATCATCCGAGATATAGAGTTGTAATCGAACATTTGCCTAGAATGCGATCACCTCTTCAGGATCTCGATGAAAAAGATGTATCTCCTCCACATGGCAATCTTCTTTATTAATAGAGTTTGGCTCTTTGTCGCCTATCCTTGCTGAGTCTCCCCCATAGCCTGGTTCCAAATGTACAGAAAGCTGTTGATCTGGAGCTGAGCACATGCCAGAGCTGAATTCATCGGATTCCTGCAGTAGACTAACCTCTGTAGGCGTATTTCCAACTTGTGTGTCGCAAGATATTTCCGCCTCATCTTGTTCGTGACCGTCTAGGCATCTCCCCAGCGGGACCTCTGTATAGTATTTCTTGTATTTCAGAAGTGTCAAGGAATACTCCTCCACATCTGAGGCCCCCGGTATCGTATGCCGACTCAGAAGAGATGAATTCGAGCCTGCCGACGAAATCGTTCCGACGGAGTGAACAGATTTGATATCATCGCCGGAATACCTTGATGTATCAGCGTTGGTTGACGCTGATTCAAGCCAAGCTACGATGGACTTGACAGAGCGACCATCGCTCTTTAACGGGTTAGAGGTGCTTGAGAGATGGGAGGGTGGGATTCGTTGGCCGATGTTGGATGAAAAACTGCTGGACAGGCCTTTCAATTCCCTTTTTCGATTTATGATGCTTTCGTCGGTGTGCTGGGATCTTTGATCAGCATCGAAGTCGTCTGCCGTCATGTCGTACTCTGTGTACCAAAAAGAAAAAGCAGAGGTAGATGGTGAATAAATTCAAGTAAATCGATGGAGAAAAATGGGTTGAATTGCGTAGTTATCATATTCTGAAATTGCAAACACATTTACTGGAGCACACCAAAAAAGTTCGAGATTCGGAGTCAAGTGAAGCAAAAGTGAGCAAGCAGGCAAACTAGCGTTTGTCCACATTCTGAATTCTATTTCTTGTTCATACCACGTAAAACGCCATAAATCCTGCGTAAACCGGACCAAAACAATCCCGTTTCTCTGCTATACGTGCAGGAATACCGCCATATCCCCATCTATTGAAACGGCTTTGTACTCCCTTTTTATCGCCAGAAGCGCATCCGATTGCACCCACTAGCAATACCGCCAGGCGAGAGCTACGCAGTTCGTGTTCGTCGCCTTTGCCCAATTGCAAATTACTCGTTTCCTGCTCCTTTCTTTATCTCCAAAACCCAATCGCCCAGTTTTCCATTTATTTCTTCTTGGGGCCCAGGCGCGGGGCACCAATGTTGGCACCCCGCAGCTTGATGTTGAGCACTCGCTCCATCTTGGAGAGAACGGTCTGGTCAGGCGTAGCAGTGCCACGCTCGTAAGCGGCGACAGTTGCGGCTGTCTCTCCGATCTGCTTGCCCAGAGCAGCCTGGGTCATGGTAGGCTCGAACTTCTGTCGGCCCTGCTCAATGGCCTTTCCGACTTCCTTTCCGACAGTCTTGGGCTTGATAATTTCGTCGGAGCGGTCGACCTTGGTGAGACGCTGGCCCTCAGTACCACCAGTCTAAGGAAATTCGCAGTCAGTTTTCCATTCATTGATAGTTTGCATCAGTTCTTTGATGGCGCTCGACATACCGTGTTGGCGCTGGAGTACTTCTTCTCTGTGGTGATGGAAGCGCCGGATCTCTGGGCAGCGTTCAACGCGCTCTTTCCGCGGATGACGGTTTCGCGGTCCGAAGCACCGGGACCGCGAACGCGGCTCCCAATCTTGGTGGCAGAGTCCCAATCCTGGTTAGACATGATGTGTGTGATGTGGCGAAGCGGTCAGAGGTTGTGATGCTCGAGATTGTCGCGTGGGAATGAGTTGAGGCGATTTCTGTAGCGTCGAGCGCTGGAAAATTCGATTGTAGCGGGGAGAAGGATGGAGGAAAAGGTTTGCAAGATAGAGTTAGCACTGCGCAGCGACTGGCTATATACTCGTACTAATATATCCTTGGAGCTGAAGGGCGAGGATAAGAATTGGACAAAGGCTGGCAATCTGACTCAATCGGCAAGCCAGATTTAGTGCACGGCGCCTCCGTGGGGCGTTGCATCGCCGCCCTTGCCATGGAATGTGCTAGAGTTCCCCAGCTTAGGTAATGCGCTTGATTGGCTGAGCGCGCCTGGATGACGGCATGCCGCAATATCTCCGCCGCCGGATGACTAAGAATGGGTGTTTCTGCTGTTTACTAAGGCACGGAAGTACCAATGGAAGGAGTGACATTGAGGAGATGAAGCACCTTGATGGTTAACTGCTTGGATTCCGTAGGTAATTTCTGTCGTGGCCTTGAGCAAATCTCTCATTTCTTCGTAGCTCCTCCAACTAACTGTCCATCATGATGTGAGCCTGTGCGACCACAGTTATTTCCGCCTCAGTGCCGAGCACTCGTACGGAGTGCTTGCCTGTAACCTGCGAGTATCATGGACGGATTGGCCGATGACTCGCCATTCAGATCTGTTATATCCGTCGCAGATTGGATCGACAGGGGCCGTGTCTGGTTGCTTGTGCTGCCCTTTGCCACCTTCTGGTACCAAGTGACAGGCCGTCAATCTGATCTTGCCATTTTCCTGATATGTCTTGCTTGGAACCTGCGCTGCTCACTCATGCCTCTCTGCTATGAGCTGGCATGTTCCAGATTTGTTCTTGGCGGCGTGGCATTGGCTGCCATAGTTTCAATTGGCCTTCAGCTCCTAGGGCATATTTGGACATGCGGACATGATGAACCCCAGAGCGGCACCGCTTATTTGATACCGTGTCGCATAACGCACAGTCGAGAGCTTCCAAAAAAGCATGCTTTTTCTTATCCTTACTTGATTGTGGGAATACCCATCGGTTATAGAGGAACCATTAATGGCGTGGTATCTGTGGATGACCTGGATGTCTCTTCATCCTGGCTGTTGAATATTTGGCGAGCGAGGAGCTGGCTTCGTGTTGACTCGGCGGATTATCTAGAAAGAGGTAACAACAAGCTAGGGCTTCGTGCCAAGCTTGATACATACCTTAGATCTCAGGTCTGGTTATGGCACGAAAGCTCACGAGCGAATATTTGCTGATGGTTGCAGGATGCGAATCCCGGGGACTACCCCCACGCCTTCCTTGTTACTACCCCAAAGTTTCTTGGATATCAGTTCAACCCAATTTCGTTTTGGTATCTCTACTCTTTGGACAGGACCCTCTCTGCTATTGTGTTGGAGATGAACAACATCTTTGGCGAGAGACGACCATATCTGGTAATTCGCGACACCGCAGACGATGCCACGCGGATTTCCTCAGAGGAGACTTCCCACCCGACACCTGCCTGGGTAAAAGCTTCTTGGAAAAAAGATTTCCACATGTCTCCCTTCAATTCTCGCAAAGGGTCTTATTCCATGCTGGCCAGAGACCCCTTTGAAGGCAACGTGGAAAGCTTCTCCGGCATTGACATAGCTCTTGATCTAGTCTCGTCCAAAGGACAGTCTAAAGTGGCTACCCGACTACTCTCTGATGGCACACCAATTGACGCTTCACAGATGGGGTCATTGAAGAAGGCCGAATTTGCTCTGACCTGGTTTTGGGTCGTGTTTCTGACATTCCCAAGAATCGTCAGGGAAGCGGCGTCCTTGTTCTTTTACCACCAGCTACATGTCTGGTACCGACCGGAGCCGTTAAAGGATAGCCTTGGGAGGCTCGCAAACAGTACCGAAGCGAAACTGGAGTCAATTTTTCGTCAATACCTACGATTTCTCGTCGAACAATCGTCAAGCCCGCTGAGTGTGACTTATGTCCCAAGTGGCCTTCAAGAGAGCAGCGAGGAAACCTTCACCTCTCCAGAATCATCGGGTCACCAGGAGCAAATTGAGCACGTGAAGATCAAAATCCTTACGCCCGTCTTCTACTCTCGGTTTGTTCATTATGCGCATGACTTTGAGGCCATATTCTGCGAACTGGCGGAAAATTGCACCATATGGGTTGACCGGCCTGAAACGTTACCCAAAATCTTTCTGAAGAAGCAGCCCCCGCCCTTATATGTACCGGGCTTTATGGATTTCCTGTATTTCAAGACAATCCAGCGGCTGCGGCGTCGGCCGCCAAATATTATGCGCCCGATGACTTCGGCCGATTCAGCCGGATCTACGACGACTCCAGAGGACCTCCGAGGCTTTCGGATATCGCCCATGGATGCATTTGTTCTGGAGCACTCCAGCAGGGAAACACGAGCATCCTATCGATCACTGCTAGCTCGAATGTTTGTGGCAGACCGGTTCTTCTTTAGCATACCCGAGATCATTGATGCTGTACTGTTAATCGGGCGTCTTAGCGTTGCCTCGTGGTTGCTGTCCTTTGGGTCGGCAATACCACGCTGATACCAATGGATGCCATTGCTTGTTTCTGGGCACACTTAGCGTTGCATAAGAAGGATTTAGATGCAGGGACTATGCAAAAGATCAACTGCACCCGAAGCTTACATGTCACCTTTATAGGACTCTTTTCTACCACCAGGGAACGGGCCAGCTGTGCGCCATTTCCAAATACTGGCAACGGCACAAAAAACCCCCCTCTTTGATGATGGAAGAATCTCTGCAACGGTGTCTACCTACCAGATATGATCTGGTATACGGAGTAGTAGTTTATCCTGAAAAGTAAGAACCTCATCCCGTGGAAGACATGATGTTTATTGACAAGGATCATGGCTTAGTCCCGCAAAATGATTTGAGTTTCTGGATTGCCGACTGCCCGTAGGCGTGTCAGCATACTAATCCTCCACGAGTTGCCGAAAATGCATCGATATACTACTCCGTACACGAGCAGCAATCACTTCCGAACGCCGGCAATGGAACCTTCATCTTATCGGCCGAGCTGGTCCGTACCCCATAATCCATCCTGCAGCTCATTCCAAATTCTGTTACTTGGGATGTTTGCCGTCTCTTAGCACGGAGCCACTTTTTCGCCCTAAACAACTCATGACAAATAGCCAAGGCCAATAGTTTGGTGAGGCCGGCAGCCCTGGTTGCTTCCAGCGATGGTCAACAGGGAATAGCGTCTCTGACAGGGCAGGCAGTTAGCTCCATCTGGATTGCCATGATGCTAACAACGCAAACTCTCAGTGAAGCTTTGAATTTGGAACGCCGACGACATGAACCGGTTTACCCGTCCGATGTTCCTGTCGGGATGAGGTCAGAACACCGCTTTGCCGAGGAAGCAGTGTTTGGATTGAGGATATAAAGGCCGTCGATTCTCTCTTCGAATATCCCATCCCCAATCCTACCAACTAAGCTTCAACCCTCCAGCTCCACCTCACAGCTTCATTGAATCCGACGTCATTGCCGCCGCCGTGCCTCATTTGACCCCGCCAAAGGCTGAAATCCTATCTGGTACGCTCCAACCAGTTTTGCTACCCCGCCAGCCCATGCATGAAGCTGCAGCAGAGCTCTCTATAAGGAGCTGTCTTATTCTGCCCTCATCTTGGCGAATGATCTACCTCTTCTCGTTTTGAACCAACAGCTCTCTAACAATCTTTTCTCTTCTGATTTTCTAGAAACGAATATCAATTCTTAAACCACACATACCTCCATTCACCATGCCTCTCACCGGACACTGCCTCTGCAAGGCCGTTACCTACACGGCCGCCGTCGACGCCCCCATCATCACTGGCTACGACCACTGTGACGACTGCCAGCGCCAATCCGGCTCAACCTACTGTATGCATACCCCCCCGCATCGCAACAATGCTCGATTCATCCATGCGGAAGGCTAATTCGTTTCTGCAGCTCTCGTTGCCGTCGTCCCCAAGGCCTCTCTCACCATCAACGGACCCATCAAGAAGTGGACCGGCACCGCCGCCTCTGGAAACGCCGTCCACCGACTCTTCTGCTCCGAGTGCGGATCTCCCATCGCCCACGACCCCGATGGTGCCCCCGAGATCATTGCGCTCAAGGCCGGAACTCTCGACACCGAGATTAAGAAGACCCTGAAGCCTGTTAGTTGACCCTCGAGACTTTTCTATCATACGTGCATCTAACGCGATACAAACAAACAGGACACTGAAATCTGGACCGCTGGCAAGCTGCCTTTCTGCCAGGAGAAGCTCGCCAACGCCTTTGAGTTTATGCCCTAGAGTATAGTGGTGGAGAGGAGGAGGATAACGTACATTACGACTAGGCTATAGTATACGAACAATATAGTGAATAATTTTTTTCTCAGAATGACTGTCAGTGCCTGTCACATCGTCAATTGGCTCAGCATGCTACGATGGAGACTCACCCTGTCACCGATATCCTGTCGCAGTGTGAAGATGTTATGCAAATGTAGGTGTATTAATTATGCTTAAAGTACAAACATGTGATTTTGAGCACCATGCCACTCTCGAAACCCATTCAAACACCCTCTTCATACCTAGTTCCATCATCTCCAAACACCATGTCATTCATCTCATCACAGCATCCCAAGAACAAGACCGCCAACAATTGCCAAAGTCAGACCCAGTTTCTCGAACGAGGAGACTGCATTGGACGTCTCGGTAGCTGGGGGCAAGTGCACCACTGGCTTTCTTGGGGGTTCAGTTGGCGTGGCTGCAGCTGAAAAGGACTGATTGGTGAAGGAAGCTGTGAGAGTGATGCCTGTGATAGTGGGACCCGTGATAATGGTGTCTTGTTGTTTGCTGAAGTCTTGAGGAACCTCGTCACAGGATTTTTGAGGTCCGAGCGCTGTAACGGCGACACTATGATCGATGGCCAAGGATGCCTGCGTGATAGGCTCGCTGGGCTCATCCGTGGTGCTGGGGGCGATGGGGATGATGGAAGCCATGGGTGTTGTTGTTGGGATGGGGATATAAGTCTGAGCTGGTGAAACGAATTCCGGGACGCCGTAAGGATGTTCGGGTGCGTTGCACAGAACCGCTTTTACTCCGGTCAGGATGTTGTACCAGATGTAGTTGACATCGTTGTAAAGGTCATGTTCTACGAGGCAGCTCTGGCACTCAAGCCAGTTGGCAAAAGTGGTTCCGCTGCATTTGCATTCGGCGACCTTCGTGAGGTTCGCAGCTGCCGCGGCCGGGAGGGGCCAGGGGGGCGTATAGGGATCAATTGAGCACTGGTCTTCCCTGAAGATGACTTCAATACAAGGGGGAACGTCGTCAAGAGGGTCAACCGAGGGAAGCTCTGGCGGAGTGGCTGGCAGTATGGCGCAAATGCCGGGCTCGCCAGGCTCACCAGATGCGGTTTGATTGCATTCAGCCGCCGAGGCAGATGCGGAGGTGATGGACACCAGAGCTGCAGCAGCAGCGAAAAAGGCGGTAGTGTTGTACTTCATGGTGAATATGTCTGACGATAGAAGCTGTGAGGCTATGATGGATATGATGCTGTGGCTCCAAGAAAAGAGAAACTGTATGAAAACAAGAGAGCAGAGCGAGCAATACTGGGATGGATGAAGAAGCTGAGAGATGAAAGAGATTAAGTTGGAATCTGGAGAGAGAAGAAGATATAGCCAGAGTTGGTTCCCTCTTTCCAGCTTTGGGAATGTCGCTTAGCGACCGTTCTTCCCTCTTTGGAGCGAGGCAGTTTGGCGATTCCGTCCTTCCAAAGTGCAAGTCATATGACGGAGAAGATTGTGAGAAAGGAAGCTGCCCGTCGAGATGCGAAGTAGGCATCAACGGCTCACGCTTCGCTCATGTGGGCTCCTGCTTGGGAGATAATTGGTCTGTATGTCCATATTGCTATTAATATTGATCGATATGAGTCTTCTGTGCATCTATAAAGGTCGGTATATAAACAGTCATACATCCATGCCATCAAATTATTGGTTCGTAAACTCTTGCTTTCATCATTCATCATTACAATATACCCAAGATAAGAACGAGGCTTCCTGCAATGCCGCTCAGAGCCAGCCAGTTGCTACGAGGAATGGATCCGGTAGCTGCGTTCTTGTTTGGAGCCTCGGGCTCCGGTTGCTGTTTCTGCAGAGAATTGGTCTGTGAGGCAGAAGAAGTAAAGCAGCTCGCAGTGCCGCACTTGTATCCACTGGGACAGCATCCAGCCACCGATCCTGCGTCTTTTCCGCAGAGGAACCAGCCGCTCGCACACTCGTTTGATGCAGTGGTGGTGGGCACGTCGTTTGCCGGGACAACGACGGTGACGCCGTGGGAGATGATGGTTGAAGACGGCGCCGGGCAGGAGAGCGTCTGGCAATCGCGTTCGGTGCGGCAGCAACCGCCTCCGTGAGTGGCGAGGCAGCCATAGAAGCCAGTTGGACAGCCGGTCTGAGTCTCGTCCGTCTGAGTTGTAGTCAAGCGGGAAGCTGAGGTGGTGGACGAGGAAGAGGAGGTGGAGGTGGAAGTGGCGTCCGTGGGTCTCCATGGCGCTGCTCCAGTTGCAGTCCCAGTCCCTGAGTCTGTGGCTTTCCTGTCAGTGTCTGTGTAACAGAGGAGGGTCTGAGATCTCAGTGACAGTGAGAGTCACACCATGGGTGATGGATTACCTGAAGAGACACTTGTATGCGTCTGGGTGGTGCTTTGAGGCGGCGGTGAGGTCGACGTCGGAATACCGGTGGCCGAAGCACTTGGAACGCCTGTACGTCTTGTTGTCAGCTTTGCAATCTCGGCAGATCAGCGCTGAGGTGTTCTTCACTCACATCCAATTCCCTGACAGACATATCCGGGAATACAGCAGCCACCCCCGAGATCAGCTGCGCAGCTCACGGCATCCCCAGGACAATTGCCGACTCCTCCTCCGCATGTGACTCCGTTAGGACAGCAGGCAACCTGTCCAGCATCTGAACCCGACACATTGGTGCAGTATGTTCCATCTGGACAGCACTTGTTAGGTGCGTCAATGTTTGAACAGCTCTCCGTCCCTGAAGGGCACGCTGCTCGGTTCTGCAGAATTGCCAGCACGTCTGCGGCACGTCGCAGCAGATTCTCTTCTGAGTCATGGAAGTGATTCGAGAATGCTGGGCGGTAGCGCTTCGTGGAGTTGCTGGAGGCATCTTCATCGTCGTAGTCGTCGAGCCATAGGTTCGCGGCCTCGAAGGCGGGCGCTTGTGGGAGTGGTTCGAAGGCAAGGTGCTCAGGAAACAGCTTTTCGTTCGGATTCGGCAGCTGCTTCTTAATCGCCGTGGCCAGCGGTTGGTCTGCCGCCACTTCAGATACCAGAGCGAGGAGGGCTGCTGGCAGGAGAAGCATTTTGTGGAGGGATGTCATGGTTGTGGCGGTCAGCGCCTTTGAGAATCTCGAGAGCTCGCGGCGCCAACTGTATGTACGGCGCAAAGAATGGCAATGTGTCGCAGCTGAAACAAAGCTAAATGAACATGGACAAAGAATTGAGATTTTCCCTTGGCTGCCCCCAAAACAAGCTAGCAATGCATGCAAGTCACCCACGAATTGGCGATGCTCACACCCGCGCCAAGTTTCAATACAAACAAGCTGGTGGCTGGGGTAACCAGCTGAGCTTGGGTGGGCCACAACACAGCAGCTAAGCCGCATACGAAGTACATCCTTATTACAGCACACAACAATCAATCGCCCGATGCTAAGAGAATAGTGAATTGGCTGGATTATGATGATAAGACTACGAGCGTGAAATAAAATTCTTGAATTGAATTATTTAGTGAAAATGTGTGGGATCTTGCGGAGAGCATGGCTTTTCATTACCATCATGATCATTGGTTGTGGGGACGCATGGTATCTACATACCTATTCATCCATAATCTTACACCTCGACGAATTGCTATATAATAATACATACATGTCATGTTCCATCATTATGCTCGCTAGAATGTTCCGTTTAAAAAAGAGCATCTTTCTCGTCTTGAATTTCCTTCTTCTCGGCTCCCGATACCGTTTCTGTCAAGGTCTCCTTCTCATCCTTTGCGGCCGTTGAGTTTACAATGGCTGGTGCCCTCACAAAGGCATGACAGAGCAAGCCAGCAGCGACACTGACATTCAAGCTATCCACGCAGCTGTTTTGCACAAAGTACGGCACCGATAGTTCGTAATCGGCCGCTACCTTGATTGGCTTGGATAGGCCATGGCCTTCATTCCCCAGAACCAATATACTGGGATGGCTATTGAGCGGCTGTTCTGCCTCCACGGTGGCTGTTGAGATGAACTTGTCTCCGTGCCTCTGAGCGAGTTTGGGGTCTGGCGGGGCGACGGCGGCATATGTCTTCCATCCAGCTTTTCGTGACTCCTCTATAAAGCTGACGGGCGAATCGACGCTGAATATCGTAATCTCTTCCACGGCACCAGCCGCGGACTTGAGCACAACCGGGGTGAGTGTAGATGAGCTGCGATTTGTGATGCCCACTGCATCGACACCAAGATAGCTCGCCGTTCGAAGTATACCTCCCAGGTTGCCTGGATCTAGGATCTCATTGAGCAAAAGAACAAAGGGCTTTGGTGCGTTGTTGTTTTTCCGTGGGATAAACGTATCATGACCGTTGATATCTTCTTCCTCTTTTGACTGGTGATCCAGTTCAACATGAAACCCTAGCTTTCCCAGTGTCTCTTCGAGTCTCCCCAGAGATTTCACGGGCAGACGAGGCAGGGGTGAAGTTTCCAAAACGAAGCCGTTGTGTGGTCGACCCATGCTCATCTTGTCCATTAATCTCTGGTCCTCATTTGGAATAATGGTGATTGGGACCCTTCGTCTCTCCGCCAACCTCGTGATAACGGCGTTGTCTTTGGAGTCTTTTCGATTCTCGCCTCCGTAGATGAATAGTTTGTAAAGCTTTCGTCTTCCCTGCTCTAATGCTGCTTTCACAACAGACTTGCCATAGAGAAACTGCGACGCGGCGGTTGTATACTTGATGTTCATAGCCATCATCTGATTCCTCCTCTCGCGAGGCTGCGGCGTTTCCACGTCCACATCAGTGTCGTCTCTGCGGTCAAAGGGGCGATCAGATGAACGCCCTACGGAGCGCTCAACTGAACGTCTATCAGAATAAGGCGGCCTCTCGGAGCGGCCAACCGAACGTCTATCAGAATAAGACAGCCTCTCGGAGCGGCCAACCGAACGTCTATCGGAATAAAAAGGTCTCTCTGAGCGCTCTGACACAAACCGAGGAGATTCCGTCCTGCGCCGTGGGCTGGTTTCTAGTCTTTGATATGGCAGTGGACGTACGGGCTCTTGTACGAGGGCAGCGGCCTGGTCTTTGAATGCCCCATGTTTCAGTTGATAAACTAGGCTCTTTTTCCCATAGTCAGACTCTGGATTGAGGAAGCGCTTGCGTCTGGTCTCTCTGCCGGATTCTTCGTCCTCTTCCTCAGCTGCCTTTCGACCAAGTTTCTTGCGTAGTTTCTGCTGTTGCCGAGGAGATGCAGCGCCTTCGAGTGCTCTCCTTGTCAATCTATCACTTCTGTCTCCGCCCGAGGAATCTCGGTCTCTGTATTGGTCCCCGAATTGGACTCTCTCAGATCGCCGCACTCCCCTGTGGATGGCGGAGAGTGTCGCCGGCCGACTTATCTGTAAGGGATAAGCGCCACTCTTATGCACGCCATTGAACAGCTGGCGGGATAAGCCATTAGCTCTCAACTGCCCAAGCGATGTCATTATTGGGGATGGAGAGCAACTGGGTGATGCTCATTCTAAGTTGCCTTTCAAAGGGGCCCCCGGTCTTATACCAGCTCTCCAAACTGAGCTTCGATGCAACTATGTCCCAAATTATTTTTTTCTGCCGGCCATCGTGGGGGTGGCTACAGGGGTCTAGCAAAGGCGGTGAGCATGAATACCCTTGTAGCGCATACGACTAAGCCTATTCTGGCAGTGTATTCAACGCGTTCCCAGCATGTCTTAGGTCAGATATATGGGGCCGCGTCCAGATGTCTACAAGTGAATGCGATTCAGATTGTGCCCAGTCCGATGTTCCGTGGATATCCTACGATCTCCAGCTCTATGGCACCGATTCTGTGTTTCTGGGCTTCTACTGATGCATGCCGGTAGCGCTGGGGCGCTTGAATTGAAGAGGTACGGCTCCCACTGTCTGCTTTGCGGGACGGCTTACCGCGAGCTGTCGCATCTCTCCCTGTCGTTGTAGAAGAGCTTGAGCTAACATGAAGATGCAGATGGACGAGATTAGTATCTTTGGAGGCATGATCGATTTAGGCGACGAAAATATCGACAATGAATTCCCCCCTCTCGATCTTCCGTTTCACAATGTCAGCGACCTCGGCGACCTTGGCGACCTAGGCGATCTTGCCCTGTTAAAGGCAGCGATAGATGGAGACGAAGAGATGGCTGATGACAAGATGGAGGAGGAGGGCGAGATTCCTCTACAAGAGAGCGCAGAACCAACACCAGAGGGCACATCTCAAATTGACACCGACATCGATTTGCCAGGGGATGAGATGCTGCAGGCTGCACCGTCAGTGCAATTCGAGATTGCGATCCCAGAGCTCTCCGTCGAGAAACGGAGCGAATACTCGGTGGTATATAGCAGTGTCGTCGAACAGATTACGGGTGTTTCTGATTTTGGCCAAGATCCGCTCCAATACGATGTTGAATTCACTGATGGTCGCGTTGATTCGGTACGTCTTGAGCAACTTTGCACATTCACATGCGCAGCTCCCATGCACCTCTCCAGCTGCGGGCCTCGCTTGAATCGAAGATCTCGCCAGCTAGCGGCATGCCCCTCCCGTTTTTTCTCCGAACATCGTATAAATGTTTTGAACATCACTTGTTTCTCACCTCTTGCCCTTCTCGGCCATTTGCTAGCCGCTATAAATAGCATCCTTTGTCTCCCACACAGCTATCCTTCTCTTCCCGCCCACTTCCTCAGATAAACCCCACCCGCTGCATGAGAGTGTCAGCTTTCTCGTATTGCGCCTTTCTCCCCCATGACCGATATATGCTCTTTCTTCCTTTTGTTTGTTCTGCATATTAACACGATCCTAGTTTGAAACTGCCGATATTCTCGAGTATATCAACGGTGAAGAGGCCCTGCAGTCATATCAAGATACACTGGACATGACCGCAGCCGATCGCAAGCGCAAATTCGCCCCCGACGAGGAGTGGGATCCTGAACTGGGTGTTACCGCCTTTGATGCTGGAGGTCTCGACGAGGAAGAAGAAGATGACATAATCTCCAGTCGCAGGCGTCCATCTCGTCCAATTCGCGTCTTGCGCTCTCGGGAGGCGAGTAGCCGCCCGAGTCATGCTGGCGATTCCATTAACTCGGAGGGTGAAGATGAAGATGGCTTGACAGAAACCAACCAGCCAACGCGGAACCTCCGAAAGCGAAAACCCATACAACTGAGACTCACCAACATGTCGTTCAATACTAGCCTTATCGACCAAGATCTGGATGAACTGGCGCTGGATTCTCGCCAATCCTCAGAAGATGAAGACACCTTTATGCCCGTTGTGTCTGACCTCGCATTGAAAAAGGGCCGCCCCAGCAGAGCTGTGCAGCGTTCCCGTCGACTAAGGAAGCAGAGAGAAAACAATGCCAGATTGTCCCACAGAAGGTCTGGGGACTCCGATATTGAATTTGAACAGCCTCGACGGTCTGCAAGAGCCACCAGAAACCAGATGAGTATGCAAGACGACGCCTTTATGGACGACGATTCGTTCTACGTGGCAGAGGAAAAGGCATCTACACCAAAGATTATTTCTGTCAGAGAAGTTTTTCAACCAATCTCTGCAGACTCCACCTTTGGTTCCGTACATATGCAGTCGTGTCATACCTGTGGGGGCTCAAAGCAGCGCGGCCAACTGCTATACTGTCAAGGGTGTTGTTTAGCTTATCATAAGAACTGCATTGGGTATAGAAGCAATCGAGAGCATATGGCTACCAAAGTTGGAGAAGAAGATTTTGTACTCCAATGCAGATTCTGTCTCAATACCCACTCGAAGAAAGATAGCAGTGCACCAAGACATAGCTCCTGCCAGGAGTGCAAGAAAGACGGCCGATCCTGCGCCGCTTTTTCTCGAAAAAAGACTGCCCGACAGGAAGAAAAACTGCGTGAAGAGAATGGTGGTGTCGACCCCGTCACCCCAGTATCACCTGAGCTCGTTAACAACGCCGACAATGTACTTTTCCGTTGTACTACCTGTCACCGCGGGTGGCATCAAGAGCATCTGCCGTCCATAGGGAATGATCCAATTGGAACGGATGTCAAGTCTGAACGCCTTAAGGATTACTCAGTCGACTGGCGATGTAATGATTGCAGTTCTACTAGAAGCAAGATTCATCGTCTGGTGGCGTGGCGACCTGTGCGCCAGTGTAATCCCTCACCAACTTACGGAGATATCAATGAAGACGAGAGGGAATATCTCATTAAATGGCAAGACACCTCATTTGCCCACTGCTCTTGGGCCTCTGGAGCTTGGGTGTTTGGCGTGAGTGCCGGCACTATGCGATCCTCTTTTGCAAAGCGAGCGCTTGAGCAGGATCTTTTAAAGCTCACCAGCGAAGAGGCTGTTCCAGACGAATACATCACCCCCGACATCATTTTTAATGTCAAATCGGACGACCTAGGTCCACTGGGGAAATCAAAAGCAGAGGATCTTGCCAATATCTCCCGGGTCAAGAAAATCCTGGTCAAGTTTCATGGCCTTGGTTATGATGACGTTGTATGGGACTCTCCCCCTACCGCAGATAAACCTCGACTCTACAAGGCCTTTGTAGAAGCATACCGCGAATACATTGAAGGCAAATACTTCCAAAACGACTCCCCTCAGAAGATGAAAGAGCGCATCAGGTTGTACAAAAATACTCGATTCGCAGAAGTGGACACGCAGCCCGCTGGCCTTACTCGAGGAAAGCTAATGGGCTATCAGATAGAGGGTCTCAATTGGCTTTTGCAAAATTATCATCAAAGCCGAAGTGTCGTTCTAGCAGACGAAATGGGATTAGGTAAAACAGTTCAGGTCGTCGGTGTGGTAACCTCCCTGGTGCAGGACACGCCTAAAGTAAGTTAAAACTCCGTGCGTCTTTTGCTACTATTCAATTCTTGTCTAACCCTTTAAAAGTGTTGGCCCTTCCTCATTGTAGTCCCCAATGCTACCTGTGCCAACTGGCGTCGAGAATTTAAACAATGGGCTCCGGGTGTCAGGGTTGTTGCTTATCATGGAGGCAAAGAGCCCCAAGATCTCGCTTATAAATATGAACTATTTCCAAATGGTTCTGGAGACCTGAGAGCTCAAGTCGTCATCATGTCCTATGACTCGGCTCAAGATCCACGGACGTCTTCTCTTTTCAAGTCCGTCAGCTGGAAAGGACTGGTTGTTGATGAGGGCCAGCGGCTGAAGAATGACCAAAACCTTCTCTACACTGCCCTGAAGTCTATGAAGATACCATTTCGACTATTGTTAACTGGTACACCACTGCAAAACAACAAGAGAGAGCTCTTCAACCTCTTGCAGTTCATAGATGAGAAGCAAAATGCAGAGAAACTGGACGAGGAATATGCTGTTTTAGACAAAGACAATCTTCCTAAGCTGCACGAGAAAATTCGGCCGTATTTTCTACGAAGAACAAAGCTCGGTGTTCTCAAGTTTCTTCCTCCCATGGCACAGATTATTCTCCCCGTTACCATGACTGTCATTCAGGAGAAGCTCTCAAAGAGCATCATGGCGAAGAATCCACAGCTTATTCGAGCTGTCTTTGCAAAGAGTAAAATGAATGCAAAGGACCGTGGTAGCTTGAACAACATCCTGATGCAGCTGCGCAAATGTTTATGCCATCCTTTCATGTATTCCGAGGCAATTGAAGAGCGCCATCACGACCCAAAGGTTCTCCATCGCAATTTGGTAGAGGCATCTGCCAAACTTCTATTATTGGAAATCATGCTGCCCAAGTTGAAGGAGCGAGGCCACCGCGTTCTCATATTTAGCCAGTTTTTGCAGCAGCTTGACATTGTCGAAGATTTTCTTAATGGAGTTGGCTACGGATACCGTCGTCTAGATGGATCTATTTCTGGCTTGGAGAAGCAGCGACGCATCGATGCCTTCAATGAGCCCGGCTCTGAACTCTTTGCCTTTTTATTATCGACTAGGGCTGGTGGTGTTGGGATCAATCTTGCAACAGCGGACACTGTCATTATCATGGACCCCGATTTTAACCCCCATCAGGATATCCAGGCACTGTCTCGTGCTCACCGCATTGGTCAAAAGAATAAGGTCCTGTGCTTTCAGCTCATGACCAAAGATTCGGTAGAGGAACGAATCATGGAAATTGGCCGCAAGAAAATGGCTCTGGATCACGCACTAATCGAGAGTATGGATGACGAAGAGCTTGAAGGTGCTGACTTGGAATCGATCTTGAAGCACGGTGCCCAGGCCTTGTTCGACGAGGATTACCAGAAGACAGCCATTCATTATGATTCCGCCTCTGTCGACAAGCTCTTGGATCGCTCTCAGATGGAACAGACTGCGGCGAATGACGACAACTCCGCCGAAAGCCAGTTTACCTATGCCCGTGTATGGGCTAATGACAAGCTTGGATTTGAGGAGAATAAGGAAGTTGGAGAGGATCAAGCTCCAGAGCCCATCAGTTCTAGTGTCTGGGACCAGATTCTTGCTCAAAGAGAAGAGGAAGCCCGGAGAGAAGAGGAGGCCAACAAAGAAGTCCTCGGACGTGGTGCAAGACGGCGCATGGTATGTTGACCTGCCCTAGTTATATATCCCATTCTGGTCAATGGGAGACAAATGCTAATAATTATGTTCATAGGCTGTCAACTATGGAGCAAAGGGCACAGATAATCTGGCGGTAGTTGGCGACGTCGCTGTTGAGTCTTCAGACTCTTCTGACGACTTTGACGGGGCAAATATGCCTGAATCTGACGACGACAAATCCGATGATGACATGAACCCCGCGAACAAAGGTAAGGAACTAGAATATCTGCTTACACAAAACCCAAGTTTATCATTCTTTCTCGAGCAACCAATGAAAGACTCTAAAGCTAACGAACAATTTCAGCCGTGACAGAAGCTGAGATTTTATCGATGCAAGACGTCGGATCAAAACAGCGGCAAAACCTTGCCTTCCCCAAAGAACAGCAATTCGATTCAAAGCAAAGACAAGCGCTTCCGCCTTCTGTTGGATCACAACCGACCGTCGATGTGCCTCCACAATCAGCCCCCCGTAAAAGGGGCAGGCCTCGAAAGTCAATGCCCATCCCCGATGGTGGGGCTATAAACATTAACGACGGCTCCCAAGCCAAACCACAAGCAATACAACAACCAAATACCCCAGCATTGGTATATAGGAAGGGCTTTGATTCCGCTAGACGCCAGCAAACCTTCCAACATTACCAGCAATATCTCCAGTATGGCGGCCGACAACCGCCTACAGGCCCTCCGCAACCTCAACCTGCTCTACCTGCCCAAGCGCCACCAACCGGGTTTGAGTATCTCGCCATGCTTAACACTGAAGCGCAGATCCGCGTGGCACTAGACACCATTCACCGTTCTGATAAGCCAGCATCAATGAAGGAGCGACACATGGCCGCTCTGTACCACAGGTTAGGCCAAGTGCACCTGCAGAGCGGGACTCGGCAGAGTTGAAATTTTCATCGCCCCCCTGCTCTCTCTCCGATCAGTAGTGGGCAAAGGAATAGACTATAACTTGATGACATTTTTATGGTTCTTGAAAACAAAAACAAGAAGATTTTTACAATAATTACATAGCTTTTAACATACATATAGAAAGAGACAATTGCTTGGCTTTGTCACAGGATGGGCGGCCACGCTATTAGAGACATGAGGGGAAAAAAAAATGAAAAAAGCATTTAATGAACCTTGATCAAACAGCCGATGATTTTATTTTGCACAGTAGGCGCAGCAAATACCAGCAGATGCGGTGAATTCCCTGCAGCCAGCCGAGCGTTGACTCGAAGTTAAACAGGGGTAATAAACAAACGGACGATGCGCACAGCTTTCATCATGTCTTGGGCCGTCAAGGCAGCAATTTGGAGTGAGACCCCTTTTCCCAACCATTGATGTTGGCCTCGAACTCTCTTCTCTTTGCAAATGTTCATCTTCTATTCTACACGCAGCAATTACTCTCCTGTTATACTTGCTCGACTCCTTGTTTAGTATATCCCAGTTTGATGCTTTATTCCCGTTAACCTCATAACTAGTCCAATTTGCCGCCGTTTGCAGCTCATTTCCCAATCGATGGATCGTTCTCAAGGGCTGGGCTCGAGGCCAGGAAGCATATCCTGCGTGCCATGGTCCCCAGAAACATCAGCAATCACGTCTCACCTCCGTGATTGCTCGACTGAAGCTGCCATGGAAAGGCAAATGGGATTGAACCATCATCACCACCCTCATTTCAGTGGCTATTTCATCCAAGGCTTTAATCAAGGTGATAGGGATGTTATTGGGCAGCAACTGGTGGCCTATCCAATCCCTCGGCAACAACAGCAGCAGCAACATGCGAACTTCAACACGGTGGGTGCACCTGCAGCTCCATCACGGGGGCTTTCTTCGCACAATTGGCGGGTCCTTTGCCAAGATGGAAACGTGTTTACACGATCACCTCCGCCAACTCAGACGAGTGCTGCCCAATTCCCAGTGGCTGACAGGAGAGTGACTGCACCGGCAATCGCGGCCGGGCCTGGACCTAGCGGTGTGAACGATGGGTATGCGTACTATTTGAATCGGGGTAACGGCGAGTTGACCAGACTTGTGCCGGCTGATATGCTGCCTGCATTGAACGAAATCCCACCGAGAGAGCCTGAGCGGCGAGGAATGGTGGTTTTGCCGCCGCTGAGAGGCGTTCCGCCCAAAGGGATGGCGGACATGAGCCAGACTGTCACAGTCAAAGTAAGCAATTTCTTCCTATTTGTAAGAGAGAAAGGGAGCGAGACGCCTTCTGCAGGCGAGGAGAGCGGAGAGAAAGCTGAAACTCCCAGGCGTGCCAAATCCATGGGCCTCTGCATCCATCGGATCTCGTCCAGGTGAGTTGCGGAATATTCTCTTCTCATTCTTCTTCAATCTCTCTTTCAGTGCCCCTATAGTTTTGGTTTGTTTGAGAAGCTTATGCAGAACTCCTCTAGAACCAAATCGACCGCATCGTTGCGACCAGCCCTTCGACCCCAAAGAGGAACAAAGTATACTGCGACATGTGGATCCATGAAGGAAGATGTGCCTTCACCCAGACGGGATGCAAGTTTAAGCACGAGATGCCGTTGGATGAGGGATCGCAGAAGGCCCTGGGCCTCTTCCAAGGTCTGCCTGCTTGGTATAAGAAGCAACAAGAGGAGCTGAATCTGTGGAGGTCTCGCGAGAATTCCAGCTCGGAGACTTCGCCCACGGATTCGCCGTCCCAAAATGAGTTCGCATGGCAGAGCCATAAGATGGGAAGGGGCTCCGGGGCGGTGGATTCGCTGACCTCGATAGTGCCGGACAACAGTAATCTTGGTACGTTACGTATATACTACTTAACATCGACCTAGCTTTGACATGATGGATGCTAACTCAGGAGATTCTCTAGGTACGAACCATCCTTCTCAAATAGCGAAAAGCCGCATCGCTCAATTTGTCTGGGGTCCAATTGGGCCGCCTAATAAGCCGGCATTGGACAAGGACCCTTGGGGTAAGGGCTTGGGAAACAAAATATATGAGGGCGAGACTTCATCGAGCCTCGTTTCGGAGGGCCAGAGAGTGAGATGAAGAGGAACGGGCCATGTCAACCATTTACGTTGATGGTTTTAACTGTGCAAGACCTTTTGATTTAGATGTGATTAAAATGGTGATATCAGAAGCTACATGCTAAGAGGTGGTGCACTTTAAGAATAGGTATGTAATTGAGTCGAGGGCGTGTTCTATGATTGATTACCCATCGGTTACAGATGGTAGTAGTGGAGGAGAAACAGTATGGTGTTGGAGTAAACACTCATTAAAAACGTGGAAAGATGAAGTTCATCGACATCCCAAGATGTGTCGAATCAGGTTCGTCAGGAGGAGATATATATTGAGGGAAGTCGAATACAGATGGAGAGAAAGGACTTCATCGGTTGAATTGATTGGAAGTATTATCTATTAGTGCCAGCATGCATGGCAGATGACATGAGATAGCACGCACATATTGAAGTGTAGGGTAGAAATATCCCTTAAGAGAACGGTATTCCGTGAGAGTTTTCTCTTGAAACTAACTACAATTTCCATAATAGGAGTTAATACAATTTTTTTTAAGCACATCATCATTTGATCACCTTATGGCCCTCGGGGCCACTTGTGAATATCACCGGCCCTCTTACCAAAAAAGATCCACGCTTAGTAGGAGTACATACATGGCTCTATCCTCTTGACCATGTCGCTAGGAACCCACCAATTCACCCATGAAGATATGTACTTTCTTTTCTCTTCATTTTCGGCTTGTAAATGGGCCTTGATCAGGAGGAAACGTTCCAATATCCAGAAAAAGCTTGCATGCCCAGGTGTAATAAAAGTATAGTGTTTTCTTCAGCATAGGCGGAAGCTTCAAAAATACATATGAATAAAGGTTAAGGATATATTGCCAGCCTGGGTGCATTGAGTCGTCCGGGAAGTAGTGAAGGGTAATGACAAGAGCATCTAGATACCCAATAATTGTAAGCATGCACACCAGAGCACATGTGAAATCTAAAAGGGCGATGCCAGTTAGCGTTTACCGAACTGTAACGAACTTATGTGAAGGGGACATAGGGTGTAGAGCGTACATATAAGCACCCACATTGTGCAGCTATCCTGAAGACAGACCTTTCCCCAGAGCATGAGGATCATTCTCGATAAGATTGGCCTATCCAAGTAGAATGAAAGGGGAAAAGCAAGCGGAACCGAGCTGATAGTGATTATCACTAGCGGCTGTGGTGATCTTAACGATTTGCAATCTTGATCGGCATTCATGTGGCCCGAATACAAGAACAAATACAGTAGCCAAAGTAGGGTAAGACAAAAGAGACATAGGCTATTTTTGGGCTTGCAGTTTTCCTGGGAGATATTTCCGTATTGGCACTCGCATTTCCTGTCTTTGGTATGCCCACAGATGTCTTGGGTCGAACAGCATTGCGTTGTCAATGTTGTTGTTTTCAATGTAGATATGATCCTGTACTGAATCTGTGTCCACATTGCACTGAATAAAATGCACATTAAGATGGCCCAGCAATATTGCATAGTCGTCATAAAGGCCACAACAGCCTGCTCAAAATATTCGTGGTCGGTATGACCTAGGAGTTGCATTGGCGACCACATGCTGAGGGAAGTGGTGTTGGTGATGGAAATCATGTCGATTTATGCCTGGCACAAGTGTCAATGTAATATGATGTGTAAATGTAGGTGCTACTAAGCAAGTATATGGAATAGCAGCTGGTTGTAATTCGAATGAACACACGGTAGAGCTGAAACGCGATGAGGATGAAGCTGAAAAGAGGGGGAATGCCGTAGAAGACGTACTATATATATTTTTGGTAAACAACTCTATGGTAAACAAACAGTATTACGCATCCACAGTATTGTCTCTTTTAGCTAGAGTTTAGTTCACAAAGCTACACACATGCTGATAGTTTGTGTAAAAGAATTTTTATATTTCCATCTTTCGAACTATGTTAGTCTGCATACATGAGGATTGAAGGGCTCGGAATCGTTCATTATCATCTCAAAGCTTCTAATCCGAAGTATATCAATCAGGAGGCTTATTATATCCCGAATTAAAGCCCAGAGTGGCTGTTAGCTCAGAGAATGATCAACTGATGAATGGAAAGTGCCGATAGTACTAAAGGACTGCTATGGATACTTAGATCTGGTGGCGTTATGGCCTGAAAGTGTTTTGGGTCTAAGAGAAGATTTGAAAGCCTCAAGTAGGTACATGTAGGCTTCGAGGGCTGGTACATTCATATATGTGATAGAATGACTTGATATATACGTACAAATAATGTAACCAGTGTAATATCGAAAATAGGCGCGATGGTCGATATACACTTTGGGCCGTCTTTTCGGGGTGGCATTGGCTCGTGGTGGGACAAAGGTGGCCGCCCTAGTTGAGAGGTGTAATTTTTCGTAATATCCCCATAAACATAGGTAGGCATGATAGACAAGGTACATGATATAGTAGATAAGAGCTTTTGAACGTCCCAGGATTGGTCCTGGGGTTAAACATACGAGATTCCATCTCTACTGCTGTTACCCTTTAAGGCCGCCTCCTCTACTTCTTCCACCGCCCTTGCACTTTAACATATTGTGTGTCTCTGACTGCATGATATCAGCAATCCAAATTGTCTAGATTTGTGGCTTGCACGAGGAGGCAGCTCTGAGTTCGAGACACGGAATGTTGGATCGCCACATCTATTTTAAAGCGCTGGAAAGATCGGCCCATTAGCATCAGACTCAAGTGTTCACCTCGATGGATATATTGGTGGCTCAACATTCCTGGCAACCAAGGCGGAGAACTATCAAGAACTGTGTTGCGGCACTGAATCAATAGCTGCGGCAGAGGTTACATCTCCCTAAGAACAATGCCAAAGTGCTACCCAACAACTGACCGTAAAGTGATTGCCAGCTTATACTACTGGGTAATAAAGGTACAGTTAGTGTCACTTAACTGACTCGTGAGAGTAGCAGTGGCCTGGTGAGTCTCAATGATGATATTAAATCCGCGTGCATCTTCAGCTTAGAGGTGAAATCGCGCCCAGATGCCAAAGAAAACCTGGCTTGGTGTCGAATCTCATCTTAGCTACGAGGTTATTCGATGTAGACAGACGTGGCTCTCTTCATGCGTGGTCACGCGACGGGGATTGACGTTTACCCAACGCCCAACGCTTAAAATTGAGACAAGAGATCGATTTAATCACTTATTTATACAGTAGTTAACAATTATGATTATGTGTAAGATTTCTCGATTAGACGTGGCTACTACCACGGTGGAGTATTCCAGCTAGGCGACGAATCACTCCACCACCACCCCGGATTATTTCTCCAACACCCACACGCTGATTCGTCAATAATGGCGGTGTATTCCGCTAATGATGAGAATCTGTCATAAATCCAGAATGCAATGCTAGGGCAAACAAACTGACTGGGCGAATGGGCTGTTCCCGCCGAACCACTTACTTGCGGTAGGAGGAGCCAGATATCGACTGGCCATCTGGTCAAATTTCAACTCCAATACGCAAATCGCCAGGTAAATCTTTCGAAGCGGTACGAGAATTATGACGTCTGTAAAGCATCTTTTCATCTATTTTTTCTCTCGGGAGAAACCCTGCTTTTAACTTTAGGCTTGTTTTGTCAAATGGCTCCTTGAAGCTAGACGCAGTGCCTTCTGCTTACCAGGGTGTTTTGAAGCCCATAAATGAGCTAATAGTGCCTGTATTGTATCTTACAGGATCACTTATCTGGTATAAGCTTAATTACGCAGAGGGGACACATATGGGACTACCTGCTGAGTACATTGTCAAATTGGGTTCCATATAGCTTTGACGTAAAGTACCTATCAATGGATGTCAGCTTACATGGGAGGGATTCAAGAGCGGGCGTATGAGGCAGCTAAGCCCCGTGTGCGTCAGGTAGTACGGTTCGGATTAACCGCATTATAAAAACTTGTTTCTTTGTTTTTAATAATAATTATTAGATTATTAATGTCGTTTTCTATTATTTTTAATGTGGTTAATTTGTATTTGTAACTTAGCTTCTCGATGGGTACACTCCATTGCAATGACTCCATGTAGTCTCAACCTTATGCGTACTGTGATTACCTATCAATTGTCCACATAGGGAGCTTGATTACTAGGTACCAATAGACTTTCGCTTTGTGATGGAAGACAAAAGTGTATAAGTACTGCTGGCACGTCATTTACATTCTGACAGAAATGCCAATAGCAACTCTTCTATTATTTCCACAATGAGTTCCGGATCTGAACCACCTTCTACGGCGGCTGCTGTTGGTTTACCACCTCTGCGGCGTGTCATAACTACCCACGATGCAGATGGAAAAGCCGTCTTCAGCGAAGAGCTCTCACAGACCATTCCGCGAATTGAGATTCCCGGCATGCACTTTCACCTGGGCTACACCCTGAACCAATCCCCAGGCGTGCTGAATAATGACCAAGATCTGAAGGAGTACAAGGACCGGCTCCCACATAATGTGGCTGCGAGCATTCCCGGCGGAACCGTGCTCCGCATTGTTGATTTCCTGCCCGGAGAGGGCGCGCCAATGCACAGGACGAAAACCGTGGATTTTGGCGTGATTCTGGAAGGAGAACTGGAGTTGATTCTGGACAGTGGTGAGAGCACTGTGTTGAGGCGAGGAGACATCCTTGTTCAGCGAGGGACGATCCATGAATGGAAGAATAACAGCACTACCGAGATTGCAAGAGGATTCTTCGTGTTAGTGGACGCAGCTTTACCGACGGTGAACGGGACGCAACTGCGCGAGGAAATATCGGTAGACGAACTGAAAACTGAATAATTGGGATGAGTGGGAGTTTAGATGGCATTAGTTGAATCTGGCATCGCAAATTCTCTCATGGAGGAGCTCAGCTGGCGTTGGGGCGTGCGGCGGCCTGATATCGGCTACATATGCCGGCTTTTTACGCAATGCATATCAGCAGCTAAATCGTGCCCGGGCTTCTATCACTTAGTAAAACCCCATGAGCTCAGGACACCAGATTGTCAATCCTTGAATACCACAAACCTATCACTGGAAGCACCGTTGAGTGATTTGGTAACCCATAACTTCTCTCATTAGACATAAAACAACTTGGCCTCTTATTTCATTAATATCCATTGTTCATATCCGTATTCCTCCAACGCCGTATTTGCAGTCCAAAATGCATATTCATGTAAATTCTCTTGGTTTCTGACTTGACCCTAGATTCAGAGGCTCGTCCTCATAGCTGTCCCGTCCTCCAGGAGTGTTGCCCTTCCACGACGTAGCATTTTGAAGGCCAATCTGTGCCGATGGGGCTTCATATCCCGGAGGGGGGTCGTGGGGATACGCTGGTGCAGCGGTAACGGTTGCCGAGTAGCTGGTACTCCGCCATGGCTCTGGGTGCTGCTGCTGGTAGCTGTGGTTTAGGCCCTCGAAGCCAGAGGGACCTTGCTGACGGCGAGGCATCTGGCGCTTGGCTCCCCAGATGATGTATCCCAAGGCGCACATGACCAACACGAAGACGATTCCGAGGACGATGAGGGCGTATTTGCGATCGAGAGCAAAACCGAATCCGCTGGAAACGGTACATGTAAGTAAATGACTGCTATAGATATACGGAGAAGGGAGGGGCTTACATGTAGCCGTTGGCTGCGCCAAGAATCATGACGATTCTCCCGTTCCAGAGGTGAATCTTGCCAAACGTAGTTGGTTGCTTAGTCTTTCGCCATTTGAGATGATGCAGAACACCAGCGGCCAATTGAACGAACATGAGGAGGATAACGAGGAAACCAAGGACCTGGTGCAATGAATGGAATCCGCGAGACTAGAAAGTTGCGCATCTGTTAGTCACATCGAAAAGGGCCACAAAGGAATGAAGCATGCTTACCCGCTGATAGTTGAAGCTTGTCAAGATTCCAAAGGCGAAGCCCGCAAGGACAAGACATAGAGCAAAGGTCTGGTTGAACTTGTGAAACTTGGCCAACTTCTCTATTCTAATGAGAATGGCGCCAGTTGGAATCAGGAGCATGAAGCTAAAGACCATGAAGGCAGCATGTGCAGCGGCCTTCCAGTCGAAATTGCCTGTAGAACGGCTGTTCAGCGTCGTGCCTTCAGACACAGAGTCCTTGGTGAGGACAGGCAGATCGGCTCGGCCCTGTGTTCTCTTCATATCAATGGTGAAAGTGCCATGTTCGCTGTGCATCTTGAGATTCGCATCCACCTCGTCGTCGCTGAAGCTCTCCTTGCCTCCCAGAGCGTAAATGGCTTGCTGGTTTGGAGACGAGACATCGATGTAGCCTTTGGAAGTGCCGCCGGATGGCCAGCTTCGACAGTGCTCATGGCAGACGGCATTGAAGGTCATGAAGCCATCCTGAACGCCAGTGCCGTCAAGAACTTCAAATTTAAGGTCGGGGTAGTATTTGGGCTCGTAGTTGCCATATGCCAGACGAGGGGAGAAGGTAACGTTGTCGTGATTATTCTTGCTGCGGTAGAGAATGAGGAACAGGGCGCCAGGCATGTCGTCACTGCCGAGGCCGACGGCGCCCCAAGAGCGATCTGTAGAGACGCGTAGGCTGAAGTAAATGTCTGTATTGCCGTTGTCGGGAACGGTGAAGGCGAAGGCGAGGGTGCCATCGGGAGAGATGAAGGTCGACTGGCCGGTGGGGTTGGCGGCATCATCAGCAAGGGCCGACGCTGCGATGGTCGCTGTGCGACAAGAGACGAGATGCTGTCAGCGACTTGATCTGGATGGATCTGATTTGATTCAAGGAGGGGATGGCGATGTAGCAGCAAATGGAAACCACTTACCAGCTGCCGTCAACGCGGCGCGCCACAAATTTCTGAACAGCATTTTGATGTTGTTGCCGGGGAGATTTGGATTTGGTCTACCGCAGCGATGGAGACCGAGCCCGCAACAGAGCAGGATAAGAATGGAGAGAGAGAGTCCGAGCCGCAGATAACGAATGGGTTGCAGCTCTGCAGCGCTCCAGCCTCTGACAACGTGGTATCGCCACCAGTGCGATTGGGGGGGAAACGGATGTTGTTTTGGGGAGTTTTTTGGACGGATTTGGTGTCTTGGTGGTGGTGCCTGTATAAAGGTACTATTACTATGCAGATAGTCTTAGCACCTCCATTCAGCTGCCTCGCACCACTGGGCTGAGGCTCAACTACCCAGACAGTACAAGTGAATTGGTGCTGTTAATGCATGAGCTGCAGGTACGTGGTCTGTACCGTATCCTCTCTGTGCCGCTTCGATTTCAGCCCCAAGATCCCTGGCTTCTTAGCCCGCGCGGCGTCGCATCCATTTAATTTCACATGCATTGGCGGTTGACGTTAATTCACACCGTCGCAGAGTCGATCGATGCATAATGAGCGATACTCGCTGATTGTTTGCGCATGTGTCATCTTTGATGCCTTGTGGACGTTTCACTCTCGTCTCGTTGCAACTCGAGTTCCCGTCTGCTTTCCCAAGTACTCGTACGACTTCAATAACACTGCATTCCCGTGTCGATTCGATCATGGAGATCCGTCGCGAACTCCAGTTTAGCTCAAGCACAGACTTGCGGAGGTGTTTATTTACGAGGGTTATCGACCCACGATTGGCCCCTGCCCTGCCGCGCGATGCCTCAAAAGGCAACGATTATGGTTTTCATTAATGCTTTGGCGTCACATGCAAGGAGACGATGTGAGTTGGTGGAGTCGCGAAAAATTGCCCAGCCAATGCCGAGCAGCGGCTTTACAGCTTACGCGGAATCACTATCCCTCGCGATCGAAGGAGAGCGGCAGATGAGTAGTGAGTACGAGTAGTCTTCTGTCTTGCATATTGAGGCAAGGAGAGAGGATCCATGAATTGTGATACTAGTATACTGCATATCAGGTTGTATCTACCTATGTTATGATGCAAGCCCTCATCGTATTCTTGAAGCTTGAAGATGAATCTACCAAACGCCAGCTCCTAGGTAAACAACGGCTAAAAGGTTCAACATTGTGCAATTAATCTTTATCGCAGTACCTTTGCAGCAAATTCCACAAAAAAAAAAAATGTCAGAAGCAAGAGTGAAATCAAATAAAGACAAAAAATAGCATCCGTCATGATCATTCATATCTTCTCATTGCACCACCGTTCAAACCGTTCGAGCCCATACGACACAATCATCGTAGCGTGACAAAACTCGTCCACATCCGATGCTCGGGCGCTGGAAAACAATTGCTCCCCATCGACGCAACGAATAGTGTTCACGGGGTTTGATTGATAATGATTCATCCAAGCGAATGCTGATGGCGCGTCCCATAGACCTGCGCCGCATGAGACTATGATACCGCCAGGGCAGGGAGCCCAGCCTTGCTTGAGTGTCATGTACACGGCTTCTGTGAGCGTCGCGGCCAAGTACGTGCGTCGAATTGACTCGGAGAATATCCAAGCCTGCCATGTACACGAGAGGGAGCCATCTGTCCGTAGCTGCGTACCGACTGGATCGGGATTTGAGCGATTGACCAGATCCTTATGATGGTTAGCAGTCAGGCCAAGCCCGGCGCTCTGCCAAAGCTGTCGAGCCCAGAGAGCAAGAGTATCAATGTTTTTCTCAGCTTGTGCACGAGCGCGAATGTCGCCGTCGAAGAGGCGAATGATTTTGTAAATCAGGAGGGCCTGTGTCCTTGCAAGATGACATGCGGGGTCAAGCATGACAACGCCAAAATCGCCCACGTTGTCGGGATTCTGCCCTCCCACCAGATTGTTGACGCGGGTTTCGATAATGCGAAGCACCATCTTCTCCGTCGCAGGCGTCTTGGAGTGATATGATGACAGGGCGGTAAATGCATCCTGGACACTTTCGGGAAGATGGATCCTCCAAAGCTGGGAATGGATAAAGGGACAGCGGCCTTCGGTAGTCCATTGCTTCAGCCACACCTGAAGCTGGCCAATAAAGTACGTGAGAGCCTCATCGCTAAAGTAGATTTGCGAAGGGATGGGCCCCGTCTTGTGGTCGATGGTCCATGATGAAGGAGACAGAAACCACGGATTCTGCAAAGCATCTGCCGTCCCTGGGGCTACGGAACGCGCGATGTCGGTGTTGGCAGCGTGGATCTGCGGGTGCTCAAGGTCCAGATTCTCACCGAGCTGAGACGGCGGAGTTGGCAGCGGATTCCCGTCCGAGGGCGTAGGGATTACGGAGACAGCGCCGTCCTGTGAGAAGACGAGATCGTACGGGGGTGCGATGCGCGGAGCAGGATAGCGACAGACAATGTGCTTGTCCTTGCAGCGATGGCACGAGGGCGTCTGCTTGCTGCACTTGCGCTTTGCCTTTGTGCACGGGATGCAGGCTAATCGCTTCGGCGGGGCGGAATCCGTCATGACGGGTTTTTGTTCGCAGGCGTTGGGATTAGATGAGATGCGAGGGCCCAAGAATCGCCAGTCGGATCGGGGTTTGCAGTCTCACAAGCTCTTATTCTGTTCTCCGGAACGGCCATTTGTCATTTGCTCAGCCCGCTCGGCGGGTTTCCTTCCGCCGGGTGGAGCCAGGCTCCGGGCTGAGACGGGCGTTGATAGGCGAGGCCGGCGGCAACTTTTCCACCGCTGCACGGGGGCTGTATAAGGCCATGGCCACGCCCCCCGATTAGCTGGTTTCGATGAGAGGAAGCCGAAACGGGCAATTGTGGATGACTGGTGCGTGAAATGACTTGATTAATAAAGTGTTTGCTTTCCAATACTCCGCTGCTTTGGTTGCGGACTTGGAAGAAGGATGGAGAAGGAAAGGGAGAAACGCCGCTCATGGCTTGAGGCAGCAGGGTGAATGGCGAGGATGCAGCTCCGTCGTTGTTACGAGTATAAGAGGACGAAGGGGAACCAAAAGATGGCGCCATTCCATATCATCACCATCATTCAACAGTCTCAACCGTTTTACAGCTAAAGCATAACCACCAAAAACCACTACTTCGACTTTCGTCTGCAGCCATGTCTCTCCCAGCCCTCAAAGAGTACCGCCGAAAGCCCTATGAGGCCACCTCCCCCTCGCGACCAGAACTCAACCAGTCTGGCAAAACCATCGTTGTCACCGGAGGCAACAGTGGCATCGGATATGCCATCGCTCGCAACTTCATCAAGGCTTCCGCCAAGCGAGTCATCATCTTGGGTCGCCGCCCCGACGTCGTAAAGTCTGCTGCCGACAAGCTAGCTCAGGAGGCAAAGGAGTTTGGCTCCTCCACACTGGCCGAGGGCAGAGTCTGCGATATTGCAAGCCTCGAGTCGACCGAAGCGCTCTGGTCGGGTTTCGAGAAGGAGGGCATTGTCATCGACGTCCTGGTTCTCAATGCTGCAGCACACGGAAACGTTGCCCCTATTCTCAAGAATGGCCTTCGCAACGTTTGGGCCGATTTTGAGGCCAATGTGCGCTCTTCGCTAGACTTTACGGAGAGATTTTATAACCAGAAGGGCAAGGGCGCAGATTCGCGCAAGGTTAGTTTGAGCTTTCATCTTCTTTGCAATTCTGGAAAGGGTCAAGAGAAAGAGATATTAATCGATACTACCACAGTTCTTGGTGAATATCTCTTCCATCGTCAGCTACATGTGGGCTTCAATGGCCCCCGAGCGTCCAAGTTACGGCTTGACCAAGAACGCTGGCACTACCTTGGTTCAGCAGATCGCCAAGGATACCGATGTCAACGATATGCAAATCGTGAGCTTCCACCCTGGAGGTGTTCTCACGGATATGGCTCGCAGCGCTGGTGTCAGCGAGGACAGTGGCATCCCTTTTGATGATGGTATGGTTCTAAATTCCCCTTTCTCGCAATCTACCTCCTGAGATGAGAATACTAACACCGATGTACAGAGAATCTTCCGGGTCAAATGGCCGTCTGGGCGGCCAGCCGAGAGGCCGAGTTTCTGCACGGTCGATTTGTTTGGGCCAACTGGGATGTTGATGAGGTCAAGGCCGTTCTGGGCAAGCAGATTGCTGAAGATTCGAACTTCTTGAAGGTCGGAGTCGAGGGATTGTCCGAGAACCTCCCCAATCCCATGATTCCTCCTGAGATGCTTGAGAAGATTATGAAGTTCCAGCAAGATCTCCAGGCAAAGCTTGCTGCACAGAAATAAGGAGAATATGAGGAGAAATCACTATACAAATGGAATTTTTGTACAATATTGCAATTCATTATAGCTTTTACGTCAAGTAAATCATATCGCAACACTTTCTTCGATATTGTAAAATACTATCTACGTAAATAAGATATAGGGTAAGAAGCCAAGGTACTCAATTCCCTCCAGCAGGCTGTGTGTATATCACCAATCCCGGTACTCCGTACATACAGGTAGGTACTCTTCATAGTCGAAATATTTACATGTGATTTATTCTTCCAATGATGTAAACTACGATACTACCCCCCTTCCCTTCTTATCACACCACGTTGTATTACCTGTACTTCAAGACAAATTATCGTGATAAAATTCTCTTCATTGTTTTCGACTACTGGCATCAACATACATTCCGCACAATTCTATCCTTGAAATAGTGTAATACGGCGTCCCACTGATCAAATATTGCACTAGTGAATGCAGATATATCACCTCCAACATCATCCCCACTGCAGTCAACAAAGGGCAATAAATCACATTACACATAACCCTTTGGAATCGATCCATCAAGCTTGGCAGATGAACTATACTAGTCTCGTAATTTTTAGCTTCTGTTAGAGGTGAACTACCGGCACTATCACTTGGGACGCCTCTATTCGGAACTTTTTTTTACGCGTTGGACCAACAGCTTCAGCCTGTTGATCGGCAAATCGGCGTATAAGGAGTAATCAGGAACGCTGTCCCCTTTAGATAGAATGGAGTCGGCGTCTTGCTTTGGACGGTGTTGGCCGGACTAGTTTGAGCGATCATCGCTTGTTGGGTTGGGTCCAACGCTCTTCGATGGGAGGGGGGGGGGGGGGTGGAGAATATGCTGTAGAGTATCTTCTCTAGGATTGGAAAAAACGATTAAAATAATACTTTGAGATACAATATTACTAAGAATAACACTGAGTTTTAATATAATTTTACTCTTAGACTGTCAGGGTTGTCAATAAAGCCCAGAATTCGACACAAAGTTACAATTTTGTTCACGGAATACTACTCCACAAATCATGGAAGAAAGTATTGCTTCCCGCCATTCAAAAATTTTCAGGATAGCTATCCCTTAGTATCGTTATGCTTGAATATGTAAAGAATGTGTCGATCGGACATGTCGTGCCTGGCCTTCTCGATGAGCGTTGGCTACCACATTCCGCATATATACAGGCTAAAGGAGAAAACTTTAGTTGCCAGGGCATGAGAAGACTGCTTTTCGACGCGAAAAGCACGAAAAATCCGGTGACAGACTTGATAGAAATCCAACGCGACTCGGGAGTGATTATGGGCATGGATATGGCGTCGTGTCAGGCTCATACGTATATAAACCCGATAGCGATGACACTTCATGCTTTCTCATCAGCAAGCATCAACCCAATCTTAGCTTGGAACATTCTTTTGTATGATCATCTCATCTGTCATTATCATCACTGTCGAGAATGAAGAGCTGGCTCAGTGTTCGGTCTGCGGCCATCTTGGGCGCAGGCTTCTTTCTGCCGCCTGCTAGTGCAAGAGAAGTCGAATGTCCTAATCCTGCGGAGATTGTCATCCATGAACCTGCAGAACTCATTTGCTGCGGATCTACTATGTCAACTACCTATACTCGGTAATCTTCTGTCTATACTATGATTGAGCGTACAGGCTTCAAGGGAATGTGACTGACAGATTGTGTAGAATTACTACAGAGTGTTCGGGTATTCCTGCTTATGTTACACCTGGAGTCCCAATCCCTGAGGCAGAATGTGTGACTACTACTCAGCCTTGGACTGGGACTGTGACTGAGACGATTACAATTCATGCTAGTGGTAGGGCTCCAGGCACGAAAATTATAAAAGTCCCTGGAGGAAACCCAGACTGTATTACAACTACTATTGGCTGGACTGGCACTGTGACGGAAACAGTTACAATTCCTGCTTACGGCAAGGGCCCAAGCACAATAATCGTCAAGACTCCTTGTGAACATCCCGACTATATTACCAAAACTGTTCCTTGGACCGGAGCTGTCACCGCTACGGCTACAGTTCCCCCTTACCATGACAAGCCTGGTGAGATCATTATCAAGACTCCCCATGCCCATGGCCCTCTCTATGTTACCAAAACTCTTCCTTGGACGGGAAGCATGACAGTCACCTACACGGAGCCTCCCAGAGGAACCAATCCTGGAACAGTCATCGTCAGGACGCCCCAGAAGTATGTAACCGAGGTAATTCCCTGGAGTGGAAGTATTACGCATACCCGTACTATAGCGCCCTCTGGAACTCATCCTGGTACTATAATCATTGAGACACCTACTATATTCAGCCATGGGACGAAACCGACATCGTTGTCAAAGTCGGCTACATCATCCAAGCCAACCACGTCGTATGGAACAGCATTTGGGAGGCCCACCGATTCTCATGGGACACATACGTCGACAACACTGAAGCCCACCACTTCTTCGAAACTGAATACATCTGAGAAGCCAACATCATCTGGGCATATCTCATCTCACGGGACCACTACCTCGCACAGCAGTGGTTCGTCCCATGCCACCACATCGTCCCATGGATCTTTATCATCTCACGGAACTTCATCATCCCATGGTTCTACCTCTTCTCATGGTTCAACTTCAACTCATGGAACTTCGTCTCCTGAGACAGCATCATCTCATGGTACTTCATCCTCACATGGATCTACTAGCTCGCACGGCTCTGTTACCTTATATGGCTCTACGTCGTCTCATGGGTCAACTTCAACCTCATCTCATGAGACTGCATCTTCTCATAGATCTGCAAGTTCTCAGGTCTCCACTACTGCCTCACATGGAACAACTACATCCCATGTAACCGCATCTTCGTCGCATGGAACCACGTCGACACATGGATCATCTTCGGCACATGGAACAGCCTCAGAACATAGTTCAACCTCAGTGCATGGAACAGACTCAACTCACAGTTCAACCTCAACCCATGGTTCAACCTCAACCCATGGTTCAACCTCAACCCATGGTTCAACCTCAACCCATGGTTCAACCTCAACCCATGGTTCAACCTCAACCCATGGTTCAACCTCAACCCATGGTTCAACCTCAACCCATGGTTCAACCTCAACTCATACAACCGTATCATCGCATGGAACGTCGTCATCCTCATTACATGGATCTACAACCTCGCATGATACTGCTTCTACCCATTCGACCACATCATCGCATCCATCGACATCGTCTCATGGTACCTCAACACATGGAACTTCGTCGTCGCATGTAACATCCTCATCGCATGGAACCTCGTCGACGCACAAATCTTCTTCACATAGTTCTACGACCTCACATGGAACAACCACATCCCATGGTTCAACCTCAACGCATGGAGCTTCGTCATCTCATGGAACCACGTCGACGCATGAGTCCTCATCACACAGCTCTACACATGGAACATCTACGTCTCATGGTTCAGTCTCAGCACAGGGAACTTCATCATCACACGGAACCACATCGACCCATGGGTCTTCATCACATGGTTCAACCACCTCGCATGGCTCTACTTCACATGGCTCTACTACCTCCCATGGAACAACTACGTCCCGTAATCCAACCTCAACTCACGGAACTACATCTCACGAGACCACATCGTCCCATGGTACTTTGTCATCTCACGGATCTACGTCTTCACACCAAACCTCATCATCCCATGAATCAACTGTAACCCATAGTAGTACATCATCCCACGGGAGCACTTCATCTCATGGATCTACTTCCCACAGCACCGGCTCGTCATCTCATGCAGCAACAACTTCTCACGGATCAACGAGTTCTCATGAAACAACTACATCACATGGGTCTACATCCTCCCATGGAACAGCCTCATCGCATGGATCTACTTCGACACATGAGACAAATACATCGCATAGTACATCACACGCATCTACATCATCGCATGCAGCTACCACCTCATCTCACGGAAACACTTCGTCTCATGAAACCACTATATCGCATGTATCCACATCGACCCCAACATCTCATGGGACATCATCTCACGGGTCAAACAGCTCACACGGCACCTCTACATCTCATGAAACTTCATCTCATCCAACTACTACATCCAAGCAAACCTCATCACATGGCACTACCTCATCCCATTCAACCTCTTCGGCCCATGGGACGACTAGCTCTCACGAAACAACATCATCACACTCGACCACTTCGTCCCATAGTACTGCTTCATCGCATGAGGGTAGTTCATCAAAACCAACATCCTCTCACTCTACAACCTCGTCTCATACAGCCAACTCGTCTCATGGAACCACTAGTTCCCACGGAACTACATCACACTCAACCACTTCATCCCACACAACGTCTCACGGAGGTACCTCATCGCATGAGACTAGTTCATCAAAACCAACTTCCTCTCACTCTACAACCTCGTCTCATACAGAGACTTCATCTCACGGGACATCCACACATGGAGCAACCACGTCTCACGGAACTACATCTCACGACGCTACTTCATCTAAGCCAACGTCTTCCCACTCCACAACCTCGACTCATGTGACAACTTCTTCTCATGGAACAACCACCACACGCTCTACCGCTTCCTCTCATCCCACCGCGTCCTCCCACTCCACCGCATCTTCTCACTCCGCCACATCTTCCCATAGTCCTACTAAGTCCCACAGCACCACATCAAAGCCAACGACGACGCCATAATCCTCCGATTACTTAGAATGACTAATTCCTATTGTGCGGCTTCGTGAAAGGTCCAAATCTTCTCTGGTTTTGGCTCCGATAATGCATTCGCAGAGATCTTACAATCCAGAACTCTTACCAGAATCTTTCCTTCTAGCTATTTGCAGTAGTGTAAGATTCTTCAAAGGGTGGATTTTGCTGCAGATTGGTATTATTCGTATCCTAATTTTAGGGTAATGGTGTTTTCTTGCAACCAAGCTGGAGGTCACTATCACACCGGGCGGCCAAGCGTTCGATGGCGTGTCAGATGTTAAAAGAGATAGCAAGCTAAGCTAGAAGTTGTTTCGTGGGGCTCTTTGAGGATGAGATGGAGTGTTTCCCCGTGTTTGTTGACTCTCTGGGATTCTTATCTGAGGTTTTTGTACTACATTGATACCACTCATAAAATGAAAAAAAAAAGGCAGTTGTTTTCTAATGTCAATAATCTGTTTCTTCATGAAATCTAGCACCGAAACAATCTTAATCACATAAGTGAACATAGTATCGCTTTCATTCGCCTGATCTACATCGATTGCTACCCCCTTATAAGCACTAATTCTATGCTTCTGAGTCCGAATCTGTTGATCCTGAAGATTCTGACGACGCGTCATCATCTGGTGTGTCATCGGGTGTGTCTTCAAACTCTGGACCTTCTTCCTCGTAAGTGTGATCGGCAGGATGCACCAGATCTCTATGCGAATAACATTTCCAACACAAATCAAAATCGGTGCACTTGTTGCAGTGATAGGCAAAGCCATAAATACTCTGTATAACTCCATTAGTGAAATTGAACCTTGCCACTCACGGATCTGGAGGATGGAAGCATGATTAAGGACGCCATTAATGAAAACAGAAGTACTTACGCATCGGCAGGTATCGCATGTTGCTGTCCGACGGTTTCCTTTTTTGGACTTGTCTTCTTCGGACTCTTCCTGTGATCCAGATTTCTTTTCCTCATTGTCTTTTTCATCTGCAGAAACAAGGCCATTCTTCAGCAGCTCAATCACTTCTTCATCTGCACCAGAGAATCTAGCCACCTTCAATGGTGTCCACTTCTGCCCCCCAACGGAGACTTGGACAGAACGATTGGCACCATTCTCAAGCAAAAGCTTTATCACCTTTACCAATTCTTGCGGCTCGCCTGCGTGTTCTTGATCTAGCCAGTTGTTGGGACCACGAGCCGCCCAGCATAGAGGGGTCCAGCCGTCGATATCCGGCTCGTCGATCGCTTTTTTGTTGGGCAAGAGGGATATTATCTTTTCAACAACCTGGAATCTTCCGGGCTGTGCTGCCCAGTGTAATGCGGTTCGGCCCATACCGTCTCGTACGGCGATGTCGCCCCCTGCCTCGAGGATCGCGTCAAAGTTGTCGATGCCATGGAAAGCAGCAGCATGAATAGGCAAGCGACCCATAGGATCTAGAACATTGACAATTGCTCCTTTGTCTAAGAGTGTTTTGATTGTGACTGGAGTTGCAGCATAAGCGGCCGCGTGGAGAGCAGTACCAACAAAGCCACCCTCTAATGTCACATCCGCTCCATGATCAAGAAGATAGTCGACCATCTTGTCGATAATGCGATCTTCACCAGTTGCGTATGGTATACACGCTGCCTGCAGTGGGGTTCCAGCGATACCAAAATCGGTGACCTGATTCACGTTGGCGCCATTCTCGACGAAAAATTTCAAAAGGTCCCATTTTGCGTATCTACAGGCTTGAAGGACGGGGGAACCATCACAAGGTGAGGCGAGGTGAATATCAGCGCCGTGTTTGACTAGGTATTGAGCACGCTCTAGAAAGCCGCTGTATGACGCTATTGTGAGAGGAGTATCGCCCCTTTTTTTGTCCTGAATATTCATATTTGCTCCGGCATTGATTAGGAGCTTGAAATTCTCCATTGACACATCGGTCTTGTGGAGAGCTGAATATCCGTCCTTGTCAAGTTGGTTCAAATCAATTCTGGACGGAAACTCCAAAAGAACAGAGAGCGTATCTGCTGCGGCGGCCTGGTGTAAAACGGGTACACCCTGTTCTGATACCCGCTTAAGATCGGCTCCACGCTCTGCTAGTATTCGAACGGTTTCTTTAGAGGCCTGTGATACGGCGCAAGATAGAGCTGTCCAGCCCCTCTGATTCTCATCATCTCCATCATAGGCCAATTCTATGTCGGCATTGTGATCTAGAAGCAGCTCCAAACTTTCGGTGTAGCTGAACCAGGCAGCATGCATGAGACTGGTAAAGCCTGCGTTCTTGCTGCTGTCTGGATCGGCACCGTTTTCGAGCAGTGACCGAACAATATCAGGGTCTGGGATAGCAAAATACAGAGGAGTTAGGCCGCTTGTTGTCATCTCGTTAACTTTGGCCCCTTTCTCCAATAGTAGTTTCACCAGTGCTTCTTCCCTATCTAGCGCGGCAACGTATAACGTTGACTCATTATCTGAATTCAGAATGTTGACATCTGCACCGTGATCAAGGAGCCGTTGGACAAAATCCATTCTCTGGTTGCTTCTGCAGGCATGGATTAGTACAGGCGTCCCAGCAGCATCCTTTGCGTTAACGTCGGCATTGTGTGAAATAAGGAAATCGAAAATTTCCATTTGGTTCTCACTGGCTTCGTAATCAGTAATTATCTGTGTGAGAATTGGAGGCTGGATCAGTGTGCTGTTAGGATCTGCACCACTGTCAACCAGCATTTGACAGATGTTTAGATGGCCCTTCACAGCTGCATATCGCAGAGCTGTGCCCCATTGGGAAGGGCCGGGAATATTTGGGTTGGCTTTCTTATCAAGAAGAAGCTTCACGGATTTTTCATACCCGTCGTCAACAGCAACTATGAGAGGCGACCACTTTTGTGGTGGATCATCGGGTTTGATACCCATGTTTGGGTCTGCTCCCAGCTCCAGCAACACTTCAACGACGTGATGATGTCCCCATAAGCATCCAAAGTAGAGAGTCGTAAAGCCATCTTCGTCTTTGATTTCCATATCGATCTTCCCTTCTTCGACTAGGATTTTGGCGATCTCAGCATGACCTTGCCCAGCCACATGATGGATGGCAGTTCTATCATAAAGATGGCGAGAAGTTATATCCGCATTGTGCTTGATAAGGGTACGAACAATGCCTGCATGGAAATTGCGAGCTGCTTGAGAGAGTGGCGTGGCCTTAGTGATAGATGTCCAGTCAGCTTCGATGTCAGGAGGATACCCTAAATCGAGTATGCGATCGGCGAATCGATCAAGGCCAAGCCATGCTGCTCTGTGAAGGAACAAGGGAGGCCAAGCAGTAGTATCAGGGCTTGGGTTAGTTGAAATGATGCGATCAAGCATATCCAACATCGTTTTCTCATCTCCGTAAGCTCCAGCGGCTTTAATGACATCCATGAGGGCTGATTCCGACATATCAAGTCCTTTAATGAGCGTAAGAACAGTCTCTGACTGGCCTTTTGAGGCGGCCTCAAGTATGCCTCGGCGGGTGTCTGCCTCATCTCGTGCTTTAATCACGTCAATTAAACCAAGGCCTGCGAAAATGGGAAACAGTGTATCTAAACAGGTAGTGCTCCTGGTAATTGGATTTGAAAGCGCCCAGTAACCCCTTGCCCAGCTGCTCGCTAAATCGGCAGATGCGGACTGAGAAAGAAGTTTTGACAGATCAGGTTTAGGAGAGCTAAGCACGAAATGATGCGTCCAAGCCTGAAGAGCGTAAGAGCATAAATTTCCTCGATCTGCAAACGTAGGCGACTCGTAAGATTCTTCGTCCGTGACTTGAAAAGTCTTGCTGATATAGTCTTGTACAGCTGGCTGAGAGAGATATTTAAGACAGAGCTGAGCAATATCAAAATGAGCAGTTTTCTTAATTTCGCTCCATACAAATTGGGTCTCGTCAGATTTATCGCCATCCAGGGCCATGAGGATGTTTCTCAGTCGTGGATGCCAAATCTTGACTTCATTATGTTGTATAACCACAATACCGGCAAGCCACAATTTGACGTTGGTGATTAGTTTGTCCACTGCTGTCGCATCAGGAGAGACCTGTCCCTCCTGACCAGACTTGAGGTAAATCACCGTTGCCAGCTCCCAGGTGGTGAGTGGTCGTACAGAGTAGAGAAGCCACGTTAAGAGTTGTCGTAGAGTGTCCGGTTCGGAGGCATTCTTAAGGACCCAGGCCAACAGTTGTTTCAGATTCCCATCGTCATCACCAGCTGCCGATGAATCGAGCGTCAGGGATTCAAGCATAGTCTCAATGGATGTTTCACCGGGCCAATCCTGCCGTACTGCTGCTTGTTCCCAAATGATATGCTTGATGAGGGGGTCGTACTTGTCAATGTATTGGAATTGTCTCTCTATAACACTGGGTTCGAAGTGAAGTTCCGGTCGCGCCGTAAGTAGCCGCGCCATATCATCTTTGGCATCGGCATCGGCGATGCTGATTAGGTCTTCCCCAGATGCATCAAGATCAAGATTAACGCACCAAGGGCCGGCAAGCTCTTCTGAAAGAGCGCCTGGCTTGTGGCTTGTGACGACGACTTTCCACGAATTCTCACTTGCCTGTGAGAGATAGGCAAAGTTGTCGAGAAATTGCTTTCGAGAGCCCTTGGTACACTCATCGAAGTGATTGATAACGAACATGACGTGCTCAACCTGCTCGGTGAACCTAAAGCGCTCGAACCAGTAAATCAGATCTGCCTCTGTCCATCCACGCTCTTCGTGAAAACGTGTAAAGGTCAATTTGATACGGTCTGAGACACCGGGATAAAAGCATAAAATTTGAGCCAAAAATGTGGCGAGCATGTCTCTAAGAGAGTCACACCTAACATCGTGTTTATCGAAGGAAAAATAGAGCACCATTGAAGTACTACTCTTGAGAGCATGCTCCTCCATGATATAAAACAGCTGTTCAGCTGTTTCACGCACGTGTTTCGTGCCATGAACGTAGAGCATTTGTGGACCGTGGTGTTGAAGCCAATCTTTGACATGTTGGGAGTCTTCAATTGTTGCATTGTCGCGTTTTCCGCTTTGTAAAGGAAATACAGGTGAAGCAAGAGCTAAAATCTCTCTCTCGTAGCGGAGCTGCTCTGAGCTTACCGGAGAGCTCAGGGCTAGATAAGTCCGATATTAGCTGTCTTCTCATGACATTCAGGCATCTTCTCGACATCCAAGCAAAATCTCACCTTTAAGCAGCCCTTGAAGGCACTCAGTGATAATAGAATCACCACTAGGCTCTGGTATTCTCTTCTCCATCGGCACTCCGAGTGTTGCGCTGTAAGAGTCAAACGCCTTCATGCCACCGTTAGCCTACGCGTTGCTCACCCTAAGATCGCATTCATATTTTGATAATACCGCGTCTTACCTTATTCATGCTGGGCGAATATCCTTCCGCGTAATGAACGCTAACTGCTCGGCTACGGAGAGTGATTTTTGACTCAATAAACAGGCCATTGATCTCCATAGCAGCCGCTGCAAATCCAGAAATAGCAGACGCCGAGGGTCGAATCTCTGCTATTCCTGAGTCAAAGCCACCGAAAAGAAATCGAGATAATCTGTCTTCCATATCAAAGTGGTCAACGCTTCGATGAGGAGAGCCGAGAAAGACCTGTTATTAGTTAGAACACGGATGACTCTCGTTTCCACATACAATTGGTAGCTTTACCATAACACGGCTCATTTCTACAATGTCCATCCAAGAAGCTGTGTCAAGGGCTGCCGCAACCAATGCCTAATGAGTCTGAAGGTTAGCATTCAAGGCGTTCAGTACCAAGTGAGGCCTTGAGATCAAACGTACATCTTTGACTATGAGTCCTCCGATATCATGGGCAACAAAGATAATCAGCCGCTTCTATAAGCATGGTTAGTCAGGTCAACTGCGTGGGCTTACTCAAGGATTTCCATCCAGGCCTACGAACTTGAGTTTCATGCCTTCGCCGGGCAGCCAATGCCCTCAGTAACTTGAGGGCGCAGTTTTGGATAGCTTGGCGGCTTCGTCGACCACAAAAAAGCTGGAGCGGCTCGTACTCAAAACGAAGGATTCTCGAAGGCTCGAGTGACTGTGCATAGTTTGAGACCCATTCACTACTCCCAGAGCCGGGTCCTGCCCGGTATTCGTTTTCCCATCCGCCATAAACACCATGGATTACTACAAAGCTAATTTGATGGTTCGAAGTTAGGTATTGGAATCGCTCACTCAGATTTGGTTTAGATACATACTCTGCAGCCACGGAGGCGGGATCTGGGCTTCCCTCGCTTTTCCACGTAACATGAAGGGGTTCGGCATCTGGATCTACCTCCTCCTCTACCTGAGGGTCTGTCTCAATTTCTGGCTGATCAGCCTCCGAGGTTGAAGATGGAGTCTCTTCTTGCGGGGATTTGCTCTGAGTCCCGTCGGCAGTGGTTGATTCTGTTGCAGGTTCTTGTTCCACCTCTGGCACAAATCCCGGCTCCGGTGTACCACCCCGCGGCGAGTCGGATGCGCTGGAAGAGGATGAAGAACCCGAATCAGACATCTTGAGGTTTGGTGCGGCCTATCAAGCGTGAGCGGCCAAAGTTATTGCATATATAAACCTTTACGGCATCGGTCTAAATGCCGGCTTGCGAACCCGAATGGGTAGCGTGGGAGACAGAAGCAAATATGCTCTTACGGAATGCGCGAGCGGATAGTATGCTAAAGACACTACCCAGCGCCCACTATGAAGCACCAGCGAATATGACGCCGTTGACGATAATGAGAAAGTGTATGAAGTGAGTCGGCTGAGAGAACTTGTCAGAAGCACACGAGGGCTAAGCGTTACAGTACTCGTATGGCTTCACCACAGGCCTCGACGATGATGAACCCCTCCATTGACCACAATTGCCTGAGTACTCGTAATGAGTAATCCCAACAGGGCTGAGGACTGAACAAGAGCTGAACAGCAAAACCCCCGTATGCAGATAGCATAGGCTTGGCTCCGCAAGTACCTCAGAAGTACCCTCCCGAAGATCTGACATGCATACGGGGTTCGCGCTCGCATCGGTTAGAAGGCGTGATGATCTATCAGTTGCGCCAAGATTGACATTGGTCAACTCCCTCTTTCATGAGGGGCTGTGCCTCTTGTTTGCTGGGCAGAGCCTCATCGTTTCTGCGCACTGTGCCATCCCCGGGCCGTTCCATGGGAACGAAGGAAGACTGAGGCGCTAAAGACAAAGGTCTAGGGCACCCTGATCCCTGCTCTAAATAGCTCGAATCCCGGATGTGATACTACACGGACCAATGGAATCAACTTAAGCAGTGAAATACTTTGAGCAACATCCGGAGACTCTTGAGCACAACTATGAGAGTGGTGGTTGGTACAATAACACATGACTGTTAGACGGAAATTTGTGTATGTAATTAATCAATCTGCGGCAAATCAGAGACTTGTGTTACACAGACAGGGATCAGAGTAAGGCTGGCGGATCACTGACCTCTCCGAATTCCTCCCACAACAACTCTAATACTACTGTCAGGGTGGTAGTGATGGAAGATGGTGGGATGATGTCGGGTCTAGGCGCCGCTATTTATGGCACTATTTTCACCACCACCTCGTGATGCAACGTGCATATATGTGGTACTAACAGTGGCTACGAGTTCGCCTTGTGAGCCTGACGGTTAGTATTAGCAAATGGAGGGGACTTGCGTTATCATATTCGTTTACGTCCTATATGTGAATTCCGTACAATTATTCTTCCTTTCTCTAATACGCCGTATTCTATTACGCCAAGGATCGACGCGTCTCCTTTCACAGAAAATTGTAACGATCAATTGAACGAGCCATGGATCACGACATCAACGGCGATCAAATCCCAGACGACGAAATAGACGAAGTCGAGTTCGTCGACTCAGACCCCGACTCGGATCTCGAATACACATCTGTGAGCATTGGGTTGAATAAGACTGGCGAGCGTGGCAGCGGCTATCATACTCGCAATGACCCTTCTGCTCCATATCAGCGACAAACGGTGACGGAACGCCGAGGAATTATAGAAGTCCGCTGCAAGTCGCGAGATGTGATCCATGGCGTTCTGTCTGAAGAGACGGGAGAGAGCGCAACGCTTCTTGTCTATGACTTTTACCTTGATACAACTCGGAGATCACGGCGAATCGTGTCCGCCTCGCTAGAATTCGAATTTGGAAACGCTGTTCCCGGAGTTCCGGCGCCCCAAGTTCATGCTATTGCTCCTGCGGGCCGTGTGACTCTGCTACCTTCGACCCAGGAAGAGTCGGTCACTCATGGAGCCGAAGTGAATGCGGGTGTGGGCGAATTTGGCGCAAATGCTGGCGGGAGCCTCAAATGGGAAAAGACTGTGAGCCGCACAACAAACGACGACGCCAGAGTGACGGGCCACATTTTCAGCGATGACTACGGCAAAGGCGTTGGCGCGAGCTGGGTTTTGCACGAGAATCCCACGATAAAATCCGGTACACCCAGTTTCTTACGTTGCGCCATCTTGCTTAATCGCGGATTTGACGACAACAAGTTCCAATGCAAAGTGAGGATCAAGGTGGAGGCTGATTGGAAGTCTGAGATGGGTCGATTGTTTGGCTCAACACCACCAGATGACCCAGTCTTGTTCGACCCTGAGATGCCCCCCACTAATAAGCTGCGAAAATATGACACGGAGAACCTGGGCTCCATCGATTTGGATGAATTTACGGATATCATCTTTGACAAAGCATTGAAGAAGAAGGACGCGGCTTAAGGCGACCAAGAAAAGGCGTCAATGATTACTATTCACTTATAAGCAGCAAGTAGTATTAGCTAACAGTCGTTACGTACTGCGTATTCTATATATATACTCCGTACTATTAGCTAGGATTTTATCACTCTTTACTCCGTACTCCGAAGTAGTGTCCACACTCCCAGCTAGCAACCAAGCGTCGTCAAAACTTGCTTTACACTTCAGCATCCAACTATTTTTACAACCTATTTCGGCAAGGGTTTCCTACCTGGGAACTCAGTCACACGAAAATCATGCTTTGCTCCGGACCTTGCTGCAGGGCGCAAATGCTAGCACGGAGACGGTCGTACACGGGACGATGCTTTGACCAATCATTCCAATACTAGGTCTAAGAAAACTGGCTAACAAACCAGGGGTTGAGTTTTAGTCTATGAGTCCGTATCAATTCATACTTTCCAAACTGTAGAGCACACTCGATTGAAGAGCCCCCTAGCAACTGTGTCTCCTTGTGTTTCACGAAGTTGAGTCACAACAACTTAAGAGACGGAAATTCACGCAAACACATATTTCCGTGACCCTTCTGGCTGCCTAGCTAGCTGGGTTGGCTAGTATATACTAGTTCCGTCATGTATGATTGACGCATCACTAATCGGGGGAAACTGGGTTGAGAGTACATTGAGTCTACTTACCAGCCCTGCAAATGATCATGTGGAGCAGCCACAGTCGCTTCTCAAGTCTCGCCTAGTCCACGGTATCCCGGTTGATGCGAGACGAAAGAAGAGGGGGTCATATTTGGGGGCGAAGGTTTGTAATCGCGGCTGAAGATCGTACTGTACCGGGAATTGAAAGTTAACTCCCACCGTAACACTAGCTCCTTCGCATATCCCGAGTTGCTATTCCATAGTTTTTACTGTCAGAGTGCCTTTAGAGCTTTTACCATGAGTCCCCTAATTGACGACGAAGAGAGGGAAGCAGATTCTCTAGCAGTGCAAGAAGAGATTGAGAAGGCAGAGTCGAAAGCTGGCGATGAAACGAGCGAAGATGAATCCGATAGCGATGAAGAAGAGGGAGAGGTCACCAATCGGAATGGAAAGTCCGTTAAAGATCTCCTCGAAGAGATCTTAAAAGAAATACAAGATGGAAAGAGGGATCTTACAAACAGCAGCCAGCTGAAGTCCTTCAAGGCCAATGGCGGCGATGGTAACACCTTGGCGTCCAATACGGGAGATCCTCGCCAGCCGACAGCTTTACACATCATGGCTGCTATGGACAAGAAAGATTTACCAAAGCTAGACAGCAAAATGGAGCCTCTCATCAAATTCTTGGTGGAACATGAAAACGATCTTCTCCGATCACAAGACCGATCAGGCCATACACCTCTATTCTTAGCTATTGAGGCCAAGAAGGAGAAGATGGTGCAGTGGATGTGCGACTCTCACCCGAATATCGGTGTCATCTTGGCCATCTCCAGCAACGATAAAGATAAAATGAATTGCCTCCACATTGGCATCGATAAAAGGGTCAAATTTTTGGACCTGCTCATTGACAGAGCGGAACCTGAGACTCTGGCGGCCAAAGATGGAGATGGTAACACGGCACTTCATCTTGCTGTCGAGTATAAGAAATGTAAAAAGGAGCAGCTAGATATTATCCAGAAAATTATCACCAAGAGCGATGTCGCTGTACAGCATAGTTCTGCAAACGGCGACTTCAACAACGACGGGCTATCACCGTACCTTCATCACAAAGAGAGCGTCAGGAAGGCCTTGGCTCGAGAGAAGGAGAAGGAGAAAAAGAAAGCAAAAGAGGATAAAGAGCGAGAGAAAAGTAATGCTCGTGTTCGTGCTGATGGCGGCGAGGTTGACAACTCCACTCAAAACCGAGAGACAGCGCCAAGATCCCAAGGCTCGGGAGGACCTGGAGCTGCCAGTGCGCAAGCTCCAGACCCCAGCGGACGTCCAGACAGACGACCAAACATCCAGGTTGATTCTTCTCGTACTAAATACGGAGGACGGTCACAGCCCGTAGCGGGCGTGAGCTCGCCGGCTGTGGCCACGGCACCTCCGCTCGTGAATAGGGATGAGTTGAAGAAACTAGCCTTGCGAGTGCCTGAGACGACTGTAGCAAAGCCAGCTGCGGACGCAAGATCAGTTACTGACAGCGGCCACAAATCCAAAGTCGACGAAGCGATTCTTAAGGGGGTAGAACGTCTTTTGAAACTGCATTATCTTCGTTCGCGCAGCTACAACTCCGCCTTGGAAATTTTATATGGACGTAATACAACTTCAGGTATGGAGGACAATTCCTTAACTGGACTATCGTATCCAGATAGACCTGTGATTATGAAGCTAACTACTCTTTAAACAGACTATGAGTTGTATTTTGACCTATCTGGGCATGCGAACATCACTCAAACTGGTTTTGAGAATTTGTTGTCAAAACTTAAGTTTGAGGATATTCTCCAATACGTTGCCATTCCAAGACTTAACGTAGAAGTGAATACGAACGCAGCGAATAGCAAACGGTCTCGTGGTACTGGCCGCTCACCGAAACAAGACGGCGACGGCCGACGAGACTTATGCTACATATTTGATCGTTTGAGAAAAAAGGGAGTGAAGACTATTCTCAAGGTTATCATTGACGACTCAGTTTCTCCTGCTCACAGCGATGAAGCTATTGAAGACGCCTTGAAGTTCATGGACGTGGAAATTTGGGACTGGAAAAGAATAGATTTGTGCTCTGAGGTCATATGCAGAGTGGCATCTAAAGCACGCGAAGTCAACTTATACTGGAGCGGCAATAATGCAGTACTCAGGGGATGGAGTGAGGAGGGCGGTCTAAAGAGACTTAGGGAACTAAAAACAGTCCATCTACACATCCAGCAGGTATGATCCCTTCTGTGGCATGAAACAAATATGCAGCATTTACAGATATTTTTTCTCAGGGTCTTGAAACAAACAGCCGAACCAAGCAAAACGTCGAAGATTTTTGCGATCGCATGAAGAAGCTATGCCCTGGTGTTGATGTCCACAAGGAGTGGCCGATCATACAAAGAGAACAAATGGACATCAATGCTCTCTTAGCCGGAGAGCAAGCTGAACATTCAACCAAACACGAGTGGATCCAGTGCATGAAGGAATTTCGACGCCTGCTCTTTGACGCCGAACGCTACTATGATCGTGGAAAAGTCGAGGAGATTATCGAAGAGCCCATCAAGGTTGCTCTTATCGACGATGGTGTAGACGTAAAGGATTTGGAGTTTAGCTTCATTGGAGGACGAACTTTTTGCACACGAGATGAAGAGCATAATCTCAACGACCCTTACTATGTATCCAGTACTGGACATGGAACCATCATGGCGAAGCAGATCCACTTGCTATGTCCTCGGGCGCAATTTTATGTCTTAAGACTGGAGGATCACGCTTCAGAAGAAGGTAGTCGGCAACTTACGGCTAGAAGCGCTGCTCAGGTATGCTCATCACATAAAAATGGCCTTCTACCCGTGTTGTTTTTACAAGATTTAACCATTTTTTAGGCAATCATGGCGGCAGTGAGGAAAAAGGTACACATCATTTCCATGTCCTGGACAATCGACCCACCCGAAGACGAAGAAGAGAGGCGATTCCTTGACGCTGCGATTGTCGAGGCTGCCAACGCAGATATTCTGATGTTCTGCTCTGCCAGTGATAAAGGCGCCAAGCAGAACGCGACATATCCGTCGAAGGCAACGACCAAAATCTTCACCATTGGCGCTGCTACAGCCTCAGGCGCGGCAGATCCATGGGTTGGTAATCTTGGAAACATCAACTTTACTTTCCCTGGCACCAAGGTCGAAATGGATGGCCCTCGATCTAGCACCGACACCTCGTCGAGAGAAGTCACCGGTTCATCCGTTGCGACAGCTTTGGCAGCAGGCCTTGCCGCTTTGGTTTTGTACTGCGTTCAAGTAAGATTGCTATTAGCGACTGACCAAGATAAGCAAAAGGCACGACGGGATTTCCAGCTTTTGAAGAAGCATGACCATATGATGAAGGCGCTCAAGGACATTGGTACAACGGAGGAAAGCAACCACAAATTCATTGAGGTGTGGGAGGTATTTGGCAAGAAGGTTGAAGAGAAGGAGAGGTATGATCAGGAGAGATGGCTTGATCTGGTTGCTGAAGTGGGCACAATTCTGTGCAGAAAGATTGGTTAGTTTGGTTACATGTAGATGAGAGCCATGAGCATTTCACCTAGGTATATGTGCAGGTGAAGAGAGCAACGAGAGCCGCATTACGGAGTGCACAAACAGAGATTATTTGATTGCTTTAATTTTACTATATCCATTCAATGTAACCTAGCAGATGTTCAGCTTTGATGATTGCTAATTATAAGCATTGAAGCTGGCTTAAATTATCAGCCCGCCAATAAGACGGCACTTGCATTCCTCCGTCTTACACGATCGTCGCCATCACCAAATTGCAGCCTTGCGAGATGTAGCTTGGAAATAAACTACGCGAGGGTTACCTGATTTGGAAGTCGTTTGAGTATAAGCGACTGTCATTCGCCCGATGATTTGCGCCGGCTTGTGCCACCAGGTACCCGCAAAGGGAGCCTCTGGAGATCCATCTGTTGCTATTGTTAGAGCGTGGCGGCGACAAACTTGGCTTCTTCTGGATAGCTCTGGTCGAATTGAAGATTGACCACAGCTTCGAAGATCAATTATGTCTTTCAGATCCATGGATGTAGGATCGATTGATGGAGATGACTTTCAGCCGCAGGCTCCATCTTGATCTAATTTTGGCGGTATTTTCTATAAACAGTCTCAATTGATTGAGGGCCTAGGACTTTGTCGGGATAAGCAAAACCTTGTACCAATGGAGGATATGGAAGGAGATTTCAGATCTCCTTGATGTTCGCAAAGCTTTCTCGGAAAGGAAAACTAGGACCAGGATGGAGAGCTCTGAGGCCCAATGAAATGGGTATAAAAGATGGCCCGTATCCTCACCATGTTGTTTGAACTCATCACTCTCATCCCAGATCGTCATTCGAACACTCAATCACCAAAACATCTATTCTATCCTACTAGTCAAATATTACCCACCATCTTCTCAAAATGAAGTTCACCGCCATCATCGCCTTGGCTCTCGCCTCTGTCTCCGTCAGCGCTTATCCCATCACTGGCGAAGCTGTCAACTGTCGCACTGGCCCAGGCACCAGTTTCGCCATCAAAAAGACATACAAGAAAAGCCAAGATGTCTCTGTAACCTGCCAAACCTCAGGTACCAGTGTCAATGGCAACTCTATCTGGGACAAAACTTCCGATGGCTGCTATGTCGCCGACTACTACGTCAAGACCGGCTCCAGCAGCTATGTGACCAAGAAGTGTGACTCCTCTCCCAAACCTCCTAGCGGTGGCAGCAAGATTCCTGGTCCTATGACCAACGACTACCCGTACAAGAACCAGTGTGGACCGGTCGATAAGTGGGCGTATTTCAAGTGTCAATGCACCAGCTTTGTTGCTTGGCGCATCAATGAGCGCTTGGGCATCAAGTTCCATAACCAGTACAAGGGCACAAACTGGGGCAACGCGAATACTTGGGACGAAGCCGCCCGCCGAACTGGCGTTGCTGTCAACAACAAGCCTGTGCCTGGGTGTATCGCTCAATCAAATGCAGGCAAAGCGGGACACGTTGCTTGGGTGTCAAAAGTTGATGGCGATAAGGTGACTATTGAAGAATATAACTGGGCGCACCCTGAAGGATATGGTACTCGAACAGTGGCCAAGAGCAGCTTTAACTACATTCACGTCAAGGTGTGATTTTGAGTTGGAACATTCGTGATGATAGTAATAGTTTGGGAGAGTCTTCTTTTGAACCGGATAATACAGCAGGGGCATCATGAAAGCGATACTATCCAGCAATAAATTTCCATTCTTCATTTCAAAAATTTTAATATTGTGAAGGGATATCAGTATCCAAAAAGTGAAACCGCCATCAAAGTAATTTTGCAGTTAATTTATTTACTACCTGTAGCTAGTTGACTAGCCATCAGATTATCACGTATTCGACACGCCCTTCCACTACCCAACATTGATCGGACGTTACTTCGGAATAATTGCTTGACGTTTAAATTTGCCTCCAGTTAAGCCCTTGTTATTTTTAGAAGAAAAAAATAGGTTTCTCGCTATTAATATTATATAAAGGTTTACTCTCCCGGCTTCTCGGCTTTCTCTCGTTATCACGAGGTTCGGAAACGACAGAGCGTACGCCACGATCGTCTACGTGGCTATCTCTCGAATATGGCGGTGGTTTGTTGTTGTCATTTTCACGAAAGTCTCTTTCTGCCCGGCGCTTCCTCTTGCTTTCGGTAGACAACTCTGAAGCCACCAACGACCTTCGCATAGACCCTAGTGAATTGCTTCAATCCTCCAAGTCTTCGACACCATATACGGTATGAAGAGCGCTAACCTCATTATCGAAGAGCGAGACCCTCCAGAGCTCAGTACCCTCATCGCCCAGTACGGACAGGCTAGAACGTTCCTTAATAAGGCGGAAAGAGATAGTTGAAGCCTCGTCTAGGCGATCTCGTCGCTTTTTCTCCTTTAACGTCTCTTTAGCATTCGACCTACTCCTAGTACGGCGATGTAGATTCTCAATGAAATAGCACATACTTATAGCGATATTCTCTAAGATCATGGTCTGCTTTAACAGTTATCTGATGAGAACGTAATAAATGACTTCGGAAGTTGTCGGCTCTTGGCCACAAGCTTTCCTTTTTACGAGCGCAAGTCATCCATTCGAAGACGTGGGGCCTCTGCTCATTGGCTTCTCCTTGCTCGAATTCCGCACGTATGGCCAAGATTTGGGCTTCACAATCTTTTAGGAGGCCTAAGCAATCCTCTGCAGGGAGGTTATAGGCTTTTGCCAAAAAGGTTGATAGACGTTCTATGTCTTGCAAATCCTCCCGCCTTAGTGAGGTATGGTCTGATATGATTCTGCTTTTGCTCACTTTGTGTATTTGGAAACTGGTATTGATAACTTGCACACGTTGGTAGCGACCAATGACTTCGTCATCAGTACGAGGTATTGGTGGCCTCGGTCTGGGATATGGTTGCTGACGTCCATACCCCTGTGAGTTGGATTCCTTGGGATTTGTGGTGGTTGATGTGGTTTGGTAATTTGAATCGTTATCTTGTATCTCTATGTTCTGAACTTCTTCGATACGGCGATAAGTCAAGCCACAGGAGCTATTTTCTTAATTTACAATCTTCTTTGACGAAGTCGGTGTGAGGTACGCACCATTTTATTTGTTCTTCTGGAGCACCACGATTCTCTAAATGGCACGAAGGGCATTCTGTAGATGATAGATAACGCCGCCGGAAGATCATGCTCATATATAACGTTTGACCAGGCTGCTAAGTTAGAAGGCATGTACGTGTATGCATCTTTTTAAAGCTCAGGTGGCTTACCCTTATGAGTGATCCCCAAGATTCTTTAAGATTGAGGATCTTCCCCGTATCTCGATCCTCAAGGAACCATTCTTCTCGCTCTATCTTTCCTAATCCTAAGTCATCAAACATTCCTTTGAGAACCTCAATGAAGAGCTAGAGCATGTCAGCGTCAAATCGCCACGTTAGAGAGGATTGAAACCTTGTTACTGGTTACTGACTGGCTTTGTACGAATAGTTTCCAAGTAAAAGCGAATGGGTCGATTAAGTGCATCAATGACCGTGACACAGCCATCGTATGAGAGTTGCGCAGGGAGTTGTCCAACGAGGCGAATAAAATTTGATACTTGTTGTCGGAGGTGTGCGTTGTACTCTTTGAGGCTCTTGTTCTCGGCTCGCAATCCAGCAATCAGAATCTCAAAATGAGTTTCCCGCAGAGTCCCAGATAAATTAGCTCGGCAAACTGGGGATAAATTAGCCTAGCACTCCACAACTACTCATAATCAAACCCAATAAAAGCCATCACTAACCACCTGAGATGGCCTGCGACGGTTTGTCTGTCTTACAATACCGTTCTAGCATAGCCTTAGCCGCAGAAGCTGATGTCGCAGCCGCAAATCGTTGCCATTTGTCGCTTTTATGACAATCTGCATAATTGCAAACCCCTTTAACGATGATACAAGGCAGTTCCTCCCAAGCGCCAGCGCCCTCAGTTTCGAAAGCAATGACGTTTTGTTCTCTTGATATTTCATCCCGATGTGCACCGGAATTCATCACTGTATCGCCTGATGCGATGGCCCCGAAATGAATGACCGGCTCCTGAGCTCTGGCATCATTGGTATTCTCTAGCTGTCGTTTCTGATCAAGCCGGGCTCTAACCACGAGATATCTGTCTTCACATTTTAATTCATGGCAATATGAGTCTCGAGCCGGGTCGCAAACCTCCAATTGGCCGCTCTTACCACAGATGCATATGCGTGAAGCACGATGTTTGTGGCGATAAGTTGACTCAAACAGCTTGTCCTCAGCTGTGCCAGGATAATTGTAGTTTTGACGATTCTTTTGGATCTGTCTTAAGAAGTAGGCGGTTCTTTCATGTAATCGTTCCAAGCCAAGCTCAGTCTCTAGTGTGACTAGTAGGTTTCGGATATCCTTCACTGGTTTGCCAAGGTTATCGTCCAAGGTGTTTTTACGTACAATATCGTCTGTATACTGCTTGAGAAAGTCGTATTGAACTACAGTCTTGCTGATAACCACATCGCCGAGCAAAATCTCGTTCTGGTCCAGTCGAGGCACTCCACCACAGATGCCGACAAGCAGAACAAGTTGTAAGGAGCCATAGCTCGAGCGCAGACCGGCAACTGCGCTCGCTGTGTTGGCTTTACCGATATTGGGAAGGAGCGCCAATACGACATTGAATTTGCCAATACGACCAGTTGTATAGGTGTTGAGGTCCCCAACGGCCCGTCCATACGAGTCTCCATCTTCATCCCAAAATTCGTCGAAGAGGAGAGAAACACCATCGTATTCGAGTGCCAGTGCGCAAACTATCGCAATCTCGAACTCATCACGACGAGAGGGTCGTATATAGTTCATGATAAATAGATGTAGCTCATAATTAGGTAGTATTGACAATTACGCAGAAAATAACGACGCCAGAGGTGTTGCAGAGTTACAGAAACAACATACCTAGGTAGGTAGGTTGGGCAACAAGACATGGGGTCAGGCCAGGCAGCCATGCGTCTCTACATGCACATGTACGTACATCAACCACCACAACTGAATCAGCCGCATATTACTAATATCAGTATTCCAGACCTGCATGCATGATACATGTACACATTTATATTTGGCTCAAAGAATTGTTCTTACTTGCACATCTATGTAACCCCGCAACTAACCTTGTTCTTAGTTTGGGGATCCAACGGGCTCATGGATAGGAATATTGGTGCGCTTGCAATGCGAAGCCCTGATAAACACTGAAGCTGGTAACCCAACTTTTAAAAAGATGGGTTGAACCCGAATTGGTACTTGAGACCTCATGAATCAGGGGCTCAATCTCCGTCGTTGATGTGGCGATCGGAACTTGGCCATCAATTCTTTTTGGGAGAGCCAATGACTGGGTTCAATAGCTTTATGCGCTTCATTAAGAGGAGCACACCCATTCGAAGAGAGCTGAATGCAGGGATGCATGCCTCCGCCCCCATCCAGCGCCGTAATATTTACCAGCTCGCCTGAAATACTGCTGTGGCCAAAAAAAGGCTCGGATATAACATTTCCCTCTATATTTCCGATCCGAAGAACGATGGAATAGCCCTTGCCGGAATACAGGATGCCACACAAACTGGAACCGCTCTAATGTTGAGAAAGAGACAAATTTGTGGTTGCATGAACAAGCCAATCCGACACTGCGAACAACACTGGCTATCTTAATGGCCCATCTACTATCAATATCACATAGACGCAGATTCCCGACTCCTTTTCCCCTTCAGTTGCCATTTATTTCCTTGTGCTTCAAGATACAATTCCCTCTAGTTGCGTGGGGTGACTACCCCAAACTTCATGTTGCATGGCGATGCGTGCGGAGTACAACTATTCATCTGTTAATCTCGAAAGGGTATTTCCGATGCATTTGTGCAGCTTTGTTTCTGTCAGCGGATCACTCTCAGCGCACCACTCTCAGCGCCGCTAGTCTCATATCGTGCCGTATACACCCTCGATGCCTCTGAATGTCTCAGACTTCTGACTTGAAGGAAAAAATGCCGCTCTCTAAATGTGACATGCAGTCTTGGGACAATATAAGAAGGGCCCTTTTCTCCTCTCTCGACAATGTCAAAGGTAAACATAATCATAATTTACGCTCCACATACAAATTCCAGATATCCGATATATATATCAAATCTTCCCCACCATCACTTCGAGCAACATGGGTAGTGTTAGCAATGGCGATAACTACGTTCTCGGCAGGAGCGTTATGGAGAGCGTGAGGTGAGACACAACTTCTTTTCCCTGTCGTTCAGCTTGGATATGACTTAATTGGTATTAGACTAGATGGTCAACACTTCATATTCAAACTCCAAAACGGCTACACCATTCATCCCCAAATCCCCATTACCCCGGACACTAAGATTGCAGAGATAGGCACGGGAACTGGGTTAGTTAATGCTCAAGAGACGTGTTTTTCTTTGTTTACCCGACTCAATACCATTATAGCATATGGCTTCTGGATGTGTCCTCTCAAGTTCCTCCAACCGTTCAGCTTAACGGTTTTGACATCTCAGAGGAACAATTTCCGGCCCAGTCGACCCTGCCAAGTAACATGACTCTGCAAGTCATGGATGCCTTTGCTGAAGTACCTGCAGAGCATTTTGAGAAATACGATGTAGTACACATGCGACTCTGGTGCGCTATCATTAGGGGATGTGATACATTTCCTCTTATTAGACATGCAACGCAATTGCTAAGTATATTCTCACCACCACTCCTTTCCCCTGATGTCGCATTCTAAGTACTTTTCCAAAACACCAGAACCGGGCGGCTACCTACAGTGGGAAGAATACAATCCCAGCAGAAGCGGAACGTACATCAACGGGGCTGAAGCTGAGGCATTGTATTCTTTCGCTTCCATGCTTCGGAAAGAATTGGATATTGACCCCTCGTAAGTCGCAGTCTAAGCTCTTGTCTTGAGATTCACGCTAACAATACATGCCTAGCTGGCTTGTGGATATCCCAAATCGTGTAAAGAAGGCCGGGTTAAATGTTTTGGAGTTCCGTACGGACCCATTTTCAAAAGCCTGCGTTCCGATCGTGACTAAGTCGTTATTAATGTTCCATATGAGTCTCATTGATGGAGCATACAAAGCTGGCGTTTCGGGTCTGCCACCTCGTCACGAGGCTGATGCTGTGCTAACAGCGGCGCTGCATGCCGCCAAGAATGGGGTAGCACAATATTCCAATCCATTGGCATTGCTGGCGCAAAAGCCATTGGCCTAATATTTGGTGTACCTTAATCTCCCCATTTGGCTGTTAGGTTGCATTCCCATACAACAATCGTTCTGTATATTGTCTAATACTACTTCTTGTTTTCCCCTTGAGAAACAGGCTCCAAGATAAGTTCATAAATCTCAGGTTAAATCATCTATATATACTATTGCCCAACCCGCTTAAGATTAGAGAATTAGGTGTTAGACTCAGCTCTTAAGAGAAGATTGATGAAGGCCAAAGGGCTTGGTCGGGCATATCTAATGTAAGCCTAGCAGCTAGGTATACAATAGACTGTATTTAGATCTGGACTCAGCCAAGGAGGGGAAAGATTCCCATTATGTATAATTTTGTTCAAGCCACAATATCTAGGACTAGTCGAGCAGCTCCTTTCTTACAGGCTAGCTTTCTGGCTCTCGGAGTCAAAATTGAATCAATAAGGGCCTTCTCTCTGCTTACCCATTGCAAAATACGACTGCTCGACGGGCGCTCAAAAGTGGATTATGTGTTTCGAAACGAAACAGTGGCACAAAGACCGAGGTTTAATTAGCGCAACGTAATCGAGATTGATCAGACACGAAGTCAAGGTGCCAAATACAGCTATTCGTATTCTGTATATGTAAAGGATCTACACTGATCATGACTGCCAGGGGCTTTGTTTGAGCAGTTGGCTTGTGTGCAGTAGAGAACGGGGCAAATGCTCCGTATATGGAATCATGTATTAGCTTGCCACCGAACTGCCAAGGGATGGAATTGTAACCCAAACATACTAACGATTAGAATAGCCATAGGGAAATTATAGTGCCTTGAAGTAACGGCTTACTCGTGCGAGTATGCTTTTTGGGTTCTTGATAGCTCGTAAGTCGTACCTGACACTAATAGTGGCCGCTCTTTTTGGCAGCCGTAGATTTCCTATTTAGGCATGAAGGACGCCTCCTTGTTGGAGATATATGGGGGCCTCGTAATAGGAGAGCAACCGGCCCGTAAAAAAGGGGGCTAAGTTGAGATGCGGAAAAAGATAGGCGACATCTTTCATTATTGCTTCAGAACTCCGCGCGCTGCGGTTTCGCGACTACGTGTTTCATGATATCTAGAAAGCGCTAAGCGCGCGCTGGGGCCAAGTTACACCTAGACTGAAATCTGCCGAGCGCCGGACGCCACGGGCAGGGTCTGGTATCTGACACTTGAAAATCAGTAGATTAACTATTCGCTAGAACTCCAGACCCTGACCACTAGTTAGTATTGTGGTTGAACAAAAATTGATAGCTGATAATGGAGTTGGTGGATAATTGCCAAGCAATCCGCTTACCATCACCTCGGTCACAAAGACACTTCGTAGATGTAGTTTGGTAGTATAGCCTCGGGTTTGGCCGGTAAGCTTATAAGTCACCTACCGTAATGGATCTTAAGAGCAACAAAGAGCTTCCATTAAAGTGTCAGTCACATTTTAGGGATTAGTTTTTCTCAGCCGTGTGATGGCCAACCCTATCTTTAGCCCTGCAATCTACTCCACAGTGAGTGTTTCGAAAGGTCCGATGTCATGGCCAGAAGAGATCCTGTTTATTAATCTTTTACCAAACCCCTAAATGCTAGTGACTCCTTAATGAATAGAATTTTAAGTTGGCAGCATCGATCCTCTACAGCCACGGCAGATCCATGGTGTCTCAGGAACGAACTAGCTGGGCTGTGATGAGTTCGCCCGAATACCCCCGTAATACTAATGCTACCTTAATAGAAGTAGACGCTGATCACTGACACATTGATAATATATAAAGGTCACCATCTCTCGCAGTTCAAGTGCTTTCAAATCAATCTAGTAATTTGACACACAAAACTATATTCCGTTCTTTCGCAATTACAATGAAGCAATCTCAGTTCTCCCTTCGAGCCGCTGCTCTGTGTGGCCTGGCTGCCATCCAGGGCGCCTCTGCCCATCTTGCCGCTTACACCAACGGCATGTACTGCCCCAAGGTATGTTTAATCCAAAGGAGTCTTTCATTTGAATATATTCGACAGTAGCTAATCAGGACTATAGAACACTTACCAGGGCCCTCTCACCAACTTCACCGATCCCAACCACGTCGTGTATGATCCTCTCTTCAACCTGCCAAAGGATGCCTGGTTCCTTTCCAAGGGTCGCAACTGCTGGCTCGCCCCCCCTACTGGCGTGTGGGAGATCCAGGCCAACTCGGTCATTCAAGTCCCATGGGCCAACTCAGCAAACTCTCACGGCTACTACGCCGACGGAAAGGAGCAAAACGAGCGTCCTCAGCCCTTCTCCGTTACGAACCCTGCCGTCATTGCTGCCGGCCTGGTCTCTTCTTCGGGAGGAATCAACAGCCCTAACATGCACGCCGGTAACAAGTCAACAGCCGCTGGTACTGCCGTTGCCATTGCTTACAAGTCCAACATCTACGACGTGAAGATGGAGGACTTTGTCGTCTTCACTACTGCTCCCCAGACCCCCTTTGAGCGTCTGGTTACTTACAACATCCCCAACCTGAAGGCCTGCAACGAGTGCCTCTGCGCTACTGTGTAAGTAGCCTGTCTCTAAAGATATGATGAGGTCTTTGCCACTAACAGTTTCAATCAGCTGGATCCCCGATGGCTATGGCCAGCAGAACATGTACATGGCTCCCCACAAGTGCAAGATTATCAACCCCAAGGGTGGCCAGCAGCCCAAGACTCCCTCTCTTGTCCCCGGACCTAACGTTAGGGGACCCAAGCAGATGATTGCTGCTTTCCAGGCTAATGGAAACAACGTCCAGTGGAAGGGTGGTCAGAAGGTGCCAACTTACACCTCTCGAATGGGCTTCACTGCTGGTGCACAGACGGATATCTTTTAAAGAACTCGCAGATTGCAACATCCTTTAACCCTTCAACTAGGGATATCTGCTTCATCCCGATTGGGTGCTAGATTCCAATTTGCACTTTGCATCTTTGTAACTTGTCTAAATATTTGCTCCACTGGTATGGAGGCAATGTACATATATCTTCCTGTATATAACCTTTAACTCAAAATCTGACATAGATACTAAATCAAAAGAGCGGCTATTCCGTACCTCAAGCTAGCTATCCAAAACCTCAGCGACTATGTCAATATCGTAACAAAATGCAGAGGGAATGCTGTTTATTTAATGTTACCTTAATTAAGCATATACACGGACCTTTAAGTATGTGCTCCTACTGCTACTATCATTACTCTCCGCTATTATAGCTGCATTCTTCTAGTATCTGCTACTATTGCTATATTCCTCTAGCATATGCTATCGTCAGTAAGGTAGACGACTGCCACAGAATTTGGAGACACGGGATGTTGGATAGCAAACTTGTGATAGCCACTCCCCTAATCAATAGCATTGCTACATATGCGAGACTCAATATTAATTATTTGTCTGATCGTTGCATGACGCTAAAGCCGTAAACAATAACAAGCTTAAAATGGTTGCTGGGCTGACTGTACCTGAATGCTGACAAGACAGGGGACTGAATATGCGCTCTCTGCCTTCCACTACGAGCAATAAGCGCGTGAATGAAGAAGCTTATATTATTTTCAAGGATTTTGAACCCCACCCACGAAAATAATCCATGCTGGGCATCCAGAAGGAAACGTATCCCGTCCTCTCATAAACATCTTCCAAGCCATGCTTGACCGGTCGTAAAATGATTCCTTCACCAAAGCTGGGTTCCATCTCGTTATCGACATCTTCATCTGCCTGGACCAGCAATACCAAGAGGTTGTCTTCCAAGAAAAGAGTTGAATCTATATTGATGTCGTCGGCCCCAGATCCCGCATGAAGTGATATTAACGCTTGCCCTAAGACTTGATCATCGACGTTGAGAATCGAGTTTCTTGTGTCACCATCATCGGCGGGGCATTGCTCGTCATAGTATGCGCTACCAAGCACCAAGTATTCGCGATCATTTACATCAACATGTTGTTTGCTCCGTATCAAAGGCATCGTGAGTCCTTCCACGACCACCGAGGCTGATTTAATATGACCAAATTGTTTGACTGCATCTTGAGAAATACCATCGTATTGACAGATTTTGACATCAAATGGAGTCGCCTCAAAGATTCTCGTTCTAGAAAACAGAATAGAGGCATCGGTTACCATCCACGACCAGGACGGAGCTCCGTGAGATTCAACATGACGGCAAGAGGTCATTTCTGCATACCACAGTAGCCCATGCTTGAAATCAGCTGTCCAAAGGCCCGCAAGGTACTGTCCACCGATCGATGGGTGTATCATTTGAGCTACACCAGCGAATGCCGCAAATTTGTCCGACCCATAGGTCAGTTGACGCGCAGAATAGGTCTCTGCCAATTCGTAATAGTCTTCAAGAACAGCTTTTATCTCTGCTTCGATTTTGGTTGGCACGGCCAATATGTCGGAGTAAATGACTTCTGAAGCTTTCCGAAATTTTTGATCTGGAAACTGATTTCCTTCTGGTGTATCATCGGCTGATATCATCATAGTTGGACAGCGCCAGTATATTTTGCTTTTCCCGTAGAGAAGATTCCTGGGAGACAAAATATACTCCTGTAAAGTCCAGCCTCGTGAAGTGAGTGCACAGTCGTTCATTAAACGACGTAAGTTTTCTTCTTCTTGCGACTTCCAGTCAACCTCGACCTGCTCAATTTTTGAACTGTCGTCGTAAACCTGAAGTTTTGCACTCTTCGGAGATCCGTAGAAACTATTTTCATTGTTCTTCAAGATCCCTACGGTACTTTTTGCTGAAACAAGGGCCGAGACAGTCAAGGTTGCGTTGCGATATACAGCTCCCATCTTGCTGGATTCCACCTCCCAGTCCTCTTTTGAGTCCTGAATAATACATAATGAATCAATCCATACATATCGGATTCCGAGCTCCCTTGCAATGCGAAAAGTATCCTTAAAATTAGCAGATATGTCAGAGATCGGCAACGCCTGCTGGTAGTCGTGATACGTCTTCGTGGTAAGAACAGACTCTATTCTGCCACCCCAGCAATGGCTCAGTGCAATATAATCCGCTCTTGCTCCTTGAGAAACAAATACTCGCGGTAGAGAGGTAGTGTTTGGTGGCCCAATATCCACCACGCGGGTGGGAAGCTCTGGGACCTTGTTCACCAAACACGCTTGGTGTGCCCGACATTCATGAAGCCAGCGTCTTGCTATTTTAAACTGATGGGGAGAGCCCAAATTTGGGTGGACCTTGCAACGCCCAATTCTGAAGCCTTCAATTTTCACAGGATTGTCTAGGTTATTTAGCAAAATTGGGATATAGTAATATTGGTGAGACTGCTATAATTACCTCGGTCGCTTAACGAAAGGGTGAGGAAAGGAAATGCATAATCATCGCTCTCTTCCGGGAGTTCTGTCGGACCGACTTGAACCAGGAGAGTGTTAAAAGATCGAACTTTGTCCAAACCATCCCCGAGATAGACATGGTCAGTACCAATACTCAGCTTTACGTCGGACAAAGCAACCTGCTTCGCCGCAGTATAAGCCGAATCTTCAATATCTACTTCTGCCTTTTCCCATTTATAGGATGAGAATTGATAACTCTCGCCCCTTGTCCATGGGATTCCCTTGAAGCATTCAACTATGAGCGAGCACAATTCACAGCCAGCGTGCGCCGCCTGTTCTAAATCACAAAACGTGCTATGGTGCTGGTAGTAAGCTGAAGCAGGAAACTCGTGGCCTGAGAATTCGTGTTTTACAAGTTTAAGTAAGGCCTCCACGGACAAGCCCGAGCAGAATCGACAACGAGTGCTCATTATTGCTTAAAAAAAAAATGCGTCGAGTGTCGTAGAATTTTCAGCTTTGCGCGCACGAAGAGAAGAGGGGTTCCGCCTGATGATGTACCTGATAGTGGCAGTGAGATACGACCCGTTTTTGGTGCACTCTGCCTGCATCTACTAACATTTGGTTTACTGGGGGGGGGGGGAGATAATCAGTTTCATCTTAGGAAATCAAGTGATATTCGTTTAACTGTCAAATTTCATAAAAAGCATTGTAGAACTTTTCCGGCAATTGCATACACACATATATTGGAAATGTTATTTGTAGTAACCCACCGGCCGCCCAGTCGCCAAGCGACATAATTCACCCTTGACAAGGCTCTCCAATATATTTTATTATTACTTTTGCAACTGTTTGATCTCTCTAGTATAGAATTTACTGGAAGCATTCGAAATTGCATTTGTTTACACCTATTTTACGAAATACCATGTTTGAGCTTGCTCACTGCTAATTGCTGAGCCTTCCAGGTCTATGTTGTCTACACTGTGTTAGAGTCGAGCGTCAACTTATGGCAAAGGTACAATTCATTTTATCTAACCCTATACATACGTAATAGCCCATAGATGTTCATGGTATTTATTGTGTGCCTAGTGGCCATTTCCATCTAATTAGTCATCTGATATTGCGGTTTGCATATTGGCCAACGTTCAGCAAGGCTGTGCTGTTATGTACAGGCGCAGATGTTGTATAAGTCAGAAGGCTATTGGATGCATCAGGCGTGCCCAACGATGCCCGATCTAATAGGGCGGCAACTATATAAGAATGATTTGCTCAGAGCCAGTACATGATATTTTTTAAATCTAGAAAGGCAGCTGCTTGGACTTATCAAATAATTCTTACAGCAATGACCAGGTTTCCCTTTAGGTTCTTGTTCAGAACGTCGAGAACAACGATCAAACAAAAAGTTGGTCTTGGCTTCCTTGGCTTTCTCGGGTATACCTCTTATGATCACCTACATTCTGGTTCCATTGCAAAGCAGCACGAGTACTCTGGTTATTTCACGACTCATAAAAGTATAATCGCTAGCGACTATGTCTATCCACAACTCTCTGGTCAGCGAAGCATTCGTCTGATAAAAGTTTACGGTGCGGCAAACCGTGATGACGATATATACGTCGATCTGGTAACTGCTTCCCTCGATAAAGCACCGCCTTACGAAGCTCTTTCGTACACATGGGACAGCCAACTGTCAGATCAAGTCATATACGCCAACGGACGAAAGTTCTTTATTACCAAGAATACGCACGATGCTATCCGTCGGCTTCGCCTTGAACCAGGGGAAACGAGATACCTTTGGATCGACGCAATCTGCATTAACCAAAACGACATTGCCGAAAAGAGTTCACAGGTGGCAATGATGGCTAACATATACAAAAACGCGAAACAGGTTGATATTTGGCTTGGTAATGGCAACAGTTCAAGTGATTACATTTTAAAATGGTATCGCCTAATTACCTTGCCTTTTGCGCCAGCCCTATGGATAGAGCGCAAAGCTATGTTTCTTAATTCCTCGAATCTTTTACCTAGTCGCCTACCTCTAGACGTTATTGGTTACGCCTTTGACGTCCCTATATGGCTTATGGCCTGTGGTCTGGGATATCTTGTCTTTGAACATTTGCCTATACTCAAAAGTTGTGTCTCTCCTCTAGCTCTCTGCTCCTACCTCAACTGACTCTTGTTTAAAGACATCAAGCAAAAGCTCGCAGATGGAGAAGATGATCTGAAGTCACGGCCGTACTGGGGAAGAGTGTGGACAATACAAGAGAGCAACGCAAATCCGAACTGCGTGATTTTCTGTGGATCATCGAAACCCATCCACTGTGATACATTTTACAGAGCCTGGGCTATAATCAGCTCGTTAAATGCTCGGCTCAACGCGCGGTCTATGGTTGACACTTATCAGCTCCACCTATATCATCGCTTAATCTTTGACCGCAGTGAAATTAACCGTGACGAAGAAATACTGAGCGCTCTTTGCTATAAGAAGGCGACGTTAGAAGTTGATAAGATCTTCGCCATAGGACTCATGCTACCAGAAACGTTCGGCATAGTTACACCCGATTACTCTCAGACAGTTACCAAAGTCTATACAGCTGCTGCCCATAGCCTTCTCGAGGCTCACCACAATGTCCAATTTCTGCGATTTGCTTGTCGCAGAGATCGCAATGATGGATTGCCTACTTGGGTTCCGGATTGGACAACTGGTACCACCCATCGACCATACTGGATGAGCGATATGGAAGTAGGTGAAGCACCATTTCAGCCTACTATAGTTTCCAACAGCTCCAATAAAGGTGTGCTTAGAATAAAGGGCCTTCGAGTTGATACCCTCACATCTACAGTCAGCGACGTACTCCCGAGAATAGTTCCTGAGGAGAACGCGTTTCGCCAATTCACCCTCAAAGACTATCCATGCATACCAATGGCTGGCGCTATTCTTCAGACTTGGGTAAGGAAACTGGGCTCAATGAGTGAAGGGGATATATACCTCAATCGGTTTTTCTCAATTATCAATCGGATGATCCTTCATCGACCTGGACAAATCCGCTTACAACGAAGCGTGGAATGTTTTAATTATCACACGGATGGGAAGTACAGTATGCAAGCGAAACCAGGCAAAATTAGCCGGTTGGAATTCGATCTGATGACAATACTGAATGTGATCGATGCGCAGTGTTTCTTTCTAACCACCTCTGGGAGAGTTGGGCTATCAACAGTACCGGTCCGTAACTCGGACGAGATTGTGTTATTAACTGGAGAGTCGCTGCCATATATAATTCGCAAGAGCCCAGGTCAGCCAGGGAGGTATACAGTGGTTTCGCCATGTTTTCTTGATGTCGGACGAATGGGCAAGCCATGGCAAGAATGGGATTGGGAAGGGCGCACAGGACAACTGGTCAAAGAGGAAGATTATAAGAATTGGGAGTATATTGAGCTAGTATAGCACTTTGCGAAAATGATGCATTAATGAGAAATGCAACATATGGCTACCTGGATATAGCATTCCAATGTAGGTGTTAAGGTACGTGTATGTAACATTCCCTATAGGTCGCAACGGACAATTAATCCCCCCCCTCCTTCTCCCCCACGCATTTCATTCTCACCGGGTCTTCATATTGTCTGAGAAAAACTCTCAAAAATAAGATTTGATTACTATTGCAAACTATATAACTCACTTGTGACCTTTGGACACCTCCTTCGGGATTGTTTGCTGATTAGGTATATGTCGCTATCCTTGACCTAGGCTGACGGCTTCGGCATCTGCCGCTCCTAAACAAAGGCCGAGATCAAAGGACCCCTGCAAAAAGATTACATCAGGCTTTATCGATAAGAATCGCCGGCCAGCTTGTCCTCAAGAAAACACCAACACCTGCTGCGAACCTGCAAGCATCACAACCACAATGCTTCACGATATATCATGTCGCAATTCCTGTCTATTATAGGGTGGTCCTTCCTCCCCAACGTAAGTATCTTTCCTTTCATCTCGATATCGCGGCATCTCGCCTTTCATATGTCGCTTCAACCGCACACGAGACCAGCCAGCTAACTCATTCTCACGGCCAGATCGCAACCTCTTGGCTCCAGACCATTTACTATGGCCTCACGATCCGTGCCGGCGATCCCAAGCCCGCCCCCGGCAGCCCGCGATTCAACCACCATCGCCGCAACATCCACATCCTCGTCGTAGCCATCTACCTCTCCTACACCATCTACGAGGCCGACTTCGACCTCCGTCGCCAAGGGTCCTTTTACACCGACCTGGGCGTGCCCTTTTCCGCCACCGATCGTGATATCAAGTCCCGTTTCCGCCGTCTTGCCGCGCTCCATCACCCCGACAAGACTGGCGACGCTTCTGACTCGGCGGCCTATTTCATCCACCTCAAGACTGCCAGCGAAACTTTACAAGATGCCGCCAAGCGCTTCGCCTACGAGCGTTTCGGGCCCGAGACGGTAGGGTGGCAAAAGTGCGTAACAATCAGAGACTTCGTATCGCGGGGCGTCTTCTCGGGAATCCTGCCGCACTATGCAGTTGCCGCAGGGTCCATCTACATCTTGGGTCTGCTGGGATACATGGACTTTGGAAAGTTCTACCGATGGTTGATTCTGATAAGCCTATGCGTTTTCGAGATCCAAGCCGTCACTCGACCGAGGTTTCCGTCATTGCTGGAGGGCCTCAACTTCATCTTCTCGAACACGGCTACCCACCCGCCATATCTGCCGTTTCAACTTATACAACTTGCGCGCAAACTCACCATCACTATCTACATCGCCCTGTCTCAAATCGGCCCGCTAATGATGATGGATGCATCACCATCGAAGCGATCTATTGACGACGAGGACGAGCTGCTGCTCCAGGGCTTGAGCCGCCTAGAAGCCATTACTGGCCAGTTTGATGCCGACTCGACGAGGCTAATGGATATGGAAATGGCGCCATACAAGGGAGATGCAGAGGCAACATCCAACCTACAGGGAAAGATGAGAGAGTGGTTGGTCCAAAACACAATTCGTGCTGATCCCATGGTCCGTGATGCCATGGGCACGTCGCTGAGAAAGCGGCGTGTTGATGTTCCTGCTGGCGCTAAAGGCAATCGATAGACGATGATAGATATTGGTAAAGGGTTAAGCATTGTTCTAATACAAAACGGAATCTATTCTGAAACGATGCCGAATGAGCCATATTCCAATTTGCTGATGATGACTGCCTCTTCATCCCAATATCCAAATGAGAGCCAGTATATGTATGAATGTGAATATACGTGCTGAAGTTACATATCCACACTTTTGCTGCCTTTGCGGTAGCACTGCCCAAGATTCTATAAAAACACAAAAACGCCTACAACCTTTGCGCGCCCCTGGTTTCAATGGGAATTAAGCACATTCCCACAAAAGATGCTAAGATTAAAACAGCAGACATATAAATGGGCGTGGTGGACCCGTCTCCGGGAATATTCGCTGCTATAATCGGGGCCATCAAACCTGTCAATCGGTTGAGGAAGCTGGCCACTCCTGTGCCCGCGCCTCTAACGGGGGCAGGAAAAATCTCCGGCGTGAAAGCATAAAGAACGCCATACATGATGTTCTGGGCAAAAGCCTCGATGCAAGAAAAGACGAGCTGAGCCGTCGGCGTGGTGCCGTACGCCGCAAAGACGAAGAGGAATAGTGCTGAGACGGCGGTAGAACTGGCCAAGGTTCCGCGACGGCCGAAGAAAGGAGATGGGTGGTCGACTAGGTAAGCGGCAAGGAGACTACCGGGGACTCCCATGATCGAGGTGATGGCGTAGTTACGGTATGTGACGCCAGAAATTGCCGAAGTCTCGTCTTGCATAGCTTGGCTACTCGAGTCGCCGTCGTGATGAGAAAGGTACTGGGGCAAAAAGGCGTTGAACAGCGGGTATCCCATCCCTATGGTTGCCCAGCAAAACCACACAAGAGAAGTAGCAGTAGCTAGAGTCTTTGTCTGAAATAGCGGCCGCAGTCTATCCCCTGAGAACCCACTGAATTTCTCCCTGAGGATGTTCGATCGCGGAACCGAGGACATGGAATATTGCTGAGCGCCATGACCGGATTGCTCGGGATCTTCAGCCGCAACTTGGTCGAGAATCTGCGAGGTGAGCCATGTCTTTGAACCATTCCGATAGGCGATGCCATGAACGACAGCAACCGCTTCATTCTGGCGGCCTTGGTTGAGGAGAAATTTCGGTGACTCAAACATGTGGAAGAGAAAGAAGCGGATGGAGAACATTGCAAAGGTGATGATGCCAATGGTCATGATAAAGTATCGCCAACCAATTTCCACAGGCCACTGGGCGATGAAGAACCAGGCTGCGAGAGAAGATACCAGCTGCCCGATGGGCCACCATACGGACAGCAGCGTGAGCAGCGAACTGGAGGCATCTGGCAGAAACTCCAGGAATAAGGCTCCATCAACGGGCAGGTTTCCACCGACACCGAAACCAAACGCTGCATAGAGGAAGCAAACGGCTCCCCAGCTTCTAGCGTACGCAGACAAGATGCCGAAGATACTCGTAATAAGTAGCGTCATGTTGAATGCGATTCGGCGGCCAAAGAGATCCGATCCTATGCCCCAAAGGAAACTACCGAGAGAGAGCCCGACAAAGCAGGCGCTCGTCGTATATCTCACAGTCTTTTCTGGTATGTCAAACTCGGCTGATAGTGATGGCAATGTTAGTGAAACGCCCTGTTCTATTTGTTAGCGTTATGTGGCAATAGTCTCATCACAGTCTATTCAGCACACCTGCAACCATAAGCTATATCGCATGTTAGCCAACTGCTCGCAGTAGAAACGGAGAAAATAGATTGCCCTTACTTATCGGCAAACCATCCAAAGCCGCAGAGGATAAACAGCTGCCAGTTGTAACGCCCCATGCCAATGTCTTGAATTGCCTTATTGATGAGCTTGGATTTGACTATTGTCGGTTTAGTGGCGGTTCCCCTCATTACTTTCATCGCAAATACTCACTCTCATAATCCGTCCACTCGCCTCGCTTGCCCTGCCTCATCTCTGCCCTTAGGCCTTCGATTGTGTACTCAGCGGCATTCATCAATAGCATCCCCTCTCCCTGATCGTCCTTGACCGAGTTCACATCCTCGTCATCGTCATCTCCCGCACTTTCGTCTTGCGTCTCAAACTCGACTCGTCCAACCCGTGCCGAGTGGCTGTGTAGATGCGCCTCCTCTAGAGAAACCAGAACTCCCTCATAGTTATTGACGGACTCCGTACGCCCCAGCCCAACCCGCCATGAGATCATGATTAAAGAACAGTCGCGCCGGCGCAACCGAGGTGAGAAGGTCCAAAAAAAGGATTAAAAAGGGTTAAATCATTAAACACGGTTGTTTCCTGGCTCTATATCATCCGGCCATCCATGTGTTTGAAAAGTAAAAGAAGACCGCAAGTGTCGGGAGGCGGCTGAGATAAAAGCAATCCAAGACCGGCGCTGATGATGTGGAATCAAGTTGCCAGTTTGACGTCGGGTTAGGTAATCTGACGCAAGGGGGATCTGTCGACTAAGCCGGAGCCCGAAAACGGCGGCAAACAGGCACCGTGATCGCGTCAAGTCAGTCTCAGGCAGCACGTGTACCGTTTGTTTAGATCCGGAGCGTTATTGTGCAGGAAATCGTTGCAAAGTCATGGATGCAAGAGGGTTGTGGGAAGAGAGCGAGCGTGGAAGTGGTTAAGATGAGATTCACGGATCGACACCAGATGACAATTTTGCAGGCATGATAGTGAAGGATGACGCCCCCGTGCGCCAATCATAGGGGGCTTCAGCGCTACTTTAGTCGTTGATACGGGCCTGGGACATCCTCAAACTGCCTTGGCAACACCCTTTACTGGAGATGTGTCACACGGGATCTTTAGGTAACGCTGCAGAGGCTCCCAAGTGCTGCACTAGTCAAGTATTTGCGATGAGCGTCGTCGCCGCATATCTTTCGCCCGTGATTGGACGTCCATATCCACCAAATGCGACGCGGTCAAGAGACATGGCATTTCTGACGTTGTGAGACAATATACGTCGTTGTTGGCCTACTAGATAACCCTTGCGTCCATCGTCTTACTGAGACATCACAGCTGCTGTCCGCGACTTACTCAGAAATGTTTGTCACTACCTACTAAAACTTTTCCGACAAGGATATCGCCGTAATTCAAATCAAATCAGATCATATACCCGTCAACCGTCATGACAGCCGTAACCCGAATCCACGGGCGTCCTGCTCATGGTAGGCACTAGCCTGCTGTGCCAAAGTAGAATATCCCAACTCCAGCGTTTTTAAAGCCCAAGAGGGCTGACATCATAAATCAAATACCGCAAGGTCTACAGGGAGATCTAATCATCGCCTTCATCTTCATCGCTGGTTGCCTCAATATTAGACTTGTCCGACTTGGACTTCCGCCTGTTTGTGGCCACCTCTGGCTCTTCGATGTCCATTTCGTCGGGGTCATCGACATCCTGGCCCTTTGCGCGCAGAGCCGCGTTGATACCGGGCGCTGCTTTTATCAAGGCGAGGTATTGTTCAACGGAGAGAGAAATGCCCTTGTGCCGATATTAGCATCGTATATCCCGCCATGTTTGCTTCGTCGGAACACGCGGGGCTTACCTTTTTGCCCGGCAGCATCTTTCCATCCTTCTCGTAGTATTCGCGGATGTTGACGAAGCACATCTTCTTGAACTGGGAGACTCCTACGCGTCGCTTGTTCGACAACTGTTGCAAAGACGTGAGTAAGCGAGATGCAAAACCAGGTTCAACTGTCATATCGCACCTCCCAAAATGGATTGCCCTCGTCATCTTTGCCATCCGGCGCACTGGCGGCGGCGGCGCTCTTGTTCTTCTTTGCGACAGAAGTGTGGGGAATCTCGTCTTCGCTGTCATCATCAGCTCGTCGCTTCTTGGTTGTGGGAGGCATCTTTCAGCGAGCTTCAGAGTAATGCTGCTGGATCTCTGAGAGGAAGCTTAATCGCAAAACGAGGGATCGTATTTGCGTTTGCGATATAGATCAGCAGGGGAAGCCGAGGAATGGATGCTCAATGCGGCGCGTGGAGCTGCCGAACGCGTCAGGCCCAAAGTGTTTTACAGCGCTGGGAGCTTTAGGCGGGGCATCTGCTTTAACGGTCACGCCAGCTCACGTGAAGATTTCGCTCTGCACCAAAGATGAGGTGAGATGCATATATGTCAATATTTGATGCGGTGGCAACTTTATGGCTCAATGGAATAACTAATAATTCTATTTATTTCATGGATGTAATTGTAAAAAAATTCGTCAAAAATTGCATTGTTTCGTTTTCTTCTGATCAACTCTACAAGGTTACAGCGACTCGCGTTGGAAACAAACAGGGGGCTGCAGCTCCAAATTTAGACGGAGACCCACCTTTAAGGAGGATTATGAGACTGGAGTGCTTCGAATGGCGGAGCATCTTCAAGACTTCCCTTGGACCCAGCATTTGCATATACATACGAGTACGAACAGGAGTTGCGCCCTGAACTTGCTCTCCAGCATCGCGTCTCTCCGTCTCTCTCCTGTACCAAAAACTGCGGCATTGGGCGTTTGCGTGACATGTTTCCCTCGTCTCCCGCGCATCACGAGACACTGATAGTTTAGAGAAACCGGCCGTTGGGGTCAAGCTAGCAGCAGCTCAACCCCAATGAGCTCAATCGCAACCGACCTTGCGCAGCGTCGCGACGACTCATCCGAGCTGGTCTCGGTCGAATCGACCGGCCGAACCGGAGCAAATGGCGACGACGTTGCGCCTTCGAATGGCGACAGCAATAACATCATTAATAATCATGCTTCCAAAAGCTTAGAATGCGATTCCAAGACAGCATGGGCCGGGCCAACAGAGTCGGCGCAGCCGCCAGAAGTCACCTTTGCCTCCAGAGCGATTCAATTCTTTGCGACTGCAACGCCGGCAACTCTTGCAGGATTCGGCGTCGGAGTCTCTGCAGTGACGTATGCCGTTCTTGGGCGGCTTGGTCTCGTGTTGATAGGGGCATTTGGCGGAGTGGTCTCCTTTATCATATGGGAGTCGAAGAACCCTGAATTTGCAAGGGCAATTCGCGGCGAGGACGGGCCACAGGTATTGGATAGGGTTTGGACAGACTTGAAGGCTGTAAGAGCCGTGGAGAAGCAGGATGATGACGATGACGACGAGCAGTACCGCATGCGAGGCTTTGACGACTTTCGTCCAGAAACGAGAGAGGCGCTGAGTGGCTTGGTCGACGCCATTGTTCAAAACTACATCAAGTGGTGGTACAACCCCCTCGTCCCCTCAGATCACGCCTTTCCTCTCGCTGTCCGCAAGACCATCACGTCCTATCTGTTGGCGATATCGAACCGGATGAGCCGTAAGCGACCGGCTGATGCTTTTCTCGATCTCCTGACCAATTCAACGTCCATGGTTATCGTTTTCCTTTCGGAACTAGCCACTGCTTTCGCTGAACTGCCCCCCGACACAAACATAACCGCTGCTGATACTATATACAATTATCTGGCGGAAAACCCTGACAGCCGCCTTGCCAATCTACTCAACAAGCGGCAGCAGGCAACGAAATTTAAGATGGTGTCTGAGGACTTGCTTGGGTTCCTGGACAAGAGTGCCTACAACTGCGATCCCGCACGGATTTTCTTGCGGGAGATTCTGGCAAATTCGGTGCTTGAGCAGACGCTACAGCAATGCAGCAGGGCCGAGTGGATCAATGGGTGGATCGTATATCTCTTAGAAGCAGGAGAGCCCAACTTGAATCAAGCAATTGACGTTGGCATGCAGACTGGCCGCGACGTGGCTAACAATGTCTTTGCCGACTTGGATGGCAATGTTGGTAATGTCGGCATCGCGAAGCCTCGGCGCGGCAGTAACGACCAAGGCCAGGCTCGCCGGAAAGAGTCTTCCCACAAGAAGAAACTGAGCAAAGCAGATGAGGAGCTGGAAGAGGCCATGGAAGAAATGAAACGAATGAATGCCATGATTTTGGAGGATGACGCACGACGGAAAAGAGCATCCACATTAACGGAGGCATCCGAGCGCTCTAAGCAGAGCATGGACTTGGCGACTGCAGATGGGGAGGCCCAGAAGAATGGTAATGGCTCTGCAGCAGAAGCATTGTCGCCAACATCGAGCCGATACCCGACTCGCGGGGCTTCTGTAGATGGCGTCTCGACCAAAAGCGACACAGTCTACACTCCGCATACGCCGCGATCTACCACTGATTCCATCAGCCAAGCATCATCTCCGCAAGAAAGCAAAGACCAGTCATTTACAAGCTTTGATCAAATTGTGCCCCCAGGCCAACCAGATAGCGATGAGGATTCGCCGAAAAAGGCACCGCTTACTCTGCACAACGCTTCCTTTACGCTACATGACGATGGTTCAGGGGACACGGGGAAGATCAAGAGCAAACCAAATACGGACTACTTGATCCAGGTCGAGCCATCGTCCTCTCACTACCCCGGTTGGATGATTGTGAGGCGATATTCAGACTTTGAGACGCTACATGAGATCCTGAGGCGCATTGCTGCAGTATCTGGCGCAACCGCCTTCATGGAGCTTCACAAGGAACTGCCCAGCTGGAAGGTTCACACCAGGGAGTCTCTTCGTGGCGAACTAGAGAGGTATCTACGAGATGCTTGTTGGTATCAAGCCCTGGCAGAGAGCGAGGGCATGAAGCGATTCCTCGAAAAGTCTCAGGGACACACGCACGGCAACTCCAAGTCATTTGGCTGGGAAACAATGGGCAAGAACATGCTCGAGGTTCTATCCATCGGTCCCAAAGGAGCCATGGAAGGCGGTAAGAGTCTTGTTGGCGGCGTTAGCGGCGTCTTTGGCAACTTGGCTGGCTTGAATCGAAAGTCGACTGCCCAGTCTATCGACCTTACGGCGAATGCGAATCGACTGTCCATATCATCAACAACAGGAAACCGAGTCGATAGCATTGCACGGTCACCTGCGAGATCGGAGCGTGCCAGTCTCGATAGCCAGAGGTCGTCGGTGATTGCTACCCAGCCAGGCCGGGTTGCACCGATGGAGCGAATGCTAAGCTTCCAGTCTCCAAACACCAGCGAGACGGACTTGCGACTAGGCCAGAGAGGCCGGTTGGACTCGATATCTACTTCGGTAAGTGCTCGACCTAGCAGAGAGCACAGCAGAACATCCAGCCTGGCCGCTCTCCGGTCACCGTCGTCCATAAGCCTGGACTTTACCAAGCTCCCGCCGCCGCCGGATGAGATTAGCGATGACTACGAATCAAACGAGTTTGATGCCAAGCCTCGTAGAAAGGACCTCGGTATCATGGAGGATCACAGTCGTAACAATAGTTCGGCAGCCTTGAACGGGTCGGCGTCGGCGCCGGCCTTATCTGGGAAAAAGAGCCCGGCAAAGCCCGCTCGTCAGTTCACACAGCTAAGCGAAGCGGAAACGCGGGTTGCTGTCGAGCTCATCTTTGCCGTCATCAACGAAATGTACACCCTCTCGTCGGCCTGGAACATTCGTCGTACGCTCCTCACGGCGGCAAAGTCGTTCCTGTTACGCCCTGGCAACCCCTCACTCCTAACGGTGCAGTCTCTTATTCAGGCATCTGTGATAGACGCCAACACCTCGGATGCAGGGATTGCATCCGGGCTACGCAAAGTGCGGGAGAACACCATGCCCACAGAGCAGGAGCAAGCATCCTGGCCGGAGCCGTTGACTGAAGAGGACAAGAAGCAACTGGCCATCAAGGCCCGTAGGCTTCTGATCCAAAGTGGAGTACCAGCGGCACTGATGGGCGTCATGGGGCAGTCGGCCACAGGCGAGGCCCTGGGGCGTGTATTCGACTGTTTGCAAATTGAGGAAGTAGCCCGAGGACTAATTTTTGGCCTAATACTGCAGGCAGTGAGGGTTCTTACACACTGATTACGTCGACACGCCGCGCATGTTTGTACGAAGTACGGAGTTAGACGACCGAACGTATTGCTAGCGATTGCTCCTTCGGGGTCCTCGCAACGAGGTGCATGGAGACTTATAACGCGGCATACGACACACACTCTGCTACGGAAACCGGGAAGGGATCCCGGCCATTATTGATTTTTTCATTTCAATCTATATGATAAACGAGGGCGGGAAAACAGAAATGATACCTGGTTGCTTTTTGTTTTTTTCCAAGGAGTAATGGACGAATGGGACGCCTTTTTTGCTCCCCTGCCCCTTTTTTTTTGTTTCATGGGAGTAGAGTAGATGCCTCCAACGATGGGATGAGACGTGTGTGCTTCTAGTTTTCCTTTTTTTTTTTTTCTGAACAAGAATACCTGCATATTATGCCTTTGAGTCATTATGTAGCAGTAGCAATACGGCCTCTTTTCTTTTCTTTTCTTTTCTTTTCTTTTTTATTAGAATGCAGACTCGTAATATTATAGATCAGCCAAGTCGGGCAAACTGGTAATCCCGTATTACGGCTCATCTTTTTTTTTGCTTCGCCTAATTGCATCTTTCCTTTTTACGCCCCCTTTTTGAAACAGCAGGAGAGAAAAAAAAAAGCAAAGTGAGGGGAAACGGCTCGTAACCCGAGAGATTGTGATCCTCTTGCAAGTTTTTCTTTTTCTTTTTCTTTTTTTTCTCTCCTCGTTCCGGGAACTGTCATTAACCGGACATCGGGTCCCGGAATGTAACTCGAGCGTCCGCGAATGGGGAAACCGGACATTGACATGCAATGGAGTTCAGGTAGGTCTACGATGCATGAACAGGGTCTGGATCGCCCTCCCTCTCTCTCCTGTCCGCGGGTCGGCAAATGGGTCAAGGACTCGGTACCGGGACAGGATAGGCAGCCCAGCAGAGAGCAATATGTCAACTATCAAGTTTTTTATCAATTGGCATAAAGTGACGATCGGCCGTCCTGCAGCCAAGACCCAACGTTTAAATGAAAGAGCAGCGAGGGGAGGAAGTGCAGCACTGCATATCACTGGCCGGGATCATGACTCCGGGCCTGCGTATCCGGCTCCCAGGATTCTCCATGCTGGTACCTTGCGTCTTGTGTAAGTTGGCATGTGTGGGTGAGTGAGTGCTTTACGTGCATGTATAGTGAGTGATATGCAGTAATACTCTACTGCAGCAAAGAGGGATTTTGACGTGTCACGTCAATTTCTCGCCTCTCTCCAATATCATGCACTAACACCAGACTGTAGAGGCCCCCCCTTGTCCCTTGTCCTGTCAACGGGTCCCTCCCCCCCCTGGACCATTGTTCAACGGTTTTCCCCAGCTTTCCTCACTTTTTGGGTATTATTCGGTTTATTAATTTTAGTCCCTCTTTTGTGTCAATCCGTCGTAGCTGCACCTCGTATACTCTGCCGCCTCGTGGTGTTAGCCGCTCCAGTCCCCTTCTGTCCGCATGCCCACCGCACAAGTTATATTACATGTAACGGAGAAGCTTCCTATATCAAGTTTTATCGTCAGCCTCCCTACCCAAATGCAGGATAGACGCAGAGTCCATCGCAATGTTGTGCTCCGTCCATTGACATGTGCTTCCGGTCTCTCTCCTATCTTTGAGTCCCCTCTCTTCCCAATTTCCCATTGATGTTTATTGCTTTCCCATCATCTATTGTAATTTATGCATACTCAATGCCTACCAGGTAATATAGCTAGCTGTATGGAACCCAATTAATCGCCCACTTAGCTCATCTCATCCGCTAACCCAGACTCGACACCGGCTCCGGAGGCCCTCTATCCCCGGCAAGCCACCTTGTTTCTCGTTCTCTTCCATGCACAAGTGCCTCAATAGTACATAGGTAGTAATACCGTAGTATTATACGTACAGTAGCGCTACTGGGCATTGCGGGGATGCCTCCGGCTCCTCGTTATCTCCCGTCCACGCTGCCAAATCTAGAACATCATCATCTGCGATCCATGCATGCACTGCTGCTTCTCGCTTCGCTTCCAGTGCATGCTAACCACTGCAACTAACACTACAAAAGTATTGAATTTTTTTTCCCGCTTACTATTGACATCCACAGCTTAGGTCCTCGGTCCCTGCATGGCCGCCCCCCAAAAACACGCGTGAGCGCAGCGTGCAGCAAAAGGCCGTCACTTGACATCACCAAAAACCGCCATCAGCCTCTTCAGACACCAGACGAACCCCCTGGCCTCCGCTTTCTGCACGCAATCATGAGTCGCTCGCTTGCCCATCATCCCAACTTTTTTTCGTCCCATCTCGTCCGCCCGCCGCAAAATCCTACCACGGCATTTCCTCGTGCTAAATCCTCTCGGCAGCTGTCAGTGCAACACGCCTTGCATACAACATACACGTGGACAGACGCCACGTCTCGCTTCCATGCACTTTGCCTTGTTCCCCGTCTCGCCTGCTCTTCCGCCGCCTCCTCCGCCTCCTCTTCCTACTGTACTGTAAGGAGTAATCCGCAGGTGTTTGTGATAATGCATGCGAGCAACTCATGCTGGCAACGACTCTGTCGAGGGTGATTCTCGGACATGATCCGGCCCAATCACGTCGCAGCGCAGGATTCCCGAGATGCCGTAACACAATGCGGGCACCTCCAGGCCAAACACTCCGTAGCCAAATATAGTGTCAGATAGATAAAACAGCAACAGACAGATGGCACAGATGCAGATTATACGACAAGCGAGAAATCGGGGCGTGACAGGTGACAGCCTAGCACCACACGATGGCGTCACCGACCCCTAGAAGCTGTCAAAACGCCAAAAGAGAGGCCATCACGATCATGCACTATGCACTGCTAATACCTGCTAATACATACTGCTGACTTGCGGCCGAATCCGCGCCTCGTCGGCCGACACAATCCAGGATGCCACCGTAAACATTAGTCATGCTGCAGATCCATCACTGCCCAAATGGGTTACCATGTTTCGATTTGATAGAAAGTAGTAGTTTTTTTCTCGGCTCCTCAAACCGCCGCTATCTAGGTAATCGTAGCTGTACAGGTATACATTATGCTATCCACTAAAATACAAATCCAATGCTTTTTGTTGCGGCATCCGCCATCATCCGCCCGCTAGCTGTTTCGTTTCCCAGGCCTCGTCTGTTTCAGGGCCATGGGCTTGTGTGATCAAGTGCCTGAATTCGAGAAACAATCTATCCCTGCTAGGCTGCCTCGAAGAGTCAACAAGCAAATTGGCCTTTTTCCTGGCCCAAAGACAAAGAAAAATGAAAATGAAAATGAAATGAAAAATGAAATGAACAAAAAATTAAAAGAAAGAATACAAGGAAACAAGTTGAAAAATGGTAATAAAATAAAAACAAAAGAGAGACGGAAGAATAAAATGATTATATCAAAATCATAGAACATTGACATTCAAAAATATGACTGGTCAATTTCCCGGAGAGTACTCTTACTCGCCCCGGCAGTGTCTAATGATTGATGTAAGAGAAAAGCTTTTAGCGCACGCCTAGTCTGGCCAGCCACTGTCGCATCACGATGTTCAAACCGTGTAAGAAATAAACATTAAACAAAAAATATCCATGCAGTGCTAGGCATGACAGGTAGTAAATGAGTGACTTGATGCAAGAACAAAAAAGGCAGGTTCATGACCGGGTATCAATAGCTCTAGGCACGGGGCCAGGATGCATCTATGCAAAGGAGTGACAAGAAGAAGACCGAATCAACGCCGATAATGGCATAACTGAGTGGGAGAAGAGAAAGAGGCAAAAGAGACTGGGTGTGAAAATTGCTCATTTCGGCTTAAACACTGCACTGGTAAGGAATATTTCAGGTTCCTTTGGCACGTCTTTGAGAGGAGGAACCGGTGCAGGGGGGGACGGTGGTACGGGAGAGTGGATAGCTTTCATGGAAGTAGGCGGCTTGAAGAAGAAGCTCTTGGGCAACATCGGCGAGGGGGCGAGAGTGGGAGAGTCGGGCTGGGCGCTAAGCCTAAAGTTGCTGCTTCTCGGTACTTCGTGTCCGATTTGTAGAAACTCGGACTGGCTCGCCTCGGGCTTGGGTGAGGCATTTGGCTCTGGTGTGGCAGACTCTGGGGTGGCATTGGACTCTGGAATGGCATTGTTCATCCTGATGATCTCATCCTCAACGTCGGTCAGGAGAGCAAAAAGCTCATCGCCGGCATAGATGCGGATGCTCTCACCATCTGTGCTCTTCATGGTAGACTTTCGTGATAGGTCGGTTTTGTTTTCAGGTACAACTTCCTCGGCGGGCAGCTCAAGAACCATACTGGGTACTTGAGCCACCACTCGCAGAGGCGGCGGTGAGGCACTCTCAGGCCTGTCGCTGAAAGTTGTCTTAACCGGGCTCCGTGGTGGCGTGGCAATGTCCTGGACTACCCGTATTTGTACAGGGGATGGTTGTCGTACAGGCGAAGATGGTTGTGGTTGTGTTTGTTGTGGTTGTTGCTGTGGCGGGGGGGTCTCTTTGCCGATGGAGAGTATGGCGGCCGCAGCAATATGTTCAAGCAGCTTCTGTCGAACACGTGTACGCCTGTTTTCTGTTCGCTCGAGCTTAATTACCCAGCCATCGATAGAGGCATCTAGCTCGGCCAGCGCCTCCTCCTGTCTAAGCATGGACTCGGCACTTAACCGGGCTCCTCGCATTGGCGACCGAAGGTATTGGCAAATACGAGAGTGAAAGTTGCGACGACCGTTCCTCAAAGAGTTGTAGGTACGGCGGAGGTACTCTGCTCGTTCGTCGAGTCGTCGGAGTTCTTTGGATAAGCTTTCGACATCTTCAACACGCAGCACCTCGAATCTCTCAGCCTGGCCAAGCGCCTGCTGGCGAAGAATACCCAGATCATTGGCACTCATTTGGCTAGCAGCCTTCTCTGGTCTGCAGCCCGAAGGAAGCTCCTCAAATGCGCGCTGCTCGGCGCTCTTGGATCGCTTCTTTTCGCCGTTGCCTGGATGAGAGTTGCTCTTCTTGTGCGGCTCCGTTCGCTTCCTTGGTCTACCTCTGTCTCCCTGTGATTCAGAGGCAAATCGCCTATGGCTATACGAGCTATCTTCCGCTCGGTTGGCGCTCAATGGCATACGAGGCTCCCATTGCTTGATGGCAGAGCTCTTCTCCATAATCGGTGCTGAGACAGGAGTTGGCAGTGTGGTGGCCGAGGTGCCTTCAGTGCTAGACGAACTGAGGAAGCCGCTAGAGTCCGAGGTAGAACTGCTAATAGGAGTCAAGTACTGGTTGGTACTAGTCCCCAGTGGTGGTGTATTCTCAGCCTCGAGATGACTCGGGGGAGAAGGCTGTCGTACATATTGCATAAAAGACAGCTGCTCTGGCTCGGGGATAACCAGGGGTGCCAGTCGCTTTGGTGAAGGCAAGCGAGGAGGCCGAGGGTCAATGGGTCGTCTCTTCACCTCGATCTGCTTTGGAGCTGCGTATATGGCTCTGCTAAGCGTCAATGGAGGGACTGTATCTTGTGTTGATCCGTCTTGAGGAGCACTAATAGAACGTTCTCGCAGCGGTGGTCGACCCGGTATTGTTGCTATAGAGTTATGTTAGAGCTGGAATAGTAAATGCTGGAGGGGTATGTTCTTACGAGAGTCCATAGTAACCTCCTGGACCGTTGTCATCGGTCCCAGTTCCGGGATGGTGGCTTTTCGACGCCGGACAATAGTTTGTTGGTTCACTTTGATCTTCAGCGTTGGAGCAGCACCTGGCTTCTCGTTGAATTCGCTGTTGTTCATGGCCATTGCAAAAGCAGTCTCGGGATCCACCGAAGCATTGCTGTTAAAGCTAGGCGACTGCCTCCCCTTGGGGAAGAGCTGATATTTCCCTTGTCCCTCTTGCTGCATCTTTCTAGAGTTTGGCTTCTCGTTGTCTGATAGAGCCGCCAGCGGCGCTGACTGAAATGGCGGGTGTAAGTTAGTGGTATATATGATAAGAGGGCATGTGCTTACGGAAAGCATCTGAAGAGCGGGTGAGAAAGGCCTCGACATTGCACTCTGTCCAACCCCAGTCATGCAGCCAACAATATGATCCATTACTCGTATGGATCAGTTATAGAGGGAAGACACAGTCATCCAGCTCCAGGTGAGATGAGAATAGCAGTTCGCCTCAGACGACAGTGCTACACATTCAACATCCTCAACGATTCTCCCATCCAGCAAGAAGGAGAGCAAGGCATTGGAACAAGGCGAAGAGGGTATATATCTACGCCACCGGGACGACGGAGCCTGGAAGAAAGACGCATTGCACTCAAAACGAGGGCCTGCTGGGCTAGCGTGGAGAACATGGATGTCCACCCTGTTCCTCTTCGCTTGCACCCGACTGCGAAGGGGGAACCCACAGGCACCACACAACCGAAGGGCCAGGAGAAGGCAGCGGGCCCAAAGAGTTGTAGCTCAAGTGTCAAGGATATGAAGATGCTGGTCCTGTCTGTGACACGGGTGCATTGGGTGGCTGTACAAGCACCATGCTGGACGGAGAGCCACCAGGGTGGCCCGTGTTAGAGTCGAGTAGGCTGCGGCGGAAGCTTCAAAAGAGGCATAGACAGCCGGACCCTGGCTCGAGGAGCTACTGGCACTGCTGCATGGCAACCAGGAGTCAAACGCTAGGCCCCTGGACAGACTCGACCCGTTCTTCAGGTTGGAGCGTCTTCCCCACCGCGCCAGGATATCCTTGCCTGCCATGATGTTCGCCCGCACCAATCCGATCTTTCGGGCGATTGCGTTTTAGCACCGGTATTCGGGGGCTGCTAACGCGAGAGAAGAGCAGGACAGAAGGCCAGACGAAGATGGGAAAAAAGATAAGGCCCTGTTGATGGGACTAGCGTCAGTGGGGGTTTGGTTTCAGGCGTCAGTGCTCTGCCTTGCGGTGCCTGCATTTTGCTTTGCCGTGTTTGTATGAGGAAGCAGGATTCTGGGGGCGATGATCGACACAATCACTGATGGGCGAGGCAGTTGCTCGAGAGCCTGGGGGCAGCCTTGCCATTCGGTATTTGACGAGATTAGATGGCAGCATCACCAAGAGAGAGAAAAAGTGGTAGACTTGTACTCCGTAAGCGAGAAAGAAAAAAATAAGCCTGAAAGCCAAGGCGTCCACTTGAGACATTGGACGACAAGGCTCCGGGGTTGCACGTGCTGCGAGGCAGGCCCCTGGCGATTTTCCGGTGGCTCTGGCTTTGCGGCTGCCCAAAACTGTATAGCAGAAGCCGGTACGAAATCACAGAATCCAAGCTTCAATATTGGAGTATCCAACCTAGGCGATTTGCAGTAGCACTTAGCAGGCTTGCAGGCCTCTATTCTCTCCAATCTCCACTCGGCCCTTCGTCAGTCACCGTTAGCGCGTCGCAGACTCAGCCTTCTCGTACGAAGTACTTCGTAACTGCAGCTGTCCGGGGGGGAGGGGGCTGCGTTTGTTCTGCTTTACGGTGCGTTGCCACTCTCTTTTGTGCTGTAAGCGATCTCGATGCTCCCGGAATAGCGCAATGCAATAGCCAAGACATGGAGTGCACGTTGGTGGTGATCCTTCATCTTCATCTCATCTCTGCCTCGCCACTGGGGGCTGCACAAGGAGGCTGCAAGACGATCATATGCACCTTTTTGGCCCCAGGGAGTCACAAGACCAGCAGGCTGAGGCTACGGCCTACCTCCTAATGGGCCCAATTATCCAATCGCTTTTTATATCTCCGTAATGGTTTCAAGATTGCCCTGTGGTGTTTACATCCCTCTTTTCCCATGGTGTATATTCGTCCTCAGCTTGCATTGCCCCCATAAAGGACCAGCGTTGTAAGGCATTCGTCTCCAATGATTATTTTTAGTTGTTTGTGATGCCACTAAGGCTGTTTGTAATCATCTTATTCGGAAAATATTAGGCGTATTGGCAGAATTCAAATGAGGCTTTTCTAGTACATGTAGGTTAATCTGGAATATGATACCGCTCTTCTGACGTATACTTGCTTCACTCACTACCCTACATACCACCTCGATCATGAGCTCATTCCGTTGCTTTTGACGCCGGCATTCCCGATGAACTCAATATTGTGCTCATATAATTTTGCCCGAAATACAGTCTCTCAGGGTAGTTGTGGAGGGAACCTTGGCGATTACTTGGCGATTTCGCCCTGCCAAGCTGAATTCTTGGGCTATTGATGTACATGACTGCGCGTCTATGCATAAGCACAGACTCTACGGAGAACAACTTGTAGGCTAACATGAAGATCTAATCCGAATGGGTGATGATGAGGGTCATGGCAATCGATAATTGTCAAACCGCAACTAGACACACCGATAGTGTTTCTAGAAGCCGTCACATCTCCGTCACATCGTTGATGGATGCAAGCCGTGTGATCAATGTTTGGAGATGCACACCCTCTCGTAACGCATTTTGATACACGGCACGGTTTCTCGGTGCTAAACGGAGTATAGTCGTGTGCAGCCACGCTGTGTCGGGCCTAAATCTGATACGACATCTAGTCATGCACCGCACATCACCGCACCGCACAGGCAGGTCTTGCAAATCTCAGCTCAATCATTGTGGACTGCGGCACTGCATTTCGTTTTCCATGCGCATATTCTCCGCCTGCACAGACTTTCATGTTTCCAGGCGTGCATCAAGGCTTGGCGTATTCTCCGCTTCGTCTTTGTCAGTGCGCGGAATCGGAGTAGCAGGGGTCAAGGATTCTAGGCCAATTCCATGAGAGAATGTGCACAACCGCCCCCGTAACGTCTTCCTTCCCGTTCACAGGCTTCTGCTCTACGTAACTCCAGCCGGATAGGTCTTTTTCCGTGCAAAATGCTATTTCGGATATCTCCGACAGCTAATTACTATCATTATGCATCGCCAACAGCGGGAGCAAAATTTCCTTTCGTGATGTTCTTCGGAGATTGAGCCAAGACCCGAGCACTATTCTTCACGAGAATGATTTTTTTCAAGTAAAACCCAAAGTCAAAGCAATTTACAACTACGAAAGGTATAATGAGGGCAGAGATTGCTTCCACCTCTGCTCCGGTTTGGTGTATATTGATCGAGAGTTCCGGTTTCAAGTTGTTTCAACCCCTGAGCCAACTCCTGCTTACAAGCCTGTTCTGCGGGGAAACAAGCCCACAGAAAGAGCCAATTGGATCTTTGTTTCTCTCTCTGCCGTGATCTTGTTTTGTCCAAGGAGAAAAAAGACGATGGCGTTGTCAGTGAGTTGAACATTGTTGAACTTGATGGTCATGATTCAAAGATCCACCGCGAATCCGATGTCCGGCCCCACTCACCGCCGTAACGGTGGAGGCTCTTTGCTTTTTCCAGCCGCTAAACAACTTCTCTACAGCCACGGCGATGAAATATTCGAGTCCTGCCTTGTAAATGAAGCCAAATCATAATTACATAGCTCTGCCATTGGTAATTTTCTAAGCCTGGAGAGAATACGTACATCATGGGCTCCAGGAAAGACCCGAACCCACGCCGGGTTGAGTTCACCCCGTGCTCAGCACTAAGACCAATGGCGTCTCTTTTGTCGATGGACAAAGATTTACAACGACAGAGCGGCTCTGACTTGGTCTGGCTAATGCCATGTTTCAGATCTTGGGTCAAACGCAGTGCGTCCGTTTCGTCGCCCACATGAATCGACCCCACAGCGCCTTGACCTTCAGAACAGTGAAGGATTCTGCAATGCATCTATAGAAAAGGTAGGGTCGTTGGGTCGCATAGGGCTGCTTGTGGGTGTGGCATGGAATCATCTAGAAAAATGACTTGTCAAAAAATCGTGTTCAGCTTCAAGTACAATCTATGGAGGGTGGTACAATACCAGTGCTTCTATTTATAATTCGAGAAGGTGTCTCGCATACACAGTTATATGAATAAGGCCACATTCATATTAAAGAACTCTGATAAAATTAAGATCAAGATCGACGCTGGATATGTACAATGGCGACACTCTTAACGCCACATTATCAACAAACACCAAATAATATCGCCCTCTGGTGTTTTGCGCCATTATTCTCCAACCACTTGCAAACTCGTAGCTCAATACCTACCAACCCACTCTTAGGATAGTATTGAGGCTAAAGCAAGAGAAGTGCCGACTTGAACTCATTCTTGAGCATCCTCGGTCGTGTCGTCTGTCTCCCATGTGGATTCGACTGTTAGCTTCATTTCCAAAACTAATTGTAAAACAGGAAAGAATCATATTGGCCTTGCTGTTCTTGTTGGGCACTGGGTTTAGGTGATGCATTCGTAAATATGTCGAAGTTGCTTTGCATCTACCAGTCTGGTATCTTTTCACCAGAGTATGCTATCATATGTTGCATTATAGAGATTACAGGTTACACATTCCAGACTACAAATTCTAGATTTTCAAGCATTCTCTGGACACCCCTAACCTAAGGATTTACCAAATGAAGAATTCCGGTATTCCGATGATAGGTATATTACATTGAAGAGAGTGGCGTTAAGGAGGGTCGTGTTCAGGAGGGGTATTGCCCCGTTTGGAGGTGAAAAATCGTTCCTTTGATGGATCGATGAATAGAGGGTTACCAATCTTGTGGAAATGGAGAAGTCGGACAATGTTCAGGGTCTATGAAGCAGAATGGATAGAACAATGAATGACCGAGGGTAGATGAAGGCGTCAAAAACTCTTCTTTAAATCCAAAGAAATATCTCATCTTAAGGTTCAGTAATGATGCTAACCCAACAGCATGTCCTAATAGCGGAGCAAGCCTGATGTACTTGTACATGTTTACCTGACCCTACCCACGGTACCTTCACGTCATTGATCAGGCGCAGTAGATCGAATTCTCAAGGCACCACCAAATTCCCACTTCTACTAGGTAGTAGAGAGTAGTATCTACCTACCTGTATCTAATACTGATATGATCCAGTGGCATCTTGAATACCCTGAAGTAATATAGAATGCGTGGAAATAGATAACATCAAACTGCCTAAGGTATCTATACAAACTCAGACTTTTGACAAGCTAGTTCGGTATTGGAAGAGAATTACTCTCTTAACTCTTAAGTAAGCGATTTGGATTCACAGCATCGGCAGGCATATGACTTTAGAACACTGAGGAGATTGGTTATAGCGAAGAACTCTTGGTTTTTCGGCCATATGAATGTACATGTACCTGGAAGTCGGAGAAATAGGTACTTTATATTTTGCTAGGTACATAGTAAAAGAACGCGGTCCCAACGGACGTATACCGGCAGTATTTAAAGTACCGGTAGAAATGATGCCTTGGCAAAACTCTTTTTGTAGCTTGTGGCCAAGCAGCTTAAGTAGGGCCATGGATAACGCCCAATGCCATCCACATCGCATATGACTCGCTCCACGCTGGCTTTTGTGGCACCATTGTCTACGGAAGGCCTCGGATGAAGCTGAGTGGGATTATCTGGATGAAATTTTATGTGCTCATGCTTCTAGTGTTAGTAGCCCTCGATTAGATGTTGGGAGAATTTTTTTCTTCTCTTTTACCCACTCAAAGTCTACATCTACGTCTCCCCTAGTACACCTTTGCCATCTTCTCTACCAGTGTTAGTAATGGAGACGCTTTGATATGTTTGTAACAGAGTGTATAAGCAGAGCGTTTGCAGGCAAAGTGATGTACAAGTCGAGTTGATTTTCGTTTCTTCACTAATTAGCAGTACACTCTTTACCTGCCAATATATAAAGCCAGGGCTACGCTCCACGATCAGTCCGATCTGACACTTGCAAAATGTTTCTAGCCAAGGTGTCTGCGGCTCCGCATCACTTCTTCCGGTCCCCATTCTCATCGGTTTTTCATCGCGTCTCAATTGAAACAATGGCCCATGCTAGGGCTCATCTCTGTGGATTTGACACCCCAAGTGCCCGGTTCAGCCGCGTGAAACGAGAGGCCACCCCGGATGAGATCCTTTGTTTCTATCCAGGAAGCTTAGCGGTCGTTTCAGGTGCACAGTGGCGGGGAGCGGCTTGGAGCCGATCGTTTCACGGCTGGTCTAGTTGTCAACTCGACTAGGCTAATCTGATCAAAAACCCCGAAGAGGATGAACAAGAAAGAGGGAAAATGAATTGCTTCAAAAGAGTTGAAAGTCGTGATGGATTCAAATCCAAGCGCAATCAAACAATCCATCAATCACATAATCAATGCATGAGATTCGCTGAGCCGAAAGAGCCCACAGTGGAAACTCAAAATGTTCCGCAAGTGGTGCGGCACGTGATGCTCCTCGAATAGGAACTGGACAATGAAGGACCTTTTGCAAGCTTGCTCGACGCTTCAATGAGCTCGAATTCGAACTCGGCTTGAGTCGGTCCTTTTGCCCGCTCCATCTCGCCGTCGAAAAAACCCTCGAGTTTGTGTTTGTGCCACATGTCGTGGTTCTCCCTCCGAGTTGGTCTTTTACGCAGCACGAATCGCATCATCACAAGCTACGCAAGGCGGGGCTTTGCAACAATCAACACCATGGCCGGCACTCGTGATCCCACCACACTGTCCAACTACGGCGCTTGGCGCACGAGGCACACCACGGCCAACTTCAACATTGATTTTGAGAACAAGCGCCTCAAGGGTTCCGTGGTGCTGCAGCTGGAGAGCCAGACGGACAAGGAGAGTAAGGAGATCATCCTCGACTCGCGCTTCGTCAACGTCTCGTCCGTCAACGTCAACGACACAGCATCCAAGTGGGAGCTGAAGCCGCACTCGGATCCCTTTGGAGCACCGCTGCATGTGCAGGTTCCCGATGGCGCGGCCAAGGGCGAGATCGTCCACTTGGCCATCGAGCTGGAGACGACCAGCAAGTGCACTGCGCTTCAGTGGCTGACGCCCGCTCAGACGTCCAACAAGAAGCACCCGTACATGTTCTCTCAGTGCCAGGCCATCAACGCTCGCTCCATCTTCCCCTGCCAGGACACTCCTGATGTCAAGTCCACCATCAGCTTCAAGTTCACTTCCACCCTCCCGGTTGTTGCCAGCGGTGTTGCTGTTGGCGACCACACGGCCACTCCCGGCGTGGAGAAGGTGTATGAATTTGAGCAAAAGGTCCCGATCCCTTCGTACCTGTTTGCTGTTGCCTCTGGTGATATCGTTGCTGCCCCTATTGGCTCCCGCAGCAAGGTTGTTACTGGCCCCAATGAGCTCAAGGGCTGCCAATGGGAGCTCGAGCGCGACATGGAGAAGTTCTTGGAAATCGCCGAGAGCATCGTCTTCCCTTACAAGTGGGGAGAGTACAATGTGCTCGTTCTGCCCCCCAGCTTCCCCTATGGAGGTTAGCATCATCTATGCATCAATCGGGCTTCAGTGGCTTTGCTAACATGTATGTCAGGCATGGAGAACCCCATTTACACTTTTGCTACCCCCACCATTATCAGCGGTGACAGGCAGAACGTTGACGTTATCGCTCACGAGCTTGCCCACAGCTGGAGCGGTAACCTGGTGTCCAACGCCAGCTGGGAGCACTTGTGAGTATTTTGAACTGTTTCTTTGAGATTTATGAGACTGGTCTGACAAATATGGCAGCTGGCTGAATGAGGGCTGGACGGTTTATCTGGAGCGACGAATTGAGGCTGCTGTCCACGGCGAGCCTCAGTTTGACTTTTCATCCATTATTGGGTGGAAGGCCCTCGGTGAGTATCTGTGTTGTAATTGATGTAGGCGAAACCTAATGCCGAGTTTAGAGGATGCTGTTGCACACTTTGGCGCGGACCACGAGTACACCAAGCTGATCATCAGCCATGACAACGTGGACCCTGAGGATGTCTACAGCACTGTTGCTTATGAAAAGGGCTTCCACTTCCTTTACTATCTGGATCGCCTCGTTGGCCGAGACAACTTCAACAAGTTTATCCCCCACTACTTCACAAAGTGGGCTGGCAAGTCTCTGGACTCGTTCGAGTTCAGGGATACCTTTGTAGACTTCTTCAACAACCTGGGTGATGAAGAGGTCAAGCAAAAGGTCGCTACCATCGACTGGGAGGGCAGATTCTATACCCCTGGCCTGCCTCCTAAGCCCGAGTTTGACACCACCCTTGCTGGCCAATGCTATGAATTGGCTGAGAAGTGGAAGGATGCTGTGAGTCTTCTCCTTCACCTCTTTTTGAGCCGTACTATGGCGCTTCATTGCCGCATGCTAACATTGCGAAATGAACAGTCCTATGTGCCCAACGCCAAGGATATCGAATCCTTCTCCTCCAACCAAAAGATCGTTTTCCTCGAGAAGCTGCAGCAGTACGAGCCTCTGAGCTCCGAACGAGCACAGCTCCTCGGCAGCGCCTACGATCTCCTCAACACCCAGAACGTGGAGCTCAAATTTGCCTATCTCCAAATTGCTCTCAAGGCCAACGACAGCACCAGCTACCAGACTACCGCCGATTTGCTCGGAAAGGTCGGCCGGATGAAGTTTGTTCGACCCTTGTTCCGCTCCCTGAGCAAGGTTGATCGCAGCCTCGCCCTGGAGACTTTTGCCAAGAACAAGGACTTCTATCACCCCATCTGCAGGGGTATGGTGGAAAAGGATCTTGGTGTCTAATCCCCCCTATTTATAGCAAAGAATGAAAAAAAAAGAAGAGAAAAGAAGCACATGGAACTTTTTTCACCCATCCATGTCTATTTCGTCTGTGATGCAATGCTTTACTCTAGCCATGTTGAAGTCTTCATGGTTTCCGGCCACGTCTGCCCCTCTTTTCTCTCAAATTTCTGCAAGCTCTGGACATCGGCTGCGCCAAAGTTGCCGTACAAATGTGGGAACCCATCCTCCCACTTGAGCGGATCCGCCAGCTGTGCCAGCTCCAGCTTGATGAGCCACAGCTCAGAAGCCTCAGTAAAGAACAAATTGGCCGTATTGGGAACCTGGATGTATCCCGCAAATGTCAGATGAACCTCTCTAGCTACTAGGTATGTAATAATTAAACACTAGTAAAGCTTATTGCGGTATTTACCTGTGTAGCCGTGCTTAGGTGGACAAAGCCATCGTTTGCATCGAGCTGTGAGAAGGGAAACTGCTCAGGCAGCGGGTCTTGGGGAGCGGCAGGCAAAATTTTGTAGATGTATTTGGGGAGGGGGTTGGGCGGAGCAGACATGGTGAAAGCGGCGATGATGGTATGTCACTACAAGGCTTGTTTGGGTGAGCGTGATATACAGTGATATCGAGATGTTAGATGGAAAAAAAGCGTCGATGTCAGCTTAAGCATTGAAGGGAATAGCTGTTCTGGAGTGGTGCAGTGCGTATGTTTTTACCGCACAGTAAACCGAATTGGAAGCTGCTTAGCGCGGGGTTCCGTGAAGCTCCCTCAGCTTGCACCACTACACGAAGCTTCTGACGACATTTGACACCGATAACCCGTCTGAATCGCTAAATTCTGACGCTTCCAAATGAAAGTTTCCTGAGCATCACAGAGCAATGTCGTGGGGGCCTGTACCCTCTCAGCTGCGTCTGCTCTCCCAACTGAAAAATGCGTCTGTTGGTGACAAAGTGAGGTTCTTGGGATGGTATGCCGGATCTCTCTCCCCTTTGGCCTTGGTATCCACTGCTTAAGCCCACGACAGCGTCACTTCGTACGATACTGCAGCAGCATGTCTCAATCTAGGGCACATGTACCCGCCAGGCACTAACGAGACTGTACGGGTTAACATTGAGCTGGTTCTCGAGACCATCCAGCCAGGAGTAACGCAAGTTGGGCAATGGGTGAACGTTGTGGGGTACATCGTCGCGGGCAATGAGTCGCTTGTGCATGTCCAAGCCCTGTTATTGTGGTCAACGGGGCCGTTGGATATTGGCAGATACGAGAAGAGCCTGCAGGAACAAGTGGCTGGGCTATGATGGGCCTCTATTTTATCTGAAATCTGCTACTATACTGGAGGCGCTGGACAGTCTTGGAGCGGGCGAAGGATCTTGATGCCGCAAAACTACAAGTGCATTGATATGGATGGGCTTTAATGCGTGACAGCTAGCAAATCCGAAACAAAACAAAGAGACTCCAGAGTTGACGGCATAGACGAGAAGCCGCGCCACGAGGCAGGGTGGGGCGCATAAGCATCCATCAAAACAGAGGTGGTGATCAATACATTATGGATACATACATTACAGCACCTGCGTGTATTGGATGTCGACATGGACTCAATCAAAGTGAAGCCCCTAAAGCGCTTGCCCATGGGTGGGATGAGTCCAGCCATGGCGGGCTTGCTCCCTGCGAGCTCTCCCCTAATCCCGCCATCCGCCAGCGATAAGGCTCAGTAAAGAGTGGCGGCTAATCCGCGGCGCCTGTGTTCATGTTCACAAGCTTAGACCGCAAACTCGCTCCCCTGGCTATACCTGCATGCTCTCCGCTCCAATCAAGAGAAGAGGGCCGCTCCGCCGCAAGGAGTTCAAGATCAGCGCGACCGCGTTTCTTTCTCCTGGCGACACTCCTTTGCCTTTTCTCTTGTTGCTGTTTGCACCATTTCTGACGACTTCCGGACGCTCTGGTACCGCCCTCGACTGCGGGCTGAGCGTATACCGAGCACACGAAGCGGCCTTGCGCCATCGAGTCGGCGCAACCCTGGAAACCGTAAGCCTTGCGACCGTCGCTTTGCGAACGTCGACCTCGGGAAAATCGGGGCTCCCGCTGCCGCCACAAAGAGGTGACAGAGGTGACAAAGAAGCTGCAGCTCGAGCATGGACAGGAAGCCTTGACGCTCATCTCGGTTTTCCTGTTCTTGTGCCCGTGTTTTCTGCTGTTTTTCTTGGAAACACATGGGGGCGTTGTTCCGCTAGCCTCCCCTCATCGCATCGCTTAGACGATTCAACTCACCGACTCGGGCGCATTGCCTACGAAACCGCGCGGCCGCAGAGGGGACCAGTCTAGGTCCCCGCATCCATTCGAGCAGCCATGGCGCCAGCTGGGGGAGGAAACATCAAGGTGGTGGTGAGAGTGCGGCCGTTCAATGGCAGAGGTGGGTTCACAAACACACGGCCGTCGAGCGGTTAATCCCAGGCGGTCTACGGCAGGCATGCGGGGACGAGACGAGGGTTAACAGTTTGGATACAGAAATCGACCGCGGATCAAAATGTATCGTGGACATGCAAGGGAACCAGACCGTCATCACGCCGCCTGAAGGTCATTCGGTTAAAGGGACCAAAGATAATGCCCCAAAGGCCTTTGCCTTCGACAGGTCATACTGGTCCTTCAACAAGGACGCCCCCAATTATGCGGGCCAGCACAACCTCTTTGAAGACTTGGGTGCGCCGCTCTTGGACAATGCCTTTGAGGGATACAACAACTGTATTTTCGCCTATGGCCAGACCGGTTCCGGAAAGTCATACTCCATGATGGGCTATGGCAAAGAAATTGGTATTATTCCCATGATCTGTCAGGAAATGTTCCAGAGGATCGATAAGATACAAGGAGAGAAATCGAACAAATGCACCGTCGAAGTGTCGTATCTGGAAATCTACAATGAGCGAGTCCGTGATCTGCTCAACCCGTCAACAAAGGGCAACTTGAAAGTTCGAGAACACCCGTCCACTGGTCCATACGTTGAGGATCTCGCCAAGCTTGTTGTGACGAGTTTCCAGGAAATCGAAAACCTCATGGACGAGGGAAACAAGGCTAGAACTGTTGCTGCAACCAACATGAACGAAACGTCCAGTCGAAGTCATGCCGTTTTCACGCTCATGTTGACGCAGAAGAAGTATGACGCCGAGACAAAAATGGAGATGGAAAAGGTTGCCAAGATTAGTCTGGTCGATTTGGCTGGTTCTGAGAGAGCCAACTCGACTGGTGCAACCGGCGCGCGATTAAAGGAAGGCGCGGAAATCAACAGATCGCTTTCTACGCTTGGTCGTGTCATTGCTGCACTGGCAGATTTGTCTACTGGCAAGAAGAAGAAGGGCGCCTCTCAGGTGCCGTATCGTGACAGTGTCCTTACCTGGTTGTTGAAAGACTCCTTGGGAGGAAACAGTATGACGGCCATGATTGCAGCTATCAGTCCTGCCGACATCAATTATGATGAGACGATAAGCACGCTTCGATATGCCGATTCTGCGAAGCGAATCAAGAACCACGCTGTGGTCAACGAGGATGCGAATGCTCGTATGATCAGAGAACTGAAGGAGGAACTGGACCTTTTGAGGAGCAAGCTTGGCGGCGGTGGTGGCGGCGGTGGTGGAGGTGGAGGTGCCGGCGTACCTCCCGATGAAATTTACGACGAGAGCACCCCCCTGGAGAAACAGATAGTAAGCATCACGGCAGCTGATGGTACGGTCAAGAAAGTCTCAAAGGCAGAAATTGCAGAGCAATTAAGCCAAAGCGAGAAGCTGCTTACGGACCTGAACCAAACATGGGAGGAGAAGTTGGCCAAGACGGAGGAGATTCACAAGGAGCGTGAGGCAGCCTTGGAAGAACTCGGCATCAGCATCGAAAAGGGATTTATTGGTCTTCACACGCCAAAGAAAATGCCCCATCTTGTCAACCTGTCAGACGATCCCCTCCTAGCAGAGTGTCTAGTTTACAACCTCAAGCCTGGCACAACCACCGTAGGCAATGTCGACACAAACGCAGAAAATCAAGCCAACATCCGCTTGAACGGCACCAGGATATTACACGACCATTGTACTTTTGAGAATGCCGCTGACGGAGTCGTTACTGTCATACCTAGAGAAGGAGCTTCGGTCATGGTCAACGGCAAGCGAATCACCGAGCCGAAGCAGCTCCATTCCGGGTTCCGAGTCATTCTCGGAGACTTCCACATCTTCCGATTCAACCATCCCATGGAAGCCAGGGCAGAAAGAGCCGAAGGCGAGGGCGCAAGACAAAGCCTATTGCGACAATCTATCACCGCCAGCCAGCTTCAAGCCCTCAGCCCAACGCCGCAGACTCCTCGAACGCCCGGCCACGAAAGGTCGTTTAGTAGAGTCTCGGTCTCAGACAGTGGGGAACTGTCTCGGCCTGATTCACCTGCCTTTTTCTCGCGTAATGGCAAGGATTCCGATTGGTCTCTCGCTCGCAGAGAAGCTGCCGGTGCCATTCTTGGGACTGACCATAACTTCGCCAGTCTGACCGATGAAGAGCTAAACTCATTGTTTGAAGAGGTCCAAAGAGCTAGAGCAGAGCGTGTGAATGGACGTGATGATGGAGATGATTCGGAATCAGCTACGTCGTATCCGATAAGGGAGAAATATATGTCGACAGGAACTATTGATAACTTTTCTCTCGACACGGCTCTGACGATGCCCTCGACACCAAGACAGGGAGATCAAGATGACCGATTTAGGGAAGTTCGGGAAGAACTCCAGTCTCAGTTCGAGAGGCAGAAAGAGGAATTCCGGGGCCAACTCAGGGGTGCAGAGGCTTCTGACATGGAAGTTGAAGAAATCAGGCAAGAAAAGGCTCGCATGGCAAACGCCCTCAGAGAACTCAAAGAGGATATGGAGAAGCAGCTCAGCCTTCAGCGCAAGCAGTTTGAGGAGAAAATCGAGAAGATGGATCCCCTGAAGCGCCCCAAGGCCAGCCCTAGGCTGTCTGATGCGGAAATTGCGATTGCAAAGAAGACGGTCAAGGCATGGCGCAGCCGCCACTTTGTCAAGATGGCCGAGACTGTGCTCCAGAACGCATCCATTTTGAAAGAGGCGCAAATCATGGGCAACGAGCTTGACGAGAACGTTGTTTTCCAGTTCACCACTGTTGATATGGGACACGTGCTGTGTTCCTCCTACGATATGGTCCTTAACGGCTTAACGAGTGAAGGAGATGATGTGGCGCTGGAGGAGGCCTATAAGCCTTGCATCGGTGTCCGCGTAATTGACTACAAGAATAACGTAGTTCGCCTATGGAGTCTTGAGAAGCTGTATGACCGGGTGCGTGTGATGCGCCAGATGCACCAGTACCTCGATCAGCCCGAGTATGCCCAACACCTGAGCTTAGACAACCCGTTTGTGGAGACAAACATGCCTGCCTACACTCTAGTTGGCGAGGTGGACATTCCCCTAAGGGCCGTGTTTGAAAGCCGTGTCCAAGATTTTGCGCTCGACGTCCTTTCTCCCTACACCTCTCACGAGGTTGGCATGCTTAAATTGTCTCTGGAGCCATCCCATGCCCGCGCACCGACCAACACGCTCAAATTCAACGTCGTTATGCACGAGATGGTGGGCTTTGCTGAGCGAGAGGGCACGGACGTCCACGCCCAATTGTTTATTCCTGGCATCTCCGAGGAGGATGGTATCACGACAACGCAAATGATTCGAGACTTTGACGAAGGGCCAATCCGCTTCGAGAGCGTTCATAGCATGAGCGTGCCCTTGTTTGCAACTCCAGAGGTTACACTGAGAGCAGCCATCTTCGCCAGAGTTTCGACAATGCACCTTGATAAACTCCTTAGCTGGGACGACATGAGAGATGCGTGCCCCACGGCAGATGGTGCAAAGGCCGCTCGTATCAATGAATCGCAGTTCTACACGCAGGAAAAACACGACCTACTTTCTAGGATCCAAATTATGGAGCTCAACGAGCACGGAGAGTATGCGGCTGTCGAAGTGACGCAGTCTAGCGAGCTCGACAGTGGAACATTTCAGCTGCACCAAGGATTACAGAGACGTATCAGCATTGACATTGCGCATAGCTCGGGGGATATCCTGCCCTGGGGAGATGTTACTGCCGTCCGTGTTGGTAAAATTCGTACGGTCGACTCCGCTGGCAAGTCTCCCGACATGGTCACCGATCGTGACATCTCCCTCAAGCTTGCAGGAAACCCCGTTTTCCGCGAGAATCCCAACGGCACGCGCAACATCGTGGTGCAAGCCCAATGGGACTCCAGCTTGCACAATTCACTTCTCCTCGACCGTGTTACGCCTGAAAAGTTCCGTGTGCAGATGACTGTCTCTTGGGATATTTCTTCAGAGAAGCTCGCGGAGCCCATGAGATTCTCTCAAAAAGTGAACCTGCAAATGATGTCCCGTACGTTTGTCCGACAAAGCAACATGTTCTCGTCGCTATTCCAGAACATGCGGTTTGTGCGCTCCTCGACTGGAATCTTTACCTTGACCATGAAGCCTGCCCCTATCAAGAGAGTAGGTGACTTGTGGAGGATGAACAGTCAACACGACTACGTCAAGGGTGAGGAAAATCTGCATAGCTGGACCCCTCGAGGCGTGTCTCTTGTCAGTGACTTCCTCCACTCAAAGAAGAAGAGGCGGCGCAACGCTGAGCTCGGCGCCATAAGCAGCATGCTTGCTCAGTATGGTATCGATGTTACAGCCGCCGGGCAAGAGCAGGGACCTGAGACTGAGCGTGAAGCATCGCCAGATATGCAAGCCATTATTCCGAATGACGATGATTTGCTCAATGACACACCTGTGACATCTCCAGCCCCATCAATCCATGAAGAGGAATTGGCATCGGAGGAGCCCACTTCCGGCGATGAAGCCCTCGAATCCGATGATGGCCAACAGATACCGCAAGAAGACAAGCCCGAACCTGTTGCTCCTCCGGCGTCTGAATACAACACGCGGGAAACTGACTTGTTGGAGCTATGCTTGAAGCTGTGGAAGAAATATCCGGACCCCTTTGTGAAGCTTCTGAGCCCGGAAAACACGCTCCCCCCAGAGAATGGAGTCACTGCAGAGCCCGCGCCCCCTAGCCTCATCACGACCATCGTGCGCGTGCCCAAAAATCCCAAGGTGCTAAAGGGAGGATACTTGTTGGTGCCAAACAACGAATCTACGCGATGGGTCAAGAGATTTGTGGAGCTAAGAAGACCATATCTTCATGTATACTCTGCCACGGACGGCGACGAGGTGGGCCTTGTAAGCCTGCGTAATTCACGCATCGATAGCCAGCCTGGCGTCCTCGGATTACTGCACGGACCTGATGACTACGACTCGCCACCGCGAAGCTCCAATTCACCTGATTTTACCCCCGGCCACCGACGAACAGCTTCGGGACGCGTAATTTCAACTATCTGGACTGCTGCTAATGGCGGGGGATCTGCTGCTGGACAAGGACTGCAGCGGCTGAGCGAACGGATGCAAGCGGCCGTGTTTGCCATCTATGGGACGGACAACACATGGCTCTTTGCGGCTCGCAGCGAGCGCGATAAGCAGGATTGGATCTTTAGGATTGACCAGACGTTCAATTCCAACGGCGAGAACACACCTGTCAGCGGCATCATGAGCCCCGGCCAAGGCAGCGACTATTAAGAAGAAGACGAAGAATGAGAAATGAATGAGGAGAATTATGAATCTTGACGGATTGTTGTTTTTCTTGCGCTCCCTTTTTTTGAGTTTATTTGTTTTTTTTTTTTTTGTTTTTTTTTTTTCGTTTCACGAAGCCCCACGTGCTCGCGATTTTCCTTTCTTCTCTCGGGGGTTTCCCTACAAATATATATATTTCTTTCCCTTTGTGTGGTCATTGATGACCTGTTAGATTATACCCCCCCTCAGATGGACGCAACAAGAGAAAAGAAAAAATCGCAAGTGCGGAAGCACATATAGAATAGAAGGGTCGCTCTCTGGTGGAGGAAGGGTTTGGATAGCTTAGTAGGTGCGATGGATGATGATAATGCTATACTACAAGAAGAAAGCTGGGTGGCTTGTTTGCATATGTGGTCATGTCCAATACGCTTTCACGGTGCAAATAGCCGCTGGTTCATGTCTTACCTTCTTTCGTTAGTAGTGAATACGATTATCAGTCTCCGAAATCTTAATTATTGAAGCATATTGTATCTCTCTTAGTGACACATACTCGTACCAGCACAAGTTACTTCTAGTCTGCTTGGACTTGTCTCGCGGGGGAGTTATTGCCTAGTGTGTTGGCTGAATCTGCCCGGCTTGGCATATGCCAGTCGAAGTCGGTGCTTTGATACGGAGAAGCTATTGGCTTGGTAAACGAGGGAAGCGTGCTGTGGGGGGGGGGGGGGGGGGGGGGGGCGTCACTGGTGGGAATTACTCGTATTTGCAGGCAATTTTATGCGTCAACAACAGGGGAGAGCATCATATGGGGAGCTGTACATGGCTTGATGCGAGGGCCTTTTTGATACATACGCAATGGCAATGTGAGACGACTTATCCACCCGCCATGTGGACACAACACTACTAGTATGCTGTAAGCGTCCCGTCGATGTTGAAGCTCTTATTTGCTACGAGCAAGTAGTCGTGCCACAGGTTATTACACCACGTCATGCATGTTGTCCCGTCTTGTCATATATCACATGTTAATGGAGTTGAGCTATTGGGCCGTCTTTGGTCGGGGATAGGCCCTTGCTCTGATCCTGTGTGACCGGTGAGGGGGGAGGCTGGGGTGGTGATGGAGGGCCGTTTGCCAGCTGAAAAGGCCCTGTACTGGGAGTTGTGACGGCTGGTTTCTATTACCTAGGGTATGTTAGAGATAGTCGTGTGCATGGAGAATAGTCGTACTACATGTCTTCTTAACACTAACATCATTTGCAGGGGGCCGTCTTGAATAGGGCCTATGCAAGTGGCTTTCCTACTGGCCTGCTGGGGTTATACTATGAAACCGTCTTGCTCTATGCAAGCTAGCATGATTTTCTTTTACCCGGATTTCCGCGGTAGCTCAGGCATGCAGGATGCAAGATGCAGGATATGCTAGAGGAGGTAAAGCTCAAGCCTCTGGCTTGCAAGGATGGCATCCAGACTAACTCACCGAGTTGCAGCCACCAGCTCCTATAGACCAGGGAGTTGATGCACTTGGTCCTGGTCGTTTATGCGTGTAAATAAAACTGGAACGCTGTTGGCTGCAGGATATAATAAGTGCTCCCATGGGAGGTATAGCAGTGATGGATATTAGCAAATAGGCCGTTTTTTGTATCACGCAGAAAGTTACATGTCAGATGTGGGCGGCAGACAGACAGGGGCCTCAAGCCTTAATATGGCCGAGATGCTTTGGGAGAGCCCATTTGTCTGTTGGTTGGATTCAATGCCCTGCACCCATCTTACTTGCCTCTATTATACCAAGCACTAGTAGTAAGCTGGGAGTGCTTTGCTCGCGTCATTTAAGATAACGCGGGAGCCTCTGTTAGGCCTGACCGTAATGAGATGCTTACATGAGGGTATGTGCAATAAATTCAGTACCGTCTAAACATGGACGGATCCCTTCATATCCCGAGAAATGAGGCAAGGCGTATTATCCCTGCTCTGGCACTAGAGACGCCTCATGCATATGGTGCGAGTAACCGGGTCAGTGATACCTGGCACATGTAAGGAAGAGTCCTACCAAGGCACCGGCATTGAGGGGAATTGTTTGATTCGATGGAGAAATCCACAGGACAGAGCAGAGTTGCTAGGAACTCCCGTGCACTGCCGTACATACGAAGTCGCAGCAGCGAGAGCAACCAGTACTTCAATAACACCCCATGGAGTACATAAAACTTCAAAGTACTCCGTACACAATTACAAAATAACGACAAAACTATTCCGTACTCCAAGAGAGATCCAACAGCATCGCTTCGCCCGCCTTTCACCCGCATCTACCGCCGATGGTCTCGTTTTCTCATTCTCTAGCTCGAATCTCCCTTGTTTCCTCCCCGGCAGCCGAGCCCAAAGGCGGAACCGACCACTGCGACATGCATGTGTGGCCGCGACAAAAGCGCCCAGTCTGTGCTCATTGGACGGACTGCAACTCGTTTGTCATTGAATCCTCGCCTACTTCAAAATGGCGTGAGGTCAAAGGGGGCCGTCTTGCAACCGCCATCTACGATCTACCAACCGGAAACGCACACGCGCTCCCAATACCCTGGCCGTGATCCCTGGCTGTTCGGCACGGTTATGCATCTTCGGGGGGCCACCAAGCCTCCTCCCTGCTGTCTGCTGTATCTCGGCTTGGTGCCAGTGCTAACTGCTAGGACGAGGACTTCTAATGCCGGCGCATGGGTGCGCGGGACAAGGACACAACTAGCCCCCACCAGTCCCAGACGCCTGGGACATGATCCGACGCTGCCAAAGCTACCCATCGGCCGTATCCGCCACCCGTCCAAGATGGGGCGAAATGCCAGGTAGCTTTTGGCGAACAGCGAGTGGCGGGAGGCTGGAGCAGGTCCAAAGCCCAAAGTAGTGTGTCCAAATACCTGCTTGTGTTGTGCTGCTGTTAAGTAGCCCAAGTGAAAGGATCCTCCACTGGCAATGCTCTCTACTCGTATTTGCCTGATGTTTCTGGCTTGAGCTTTGGTCCCACTCTCATGTCTCGAGTCCTGCTGCCTGGCCGAACCAGCTTCCCGGGACTTGGAAGCAACAAGGTCTGACCACATCGCACGAAACCCTACGGCCGCCGTCGAGTCTAAGCTCTAAGCCCTTCACGCCCTGGTCTTGTTCTCTCTGACTAAAACTCTTGACTTTCCGTCTTACAACCCGGCGTTGGCTTTTCTTTATTGTTCTCCTCCTCCTTGGAGCACTTGACACCCGAGCTTCTGGCGCTTGCGTTCCAGTCCTAACTGCATACTACTAGCTACCCTCTCAGCTAAGGGCAATCTGGTCCAGCCACAGCGATCTAGCCAAGTCAAGATTTATAGAAGACGCCCCGGAACAAAAGCCAACGCCCCTAAATAGGAAAAGAAGAAAGGCAAATCGACCAGGCTCCGACCCCCCTGTCAGTCTGTCAGGGCACGGTTATACAGCTAGCATGCGGCAAGTGTCTCTCTCGTACGAGCTCTGTTGCGCTTAGCCCGGCTGTTTGGGATCTCCCTTACGTTACCACCTGCTTGGGTCGGTTCTGCCAGTGCGGATACATGCGTGTGTATGTATCCCGTGTTGGCTGTCGGATTCCATATTTATGCTTTCAACTAGGTCCCGCCGCTGTTCTAATAACTTCAGCTTTCCGTCTTTGATACCTCTTCCATCAGTCATCACTGCCTTGGTGTCATCTCTAGTATTTACGGCGCCTTCGTTTCGTCTAATTTACGACTTCTTCCCACTGGCCCGGCTACTTCTCACACTTTTTCTTCTTCTACTCTCCTCATCCATACGTTTGAATTTCTAGTGATTCGACTCCGTACTCCTCTCCGGCATTCCTGCTCCTTTATTTCCGACTTTTATTTCGCTTTTTGTTGCCTAGGTGCCTGGTTAGCAATGGAAGATGAGTCAAAATCACCGGCAGAAAAGGGCGATGGTCGAGATGTCTCGGGGTTGGAAAATTACCAGTTCACCTTTGGTTGCTCTGCACCTAGCTCATCTACGTGTAGCTTCATTGAACCAGATGCAAGTTGTTCCTTTCTCTTTCTCCTCCCATTTCATTTCCTTTCAAGTTGTGAGTTGACAATAATTAACACCTGTGCTGTTAGCCTCAGGCCGAAAGCATGTACGTTTACCACGCCCAATCCGTTTTCCCAAATTCTCAATTCGCTTTCATGTCCTAGACAACGCCCAAGCATCGCAAGCTAATCACAGTTCCTAGGTTGGATTCTTCGTCATTAACAGAGAGCATCCTCGATTTTCCGCGGCAGTTTGGCCGGACCTATCATGCCTATAAGGAAGGATGTAAGATGAAGCAGACCTTAGGCGACAATGACGCTACTTGGCCGTTAAAACTAACTCAAATCTACTTATAGCGTATGCTTTCCCTAATGATGAACCGGAGCAAGAGCGATTGGCCATACAGGACTATGTATTCACCAAAGCGATGGGCGATAGGCTCTACTTTGCTCCACTGGATGACCATCCTCCCAAGCAAATCCTCGATATTGCCACTGGCACGGGGGACTGGGCCATATCAATGGGCGATCGCTTCCCAAACGCAAGAGTTACGGCTACGGATTTGTCACCAATCCAGCCCGATGTCGTCCCGGAGAATGTCGAGTTCTACGTGGAAGATTCGTGAGCACCTCTCCCATCTGCCCTTTTGACCATGCTTCTATTTCAATACGCGTAGTGTGTGGTTGAAAAACAACAATGCTCATCAGTTACTAACCATTTCTGCTTGGTGGAACCTCGATAGCTCCGAACCTTGGAATTACAGTGACGCCTTTGATTACATTCACACAAAAACGACGGGCGGTTGTTGGGAATCGTACGAAACTCAGATTGCACAGCAGGCCTTTGATACGCTTTCCCCAGGCGGCTGGTTCGAGTCTCAGGAATGCGCTTCGGTGCCTTACTGCGATGATGGCACACTGAAGCCTGATAGTGCACTGGGATCATGGTTTCAGGAGTTCCTTAACGCTGCGGAGGCAGCTAAACGCCCTCTTGGGGAATTTTGCCATCTCAAGAGCATATATGAGCGCGTGGGGTTTGTCGATGTCCATGAGCGTATATTCAAGGTCCCGTTGAATGGCTGGCCTAAAGACCAGAATCTAAAAGAGATTGGAAGGCTGATGGAGGCGAATATGCAAATGGGGTTGAGTGCGTTCTCGCTAGGCCTTTTTAATCGGATATATGGACGAACCCCCGAAGAGATTGAGGTGAGAGCCTTGTTTATGCTGTGTTATGGTTGATATTGAATCAAGAGCAAGGCAGAGACAGCTAACAACGTGGTGACTACAGGTATCTCTTGTTGAGGTCCGGCGAGACGTGTCAGATCCATCGATTCACGCATACTTGCCTATTTTTGTCGTCTGGGGGAGGAAACCATTTCCAGAAAAGCGGTAATGATGCAAGAAGAGATACTGTGGGAGCCCCGTTCCGCTCTTATTTCTCTTCTCTCTTCCCCTTCTCTTTTGTATTTTTTTTTTTTTTTTTTTTTTTTTTTTTCACTTTTTCTTCTACTTACCTCTTCATCTTCTCTTCTTTATATTCTCCTTTGTTTTTGTTTCAAGTCATATATTGCAATGCATTCCTGTCGGAATACGTCGGCGTTAGGAGCAATGTCAAATGATAAAATGAGTTTGGCGGGGATATACGTTTCAAGATTTGCCATTGTTGCTGATATACATTTACCTTGCCATGAGGGGAAACTACGATGGTGTTTAGAACATATACTTGAAGCAAAAGAATCAAAGTTATAGCAATGATATAGATGTTTTCAGGGTTTGGGTCAATTGGTTCTACATGTCGTCTAGACGCAAACCCCGAGGTCCCACTTTCTCATAGGTGATATCAGTGCTTAACAAGCCACTTTACCACATTGACCTTTGACTCGGGAAGGATTTCTACCAATCGTTCGTTAGACAGAAACTCGTGATCGGCGTACTCGAAACCAGGCACAACGGTTTCTGAGATGAGCAGGCCATCGCTGCTAGATTGATCATCACTGTCAGGGAGAAGGAAGCTTGCTTTCCACACACCACCTTCCACCACCCACTGTAGCTTCTCGCCACGCTCAATGTTGGGGCCAACAATGAAGGATTCGATCCGGCCATCCGGATGGATAAGAACGTAGCGGCCACGACCTCGATGGAGGCTGTGAATGATGCGGCTCCGGTTCCGATGGAACGAGCCCAGGGGGCGATTGGGTGTCAGATAGTAGAAGATTGTGGTAGAAAGTTGGCGAAACGCATAGTCAAAATCAGCGGGGAGGCCATTGACGAGGTCGATAGTGCGCTGTGAGAGAGGCGTGGCCGGGTATGGAGAAGGAATTTTGGTGCTGTCGGCGTCTGTAACTGCGAAGTAGCCTCCTTCGACGTGCTCGATGAGAGAGAGTGAGCCGATGATTGCCTTAACGGCGGCGGATTCGGGAGATTCGGAGGGGGTGAAGCTTGGGACGATTGAGCTGAGGGTGTTTGAAACCTCGTGTTGATTTGCGGCGCTCATGATGAAGATGATATTGTGATGATATTGCTATTATGTGTAGTTTTGTGATAGTTGGAAGCGGGGGATAAAGGGCTCAGTTTGAATCGGCGGGACTTGTTGGCTTCAGCGTTTAAAGGATCACCAGATTGAGGCAGTGTTGAAGGATGAGAAAGGATGAGGAAGGATGAGACCTAAAACCTATGAATTACTTTTTGGCTCCTTGATATTGCTGCCTTACTAGGTACATGTACCTAATGATCCCGTCGGAGACTTTGCCTTGTGATTGCATCATGTCTTACATGCTTTTAGTACCTAGTACCTAACAGGTAATTTCTGCCACACCGCCCGAGCCTGTGTATAAGCCTGCTTGATCTCCGCTTATTAACAGTGACTTATAGAAGGCATTGAGAGATACAAAAGGATCGAGCAGAAGAGAGAAAACCAAGCATGTGATTCCAGGTGATCGATAGGAGTTGTACAGCAGCAAGAGCATCGGAGAATTACCATGGATAAACAAGTATGATGGATGATCTGTGGGCCGCGTCGCTCTGCTCATGGCTGCACTAACACGCCATCGACAGGTGCCTGTTATCGGGCGCCTTGCCGGATGGACTGACGTAGCCGTAGCCACTCGACGTAAACATCCCACCATTAATTAAGTAGTTAATCGATTAATTAACCAATTGATCCTCTTCTCTCCCCTTTGCTTCATCTCGTCTCTGGACGAATACCAACAAACCCCCGGCGACGCCGCTTTTCCGCAAAGAGGCACCGGCTGGGGGGAACCGACAAAACAAGACGACGAAACGAAACCTCGGTCCGCATCCTTTCCCCTCGCGAGATGATCCCCCGCCATTTGCTCCGGGGAAGCGGCTTCGTGCGCCTATCGGCTCCGGCCCCTCACAGAGTCTCGGGCGTGCTGCGAGCAATTGCTCGACGCGATGCCGTCTGTTGGTCTGGCTCCGGGCTGAAGCTGAATTCGAGCTTCGGGCGTGTCTCGAGGCAATCGATCCACGACGATGCCCACGAGCGCCTGCGCAACGCAAAGCCGCTCGTGTCCAATTACCTGGCCGGCAAATTCACCAGCGCGGGCACCGGCCGCAACTCGCGCGCCCTGGTCGTTGCCTCGGTCGTGGCCGCGGTGGCTTTTTACCTGTACAACTCGCAGACGGTGCCGGTGACGGGACGCAGGCGCTTCAACTTCCTGTCGGACGCGCTGGTGGCGCAGGCGTATTCGAGGGCGGCCGATGCGATTGTGCGGCAGGTGGAGGAGCAGGGCGGGCATTTCCTGTCCGACTGGGACCCGCGGACGATGATAGTGCAAAGAGTCATGAAGCGTTTGATTCCGGTCAGCGGCATGGACGACCTCAAGTGGGAGGTTCGCGTGATAGCAGACAGCCGTAGGTGTTTCCTCTCGTATCCATGTCTCGTCGTTTCAAGATACTAATACTGGCACGATTCATTTGTAGGGACTGCGAATGCCTTTGTGATCCCCGGCGGCAAGGTCTTTGTCCACAGCGGCATCCTCAACGTGTGCCGCAGCGAAGATGCCCTCGCGGCTGTGCTTGGCCACGAGATCGCCCACAACACTGCTTCCCATGCTGCAGAGCGCCTCTCCACTGCCTGGGTCGGCAACCTCACGGCCGGCAGTCTCTTCTTCCTGGCCGGGGCGCTGCCGGGCCTTGCGCTGTTTGCCCTGTGGAACGTGATTGGAGGCTACTATCTGCAGGACCTGCTGTTCTACCTTCCCATGGGCCGCAAGCAGGAGAGCGAGGCAGACTACATTGGACTGATGATGATGGCCGAGGCTTGTTACGATCCGCGCCAGGCGGTTGGGTTCTGGCAGAGGATGGAGACGATCCAGCGGCTGGGCGGACACGAGGTTCCCGAGATGCTTAGCACACATCCATCGGTATGTTCTTTTCATTTTCTTTCACGTTGCGAATTGGCATTCTACAGCGAGTGCAGTGAGTGAGCATCCCAGCTAACAGACAACCCAACCAGAACGAGCACCGCATCGCCAAGATTGAGGAATGGCTGCCAGAGGCGATGAAGAAGCGGATGGAGAGCGATTGTAGAAGCACTACCGCATTTGCAAACCGGTTCAGAGAGGCGTTGAGGAAGCGCCGGCCGGTGGTGATTGAGCTTTAGAGATTTAGTGCTACATACCTAGGTACATAGATGTTGATGTAATAGACCCGATCAGTACGGAGTATCACTAATACGATTATCCGAGAGTCTTCACCTCTTCCAATGTCATCACCCGTATGAAGCGTCACCACCAAGACGGGCTCACGAGACCTTTGCAATCCGCGTCTCCTGATTCGTCAGACCACCATTAATAATTGTGAATCCCCCCAAACCCCCCCATAAATCCCCCGGACTGGCACTGAACAAAGCTGGCATAGCGGACCCTCTTTGCCTCTGAACAGGCCGTGCCGAGGTAACTTTTTGCCGTGATTGTCCCTTTTTCTAGAGCTCGAACTGAATACTTAGGGAATGCGGTTTCTCTTCTCTTGTCATCCCATTTTCTCACCCGTTCCATCTTTTCGTCTCTACACTGCCTAGGGAGCTGCATTGCAAGCGTATTCTTTCCGCGCCAAGGAATAAATCAGCAAATCAAACCCATAAAAATGTCCGACAAGTCTTTCACCACCGCCGAGGTCGGCTCGCACAACAACGACGAGAAGGGCTACTGGCTCATTGTCGAGAACAACGTCTACGACGTCTCCAGTACGTTTCCCCCCTCCCCTGCATTTTCTATCGAGCAGCAGAAGCAGCAGAAGCAGAAGCAGAAGCAGGAAATACTGGTGTCAAAAGCTAACGCGACTCCCCTTAGAATTCCTCGACGAGCACCCCGGCGGCGCAAAGATCCTCAAGCGTTTCGCGGGCAAGAACGCGACCAAGGCGTTCTGGAAGTACCACAACGAGAGCGTGCTGGAAAAGTACGGCGGCAAGTACAAGATTGGCACCGTCCAGGAGGCCGCGAAGCTGTAGAGAAAGGGAACCTGGGTCTATTTCGTATGATTTCATTGTGTCAAGGTGGTGGAATTGCTTTTCTAGGCGTTTTTTTTTTTTCTTCTAGGAATTGGTAGACAGTTTTGGATACACAGCATCGCGTCTGTCTGAATGCGAAACTAGGTTTTGTTCCGATGTTCTTCTCTTTTGCGAGTTTCTATGCCTGGCGCTACTGAGGCTTTGACACACACCGATCCCCGAGATTCCGCGGCTTGACGGTGAAGCGGCAGATGCGGCAATCAATGATGCCGCCCGCCGCAGATGCAGATGCACCATCATGATTCCCGAGCCGGTGCCGAGTCTGACGGCCGGCGAATCACCTGTAAGAGACGGAGACGCGAGCGCTGGCAAACCGCAACAAACGCTGCTGCGACAATTGCCATGACAAGCTGTGACTAATGACAGGTTGATGCCATTGGCCTTTTGGTGCTAAAAGGCGACGCTGACACTATTCGCTTTATACCGCTTTTGGGCATCGTGCTGGAGCAGCTTGCGAGCAAAACGCGAGAGAAAGACTTTGCGATCCCCAACTTACGGCCTAAAGCACACAGGTGGAGAAGGCCATTACCATTTCTTTTACCAATAGCTCAGCTACATGTTTGATATAAATGCCATTGATCATTCATTGTTTCTCTTTCGTCTTCTAGCTTGCTTCTATAGTATCGTTGCTAGTGATACAGCCATTGGCCTATATCGGCGGGGCAATTGGCATCCCACTCATTCACTCTCACATAGTTCCTCACTTACACCCTAATCTTCAGCATGACCGACCTTTTCGACATTGACGCTCAGGCTGTCCGTCTCCAGCAGCGAGACATCTCCCAGCCATCTCTCCCCAGGGGCCAGACACTCCCGCCTCTCGCCCTCATTCACGATGCCTCAGCCACCCTCCCACATCCATCGGATCAAAACTTCCTATCCGGCCAGCCTGCCGCTGACGTCGCCCGGCATATCACGGAACACATAGTGCCCGCGCTGTGCGGACAGTCGCAGTCCAGCCGCTATTTCGGCTTCGTCACTGGCGGCGTCCTTCCGCTGGCTGAATGGGCTGACAATGTCGTTTCCCATATGGATCAAAACGTACAGGTCCATCTCCCCGAGCAGTCCGTGTCTACAATCGTCGAGAATGCAGCTCTGCAGATGTTGATAGGTCTGCTACGCTTGGAGTCAGACTGGAAGGGCCGCACATTCACCACAGGAGCCACTGGCAGCAACGTCCTCGGGCTAGCATGTGGGCGGGAAGCTATTCTTCAGAAGAGGGGTGCTTCGGTGGGCGAGCTCGGTCTATTGGGTGCTTGCGTCAAAGCAGGAGTCTCTGAAATTCAGGTTCTCACAAGCGGCGGCCACAGCTCGCTCTCCAAAGCAGCAAGCGTAGTTGGCCTAGGGAGAGCTTCTGTCAAGGAACTTCCTCGAAGCGCAGCTCAGCCGTGGAAGCTGGATCTTAATGCAGTAGAAAGGGAATTGAGTCGCCCTGGGACAGCAAGCATCATTGCTATTAGCATGGGAGAGGTCAACACTGGTGGTTACGCCCTTGATGACGTTGACGAGTGGAAGAGGTTGAGGCAACTGGCGGATCGACATGACGCTTGGATCCACGCGGATGGAGGTATGTTTGAACTATATATGCCGAAAGGCCATGATTCTGAGGTGTATCAGTTGCTTACCATTGTCGTTATAGCATTCGGAATCTTCTGTAGCGTTCTAGATGATCGAGATGAGTACCGGCTGCTTCGCAATCGCGTCAAGGGCATCGATCTAGCCGACAGCATCACGATCGACGGCCACAAGATGCTCAACGTTGTATGTGAAATTCATTGATTCCCCCATCTCCATCTCCAACTCGCTAACATCCTCAGCCATACGACTGCGGCATGTTCTTCACCCGCACCTCGTCCATTCTAGAATCCGTATTCGTCAACCCCAACGCCGCATACCTCTCACCAGGCCCAGCTGCCAGCATCCCGTCTCCTCTCAACATAGGCCTCGAAAATTCGAGACGTTTCCGCGCGCTGCCCGCCTACGCGGTGCTCCTCAGCGAAGGACGTCCCGGCTTCGCTAACTTGTTTCACAACATGGCTCAACTGTCTCGCAAACTGGCCGTCTTCCTGCGAGAGTCGCCATATTATGAGTTGCTGCCTGATGAGAGCGGCGATATTGAGGAAATTTTCATAATTATTCTGTTCAGAGCGAAGGATAAGAAGCTAAACGATGAATTGGTGGCAAAGATCAACGCGACGAGGCAGCTGTACGTGAGCGGGACCAGCTGGAAAGGCGAAAAGGCCGTGAGAGTAGCCGTGTCGAACTGGAAGGTCGATGTCGAGAGGGATTTCAGAGTGGTATCGACGATTTTGAACGACGTTGCCGAAGGAAGAGATTTTGACATCGAGAAATGCTTGTAATCGTAAGAAGAAAAAGAATATAGTTGTTTAAAAATCATAGTCGCTCGCAGTCCGAAAATTTCGCTTCGTTCCAATCCCTCTTCCTCCAAACCATCCCCTCGCATTCTCCATTTTCCCATCTCTCTTTTTCTTAGCCAAACTTCTTTGATCCTCCCTTCTGCGACAACTTCTTGCTCCCCTTCTTGCCCGGCCCAATCAGCTCGAGATGGCCCGCTCTCTCGCCCAGCAGCGCCTCCGTCTTGGCCACCATGCCCGAAGTGAATTTCTTGAGCATCTTGTCGGCGTTGACCTTTTTCTTGGGCTTGGTGACCTTGGAGGCCTGGCGCTTTGAGTGGACGGCCTTTGGCGCGGCGGCCTTGTTGGACTTCTTGACCGTGCCTTGCGCCATGTTTATATTTCGTCTTCGACCTCCTCTTTCCCTGATTTCCGGCTTTTGCTAGGGCTCCTTGCAGCGTTTTGTAGCTGCGGATTGTTCGTCGAGTCGATCTCGATGGAAAAAGTGGTGATGAGGTGGGAAACTTTTTTTTTTTTTTTGGTCGAGATAACCGATAAGCTTAGATAGCCACCAGCCAGGCACTTTGCACTAAAGGCCCAGCCTAAACGTGGTACCGAATATCCGCCGCCAACGGGAACCTGCACAACTGCATTCATCCATCCAGTATTCAATGTTAGAGAGTAATTCAATGCCATGCCGTTGCGACCGAATAGTGCATTGAAAGAACATGTGATAATAGAATTTGATGACATGTGATTGATAGAAAGTGTATTCTTTTAATCCAATTCTAAAACCAACGCCGGCTTCGTTTCCTCACATACAACGACTGACTAACCATACACTCTAAATAGAAACCACAACGATTTGACAATCACACATTCCAAATAGAAATCCTGGGAATACCAACCGTCAACTACCAGCCATCGCCCCACCCATCATCATCGTCGTCTGTCTCTTTCGGCGCCAGATCAATCTTCTTGGCAGCTGCGGGTTTCGCGGCCGGTTTTGCCACGGGCTTCGCTGCTGTCTTTGTTACAGGTTTCTTGGCTGTGGTAGTCTTCGATAGCCCCTTTGGCAGCGGCTTGCTTGGTCCCTTCTTCTGCTGCGCCGCTAGCCATCCTGCAAAATCAGGCTCGTCCTCACCGAAAGGCGTTGCAGACACAGTTGTTGATGCATTAGCAGCTGCAGAAGGCGTCTCGAAAGCATCGTCGTCTCCCAAATCGCCCCATGCATCACCTGCGTCATCGTCATCATCAGGTAGAAATTGTCCAGCTATAGCACTGGCAACACCAGGCGTCGATAGGCCTGATGCTGGGCCAGGAGATGTCACGGCTTGACGGTGAAGGTTTGATGCGGACGCTGTAACTGGTTTCTTCGCCTCGGTTTCGGGTGTTAGACTAACAGGAGCTGGGGTTGGACTATTTGCAGTTTGCATGTCTCCAGCCACAGCAGTAAGCTTGTTTGTGAATGATGAGATGGCCCAACCTGCCCAGCTGCTTCCAGAAGATGCGCCTGGTTGCACCGTGCTCCCTTGAGCGGTGGAAGAATCGGCCGACTGCGCTGGAGGTAGGGCGGTTTCAGGCATGGCAGCAGCAGCTTTACGGACTTTTTGCAAATAGATATCCATAGTTTTCGAGGCTTGGTCCCGAATGATCTTTTCCTTATCAATCAAAGCCGGGCATACAACTGGCAAAACACGGTTGGCGCTATCATCCTCGTTGAAGTATTCGGCCGTTGCGGCCAGTGCCATGAGCGCCGCATTTCTCGCGTGCACAAAGGGGTCACGCAAGGAGCGTGTAAAGGCAGCTATCAACACCTTTGATCTTGAAGATGTGCCAAGATTTTTTGCAATCTTGCCGAGACAGATGGTGGTGTTTGTACGGATGCCAGGCTGCTCATCGTTTGCAGTCTTCGCCAGCTGCTTCAAAAGGTCACCGTTAATGGTGCGATCTGATAGTTTGCCAATGACAACGAGTACGGATTTCAACGTCTGCTCTCGAACAACGGGTGTCGCATCTGTAAATCCAGTAACCTAATGTTATAATTAGCACACCAGTTCCAATCAAAAGAAGGAGGTCAACCTACTAGTTGGGGGAAGATTTTGTCATTGACGATTCTCTGCGATAATTGATCAATTATAAGAGGAAGGCTATCCAGCAAGCACACCCGAATGCCCCGATCAGGGTTTGCAAAGGCCCGAACAATGAAAGGCGTGATTTTTGACTCAAAATCGTCAGAGGGCAACTTGGCAGCTATTTTCAGCACAACAGTGAGAGCTTTAGGACCGCCGCCGCCAAATTCAACCGATTTGACGAGTTCTGGGAGAACTTTGGACTTGAAAAACTCTTCAGGAAAATCATCTGTTACTTTCTCCAAATCGCTAGCGCTTCGGGTTAGGCAAGAACGAGGCATAGGATGCAAAGGGAGCTTACTTGAGAAACTCCTCGCGTTCATCAGGATTCTTCACCCCTAGATTCTCTATCCCGTCTGTAAGATGAATCAACGGAGTATCGAAAAACGAGCCTGATCGGCGCCCAAGATCTAGAAAATTGCCAGCACTTATCCGTGCCTTAGGGTTGGCGTTGCAGAGGCGCTTATAACTTGTCTGCATGGACGGCGGTATGTTTTTGGTTTGACCGGCTTGGTCTGGACCGTGAAAGTCGCCATTGAAGACTTCAAAGATGAGGGTTCCAAAATTGAACGAATCTACGGCGTAGGTGGGATGCGCCTTTGTCGCGGCCCATCCTCCTTGAGCCACCTCTGGTGGCGCATACCGACCAGAGTCGGGAACCAAGCTTCCAAAGCTCTAGACGCAAGATTAGCAATTCGTCATTTCCGGTCTTGAGGCAATATGAGACTAACGTCCAGAGTAGACTCGCTTTCCTTGACGTTGCTTAGAACCTCGAAGCCTCCCATTTTCCACTCTCCACTCTCTGTAGTGTATATTGAACCGACTCTCAGGCTGCCATGTTTTGAGGTTGCATCGTCGTTAATAAACTTGAGCGTTTGCTGCAATGCAATCAGCATTTGGATTTGTCGGGTCACTTCAACAGAGCTCTTACAGCGACAGTATATAGACCCCATTTGATCGTCTCGGGACTCAGGCTCTTCCTTCGAACGTGCCATCGAAGAGGGGTAACGCGCTCGGTAGCGATGTAGATGTATGTGTCTGTCTAGTTGCTTGACGGTCAGCGCTGAGGTGCATCCATGGCGGTCGCATCGCATACCTCGACAGTGTCCAGAACCTTGATGACTCCTGGGTGTCGCAACGTTCGCAGCTTTCTCAGCGCGTTCTTTGCGAGCGGCAGCAGGCTCTTCTTTGCCGTGCTATCGAACGAGAAGATGCTGCAGTTCGAGCCATCCTCCTATTGCTCGCGACCATTAGCTCATGCGACGCAACATCGCAGCCAGCGGGTAGCCTACCCGCCTTGTTCCATTGTATAAAGTCCAGATTGACTCGTCCACGTCGACCTTGTCGCCAAAATTGTAGGGGAACGGCGGTCCCTGGGACATGGCCGAAGCCACGGCCGACTTCAAGAAATCCATGTCGAGCTATTCGGCGCAGTATCGTCGAGAGGTAGGTGGAGAGATGGTTGCACCAGAAGAGCCGTCGTCGATTGCGCATCTAGATGGAAGACATCTGGCACGTGTCAAACACCGCTATCCATGCCGGGGCTCGAGCCTCCGTAGCACGGGCGTCTTTAAGCGACTCGCGCCGCTAAGCTGGGCCGCTCTCAGGGCATGGCGTGCCGCTGCACGCTAGAACCAGCAAACAGAGGTAGTGGTACAGAAGACCGTTGGAACGCCGTAGATCAAATGGATCTCTCGTGTCGGACCCCTGACGCAGTTTCCTAAAATCTTACCCAGATACAACCTGTCGACAGCTGCATGTGCATCCAAAGCCAAGGGTCTAAGTGATTCTAAACGGGGCCAGCCGCAAGACAAAATAAACCTACGGAGTACGGGTATACAACTAGAGGCTTCAAGAAGCGACGAACCCCTCAAGCCTGGGGATCTTAGGTAAGCCATCACACGCGCCGTAAGGTACAGGTACTCGAGAGTGCTATAGTGGCCTCTGCGTACCTATAGCCAGCTGGAGAGGGCGCTGTTGCAGGGCGCTTGGGCCACTACGGCCAACGATTCGCCGCGAACCAACAATCGACGCCTTTCCTCAGCCTTGCTCCCGTTCTTTTCTCTCCTCTTCAACGCGCGCAGCCGCGGGGGAGCGAGAAGCTGGAATCTGGCGATCCTGCCGTTGCCAAAGCACCTGCGCTCTTCCAGTGCCAACCTCCCGAGTCTCGAGCTTCGCATGGCCAGATTCTCCGGGGCCATCCGCTTCCAGAACCCATTCGCAAATATCTGTGCCATGAGCACGTTCACTCCCGGCTGGCGGGCACAAAGTAAGTTGTGGAGGCAAATGCCTATTTTCCCCTTACATCTGCATCTGCTGGGTTCCTCGCTACAATGGATGATGCCGCAATGGTAAAAGGTCTGACCGAATGGAACCTCCTGGTCATGGTCTCCCGTGTCTTCCTGGTCTGAGCAACGCTTCCCGTTCACGGTAACGCGTCAGGCAGCAGCCCTCGCCAGCTCCCCAGGATGGGATCCGATCCCCTGTTCCTTGTTGGACGGCATCAAGTGCTGCATACCATCAACACTCGCGTCGCACACGGAGTCTCTGTTCTCTCTTACCTTACCCACGGACTGAGACCAAAGGCCGCGACGTACACTGGCTGCTCATGTGAGCAGTGTACCCCCTGGGAAGACACTTGAGTCCATAACCGTTGCTGTTCCTAGCCTGAAGTCACAAAAATAAACTGAAAAGATCTGACATTGAAGAGCGAACCAAACTTTCATTTCTACTGTGCAAAACGATATGGACGAAGAGCCTTTGCTGACTAAGAGACAGATTCTATATTCCTTGATATTTGGTACGCCTGCCTTGAGCCGAGGACTGTTGCTCTGAATGCTTCCTGGCAAGGGCAGCACGCTGGGTTGTTTGTTAGATTGTGCACTTGATTCCTGGCATGATCACGCTGTGAAGCTTCGTCATCTTAGCTTGGGCGATAATCACGGCGCGATCGGTTAGCGAGAGATCCCTCTCCAGTGCTTGGCGTGCAATGACATTTGGCAAATATCGCCGGGAATACTGTATAACTGGTAAGGCACTCAGACATGAACCGCGATGAGGCGCTTAGACTGAGGGGGAGATGCTCTGTTTGGGGCTGCGAGGAACCTGTTTTTGCAGAATCTCTCTGCTCTCTTCACCACGTCCCTAATTTCGCCCCCAGGGCTCCTAGCTCTGAAGCGATTCGACCCGTACATAAGGCAAAGAGAACTCGGCGTCTCCCTCTTGGACGAACAGCGGCTGGTCCCCCGCAAGGTAATTCTCTGCGGCCCACGTATTCTGGGCGCCCGAGCGACTCCACTTTGTCCTATGCTGATAAAGCGTTCCCAACTTCTTTCACATATCCATCACCAAACCACCAAGAATCAAACCATATGCCACAACATCAGACATTCCAGGTGTCCGAAAATCCTTCAATGTCAAGGCAAAAACGAGCAACAGCGGAGGTCATAGAGGTCAACGCCTCGACGATCACGGTGGAGACCATGCCGCCTAGGCCTCGCGAGCCTTATTTCGTTCTGAATCCTGAGTTTACGTCCATTGATAAAAAGCACCCGGCATATGCACGTCCACGGCATAATCAAGACTTCTCGCAGAGCAGACATGTGCCATCAACCACCATTCCTAGGCGGAGCTATGATCTTGTTGGCGAATTGGTTGGTGCGGGCCTCGAATTTGCATCCAATTTGAATTTTCCTCATGCCCAACCGCCTGTTTTGTCTACCAATATGTCTAGCGCCGCTTATAATATCCCTCCTTCAATAATCCCATCCACCCGGGTTGAGGATGTGAGGCCGGAGGACCCGTCAACGATTACTGTGGCCAAAACGCCAGGCCGAAGAAGGTCGGAGTCGGGGAATACACACAAGCGCGAAGGGTCTACCATTTACGTTTATCAAAAGCCCGCTCAAATATTCAAGGAAAATCTCCCTATACATATATCTCCGAAAAAGAGAAAAGCCGATGCCTCAGATACTCAACCCAGAGGCAAGGAACCCTCCGCAAAACAAAGGCCAGAGGGAAGCCCTACTCTTGCACCAGAGAGGGAAACTTCCGGGTTGCTATTTTCAAATCAACCAAGAGATGGCTATCAACCGACTCCTCTGGGTGACTTGTCTAAAAATCAAAGCCACAGACCCAGCGACGACCAAATTTCAAGTCAGCTACGTAATTCAAAAAAGGCCCGAGCATCAGACAAACTGATGCCCATGATAGAAGTAGCCCTCGCAAAGGCCAATGAGCAGCTTGAGAATCATACCCTTCCCATCCAGGATGATGGTGGCGGACAAAAACCGGCATATGCATCTCCGCTGTCGCAGCAGCTCGAACTTAAGGCAAATGAACTGAATGATGAGCAGGAGAGCATGACCGCTGCACCTCCTTTCACAGTTGAAACAGATGTCTCTGTGGAGAACGATTCTATTACGGTGGCAATCCAAAATGCAGCAGAACCTAGCATAGCAGCGGAGCCCAGAATGGCAGAACAACCTAGGACGGCCAAGGCTCGTGTTTTTGACTCGGAAGCCTTTGATGCTATGATTTATCGCCAGTCCACGTTGCATCCGCCGCCAGGTGTTTCTGTGCAGGCTCCTGCCCGACCAAATACTCCAGTCCAAAAACCCTCGATCATCGAGGATCAAAGCCAATACTTGGCAATTAATCCTGCGATTCATTTTTCATACAACCGATCCGAGGAATGGTACAAGGAAAAGGCGCTGGAAATTCAGGCTCGTGGAGGACGCAAAGCATGGTTCGGCAAAGTAATTGAAAGACGACGGTGGCTTCGAGCAAAAGAGAAGGCAGAAGATGAACGAAATGCGTCAATCCAAGAGCCAACACGGATAGACCCGCGACCCTGGTCGTATGATCGAATCATTGATTTTGGAGATGTTCCCGAGGAGGAGCTGCCAGAAGATGTGCTGCAGAATCCTGCATGGGTCAAGGCGTGCGCGTGGCATCGAGAAAATCAAGCAAAGAGGATCTTACGGGACCGTGCAGCCAGGGATGCAAATCGGGAAGCATGGAGTCAGGCTGAGCGTATCATGGAAGATGCCAAACTGGCATCACAGAGAAGCCGCGAGAACCACTAAAGCGATGAGCCATTATACACATCGGTTTTCTTTTTCTCTTCTTTCTCTTCCTTCCCCTTTAAAAAGTAATCGGTTCTTCTTTTCTTCTTCTCTTTTTTAAATCATCTTGTCTCCAGATATCCGCTCGGGCATTTATTTATTCTTTACGACAGGTTCGATTTAGAGGCAGACTTTCACCGTCGCAAGGTCCATGTTTGGCGTCTTGGAAGTACGAGGTTATAATGGGTGTATATGGTCGACTTTTGTACCTTTTTTTTTTTTTTTTTTTTTTCCGTGATTTTATCTTCTTTGAGGGGCGCAGGTGGAACGACAGTCTCGTGAAATGAATTGACTCAGCAGTTTATATGCGAAATGCCGTGGGCTCTACGAGAGGAACAATAATGACAGCATTTATATTTCAGTACATAGTTTTGGAGGTGTCCGCGAAATAGAAGAGGTGTTTGCAAAATCAAATTTGATGCCACGTTTTGGTAACTGAAATCAATTAGCAGGCTGCGTGCTATATGCCCTTCCTTTCCTCCTTTTCCAGACGGTCACATTCTATTTAACGTCAAACTATTGGCTATACCCTAGCCCTGTTATACATCCCTTTTCTTCTTCTTTTTTATACACCCTTGGACAGCAGGTTCAGCGCACTGCCCGCCAAAATGAAGCCTGCCTGGTCCTTGCTAACAGCATGCTTGGTCGGGATGAGAATCTCCTCGCCATTCGCCTTCTTCACCTTGAGCTGGACGTCTCCCTTGCCCTGGTTGCGCAGCATCTCGTACAAGCCCACAGTGCTGACCTCGTCTCCGGCCGAAATCTTATCGTAGTCGGCCTCGTTGGCAAACGTCAGGGGCACGACACCCTGCTTCTTCAGGTTGGTCTCGTGGATGCGGGCAAAGGACTTTGTCAGGACGACCCTGGCGCCGAGGTAGCGAGGCTGCAGGGCAGCGTGCTCGCGGGCGGAGCCCTCGCCGTAGTTGTGCTCGGCGACGACGAGCCAGTCCTGGCCGCGGTCCTTCCAGAGCTGGCCGAGCTCGGGGATGGTGTGCTTGGAGCCGTCGAGGTCGTAGGCGGCGTTGACCTCGCCCGTCTCGGCGTTGATGGCTGTGTTGAGGGTGTTTGTGCTGATGTTGGGGAGGTGGCCCTTGTACTTGAGCCAGGGGCCGGCGGCGGAGATTGTGTCGGTGGTGCACTTGCCGGTGACCTTGACGAGGACGCGGAGGCCGGAGAGGTCGGACTCGGGGAAGGGGGCGAAAGGCTCAAGGAAGGCGAGGCGGTCCGAGGACGGGGAGATGGCGACCTGGACGCTGGGGTCGGGCTGCTGGGAGAGGACGCCGAGAGAAGGAACGCCAGCTTCGAAGGGGGTCGTGGGACCCTCGAGGCCGTGGGGAGGAGAAAACTTGAAGTCCTTGCCGGAGGGCGTCTTGATGCTGTCGGTCATGGGGTTGAAGGTGGTTGAGCCGGCAAAGGCCATGGCGGTGACAATCTCAGGCGAGGCCAGGAAGTTCATGGTCTCCGGGTTGCCGTCGTTTCGGCCACGGAAGTTACGGTTGTAGGAAGTGAGAATGGCGTTGGAAGTCCCCTTGGTGACGCCGTCCTGTCGCTGCCACTGGCCAATGCAAGGGCCGCAGGCGTTGGACAGAACAACACCGCCGGCAGCTTCAAACGTCTTGAGAGTGCCGTCACGCTCCAGTGTGGCGCGGATCTGTTCGCTGCCAGGAGTAATGTAGAAGTCGGCGGCGGGCTTGAGACCTGCATCAGCGGCCTCCTTGAGGAGACTCTCGACGCGGGTCATGTCTTCGTAGGAGCTGTTGGTGCAGCTGCCGATGAGGCCGGCAGACAGCTTCTCGGGCCACTGCTGGTCCTTGACGACGTCCTTGAACTTGGATAGGGGGGTGGCCAGATCGGGGGTGAAGGGGCCGTTGACGTGAGGCTCGAGCTCAGACAGGTTGATGGTGATGAGCTGGTCGTACTCGGCACCTTCATCAGCCTTGAACTGGAAGCGGGCATCCTCGGAGGTGCCGCTTCCAGGGAAGCTCTGCAGAGCCTTGATGTTCTCAACGGCCTGGCCTCGGCGGGTGGACTGAAGGTATCGTGCAGAAGCCTCCGTGTAAGGGAAGATGGACGTAGTCGCGCCAACCTCAGCACCCATGTTGCAGATGGTGGCCATGCCAGTGGCACTCAGAGTATCAACACCGGGTCCGAAATACTCAATGATGGAGCCGGTACCACCACGAACAGTCAGTTCGCCAGCCAGCTTGAGGATGACGTCCTTGGGCGCAACCCAGTCGTTAAGCTTGCCGGTGAGCTGGACGCCCAGAACCTTCGGGGCCTTGAGCTCCCACGGCGCACCAACCAGCGCCTCGACGGCATCAGCACCGCCCACACCAATTGTCACGGTGCAAAGACCGCCGGCATTGGGGCTGTGGCTGTCAGTGCCCAGCATCATCAGGCCTGGCAGGGCATAGTTCTCCAGCACGGTCTGGTGGATGATTCCCGCACCAGGAGGCCAAAAGTCCATGCCATACTTGCGTGCCGCCGACTCAAGGAAGTCAAAAATCTCCTTGTTGGCGTTGATACCAGCCGAAAGATCGTCCTCAGCGCCCTTGGAGCCCACAATCAAGTGGTCGCAGTGGATGCTGGCCGGGATCGCAGGCCTCTCGAGGTTGCACGACATGAACTGCAGCAGCGCCATCTGCGCCGAAGCGTCCTGCATGTTGACTCGGTCGGGCTTGAGCAGCAGGTTCGCCTTTCCGCGAATGTTGCGGCCGCCATCGGTGTTGGTGAGCAATGACTCCTCGACATTGTCCAGGTGGCTGTAGAGGATCTTCTCGGCCAGCGTCAGGCGCTGCCGTCCCAGGACTCGCCGCACATCGGTGTATCTGGTGAAGAGCTTCTCATACGTCGGCGGCAGAGACTTCGCCGTTGAGAATCTGCTTGACGAGATTCGCAATGCGCGGTGCGCTCCGGTTGCGGAGACGGATCCCGCTCGTCGCAAGAGGCTCTTAGAATCGCAAGTCAGTCTTTGCCATTGTCTTTTTTCTTATCAAGAATAAAAACAAACAAAAGCTGAAACATCAAAGACTCACCGTCATGGCGCCTCCAGAACGGCCTGCCAGTTCAATTGGTGCCATGTTGCGCAATCGCTGCTCTCGTGATGCTGGAGGGTGAATTTTTTTGGGCTGGATCGGACGGATTGTCAATTGTTGCCATCGGATTGGAGGGGCTTCGGGCTACCAGCCGGCGCACGGCTCCGTAGATCACTTCAAGCTACATTAGTACGAAAACTGGCATTCCGGCAGCCCCAGGACTTGAGTCATAACTTTTACTCGTATTGCGCACTGCCATGTCCATTGGTAAATGCTTGAATCAACGCAACGCCTGAAATCTCTTTGCGGTACGAGTATTATATAGGTATCTCAACACCTGACCAACTTCATGTATCCTTCGTTGCCTCGGCCCAAATCCCATCATACAAAAAAAGTTCATTCGTTCCCTCTCCCTCCGTTCCATTTTTCTTTCTAGTTCTAGTAAATTGCAACTCCATCAGCGTCATCCAGCCATAGCGCCGCCAGGTCTTTGGCCAAGCCCAGCCGCAGCTTTCGAATCACGTCCTCTCCCTTGGTGTTGGCTAGCCAGCCCTTCCTCCAATCCCAACCCCTATTCACTTTGCCCGGGCCTCCCATCATGGACTTTTGCATGTGGCTGGCCAGGAGAGAGCTGCCGCTCATCATGAATGTGCTGCTGCCAAGCGCGCCAGTCGACTTCATCAGATCCGCCGGCGTAGAGCCCTTGAGACCCTGTCCTGATGCAAGCACCAGGTTGAAAAACTCTTCACAAGTCGAGTACACGCGGGATCCGACCGCTTGGATATCCTCAATGGCCTTGAGGAGAATATCAAGCTGCTCGAGGGAGATGATCGAGGGCGACTGATTGATAAAGACAGTCGCTTCACCAAGCAGAGCCAACAGGAAGTCTTCGCTCACCACAGCATCTCTCGTCTCATCGTAAAGCCCACCACGAATGTTGTCGCCTGAACTAGAGATGACAGCCACCAACGCAAACGCAGCTTGCTTCCTTAGGAAAAGAGCCCTGGATGGCGAAGTCTCTTCAACCTTTGCTATTTCGTCCCGGAGTTCGTAAAATTTGCGCAGCGTCGCATAGCCACTGAGCATCCGGCCCAGCAGCTGAGCTGCTTCTAGGTCAATCTTCGCCCGTTCCTCCAACGTCTCTGATCTGTTGCGAAGCATGCTCTTGAGATCTTCGTCAAGGTCCTTTTCGGCAGGGTAAACTGTTGACTGTACGAGCGAATAGGACATGAGAAGGTTAAGGACCTCACGAACTCGGTCTGTCCGGTGAGAAAGCGCAAAGTACCAAATCGCCTCACCATATCGGTGAGACTCTTTGGACAAGATTTCGGCAAATGTCTATTACTTCAGTCAGTTTACCATAATTCCAAGGATAAGAAAGGGGGTGGGGGGAGGGGAGCATCGCTCACCTCTGCAGTCTCCTCAGCATAATTCATCATGCCCAGGTCGCTCAGGATTCTCCACATCTTGTCCACCGTTGTGCTAGAGGTCTCGTCCAGTGTTGCCAGGAGGTCCCTCAACAGTTCGCCAACCGTCTCTTCTGCCTTTTCCGGTACGTCCATCCGCCCCAGCACCTGAATGGCCATCTCCCAACCATCCCGCTGCGGCGAAAGATGCTCAATACCTGCCAGCTCTCTCGCGTAAATGACAATGCTCGTGTCCTTGATACCCTCCACATCATCGGTGCTAGGCTGTCCAACTCCAAGGAGCATCAAGTCATCCATGTCCAGGGTATCAGCCGGCAGCGGCTTCACAGGTTCTGGCGGGGGAAGCCACCCACCCAGAGAAGCAATCTCAGCCACTGAACAAGCCACCGGGAGAGACCAAGTCCTCAAGCATCCTATGACGGCATTGGTGTTGCCCTCAAAAGCAGATGCAAGAGCAACCTCGACGGGGTTCATCGAGTTGGGGCTAAGACCGGATTGGATAACAAGGTTGAACACGTTCACAAGCCGGTCGAAATAGTCCTCAGAGTCTGTGAAACTGCCTGGCGACATGCCTGGCATACCAAACTGGGACTGCAGCAGGCTCTTGGGGCGCTGGACACCCTCATCCCACCAACCAAACAAACCAATTGTTGCCTCACACCAATCCTGCGCCGTCTCCAAGATGGCTTCGGTTTGTCCCAAGACAATTTCGTATACCGTCTGCAGATTTTCGTAAATGTCCCAAGGAATCTGGCTTGAGGCTTTCTTGGCCATTGCCGACATGGATGTGTCGACTTCGTCATTCAGAGAGTCGAGTAGGCTGGTGTCTTTGCCTTCGGCAAACAGTGTGAGTCTATCCAAAGAGCCGCGAGCCTGGACTCGGAACAAGGTCCAGCTGCTGTTAAGAATCTCCCAGTCGTTTCGTGCTCCGGGGCACTGGTCAAGCATCTCGCACGTGGCCTCTGCAAATCTTCGTACGTTTTCAAGGGCCTTGCCAATGTAGGTCTGGCTTCCTAGCGGGCCGCGGCGGACATGCTCCCAACCAGCGTTCCTCAGAAGCTGCTTCGCTCCGTTTACATCACCTCGCAGCAGCGCATTTCTCAGTGTCTGCCAGTACAGGCTATGGCATGCGGGGCTGGGCTTATATCTGGAGATTTCTCGAATTTGGTCGGGATACAGGTTGTGGCTGGACTGCATCCAGTCAAACAAAATCTCCGGCAAGGGTGACGCTTTATCATCCTCGAGCTTCGTGTCGAACCGGGTGTGGTGCATACGGAGAATCAAATGAGCGACGTAGACGGCCTTTTCAAATGGATCTGCGTCTTCCCCGGGACCAATGGTAGCCAGATCTTCGCCCTCTGGAGGTGGGAGCTCTTCTACGTAGTCCGTCCAAACCCTTATCAGCTTGTAGGTGATGTCAGCAAGCGAGTTTTCTAGCCTCTCTGGGTCGTCATGGGCGCCAACCCCATCATTGTATAGCTGGCAGACCAGGTTTTCCGTCTTAAGGATCAACTCAGGCTTCTCCGTGATTCTAGCAGGCTCCTGATAGGTATAGATATCCTTGGCAATGGTGCTAAACTGAAGCGGTTGGTTTCTTCCAGAGGCCCTAAAGCGAGCCGATTGACTAAATATGCTCTCCGCTTCTTTGCGCACTCTGGCTGTTGCCGCAGGGGTTTGCAACATCATCAAATCCGACTCCTCGCCAATGAGAGGTTGGCCATATGCACGGTCATCGTGTCGCATGTTCAAGAAGATGTCGCCCATATCAGAGTCATCTGCACTCTGTTCCTCGTCCATGGGAGCCTCTTCTTCCTCTTCCATTTCCTCATCGATGTACCGCTCCACCATGTCGTCAGTAGTATCGGGCTCTTCCTTTCTTTGAGATGGCCTCACTGGTGGAGCTGCCATGCGGAATAAACTCCCTCTTAGAGGGGGAAGCTCGTTATCGTCATCAATGTCCTCGTCGAAATCAATCTCCTTGTCGTCGTTGTCATCCGTACGAAGCTGTCGGCTCAGCCCAGAGGGTGCTCTGCCGCCTCCGATGGGCCGGCCGAGAGGAGCATTCGGGTTGCGTGTTCGACCAAACAATCCTCCTCCGCCCGTGCTCGAGGTTGTGCTGACTCCAAAATTGGGAGGCCTTGGCGGGTCAAACTGGAGCGCCGAGCTACCGAGATTCGAAGCTGAGGGGGGAGCCTCCAGGGGAGTGCTTGATGGGCTGTCTTCGAACTGCGAGAATGCGAAGTTGTTGGCATGCCGTCTATCCGGCGTTGATGGCGCCTCCTTGCCCATCGGGCTGGAATCAATGATGAATCGGTGCGCCATGGCGAATGGCGATGTTTGCCTCGCTGCTCCCGCAGAGTCTTGGTATCAGCAGCGTCGACGGATCACTTGTTCATGCGTGCGAGCTGGTTTCCGTATTCGTCCAACATGTAGTTGTCGTGATACGCAAGGTCAAACGGTGAGGCGGGCGCTGGATTCGAGAGGCTGTTTGTGAATGGAAATTGTCCTCTCAATTCATTTTGCCCAGCACGCGTCTTGGATATTTTTTGAGAGCTGCTGTCGCGCCAAGTTGACGCGGTCCGATATTTAGCCGGGCTCAAGGGCCAAGGTGAGCTCGGTGTGGAGCCTGAGCTTGGACATGAGTTGAGTCAAGGCGAGATATGCAGCTGGAATAGAGACTATTGAATGCAATGAAACACATAATGGGCTCTTTATGCTGCCGTTGAAATGATGATTGTCGGTTTTAAAGTTGAAAAAAAATACCAAATTCTACAGGTAGGCATCTGTTGGACAAAATTCCGATTCTGCTCTTACAGTTTCAGAACGTCTCTCGACGCTTTACACTGTCTCAATCCACGGGGCTTATAAATCGTACTCTCATACATGTAATCATATGCAGGAGATATTTCGGTGATTGGTAAAGATATTTTGTTTACAGGGCCATGCCTCTCTCGACACGCCGCATGACTGACCTGGTTTCACTTACCACGTCGGCAATAATTATAGCCGCTTCATGGGTGAGCACGGAGAGCACGGATCTGGATATATGTCATTGTCACATAACACCCGGTAGAGGAGGCGGCAAAGAGAGCAACACTCGTGAAAATCTACCCTCGTCCCAAGATACGATTCGTTGACGGGTAAAATGAAGGTTGAAGGCCATGCCTGGGAGTGTCTGGCTGAGTGCATGAGGTAAGCGCTCAGAAATGAGCAATCCTGTCTCTTACTCGTCCCCACCTGACAGCGGGGTAGAGCAGACTGGAGCATCGAATAATAATGATGACGCTTCGGGGCCGACGAGCTTGGCTGGGCAGAGCTGAGCTGCTACTGGCAAATAAATAAGAGCTCCATTCTTGACTGAGCTTTTTCTCCCGTATTCTCCATCTCAACATCTGACTAACACAATGGCCTCGACTGTTGGCAAGGTGAGAAGCGTCGCTGCAAATGCCTCTCCATGATGTGCCCCGCCTCGATTTGCTGTGAGCTGACCAAAGAGCAAATAGACCATCACCTGCAAGGCTGCCATTGCCTGGGAGGCGGGCAAGGAGCTGAGCATCGAGGATGTCGAAGTTGCTCCTCCCCAGGCTCACGAGGTCCGCGTGCAGATCTACTACACCGGTGTCTGCCACACTGGTAAGCTATGCGGATTAAGGTTGATGGCGCAAAGGGCCGGCACCAGAAGCTAACAGCCACAGATGCCTACACCCTCTCTGGCAAGGACCCCGAGGGTGCGTTCCCCGTCATCCTGGGACACGAGGGAGCCGGTATCGTTGAGTCTGTTGGCGAGGGCGTCACCAATGTGAAGCCCGGCGACCACGTCGTTGCTCTCTAGTATGTCTATCAGCCAGCGAACAGCGTGCTTCATGACAGAAGCTAACCAAGCACACAGCACTCCCGAGTGTAAGGAGTGCAAGTTCTGCAAGTCTGGCAAGACAAACCTCTGCGGCAAGATTCGAGCCACCCAGGGCAAGGGCGTCATGCCTGATGGCACCAGTCGATTCAAGTGCAAGGGCAAGGACATCCTCCACTTCATGGGAACGTCGACTTTCTCTCAGTACACTGTCCTGGCCGACATCTCCGTCGTTGCCGTCCAGCCCGATGCCCCCATGGACCGCACTTGTCTCCTTGGTTGTGGTATTACCACCGGCTACGGTGCGGCCCGCGTCACTGCCAATGTCGAAGAGGGCTCCAACGTTGCCATCTTTGGAGCCGGATGCGTTGGCTTGTCAGTCGTCCAGGGAGCTGTTGTCAACAAGGCTGGAAAGATTATCGTTGTTGATGTCAACCCGGCCAAGGAGGAGTGGGCTAAGAAGTTTGGTGCTACCGACTTCGTGAACCCCAACGACCTCAAGGGACAGACCATCGTCGAGAAGCTGATTGAGATGACCGATGGTGGCTGCGACTACACGTTTGACTGCACTGGTAACGTCAACGTTATGCGTGCTGCCCTAGAAGCTTGCCACAAGGGCTGGGGTGAGAGTATCATCATTGGCGTTGCTGCTGCTGGCCAGGAGATTGCCACTCGCCGTGAGTAACCCGTCCATCTTAAAGCCGAATAATACTAACACAAGTTTTTTCTTCCTATTAGCATTCCAACTTGTCACTGGTCGTGTCTGGAAGGGCTGCGCCTTCGGTGGTATCAAGGGACGCTCGCAGCTGCCCGGACTTGTGGACGACTACATGAGTGGAGCTCTCAAGGTTGATGAGTTCATTACTCACCGCAAAACTCTTGGCGAGATTAACAGTGCATTCGAGACGATGAAGCAGGGAGATTGCATCCGCGCCGTTGTTGACTCCCGGACGCTGTAGATCAAATTTGTGTGGAGGGACTAAGCTCGAGAGACAAACTTAAGAGAAGATGTAAAATATGAAAATTAAAATGATACTTATGGAAGCGAGAGCAAGAAAAAAAAGGAAGGGTGAGAGAAAGGTGGATGAGAGTATTGGGAGATATATGTGTTCTGCTGTTACCACGTCAATTTGCACCTTGATGGTCAGGTGGGGGGAACAAGATCTCAGCGAGGGCGATAAGTCACATTGTCCAATAGATCAGAGGGTTGCGTAAGAAATGCAAAGCGATCTGCTGTAGTAAATCTAAAACCCCAGTTCTTACTCTGAGACCTACCTCTCGAAAGACTGATGAAGGATTATAATATTTTCCCATGTGAATCAGAAGTCCTAATCGCAAGCCATACCATGCTAATGAAAGGCTGATACAGATAAGAATCGCCGAAAGACTCATCTTTAGGATACTAACGTGGATCCCTATTACAGAGCGTAGAGGCAAGTTTGAACTGGGTGAAAGAGGTGAGACCAGTAGGTCGAGGAGAGTGATAGCTATCGACGAAGCCGCAGAGGAAAGTATCAAATCTTGGTCCGTTCAGCATTCTGGTGGGTGCAACAGTAAAGCAAGAGATACATATAGTAATTGGGGGAAACCGCATGGCTGATCTTCTTTTGGTGTAAGATGACACAGCGACTGGCTGACCACAAGGCAATTCGTAAATTTGAAAGAATCCTCTGATTAATCTCTTGATATAGGTAGGTACGTGTTAAAGGACTTGTGGTTCGGGTTGCGTGGCAGTAGCCCCGAGGTACAGCGGCTTGGAAGAGGTACCTACATACCCAGTAATTAGATAGTTCAGGTACCTCACAGCTACTTACATGTATCTAGCTAAGCAGTCTTTCCGTGTATCCATCATTATTGATTGGAAGTTTACAGTTGCTCTCAAATCAGTTGACATAGTCTCATTTTATAAGATCAAAATCTATTTATGTTCAATCATGTAATCATCTCTCACCCAATAGCAGCAGTGCCAGCACTGCGAATATTTGCAACAGCCATTAGTATTATGGTATTCATCATATCACACATGGCCGTCGTATGTTCTCTCCACCTCCTCCAGGCCGCAGACCACCATCTCATACATCTCAGCTAGTATTTTTGAATCGCTCATCCCCTTAGTTGAGCGTTTTGGTGCATCTAGACACCATCCAATAATCTTTGCATATTTATTCGGTACTTTGTTCTTCCTAATCCACTCTTTCACTTGACGATTAACACAGCACCTAATGCGAGGGATCCGAGCTCTATCAAACTCTTGAAGAGGAGGCTCGTATTTAGTTGACTGTACGTCTTTAGGAAAGTCTTTCCACAGTTGGTACAGGACGAGGCCGAGATAAAAAAGCGTTTCTCCCGTATTTGAGTTGCAAAAGTCATCGGACTTGCGATTTGTAGCGTTTTCGAGGCGGATACGGAAATGAGGCTTTGGGTAAGGAAGTTCTCCTCGTTGGTCCAGGTAGAAGACTACATTATCACAGCCCCAGAAGGCGCTGAGCCATGGCGTACAACTGAACTTAACCACAGTTGTAGCGATTTGTCTTGCAAGGTGAAGGCTCTCTGCTTCCTGGACATGATGCCTCTTTTGCAGAATGATGTTTCTCTCGGTCAGAAGGCATGCCGCGTTCTTTTCAGTGACGAGACCATTACAAATCAACTCAGCTCCATGGTGGGGATGTATTGGGCAGATGACGGTTCCGTGTCGCGAACGATTAGTCATTCGCGGATCAAGGTTCAACAGGCAACCTGAAGGATGTTTTATGGGGGGGCCCTGGATCGATACGTCTTCTTCCGTGGTCTTCAAGGCCAGTCGTACTTCATCTCTGGGAAAACCTATGCCGATAGAAAGTCGGAATTTAATGTCTGCCCAGTGGCTATATTCTTCGAGGCCTGCCTCTAGATCAAACTCAATTATATGAGCACTATGCTGAAGGCAGTGGCTGGACAGAAGATCGTATAACAGAGTATGTGTGTTTTTTGCATATGTCAAGGCCGAAAGCAACTTAGAGCGCTTGTGAAGATCTTGGTATACAGTGAGTAACCCCATAGTGTTTTGGTAGAGCAAATGTAATTCGTTCTTCAGGGTTTTGATGTCTTTTGGGCAAATGGAGGGGCCAAACTTGGTCCCCACACATGTTAAGCGTTTGGTGGACGGGGCATGTAATTTTGGCGTCTTATTGTTTCGTCGCCGCTTGTTTCGTCGCCGCCGCCTGGAGCGAGAAGATTTGGACTTCGGCGCCATGCTATTTTGTCGTTGTCTTGGCGAACTTCCGCCTTTTGACTTGTACTTATCATGGTGAGCATACAAATCTACTTTATCTTCAATCACGGCACATACCATTTTAATAGAGATATTTTTATTGTCGTCCCAGTTCAAAGAATTACAGATCTTTGTGGTTATATTGTTTGTAGCGTTAAGTTTGGTGGTGAAGTTTTCGAGACTTTGGTGTTATTATTGATCAGTTGTGGTAGGTCCCTGCCATTTTGGAGAAATTCACCTACCCTCATAATTTCTAATAATGTCCCATCGTCGCAAAGTATTTTCAATGCATGCCGTCTTCGTGATACACTTCGCCAATGGCCCATCAAAGCTTCATTCTTGTGATAAGGCTCAAGGCACTTATTAATGATAGTCATATTGGCAAGCATATACTGCAACACGTCCCGAACCTTGTCGTATTCCTGAGGCCAATAAAATAACGAAGTTTTATCCTCATATACGGGAGGAATGTGATTATACCTAACTACAGATTGACTGTCGGTTCGTATGGTAGTAACAGCACAATGACGTGGAGAAGTCGGCGGTGACGGAGGCGTCAAGGGTAAATCTTATAGCAGCGTGAGCCTCTCTTCCATTAATAGTTTATCCCGCCCATGGAAGTTGCTTAACATACCTGTGGAGGAACCCACCGCACCCCGCATACCAGACTCAGGACAATGGTAGAAGGTATTGCATATGATATTGTGACTATTGTTCCTTTGCACGGTTCCAATGCCGCTGGCATCGTTTCCACAGGACGAGACTGTTGCCGGGATAGGATTTTCATCTCCTCGTAATTCACGCACTGCAGGTGCTTGGGATGATTTGGGCACCATTTTACAAACACTACAAATGCATGTAGTTTGTAACACTGGAGGCGTACAAGGACGCCAGCAGTGTGGTTTGAGGGATAGGCAGAGAGATATATAATGAGACGAAGCGAATAAGCATCAGTATCCTGAGACTGACAAACGGCTAATCAAAACGGTTAATCAGCTATGTGAGTAAAACCTAAAAGATCCAGGCCGCGGTTTGTTCCAGTTATCCACGAAAATTCCATCAGAAGAGCCACGAAAATCAGCGCTTCATGTGATTGGGCAGCATGTCGTGCCACCACGACTTAAGCGCGCATAAATTTAGCATTGTGTCCCATCGGGATGTTCAAAAGATAAAGGTACGACATATATTCGGGCGGCAACTAGCTTGATTCAACTGATAGCTTCCGAAGCTTCAGTTTGAATCACCCACAAATCCTAAGAACATGCAGGATAAGAATAACAAAACCAACGCAAGAGTCGAAACTTAGCGATAGGTGTGTGGGTTTTTGTTTGTTTCATCTATAAATATTCAATGAGCTGTCGTTAAGTTGTTGTGATGAATGTTGCAACTATTGTTGTATTTGGAATATAGGGGCACAAAGTTATGCGGGGCCTGCAGGAGAATCCAAGTATGCCTGGCTGTTCGGCAACCACCCGCACTTTGCCTTCCGATAAAGAGGGGCGAAGCATCTCGGATAGCCGCAGGTTATGCGTGTTCCATCTAAATGAATACGGCTTGTGATACAGGAGTTATACCGCCTTCATGATCCCAAGCTGTAACTGTTACTTCCCCTTGGAAGACCCACCCAACAACACGAGAAGATCCTGCCACGGCTATAAAGGCAGTTCGACCAAAATGCCTTCATTTTAAGATCCTTAGCAACTTCTTCTCTAATCATACTGGCCCTACTCCACATTCATCCGCAAATCGGTTGTTTTTCTCTCGACTTTAACGCAATGGCGGTAAGTCTGAAGCTGAAAGATTTGGATAGTGCTAACAGCGATGCATAGACTCCTCTGGAAAGTAGCATTGGTGCTGCTGTTCAAATCTTACAAGTGATCATTGATTTGTCCAGTAGAATCAAATCTGCTGCCGACAAAAGGGCTCTATCTTTACTGATTAGTCAAAGCCAAAACGAAGTCACCTCCCTCAAAGATATTGTGATGACGATCGGGGAAGAAGAATCACTACAGACTAAGACTATCATCGAGGAAATCGCAATAATACAAGAACTAGCTATTAGCCTCGAAGACTTGCTCAAGACAATGGAATCTGCAGGATTTCTTGGCAGATTTAGACATGGGGATGATCACAGAGACGAGCTGAGAACTCTAACGGCCGAAATCTCGAGAGTGAAATCGAACTTGATGATGAAAATTCAGAGCGCTCATGTCGGCTTGACCGTTTCGTCCAATCAGAGATTTATAGTGCAAATGGATAAGATTGAACAGGTGGATGCGAATCTGAAGAGACTGATTTCGGGATTTGAAGGTTTGATGATCAGGGATTATTTGCATGGACGAGAACAAAGCTGTATGTATGCCCCGGTCCTTTTATATAGATCAAGATTTAACCTGAAAATATACAGCTGACGGTACTATTCTCCTTGACGAGTCTGATCTAGTGGATCTCGGATTAAAGACAAAGGAAGATGGCCCATATCAGGACGGCTCTCGGCTCATTGATAACAACATCGCGATTGGACAGGCTATCATGATTAACGGAACCATTGGCATTGAGGGATTTGTCGAACCAAAGCACGTCAAAATCACCAACAACGTTGCCCAAAACCAGGCAACCATGGTCAATGCCTCTATCTCGGAGAAGACATGGGATCAGGTCAGAGAGGAGAGAGTCAAAATGATCAACCTCTTAGCTGACAAGGGTCTCCTCACTGGGGAGAACATTACAAAGGCTTTACAGAGGGACCCCGAACAGAATGTCACTGATCGTGTGAGAGAGGGAAGAGTTGAAAGATCTCGAGGTCAGTAGATTTGATACTCAGCCTACGACAGCTAACTCTAGTTAGTGAGAAAGTCCGTGGAGCAGATGCGACGAAGGCTGAGACCTAAACACATTTAGCTAGATTCTAACGAAGGCGGTGGAAGACTCCATGAGTTTTCAGATACATTTAGCGCCGCATCAGTGCATCCCCGGGACCATCTAAGTAAGGGAATTGGATTTTATTTATGTAAATGCATTCAAATAATTCTTTATATCAACGATTGCGTCCAAACTGCGTGATTTCCATTATACTTCCAAATTCCAATGACGACTTTGCATTTATCTGATCCAACCCCAGCGTGTCCAGTACAATGAAGGTAGGTATTGCCGATGAGTCGACACCATCTAGGTACTTAATTATGAAGACTATATAGGGCAATGATTCGCGGTAAGAAGCACCTGACAGCTCAACAACAGGTCAAGAAAGCCTTGCCCCAGACTAGGACAATTCTAGTTCGGTCTCTTCAAAATAATCTCCAGCCGTTACCTCTTGGAAACCGCCAGGGAATTCTGTGTCAGCTAATCTTGCCAAATCTAATTGCAAGTGGTTGGAATCAGTTGACAAATAGCAGGCAATAGAAAGGGGGCGGTATTGACGTTGGGATTTGAGACATTTAATCGTGGTGCGTAGATGCTTCTCCGCGAATTCCGATCGCAGAACACAATCATTATTTAAACCTTCAATCCAGCTGTCCTCATCTGAATCGTCTTCAATCCGGCTGTCCTCAGCTGGATCGTCTCCAAGCTGGCTGTCCTCATCCGAACCGTCTTCAAGCTGGCTGTCCTCATCTGAATCGTCTTCAAGCTGGCTGTCCTCATCTGAATCGTCTTCAAGCTGACTGTCCTCATCTGAATCGTCTTCAATCTGGCTGTCTTCAGCTTCGGTTTCACTGTAGTCAGCTTCCTCCACCACCGTACGACGGAAGACGATGCTACTTAAATTGCTGTATTTGCTCAGGATTTCTCTGAAACGGGGCTGAAAGCGGGGAAATGTTTTGTCATGCTTTGCAACCAATTGCGACAGTCGCCGGAGACAAGAGCAGAAGAAATGCATCTCTTTCAGAACATGGCCCATTGAATGACTATCCTTGATGTGTCTGCGAAATTCCAGAAAAACATCTGTCACGCAGTTCATGGCTTCTTCTACTAGAATCAGGCAAATCAACGAAGCAGCTTCTTTTGCGTAGTGATTTTGATCTGGTATAATAAATATTTGCCAGTGAGGTAGGGAGGCAATTAAGCCAATGATGGAATTCAAATTGTCCAGAAATTGCTTAAGTTCAGGTTTCAATTTCAGGCAATACGCTTTGGACCCTGACCTCTCTGCAATTTGTGCAAAGTCAAGCAGTGCTCTTGCCATGGGGTAGGATGAGGTCTCTGGTGTTGTTGCTATGCCGAACGCTGCAAAATTTTCGCCGAGTTGCGAAATGCATTCTTCTTCAGTATTTCCAGGCAGGTTTGAAGGCATGTCTTTACTGCTTCTTTCTTGGCTGTTCAAAGAATTCGAGATATTTGTCGTTTGTTGAATAGCATTTGGCCGAGTAACAAACCTCAGAATGATCTTGTGCTCGGGATTCATTACTTGACCAATTGTTTCGGTTTCTGGCTCATTTCGTTCAACCGCAGAATTTCTTGACTTCTCATGGTCGGGTGAGCTGTCTATATGCTCCTCTTCTAAGGAGCTTTCATACTCTTCTTATAAGGGAGAATCGACACAGCTATTGTAGTTTTCCTCATTATGCATTGCTTTCAGATTTCCTGCAAGCGATCTGGACCTCTTCCTTGGTGTTGAGTCTGTCGATGCGAAATCTCGTGTTCGCTTTCTCTTCAATGGACGACGTAGGAGGTCGTAAAGGCCGTCGGTCGCAGCCTCCAAGTTTTGGTATGGATCATTCTCAGCTTCAGCCTGTTTAGTAGCCTCCTGGTACACTTGGCTATTGAGTAGATTCTTAATGCGATCAATGTGCTCTTTGAAATGCGAATCATCTCGTAGCACTTACTTGTTAGCCATTTCCTGAAGTTGTTGAGCATGCCATCAAATACTTACTCTCTGTCAAGACTTTACCAATGGTGGAAAAGTAAATTTCAGCCATTTCCTCTGTTTCTTTATCATTGCCGAGGTATCGATTGTCTTCTTCATCATCCCCCCGGACAACTTTGTTCCAGCCTCGTAGGCGTCTAATAATTCGTTGGAGCAGTCCTTTTTGTTGACGCCACCCCAAAGAATCAAAGTGCCATGTCTGCTGGTCGTCTGAGTGGCTAGCCGTCGCTCTTGATATGTCGTTATTCATGTCAGATTGCATTGCGAGAATTGTTGATGAATCGGTCAGCTCCGTTCGGTCATGTGAAGGCAGCTTGGCCATGGACGATCGCATCGGGCTTGCATCTTGCTTTGCTACCAAGATAAGTAAACCCATGACCTCTCTGTGTATTTCCGAAGTGAGAATGGATGGTTTCGTCGGCTGTTCATCAGAACCAGACCTGTTTGCAGGTGGAAGCGACAGGGTAGAAGCACCGTTGTCTGTATGTCGAAACGTGGTTGAGCTCTGCGCTTGTGCAGACGGTGGCCAAACATCATCTTCAGTCGATATTTGAGCCATCTTGTTGGATTTCGATTTCATATTATTGGCGTCTGGATTCTGAGACTCGAGTCATTAGAGTGTTCCTTTGCCGTCGCTAGATTACTTGGGCAATGACAGAGACCATATACCAGGAATGAGGGTTAATATACTTGATCATATCCAGGTTCTACTGTTACCTAACTAAAACAAGGGGGCATTGTTGGACATACAATCATCTGTGCACTTGTTTGACTGACTACGGGACAAAGAATTCGGAAATTGCACTCTGCTACCACACGTACATTGCTACACAAAGGAAGGCCAACGAATTAATTATCGTACGTGTACTCAAGGGGTGCCCAACCAAATGGCGGTACTACTTGCTATTCCGAGTCTATCCGATCAGTTGCATCCGTACGAGGGGCTTTATATTCTTGTCCTACGGTGTACGGGGGAAAAAAAATTAGCAGCCACTCGTCAATTTTGGACCTGACTCAGTGTAACGAGAAGCAGTGAGCTTTGTCGATTAGGGGCCGCCTATTCAATTGAGCATGAATGAAGTAGGATATGTGTGCTCTAACTCAAGACTTAGTAAATGCTTTGTTGTCCTTCTACTTGCCTGTGCCGTAAGTACGAAAAGATAATAGAAATGTCGGGAGATATTTTTACGTGGTCTACTGTTGCCAAGCAGCTCGGTCGATATGTACCTTGAAGGTTTCTCTTTCAAGAATAAATTCCTATTAAGTCTCATGACTGCACGCATGATGTCGGAACGCTTAGATTGGTCAGGTAGAGCATACGATTGAGCCTTGTATTGATACAAACGAAACCGCCGCATATTCGATGACGAGAACACGTTGCTTTATGAGCTTTTCAGTTGCCCATGTGAGCCTAGGATGTGTGCTGTAACAAAGCTGAAGATTGGCCCACATTCCTACACATGAGATTAGATCGAACCAAGGGGTCATTGGGACCCTCTTGTACATGGAAGACTTCGACTTGAGCATTATCATTCGCCACGTCGTCGCTATCTTGTGCTGTACAATGTTCCGTCCGCGAAACCTACCACGGGGAGGCGCCCGGGAGGAGAGGGAGGAGTGTCCGATTGCCGACGGTACTGGACCTCGTATTTCTTGACGCGGTGTGCTGTTATCCGGTCGCTTGTATAATTCGTGTGAATGTTTTGTCTCATGCTTGTTCTACAGATATTGATAATAGAGGTATGATTTTTTTTTTTTTTTTTTTTTTTTTTTTTTCCTTTTTGGTAATCTGGGTTTCCTTGTATACCATTTAAGTGCCATATCTCTTATTTCTCGGAGCATAGACGCAGGTTAGAGTTGCAGTTTGTAGACCCACTATTTTAAACAAGAATGTTTCTGATATAAGTTAAAATAAAACTACAGAAAAACAATCAGAACAAAGCCGTGATCGTATAACGGTTAGTACAACAGTTTGTGGATCTTACGAGACACTGTAAATCCAGGTTCGATTCCTGGTCACGGCACAAATCTTTTTTTGCGTCTAGTAGCGATTTTTTTGGGGGCTTGGAATGTAGTGGGTGGAGACGCTAACGACTGGGGTCACAAAGGAAAAAAAACCAATCAGATAGCTATGTATTCCGTACTGTACTACGGAGCACAGGCTGCGCAAATTAGTTTGTGGTTCTCTGGTTTGCACAGTTAAACGTGCTTGTTGAAACGGTCAAACAGTGGCCATGAGGAATTCTCGAGCAGAGAAACAGGAGCGTGCCAGTGCCAACTCCAGCTTCAGCGATTCAGTTCGGAATCTGTTTGCTGGCCACTCACTACCAATCGTCAACTCTTCTCCTTCTATCGCATCAAACCACACATGGATGATAGATAATGTCTGTAATTCTATGTCAAGACCACCCATTCCCAACCTCTGCCAAATTTGGCTGCATTGCCGAATTCGGAAAGTGGGGATTGATCACGTGCATTCGGAATCAAAGTGTGGGTATTGATGACTCAGCGTATGTGTATGGCACGTTTTGCTTTGCGCCGTTTTTCATCAATGAACCCTCGAAGTATTGAGAAGAATATGAGGCCCAATAGAATCACCACCTCACAGGTTAAAAATTGATCCACGGGAAAGAAAACAAAACAAAACTCCCTAAAATGAGAATACCAGACATCTCTCCAGTTAACAATTCTACAAAGCCGACTTAATAATGCCCATTTGACTGCTCATCCATTAATCAATCACCTTAGTAAGTAGGTAACAAAAGCGACTGCTGAGTCAAAGCCTCCCAGCCACAGACTTCTCTTCCTCTTGAACAGATCAAGAAGAAAACCTAGCAACAGGGATTGGCTGGCGCAAAGTACATCCACCACAGACGCAATGATGGCGGAGCAAAGCTTTTACACCGGCAGCGACTAGTCTTCATCGCTCAGCCCGAAGTGACATCAGTTTGAAGCACCCCAGCGGGATCCGGGAATGACGAAATGGCTACCGAAGAGAAGAAGAAAAATTCTGCTCTAGCAATAATGCCGGCAATTGCGAAACTCGGCAGTTCCTATTGGGGCAGACCAAGAGCGTCGAGGTTGGTTCGGAGGTCGGATCCGACGGCGAAGATTCCGGGTACGATCGCCCCAAAACGGCGATTAAGTGGTGAGAAGACGGAATGCATTGGGGTGTATCGCCAACCCCGTAAAGGACTCACGAGATGCAGTCTTTTTACCCAAAAGTATGCATCTTAATACGGAGTACTTATATACATACTAGTCAGACCATGGAAACATGAACAGTCCGTCTGGCAACAGACCACTGTACGGAGCCCATTTCGCTCAGGCTTAGGAGATTGCTGAAAAATCATGCTCACACTCTCCCTTAGTGTTAAAGGAAAACGCTTGTTAGACCGTTGGCCGGAGACGTCTGACTGATGGCGCTCTAATCAAAGGATGCCCGCTTGTTGGCTTGCCCTTACTCTTGGCCATGGCTTTTTGTACGAGTAGTCGTCAGCTACTAAGCTGCCTAAAGAGGCCGGGGTACGTCACACATGCGGAGAATTCCCTATTACCACCTACCTAACATTGGATGCAGTACTAGGTAGGATTACTTTTTACGACCTGAGGGCATCGTAGGAGAATTCGCTTTACTCGTATCTCAGAGCTGACAGGCTCACCATGTAACAGGTTGGGCCTCATGCCTTGGCCTTGTGAGCGCGCGACTTTTCAGCTGCTCCTCCAGGGCGCTTGTTGCATGGCAAGTCATGTCTTACGTCTCGCCATGTAGCCGCCAACCCTGATGAAACCAGAAAAGGGCAGCCTAGCTTGAGACGGGTTTTGAAATCAGTCAACCAAATACGTGAGCGGTTAAAGATATGGGAGATTGCACGCAGCAGATGGGCTGAGGAAGTGAGGAGATGGAGGAAGGCTGCTGGCTACCAGTGTAGACATGAAATGCACTTGGATTTTATCTGCCGCGACGTAGAAGTAGCACGCACGCGACCAATGTGGCTTTTTATCCCTTCTCTTCCGTTGATCGTGGAGCCCGCCAATGCAGGGAAAGGCTTGATGGGGACAACATCCGCACTTTATTTGTCCCTGTTTGCGTGTGAGAGTGTATGACAGCGTCCAAGTCCGGAGACATCGTCCCTGTACGACAATGCCGGACATGCAAGTATCGACTTATTTGTATGTGCTCGTACATGTACTAATATGCACAATCCCAATGGTCCCCCATTCTCCACGATGTATCGATGCATTGCGAGACAGGGGTCCACCGCTACGTGTTCGCTGGCTAGCTGGGGCTGCGCTGGTTCTACATTAGCATCGGCATGGGATAATAAGCGATGGATGTGACATAGGTGCCCAACTGATGCCACAGAGGGTGACGGACATGGTCAAGCACAAATACTAATGTTGTCTACGGCTTGAGAAGATGCAAGTAAGTACGGCAGTAGATACCTTTATCAGCTACGTGCTGCACCATGTTGCGGCATTGTTTCCAAGTACCAATGCCTTTACTTTCTGTCGATTGAATTCCAGATGGCTACCCCGGCTTGCAAGTCTTCAGCCGCTTTCGGAGGCGGCAAAAGACTGGAGTCACTTCTTAGATCAGAACCAGAAATAAGTATGGTCACAGGTCACTCAGCAGAGCCGTACTAGAGGTGATAGTCGCAACAGCAAGGTGGTGGTGGTACAGGTACCTGTCGTATCCGTACCGGGTCACATTAGGCTAGCATCCAGTGGCCGCTGGCATCGTTGTGCGGGCTTTGATTGGAAATCGACTGACGAGATAGCTTCGTATCTCTGGGCTCCGTACAGTATCTTTACCGCAGCTGTCTCAGTCAATTCAACAACACGTGTACAAAGTACATGCCGGGCGTCCCCCATGCAATTTCAGTATGGGTGATGTTCAGCTGCTCCGGCTGGAATTTCGGCCGGGATCATGGAGCCGCCACCAAATAGCCCATGCCGCCGCCTTTGCGTCAAGGTGTAAATTGATCAGTTGATATAGCCGAGGCGGTCTCTGTTTTACCCAAGACGCTGCGGAACCCAATTCCATTCATCCCAATTCCAAAGACGTCTTAAGAAAGAGCGGAGAGACAAAGAGATGGAGGAAATGCCGGAAGATGGAAGATGGAAGATGGAAGAAACGTACTCCATAGAAAGCACTGATAACGCCCGCCAAGTCTATCCGCACCCCTCAGAGATTCTACCGACTTCTCGTCTTCTCCAAAGAGGCCAAAGAAGGGGTGTGGGTGGCGGATTGACACCACCCCCGGCGCCTTGGGATATTCTCCACCCTGGTGGCACCGCTGTTGTCTTGCGCTTGTCACTCCCCCCGGGACTCTCTCATATAAAGCCTCGCGCGATCCGCCGGCCGCGAGCGTCTGTTGCTGCTGACTCAAAAGGCTCAGGTTTCCTTGCTTCGTCGGTCAGCGTCAATCTTGCTTCCCTTTGTGTCTTGGCTATTTAATCCACGGCGTCCGGCCCCAGTCACTTCTCTGCATCCTCGACAAAACACTCCTTGCAAGTAACAGCATCACACGACAGAGCGTCATACTCTACTAGTCGACCAGCCAGTCCTCTCTCTCCAACCTCGCTTTCAGTCTCGCTTTCACCCTCCGACTTGCCCATCATGCCCAAGAAGCTCCGCTGCAACGCCAAGGACTGCCGAGAGCCTGCTCAGCGCATCGTTGGCGACTGTACCTTTTGCAGCGGCCACTTCTGTGGCAAGCACCGTCTGTTGGAGGACCACAAGTGCAGCGGTCTAGAAGACGTACGTTTCATCAGCGCTTCCCCTTTCATATAACCTCAAACCTTTTAACTCATCTAACGCTTGGCATGCAGTGCAAGAAGCAGTCTCACGCACGTAATGCCGCTCAGCTTGAGGCTGAGCGGACGCAAGTCATCCGGGGCGTCTAAATCGACATCCTTGCAAACACCCCCGAATAGCCATCATCCAACACAACCCGACCGTTTAATTACCGCACCGTCTACTTTACTACCATTCTCCTTCACATCATGAGTTGCTGCCCGCCGCGGCCCAATTCATACTCACGGACTATGATTACATGAAACGAAATATTCTTTGGGGGGGGCGAACGGGGATGCACAGACACTGGCGAGAGACTTGATTCTTCTGCCACAGCGAGAGGGAGAGAACCAACAGAGGAGAGCACCATAGTGGACTCTCTAGTTTTTTGTACATTTCTACCATTTATTGTTCTTTTTTTACTGTTTCGGTCGGAACAGCTGCGGCTTTTGTATCGCACGGAGTATTGGGTATGATTCATCTGTTCTGGCATTTCTCGGGGAACCATTCGGAGCCATGTCGCGTTGGTTGTTGATTTTAACTTTAAACTTTATTCTTATTCGCAATACGTATAAAGAAATAAATTCAGTAAAAAAAACAAAGTCATCCAGTATGTCTATTGCATCGTGAAAAAAGAACCGCGGCGTTGCGTGATCCGGCGATGCAATGGCATGTCTCGTGAGGCTTTTGGCCTCGGTGGCGCATTTCCGGGGCTCGGCATGGCTGGGGCCCCCGTCATCAAATGTCGGGATTGACATCTCTATGCAAATCGACTTGCTTCATATAGCCGGCGGGGCTGGTGATTTCGGCTGGTCGAACCCAACACCGACTGTCCTCCGAGCGGCGCCTCGATCCGACGATGGTGACAAGTTACGTGTTACTCATAATTACGGACCGAGCATCAAGTGATACGAATCCCTGCCCATCAATGTGATGTGAGATAAGCCAATAACACATGCAAACGCGGCATGTAAACGAGTAATACGGAAAGCGAGATCAGCCAGCGAAAGCATCCGCCATCGAATAAACGTACATTTCTATGACAATCTATGAGGGCGTGTCTAGCTATCGCTCGGTGCTATATACATGCGCCTACTGTATCTACAATAATGTACAAAAGTCAAAAGGCCAGTAATGTGCTTACATGTGGTCGCAACGTGGCTGACCGCAAACTCCACGGACTTCGTGATCTGCGAGCGAAGTCGGCGACCATGTGTTTGTCGCCAATACGACGGTCGCCTAGTCCTCTTGCTCCTGCTTGACTTTGACTTCCTCCTTGACGATGGCTTCAACCTTGACAATTGCGCCGCCACTCACTCCCTGGTCCTCATCCTTTTCAATCTTAATCGTCTCCTCCTTTATCGCTTCTTCTTTAATCGCCTCTTCCTTGAACCTCCTCCCTTCAAGAACCTTCTTCCTCTCGGCCGCCTTGCAAAGTCCCTGTAGCCCCAGATCGCATTCACCGCAACGCCGGCCCACGGGAAGGCATACGCTTTGTCCCAATCCCACCAGCAGGCCATTGATCTCACGCCAGCGGTCGTGGGGCAGCCAGGACTGCAGGGCCAGCCGCGTCTCTTCGGGATTCTTAGTCTTGTTCCACCCCCACATATTGGTGATGCGATGAACGTGCACGTCGACGCCAATGCCTTCGGTACGGTTCCAGGCCACCGATAGGCAAAGATAGGCCATCTTTGGGCCAACACCCGGCAGAGACGTGAGGCCCTCCACTGTATCCGGGATGTCGCCGTTCCATTCGTCGCGGAGGATCTCGGCGGTCTTTTTTATGTACCTGCATAAGAGAACCGATGGTTAGCATCCACGTATCGTAGCCATGTAGACGTGAGATGGACAAACTTGGTCTTATTGTTGTGGAAGCCAACTGCCCAAATCATCTCGTTGAGCAAATTGGCATCCACCGCCAGCAGATTGTCCAGATTCAAGCCCACCGGAGCCCCCGGTTTGTACGCCGGTAGCTCTGTCTGCAGCTTCCGCATCACCACCGCCGTCACCGTATCCTTTGTTTGGCTTGATAGCATCAGTGCAATCAGCGAGTGCAGCCTCTGATCCTTTGGCGAAGCGTTCCTGTCCGCCAGCCGCTCGCAGCCCATGGTATCCACGGCCGCACCATAGGCGGCGCCGCCCGGCGCACGCATCTTCCTTACCACATTGTACATCTCCTCCCAGTCGGACGGCGGTGAGATGGAAGTTTCGCCCGTTGTCGGATCGGCAACTTTGCGCGCAGGTTTGCGGGCGCGAGCGGGTGCACGGCGTGCACTCTTCGAAGGAGCCGCAGCTATCGCATCGAGCTTGTCGTCTTCATCCTCGTCGGATTCAGGCTTGGTAAACTCGCCAGAAAAGGATTCATCGGAGCCTCTTCTTCGCTTTGTTGGCGGCGGGCTAACACTGTCCTCAATATCGGGTGTCTGCGAATTGCTCGTCGCGCTTGAAGAGGCCGCGTTAAGTGCGAACCGCGCGAGAGAGGATCGCGTCGTGCGTCGCGGTGGCGAACCCGAACCCGAACCCGCGGGTTGCTTCAAGAGCTTGGCCGTGTCTTTTGATATTCGTGATGTGCGCATTGTCGATGATCTTGTCAATCACTTGATGGCCATGTTGTGGAAATGTGTAAAGTGAATTGTCGTGAATAAGGTGATTTTAAGGGTACGGGGAATGGAAAGTGGCGGGTTGACTTAAGGTGATCCGCATATTCGGATCCGATCCGGCTGCATGATATGGTGGGCCGCAAACCCCATTTTGGCAGTCGCCTCGATTTGGAAAGTGATAGCATTGACGTCTGTTATTTAGATAAGAGATAGGGAATTCAACTCTGCTATTGAGATTTGTGAATTCCATGACAGTAATGCTCTGCTGCACGACGTTCTGATTGAATATTTTGGTTGAAAAGTGTAGGGTAGCACTGGTACGTGGAGCCGCTCAAGCTCGGACTTTAGTATGGAGTAGGTCAACACAAGATGCTATTTCCATCATCAGTCGAGCCACAATTGGGGTTTCTTTAATTCGTATACTGTAGTCAAAAATTTGGTCCATTTTGGCCATATGCTGTAATATCTACACCTGCAATTGTGAGCGTTCTCTATGTGACATCATCTGTTGCTGGACTTCTCTCCATAGCATCTCACTTTGCTTCAATTGAATCAGCTGTTATTGGAGCTTCAATATTACGCCCTGTACACGACAGCACGCCACCCCATAGAATTGAAAGCATTCCGCAACCTTATTCTCGGTTCTACAAGATCAGCACCGTCGAAATAATGCCATCCGGTAAACAACGGAAATGTTCCGCGGCATCATCAGCTGCATTTTCCAATTCCCGTGATTTGAGATCAACCGTTCCAGCTCAAGCCTCGGCTGACCATCGTCTCCACACCACCTCTTTCGGGCAAGGGAGACGAGAGGAGGACAAACGACGTGAAGCGACAAACCTGCGTCTGACATGAGTGACCTCCATGTAGTAAGCTGGACAATTTTAAAACTCGGGCGCCAAAACACACGAGCCTTCAGCTACGGCCGCTGCGTATATCAGCTGGCATCTGCCCCCTGTCTTGTTGACTCCTCGGTGCGGCATCTCGTCTCTCTGCAAACGCCATTTCTTGCGCGACGGACGCGAACCCCAGATTGATTGCCTGTATTATCTGTGCCTCCTGGTAGCACTACCCGTACTCGTACCTGATGGAGCATTCGGGGGCGAACAAGGGTTTCTTCCAGCCTGCCCCGATTTTGCCGAACCAGTTCTATGACGATGTTTCCTTTCGCAGATGCTTCAAACGTGAGTCCCAAGTGCATGTAAACAAAGGCAATGACGTGTCGCCGACGCCCAGCAAATCCACCACCTGAAGCCGCTTCCACGCTGCAATGACAAAACGATAGATCGCTAACGCAGCTTGCGCAGTATTCCTCCCGTTTAGCGTGATCACGGAGGTCGAGGCTGAAGTCGCAGCCTTGGGTAGGGATGTCCTCTCCGACGAGGTGTTTGCCTGGGTCACAGATGCCGAGCGCAACAAGCCCTATCTCAAGGGCAGCGGCCGCGATGCCTTTGGTAGATGGCACGGTGAGCTGGTAACTGGCGAGGGATGGCGCGAGCTGCAAAAGTTTGGCCTTTCTAGGGGGTAAGTCGATCCAGAGCGACCTTGGATTGTCCCAATTGCTGACGCGAACTGGCTAGCATCGTTGCCACCGGCTATGACACGCCATATGGCGCATTTTCTCGTCCGCTACAGTATCTTCGTCTGCACCTCTGGGAGGCCTCGTCCGCCAACGTCACCTGCCCCTCTGCGATGCAAGATGGCGCGGCCGCTCTTCTCAGGAGGCACCTGGCGTCTAGACGTATCAGCGAGGCGGAGCGCAAGGTCTTCGAGGATGCCTATCGCCGCCTCATTTCTCGCGACCCAAGCGTTGCCTGGACTAGCGGCCAGTGGATGACGGAGCGATCTGGAGGTAGCGACGTATCTCAGACAGAGACCATTGCCGAATATCAGCCCGAAGAAGCCGAGGGCGCGCTCGCATCGAGAGAAGGCAAGATACCTCTCGGACCGTGGAGCATCAATGGGTTCAAATGGTTTTCGTCCGCAACAGACTCCAACATGACCATTCTGCTCGCCCGTACTTCCCAAGGCGGGCTGAGCACCTTTTTGGCACCTATGCGGCGACACGACCCTAATGCCAAAACCATGACTGGATACCCCAAAGCTAACGGAACTCGACTCAACGGCGTCTGGATCCAGCGGCTCAAGAACAAGCTGGGCACACAGTCGCTTCCAACTGCCGAGCTCGTGCTTGAAGATATGCGCGGCTGGAAGATTGGCGAAGAGGGCAAGGGCATCCAGGAGATTAGCACAATCTTGACTCTCACTAGGATTCACAACGTTATTACGGCTTGCGGTTACGTTGGTCGCGGATTGGGTATTGCAAGGGCATATGCGCGTCGACGAGAAGTCGGGGCTGGCCGCGGTATTCGGATGAAGCTGACTGAAAGCGCGTTACATATGCGCACTCTAGCCAAGCTGACGGCCGAATATCACGGATTGATGCTCCTCAGTAACTACTGTGGCTATCTTCTGGGCATTTCAGAGCACGAGGCGACGCCGCCAACGTCGGCTCTCGCCGCTCTTACACCAGCAGATCAGCTCATCGAGCCACTCCTCCGTATTGTTGTGCCACTTGCCAAAGCCTACGTGTGCAAGGCGTCTGTCCCGCTGCTTTACTCGTGCATGGAATCGCTCGGTGGCGTGGGCTATCTCGTTAATGAAGAGCAGGAATACCTCAACGTGGCTCGACTCTACCGTGACTGCTGTGTCTTGCCCATTTGGGAGGGCACAACCGACGTCTTGTGCACGGATATGATCCGCGCTCTCAAGCATCCCAAGACCGGGACTCAGTCGTTGGATGCTCTTGAGAACTTCATCAAGACTTCATACGCCCTCAACAGTGAAGGTGGCGTCGTCAGGCCCTTTGAATGGGATCCTGTAGCCAAGTGGACTGCTCTGCGAGCATATATTGACGAAAGGAAGCAGGCTGACCTGGTCGGCGAGGGTAGGGAGATTCTGTGGGATATTGCCGAAATTCTCATTTCCCTGTTGCTTTTCGTTGATGTCAGTACCGATGCAAACGAGGCAGCACAAGAAATCTTCCGTCGGTTTATCGAGGACAAATTTTCAAGGGAGAAGCGCAAGAGAGATACCACGGCGGAGGAGCTGAACAGGGACTTGGCTATTGTGTATGGTGTAGAGGAGGCAGAGGCTGTGAGCAGGGAGATTATCGTTCCGAAATTGTAACAAATAGTTGTATCTTGAAATTTTCCTTCTTTTCTTTTTCTTCCTGTTGTTTTTCGGATTTTAGGGATGGTAGGGATGGGCAAGGATCTAGTCAGAATATTGCATTGCTTGGCGGTCACTATGTACTATAATTTATATCTAACAAAATATTTGGAGTGGCCGGCACTCCGTAGCTGCAAAATATATACATGAAAGAAGTTGAGAGAAGTCATCTGTACCCCATCTTTTTCTGCTTAACCTAACGCATGAAGAGGGATAACTCTTTGCCGATAATACAGCATCTTTTATCTTGACTTTGGATGCACCATCAAGAAGTTCGAAATATAGCTTAGCGAGTGAAGCTCGAGCATGTTCCCTTGAGACCTGTGGCCTCCAACTGGATATTCCTACATCCGGATGCTGCTGGGGCACCGGACGAAATGAATTCACCTCCACCTTTGTTAGGGCATGCTTGATAAGTGGGAGAGCTGTTATGTAGCAACAAAGGAGTGTTGCTACTGCCATTGTGACCTAGCGTCCACGTATCGTCACCAGGCGTAGGATCAAGGCACTGGAAGTGCCCATCCCAGGCAATAATGCAAGCGTTATTGAAGCCATCACCCCACAGTATAGGATGAGCAGTGTCCGCGAGATTGATGCAATACCAGCCGTTTGGCTGGCTTGCGTCGAAGTAGAGGAAACCATATTCCGTGTTCTGCTGGACGGTTTTACCGGTTGACAGATCTGAGAGCGTGAAGCAACAATAACCAGGTGGTACGCTATTATCTCGTGGGATAACAGCAGCAAACGATAATGAGGAAGAGAGGAGGAAGAATAACTTGGAAGAGATCATTTTATAGTTTGCTTGGCGATGTGCCTTATGGAGAGTGGCCTCTAGATTGGGACTTATAATGATGTCAATAGGTAGCTGACTTGAAATATCAGAAGATGTGTTGGCTGAGTAGAAGCTTCACCGAGATGCTGTCTGGAGGATAATCAACATATTCCATGTAACTTACACTCAGGAAGGCGAGGCAATTTATACTTGTATCGCAGCCTCGATTTCTACTACTAAATTGCACTGGCGAAAAGAGCGTTGTGCAATCGGTCTTGTTCATCTCGCCGCATTGGCTGGACAAGTGAAGCTAATAATCCGCAAAACAAGTGACCATCACGTTCATCACAGCTCATTGCACATCCCGAGACATTGTATGGCACTTGACCAAGCTCCACCAGCGATTATACTTTCTGGGATTTTGAATCAAAAGGCTGTAAGCGCCCTGTCAGTGATATCCCCGGAAGCTTGGTGACGGGCGTGGCGAATCAGCGTCCAGAACATGTCTAGCTCTGGCCAGTAGCGCATTCCCCCTTTCAGGCACAAGATGCCTGATCACAGGCTGCCGAGAGAGATGACTGGCCAAGACGGGAGTTTCACCTACTGTGGCGATGGGACGGTAGTTTGTGAGGGGAAAATGCGTCTGGGGCTGCGAATGGCTGCTTGTCCGGCCGTGATTACAGGGGTTTGGCTGTGATTTGGCGGATGATCACGTTTGAGACGATTCGAACTAGATTGACAAATAATACTGCTGGTTTTACGTGATTAGCTGTGCATAAGCTTAAGGAATGACTAAATGGTCGGCCGAATTGTTTCATAGCTTGTTTGTAATTGGGGTAGAATCCCGTGAGTTTTTTCTCCCGACGCAGCACTTGTATTATGCATGCGATGTATTTCGAGCACAAGTACGGAGTAACATTGCCTGCAGATGGGTCGCCGTGAAATGACAGACCGGGCTGAGTGAGACATTCATTTTTGCTTCCTTGTCATCAAGAAGAGACGTCTCATTTTCAGGTTTCCTCGCATGGCACGAGAGATTATGTACACTGTAAAATCTTGCAATAGGGCTGTCACTCTAATTACATGTAATTTAGCCTCCACTCAAGCCACATGCGAGTCTAGCCGCGTGAATCCCACTTGCATACAGGCCGAATTTTGACGCGTTTTCACGGCGATCAGTTCATTTCACCAACGCACTCAAATCGACCACGAGGCAAGCAAAAGTTCCACTGGCGGCTCGGTCGTGACTCACTGCTCAAATCCTCAGCTACATTTTCGCCGGAGCCCCGTTTCGGAGCCGGCCGAGTTGTTATAAGGCAGCCGGGACTCCGTACGGCAGACCGCTTGTCCACTCTCGTCTATCCTCAAACTATCCTTGTCCCATCCTTGTTCCTCGCTGATTTCTGATTCTATTTCTCTCGCAAGCGCATGTGACTGAAGGACGCCGAACAACGTGCAGCACTCGCCCAAGATGCCCATGCCTGATGACCTCTGGGAGGCGCTCTCCCAAGATATTCCGTCCACGTCGGATCCATTCGTGACGCAGTATCTGACGGGCCGTGAGAGCCTCATCAGCAAAGAGAAGGAGACGAGATCAGATGCGTCCTTTCGCAAGTCCCTGTCGCCAATCGCCAGACGCGCCTGCGCCATCGTCGACCGCATCCGTGCCCATGAACAGGCCGCTGTCTGGACGCCCAGCGTCGAGGAGCAGCTGGCCCAGGAGACCAAGCAGAACATCTTCCCGGGAATGATGTTCATGATGGCCAAGGATCGCATGGAGAAGACCAACCTGTGGAAGATTGTTCGTCGTATGCCAAAGGGGTCCCTGCTGCATGCCCACATGGACGCGATGGTGGACTTTGACTTTATTCTCGATGAGCTTCTTAAGACTCCCGGCATGCACATGTCTAGCGACGTGCCTCTCACAAGCGACGAAGCTAGGGAGAATTCAGTCGTGCGGTTTAGATTCAGGGCCAAGGAAAGGGCAGACGGGTCGATATGGGATGAGAGCTACGAGTCGGGCACCTTTCTGCTACTCACCAAAGTGGCTGACGAGTTTCCCGAGGGCGGCCGGACTGGGTTCTTAAAGTGGCTCAAGAGCCGGTGTACGCTCTCTCTCGTCGACAGCCACGAGCAACACCATGGCATCGATGCCATCTGGGAAAAGTTTGCCAAGTGCTTCGTCGTCGTCGCGACCATGATACACTACGAGCCCATGTTCCGCGCCTTTTTGCGGCGCCTGATGGGGCTTCTCAAGGCCGACGGCGTCAACTGGGCCGAGCTTCGGTATGAAACCCCGCATGTTTTGATGTTTTCACAACTACTTGAAGGCTTACACTACACACAGTTTCACATGGCCACTCGATTATTGCCGTGACCGTAGGGAGGAGCCGGAGACGGACTACAGCCACATGTGCAAGGTCATCCAGGAGGAAGTCGCCAAGTTCCAAGCCTCCGAGGAAGGCAAGGGTTTCTGGGGCCTCACACTCATCTGGACGACTCTCCGGAGCGCTGAGACGCGGCGTATAGTTGAGAATATGGACCACTGCATCACGACCAAGATGGAGTTCCCTAATCTCATAGCGGGATACGACCTCGTCGGACCCGAGGATCTCGGTAAGCCGCTGGTAAACCTGCTGCCCGAGCTTTTCTGGTTCCGAAAGCAGTGTGCGCAGGAGGGCGTCAACCTGCCTTTCTACTTCCATGCAGGTGAAACGCTCGGTGACGGCTCTAGCACAGATAACAACCTCTTTGACGCCATACTGTTGGGCACCCGCCGCATAGGCCATGGATTCAGTCTATATAAGCATCCTCTCCTCATAGACATGGTCAAGGACAAACGTATCCTCATCGAATCGTGCCCCATCTCAAACGAAGTCCTCCGGCTCTGCGGTTCCGTGACTGCACACCCCTTACCCGCTCTTCTTGCCCGTGGAGTTCCGTGCAGCCTCTGCAACGATGACCCGGCAATGCTGGGCCAAAACACGGCAGGCATGTCTCACGATTTTTGGCAAGCCCTTCAAGGCTGGGACAACTTGGGTCTGGCTGGATTGGGTAGCTTGGCCGAAAACAGCGTTCGATGGTCAACGTTTGAAGACCAAGACCAGGAGCAATGGGTGAAAGGTATCCAAGAGGCCAGTCTTGGAAGCGGCATAAAAGCAGATAGACTTAAACAGTGGAGGGTGGATTGGGAGGCTTTCTGTTTGTGGATTGTGACCGAGTTTGGCGATGAGTTTGACCCTGAAGCAGAGGCTTAGCATTTGTCTCGGTTATTCATCTTGCACAACAATACACTAGATAGATTGAGGACCAGAAGATCAATAAAAAGGGAGCGGCTATCCGGCATACTGTGTTCCAAATTACTTAATACGTAACATCATCGGGGCGATCAGGAAAAATCTCTTGCTACTCAAGATGGAGTGCGTAATTCAAGATTATGATGAAGATATTAATCAAGGTACCTCTAGATAACGATAGTACCTAGTATATATCTATTGGAAGAAAATAGCAATAGTGCCTGTGTAGGTAGCAGGTCTATGAAGGCTTTGATATACAACAATGGCATTTCTTCCGCCCATGACACATCAATACGTAAAATGTGGTCACTGTGATGCAGGATAACTTCTCCCCATATCAAGCACCGCTGGTACTGTATTCACCCAATGCTTGTTGCTTTTATCCACCTAAACACTCTCCCTCCATATGGCCGAGCATGTCGCTGGGCTACATCCCTCGTCCGTACTGCGTCATCAACAGCTGATGTGCAGTACCTGATCAATCAGATCACTCTTAGGCACCAGGAATCCGCCAAATCATCCCCGAGATGCCAAGTGTCAGCCACTACGAAATTCCCCGGGAAAACATCCCGACAGCTACCGCCACTGAATTGCCTCATTGAATCGTCCCGTCTATCCGTTGTGGGGTTTCCGCCAGCCAGGCACTGGCGATATGCTTCGTACCTAGGCAGAAGTAAAAATATAGGCATGTTTAGGCATGTTTCAGGGGGAGAGCTGACATAAATCAGCACATGTATTATTCAGGTACCAGGGTTGACATCTGATGTATCAAAGTTTGGTGCGGCAATATCCAGCCACCACCGCAGGTACCCTCAGGCGACCTCCCTGCGATTTTCGTACTAACCCGTAAAACTTTTGCCCAGCCCTTTTATTCAGCTCGCCTTTCTTTTTTCCCTCAAACCAACCTCTCCTCAAGCACCATCACAACTCAGATTCTGCTCAAGACATGGGTAAGACAGTGTCGCTTTTCGCCCTCTGTGGCTTGGGCGGGCTCGTCGTGACCCAATGGCCTGCTGCCAGCACGCAGCAAGCATCGAGTGCTTACGAAGTGGCTGCGAGTCTGAGACATCGGGACAAACAGACGAATCACCGGAGCATGGGAAATGAGCCATACACGGCCTGGGGCTTGCTCGGCCGACCTGTGGAAATTGGTTTTGGGTATCGTGCTATTTCCATCCATTCCCAAGTTGCTACTCCTCGTGCCACCGCAGAGGTGAAATGAGGCTTGTATCTATCTGTTACAGGCCGCTGCGAGCAAGTGCTCCAAGACGCAGGCATCGACAGTTAATTTTCCTTGCTCCAGCTCGTTGGCCCAATTTCCCAGTTTATCCCATGGAGTATTTTGCTTTTTTTCCCCTCAGGGGCTGCAAAAAGGAAGCAAGCCCGATGCAACGCCCGCTCCAGCCAGTCCATGACATGTTAATGCCAAGAAAATAAGAGAAAAAACAAGGAAAGAAAAAAAGGAAAAAGAAAAAAACAAGATAATAAACTCCGTGCCGTGGCTATCCGTCAAAATGCTTGATTCCATATGCCCGCTAACCAGGTGCCGAATGTGACTGGCTGTACATTGACGCTGTTGCTCCGGTTGACGGCCTCATTCAGCGTCGCCTGCGAAAAATCGTATCGCCCGTTGGCCGTCGCAACGAGCCTCTGATAGTATGCCACCTTATCATAGTCGCACAGCTGAGCAGAGTAGCTGAGGTACGTCTCCAGCTCCGCGTACTGCCGTACATGCCGCGTAAACACCGCTGACGACATCCCCGTTAGCTCTTTGTGTCACCTGCCAGCTTTTCTGGCGTGGGTATCCCAGGAAGTCTGAGGTTTTGGGCGGCAAAGGGGGCAAACTAACCATTGGAAGCGGTGCTGCAGGCGTTGATGAGGTCTCGGACTGTCATCCGGTCCCCGCACATAGTAAACTCTTGGGGCCAATGTGAGGGCCCTAGGTCGACGGCTGCCACGACGTATCGGACCACGTCGTACACCGATGTCAGGCAGACACGTACTGAATGTCCCTTGGAGTCTCGCTCCGCATACTCGGCCGTGGCCGTACTAAAGTTGACGAGGAATTCACCAGCGCCGCCAACGCCAGAGCCGTGACCGATGTTAAACGTATTGAAGAGCCCGTAAGGGTGAAAGCGCTCCATGAAGAGGCCGCATGAGAAAACGGTATATTTCATTCGTGATGATTCGGACCATTGCTTGAGCAAGGCGAGTGCCTGCGATGACCCGCGATCCAGGGGATCGTTGCGTGACTGTCGTCGGCTGAGCGACCCTTCGAATTCCGAGGGCACAAACATGCGGACGCGCCCGCGCCCGGAAGCATCGATGAGGTTTAGCTGTTCGGCGCCGGAGATTGTTGATATGACCAGGTCGACCCCTTGGAGCGCATAGCCAAGGCTGCCGTGATCGTGATAGTCCACGACGTGAACTTGGACGTCGAATTGATCGAATTCGGGTCTTGCCTGCGCCGCAGGGTTAACACGAAAAAGCTCTGAGCCCGATGGGAATGTGGCGCGGAAAACCCAACAGATCTTGATAGAACGACGACGTTGTAGGCATTTGCCGCCTGTGCCAGCTCCGTCGCCAGCAGGAACCCGAAGCCTCTTCCGCCGGCGACTGCAATCCGCATCATGATGGTACCGTTCCGCGGCCAGCTTGGGCCGCCGTCCTCTGTGTTTCTGCACTCTTTCTAGGCGTGAATGCGTAGTGTTGCTCTCCTCCCCCGGGATCTGGATGGCCGCCGGCTTGCTTTAATGGCGTCGCGAGGTAGTGTGCGGTTCATGTGCGTATAAATACCAAACTGGGGGGCTCTCGATTTTCCGCGACATTGACGTTACATTCGCCCATACACACACCATGCTGCAATTGCCGTGCATATGCGACACGCAGAGCGAACGAATGGACAGACGTCTTGGCCTGCCGCGGGAAAAGGCCACATACATATGTGTGAGAAACCACCCGGAATCGCCCAGATACGCCACCCTATCCGACTTTCCTCTTACTGTAGTCACAAGAGACCCGGTGAAGGGAGGGAATGAGAGGGGGGGGACGAGCTGCCGTGGGCAAGCCTGGCTTTTTTTCTGTTTCGGGATACACTTCCTTTCACTTATGCCGCAGGCCATGTGTGTGTGCTTAGGGCGGCAGAGGGCGGCGGCGGCAGCCAGTACGAGACGGTTCCTTATTACATGCATATGGCCCTCCGGCCGGAAAGGCCCGAGTAGGCCGCATCTTTGTTTACGGAATGGTGGCCTGTGAAGCAGGTGATTATCAGGGCACAACTTTTTTTGGCGCCTCGGTTGAGTGATAGATGGGTGACGATGCAGCATCGCAGCGTTTGTGGTCCATGTGGGGAAAACGAACTGATCCGCCGTAAGGGCCACTGATCGCCTCACCGGGAGATCTCATGAAAGGGGACAAGGCGTTTCAGACAACTAAGCACAGTTTCGGCATAGAGTGCCGGAGTGGTAAATCAAAGCCGCCGCCCAGGGCATTTTGTGGCATGCCACGCCCTTTGCTGGGCGCCTATTGGACGGAGGGCGGTTTTGTGTAAACGAAGCCATCTCCATTCTGCTGGTCAGCTGGCGGGCAAGACAGATAAAAGGATGTCTATCAATTCATGCATCCACGACTCTCTTTGGACTAGGGTTCCTGTGGAAACAAGCAAGGATTTGAACACCAGCAGCTCCAAAAAAATAAAATAAATGAAAGGGGGGTTTCATAGACAGAAAAGACATGGAGAAGGGCAGCAGAGAGAAACCCGCCGAATTGATAAGCCCGCTGTAAGTAAGAATCACAAGATGCCGAAAGGCCTCGGAGTTCCAAACTTTAGTGTCGACTTTGGCAAAGCTTCCTATCAAAGGAGCATTGATAGCGGCGTCACTACTGCTAGGAGCTGCATCTAACGCTGGCTAACAAGGCCAAATCATGCAGAAGCGGAGGCGGCTTCCTGGTAATCTTCCAAGGAAGAGAAGCAAAAGTGTCAATTTAGCCGAGACAGGCATGGTACCCTGCCGGTACAACGCTGAATATGCAATGCACGTGTTGTGTTTCCGGTTCCCCGACGATCACAGTCTTTGTTCCCATTTCTTAGGATTCCATTGTGCTTACAGGTACTCCGTACAAGTGCTACAGTTTTTTTTGTCAAATCTCTTATATGGAGTCGACAAGGGCATTCGGCCATTGGGTCGGCCGACATGAACCGGGGTTTATGACAAACTCCATATGCAGCCAACGAAACGAGCTACGGTACTCCGTACGGGGTGAGGCACTTTTCGACAGCATAACACATAATAGCCGTGCGTCAAAAATAGTTCATCCTCCGTTCGAGCTCCCTATTCAAGATGATCCAGGAGAGAGTGCTACAGGATGATAGGACGATGCTCTATGAAGCTCCAAGTCGGCGGATTACACGTCGAGAAGGCCACCGGACATGGAACAGAACTGGTTGTGGGGCTAGACAAGCACCACGGCTCGGATCTTTCCTCGGGCTAGGTTTAGGGTGAGGCCATGCCTCCAGAGCGTCGTGAATCGATCACCGATCCCACCGCATCGCGCTCAAGAGCCATGGCGGAGCCTCTCCCCTAAACCGTGGTACGCCTTGTAATTGGCGAGAGAGTAGCATGCAAGGTCACAAAAGTTCTAGCACAGGTCGGCAGAGTGCAGAGTATGCTACCTACTGCAGTAGCTACGCTTCGAAGGATTTGGGGGCCAAGGATGCAACCACGGCACATCGGAGATCGGCAGCCTGACTCGTAGGGCTGAGGCTGAAAAGCACCATTTTACTGGCTAATGGGCAGCGTTTGCTGGGCGATGGACAGGATGAGTCTAGCTAACAGTATTGTGTCTAAATTCGCTACCTGACCGGGGTTGATTTTGAACCCCTATCCAAAGTCATTCACCGGGGCGTCTGGCCCTGTGCAACTTCGACCTTGTCAGGTTGGTTGTTTTTGGAAGCCAAGTACTTCGTAAATAGGGCTGGGATTGCTGCTTACCGGTCAGTAGCACGGATCAGGTGTTCCTACAGATCTCCTAGCATTCAGCACAGCTTAGGAAGGTGATCATTTCTCTCATTTGATCATAATCGTCATCCTTGTCTTTTTAAACATCTGTTGTCTGCTTTACGTCTATTCCGGACTAGTACTTGGAAATGACCCAACTAAGCCTGCAAGGCAGTTTCTTCTCTGGCCGCGAAACTGCCTTTGCTCCAGCTCTCAGTAAAATCGGTTCTTTTCCTTTCCTTGCTCTTTTCGCCTGGCTTTCCCCAGCCTCCGCCTCCAGGGGTGCATATGATAATGCGGTCCCCTGCTGACATGGCAGCTGTGTTTTTGGCTCCCAAGTTGATGTGCCGCTCTTCATATTCCGTCTGCCCTGCGTCCTCTTCCCCTTGGAGCCTCTTGAGGGACCGCTCCCAATTCGCCTTTTCCACCTTTCTTACCCATAGGTTCAACCCACACTGGGCATCCTCTCCACCATTCAAACCGTATGGACGATATACGCGCCTCTCGCTGAGGATGGACACTTGCAGCGGTATACGGAATTCTATATCTCGGATGACTCCATCGCCTCCGCGGTGCTGACCGTCACCACCTGATCCTTCTCGAATGGAGAACTCCTTCAAGATAACGGGATATCTTCGCTCAAAGATCTCCGAGTCTGTGATCCTCGTGTTGGTCATATGAACGTGCACACCGCTCGTACCAACCCAGTCGGGTCCAGCACCACTTCCACCTGCAATAGTCTCATAGTAGCCAAAGCCCTTGACAGCTTGCTTGCCGGATTGATTGCCACCAAATCCGAATGTAAGGTTATTGCAACATCCCTGACTGGCAGCACAAGCTTGGAAGGCCTTAAACACAACATCGGTAATACGTTGACTAGTCAGTACGTTTCCACCGACGACAGCTGCATTGCCGGATGGTGAAAGGAGAGACTTGGGGGGAATCTTGACGTGGATTGGCTTCAGGCATCCTTGGTTCAAGGGAATGTCTTCGGAGATGAGGCAGCGTAGGCAGTAAATGATGGCGCTATAGGTGATTGCCTGGGGAGCATTGATGTTGCCGTATACTTCGGGACCGGTTCCTTCAAAGTCAAACTCAGCCTCGCCTGCTTCCGGATCGATGGTGACTTTGAGACGAATGGGGGTTCCGTCGTCCATATAATCTACAGCGGATAACTCCTTGCCCTCGAATCGCTTGTAGACGTCCTTGAGCAGCCTGCGTACACACATCTCGGCATTCTTCTGGATGTTAACCATGTAAAACTGAACAGTTTCTTCGCCGTATTCCTCTATTAAAGTCTCAATAAGAGATATTCCCTTATTATTGGCAGAGACCTGCGCTTTCAGGTCATTGATGTTGTCGGCAAGGCATCGCGTGCCACTGCATCCAGGATACTGGGCAGGCTCATTATAAAAAAGCTCGATAACACGTTCCTCATCGAATTTGCCGCCGCTGACTAACTTTTCGCTCTTAATGGAGGCTCCTTCTTGGAATAGTTCGCGAGAGTGCGGTGGCATGCTGCCGGCGCTGATTCCACCAATGTCGGCATGGTGGGCTCGGGATGCTGCGTAGAAGAGGATGTTCTCGCCCTTGGGGTCGAAGGCGGGCATCACCAGCGTCACATCTGGAAGATGGGTGCCTCCGTACGAAGGGTGGTTTGAGATGATGACGTCCCCCTTTTCTAGTCGTCCTTTCCAAATCTCTGCTTGTCGACGGACCAAGTGGCTCATACTTCCTAGATGTACGGGCAAGTGTGGTGCGTTGGCTACCAGGTTACCAGAGGCGTCGAATATGGCACAGGAGAAATCGAGTCTTTCTTTGACATTTGTGCTAACGCTTGTTTTTTGCAGAGCTCGGCCCATTTGTTCTGCAATAGCCATAAATCTGTGACCGAAGATGCTGAGCATGATGGGATCGACTTCGCGGTCTCCTCCTGTGCTATGGGACCTATTCATAATTAGTTCAGTTCTAACATAATAGGCGGGTCTATAGGCATACTCGTCTTTGGCACCTTCTTTCGAAATATCAAGCACAACATGCGTTCCCGTAATGAGAGCCTTGGTCCGTGGAGTCACGACAATGGTTTGAGTTCCGTCTGCCAGCATAGCTGGTCCGTTGACCACATCGCCCTCGTTCAAGTCCTTGAGCTTGTAAACAGGAGTCTTGACTCTGCCGCCATCAAAGTAAACTTCCTGTTCGCTGTGTTGCTTCTTTGTAGAAGCTTCCTGCTTTTTGATCGTCTTGAGCTGCTGGTCAATGGACTTTTCATGATGGCGGTAGCTTTTTCCAATACCGCGAACTCTCACATCATCTACGATGATGTCCCGATCATCCAACGTGAAACCAAACTCGTAGCGATGATGCTTGACAAACGCCTTACCAAACTCCCAGTCTTTGCCATCAAAATTCGCCTTTGCTTCTTCTTCGCTAGGCTTGATAATCATGAGAGCAGACTCAGTACCGCGGTATCTGCAGTTGAGATACTCCTCAAACACAATCTCATTCTCATCGAAACCTTGATCTTTGAGAGCGGCTCGTGACTTGTCTTTTAATTTCTCCATCTTGGCCTGGAGTTCAGTGATGACTTTGCCGCTGTCTTTCCAGACTGAAGAATCAGGCTCTTGTCGCTCATCCACAACGTCTGCAAGAGCCATTCCGTAGGCGGAGAGGACAGATGAATATCGGTGGACAAGGATCTGGCTAATACCGAGAGATTCCGCGATGGCGACGGCATGCTGACCGCCGGCACCGCCAAAGGTCGCCAGTCTGTGCTTAGAGGTATCGTGGCCCTTTGCTTCAGTGATGGACCGAATGGGCCTTGTCATGGTCTCGTTGGCAACTGTTAGGAATCCAAAAGCGACCTCATCGACGGACAAGTTCTTTCCCGTCTCCTGGTTCACTTGGTCTGCCAGTTCCTGCAACACTTTTCTGCTCGCTTCCAGATCCAGCCCCTCGTCCTCATTCTTGCCAAAGATTTTGGGGAAGAATTCAGGTAGGAGACGGCCCAAGTACAGGTTGGCATCTGTGACAGTTGCAGGGCCACCTTTGCGGTAACAAGCTGGGCCGGGGTGAGCACCAGCAGACTCAGGTCCTACAACGAACAGCCCGTTGCGGAAAAAGAGACGAGAGCCACCACCAGCGGCGACGGTGTTGATGTCAAGCTGAGGAGACTGAATCGTGACACCGGCAGTGGTTGTTTCAAAGACGTGCTCGTACCGACCCTCTCCGTAACGAGAGACGTCTGTGCTAGTGCCTCCCTATTTCAAGGTTAGACTAAGTTGTAACTCGAAGATTAATGTAGGCGAGAAATTTTACCATGTCGAATCCAATAACGGGAACCCTCGTCTCTTCATCATACGATGTCATGGCATATCCTACTACACCTCCTGCCGGACCAGATAAAATGGCTTTGAGACCCGTAAATTTGTCGACATCCACAAGACCACCATCGCTCTGCATAAACTCACAGCGAGCGCCCTTGGGTCCCTTTTCGTGCTTCACGCTCTGCGTGCCCAGGCCTCCTTCAAAGCCTGCTTGGAAGCCATCTATGTACTTCCTAATTGCGGGAGTTAGATAAGCATCTGCGCAGACTGATGTTGCTCGCGGCACAAGTTTCACCATGGGCATTAGCTCGTGACTGAGTGAGATGTGTTGGAAGCCAATCTCCTTTGCGATCTTGCCTATCAGGGCTTCATGGTCAGGAAACGTATACCCGTGCATAAGACACACGGCTATACTGCGGATTCCCGAGTCATACACCTTTTGCAGCTTTGCTCTTATGTCGTCGTGTTCCGGGCGCCTCAGTATCCTGACCGTCTCGCCGGAGAGACCCCTAACGAGGTCCTTACCCTCAGCCTCCTTGGTGCCCGCTTGAGCATCTGTCGCCGTGATTGTCCTCTCCGGATCCTCGGCATAGTCTTCCAGTGTGACGCGCTCATCAATCTCGACAACCTGCTCGTACAGGACATCCGGCTTCCTGATAGCCAGGTCAAAGATCTTGGGCCTGGACTGGTTCCCAATCGTCAAGCAGTCCTTGAAGCCCTTTGTGACGACCATGGCAATCTTCTCGCCCTTCCTTTCCAGCAACGCATTGGTCGCTACAGTGGTGCCCATGCGGATGGAATCAATCTTGGATGTGTCCAAGGGCTCGCCGCGGGGGATATCCCGCTTGAGGAAATGGCTCATGATGCGCCGGATTCCCTCAAGCGGCGCATCTTTGTAGTTTGCCGGGTCCTCAGAGAGGAGCTTGATGATGATTTCTTCGCCATTGTACTCGCCAACGCAGTCGGTGAAGGTGCCGCCTCGGTCGATTGCTATGCGAATGCCGCGCTCTTTGGATGTATTTGCCATGATGAGGGTGACGATGAGATGACAAAGATATGGAGATGGAGGGGTATCACCAAAAAGATCTTCAATAGCAGACAATGAGCTTGATGAGAGAAGAGCAGCACTTCAACGGTCTAATGCTACAGTATATATATTACATCAACTCAGCTGCTTAGTGAGCAATTATCTCATAGCGAAGTCGGATTAAACAACGGGTAGCTACATGAGGCGATGATTGCCGACAAAGGTGTATGTGCGTGTACTTTGAATGGCGGGGTGTGGAGAGCTCCAGTATTAGTCCTCGCAGTGGCGGGGTTCCGTCTCCGTAGGAATAACATGATCAATCATGAATGATACCTGGTGAGAGACGTCTTGTATAACATCCTGCAAGATGACGAAAAGTCTGATTGGTGTTTCTATCGACCTATAAATCACTCAAATGCCATGAGAAGACACAAAGCATCAATCAACAACACTCAGACGAGAGCTGTCTTCCATTCCATTCAAAACAATCCTTGCTGCTGCTAGAAGCATTACTCCGCAATACAACACTCCAGGACGCCAAGCCGACCGGAGATACGTGACACTTTGCTGTGAAGAGCTCATAGTGCAAAATCTGCCTCCTCCACCCATCCAATCATCAAGGCACTTTGGCCGAGTGGTCTAAGGCGCCGTGTTCAGGACTAGTCCAGAATCGCGGTCTAGTAATAGGCGAGGGTTCGAATCCCTCAGGTGTCATTCTTTTTGGGTTTTCTCTCTCTATGTTGTGTTCTTCATAACGGAGATGGGGATTTCTCTTTTTGCCCTCACTGCCTATTTTGGATGGTGTACGGGGTACGTACATTTTCTTGTCAGTCACAATTCACAGTTTGTTTGCGTCATCTGGTGTGTACAAAGTACATGCAACTAGTATATCTCTTCTCAATATCTCATCACGAGCTGCTCATAATCTCACTTTCATGTACGGTAATAGACTTGTGTTTCTTTTGCTGGTAACTGCTCTGAGATTTATTGTCTATATATACAATGTCCCCTGGTGGTGAACGGCGTTGAAAAGATCATCTCCTACGCTTTCGTGGAGCTTCGTTAGGACTTTTGCCGGCTGGTCGTTTCTTAGATCCAGACCCTCCCTTCTCTTCTACCCTCGCTGCTCGTGTGTTGGGCCCTATCTTAATACAACTGCTAGCTTCATTGTACATGCAGATCCTTTTCCCTGAAATGCCAGTTCTCTTGAGATTGTCTCGACGAGTACTGCCTTTGTTTCCATACTCTCTGCATTCACCATCCTCCATCTCACTGTCTTCGCCTTCTGACAGTATGTGTTTATCCTCATCTAGATGATAAGTCCATGCATTGATTCCATTTCTCATATGATATTTCTCCAAATCGTCTCTGAGATGAGTGGCAATAAAAAGGGCATGATCCTGACAATTCCGGAGCATGGTGACGCCCTGAATAAACTCAAAATAAGAGCCCATCAGATTCACCGATGCAATAGGGTATTGGTGATATTCCAGCCTACCCTCAGCAGAGGTGGACGCATAGTGCGCAAAGAAGTTGATATACGTGCCGTTCGTGGTAAAAGTCATGATTCCTGCCATGTCTTCCAAGATTTCTGCTCTAATGTGAGCGAGAGCCAGATTCCTCATGTAGACGAGTGCCGCACCATGGCGTGCGCTGACTGCCTCTAAATCATTGACATCTCCAGATGTAAAATCGCCAGCGAGGTGTGGGTGAACAAGCGAAGCATGATCGCGAACAAGACATACAGCGGCAGATACGTATTCAATGTTCATGCACGGGTATGCTTCCAATCTGAAGCCTTGAGCGAACCCGGGACAAGGCTTCTCGATTCCTAGGGCGAAAGGTGCGTATTCCGGGAAATCATCGAAGCGCTGACAAAATGTTCTGATATATTCGGGCCGATTTGGAAATGCTTGGAACAGTGGCATCATCTCAAACATGATGGCTTCTTTTGTTGTGCCTAGATACGAATGCATTGTGTAAGACTGCCATTTGTTGGTAGGCCAGTCGGGCACATGCCGTGCAGACTTGAGTCGCATTTGCAGCCATTCCAAGTTTCTCGGTGGTCTGGACATATCTAGCGTGAGGACGCCATTTCGCAGCTGTACAGCTGGATACTCATTTGAAGGGACTAGATGGTTATCAAATACTTTGGGAGCGACACTCAAGCTGTGGTGTATATGCTCGAGAATGTCGACAAATTCTTCTCCCAACTTTTCCTCAGCCTGGTGTGAATCGTCTTTCGCTACCGGGATATGGCTCGAGTCATTGTGCTGTTGATTCCGATCATCTCTCCTGATTTTTTGTAAAAGAGGATACCACGGCGCGAATCTCTCTGGTCCAGCTTGGCCTTCGTTTTCCATTGGTGTAAGTGCTTTTTTATTTCTCCTTTTGGAACGCCTTAGTTGAATTTGTGGCGTGTCTGAATCATCTGCAACTGCCGCGTTTCGTCTTCTTGCTTTTGGTGGCATGGTTGACTGAATGTACTGATTGTTGTATTTGCCCCGAGTTTATTTCTAGTTTGAAGTGATTGCAGAGTTGCCATATAATGCTAGACTTTTATCGTATCAAGTTCATATTGAATTCGGAAACTTCGGTCATGTTATATCATTTTTCTCACCCTGTAAAGAAAACCCGTCAGACATTGTTCAATAATGACTGAGATAATATTGTTCGATAACAGTCAATCATGCAGATACAGTTCTATGGTATTTCAAACTTTTAATCGATGACTCTAAGCCGTATTTCTTTGCTGTAGGAGGATTTTGAACATGATGACACTCAAAGCGGCAGAAGCTGGCTGGCGAACACAATGGCACAAAGAACTGTCATGAAAGCCAGTGGGGTAATTTGGCCCTTTTAAGACTGTTACTTTACAGTTATGTGCAAAATTAACTTGATTTCTATACTTAGTTTTTTTCTTTTACAGGTGAGCGGGTGCATCTTTAGTATCCTAAGATTATATTGAGGTGTTCGCGACCACATTGTAGTTCTCTTCTTAGATAGTACGCATATGTTTTCCTTGCACGCTTTCCCATTTTAATTATTTCACATATCGCATACTTAGGTATTATATATTCTAAGAGCTTTTTCGCAGCCTTTGAGCTGCACAGCCAATAGTTCGTCGGTTTATTCGGTCGGCACGTTCATACTGTTAAGATTAATGTTCGTTGATGCGGGTCGCGTTGCAATGGCAGCCTTGGTACCTTCACGGCGTTGTACAACACGCATATTAATTCCGGATAGATTCCATATAAATAATTATACTGGCAAGCCTCGTGCTCCTCCAGCGCAAAATTCACTTGCTTTAACTTCGATTACTATGGAAAGCCCACGCTCGCTTAAGCGATTTCTGTTTGCAGGGGAAATTTCTCACTTTAATTACTTGCAGACGAAATGTGGAACACAGAAATGCGCATGCGACATACAGACTTCAGTGCTTTCACAACGCAGGTGTCCATCGGTCGGTGGTTAGGCATCAATGACAGCCTAAATAGGTTGGCAGGATCCTTCACATTCATCTAAATGCTACACCATCAACATACTAACATACTCTCCGTCAGTTCGTTACCGATACCTATGCAACATATCCAATCTTAGACCAACATGAGACAACGGCTTTCCAAATCCACCAATTCCATATTGGAGAAGTTGAAGAGGCGAAACCCGGTGCCAAATGGCGGAACTTCTTTTTCCCCTACGGCCAAAGGTACTGATGTTTCTTTACCCTCCACGTCACCAGCCTCGGCACCACAGTCTGTTCAATCGCAGTCTGTATCCAACGCAGCTGTTTCTATCGTACGCACTGACGGTGACGTATGGGCTCTCGCGTTCAAGATGGCCCAGGAGAGGGAGGGCAAGCTAATGCTTGCCTATGAGGAGTATCTATCCTCTCTACAAAGTGACAATGCAGCCAGTGGAGATCTCTCAATCCCCGACTTCATTACTTCTATTGTAAACAGGGCGATAGAGGAAAGAGAGAAGAAGAAGTGGCGCTTCTCGCTCCTTGGCACATCTATCGAGGTTAGAGCACAAGCTGAGAGGCTAACAAAATTCCTCCTGTGGTCTGATCCGATCATTAAAGCTACTGTGAGCAATCAGCCATACGCAGCACTAGCATGGTCTGGCGTTTCATTGCTTCTTCCAGTAAGCGCTTTTCCTCCAGTCTTGTAGCTTATGCTAATACTCGTAGCTTGTCACCAGCGGCACCACACAAAATGAAGCTATGCTAAAGGGTTTTAACTCCATTGGCGATCTACAAATGTATTGGCGAATCTGCGAAAACACCGGTTCTCCATCTATCTATGATTCATCTCCACAGCCTTTTATCGAATCTTTAGGCAAATTATATTCCTTCTTTATTGAATACCAGGCTCGAGTCATATGCCACCTCGCTAAAAGTCAGCTTTCCCGAGCATGGAGTGATATAACCAGCCCTGGAGAATGGGACGAGAAGATACAGGAAATTCACCAACTTAACAACAAATGCCGCGATATTCTCCATCTTGTCAATGCAAATCAGATTGAGAGAAACTGGAAAGAGCAACTACTTGAGATGCAAGAGTCGCGGATTTTTCTCGATAAGATATACAATACTCTCCTAGAAAGCGGAATAGAGAACCAGAAGAACTACGAGGAACGGACAGAGAGAGAGCTCCTTCAAACTCTCGCATCCGACTATCAAGGCTACAAAGACTTCAATCCACAGAAGGTCAAAGGTACATGTGAATGGTTTTTTGCGGATGAGAGATTTCGCAACTGGCGCGATAGCAATGCTTCCAGTCTTCTTTGGGTCTCAGCGGGCCCAGGGTGTGGAAAATCTGTCTTGTCGCGGGCGCTGATCGATGAGCGACGACTATCTACCAATGTCACCACATCTACCGTCTGTTATTTCTTTTTCAAGGATGGTGATGAAGGCCGAATGTACGCTCATAATGCTCTTTGTGCAGTAATTCACCAGCTTTTTACGCAAGATTCCACTGGCAAATTGATTGCACAAGCTCTCGCCGCTCATAAAAGCTTTGGTGAAAAACTGGCCCAGAGTTTTTCAGAGCTATGGGAGATTTTAATACGGTGTTCCAACTCATTGAAGTTTGGTGAAATCATTTGTGTTATCGATGCCTTAGACGAATGCAATGTTGACAGCAGAAAGAGCTTTATCGAAAAGCTCAAGGAATTTTATCGGCGTCCCTCTGAGCTATTACGTTCAAAGCTCAAGTTTCTTATCACCAGTCGTCCATATGATGATATAGAGGTGTCTTTCAAATATCTCTCTGGTGTTGCTGGGTATCTACGATTCGATGGTGACGACAAATCTGGGGATATCGGCGATGAGATCAATTTAGTCATCGATGACAGAGTAAACGAAATTGCAGAAGACTTTAAAGAGGAGGATCGCCGATTAATTTCAGATAAGCTTAAGAGCATGGAACACCGCACATATCTCTGGCTACACCTCACACTTGACATTATTAAGAAAAGTCCAAGCGAATACGGCAGGCGCATTGATGTCGAGGTTCTTCTTTCTAGCCTACCGACGGAGGTATCCGAAGCTTATGAAAAGATCCTGGATAAAAGCAAAAGGCAAGATTATACGGAAGCTCTCCTTCAGATCCTTCTAGCTGCAACACGCCCTCTGACTTTGGATGAGGCCAACTTCGCCCTGACAGTGGCCACAAAGGAGCAAGGGTTTGACTCTCATGCGGCTTTGGAAAATGATCTTTGGCCATCAAATAAATTCAAGGATGACGTGAAAAACCTATGCGGTCTCTTTGTTACTGTTCATGATGGAAAATTATCTTTCATACATCAAACAGCCAGAGAGTTTCTTACCCATGCTAAACAAGGAGGGAACTGGAAAGGGAAGTTCAACAACGAGCCAAAACTTCACAGCAGGGTATCGTTAATTTGCATACGATATTTACTCTTGCTGGACGTTGCAACTGTCTCCATACAACGACAAAATGATTCGCCTTATCGGTTTCTTTTATACGCCGCCAACTCTTGGGCTCTTCATTATGCCTCGCAGGAAGCTACTGACACTTATTTGTACCGGAAGGATGCGCTCACGCTGTGTTGTATAGACCACGTTTGGAAAGACATAGTATACGTCCCTCGTCGGGATTTCTCAGGTCTAGAGTGGGCCAGCTATTTTGGTCTACAACAAATTGTCCAAGATATCCTGCTAGAGAAGGCGGATGCCCGACACAATTTAGAAGCGGCGCTAAAGTTAGCATCAGAGAAAGGTCACAAAGAGATCGTTCAGATGCTTCTAGAGAGCGGCGCTGCCATTAATGCAAAGAGAATATATTATGGAGAAGAAACAGCGCTACATATAGCATCAGAAAAGGGCCATAAAGAGATTGTCCAGATGCTTCTAGAGAATGGCATTAATGTTAATGCAACGACATACTCTAGGAAAACAGCGCTAAATATAGCATCAGAAAAAGGTCATAAAGAAATTATCCAGATGCTTCTAAAATATGGCATTGATGTTAATGCAGCGACAATCTCTAGGGAAACGGCGCTACGGACAGCATCAAAAAATGGTTACAAAGAGATTGTCCAGATGCTTCTAGAGAATGGCGCCGATATTAATGAAAAGGGAGACTATTATGGAAAAACGGCGCTACATATAGCATCAGAAAATGGTTACAAAGAGATTGTCCAGATTCTTCTAGAGAATGGCGCCGATGTTAATGAAAGGGGAGGCGCCGTTGGAGACACGGCGCTATTTGCAGCATCAGAAAGAGATTACAAAGAGATCGTCCAGATGCTTCTAGAGAATGGCGCTGATGTTCATACAAAGAGAGGCATTGATGGAATGATGGTGCTAGGGGTAGCATCACGATTTGGTCACAAAGAGATTGTCCAGATGCTTCTAGAGAGTGGCGCTGACATTAATGAAAAGAGAAGCCATTATAGGGATACGGCGCTACATGGCGCATCAGAAAAGGGTCATAAAGAGATTGTCCAGATGTTGCAAGAATGGGAAGCGAAATAAGAATCCAATGGCTATAACATTAGCACAATACATGTATGGAGCGCCCTTTTCACTATTTTTGTTATAAACTGATGGCTAAGTGAAAGTGAGAGTGTAGTTCTCCAATAGCACCGATTGTAAATAGCAGATTTCGCAATTCTGTCTCGGTTCAGAGGTGATGGAAACGCTCTGATCTTTTTGTTTCGGTCAAAAGGGGTGATAACGTTAAAACCAGCCCTTCTCCATTTTCCCTTCAATGAGGCTTCGACGATGGTGCTTCGCTGCCAAGGATTTTCATTGCAATTAGTCGGGATTTTAAAACCAACCAGCAGCCAAAACCTGGAAGTGCAGCTTGGCCAATTAATCCATAACAGCCCGTCATTTTTTGAACTTGCTGCCAATCGCCATACAACCATGATCAGCGCCAGCAAATGACAATCAAGGTATAGCCAGGTATGACGCAATCGATTTTGAAGGCCGCCCAATTCAGCAATCACGACACCACGCATAATATTCCCAGGAAATAAGGCATTCGACACTTTACAAGGCCCTTGTCTAAGTGACATGTACTCCGTAGATACCCAATTATGCGCAGAATACGTGTATCGACCACAAAGAGCATGATTCGCTTAACAGCGGCTGCCGTGTTTGGGCAAGCGATGCCGCAGGGACAAACCACGTTTTTGCCTTAATCGGACACCCTCCCATAGGCGGAAGACGCAAACAAGGCCTTTGGGGATGAGCATGTCGTATGTCCTGCCGTCCACAGGGGTCATGTGTGCGAGGTATGACGATGAAGGCCCCAAGTTGGTGTTGCAGATCAACGGTCTTGGGCAGTCGCTGCCCATCCACGAATGAATAAATGCAGCTGCTCTGTCCCTCGAGACAAGATCAACAGCCTCTCATCATCCATCGCTCAGACATATCGACATCACCACCTCATCTATTAAAGCAGTTCGCCTGCCCAACCAAAACATTGTATAACCACCGCCACCAGGCACGCACCACCAAGGGAATCAGTCACCAACAATGGCGCTCGACCGCATCGTCAACATCGTCCTGCGAGCTGCAGAGCTCGTCTTCGCTACCATCGTCGCGGGCGTGACAGGCCAGCACCTTCACCAGTTCCGTCATGCGTCCGACTGGTCCCAGGGCCGCTTCATATACACCGAGGTGGTGGCAGCGCTGTCCATGTTCTTTGCGTTGATATGGCTCGTCCCCTTTTCGTGGTCCTTTGTGCATTGGCCTGTCGACATCATTCTCAGCCTTTGCTGGTGGGCTGCCTTTGGCCTCTTGGTTAACGTAAGTGACTATTATACATGTATACAGTCTATCTCTCTTTCGATAATATCGAGGCTGACTTTTCCTTTTTCAGTTGCTGGGTAACTCTTGCGGCTACATCTTCGACTGGAACAACGTTCACCCCATCTCTGGTGACCAGTGCGGCAAGTTCAAGGCCGACATTGCCTTCATCTTCCTGTCGGCTCTTCTTTGGCTCGTGTCTGCCCTGCTCGGCATCTTCTGGGTTCACAGCCATGAGCGTCGCGCCCGAGTCGATGCTGCCCACCGCCAGCACCACCGCCGCTGGTACCGACGCAACCGCGTCTAAAGTGCTATACGCAATTAGCATCTGCAAATCCGCAAACAGCCATAGGCGACACACGCTCATTCATGATACCCTTGCTTGTATACTTTCCTTTGTCGTCTATGGTTTATAATAATATGAAAAGGAGGTTGGGGTTGAGTGGGGGATGAGGGGAGGGTGTGAGAAAAAATTGTTTTGGCAATGATGTTGTATTGCTTCTGTCACTTCCCATAATGCCGTTTCAACCTAATGACTTTATAACGACTATACCCCGTTAAATTAGCACTTAATTAATATTATTTTATCTTTGCTACTCAGAGCACGCATCTGTTTGTTGCCATCGTGCTTATCTCATTTACATCTACCCAACATGAAGGAGAACTAATACCCAGACATGGCGCATCGTTCTCCAACCTGATTATCGTGATATCAAAGAGAGTTTCTACCAAGGATTCCGTTTTGGTAATAGAATTCCAGTTTCGTGCTACGGTCTATTACAGTTTCCGGCATATGCTGGAATTCAGAAACCTTTGGTCCACCGACGCCATGGCATTGATATTCGGACAGCATAAGCTCTATCCACAACGAAGCCCCAGTGTAGATCCTCCCGTCAACGTCACCTCCACAAAACTTGCTGTGCCACAGCAGCATTCCTCCAATCCAACACGATGAATTCATGCTTCTTAGAGCCAAGCTCTTCTACTACAAGTAATTCTGTAACTCACCAGCCACAGCTAAACTGATGATGCAACGATGATTGTTGTTGCCGCCACCCATGAGCTCCACCAAGACGCGGCCCCACTAGCTGCGTCATCGATAACTCAATCCAACTTCAAACGTCCTTGCATCACCATCACATAGTCAAAGCGGCAGAGAAACCGTAAGCCAACTTGCTTTCGTATTTTACTTCTAGCTCGCTATAGGTTACCTAAGCTGTCAGGTTTCCACAAACCATCCCCCAGAGAAAAGCGGGTGCGGCGCAAATACTCCGGAGAGAGGCTGATAACCAACTCAACGTCACCATGCCCCAGATATGACGGATTGATATGGAGATGCAAACGCCTTAACTCATTCCTGAGCCATGAGATCTGTGGCTGCTCAGGTAAGGTTAGCAAGGGCTAGGTAGCAAAGTAAGAACATTCGTAAACAGATCGGGAAAGCTCCAGAGTTGAACGCCATCGGTTGAGGTTACAGCGTGAGCCACCATGTCATCATAGACAGCGATCAGGTCTTTGCGGATGGTGATCTGACCAAGTGCTATATAATTACGATGCTCCTCCGTAGTTCCCGTCCATTTCTCAGATCAATCCAAACTTTTAGTTTAACTGTCAAACACCACAACCTTATCACAAAACTTATATCTACATCTTCGAAGCCTAACACAATCTCGTCACCATGTCTTCTCTCATCAACAAGGTCAAGGAAAAGCTCCATTCCGACAACAAGACGGAGCAGCCTGAGGGCACTCATGGACCTCACAGCTCCCGAGCTGCCAATGCTGCCGACCCTCGCGTCGACTCCGACCGCGACCACCGTGAGCAACTGGGCCGCCATGATGGCTCTTATACCACCGGCGGAGACAACTACTCCTATGGCGGTGACACTACCACCCAGGGCACGACTGGTACTTCGACCTTGGACTCCAGCAAAGGCACTGGGTTCGGCTCAACTGCCACCACCGGCCCTGCTTCCAAGACTGCCGGCATGCACAGCTCCAACTTGGCCAACAAGGCTGATCCCAGAGTAGACTCTGATCTTGACGGCAGCCGCAACATGGGCCTCCGCTCCAGTGGTGCCACTGCTGGAACTGGAACTGGAACTACTGGAACTACTGGAACTACTGGAACTACTGGAACTACTGGAACTACTAGAACCACTGGAACCACCGGAACCACTGGAACCACTGGTTTCGGAGCCGGCACCGGCACTACCAAGACTGCTGGCATGCACAGCTCAGACATGGCCAACAAGGCTGACCCCAGAGTTGACTCTGACCTCGACGGCAGCCGCAACATGGGCCTCCGCTCCAGCGGCGCCACTGCTGGAACGGGAACCACTGGAACCACTGGCTTTGGAACTGGTACTGGCACTACCAAGACTGCGGGCATGCACAGCTCAGACATGGCCAACAAGGCTGACCCCAGAATTGACTCTGACCTCGACGGCAGCCGCAACATGGGTCTCCGGTCCAGCGGCGCTACCTACGGCACCGGCACCACTGGTACTTCTGGAACCACGATGGGCACTGGAATGGGTACCGGCATGGGCAGTGATACTCTCACCAGCAGCGGTGGTACTGATACCTATGGCTCGACTGGCATGGGCCGGACCTCAGAGTTCAGCTCCGGTACAGGCCATCAAACGGGCATGGGCCAGGAGACTACGAGCAGTGCATATGGCGGCGGTATGGGCAGTCTCGGTGGAGGCTATGGAACAACCCGCCAGGCTACTGGCCCAGCTCCCACCACGGCCGGTCCCCACAAGTCCGACATGATGAACAAGATGGATCCTCGTGTGGACAGCGACCTCGACAACAGCAAGACCTTTGGAGGCGACAAGACCTATTCGCAGTCGTGAGTGGGGTATATTTTCCTGCCCTGAGGAAGTCATCAACTTGCTAATGACTTCCAGGGACAGGACCACGGCCAAGGATCCCACGGATGCCGCTCAGGTGCCACCTTCAGTCTTGCGGAAGCACATTGGTGAGCCAACTATTGAGCATGGGGATAGCACATATGATCGTGTGCGGAGACACAGCGTCTCTCATCAGGAACAGCATCGTGGATTGTAGGAGTAGGCCGCAGGGAACTTTCTTTTGATGGCTCATTGGACATGCAGTCTGTAATATTATTGTATTTTTAGCGTCAGGTCAATGAAATGAAATTGGAACCCAAGAAAAAAAAGGAATTATGTGAACGTATTCGTCTATTTCTCCGTAGTTTTGGGTCGTTTAACCACATTGTCCAGCGGCGCGTGACTTGCGGCCGCAGAGTCAGTCCAAGCTGCCATGGCAACATGGGTGCCAGGAGGGGAGTGCAATATCTCGTCGCTCACGTCCCTTGTCTTGTTGCTCCGCACGAGAATCCGATCAAAAGAGACACGTCAACATGCACAGACACACTCGGTGTATCACCACGCGTAATTGGCACGTCGTACGAGCTGCTGAGCAGATACCTATGCAACACAGCCAATCGCAGCTGGGAGCAAACAGGATTGATCATCTATCAGACAGCCACGCCGGTGCGGCTGACTTGAGCGAGGTAGGATTGAGCAAGGGATGCATCGGAAGCGGCTATGCCGGCGAGGAGCTGAGAGCGCAGAGCTGTCTCAGTCGGGAGATTTGGGAGGGGACGAAAACCGGGTTTCTGGGTGAAGCTGGACGGAGTTTTAGGCACTCGAGAGGGAGATGCGAAGTCGAGATTTGAGATGAGATGAGCTGAAGGTCACGATGCCAGAAGGTGTACAGAAGGTGTACAGTACAATCGATGTACAGGCACAGGCACAGGTACAGGTACAATCTCATGGCGGGGGATCAATGTTAAGGTACGGAGTACCTACAGAGTGACAACGGCACACAGCGCCAGCCAGCGCAAAACCCCACCTTCTCTCCATGTGCCTGGCCTACCTGAACTCCTCCAAACAACTACAACCCCCACTAAGCCGCATCGCATCGCATCGCATCGCCGCTCAAGATCGGCCTCTCTTGACCTCTTCTCTCCATCTTGGTGGGATCCAGAGAGCCTCTGTACCGTACTGTACCGTACTGTACCGTACTGCTCTGTACTGTATTGTGCTGTAGCCTCCACCGAGCTTTCAACCAGCTACAGTCCTCTCCCCCGGCAGCCAATACACAGTACCCAAAACAAGCTGCTCTAGGCTCCAGTCCTCCGGCTGTATCTGAAGCCTGCCGCAACTGTCGCATTTCGCCATGAATCCGCCATAGCATAGTCCTCACCAAGTCTCTTCCAACATCATGTCCACTTCAGCCTCGTCCATCCCCCAGGCGCTTTGGGCAGCACAGATCCCCCTGCACATCACTCACCGGTCCGCGCCCTCCACGCCATTCATCACGAGCGTCCCGCGCTTCAGCTACCTGTCACTGCTACTGCCGCGCCTGTCGGCCTTCTTCGATGCCCCCTGCTCCAGCTTTCACTTTGAGGATGTGCAGCTAAGGAACCTGGCAGTGGGGTTGCTGGCCGACCTGTACGCGCCTAGCCTGCCGTGGCGGCTGGTGGTGGATGATGGGGTTGCATGGGATATTGGAGATACTTTTCTGAATAGCGTCAAGGAGGTGAGCCTTTCCCCATTCATCCATCCGCCCTTTCTTTTCGGTTCCTCTGTCTTCTTTTGTTTGCTCTTTGCTGCAGGCACATGCTGCAGTACTGCCCCCATGTGCATCGCTTCACACCGGTTCTTGGGACAGCCCATGCTCATGCTGCAGTCAGGCCGACTTTGTTCGCTACGGCAACGCCAATCAGATCATGAAGATGAGCAAGGAACACACCACCCAGCTCTGGAACTCGGTCATTGACAATGACTATGCTGCGTTTTCCAAGATACACACCCGCCTGCTCAACGCCCCAGCCACTCTCAAGCACGCCCCCATTCGGGTCTACATCCCTTCAACCCCCCCTAATGCAGGCGGTGATGGTTCCCCCTCTGCTCCCGCAGCCGGTGAAGCTGGATCTTTCAGGATCGTCCAATCCTTGGTCCCTGTCGTGACACCAGACCGCAAGCCAAAGCTCCTGGGACAGGCTCTCAAGGACTTGATGCCCATGCTGTTTCCCAGCAGTCGAGACCCTGTGCTGGCCAGCGTGGTGCTTCACGGTGTGTCCGCTCCTTTTGATGCCCCATTAGGAGAAATGATGAGGGAAGCTGCATATCCCGATGGCTGGCTTTGCTTCGTGGTCGTTGTCTGAGTTGTCACTGGTTGTAGCTACGCAGCCTCTTGGGAAAGGATTGAGCTTATGGTAGGAGTGGCGTCAAGGATAGGCTAGCGATTTGGATCATTTTGTTCTCTCAATATAGACGGCACTAAGTTTGATCATCTAAGTTCTTCTCCGTAGTATGTGTTTGTTCTTTCATAGTATTTACAAGTCGGGTATGGCTAAGTAAACGTAATCTCTTTACCCATGAGACTTCTATATGCGTTCTCGATAGCTTTCCTCTTTCTTTGCTTTGCTTGCTCATCCACGCCAACATCTTCCTCTTCGTCCACATCCTCTGGACCGGGAAGCTGCGGCATCCACACTCGTATCTGCCCATCCAAATGGGCACTATAAATGGCTCCGATCGAGTTGCCGCCTCCCATGGCAGGCCCAATCTGTCCATTGCCGCCCCCTGCACTACGCCACGCAATGTTTGTGATGCGGTTTCGCCCCATTTCATTGCCTCGAGGTCCCGTGGAGAGCGTAGAGCCAGGGCTTCTCAGGCGGCTTACCACAGTTCCGTCGTGGAGGTCCAAAAGGAGGATTTCCTGTTCGTTCGGCCAGACCAGAAGCTGGCGGCCCGTGGAGAGGCCTGACGGAGTGACCAGGAAACTTGCAGTTTTAGCGTGCTGGTTCTGCACGATGGACCCAAAGCTGGCAAGCGTGTTGGCTCCTGTATCGGTATCCCAAACTCTAACGCGGCGGTCAAGCCCAGCCGACACAATGTACCTCCCATCGTCGGTCCATTGCAGCCCATTGACAGCTTCGTCGTGGGCCTGGGCTGAGACACGAAAATGCGGCATGCTACCCCAGTCGGACCCAGACGCCGTAGCGTGCTTGAAGCGATGCACAATGCCCAGAGAGTCTTCCTGATCGAGCTGTGCTATAACGCCACCAGCGCGCCGGATATCCCATATGCGGGCCTTGCCGTCTGCGTGGCCACTGACGAGGATGTGTTCGTGGCGAGGACTCCACGCCGTGCTGAGAACGGGGCCGCCGTGAGCAACGAGTGCCTGAACAGCGGATCCTGATTTGAGGTCTACGAGCCGGACATTGGAGTGTTGGGTGGCGCACGAGATAAGCAGGTGAGGTGCTATTGGGCTGGAGGCGTGGGAATATACAGTGGCATTGAGGTCGAACTCTGCGGACAAGGCTGCCCGCGAAGTGGCCCACAGCTTGAGCGTCTTGTCGTAGGAGCTAGACAGAAAGGCATCAGGGTCGAACGGGTAGAAGGCCAGATGCGTGATGCCGTGGCTATGCCCTCCGCTCCTGGGACCGCCCGTAGACCGGGTGATGGATCCCACTGGCCGAAAGGTGTGAATCTGGTATGGACTTGGGCAGCTCTCCAGGTTCCAGAGCTTGATGGCCCCGTCTGCACCACCAGAGAGGAGGATGCGGCCGTCAAACTTCTCCAGGGCAAGGCTGCTCACCCCTGCACCGTGAGCACGGAGCCTGTGAGGGCGGTCCTCTAGCACGGTCTGCTGATCATTGTCGGGTAGACTAAGCTCGCCATTGAAGCGGTGTTGAGGGGCTGGTTCGAAGGAACGCAGAAGTTGAGATGCTACGATCTGGGTGAGGTCGCGAGGAGGCAGATCACCCACTTCGCGGGCCAGCAGACGAGACTGCATTCATCTGAGGGGTCTCGGCAACGGACAGTAGGTATGTAGGTATAGGGTACTTAGAGAGGAAACGCTGTTGTCCAACGCCGTATACTGGTACCTACCTGGTACGCAGCTAATAGCAGCAGTACTTTGCGTCGAGAAGCGTGAAGTCGAGATGTCGAGATTGGATGAAAAGCATGGAGCACATGTCACAAGTTGCGCGGGTGATGTCACCCCCAGGCGGTCAGAGGCTAACCCCACATGCTATTGGTGCTAGTACCGCTCCACGCGCAAACTTTCTTTTGACGATATTCTTCCATTCCCATCACTCGCGACGCTTCACTGCCGCCAAGACGGCTGCTGTTCTTCTCACTGACCCCGTCGGTCCATTGCATTAGCTGCCATGATCTGCTCGATACGGCTTAGTTGTCTTTTTGCGGCACGTTGGAACCCGTGAGTAAGGAGGACTAGGCGAGGGATCGTCCTGATTAGGTACATATCAAAGCACAGGCCAAGGGCAAGGTGAGAGGAAACAACAAGAAAAAAAAACCCAAAAGAGAAACTCCCACGGAGAACAAGGAAACCATGGGCTCTACAGATGAATACATGCAGTCGTCTGCCCCCGGAATTGCCGAAATCGGGGATTCGCCGCTTTTGCCGCAGTCCTCCCACGGCCGTCGCCAGGATCAGCGCGTGCTCGCTACCGTATACGACGCCGTCGCAGGTAAGCTAAAGGGATCCGAAATGAGCCTCTCCCGGCAGTTTGGAAATCATCGTCACGTGAAATTGACCGTATGCAAGGAAGGGTCACCTATGATAGAGTGTTGCGAGATGAGGGCCAGGACCAGAAGAAATTTCAGCCTGGGATCATCGACCAGCGCTCGGCCCGAGATGGCTTCAAGCTCGCTCCAGATGATGTCTTGTTTCGCCGCAAAGACGCCCCGGAACGCTATGCGGAGCATGATATCTACCGCGCGCACGAGTGGGAGCTGCCCAACGGCGGCCAGGGCGTCTTGCCGCAGAGCGATCTTCTCAAAGCCATTCACGAGTACTCGTCCGAGTTTTACGGAGCCCTGAACCGCAACCAGCGGGTGCTCGAAAGTGGGCGTAATTTGGACGAGCGTAGCATGGATGAGACGGCACTTCTGGCGCTAGGCATCCTGCTAGAAGAGGCGGGGCGAGAGGTTCTAGGTCGACGAGGGCATCTTGTCTTCACTGAGGGCACCCAGGATACTCATGGCGACAGCAGCGGTGAGCAGGAGTGGCAAGGAGGCAGTGCGGCGCAGGACTCCGGCGGTGATTCTGTGGTGGGCCATGAGGACGTCGGATCCCGACAGCCGGGAAGGAAGCGAAGAAAGCTTGCGAAAGCAGATGACGACTGACTGTAACGTTGGCTCGGCATTGCCATGATGGGAAAATCGTCGTTTTGCAGGGACTCTGCCATGGAAAATCTTGCTTCTCAGCGCAATTAGACGCTCTTCCTTAGTTCCAAGTCGGTCTCGCTGGAGAGGAAGCCAACAGCTCAAAGTGCCGAGACAAGTCCGTAGTTTCGAAGATTGCACACTGCCCGTTGCCTTATCCAGTCAAGCGATAGAAGCGAAGGCTGTTAGATGAAGACCCAAGGCAGGAGATGGCGAGATTATGCCAGTGACTCAAAATACCTAGTGCAGCCGATGGCGAAGAGAGTGTGCTCGTCAAAGGAGCCAAGGATAAACCGTTAGCTCTAATTCGACTAATAATATTATACATGTACTAAATACTGCATGATAAAGATTTCATTTGAATTGGGTGGGCGTGCTCGGCACTGAGGAGCTAAGTAATGATGGCATCTACATTTAGTGGAAATTCTCACAACCCATCCATCATACTGTTATTATTCACGCAAGTGTATTACGACACCCCCATCCAGTGAAGCTACGAGTATATTTCCGCGTCGTAGCGTCGTATTTGCAATAATGATCTACCACTGGAGTACCCATGAGTGGTTGTTGGTTATCCCAAGTAATGGAGCCTCCAATGTTACATTCTATGTGGAACTCAGATTGCCAGCCGAGTACAAATACAGCGTACGGGTGCGCACGTACCGCTTTCGTGTGTCCTCGCAAAGACATTACAAAGCGATTAAGGGGAAGAGGATGCATATACAACTCTGTGTTAGACTCACGCATATTTCTCTTAGATTCAAGAAGCAGATGGGCTGCTCCATATTTGCCTTAGTAACTCAGCGCCTATTACAACTCATTTCTGACATGTGCTTGTATATCTCGCAGATCCTTCTACTTTCCCTTTACATTAATTTCTTCTTTATTCCAAATACATCTTAGGCATCATCTACCGAGCCGGGACGAAGCGCAGCACCACTTCGTGCCCCCAAATTGTGGACTGACTTTAGGTTGCAACTAACACCGCATCCGAGTTGGCACGTCCCGTTTCCCATCAGAGGTGCCGCTAGAAAACAGCTCCATGACTGAACCGGAACCGAAAGGATCTGCTCGAGACCTGCGCATGTGGCTGCTTTGTCTTATTACATTACATGCACAGTAGCTGGCATGTGATGTGCCAAATAAACGAGCCGTCCCTTCCTGTCCAGTGGTTCTCTGAGGCTGGCCAAACAATGCGGCCTCACGAAAAAGCAATAACCGGGTGAATGCAGCAAATGATCGACATTCAGCACGACGTTGCGGCCCAATGCATTCTCCTAGGGAAAATAGGGTACCTCGAAAGAAGCAAGAAAGAGGAAATGCAACAACCCTCCGAGACATGTACTTGAGAACCCCCGGGTCTAAACCTCCGCAAAAGCACGCACACCCTCGCACAGAACGTGGTTGGCTGTGGTTGATACTACTTGGTACAAGTATAGACTCAAGGAAAGATGTGATATGGACAACCTGCATGCAGACCGAATGCACGATGGCGAGGCTAATCACGCGGCCATGCTTCTTATGTGGGTAAGCTGCTTGTTGACCGAGTCTGGCTAACATAGGACGGAGTCACTTCACCGCACTTGGATGTAACACAGCCAGACATCGCGTGCCCTGGACTAGCACCCAATGAACTTGTACTTGTGCAATGCAGACTATGCCGCTCAAAGACGAATGAAATGAGAGAAGAGCATGAACAGAGAAAAAGATAACCAGCAGCCTAAGCAAAAGTGCCTGATATGAATTTGCTGGCTTTTCTCCACACAGCCAAACTGGCAAACGTTTCAAGTCCAGCGTCATGCTGGCAGAGCGCGTGCTCCCAGATCTGCGCTTTCGGCAGCAGACCGAAACAAAACCCACATTTAACAAAATAGAAAGGAAAAAGAGGAAGAGAAAAAAAAAAACATCGCATAGCGCAAAAACCTGTCGAGTCTCGAAAGGGAATACTATGCCCGGTTCAAGGTACGGATCAGTGACCGTTTCCGTTGTGTTAGTCTCTGTCAAATCTCACCTCGCATGGGCCCCACGCTCACCCCCAGAGAGGCTCGTGAACCTCACCTCCATTCCAGACCTCTCCACAGTGACAACTAAAATGGAGAAGAGCAAGAAAAAGTCCAGAATCTACGTCCCTCAAAAGGAGCGTTTCTCTGCAGCCTGCCTTGAAACTCGCATCATCCCATAAACACAGCCTGCCTCTTCTGTTATTATCGGCTAACTTCCCCCAGGTGTGGCAGCCCAAGGATACGCTCGACTAGGGTCGTAGTCCTTCTTAGTCCCAAGCCACTTAAACCATCAAACTCAACGTGCCCGTGCTATTCCGTGGGTTAATGGATTAATGGGTTAATACCCCCCAGAGGTACCCGAGTAACTGTATGCCCGTACAGTAACTTTTGCGAGAAAACGCTAAACCTACCCATCTCATCTCATTTTTGTTGTGTTTTTACCTTTTTGGTCTTTATCCCCCCTGGCTCTACGCTCCACTAAGATACATGTACTTAGGCAGTACTTGTATGCTCCGAAGGAGCGCAGACAATTGCTCCGAACAAGCATCCAGGACCTTGTCCAACCTGTACTCCGTACCTGGTTCTTGTTTTTCCTTGTTGCCCAGTCTTCTCCACACCAAAGGTTAGAGTAATTTCGTTCTTCTAGCAGTGACAGGGAAGCCTGAAAGAATCTTCCTTTTCGCCAAGGAGGACATGGATCTCTGACTGCCATTCGCAGTAAAGGTTCCATCGACGAAAAGAGAAATCCGTCAATCTGACATGAAGCTCACTCTGCTGTACCAGCCCGTCTCATCCGTAGATAGAGCCGTAATTTAACGCAAAACAAGTCAAACTTAACAAGCTTTGACAGAGGAAAACAAAGGGAAGTGGCTGGAGAAGAAAACCGGAAGCGGTTGGCCCCTACCCAGCTTGCCAGCCTAGGAAACATGACGTTCATATCTGTACAAGTGCATGTCAGCAAGCAAACACCTTGTTTCTCCCTTGTATACACACGGTCCTGTCACGTTCGGGTGATTGTGTGCCCATCACCAACAGCATATCTAGGATGTCCCTTGAATGAAGGCTTACGACTGCGGTGAGCAGAGGCAACAGGCCTGTTCGGCTTCGACTTCGGCAAGCTAAAGGGAATCCTTCCATTTCTCCTCCGTAGACGAAACAAAGAGACGGCAGAGAGCTGACTTCGGATAACAGACCCAGAGATGCCTCAAGGAAGCTTGTTCGTATGCTCCGTACCGTGTAAACTCGGTCACCTACGTACGCGTAACTTGGTAATATCTACAGGCGGGCAGGTACACTCGTCGACTAATCAACAAGCTTTCCAACGCGGAGTTCTGCCTTGTTGAATTAGCCCTGTCTCGTTGGATGATCTAGAAATCTTGGCATCTCCTGCCCTGTCACAACCACATCTAGTCCTTGGCCGGCGATGGTCCCCTTTTCAACAACCTCCTTCTGTTTAGGAGATGCTTCCCGCGCGGACTGGCCGTGTACACTGACCGTGCTCGCATCCGTAGATCGTCCACGTGCCCTACGGCAGAGATGGAGCCATGCAAAACGTGGGAAGTGCATAGCAAGATCTCAACTTGCTGGCCGGCATGCTGGGGTTAGCTTGGCGTTCCTCTCATGATACGTGACACTCGTTCGGTAAGCCAAAGAGGATGGGAGCACCTAGACTCCGTATGGTAATCCAATCTTTTTAAGTTAACGCTTCCGATGCTTGGCCTGTGGCCGGCTTACATGCCGTGACTGACAGAGGAACCGGACAAGTTTGGTGTGTACTGTAATGGAAGCATCTGCCTCGATACCCGGTAAGCGGAACCTGTCACTCGGTAGGTATGGAGTACAGACCGGCAGCAAACCATTAGTATACGAGTGGTTGGCTGTCATGCCCGCGTACGAGTACTGTACATGCTGTCAAACCAAGAGCCAGAGCCTATGCACTGTGTAGCCCACGGGAAAGGGACGTCAGCTAATATGCTGAGCACGTTTCACGAACCCAACGCGAACCTGTAGCAGTCGGATGCTTGTTCTCGCCGACCGGCAAATTTGGCCATCAACATCCCACGTCGAAGTCACGCCGTCTCCGGGCTCCCGCGCGCTTCCTCCAGCTGGATAATCTTCCTTCACGTGCGGATATGTGCGTGTGGCCGTAGCGCGTGGCTTTATTGGATGCAAAACCCATCGTCGTGTTGCAGCGACATCCTTCCACGTCTGATGACGAGGTCGAATCAGTGTACCCCATGCCGAATCGCCAGAAATCCACTCGACAAACTCTATAAGCGACGTAGCAAGGGAAACGGTTCGCCAGATGTCGCTATATTGACAATACTAGTCCCGTGGCCGTAGCCGCGAGAGAGCGCTGGTGATTTCGTATCCGCGGCCGTGGCGGCTAGTTCAGAAAGTAATCATAGAGACAGAAAACCTAGCGAGCTAAACGTCTCAATACGATGCTGGGCAAAAGAGCTAGCCCCCACCCACGGAGCGGAAACCAAGATACCAACATTGAAGCCTTCCAACCGCAAAGAGGGAAAACAAAGAAACAGAGAAAAGAAGAAAAAAGCAACGGGAGGAGCCCATATACTACCTTGTCCTTTTTCTTCTGTTCCAATTTTCCTTTTCCCTCGGCAAAATCCAGATGTCAGCTGTCAAATATGACATATGGTGCTTACACGACCGAAACTGTCACTCTGTAGGGATAAGACAAACTACCTGACAAGCATGCCAGCAGGGTCGAAAGGTCGTGGTTCCGCTAGTGTGGCCAGCCGTATTTTGTCGAGATGCAAATTTTAAATTTGAGTCTTTTCGCGTTTGATGGCTTCGACAGCAGCTGACATGTCACATTCCCCTAATCTTTGAATCCCAGCATATTTTCCGACACGCACCAATCCAATGTCAAGGAGGTGACATTGTTGGAAAAACATGACCTCCCGCTACGACAGAGACGAGTGAGGGCTGGATGGCTCGGAGGCGATGCTCATTCCATGAAGGGATTCGGCCGACCCAAGCCCGTGTCCTTGGGGCTGCGCGATTTGACTTGGCGATGTTGCTAAGGGCACCATCTCCATGCTACCCTGGGCGGAGCAGCCAGTCGATTCCTTTGCTTTGGCCCCCACGAGCTCCTGGGCGATCAACCCCTCGTCGAGCTGCTCCTCCTGTTCTCTCGCTTGGCCTTTAGTAGAGGCAAAAAAAAGCAAAAGCTAGGAGCGAGCACATCAGCAGACAAAAAAGAAAAAAAACCTCATGTGGGGAGCTGAGGGAGGAGTTGGATATCTGCTGAGCCTGCTTCTGAACGCTGACTGGCACGCTTAATAGGTCTGGCCTCGTACTGTACGTGTACTCAAGGATAACAGCTCTGTCTATCTCGAACAAGCTGTGATGAGGAGTGGGGGAAGCACCAGAGATTAGGTTGAGTGACATTGGCAGAGCCAAAGTGACGTCCAAGCGGGAACGGGTTCAAAGAGGTACCAGCTTTGTACCGATCCTGCTGCTATTATGTAATGCTCTGCTTGTCAGTGACGACGCCTCGCCTCACGCTTGACGTCTGCCTTAGCAGCAGGAAGACTCCATGACGGAGTCCCTCCTCCGTCATTCGACAGGTTTCTTTTCTCTTTTTTTTTTCTGGGTCTTTCACCATCATGCTAAAATCTAGTCTCAACCGCTCTCCCACTACGTGTAGTCAGCAGGGACGGCACGAGCCTCGTGTTAGCGCTAGCTCCAACAGCAACTTTGGTGCCTCTAATGAAGCTGCAGACGTCACCATTGGATGCGCTGATTTGCCATTTTTGCATCTGGACGGAGCAGAGACAATATGGGGATCGGGGCCGGAACGCCTCGCTGCCGTGGCGCGTCGATTCGATGGCGCTTGAACGAGACAAAAAGCGGCGATGACTGTCATCTTCGGCCCCGATGCTAAGCCCTCGCTCATTTCATTTTCAGTAAAGTGCCTCGTACAGCACTGTCTGTGCCTTGTAGTACATACCTATCTAGTAGTACTAACGTCAGTTGCAACAAGCGGTGTTACGGAATACTATTAGCGGTGTTGCGGAGTACCGCCGTACGATACACAGGCACAGGCCATATTACTTCGTACTTGTACGGAGTACAGTATGCCTGATTACAAACATATTGATGGAATGGCGCGCCGGATGACACCGGCTAAGGAGCAAAGCTGGCCAACCAGCCACAAATGCTCAGCCCGTGGGGAAAATGTCCTCAGACCGGCTGCAGGTCGAGTGCCATGCAGGAACCTGGAGAGCCAATTTTGAATGGACAGACGCGTGATAAGATAACAGAACCTTGAAGGCCACGGCCAAGATGAAAATGCGGTAAAGCAGAGGACCTTGTACCTGGTACGAGTCCATGCACCTTGTTGCCCGCCGCGAAGCAGTCGGTCAGCTCTGCAGCATCGCAAAGGCCTCATCGCTGGCCTTGCATGGCCTTGCAAGTGCCTCTTTTGCGCACAATCTAAACGGCAAGGGAAGGTGCTCCGTACCTACATACCTCTGTACACGTATACTTGTACTCCGTACTGTACATTTCAAGCACTAAAAAATACCCGAAGGGATTCATTGTGCAGGCGACTGAATCATGCAGTAGTTTTTTCCGAACCGCCCAGCTGGGTGAGACAGACGGCCCATGTCAGGCTCATTTGCACCCACAGGAAAAAGGAAAACGGAACAATAAAGAGACAAGTGTAACACAAGAATCCTGCGCACAAGCACAAGCGCACAGAAAAAAAAGCAAAGGCAAGCAAGACATTTCTTACAGGTCATCATGCATGAGACCTGTCAAATTTTTCCGTCTTCTTCTTTCTTTTCTTTTTATAGGCTATTGCTTTGGACGCGGCAACAAACAGCGAGCGAGAATACCTGTGCTATGTACGAGTACTTGCATCTCAAGAGCGAGTGCAATCACGCCCTCGGAGTCATCTCCGAAGGGACGGCCAACGTCCTGCCTCTCACATGAGCGGCCGCCTCTGCGCGAGATTAGATCGTCGATTATTTTTGATTTTTTTCTTCTCGGGGCAGACCAGGGGGTGGCCCAAGGGCATGGGGCCAAGTCTGTGACATCCATGCTCGGGAAATGATGCGGTGAGTAAAGTGAGCCGTTGGGTGTAGGGCATGTACTCGTACAAAGCCACGGTGGTGCAGAGGGGGTACCGTGTACATGGCACTACTACCTATGTACTAGCAGGTCTGCAAAAAAGAAAAGAAGGGACTACTGTAAATCAAGGCATCAAAGCGAAGTTGGCGCGGGACGTGCAGCTCTGGATGTTGTCTGGATGTACTCGAGCTGCTAGCGCTACCTGTCCCAGGACGTGCGCGTGTCAAGACACTCAAGTAGGTAGTACATACTAGTAGTAACATGACATTGAAAAGACGGCAGCAAGGGGGGACACGGCCACTCTGCGACATTCCGGGACGTTTGCGGCAAAGTGAGACCTGGAGACGGCTGGGTTGGCATCATTTGATCCATTCAGATAGGCGCGGCCAAGTACCTGTCTGTCGTTGGCTACTCCCGCTGATGCTGCAGTATACTTTGCTACCAACCTCCCACCAGCAGCTTAGCCTGCACGAAGCGAAACTCAATGACGAACCCGGTCCTGTACTGGTACAAGAAAAGGTACCTACCAGTACAGAGGTACCTACATATGTACTAAGGTAATCCCCTCGTGCGTACAACCGGCGCGCAAAAGGGACTCGAGGCGGTCTGGTGAAATTCCATCGGCGCCCAGGACTAAGGTACTATACCTGGTAGGTGTTTCGTCCAGTGTTGCTGGAGTTGCGAGAGAAAAAATGGAAAGCACTGCATGTACCAGGTACTGATGGGCACGGAGCAGCGCCTCGTATGTGGTACTTCGTAAAAAAAAGTCTGTGCTCTCCTATCTTGGACGAAACGCCCCAGGCAATGATCAATAGTGGATCAAATGGTTGGAGCAACGACAAAAAAAAAAACCAAAGAAATGGAAAAAAAAGGAAATATTGAAGGGCGAATGGTCTGCCCCATCAGACCCTTGGATGCTCAGCTACGGAGCAATATTTGCCCACCTTAAACCGCCCAGCTGATGGAAAATACAGTACCGAACAACCGAACTATGCTAAGCATGAAATTAAGTGAGTGCTCCGGAACGACCTAGCGGGGACCCAGAGGGGGAATGAGCAGAGGAAAAAATTTTCTGCTTTTATGGAGTTTGCACCTTCATAGCTTGCGTCAAGATGCCTAGGTAGATTGGTTTTGGCGGTCAATGCTGTGCTCGTTAGATGTCTCATGGGGCCCGCATGTATCTCCAATGTATCGTACATACTTGCACGCAGCGAAGAGGCAAACCCGTGGTGTTAGTGGCGGTGTTGCCGTCGGATGGCGATCGCCCAGCACGTCAAAGAGTCCATTTGATCAGTTACTCGATTGGTGCTCGTATGTATGGTTGGTTACAGATCCTCGTAATCATAGTACGTACTCGTACAGTACGTATAATACTGGTAGGAGATGAACGTGTCCATCCCACTAGCACCGATGCATCCCGGAAGACGACAAGGCATACAGTACTGTTTGTCTACTCTAGAGGCATCACTACGGCCAAATGAGAGGAGAAAGTACATAGACGTGCACGTAGGGTCCTCAAGTCCCCGCCACGGAAACGAAGAAGAAAAACACCAATCTGGAACGAAATCGCCAGAGGCTGCATCGGGCCCTAGACATTACCGACATTCCAGTCCACTATTTTGGGGTCTCGTTGGTACGGCCAATGTGATAGGTGATACTGCATGTGCCAGCTCAAGGAGCAGCCGACGGACAGGTCTGATATGACACAAATCACTCCACAGATGAGCTCTGCCAAGGAAAGCATGGACTTGTCGATAATGAGGCCGGGTGTTGGTTTGACTCGAGGACCTTGAATAGCCTCGCTAGCGGCTGTTTGAATATGAGTGCCCAAGTAAGCATGCTAGCAGGCTTGTCGGCAACTTGATCGATGCCTTGTCAAGCTGCCGCTTGCATGAATGTCTTTCACGTCTGGTCCTTGCCTCTCCTCAAGCAAGTAGGAGTAACACTACTGTCGGCCCGGATCACTTGATGGAGGGTACCGGCGCAATGGTACCCTTAGGAACTCGCTGGCCAGTAGAGCTCTTCTGGTGACCTCATCCTGGGAAGCCTCTTGATCAATAGGAGCGTCTATTCTAGTCTGGCGGCAACGGCTTTGCCTCTGGAGGTTGCAATGGCGAAAATGGCACGGAGATGCCTTGTCACGGTTGGGGTTGTGGGATGTAGCTCTATCATACTATGCACTCGTAGTGTCATCGGACGCCCCCCGGAGCATTTCATGGCAAGGATACAGGGAGCCCCGACGACTCTTGACTCTGCCTAGCACACGACTAAAGGTCACTGTTCTGTTGCCGCGAGCCATAGCCTCTCTCTGGCGCAGGGACTTATACCTGTCGCTATATTATCGCGCACGATCTTTGTCGTGTGAGAGTTGGTGCTTGTCGTTGGGGTACCGGCATTTTATTGGAGCCGTACACCACTCCAGCCACGGTATGTAGGGTCACCAAGTATGCCGATTGGTCTCTTCTTTTACTTCGTCTGCCGCGCCGACTTACCCTGGACGAATGAAAGTCAACGAGTAAGTAAGATGAAAAAAAGTTCATACGTTACGACGGAGAGGATTTTCCCCCCTCCCCTACCAATAGAGGGGGAGGACAAGGAACATGGGATATTGAACGTTTGCCTTTGGGAATTTGGAATACTGTAATGCGCAGGCTGCCTCGCCATGGTTGCGTTGCATGAAGGCGGACTGACTGCGCTGCACATGTCATGGCACCAAGACAGAGCTGATGGATGGTGGCGATGGCAGCTTTGCAGCACCAGATTCGCCAGCCCTCAGCTACCCAGGCCGGTCCCCCCAGGTAAAACCAGGTAACTGGGAACCGAGCCGCATCGGCTAGCACGGACAGCCCGGCAGACACATCCAACATGGTTTATCTTGGGCGGTAAAGGCAGCTGGACAAGGGCCTGAAATCGCTCATCGTCATATTTGTGTACTGTCATAGTCGCTGGACGGTCACGTCGTGAGAGGCCAATTTGGGGTTCCAGGTTTCAGTGTGGGCTCGCCGAGTGGGAGGCGACAAAGGCACAGCCATCCTCTCTTACCAGTACCCGCACGTATCCTCTTTCTTTTGTTCTCTTTTCTTCTTTTTTTTTGTATTGCCGGCGGGGATGTTGACTTGGCTTGATCTTGGCTCTTCACTATTAATAGGGTGACGGAGGATTTCCACTCCCTTGCCTTTCATCTGCTGTGCGGGCCGTTTCACGAAGCTGCATGAACATGACAGCGTGATTCCACTGCACGGCGCTGAGAAAAAGAAAAAAGCCCCTGGCCTAGTACAAACGGGTAGATGAGGCGCGGTGGTTGGGTGCGAATGCGAGGCTAGCTACGACCACCGGCGAGTGAGAGAGGCTGAAGGACATGTTGCATGCACTGCTATGAATCAAGAGACGAAGGCGAAAAAAAAGAAGAAGAAAAAAAAAAGACTAGAACCCCTCACTGACCCCAAGCCAACGTGTGGTCCGTGTGAGCGTTGGGTAAAACATTGATGCCGCGCCTCGGAGTTTCTGCCCGCCCTGCGTCAACGACTTGCGTCCTTTGCAGATCTTTGTGCACGCTCTTAGACAAATGGTTGAAGACGTCTGAGGGCCAAGTAGGGAAATTAATGCCCAATGAACCTAAAATGCCCGGCGTATCCGTCTCACGTGGAATTCCCCTTGCCTATCTGCCGCGCTAGAGACATAGAGGCCGTTTTTCCCACACACTAAACCAGACTGGCGGGAGTGGCTAAAGCCAATGGGTGCAGGCGCTGCAACGGCTGAGCTGCAAGTGGCGGCAGTAAAACAAGAAGTCGGGAGGCCACCGTTACGGCTTGTGCCCAACGTTGGATCGAGAGAAGCGACGGAGGCAGCTTGTGGGATGGAGGCTTTGCGGTCTGGTGTCTAAAGCCGAGCGCACGTCTTCTCAGCGGCCTAGTGCGCCGAGCGAATTATAGTGGCTGCATGGCCGCGCTACAGGAGCATTTTTCGTTTTGGGTACTCTAGAAGAACCCGGAGGCTGCCCCCGTGCCCCGCCCAGCTGGCAGGCGGCGGACCGCGCGCGGAAGTACCTGCCACGTACTTGGTGCTCCCTCCTCGACACGACCTGCGAACCACGAGTTGGCAGCGCGCACATACAGGCCAAGTACGGAGTACGAGTAACTACAGGCACACGAAAAACAGAATTGTTGCTAACAAACGGCGCCGGCTGCCCCACGCCACCACCACCAGTCGCTGGACCTGTTGCTGGACTTGATGCGGCACGGTCCACTCGTCGGGGCCTCAGCTGGGAGAGCTGACTGGCTTTTCTGGAGCCATCGTGAGGATGAAACCAGGCGGTGGTGACGATGGCGAGGGTTCTAAAGCAACCGTCGAGGCTTCTCCGCCCTCTCCGCCGCTCTAGGGACTGCATCCGGCGCCCGGATCTTACTCGTACGTGCCATGGCTTGACGGAGCTGGTGCGCTCTAGATACTAGCTGGTGCACTATTGCTTTGCTTGCTTTGCTGCTGCTCTCCGTCGGTGTGCTACCAGGCGTCTCCACGGTGTAAATGCAGCTCGAGAGGCAACAAAACCAAGGCATTGGCATCAGGCAGGCGAATTTGTTGCTCGGGACTTTTCACGTTGGGGGTGCCTTGGTGCTAACCTCATGTACATTGGCCTCGGCTCATTTCGGAGAACATTAGTCAGATATTACCGCTGTATACGGGGCGGCTAGCGAGATGGGCCAAGAAAGGAACGACGACGATGAGAGACAAGGACAGGAAGAAAAAAAAAAGATGACGGGAATGATGAGCATAACAAAGACAAGCAGTAGAGTATGACGGTATAGTGGCCGTACTGTACTGTAGCAGCATTTGTGGTAGTGGCGGCACGGAGATACGTACAAGCGCCAGTACGAGTACTCGTACACACACGTAGTCGGAGAGAAGGCCGGACATGCGCAAACCTCCGTCCCAATGTCGTTTACTGCACGCTTCTGCTGGTACTCGCAAAGTACATGGCTCTGGCAGGACAGCGGGAGCCGCTGACACGAGTACATGCAAAGTATTGGCAGTATTAGGTATTTGATCATAAGGTGCAGTACCTGGGCCAGGATTGGAGCGCTCGCAAGTAGTACTGTGCATGTACGAGTACCGGCCGCTAGTGCGTGCGGAGCAAATTTGGAGCTGCTGTATCACCATCTTTGTTCTGTTCAGGCAGTTGGAGGTCTTGGAGCGCGAATGTACCCAAGTACATGCCGTCATGTCCAATCGCAGGCGGTCGTGGTCCACGCGACTGGCTGGAGTCCACCCTCATCCTCCTCCTCCACCATGTGCCGCCTTTTTTCTTTTTTTTGTTTGTTATTTCCTTTTTCTTTCCCGTCTGTGTTGTCGGTGGTGTCCGAGTAGTTGATATTATTGCTGCTGCTGCTAGTGTTGTTTTCCCGCCACTCCAATATTTGCTACAGTATTGAGTACCTACATACTCCTAGAGCCAAGGAGGTGCTACTGTGCCTTCTCGCACATACTGCCCAACCTGTCTGTACCCGTAATCCATCCTTTTTCTTGATGCCCTGGCCCGCAGCCAGCCATCTCCAAAATGACACCCTCGCTCGCAGCTTGTTGTGATCGCTCCCACTCCCAGCCCCTGGTCGCCTCCGAGTTTCTGGGCAACTGTTCCATTGGGTGCCAACCATGAATCCCCCCGGCCACTGGGCGACGTATGTATTGCCGCTTCCTGTCTACGGCCAGGCCATGAACAAAAAACAGCCAGACGCAGCGCCAAAGAGCCCGGCAGACAGCAGCCAGGGATCCCTTGCTTGGCCTGTATCGCCGACATCATCCCACAGCCTCTGGTGTTCTCGCCGCAGTCCCAAGTTTGAACCCTGCAACGAGGCCCCGGTTTCTCGCAAGCAAACCCTGCGCGCCCCACAGCGCAACATGTACCTCCCAGGTAGTACGACAGCTAATTGCTAGCGTGTACCTGGGAGCTTCTGGAGCTCTGGTGGCGTCAGCGGGCCACATGCGCGCGCCCCCCCAGAATGCCAAAAATACGGACAACGGCATGTCGAGGTACCTCGCCAGGTACCTGACGCCAGCCGACACCCTCGCTGATTAGCCTGGCGCTGAGTCGGGGTACCTGCCAGGATGGAGGCCATTCTCGGGCTCTGGACCAGCGAGCGGTATCAGCATTTCGTCTCACCTGGACGCTGGAGCTATTTTTTTTTTTTTTTTTTTTTTTTTTTCTACTGTCCGTCCATACCATGCCATGCCATGCTACGGCATCCAACCTCTTGCTTGACGTCTTGTGCTACCACCACCCTCTCCCTCTCTCGCCCTCTCACGTCCCTCGGCCGGCCTTGTTCGATTTGACACTCCCCCCCCCCCTCCGCCCATTTGCCCGTCATCGTCGTTCGTTCGCCTAGGCGGCTCGACCTCATCGGGCAGGATTGGCTGGGCTGCAGGGTTCTGGGTACTTGGGAACTTTGTCTCTCTCGCCTTGGCCCTCTTCCTTCTTTTCATCCCGCCCCCACAGGCTGCCGGCAACCGGAGGATAGCTTGGTGAAGCTCTGCTCTGCTCTGCTTCTCTCTCTCACTCTCTCTCTTCCTTCTCTCTCCTACATCCTGCTGCCCAACGAGAGGCTCGTCCTGGTTGATCGCCCCCCTTTGCCGCGTTCGCGTTACTGGGTTGGGGCTAGGCCAAGCCGTCAATAGCCCGCTTCTCACCTCGACTATCAACCGACGTCCTCTGTCCTGTACTCGTACCTGTATACCTGCCCGTATACCTACACCTGCACGTATACCTACACATACACCTATACCTTCAAGTCTCTCGACGGCGGCAACTCAGATGTCATCATAGTCGCCCTAATCGTGTGAGGCTCACCCACCCCATGTCCTCCCTGGTTCCCGGTCTCCCGCTGCCAAAGGTCCAATAACCAAGCACCGCTCATCAAGCCCTCCGGGCTTCACTCCCCCGGTGTCTGGTGTTTCGCCTCCAGCCCATGGCCAACACCCCTCTGTGGTCCTTGCTTTTCTCTTCGCCTCGTTCCTGATTATGTGTCCGTGTGTCCTAGCTTGTACTGTCTCTACGTCAAGCCAGCATGGATCCAGGACCCGACAGCAAACGGCCGCGCCTCACCTCTTGGGCGGGTGCCGGGCCGCAGCCCACTACGTTGCCGCATCCTCATCATCATCCTCTTCCTCCGTCACCTCATCACTCTCTTCCTCATCCTTCTCACGCTCCTCATGCTGCTTCCAATCCCCAGCTACCACCGCCGCCGCCGCCGCCGCCTCCTCCTCCCCAAGGCTCATCTCACCACCATCACCACTACCAGCCATACCCGTCTCGTGCCCCAGAGCTGCCTCCTCCTGCGCCGCCAGCACCGGCGTCGGTTCATGGGCATGCTCAGCAGCACCCTGAGATTGACCGTCGACACTCCGATCAAGAGATTCTCGCTCCCATGCAGGACCCGTATCGCCAACCGCCGCCGCCGCCGCCCCAGCATCATCCGGGACCTCAGCACCCGGGACCGCAACTCCCGGGGCCTCAGCATCCTATGTCGCCCGCGCATACTCCCTATCACCCATATGCCAACCGAGATACCATCATAAAACGAGAGCCTGGCGAGGATCTACGGAGGCCCAACTCGACCGGCCATGCGCCAGAGTCGCTTCCGCCGCCACCACAGATGGCACCACCGCACCCTCAGCAGCAGCATCCGCAACAACATCCTCAGCAGCCACAGCAGCAGCACCCTCCGCCCCCATTCCAAGATAATCCTCCGCCACGACACATGAATTACGAGAATGGACCATCGTTGCCCCCGACTCCCTCAGCCTACCGAGCTCCCAGCTTTCCCCCCCCTCCTACACCGATGGCGCATCAGTCTTCCTACGAACAGACCCCCAGCTACCAACCCGCGGAACCCTTCTACGGTGTTTACTCGACCCAGAAAAAGAAGAATACCAGAGCTTCACAGGTCTGACTTGGCCCCCCTTATCACTTTATTTTCTTACGCGTGGCTGTGTGGGACTCGGAAACTGACCCTTCTTAGGCATGCGATCAGTGTCGACAACTGAAAGCCAAGTGCGATGAGACGAAACCATGCAAAACGTGTAGAGATAAGGGCACGGAGTGCAGATATCGCGACCCCGTGCCAAAAGCGTAAGCCGCACCGGACTTTTTATCATCTTCGCCTTCACCCCCCCCCAGTCTTGGCCTTTTGAAAGCGAAATATGATGGTAGGCTGACATAAATTTGATGTATAGAACCGACAAAGCGCAAGCCGACATTCTGGATGGCATCTCAAGCATGCAGTCCACGCTTGCTAACCTTGCAGAGCGCTTCGGACACATGGATGACAGGTTGACTAAGATGGAAGTAGTCTTCTCAAGGACGTCAAGCTTATTTCAGCCTAAACGAGATCCCAGCCATGATCCGGAGCTCAAGCCCATGTCAATACCTATTCCGAGCTCACCACATCCGCCGGACGAGTACATGGCGAACCGATCACCCGTGGATGAAATTTCCCGAGACCAGCCGGTACTGTCTACTGAAACGGTACCCGCAGAATCGGTGCCAACCGAACCTGTAGCCACCACATTCATGGCCGAGGACGAGATAGAGGCGGAACCTGGGCCTCCTGTGCCCCCAGGAGAGCCTGCAATCCCCATCAACCATACTACTTTGGCCGGCCTTCTTCTTGATTGGGACCCTATCAGAGAGCTAACGCGGAACCACCTGGAGCGCGAAGGCATCAAGTTTGTCAGCGAGTATCCCATCAGCATAGAGCAGAACCGCGGAATCTTGAAGGTATACGGGCGAGGAGAAGACGCGCATTTTCGAGTTTCCAGAGAGGCAACAGCTGATCATGGCAACGTTGATATGGGCGACGACAACATGTCGGACATTGTCTCCTCTTCTCCCGCTGCGGATTGGGGCCAGCTAGGCGGTCTTAGTCCTGGCGATCAGATCGAGTATCGAGGTGGCGTTCTTGGCTCTGACGGAAACCCGGATTTCAGCGAGCACAAGATCGCGCTCTATGTGCAGAGCTTCAAGGACAACATTTTGAACATGCACCCCATCATTCAGCCAAAAGTGCTGGACGAGTGGGTCGCGCAGTTCTTGAACGATCTTCCCACTGCCAACCCGAAGCCAAAGCCCCAACCTTTGAAGTCGGCCTTCGCTGTCGCTCCGCCACAGCCACCTCCACCGCTGGAGGTCACGGGCTCCAAGAGAAAGCGAACTCCAGAGGCGGATGGGCCTTCAACGCCAGGGCCTGTTCGTGTTGGGAAGCCGAGCCGCTCTATCCACAGCGCGCTGGTTCTCATCGTCATTGCTCTCGGCAAGGTCTGCTTGCATCAGGAAGATGTTCCTGACGTGATTTTCCCTGTCGACCCGATCCCTCACGGGAGCCCAGTCAGTCGCAACGGAGTGCCTCCATCGCCAACACAGGGATCACCTCCGGGATTCTCATCACACTCTCAATCCTCTGGTTTCCCCTCGCCTAGGGATCAGGAACGTGGCTACCAGAGCAGGAGATCATCCATCCACGGTGCCAGTGGTACTGTTCGCTCAGGGTATAGTTTGAAAAAGAACTATGAGGTTATTCCTGGTTTGGAGTACTTTGCGTTGGCAACTGACATTCTCGGAAACCACACGGGCGCCTACCATAATATGAAGAATGTCTACGCCAACATTTTTGCTGGATTATATCACGGCCAGCTCGCACGCCCGCTGGAGAGCTTTGCATTTATCCACAAAGCAAGCCACAAGCTGCAAGTCATTATGCGACCGTAAGTCTCACCCTTTGCTTCTTTACTGCAATCACAGTAAACACCGATTCTGTTTAAGGCTATTAACACATTTTTACAGGAGCTTGGATAAGCTACGGAGAATAAAGACCAAGATGGAATTTATCCAAGAAACAAAGTACAACCAGCTTGCGCTCGCCTTTTGGACGTGTCTGCAGCTAGAAAGGTAAGGGACGGACACGTATCGTGCAGTTGTTTGGTACTAATTCGTATTCGTCACAGTGACTTGATTGCCGAGCTCCCACTGCCACCGTCTGGCCTTTTGCAGTATGAGAATGACATGCCCCAGCCCAACATGAGTCTTTTGCAAGGATTCGATCAACGAGTTGTGGATAGCTATCCCGCGCAGCTCTATCTCCGGACGCACTTGAACAGCATCCACCGCATGTTTTACTCCCCGGATGATTCCAGTAAGCCCGAGGGCCTCAAGAACGTGGAGTTGGTGGCGGGTGGTGTCTCCGGAATGCGTTGGGTCCCGGCCAGCTTCCGCTTCAATGAGTCGGACCCCCCTGCACATGACATTCTGTCAGCGCGTCTGAGAGCCAAGTATTGGGGAGCACAGATGATTACGTATCGGCCATTTGTTCGACAAATCCTCCAGTGGTCCTTTGAGGTGAAACGTCACCCCTCGAGCCCCCACATCCCTGTTATGTCAGAATACCGCGATGGCATCATCGCGCCGTATATCCGCCCAGATACCAAGAAACCAAGCCAACTAGATCCTTCCATCATTGAGCTGGCTCGAAAGGGCATTGTGGCTTTGATTGAAAGCACCAAGTCGTTTCACGGGCTTGGGGATAAGCGACCTATTATCACTAACGTGTTCGGCACGGCGCATGCGTAAGTTTGCATCCACCATGACAAAGGTGAAGTTGAATCAGATTGTTTACTAACATGACTGGTATAGGCAATGGGGCAATCTTCTCGTTCTTTCAGCAGCCTTCAAAGATCCCGTCTTGCACAAGTTTGTAGACGACGGGCTTTTACGCAACTTGTTTACCAAGACGATTGCGTTCCTCCGGCAGTCGGCAACGCATACGAGCTCTCTGAGGATTGACATGCACATCTTGGAAGGACTTCAGCGAGACCTGTTTCCAACGGATGGAAGAACAGCTTCGAGTTTCTCCTCCAGCAATCCAAGCCATCATACCCCCAAGCTTCCGATCGCAGCACCACCCTATGCTAGCGATCCTAATATTGCACCGCCGATGGTGCCACAGCCACCGCCGCAGATCGGATTGCCCTCGGGGCAGTAAGAGAAAACGCCAACTTTCTCTTATCCTCCGTTTCTTTTATGGACCAACAAAGTCCCTTGATATCTTATTTCCTTGTTTATTCTTTGGCAAAGTTGGGTGGCTTAGCTCTGTTGCTTTTGTAACTGTGCTTCTTTGACCAATGGCGAAATCTAGGGATTATCTTGTTTTGTCTCTCTTACAACTATTTACATGAACTTGAACGGGGAAGCATTCAGTGGACAATACAAAGACGTTTGAATGGGCGGTTAGCTCAGCGATACGCCGATATTACGGTTGACGGCGCAGCGCAGGGCGCGACGATTGCATCGTACTGCGATTTTTTGACTCGTATTTCTCATTTGGATATCATTTACACGCAAGGCATAGACCTCATTGATGGTCTTCGGACCATGTCTCTTCTTCTTCTTTTTCTTGCTAAACCAAAAAAAAAAAAATTCTGAAACAATCTAGAAGCTATCATTTCAAAATGTATCGCTGCTACTTCATACAATGTATCGAATACTCTGTTCCAGGACTGGCGCTGTCGGAAAGCTAATGCTCACTTTACCGTTTTTACGTTTTTTGTTTCATTTTCTCTTCCCCTTTTACACAACTATTACAAGCCTTGGATGGATTTGGAGGAGATACCACTCTGCATGCAAGCCACCACGCGTATCCATGACTTTTAAGGAATGGCCGACGGTGACAAGGGGAAGGGGGAGAAGGGGGAGGAGCGGTTGAATGGACAAGGGGGCGAAGCGATCATTTGCATGCGTCGTAACATTGGGTACTTCGTTCTGGGAAACTAGGGATAAAGGGAATCATGGATCTACTCTTGTTTTGTTTTGCTCTCTGTCGAGAGGGAAAAGTGAAGGTGGCATCATGGGGCCATGAATGAGGATTTTATGGTGGCTGCATCTATTTATCAAAGGGGCCTGTCGCCACATATCCGATACGCTATTTACACCCAAACATATATAAAGTATATACATAATATTCACTCCATACTAGGTATGATTTAAGCTTCTTGTACAAGTATATCGCTGCTGGTGTTTGTCGATACGAGTGTGTTGCTTGTTGTCGCAGTTAGTGGACTTTGCTACATGTACATACTGTACAGAACCAAGATATGTATTAGTCCATATGAGACTTGACCTCGGCACGAAAGATCCGAGCCTTCAAGGACGATCAATGCCATGTGCTGGGGATTTGGTGGCAATAATGATTGATGTTCCTCGTCTAGGCCGGGGTTACCGTGGAGGCGGGTCTGCCAGGGTGTAGCGATCAGCATTTTCTGGTCTCTCCCTCTCAACCCTCTCCGGGAGTATCCATATCTACGGAGTATGTATGTCTTATACATGTACATGCACACCCGGTCCCCCTTTGTTTACTTTACTTTTCATATATTTGTACAATATTTGCTTTCCATTTGGGCCATCAACCTGGAAGTACCGGCACAGACCGTTTGATGCAGGGCAAGCTGGCAGTAAGCAGACATATTATTTCCACAATAAAACGCCCCTGACCATGTTACTCCTGTGTCCCAGCCAACCACCGCAATATCCGCAAAACGGCGGGAATGGGGGGGGGGGGGGGTCTTTGGTCGCCTACAATAGTCACGGAGTAAACTTTGGTAGCCATGTAGGGAAGGATGCAAGTCGACACAACAACAGGAGTGCACTTTTGTGGACCGTGTATCGAGAGATCAAAACCTGGCGTGTTGGAGCAGGGGTTTTACGTCGCTTGGCGGCGGCTGATTATCCTGATAAGAGAGGCAAGAAGGAGAAAAAAAGCCTCGTTATGCGTGTTATGCGTGTATGTGTGTGTGTGTGTGTGTGTGTGTGTGTGTGTGTGTGTGTGTTAGTGCGAGCAGGTGACGGGATTGACATGATAAGAGCATTTGGGTATGCATTGCCAGTTAGTTGGATAGAGCGGGGATCAGAGAGGGACGACGGAGCTTAGAGCTGACCCGACCGACTGGACAAGGGCAAGGGGGTCTTGGGGAAAAAAATTGGAGGAGAGCAAGGGGAGGGCAAAGTGAGGAGAGGGTTTGAGTCAAGGTTTGCCGCCGTTTTGGAGGCTGGGGGCCCTTTTCACTGCAACTATCATGGGATTGATGGATGGATGGATGGATGGATGGACTTGTACATGTACATCCATGTGGGATGTCCCATTGCTCTTTGCCATTTACTCTTTCTCCTTTCTATTCCCGTGAGCGCCCAATGCTAAGTAAGCAAGGGGGATGCCGGTACAGGAAAAGAAAAGGATGAAAGGATGAATGGGTGAATGGCTTGTAGCATGTGCCGAGTACGAGCCCCATGTGCCGAAGCGAATCGCACGCAAGGTAGCATTGGGATTGATACCAAGACGCAGTATGCAGTGCGGGTGAGTGTGCGAGAATGTCATTGGCCTGTTCTTGAAGCAACGAGCAGATGCGTGCCCTGTTGATTCGCGACAAGACGGCGAAACATCAAAAGATGGTTACATGTGTTCGTGGAGAAAGGAAGGGGTTCCCGGTCTGTCGAACATGTGTGGCTTTGGGAAGCCCGGGAAAGAAAGCAACAGCTTGCATCATCTGCGATTTCTGGCCCATCCATCTAACGCCGTTGATGTTTTGATTTCAAAGGCCTGGGCCTTTGGAGATTTGTCGGGGCTGGTTTCAGCCACCGTCTTGTGTGGTGGCTGCGGATGTTCATGTGAGGACTGCAGGCTGCATGTACATGCCAACCCGCGGTGCAAGGTACCCTCCCAGAGTGACATTGTAAGGGCGGCGGGAAATATTTAATTTGTCACGCACAAAGAAGGCTCCCAAGAACGTTGCAATTGGGCCCGGTGTGGGCGAACGGTTGAAGGATTCCGCGATGGAGAAACGGAGCCGAGACGCCAAAACTCGGGTCCTGGGGTGTTGGGGCTTTGCCGCTTTGACAGATACCACGGAGATTACTATTCAAGGATACAACATGTGGGATGGGTTTCTGGGAATTGAAAATCTGCACTAATGTAAAGACGGGGTTCTAGGGCTGGATTTGGAAATGCCCAGTGAGCTGGATACACCCATTGGAGGAGGCTTGGAGGTTAAAGGGGGGGGAGGGCGTGTGTGTAAGTGAGTTGTGGGCATTGTTGCAATGCTGTGTTTGACGACTCTGTGCCGTCTCTACCTGTGCCAAGAAGGTGTTACTACTGGGATTACTTTGTAAACTCTGCAAGCTAGGAGCAGAATGATTATGTCCGGGTTACACTCGTCAACACTCTGTTGTTAGATTCGTGTTGGCCTCACAGATTGTCAATGGAATAGGTAGTTGGCGATGAGACAATCGGCTCGCTAAAGGGAAACAAGTTGACGAACGAACCTGGTGCTAATTGAAGGGCCGAGGTATGATGGGTTTGCTACAAGTCTACTTGTACTGGTATTTCCCGAGGGTCGTCCAGCTCGGCAATAGAGAACCCCGACTAATGCCGCTCAACAGGGCATCAAAACCACAAGGTTGATTCGTTAGCGGACTGGGGTCTGCTTAATCTGATTGCTGCCTTCGCTAATACAACAGATGGAGAGAAGAAAAGAAGAGATATGTGACAGCGAGTTCCGTGGTGGCAAGGTCTAGATGAACGCGTACCTATTCAAGGAGGTATCATTGAAAGAACCTTTGCCGCGCATCTTTTACTCATAATGGCACATATCACGAGGCCGACTAAAGAATTAGTTTGCTGTCGGGACATTTCCGTGTGTGTTTTTTTTTTCAAGGATCAACCGAGTTATTTCTCTTCGTCCTTCGTCACTGCCTCTCTCTTTTTTTTCTTACAGGTAACAAATCCCAATCGCAAATATAGTTAGGCGAGATGGGAGAATCGCTGTTTAGTGCCAATCATGGATGCGTTTATTCATCGGGCGCCCTCCGAAATCGTACGAGAATGACAGACGAGATGAGTTAGCAAGGAGCCGCCGTTCAGCTCTAGTGTAGACGACAACCGCAAGCGCGTTTCTAGGTTGAGCTCAGACCTCCCGTATGCCGCCTACTGTAACACCGAGTAACTGTAGCTAGCGGCATTGATTCGAAGGTGAGGCTGTGATTAATGTCCTCTCGGCTTTAAGCCCAGCTCCGTACCAGTTTGTTTTCCTCTTTACTCTCTTTCTCAGCTTACATACGCGCGGCACTTGCGCGGTAAGGGGAAGTTTCTGGTTAGTATAAGCGAACTTTAACGAGACTTTTAATTAAACCCCGCAAACTATTTGTCTGTCTGTCTGCGTTATCCCCATGTATTTACTAGTTGGTGGCACGGAGTCCATGTTTTTGGGCATCTTCTTCATCTCCCCGCTAGCTTGAGACGATCCCTCCAAAACAAAACGGCCCGTCTGTGGGTGAATGTTACCAGTGACATGGTCTTCGGCGTTACGTAGGGGCAGAGAGTTTTTATGCCTCAAGTGCCAGCAGGGGATTGCCTTGCGTTTATTTCTACCCTCGATCAGGCCTTTGTGGTGGGTGTCGATGAAAAAATAATTTTACCAAAATCTAAGACAAAGAGGCCCGGGCAACCCCGTAGATGCGAGGCATGCGGGCAAGGGATGCGAGGATCAGGTTCCTTGGGGTTTAGTTTCCGGGCATTTGGATTTCCCTGGATATTTTCCGGGCCCTGAGATGGCCTGTGCCGGCTATGTACTCTTGCTTGCCGTGGGACCAGGATGGCTGGTCTCGAACAGCTCTTGATGCCATCGCGACTAGCGATGACTGGCTGGTGACGGTATGAGCACTAGGAGCCATGCAACACACCACATTGCATGAGACAATGCTACGCAAAGCTAGGCATCTATATTACTCGTGTCTCTTGTTTCTATTCATGCTACTCGATTAGTCGTACCGGTACCTGCGGATTCGCGCTCGTTGCCAGAGAGACAAGTCGCACATTTTGACTGCGGACAACCCACCGGCAGCCCACCGCCAGTTGTTTTATGCAACGTCATTGTAATCAGATGTGGCGACAAGTCACCTCTTGAAGCCGAGGGAGAACTCGTTTGCCAGCTCCTTCATATATGTACACATACCTTTTTGAGGGATGTGGTCGAAACTGGGGTTGGTTCGGCGGCGGATATCGGACGGGCCGGGTCGTTTTATGGAGCTGGGTGGAGAGACGCAATTTACGTTGGATTTCGCAGAGCAAAGGAGGCGTTTTGCGATTAGATAATCGTTCTATAATTATACAAAGTAAATTCCCTGGGGTGTGATTGGACGTTTGAAGCCATCGTGGGAACATTGAATCCATAGGGTGATTGTGTTGTCTCGCTTGACCAAGGCCTTTTGCTCTTGAAGCTCTTGAGCAGCTCTTAGTGCGAGCTCTTTACCACCTGGCTTGTTTGCATGGCGTCCCGGCTTCTTGGATTTTGCCTGGGGCTGAAGGCTGACATTTTTTGTCTGTGCATCTTTATTCTTGAGGTTATGCGCAACTGCAGGCTTCTTCACGACCTTCTTCACAACCACGATTTCGGGGTTAATGAGCTTGCCTCTTGCGTTTGTAAGGCTCGCCGAGTATGCCACCACGCTAGCAATGCGCTTTTGCATCCTTTGTCTCGCGAAAAAGCCAAGCTTCCGGATTTTTCTCTGAGGCAACAGCATCTTGGTATTATGCCAATGGTGAAGATCCTCAAAGACGTAGTGGGAGGTTGAATCCTGTATTTCTCGACTCTCATTCAGTTGGATATCCTTGAGAAAAGTATCAAGCACGGGGTGGCTAAACGGCAAAGCCGATACTCGCAACATATTCGACTCTCCTGGAGGCGTTTCGTCCGAAATATTGGTAAGTTGGGGGAGATGCTCTGGGAAATGAGTATCTGTTCCTGCGCGAAAAGCTGTCCAAAGGTGTTGCCACGACTGGATGATTTGACTAGGAAGCCGCTGGCTAGAGCGGAGAGACTCGAGCATAAAATGGAATAAAGATCCATCAATGGCATCATACAGATCCCATTCGTTTTCCGAAATATTCATGCTGGCTAGCCACTCATCGTTCTCCAGCAACCTCCATGACAGTTCAATGACCTGACGCAAGAATTCACGGTCTTCGGGGTATAGATGGCCACATTGTGGTCCAACCCAATGCTGACGCTCAAGCAGAGTACAGTGCTTGAGGACTGCGAGATGGAGAAGAAACGCTTGTATTCTCTCGTCCAGGCCAACCTGAGCCACCAAGTTGCCCTTCAATAGCTTGACTAGAGATTGACAGGCCGTAATGCCTAGACGCTCTCGAATGGTCAAATGCTGAAGCTCTATGAGCATAGGCTGGATACAATCATTCTTTTGATCAAATAGTGGAGTAAATGGTGAATCGAATTCCATTAGAATGGACAATGGTGCCAGCTGCACAGGCGACTTGCTTAGCAACGCTGCATATGCCTAGAGAAAATGCGCAATATCAGTTTCAGATGCTCACACAACGAAGGTCACACATGCTACCTTTGAACTCTTCCACTTAAGCGAGTTGATAATGGCTACATTCTTGCCAAGAGAGATTAAATAGCGTATAATATACCGCAAGATGGTGGCATCCTTGGCATCTTCTGAATCATCCCCATCATGGCATAAAACAAAATGAATGGGCAAACCCTGGAGGTAATTGCTGAATTCCTGGCTGCGAAGGGAGTCAAATTCTAAAATAGAAGATCGTGTACCAGACTTGTTGGCACATTCTTTAGTATGTCTCTGCAGATGCTTGATAATCACCCTTCTTGCGTATTGATATTTGTATTCGAAGCCAGAGAGACGAGGAACGCAAAGATCTCTTAGGTCGCGGAAGAAGACGACGTCAAAGTCGCATCCTCTCTTTTGAAGATTGCTAAGGAACCGTTCGACAAGATATACAGCATGCAGCAATTGGAACCCATCTATGGGCTGTTAGGTGGCTGCTACGATGGGCATCGGGGGGTTTCTTCATCATACCTTGAAAATCGGCGGGTGACTCTTCAAGACAGTGTCGAATCAGGGACTCGCCATGAATAAGGAATGGCTCTTTGCCGGCAATGTCACCGATCAGGTCGACTCTAGGAGCCCACACATGGGCGTACCACGACCGGAGTCGCTGTTCTGGGGTTTGAGACTCCATGGCATGAGCAGGTTGATGCACAGATCAAGATTCGCTATTCCACTGCGAGGCTTTAGAAATTATCCGAAAGAGATGCAAATAAATGCTGGTGATGTGAGACACAAGGTGTGTAGAATTTGCTGTTGGCAGATGTGGAAGGAAGACTGATGGTTTGATGAGAAGTAAGGGAAGAAGAAAAATAGCTTCAGGGAATATATTTTCGAAAGGGATAAACATATACAGGTGAATTAGGGCTCCAGCGCTGCATTGGCGAGTCGCAACGGGGAGGCCTACAGGCGCGTGACACCTGTCTGCCGGTTGACAGGTGCAATGGATGTACCTCCAGTCTCGCAGCCTGATTGCATATGCAGATTCGAACCAACGGCACGGGATTGGCTGTATTGAATATTTTGCTTTCATTCTATGCGGGAGGCATCGTAAGCTAAAGATAAGGATTGTGAGGGAATTGTAGCACAAGCCCATTGGTTGGCTTGGGCATTATTACTTCTCCCAAGTGTGCGGCGCAGAATCCAATTATTGAGATGGATTGATGTCCATATCTACATCAGCCTGATACAGCATCTTGTATATTGCCAGCACATACCTAAGGTATAGTAACACAAGCACGCACTCATGACGACGCAAATGTGATGTATGTGGACTAGTCATACTGTTGGAATTTTTCCCTGGAAAGTAAAAATAGTATTTACTAATCAAAAGCAGCACTCTCATGTGCCTTAAATACTTGAAGTTTCTTCTAAGTCAGTCATTGAGAAGCTTTGTGTAGCAGCAGCTAAAGGTCTGACATTGCAGTGTGAAAAAAAGATATGTTGAAGTGATCCGATGGTAACTAGCGGGTTTGTAAGGGGCTGGCGATCGAGAGACCCGCGAAAAGAGCTGAGATCGTTGCCCCAGACTTCATCTTGAAAGTTTCTAGTAGCGTTATAGTTTGTGACTTAGAAGTAACATCTAAGACTCTCAAGTGCCGGCTGCTACGACGAGGGGATGGGCTTGAGTTTTGTACACGGCGTCCATTTCTTGTAAAATATGGCCGCTGCAGCTGTACTTTATTAAAGAGGAAGGTTGCAGCGAATCCGAAGATTTGGTAGAATACAAAGACAAATTAATACCTACCTAGTAGGTAGTAAGCAAACGTGTAGCCGTCCTGTAGATGGCGGGCATGTATCCTGGGACCTACTATAAACTGGAGCGCTTCTTGGCTTGCATATAATGGAGAGTTTGATACTACAGTAAGTTCGTATTCTCTATGTCATTATTATTTAAATACCTAGTTAGAAACTTGTCCAAGGCAGAAGGCGATGCTACTCCAAGCAGGAGGGATTCATCCTGGCTGGGGTTACCACCTCCTGACAATCACAGACACAAAATCATCAGTATACTGAATCTTTTTACGTTGTATTACTTATCTCGACTCAGATAGACAAAATTGACAATAGAATTCCCAAGTTTTATACGAACGAGCATTCGTAGCCTTGAATGATGCCGCCAAAACGCCAAACTATACCAAATGCTCCCGCCTCCTTTTCCTCCCCTCATATAATACGTCCCAGGAGCCCTGCACTATAATATGCCGTATCTCTTCCCTTTATATCGCCCCCATCATCAAGCTCTCCAGCATGCCCCCACTCTGGCAAGCCAACTGTGCTCTCTCAACCTCGAGCTTGACTCTCCTGTGCAAAGTCTTGAATCCTTGATGTAGCTCCGCTGAGGCACCAACGTACTCGGCGTACAGGTCCAACAAGTGGATGCCAACTTCGACACAGATGCTCACGTAGCGTGGGTCGCAGATATGCCCGCATACCCACTTCAGAACGGGCTGCACGCTCTGCTCATCGCGGTTCTCCAGCGCATCTCGTATAGCTCTGCGGTGACGAAGCGCAAGCAGCAAGGTAAGGACGTTGAGGGGCGCGTACTCGGGTGACGAACGGTCAATGACTTGGTCGAGAGCTTTGGCATAGCGGGCATGGCGGAGGTCGGATTGCCATGGTCTTTCCTTCTTCTTGCTGACGCGGCCTTCATTGGCAATGACAACGTCTGCGCCCTCGCCGAGCAGATCAAGGCGCTTCGTGGCTTCGATGCGGCGCTTGCGCTTCTGCTTCTTCGCATCAAGGGAGTCGATAGTACCGGCAACGAGAGCATCCATTTCCTTTTCTCGCTCGCGCTCACGCGTGGCCTCGGCGGCGGTGAGTCGTGTGCGGATGCTAAGGACACCAGATTGCATACCAACGGCGAGATGGCGGTCACCAGCATCAGAGGTATCGCTTGAGGGGATAACGCAAACAGAGAGAATGGGGGCTTGGTACTTGAAGCTGTTGACAACATTCCACCCGGTCGTCTCAAACATCTTAACATGGCCTTCCAAGCTGCCGGTGACAAGACGGCGACCGCCAGAGGCCAGGCTCATAGACGTGACTGTCTTTTGATGGTTGGTGATGAGATGTAGCGGTCGTGCGGCAACAAGATCGAGTACGCTGACGGCGCTACCAGCAGCAGCCAGAACAGTTGTTCCCGTTGGCAGAGGTAGGACGCTTTCGACGGGGGCGGCGTGCTTGAATGTCATGACGGCAGAGTTATTCCCTGTTCGCGGATCCCAGAGCTTGACTGTCGAATCGTAACTTCCCGACACCACCATATTGGCCATTGTGCCCGGCATGAAGCTTCCGGTTCGCACATAATCCGCGTGTCCCACAAACGTACTCGTCGGCTCGCTGGTAGGCAAATCCCACAACCTGACCGTCTTGTCGTCGCTCGTGCTCAGCACCGTAGTCAGCTCGACAGGCGAGAATTTCGTCGTCCATACGGGCTGCTTGTGCTCCAACCACGTCCTCAGGATAGCCCTCGAGTTCACATCAAACACTTGTATCCTGCCCGTGTCGTCTCCTGCCACCAGTACGCGGCCATCCCGGCGAATCTCTCCGCTTCGCGCCACATCTCCAAAGCGGGTGATTGTCTTGAGTAGCTTGCGGGTGCGACTCGAGTAGATCTGAACGCGCGTGCCTGTCGTCACGGCAAAGCAGTCGTTGCTATTCGAGACGTGCGTAATAGGGAAATTGGTCGGCGATGGGATCAGGAGCTGGTTCTTGAACGCCTTCCAGTATCTTTGCTCTGCCGTCAAAGGCGCGGGACCAGATGCCAGCTTCACCCTTGGCAAGGGCGCCGCTTGGGTTGCCATTGTATCGGTTCGTTTCGATTGGTTGATTCTTTGCAGCAACGGTTTTGTGAGTAGTTTTCTTTTTTCTGGTTGAACGAGCGCTGTCTTGGTGGCCAGTCTCTTTTCAATGGATAAATGAAGTAGCCGTGCAGCAGGTTCCTGGATATATTTTTTTTGCTTATCTTATCTAAGACCGAATTGTATTTACCTTTCGCGGGGCGATGCCACTATGCCTCATACAGACTAGCGCAATTGAGACGGGCGCTTTCTTTGCATCAACTGCTTCACATAAAGTCTCTATGAGAAACAAGAACATCACATGCACATGCAAAAACATGATCGGTACTGCTTAATTGAATCCTGTTCTAGAGATACCGATACATCACGTCAATATACGAAGCCGATCTTAGTATTCATAAAGAAATGAAAAGAAAAGAAAAAGGGAAATATAAGGGGGAAATCCCCTTCTCATTATACATCGCAGATGATTCCCAAATTCCAAAAACGCCGCCCCTTATCCTTCGTGATACCATTGTATGTAGTCTCATTGAATATTCGTACAAAAAAACATGCTAATCGAACGTGTTAGAATCCTCCTCGGCGTCTAGAGCGCCCCGTGCCAATGTCAATCGTTGACATTTCCTGAATCAGAGCCATGTCTTCCGCCCCTCCATTGGCGCCGCTCATGATGGGGAGTGGAACTTTGGCCGGAATGGGAGGTCCCTGATTACCACCGTTATACTGAGGTGCATAGTTCTCGTTTGGATAATCCCACGCGCCAGCGCGTGATCGAGTTGAACTATATTGGAAATTGTCAGGATTTGGAGCAGACGTCGTCGGCCCCATCGAATGACGGGTCTTCTTTTGGAGGCGCTGTCTCCCGCCTTGCACCGGGGGGGCACGCGGTCCCTCTGAGTAACCGTATGCGTTGGACGGCACCACGGCCTGTGAGGTTCTCGCCATGCTAATTCGGAGTGGTCTCCGGCCGCTCGGGGGCATCGGCTGTGCTCCAGACAAGGGTGGCCTGGTGCGAGACTGCGCGGGCTCTTGCGGAGCGGGTTTGGTCTCAGGCTCGGGAGCCCAAGACTCTTCAGGTAGATGATCAGATGGGTCAATTTCTCGGCCATCGTGTGTCACAATCTTCGATGGTGGATCTGGCTGATCGAGTCCAGGTGATCCATCCCTAGAGGACATTCCAGGGTTAAAGGCTTCGTAGGAGTCTGGACTGAAGGGAATGTCGGAGTGCCTCCTATTGTCAGAAGAACGAGGTGCAGGGCTGACCGACTTGCGTCGGATTCTATGCTGGGGATTAGGAGAAGCATCTCGATATCCCTGCGCATGCGGGTCAGGCCCACCGGCATAGGCACCGGATCTTGGTCTGTCGTATGATTCGTAGGCCTGCGGCGAGGTGCCAAAGGCTTGCTCGTGTGAAGGCGGCGGCGGCTCGCTCCTATGGCGGTCACGAGTAGACGTGCTCACAATTTGATTGTTGTGATTATGGTATCGCCCATCATAATGCCTGTCTTCGTATGCCCTATTGGACATCTCTTGAACCATATTAGGGTCCACGCCGGGAGCCAAAGACGGCGGCAATGCGGGAAGTCCGTAGCTCGAAGAACTCTGGATATAGGTTGTCTCGTGCTCACGCTGTTGATTGGGGCGCTGGCTTTGGCTGCTATAAGAATACTGCGTCATCTGCCCTGGGCTCTCAGTGTAATCTCTGGCAGACAGAGGGGAGACCGAATTCTGGTTCCGGGGCTGCTCCTGGTACGCCGGATAGCCTCCTGGGGATTGACTTAGGTAACCAGGAGATGCTCCTGGAGAACGACTGAGGCCTGACGACATGGGGATCTGGCCAGCGTCATATACAACCTCATCCAGTGGAGGGATGCTTCGACGAGGCCTGTTTCGCATGGAGCCTGGAGGCGATTCCGGCACATCCTCCACGGTGGGTTGCATGGAACGATACTGGGCATCATAGGCGTCGTAAGAGTTGTGCGGCTCATATGTGATGGCTTTCTGGATAGGGGCCTGCGTAGCTAGGCTCGGGTCATAGGCCCGGAACACTGGGCGGCCAGGGTAGGTCGGTGTGGTGTTTCTATGAGCCTCATTCTTCAGAACATCGGATCTCATGGATGCAGGCGGAGCGGCCCTCTGAGGTGACTCATCGCCTCTCCTTTGCAGACCTTCTTGGCTAGTGCTATGTCGTGATCGATGAGCCGGTGGCGGAGGAGCTGCCTGTCGAGGGTCGCCATGAGGAGAATACTGAGCAGCATCATCTGTCGGGTTCATCTCGTACGTCTCCCCGGCGAGCGAGTAGCTGCTCCCTCGGGGGTCATGCTGCTCATATGACGAGACGGGTATCTTTTGGCTATAGCCTCTCTCTCTCTCATACGAGTCCTGTCGTGTCGGGCGTGGCTGGCGAGGCCCCTCAACACGACCGGAACCAGGGTGGCCCTGAGCGCTAGGCGAGTGTGAAGAAAAATAATCTGCATGGCGGGACCGAGTACTCCCTTGCGGCGGGGTACCGTACTCGCCAGTTTCGTTTAGAGAGTTGGTAGAGCCAAATGGTGAGTGCGAGATGGGTTTGCCCTGGGGCCGAGGAGGCGTCTGGTGGTAATCTGGAGGGGTTTGAGACGAGATATTTGCAGTGACCTCGCCGGTGACGGGATCAGTCGGCAGGGGACGTCTTTTCACAATATCCTTGCGTTTAGGCGACATGTTGTCCAGCTCGCCGCCCATGGACTGTCTTGGTCTGGCGGCAGGCTTGTCGGGCTTTGGCCTGCTGTCGTAGAAGGTGATTTCGAGTCGAATTTCCCCCGCATACTTGCCGCGGCAGGTCAGTGTCTGCCACACATCGTTCTGGCCTCCTCCAGGAATAATGATGCCCTTGAGGTCGATCCATGACTCTCCGATGAGGTCTGTCTTCTTGTCGTCGGTGAAGACGGAGATTTTGAGCTGATAGTAGTCGGCCGAGTCATGCACCGTAAACCGGAGCTCCTGGTCCCTGCAGAAACAAAGACGGCTCAGGTCAGCCGCAGCCCTCAAACTGTCTCACCACCAAGCAAGATGCAGGACGGGATAGGATGGGAAATGGAACGGCTTACCACTTAGGCGTTTGGCCGCCTCTGACATCCGTCGCCGTCTTCTTGGCTTCCTTGCCTAGCCTGGCGGCGCAGTAAGGATCCTGCTTGCCAATGGTCTTGCGGTTGGGCAAGTTCTTTGCGCGGTCGACGATGGCAACGAGGGTGCCGATGATAGGACCATCAACACTCATGTCTGCAAAGAGGCCTGCCGTGTGCGGGCCGTTGATGGCAAATGATTTGGAAGCCGTGGACATGGCCATGGTAGGTTGGAACAGGCTCGCAAGAGCGCTGCCTCGGGCGTTTTTGGACGGTAAGAAGTTGGAGACTTCCATAATCCAGATTATAAGAGCAATGTTATTTGTTTACATCGGCAGTACTCGAAGGTATGTTAGCGGTATGGCGATCAGCGGCCCACGTAATTGGACGCCACCATTAAGCTTTGAGAAGGGCTGTGCCAGATGAGGGCAGTGATGACGACTGAGCAAAACCTAATAGTAATAATAGTAATAGAATTATCGTGGATGAGGGAAATAAAACAAGTCTGGCCGAGGTGGTGCTCAGCAAGCCCACGGCAATGCAGAGGTTAAAAGAGAAAAGAGAGGGCCGGAGAGATAATATTGTTTTTTTGGCGTCCCGCATCAAGGGGAGCACGGATGCTGCGACAGCACCGCTCTGCCCGGCGCACCAGCTCAGCCAAGCGTCATGCACCCGCCCTTCCAGGGAGCAGCGCCGCTGGCCGGCGGGTTCTTTCAGCGGGTGCAGCGCTGCTGCAGTCGAGCTTTAGCGCACGGCCAGGCGCTGCAGCGGTGCTTTGCTTTCAGGTTGCTTTGCGCCAACAGCACAAGACCAGGCAGTACAGGGCAGCCCTTGGCATCTACGGCTGCATGTGGCATGTTTCAGGGCTGGTCCGGCGATGCTGCACGTCTTGCTTGATATGGCCGTGGCGTCGAGCAACTGCAGCAAGCCGCCCGCCCTTTGGCCAAGGATCAATCCGCGATCCCTTGGATGATGCCCTTTGGGTGGCTGGTTGCCAAAATCAAGGTGGCTGGAGAGGGCTACTGCAAGGGCCTCGCAGCTTCACTGGCTGCTTCCAGCGGTCTAGTGGCCCAAGAGCTGTGCCTCAGCCCCGCCCGGCGTCTCATTTAGCAGGGGCGGTGCCCTGTCAACGGAGCCCGTGTGCTCAGCAACCACGCCGAGCGGGAACAAGACCAAGAGTCAAATCAGTTGTGCATCAAGCAAATGACGATCGATCGGGCTCCCTGCATTGCTGAAGCGGAATGCACATGGCATTGGGATTGGGTGTCTCACCATCGCCCACGCGCGTTTCTGCAGCGACCTGTTTTGGGGGGTTTGCAGCTTCAGCTCCGTGATTTTGGGTTATATAACAGCTGCAGGGAGACGGGAACAGTTCGCTACAGCATTGATCCAATTGATATTATCAATCTGCTGGTGTCTCTTCTCCATCGGATCTCTAACCTCAAACAAACAGTTACCTATACCCACTCCATACAAAGAGAAAATACATCATTGATCCTTGCTCCTCCTCCTCCTCCTCCTCCTCCTCCTCCTCCTCCTCCTCCTCCTCCTCCTCCTCCTCCTCCTCCTCCCCCTCCCAAGCCCAGCAGCTGACGTCGCCCTGCCACCCATCAACGTCGTCAAATATCCATCCCGTCCCGCAGATGATGCCATCGAATCAGAAATCTCGGCGCCCGCGACGTGTGGAATTGGTGCAGCATTTTCTCCTAGCTGCGCATCTCAGGAGGCGTCAGCAGCGGGTACCAGCAGCCTCTTGGTGCTCAACTTGATTTTTCAACCCCACATCCCTGCCATCTGTATTCGTGCCCGATATTGGCTTTCCTGGATTGCGGATCAGGATATATTTTTCGTTACCTAAACGGAGCTTCCCCGTGTGGGTGTTGCGCGACGCATAATATACGGTGTGCTCCGTATCATATATCATCGAGCGCGGATACAGAACTGGCGGTCACTGTTTCGCTTACCTTTTGCATGAGTCGAATCAAGTATTTTGTGTTCTAGGACTGGAAGACGCATTGCTCGATGAAATATCGGTGGGATGAGAAGTAGGTATGGTACGGAATTGGTAGGTCAAGATTGCCAATTTTCTCGTATAGATCAGTACTCCCACTCGTTCGGCATGTCGTATAATCGACCGCGTGGCCGATACGATGGCTAAAGCATTACGACGTTGAATCTTTCCTACCCCTCACAAGTCTCTCCTGGCGCATTGAGGCTCAAGACCGACTGCAACGTCATGCTACACGTACGTGATGCGAGCCAATCAAGGAGCCATGATTGTTTGTGGACGCAATAAAGACATGTCTTGAATATTATTTTCTTGATTAATCTTGTCTACCAGTCGCAGCTCTTTGACAAAAGGTCGGCAAGTCGTTCCAGGTGCTTCTTATCCGTCTCATCGAATCCGTTCAAGACGGCACAGTCGACGTCAATGATGGCAACGACTTTGTCGCCTGACAGAATGGGCACCACAATCTCACTTTGGCTCTCGCTATCACACGCAATGTGGCCGGGGAACTTCTCCACGTCCTCAACTAGTTGCGTAGTCTTGGTGGCCGCAGCAGTGCCGCACACACCTTTTCCGAACTTGATCGTTTGGCAGGCAACTTTGCCCTGGAACGGTCCCAGGATGAGCTGCTCACTGGCAGTGGGATCCAGCACATAGAATCCTAAACAATTGAAGTAATAAGCATAAATCCTTCGTGGCTCTCTCCAACTCCAAGCACTATGGCTAGAGTTGACGGGTTTGTTATTTACCTGCCCAGTTTACCTCACTGCTCGGGGCGGCAAGGGACTTGTAGGCATGCCATAGCAGTGAGGCAGCGTTGGAAAGATTGCTAGCCGCATCATGTCAGTACAAGTCATGTCTGATGTGAGAAGCTCTGCTCTCCCTCAGATCACTTACCAAACCTGTCACCACCGGAGGAGCCGCATGTTAGCCTTGGTCCTTGGTACATGCACATAAGACGGTGAGGAAAGGAGATTGACGAACCCAGTTGCGCTGACCGTAAAAGAGCCCTTCGGCCTGGAGCAACACCTGCTCATAGGCATCATCCTTGGTGATGCCCTCGGCAAAGTTGGACGCATCGGCGTGGACCTGCAGCTTTCAGGTGAGCATACCAGCCTCCCTTCTCCATCTCCTAGCTAGCATTGGGGCCCTGAACGAACCATGGCTCCTTTTCTTCGACGTTTGTTCTCCTTTCCTCGGTACCCCTGGTGGCGGATAAGAACTTTCTTTTTCTCTTGGCGTCAATCAATCTCCTTTTAATCTCACAGATCGGCAACGGCGAGGCTTGTTTCGCGATTCAAAATGCTTTTCTCGAAGGATGTGGGAGAGCTTGAGCTGGGTGATTAGTCACCGAAAACTCGAGATGGGAACCCACTCACCAAGACCCGATATTGACGCCATTGGGGCTAGGTGGGGACTTTTTCCTTTCCTGTCCCGTTGAAGATATTGTGCTGAGGAATCTGGAGGATGACATGACTTGGTCTACATAAGTGACGAAGCATAGACTGGATACACGTAGAACTAACGATTTTAGTATCAGAAGCACCTAGTATCTATACACGTACGGAGAGTCTGGTGGAAATGGAAGTCAGGCTCTCACAACTCGATCCCGAGATGAGCTGCACGAAATGCGTAATAAGCAGTACGGAACAATACCTTCGAACGCTGCAGAGTAAATCGATGCTGAGATGTACATACACGAACCGGGACATGACAGAGAACCAATTGGCCGCATACACGCCAGCTTGTCTCTTTGTATCGAATATATAGACTATGTAGTGTCTAGATATCGCTTCAAGCTGTTAAATTAGAAGTAATTCCTATACTGTGCCGTCTCAATTCTGCATGTACTAAGGCGAATTGTTGATAGCGCTTGATAGACTTGCATCTCATCTCCAAAAGTCGGCGCTTCTCCCCGCACGGACTCCAAATGGGATTCGGAGAAGAAATGCCCGCGGAGTGCGGCTTCCTAGGTTGGTAAGATGCAGCAAGCCTTTTTTCCTTCTTTTTTTTTTCTCTTTTTAACAGCATACGGAGTACATGTCCAGAATTGTCTTCAGATATAATTGACAATTACCTCAATGGAATGCAAGCGTGTGTACCAAATCCACTTCCCAACTATTTGACAAACATCAGTCCCATCCCTATTGCACGACTAACACTTTAGCAGTTGGTGAACACTAATATCATGGAACGTTGAATGGACGACTCATAGATTACTCATATACACTTACTCGTCCATAGGTGTGTAAAGCTTCCACGGTGTCTGCTCCACGCAACCGGGTCCAATTTCAGCCGCTCATGATGCTAAAAATCCCATCTAGTCCTCTTTTCTCATTCTTGACTTCAGCCTAACGGTATCGGCAAGAGTGCGGTTGCGGCGATGAGTTATCAGATCACGCAGCGATATGGCTTCACAGCACACAGAAGGCTTCTTAGCCCTCAACTCCTAGTCGGACAGTCCCAAATGTTTCGCACCAGCCGAGCTTTGCATCAATCAAGAGTCCTTGGCAATGACAAGGGCATCAGTCCCAGAGCCAAACGGCTAGCATCCGTAAACGCAGTCCTCAATCCTCCGGCTTCAACTCGCCCGCCACCACTACTGCCCGTTGAGCCCCAGGAGTCCAAGCTCAAGTATTACTTCCAGCTGGGCAAATCCTATGCCAAATTCTTCGCTCAAGGCGTCAAGGCCGTTGTGGCGAATGCCAGGCTGCTAAACGCCAGAGCCAAGAGCTTGCCGCGCGGAGAGCGACCATCAGTGTTCAGGCCACACTACATTCCCGACTCATTCTCTCGCGCAGATTGGGTGCTACTGTGGCGAACCAGGCACGACCTTCTGCGACTGCCCGTCTTTGCGTTGTTTTTCTTAGTTGCCGGCGAATTTACGCCCATTTTGGTCGTTTTTGTCAGCGGCATCTTGCCGTACACATGCCGGTTTCCGAGTCTACTGAATGAATCCATTGAGAAAGCTGAGCGGCGGCGTGCAACTGCTTTCGACGAGCTGGAGAGCAAGCACCCTCAAGGCGTCCTCAGCCCCGGAATCACAAAGGCCGTGGCGCGCAAGCACGTTCTCAGAGCCTTGGATCTCCCCGGAGCAATGTGGGATCGGCTGGGATTCACTCCTCCGGGAATGTGGAATGTCAAGGGCAGGCTGCGCTTGTCGTTCCTTGAAGTCGACGACAAACGACTGATTGACGGCGGTGGTCCATCGGGTCTCGAAGTCGAGGAGCTGCGTATTGCTTGTTCTGACCGTGGCCTCAATATTCGGGGCAAGAGTGAGGCGGAGCTTAGGATCCGACTTGGGGACTGGCTGCGATTGACCGCGGCTGAGGAACTGGGAGAGCGAAGGCGACGGATGGCAACGCTGATGTTGACAAGGTATGTACCTTTTTTTTTTTTTCCTAAGGTTGATCTCGGGAAACACCCAACTGACATGTGACATGTGATGTATGCAGACCCGAGAACTGGCCCCAACAGCGCAACTTTGCCGTTCCTGAGTGGGAGCTGTAAATTAGGGCTATGCGGAGATGATACATATTGAGAGTGCTTGGATCGGTAATCACGGGGAAAAGGCTTCTTGATAGATGTTTATACATATACATATGAGTTGGGTCACGGAATAGACGGGATAGCAAGGCCATGTCTTGTTGTTGTTGTATCAGTAGTGTGTATAGAGCTTGGTAATTTAATGCACTCACTCCATTCAAAATTACTCATGCCCTTTCTCCATGTGCGTTGTATGTACGGAGTAGCCAATAGATAGTATTACCATATTGATCAACAGCCGAGTTCAAGACAATAACCGAATTCCAACTTGATCTCTTTGCTCGGACTTTGTCATTACCACGTGCAAGATCCGGGGTAACCCCACGCGTAAGAATAGCCGAAAGTGCATCAGCCATACCTATGTACATTCACGGCACACAGAGCGCCATATGTCATAGAACCCGCGTCTCTCAACAAAAAGGCTCGAAAGAACCAACGCTGCATCTCTTCGTTGGCCTGCTCGATTCAGACTAGCCCCAGCAGCATGTATTGGGGGAAACAAGCTAAAACGAAGCGCAATGGAGACCGCTGAAGCTCTAGCGGCTGTTTCGGTGGTCAGGATGATGATGTCAGCAAGTTTGGCCGAGGCTCGCATCACATGCACGATCCCTCCAAAGCCATCCATCCATTCCGGCTAATACTCAGTATTAAACAAATCTCCTTCCTCAATCTCTCTCCCTCTCTCTCCAATCCATCAAACTGTCGCATTAAACCACCCTTGAGCTCCCTCTCTTTGTACCACTCGCAGCTACAACTCCCTCGTCTCGCCCACAATGTCTCTCAAGAACGGTAAGCAGCAAACGTGGCCACCGTTTTACACCTCCCAAGCAGACAAATAAAACCGAAAGCTAACGTGCGCGCTCGCTCTTTCACAGACGCTTTTCCTTCCTCCGAGGCCTTTGATGCCATCAGCGCCGCTCTCAGCAGCAACGAGGCCGACCGCAAGGACGCCATCAAGAACGGCAAGGCCGTCTTCGCCTTCACCCTCAAGAACAAGGCCGGCGAGACGGCCAGCTGGCACATTGACCTCAAGGAGAAGGGCACAGTCGGCACTGGTGTTGGCGAGAACCCTACCGGTACGGGCTTCTTCCCCTTCTTTTCTCCCCATCTACAGTTAGCTAACTCTATTTACTTCTCCAGTCACTCTGTCTCTCTCCGACGAGGACTTTGGCAAGCTCGTTACCGGCAAGGCTCAGGCCCAGCGTCTCTTCATGTCCGGCAAGCTCAAGGTCAAGGGCGACGTCATGAAGGCTACCAAGATGGAGCCTATCCTGAAGAAGGCCCAGACCAAGGCCAAGCTGTAAAGGCGAGGCCACGCGCATTAGCCATGGGGTGCTGAATACAGGACACAGGTGGAAACAACCATTAAACGGCATTTCTGTTTTATTTATGTATCATATCACATCTGTTGCTGCTACCACTGATGTTACACTTTTTTTTTTTGTTCCCGCCGCAAGAGTCGGCTAGGGATGGTTGGTTATAGTGCCTTATGAATACTGGCATAGACGAGAATACCATATTCCAGCTGGATCATTTCCAGTCTGGAGTACTTTTTTTTCCTTTTCAAAAGAATCAAGCGTACATTGGATACAAGACCTGACCTGTGCCTGCTTCTGTATCTTATACACGAGCCGCAACCTTCCGAATAGCCTGCTTGGCTTCCTCACGTACCTCGCGAACAATCTCACCTGCCGGCTGCGCTTTTGTCACCAGTCCAATGCCCGCGCCTCTATGTATGTCAAGCTCATCAGTAACAATGCCACCACCAATTACAGCACATATCAAAAAAAAAAAATCCAACAGGTAAAGCACAAAACAAGGCATAAAGAAAAGGAGCGAGACTCACGCCCAGGTGTCAATCAACGTCGGACCCTCCTCGGGCGAATATTCATCACGCAAGCTCCTCTGGCAATCGTCAAGCGACGCCCCAGCAAGAAACTTTTCGTGAATGGGTCCAACGACGGCTCTTCCATCGTATAGAGATCCCCAGAGGCTAGAGTTGGAAATCTGGTCGTTGAAGGGGGACTTGAGGGTGGAAATGGCGCCGTCGGTGGCGTTGAGGATGATCTTCTTCCGGAACTCGGGCACAATGCTCTCTTCGGAGACGGTGAACTGTATGTACGGTTAGATTGACCTCTCTTGGATGTTGTAATGAGTTTGTGTTGAAATCAAGCAAATGTCCTCTGTATGGGTTACGGGGAATACGAACTCTTGTGCCCAAGACTACACCATCAGCTTCTACATCACTTGTTAGCATCATCCCAACCTAAACATATCCTCGTCTTCATCACAGAAAACCAGACTTACCAAGCGTCAACATAGCCGCCACACCCTTGCCATTCGAAATACCTCCCGCCGCAAACAGAGAAACTTCATCATAGCCCTTCTCATCGACCAACTTCCTCGTCTCAGCCAGCAACGGCACCACGCCCATCCCTCTTATAAACTGATGGCCGCCCGCGTCCGTCCCCTGGCAAACAATCACGTCCGCGCCATCCTTGATAGCTTCCTCCGCCGCCGTCACATTGCCCACCTGGATAAACACCTTCGGCGCCGTCTCGAGCCCCTTCAGAAGCCGAACAATCTCCTTCTGCGGCCGGATGTGCTCATGAGGGGCGAACAGCCACACTGCCGCGGGCTTGTGCTTCTGGATCACGGGCAGCGCCGTCGCCGCAAAATTTCCAATACTCGAGTGGCATGAGAGAAAGCCGGCGCCGATTCGGAGATGGCCCGAGGGCGTGGTTGCGGCGTCTCCGTCTCCCAGGAGCTGTCGGATCTTGGTGAGGTCGGCGTCAAGCTTGGTGACTTGAGGCGAGTTGTCGCTGACGTCGGCGATACATGCGAGGAAGCCTTTTTGGTCAAATTGTTAGTGTTTAATGTGTTGGTTTTTTATGGATTTTATTATTATTATTATCTTAATAATTCTCTGTATAGATTTTCCATTTTGTTTTTGGGGTCAGAGTTACGCGTAAATGAAGCCGTCACATACCAAGGCCTCCCGCCTTGGAAACCTCAGCGGCAAGTTCCGCGCTGACAGCGTGAGCCATGGGCGCATTAGCGATCACCGGAGCTTCTACCCATGGAAACCACTGCTGGATCTGTGAAGCCGACATTATGAAAAATACGTAAAGAACAAGGAACTTGTTGAGAATCAAGAGTAGGATGCAACAGGTTGAATTTCAAGAAGGGTTGGTTCATGGACTTCCACACAGCTGGATGAGGCAACACAAGCTTAAGTAGAAGCGTGCCTGAAGGTGGATGAAGAGGGGTAAGCGTTGTCCGGAGATGCTGATTCTGTTGATTGATAATAGCTAGTGGCGGCTTCTTTAAACTTCGTGTCATCATCCTAGGGCTTAGTACATGTTGGCTTTTGAATATTATATGAGCTGGGCGGTCCTGCATTAAGACAGTGGTGGAGAAACCCCTGATTCAACTCCAAGCAAGCCAAAAGCAATGAACCAAGATGCAATGCCCTCTTTGGTTACTAGTATACTAATCCGATGGCTTGGAGATATTAATAGTTTATGGGCGATACGTCACAGAAGATGACTGGAACAATAGCAAGGTGAGATGTCAGCAAGCCGCCGAGTCATTATATTGCTGGAGCAATAGCTCTTTTCGTAACTTTTTTTTTTCTTCCTTCTTCTTTTAATTCATGATTTCTACTCTCGCTCCACCAACGCAGGAGGCTTGTTGTTCAGAATCTCGTCAATCTCCGCCATAATCTCCGGTGTCAACTGGTCCACGACGGCCAAAGCCTTGATGTTCTCGTACACCTGCTGAGAGCTGCTGGCACCGGTGATGGCCGAGCTGACTCGGTCGTTCTTGAGCACCCAGGCCAGGGCCAGAGCGCTCTGCTTGACGCCCAGCCTGTCGGCAATGGGCTCCAGCTTGTTGACCTTCTCGATGTATCCCTCCCAGACCTCCTTTCCGGTTCGCTTCCAGTAACCGGCGATGAAGGCAACCTGGGTCTGAGCGAAACGAGAGTCGTCGGGAATGCCGTTCTTGTACTTGCCGGACAAGATGCCCTGGTACAAGGGGGAGAAGATGGTGAGGCCAAGGCCGTGCTCGCGGTACAGGATCTCGTAATCGCCCTCAACCTTTTGTCTGTTGAGCATGTGGTATGCAGGCTGCTCCATCAGGGGGCCGATGAGACCCAGCCTGTCGGCCACCCGCCATGCCTCTGCGATCTCGACCGCGGTCCACTCCGATGTGCCCCAGTAAAAGGCCTTGCCGGAGTCGATGATGTGGTTAAAGGCACGGACAACCTCCTCCATGGGGGTCTTGCGGTCGGCACGGTGGGCGTAGATCAGGTCGACATATTCGAGATCGAGACGCTTCAGGGCAGCATTGACACCCTCGACAATGTGCTTGCGGGAGAGACCCAAGTTGTTGGCGGGGTTGTTGCCATAGGCTTGACCCCAGTAAATCTACAAAAGCCAACGTCAGCGGGATTCTCAGATGCAGAAGCAGGTTGCTATTGTGGAGGAGCTGCACAGTACCTTGGTGGAGATAACCAAGTCGTTACGGTTCCAGCCGAACTTCTTGATGGCCTCGCCCATGACCTTCTCAGACTCGCCTCCAGCATAGGCCTCGGCGCAGTCAAAGAAGTTGACACCGCAGTCATAGGCAGCCTTCATGCAGGCGTAGGTGCCCTCTGATGACCATCAGTTAGCACACGGTTTGTCTTCTTCCCTTATTTCTCTTATTCTTCTTCCCCTCCTCTCGTCCCCTCTTCGGTTTCTTGGAGTTATAGTTGCCAATTCTCCTACGCACCTCGGTCGACGTGGCCGCCGTATGTGAGCCATCCACCCAGCGAGATGGACGAAACCTGAAGACCTGAGCGTCCCAGGAATCGGTATGTCATGGGGGGGAGCCCCTCGGGTTTGGCAGTGGCGACCATTGTGTCTGAGTCGGGTGGAATCTCGCGATGTTTGCTTCACAGAACAGTCCAGGAGAATCGACCAGCTCGGAGCAACCGTCCCTTATAAGTACCTCAGCCCACAAGCCTTGGTCCCCCTCTCGGAGGGGTAATTCGATTCCCATGTGCTCTCCTCATACACGGACAGCTTCCCACAAACAAGGCGGGGCAACTTTTGTCCATGGCCATCTACGACGTAACACCCCCCACCGAGTGACGGGGAGAAGCCGTTACCGTGAGGTGTATTTTGGGGCCCTTGTTAAGGTGGAAATAGCCGCGGCCGTTAGCACGACCAGCCTTGGCGTCCCTGAGTTTTGACGGCCGTCCAATAACAACGATATATCCGGATTTCTAAGCACGAAGCCGGGGAGACTTGCAACATTTCTTTTGATGGCTGTGGATCGGCCTAGTTGGGCTAAATGCGAGGGGCTGCAGTAGATGTCGGCACTAGGCATATCAGGATTGGAACTTTGTGTTGCAGAGTGTACGAGTACTCGCAACGGTAGAGCAAAGCATGCGGTGCAGGCACCTTGATAGGCAAAAAAAAGTCAGCGAGTTGCATCAATGGTAGATAGCCTGACTTGATTCAAATACCAGGCAGTCCTCAAAGTATCACAGCGACGCCCAGATTATCAACTCCCAGTTGCGTCATTCAATAAATAGGTAGTACATAGACTAGTTAGGTACCTGGCCATATAAATCTCATCGCCAGCTGCAGGGTAGGCAGGCAACTCCACGAAAGCCACGTCGCCATCTGCCTATTATCAGGGCCGTTTTAACAAAAGCGCCGGTGATTTTTTCGGGCTTGGTTAATCAGAAGCTCTTGATCGACCGTATCGCGGCAGTTCATTCTACCGATTAACATCGTTTGAGTCACACGCCGACGAAACCAAAGGCACTTGGCTGACAGACCAGCTTCGGGGAATCAAGGCCGATCTGTCGCGCAGAGATCAGACGGCAAAAAGCGCCATGCCCCGAAGCCCCCATCTGGACGGAGAGCTAACCCCAGGATTACTCCGAAAAAAGACGCTTCAGATTCGGTTCTCGGTTCCGTGCGTGTGGTATGGAGCAATAATAGTACTCCGTATATTATACTGCAACTATTCTCATAGCTTGTTGGACCAGACCTCGATTGTACGTCACCTGTGGTGCCTTCTCTGCCGCGAGTACATGTAGGTAGTAGTTGGCAATGCCTGGCGCTTATTGGGGTAATGGATGTCCATTTTTGGGGTATGCTGGAAGCTGCTACGCCCCCATGATTTCTTGCACTCGACAGGAGCCGACCTTCTTACATCTTGTATTGATGGTGGAGGGAATTTGAAGAGACTCACGCGTTGCCCAGCAATTGGGTACTACATATTTCGGGCTCCCAATTGTACCATGTACTGCATGCTTGTGCGCCGTACCTCTGCTCTGCTCTGTATACTGGTAGGTACTTACGGATACTCACTTTTGCGCAGCTGAGACCCCGCTATGAAAGTGAAAAAGAGAGAGAGAGAGAGAGACACACACACACACAGAGAACAAGTGCGGTCAACGAATCCCATTGTTCGTCGGCCAGAGACATGTACGAGTACAGCAAGTAATACGGCGCTGGTTGTCGGCCGCGTTTGGCACACGCCTGCATTCATGGCCCCACGACTGTGCAACCGACCCAGCAGATATCCTCAACCGTCCTGCAAGGGCAGCAAACTCACATGTGCCGCTGCGTGTGACGAGGCTAGCGGTGCAGAGGAGAAAGTAGATGCAGCGCACTATTTGCTGCGACAGCCAGTCATTGAGTGCCTCGTAGCTGACGGCGGGGATGAGGATTCGATCAATGCAGCAGGAGAGTGCTGCAAGCTGCACAAGTACGGAGTAATACTATGTACGAGCACCAGTACGCGCATTGGCCTTTTGGCGTGGATATGATGTACGAGTATATCCCGTACTGTACGTGACATGGACAGATCAATTACACTACATTAGTGAAGGGGTAACGGTAATAGCAGCCATCTTGCGACAATAGCTGGCACGCAAACGACTGAGCTGAATGACGATGGAGAAGCCGTAATTGCGTTCTACTCCGTGCTCGACCCAACATCGAACACAGACGAAACCGGCGATGCCTCTCGCTAGATGCCAGTGCCGCCAGTTAATAACGCAGTATGGAGCTGTAATATTATCTACAAGACGGTGTACTCGTGCTCATGCTAGTAAGCAAGTAAGGCCAATAGGTACCTACCGTCGACATTCCCGCTTTAACACGGCATTTCCAGGTGGCAGCATTCCGTATCCGTACTGGCCTCCCAAACATTTGCTGCCCGGGGATCCAAGGTGAGGATAATTAGCAAATAAATTTGCTGGTAAGGGGGCCCTTAGCGATGAGAAAACTCGGGCAACGGCCACGGTACGAGCACAAGTACCATCGGTTCACCAGGGGGTCGTTATGAACAGCTCCGTACTCCGTATAACGAAACGCATTGCTATCATTGCCGTGGAGACGATGGGGCGCTCGTCTGCTCGCTCCCCAGTGCGGCTAACGGAACTGGGACGCTGTTTCTGGGATCGGGGGCCATTTGCTTGAGCTTGGCCGTCTTGGAGCGTAGTACGGAGCAGTAATCCCAATGTACATGTATGCACTTGGTACGAGGTGCTCCACACGGCGGCGCGGTAGGTACATTGCCCGTACAGGAAGCATCGCAGCATGTCACCGCCGTCCATGTTCCATGCTATGAACGGCTTTTTGCATCTTGGGCCGTCGAGAGACCAGACCAAACCAGACGACATCGGAAATCGACGCTTTGGAGGCACATAGCAGGCAATGATTGGAGCTTGCGGGAATGCGAGGGCCAAGCGACGGCCCTCTCGATCCGCCCATGCCAGCACGCCAGGCTGCACTCGGCTGGTCGATGCCAAGCGCAACGACTCGGAACACCATCGGCGGTGCCCGTGGGAGACCGGGCTGGTGCATCTTAGCCTTAGTGGTAATATTGACTTTGACGCGCATTGAGAGCTTCGGAAGCGAAATAGCTCAGTGGATGACGATGCCGATTCTGTTGCACGACGCTGGCGTAGGGCTTGCTGCATGTGCTCTGCTGTACTGTAGATGTACTCTGTAGAATTGGTTCAATTTCCAAATCCATCGATTGGTCTTCCAGCGCAGCGCTGCAAGAAAACAAACTGGCTGCACGTGTCCTGTGCCCGCAACGGTCGCATTGACGGATTCGCCCTGATTCCGTCCATGTTCATGCCCAAGCCCAAGTCCCAAGTCCAAGCACGAGCACTCCATAAGGTTCTCCAGGTTATTACCCGACCGTAGGTTCTTTAGCTCTCCGTGCTAGGTGGCATTAGCTTCCAATCCAGTCCAGATTGCTCTTGGATCTGAGGCCGCCGCTCAAACTGCTCTGCTTTATGTGCCTAGTATTACTCGTAGCATAGCACTTGTGCCCGTTGAGAAAAGAAACGGCCAGGCACCGAGTCGCGTGGGAGCCAAGGTTATAGTAGCTTGCTCCATAGCTTCGTTTGCATTGGAGTAGAACTTCTGCGCGGCCGAATCCGTACACTTGCCTTACTTTACTGCTGGGCCCTGTGCTCCAACCCATCGCCTGCTAACCTACTACCAGGTACCTTAGGTAGCTCGCGTTCCCGGTACGCGTCAAAACACCGTCCAGCGAGGTATCTTTGCGCGGCCTGAGAGGCTGGCAGCTACTTGTGGAGCGAGTACCCTGGCGGTCCAAGGTACAGAAATCGCGCGACCCTGGGTGAGAATGCACTGGCAAACCTTGCAGCGTCCCATTTCCCTCTCTCCCTTTCCTTCCTCTTTCCTCCTCCTTTCCTCCGTGCCTGGGCCTTCAGCATCATTCTTCATTCTTCATTCTTCATCCTCCCGCCGAGGTCTCGCCGCCCGTTGACCGGCAATCCAAACCGATCGAGAGAGGAAAAAAAAAATAATAAGACGAAAAACAAGAAAAACAGGCATTGAAACTTTCAGCAACAAAGTGGCAACAAGCTACCAGCCTGTGTGAGTCCTACTTTGCTGCTACTGCACCTGCTAACCGCCGAGTGCCTGGATTGAAAGGGTCGGGTGCAAGACAACCTCCCGGCCTAGGAAGCGCGGCTGCCGGCGAGTGCGGGCTGTGGCGCGGTGTCGCCGCTCTGGTCTGCACTGGGCTGTTCTCGTGCTCAGCGCCCAGTGGCAGCACTACCTGTACACTTAGGCGCTGGCTCTCGCTGGCCTCCAGGCGCTGCAGTGGACAATTATTTGTGCAAGGCACTGGATGCACCGCTAGCGCCTCGGCCAGGCTAGTGGACCGCCCGCCACTCAGCGCTCGTCGCAGGCCTCTAGGCCACACGGGACAACCCCCAGGTTGGCTTGACCGCCCGGACCCCCCCAGCGCAGCCCCTGCCCAACCCCTGCCCGCCTCAGCAGACTTTGCCTCGCCCCAAAATGAGCACCCCAGCAATTGTCCACTCGCTCCTTCGTCCTTTTCTGCACATCGTCGTTCTTCTCCAGCGCTGCATTGCCATCATCACCATCACCATCGCCATCGCCTCCGTTTCAGCACCACGCCGGAATGCTTAGTTCACCTCGTTGCTGACTGCTTGTATCCTTTTGGCCCTTCCCACAGACTCCGGCCCTCTGATTCTCCGGCCCCCTGTCCAGGGGCTGCTTCGTTGCTCCCGAGCCTCGTCTGCTCGCCGCCCCCCGACCGTTCGTCCGACCGGAAGTAGTCGACGATCCTTCTTTCGCCCTCTGTCCTCCATCATTCCGAGCCTCTTTCGACATCTCGACGCCGCTCTTCGACCTCCGCAGCAATGGCTTCTTCGTCCTCAAACGTCGTCGGCGTCCATTACCGGGTCGGGAAGAAAATTGGAGAGGGTTCCTTTGGAGTCATCTTTGAGGGAACCAATCTGTTGAACAACCAGCAGGTGGCCATCAAATTTGTGAGTAGCCAAGCTTGCATCTCCGCCTATAGAAACACCACACGCAAAGACGAGATATTCGCGTCTTGTTCGCCATACAGTGTCGATTCTTGATTTTCTTCCCCCTTAGTTAATACTGACGTGCTGCCTCGCAGGAACCTCGGAAGAGTGATGCACCACAGCTTCGGGATGAGTACCGCACGTATAAGATTCTCGTTGGTTGCCGTAAGCCATATCCGTTCATTTGCACCAACCTCAAAGACACAGACGGTTGATACTAACGTGGCGCGCTTCTTCTAGCCGGCATTCCCAATGTCTACTACTTTGGACAGGAGGGTCTGCACAACATCCTCGTCATCGACCTGCTCGGACCTTCACTCGAGGACCTCTTCGACCACTGCGGACGTCGGTTTACGATTAAGACCGTCGTCATGGTCGCCAAGCAGATGCTTTCCCGAGTCCAGACGATCCACGAAAAGAACCTCATCTACCGTGATATCAAGCCTGACAACTTCCTGATCGGACGACCAGGAACTAAGGCATCCAATGTCATCCACGTGGTCGACTTCGGTATGGCCAAGCAGTACCGAGACCCCAAGACCAAGCAGCACATCCCCTACCGCGAGAGGAAGTCGCTGTCTGGTACTGCCCGCTACATGAGTATTAACACCCATCTTGGCCGCGAACAGTCTCGACGAGACGACCTGGAGGCTCTTGGCCACGTCTTCATGTACTTCCTTCGCGGTGGTCTTCCTTGGCAGGGACTCAAAGCTGCCACTAACAAGCAAAAATATGAAAAGATTGGTGAGAAGAAGCAGACCACTGCAATCAAGGATCTCTGCGAGGGCTTCCCTGAGGAGTTCAGCAAGTACTTGACATATGTCCGAAACCTTGGTTTCGAAGACACCCCCGACTACGATTACCTTCGAGAGCTCTTCACCCAGGCCTTGAAGAACGCTGGCGACATCGAGGATGGCGAGTACGACTGGATGAAGATTAGCAAGGATTCGGGAAAGGGGTGGGACTCGATGAAGAATCATGGCGCAGCATACTTGCACAACCCAAACGCGCGCCCCGGTCCTTCTCAAATGGAGCTGCACAGTGGTCATCGTCCTACGAATACCACCTCTCAATCGCAGGCTCAGAATCTCACTGTCGGCCGTTTAAACGCCGCGCAGCCCCCTCCTCCATCGCCGATCAAGCAGATGGGGAGCAAGAGAGATCGACCAAACGCCCCCGGCGCGCTGCCAGCCCAGCGGATGAGTGGAACAGGTCTTCGCGAAATGGGTACCCCCACTGGCTCAACTCAGGCCCAGTTCCAGAACAGCACCCAGAACCTCCCCCAACCGGTAACGAGCCAGCAGGGCCCCATGACGGCAGCAGGCCAGCCTAGTGCGCGACCCGCCGAGGCCCAGCAGCCCAGCGGATTCCAGAAGTTCATGAAGACCATTTGCTGTGGCTAAAGCAGGCGTTTGTTTTTGCGAGTTTTCGGGATTTATTTAGTACCCTGCATGGCTGGCGACGTTGTACCCGACAAATTATGTCCGAAGCCCCTCTTAATTCTATTGGAGATTGATTCCTTGAAGCAACCAAAGAAAAAAATTATCAACCTGCTGGCAAGACGGACATTTTGTTCTCTGGATCCGGGCGACTGCGGCTTAGGCCAATGACTAGATGGCAGAAGAGAGCTGCAGGGTTGGGACCAGAAGAAGACGATGGATCGTCCAAGGCGAAGACGCCCTGGCTTGGAAACAAAACAGCGAATCGATTTACTCCATACTTTCACCACATCCATGTCATAACACCTACCACTCAATAGAAGAACCGCGGCATTGATGAGAGCGCGTGTCCGTTACGACCAACCGAGAAGGAGTTGCGAGAGAGAGTAAAAAACGACAGACGGATACTGGTCTTGATTTTTTTGGTTGGACCTTTTTTTTCCTTTTTTTCCTTTTTCATATTATTTTCCTTTTTTTTCTTATGTCTGACATTCCATTACGACACCATACTACACCACTTTCGATGTGCAGCGCAGCAAGGCGCAGGATGGTCACGAAGGGCAGCATTGGGTCTGGTCCAGGTGTGCTTTTCTTTTTACTCTATTTGCGCCGTCTATATAATAAGTCTTGCGAATCATGGAGTGGCGGAGAATGAAATAGAGGCAAAGAGGGGAGAGCGACGAGCCGGGCATGGATGTGTATAGAGAGACGAAGGCGAGGTAGCAGCAGCATTTGGTGCGTGACAGTTCAGAAATCGGCGAGCTTTGTACGGAGAGAAGATGTCTTTTGAGAGTTTGGGATCCGTCATTAGGTAGGGAGTTATTCATCGGTATACCTTGTAATGGAATTAGGATTGTCCAAAAAAAGTGTGGTCGCAGCAAACAAGTAAACTAAAAAAAAAATCAACTGGAACAATTACTATATCGACTTTTTCATTTCTTTCAATTTGCCGTAACTTCGCTACGCATCATACATTAAGTAAATGGACAAGAAGCCTCATCCTTTCATTGCACACCTGATATGTACTTTGATGGAGAGGTTTTCGACGGTTTAGATGTGGAACGAAACGACAGGTTGTTTATCGTATTTCGACTTTTTTTCAATCCCACCGCATCGTTTTGATAAAAAGGTTATTCTCTCCCCAAGCCAGTAAGCCAAAACCCCCCGCTCCTATGGTCTATTTTTGCTTCTAGTTGTATCCTCTCAAGTAAGCTTTTGCTTGATGAAGAAAGAGCGTAGATGTGACAGTTGCCATGCGCAGGTAGCACCGAGGACGACGAGCTGGATGATGATCCAGCGGACGACGCGGGCGTTGGTGGATTCGGACTGGTCTCTGAACTCGGCCTCTCGCTCCTGCAGATGACAGCTTGTAAGCATCGAACTAACATAAAACGGCAAAAAGGTCAAAAGGAAAGGGGGGAGAAGGAAAGAATAAAGCACTGACTCTCTGGAAAACTTGCTCCCTGCGAATGTCGTTTAGTCTGGCATTGAGGTCCTTGACACGGGTGGTGATGTCCTGGAGCTTTTCCTTGTCGTCGCTCTCGATCTGGTTGGTCTCGCCAATGACCATGTCGAGGCGCAGCTTGATGCCGCCGTTGTAGTTTGCCATGGAGAGCCAGCCCGCGCGGCCGCTGCTGGACGAGGGCATGAAGCAGATCTTGTGGTCGCCCGCGTCGGCGGCGGAGAAGGTGAAGCGGCCGGAGGAAGTGCCTCGCTGGGAGACGACACGGTGGTTGTTGTCGAAGATTTCCTGTCAAGGGGGGGAAATTGCTGCGTTAGCTAGGTGTCTCTCTTTTCGATTGCTCCTGTTTCATGGATAAAGAAGACATGTATACATACATCAACGGTGATGTAGATGCTGATGCCTTGGTGTTCCTGCCACTGGTTCGCCCTCTCGTCCCACTCCGAGGCAGCGTAGTGGCCCACGACCAGAGTGTCCTTAGGAAGCTCTTCGTAGAAGCACTTGGGAGTGCCGCCGTCGACGTAAAAGTACAGAGCTTGTGCCGCAGCCACAAAGGTGGCCAGAGAGAAGAGGGACCTCATCTTGTCGGCGAGGGGGAGCTGCTGTGCTGGGGCGATGTGTTATAAACCGGCGGAGCTGTCTTGCGCGGACCAGCGAATCTGCGTTTGGTCCAGGAATGAATCTGTGATTGTCGTGCAATAGCAAAACAGCACGATCCCAGGCCGGCGAGGTGAGTTGCAATTGAGGCCCTTTTCGCCTGGTTGTGGAGGAAAAAGACAGCGCAATTGCGGTTGAGCCTCTCCCTTTGGTCACTTAAACTCGTCCCTCCTCGGCGAAGCTGCCACGTTCAGAAAATCCAGGGGTGCTGCACCAAGGCCCGGCGCGGGTCACGTGCACTCGAACAGGCTGCTCAAACGCGCTTTTCCAGGCCTTGAAGCTTCTACAAACCATCAGCCTTGCACTACTATTATTTTCCAGTCTTTGGCTATTTTCTTCCTACTTTCGATAATCGCTGCATCCGCATTCGACTGCAGCTTATCGCTCTTAATCATCCCGACCGATAAAAATATTTCTTTCCGAACGAATTCTTTTTTTTTTTTTTTTTTTTTTTTCTTGCTCGCGGTTTTAGAGAGAAGCAAGCGATGACGGCATAAATTCTTTCCCCAACTTTCCCTACACAGCTGTCGATAATCTCTGCCACGATGACATCTTCCGACGTTCGCGACGTGCTCAACCTCCCCGATGGCGCTGCCGGTGGCCCTCGTCCCTCCAAGAAGCAAAAGGTCACCGCACCGCGCCCCAACCTCAAGGGCCTCGCGCGCGAGGTGCACAATCTAGGCGGCGACAACCCCATTGCCATTGTTCCAGAGGTCACGCAGTTCAAGAAGCGCCGGTTCGTCAGTCGCAAGCCGGCCGCCCGATGGGAGCTGCGGCAGTTTACGAATTCTGGAAGGAAAGATGCGAGTCTAGTGTTGAGGCACTGGAGAAGGGCCGAAGAAGGGAAGGAGTCATCTTCAGCGGCAGGGGAAGGCAATGTGCCCGGATCTAAGGAGGAAGAGGATATCGAAGATTCGTTGTATGCAAAGTACAATGTTCAGGTCTCTGTGCCTCAGTACAATGACGATCAGTATCATCAAGTCCTGGAGAATCCCGACTGGACCAAGGAAGAGACCGATTACTTGATGGAGCTGGTGCGAGACTTTGATATCAGATGGCCCCTTATATGGGATCGCTATGAATGGAGCCCGCCAGCTACTAATGGAGAGGCTGACGCCGATGGCGACGAGAGTAAGGCCATCGTGCCAGCTACGCGGTCTCGGTCGATGGAGGACCTCAAGGCGAGATACTACGAAGTGGCGTCCAGAATGATGGCCGTCCAGAAGCCAGTTCAATATATGACACAGCCCGAGTTTGCGCTGCATGAGTTGATGGCACATTTCAATCCCCAGCAGGAAAAGCTGCGCAAGGACTTTGCGCTCAACTCCTTTGGAAGGTCCCGCGAAGAGGCTCGCGAGGAAGAATCGCTATTACTGGAAATTAAGCGAATCTTGGCTCGAAGTGACAGGTTTAACGAAGAACGGAGAGAGTTATACAACCGCCTCGACTATCCCCATGCGGAGCAAGATATCAACACTTTCAAGTCATCGGCTGGTTTACAGACGCTACTCCAAAACTTGATGACGGCCGATAAATCCAAGAAGCGAAAGTCTATTATGGGCGCTGAAGTGCCTACGCCCACGGGACAACCCACGCCGCAGCAGGCAGCTCCAGAGAACGGAAGACGCGATAGCGCTGCGGCTTCTTCTGGACCGCGGGAGTCGAATGCATCAACAGCGGCGTCCTCTGCACACAAGAAATCACAGTCGCAAACACAGCAACAGCTACAGCAGCAGCAACAGGCTCAGCAGCAGCAGCAGCAACAGTCACAGCAGCAACAGCTGCAGGAGCGCAAGAAACTTACCGAACACGAGGAGATCATCTACGGTGTCACACATCACGATCGTCTGGGTTCCGGCCCTACATTCCGGACAGAAAAGATCAACAAGCTGTTCTCTCACAAATCCAACCAGCAGCAGCTGCGTATTACCAACACGCTTAACGAGCTAGATGTTCCGGCCAAGCTGGCTATGCCTACAGCGGCGACAACTCATGCGTTCGAGCAACTCTTGGCATCTGTGAATAGCCTTCTTGATGCTCGCAAGATAACAGACAAGATTGACGCAGAGATTAAGCTGGAACTGGCCAAGAAGGCAGAACGGGAAAAGGCTTCGGGCAATCAAGAAGCCGAAAAATCCGAAGACGCTGACGGTGATGATGCCAAAGACGAGTTGGCAGTGGCAGATGAGCCCTCCAAAGAAGACGATCAAGACGGTACCGCAACTCACCCCGAAGATGGTGAAAAGGACGAAGATGAGAACGCAGAACCATCTGCCGAAGATGCTGCTCAGCCATCCGTGGAACAGGACGAAGACGACGCGGACGAAGGGAAAGAGGGTCGTCAGGATGGCGGTGTTGCTGCGCGCAAGCGAAGCGCTAGTGTGATGAGTTCTGTGAGCGACAAGAGCGCAAAGAGGCAGAAGAAATGATGTCGAGTACCTCTCGAGTACCTCTCGAGTACCGGTACATTGCCCTACGCGCCCATTGCCAACATCTTGTTCTATCAAATGACAGGGAGATAACCCTGTCGCGGGGATGAATGGAAACTTGCAGAAACCGGGAAGCGAGATCATCTTAGATGTGGCGCGCCCACTCTAGCAAACGCTATAGTCTATGTTAGCGCGCATTGAAGCATTATCTGCAAGATTAGCAGCTGCCGATGTGACCCATGGTTTGTTCACAGCGCTTGTGCGAGATGAAAGCACGGCATGAAACAAACAAACGACTACCGTGTTGAGTTCGATGAGCCGAGCGCTTCTGCTTGGAGAGCAGTTCTTACGGGGTGTTAGCTTTGCCCCTTCGGCTTCATGAACTAAAGAAGCGCCATGGTCGCAGGGCCGGCCGTGAATATGAGAAGGACCCTGCAGGTCCCAACGTATGGTGACGTACTAGTGGGCGCGTGCTATCTGGGTGAGAGAGGGGGAGGGGGGAAACTATTCGCAACGGCACATCTACTCTGAGTGGCTGGCGTATAAGCAATAATGGGATGAACAAGGGGGGGTTCCGCATGAAACAGCGTTTCTTTTCAGAGCACGTATAAGATACGGGGCTTGACGGGGGGATCGGTGGCTAGAAAAGAGCTCAAGGGGAGACGAGAGTGTCGTTGACGGGTTCATGAATGATGTCTCATTAAAGCTCATGCTACTTTTAGACAGTTGCATTGAGGCTACATCTTAATATAGCAACAACGCCTCTAAAAATAACACAAGCCCTGATCTCGCGTGGAATTAAAAGATCGAGATAGCTATATCTGGGCTTCATGAACTAGCATCTGTACGTTCAGGGGGGAGGAGAAGAGATGGAGGGGCGTGTATGAAGCAGCAAGAATCACGGCGGTACCGTGAGCACGGAATGGGATCAGGAACACCAATCAGGGGAATCTCGCGATGCATGAGCAGTGGGACTCTACTGGCGGCAAGACAGAAATAGAAGCGGATGAAGAACCGCTACTGGCATATGCCGGGTGGTTTCTCTCAACATGGGAGGTGGAGAAAGAGGTCCGGCGTCTCCATCACGACAATGGTTCATGGGCGGGTAAGAAAGCAAGAACCTCGATGGTGTTGTTGGAAACCGGTGATTGGGGGAAGGGGGGGCGGCAATATGCAAGGTCCCAAGAGCGATGCCTTGCATGAAACATGGGCGATAAAAATAGCCAGAGTGCTACCCTCTTTGTTCTGCAGTTTGAGAGAGGAAAGTGGATGGCCGGAGGATAAGAGTATTGTCGAGAGGCTCCGAGATTGGAGGGCCAAAGAGCAAGAATCGTTCTAGAAAAGAGTTGCCCGCCTATTCGCAAGCGCTTAGTATTGGCTGAGCGGCTATTTGGAGGGAAATCATTGGCCGGGGCGGGTGTGGGGGTGGAGAGAGAGGAGAGAGAGGAAATATTAATAGATTTTGATGCTGGAGTTGAGTAGCATTTGATTTGATTTAATTTGATTTAATCTGATTTGGTTGCCATGCCGAGAGAAGGAAGAGATATCCGATGAACCTTGTCAACTGGTGCTATTTTTGGCTGTTTGGATGAATAGCATGCTGTCGCTGTCGTGATGGAGGAAGGAGAGCGAGGACGAGAAACGGTAAGATGACGTGCTGTGATTGGCGATGGAGATGAATTAGTTGTATTTGGTAAGCACAAGCACTTGAATGGTGCGTAATTAGTTAGACTGGCACTGGGCATTTACTCTGTGTGGATGCCCTCATTCGATTTATTCCAAGGATGATGATGATGTTGTTGACGTGATTTGGTGCTGCCTCGAGACCTAAAATGAATTAGCAGCAGCCAACGACCAGGTACAGCACCTGGATTAGCACCTGAGTCAGCGTTACTTACGGCACCCAAGGCACTGTAAGATGCTAAACTCGCCTCCCCTCGCCAGGTCCGCCTTCGGCAATGTTTGCCTGGTTGACGCAAGGGTCCAGCCCAGCCCAGCAGTGCTAGCGGAATACGAAAGCCCGCTCGGGGAGTGCGGAGGAGCATCGGTTGCACAAAAGTATTGAGGAAATCCTCGTGCCGTAACTGCAATCGAGCAGAGCGGAGTAGAGCAGAGCAGAGCAGAGTAGAGAAGCATGAAGAAACGATTTTCCGGCCCGGCGCTCCCTTGTCCGCTGCGCGCTTGCCAAACCGCCAACTTAATTTTAGCCTCGCTAAAGCAGAGACACGCACAGGCCCACGACCGCAATCTTCAACCAACCGCACACGCCCCCCCAATCCCCACTGTTCTTTTTTGGGCCTCAACTCGTCCAGTCTATTGTTAGGTTGTGGCTTCAGCAGCACAGAGCAAATTGCAGTACTGTGTAGTGCTGTTCTGTGCTGTTCTGTGCTGTTCTGACTGGCATTGAGCCAACAGCTTGCCGTCATGTCCCGCGTTGCCGCTAGAGCACTCTGAGTACTCACTGGCTTGAATGTTCGCAGAGAGCCTTCTCCACAAGGATGCGATCCTGAGGCCACGCCGGCACCAACGGATCCTCGCTCTTGGCTCTTGGCTCTTGACTCTTGGCACATGGCTTCCACGATATGCTCGTACGTCTTATCTCGCATGTTGCCATGCCCAGGACTTGGAAAACGAATAGACGATTGAACCCACGCAGACATCGAGTTGGGGCTGCTTTGCTTGCTTCCCCCCTCTCGTATCAAGGGGCTCTGTCAGTCATAGTAGCACACTACTCCTAATGGCAGTATCGTTTGCTCTCTCGAGCCAACAGGCATTGGTATTGCGTGTGAGCGTGCGCTCCCTCAGGCATCATATCCCATCTGGGAATAGAATCGTCAGCCTAACACCCTGCCAGCAGTTGGATCGGAGCTGAAAGAACCCCGTCAGAATCTTTCGAGCCGTGGCGATTACAAGGGCTTGGTCACAATGCTGGTGCTACCTTGCTTATGGACAGAAAGCGTGGGAGTGCTATCCGGCGACATATCCTAGCTTTTCGTGAGAGGGTACCGTCTTGGCCACTCCCCTGTTTGCCCACGACCCTTCGAAGTTTGGGCTGATGGGGGAGCATAACATATTACACGTGTAACAGTGCCGTCATCACCCTTGTCATCCAGACGAGTCTTGTGCCACTTTGTCCACAAATTCAGCAGTGTCGTGGTTGCCGTATCGCCTGTACAGTATATTGGATGTAGATACGCCGCCCGGTACAGTATTGGCAAGATCGACATCTTGCCCTGTACATTATCTACTGGGTAATCGCACTCTAGGTAAAACGCACCTGCAATCAAGAAAGCAGAATCAGTTACCCCACGTTTAATACACTTCTGCTGTAAGCCTTTTAGTCAACATAGGTAGTGGGGGCTGCCCCCCTCAAAGGGACAACTCTGTCCGGAGCCGTTGAAAGTCGTCGAAGCCGCGATGGCCAAAACGACCGGCGTTAAGCACCAGCATCGGCGACCTCGACATCAGTACTCATGAACTAAATGTCAACCTGGATGGTAGGTGGGCCTCTGGCCATAAGAACGGAACATTATCTTTGCGACCCTGATCCTTCGGCACGCTAGAGTCTAGTTCTGATGTTCGTTGCAGGAGGTTGCGAGAAACATCACAGATTAGCAGCTAGCCCAGAAGCAATTACTCAAAGCCCACAGGTATTAAAAAAAGGTGACTACCAGGTAGCCGCCGAGTGGGTTTGCTCCAGCGGTTATCTTGGCGGCACAAGAGGGCATGAGAGAAGTGTCGAGACCGGCATCCTTTTCTCGGCCCAAGCCCTTCCGGCGGTGTGATATCTCAGCATCTTCGCGCATGCGTTTCAAGCCAAAACAAGCCACGAATTGTCTGGCCAAACTCCCACAGGCCGTGTTCAGCCATGTGTTACCTGGAGTCCAATGTCGACCCTCAAAGGATGATGTGGCGTGCTGTGTGAACCGTGCTAGTCTTTATGGCCAAGCAATCCTTTGGACTAGCCGTGGCAGCGTTCAACAGTGTGGGCAATCAACTGGAGTGATGTGACGAGGAGCTGTTGCCTTGTGCTGAAGGACGGCCGGCATGCGTTGTGATCTATTCTCTCCGCAGCTGTTCAACGTAAAGCGATATGGTTGACCATGTAAGCCATTTCCGTTCTTGGCAAGAAAAAACAGCCCAGGCAACATCGCGCGCGGTTATGGAGGAATTCGTGCAAAAACACTCCATCAACCTCCCGTAGATCTGGTCAGTGGCTCGAAGGCTCGGGATTTTCTTCAAGCCTTATAGTAGGCAGATGTAGCGCGCCCCGTCCGTAATGGGACGCTGTAAGGATCCCAGGCTGGTTTCTTACCGTGCCACGGTGCTGGAGGGCGCCGGAGCAGAAGCGAAGGCTTACGCTAGTGGAACGGTGCTGCACATCCAGCGGGTGAAGAGGTAATGCCGTCGGGCGTACGTGGCCTGACACAGCCGCGGGCGGCGGCGGCGATACGAGACGGTGCTAAACGCGGCGTTAATAAGCCAAAGTGCTTGACGGCTTGCTCCCTAGTCCCTCAGCTCCTATTGGCTCTCAGGGTCGGACAACAGCCGATGCCCTTGTGGCTCGTCATCGAGGCAGCTCTGCCCTGCCTACGAATCTGGACATGGCCGAGTTGGATATTGGAGTGCTTGAGCCACTATTTTGGCAACTGGTGTATAGCAGTTGAACTACTAGAGCGGGCACACAGATAGTCAGACACAGGTTTTTACGCCTTGCTCTTTGGTGGGCCGACTTCCTGGAAGGGGCATTTGCACGGGGACCGGTAGCTAGTAAGCAAGCTGACAGACGCTTGTGTCGGACCGCTAGAGAGTTCGGAAGTGCAGGCAGGCCGGCAGGTTCTGGTGATGAACCTATCAACTTACCCGCGAACCCTGTCTGTTCAATCTCATAGATGGCATATGATGTACTCACAAGGCGTCTGTTAGGGTTCTTGTCCCACTTCGATGACAGAAGTGGGCAAGATCTGGGACCAAATGCCATTTCACGATCCCGGTATACA